CATCTAACCTTTAGTAATATTTAATGTTTTCACACCCCAAAAACGTGAGTTCTTTACGCGGCGAACCTAAAAGGTCGCTGTGTTGACCTTTAATGACTTTAATTTTCTTCACCTACTCCAAGACCTGAGTTCAACCTGAGAAATCACTGTGGTCTGCACCCTCAGACCCGGGGCCTCTGACACCGCAAACCCGGAAGGTCACTGAGCTTTATTTTTCTCGGTTAACGCCGATTTCACAGCGAAAGCGGTTTGTAAACCTAGCTTACCTACCACTCCATATATTATACTATGTCGATGTATTTTCTTTTACAACATGGTTTGTTTGGTCGTACAAGGAAGTGGGAGCAATTCAACCTAAACCTCAACAGTGGATAAAATTATATTACTGTCAATGCTAATCATATTTTGTGATAGCAGCATGATTTTAAAACCGCCGCCTTTGAAGAAATCAACATTTAAAATGCTTAATTAACGCTTTTTGTGAGATAGCTTCTTTGGTTCCTTATGTAACGTTTCCCAAAATATGCGGTTTTCTATGTATTTTGATCTTTAAGTGATTTCAAGCATAATAATGATTTGCTGTATTTTGATAAAGTATTAAGCGCACCTACTCTTCAACTACAAGTAAAAAAGATAAAACTTTAGGGTGCAAGAAATACTTCAACTTTGGTTCGCCCAAAAGGCTTAGGTTTTGTTCGTTGTAAAAAATATATTACATTCATCAGAATAATTGGATTTTCAAAAACTCAAGACGATGAACAAGTATTAAACCGAAGATAAGGGGCAGCTAAACACAGAACGGCGCTTTAACCAGGATTTGATTTGCGTCAGGATGACATTCACAAACTATTTTCGTAGTATCGTAACAGGCCTGTATCGTTTGTCGACCAGCATCGTGTACAATTGAAAGTTTTATTGTACTGGTGACCATATCTTAAACTGTGCTGGTGCTACGTTACAAAGAATATATTCGTAAAATCCGAATTTAACGCCCATCTTTCCCTCAAAATCAATGCTAAAAGCGTCTCCCCGTGCGTACGAAATAGAAGCGCTCACCCTCTTAGTTTATCACTCCGGGGCGTCAAATCAATTTCGGCGCACCCTGAATCATCGATTCTTGTCCTGATAATTTTAGTGTTTACAGATCAGTGCGTTTGATAACAATAATATCTTTCTCGTTTAAGCTGCGATATCATAGGCGCGTCACTTAAATATGTTAAATATGCCCCATCCTCTCGTACTAAATGCACATCGCGGCTTTAAGCATCCCTCTCCCGAAACTCGTAAAAAAATCAAAACCCAATGCGTTTAATTTGGAATTTACAGCAACTGCATCTTTCGATACTTTATCATAAACTGCTTTCGCCGTACAAACTGTTAAGAAACGAGTACTATCAACGCAGAGAATGCCGCGCCTACTTATTGAGTTACGATATTACTAGAAGTCCGCCGGCTTTTTAGGTTTAAAAATCTAGCCGCGATTTGTAAGGTACCGTACAGCATGCGATTTTAACGATAAAACAATATAAAAGTGTTATGAACACAACGCTACTCAGACAAACTCGCCGAACTCCTAAACCTGACTGACCCTGAGTTTAACTCCTGTTTCTGATGGAGGAGTTGTTCCCTGTTTTTTTTTGCTGTTCACCAATGCAACTTTCAGTGGCCCTATTTGACCAGGACAGGGGAGAATCGAGACCCAACCCATCAAATTTTCGTAAAATCCACTGAGATCCGCTTAAAAGTAAATTTCCTTCAGTGCATTAGGAATTTATTTGGATCAAACTGGTTTCTGTAAGGACAATACCTTGGCTACATTTTTCACTTAAGCCGGCATTTCGTGTTGCGCCTGTTGCGCAGCAAAAACTGGTAACAAAAACAGCGAAAAACGAAGTACGTAGCTAAAAAACTGTATTCTTACAGTAAGCTCTCAAAATTTGCTGACCTTATAGCTCAATCGGCGCAATCGCCGTGCCAACTAACATTTTCCTGTTGGTAATATGTAATGGCAATTTTCTTCCTGAACCAGTCAAAGGTATTCGAACATGACGCACGTAAAAGAATTACGAAAAGATTCTGACTTCATCAAGCTGGGATACAATAATTACACAGTTTCATCTGGCCTTACTTTTATCAAGCACGGTTTGTTTTCCTGAAACAAGGTTTATTGTTTTGGTTAGTCACAAAGATTGTTTATCGAAGTGAGTCTGAACAATTCGCGATGCGATAAGTGATTCATGAGAAATAAACCGAAAACGAAGGCTGAGATTTTTTCAGCCACCCGTTCAACTCACTTTCCTTAAGCGCCTAAATTGACCAATTCACATATTAAACCACGTGGTAAGCTAGTCACGTGGTTTCCGTCTCGCATTCGCAGCAGGTGTAGATTACTGTATATTACACAGCTGCATCAATGCTTTTGACTCTACCGAAAATCGTTAGGATTCTGAATATTGTTTCATAAAAATACTGTTTATTGCACTGTACTTAATAACTTGCTAGTTTCAACTAAAAATGTGAGTAGAGGAGTCAGCCAACCAGATCATTCGCGAGACAAAGATTTAAATGCGTCTACCAGCACGGACCATGCTGACTGCTGACAACTACCACTTTCCAGTTTCCACATATCTGTCAAACAAAGTGCGATCACTATTTTTGATTGCCTCACGTTAATTAGCTGACTGCAAATTTATTTGCAAATTACAAAACATTATTACAATTAAAGTATATCAGCTAAAGCAAAATCTGCTTTCATTTTTTATTTGTGCTCAGAAAAAACGTTATGGGTATGGCTCGGTGTGCACTGTGCAGTGTGGCGATGTGCAAGGCCCAGAAAAAGATCCACTGCACGCTTCCATTGCTTTCCTGCTGTTCGCGGAAATTCGTCCGCGTACATTTTGTAGATTTGTCCTGGGGTTTCAGATATAACGATAGCATAGCTAAATTGCCACCCCGCGATTCGGAACCTGCTGCATCCAGAAAAACAACAAATCCACCATGAGCAAGCTGCCTTACTCGACGAAACTCGGCTGTGGACGAATCAGGCGGTTCAAGCCTGTATATCAAACGAGAAAATTCCCTGATGCAATTTCCAATAATATCCAGCTATCAGGGCCCTTAACCATTTAAAAAAATCTAAAATCCCTTTTTAAGATCAGAAAGAAAAAGTGAAAAGCAGTAAAATACACAGCAAATGCAGGATCAGTCCGCACAATCTACACCTGCTGGACGATATTAGGCAAGCGAACCACGTGACAATCGACCAATAGAATGCTAGTCCGTCCTATATGTGAATTGGTCAATTATATGTGAATTGAATTGGTCGGATTGTCTGCACGCAATAACAAGCGGCCAGACGGCATGACCTTGATTCCTGTGCGGGAGGGTAAAGCGCTTGTGTGGGACGCGACCTGCTGGGATACTGTGGCGGTGTCTCATGTGCATGCCAGCTCGAAGAAAGCGGGAAGTGTAGCACAACTGGCCGAAGCAAGCAAGCGTCGGACATACGATTTCATCGAAGAAATGGGATATCTGTTTTACCCGCTGGCAGTCGAGACGTTCGGGACTTTCGGAATGCCTTTTGCCGAGCTGATCCGTTTCGTCGGCCGAAAGATCCGTGAAGTTACAGGCGAACCTCGATCTACCGCCTTTTTTAAGACAACGATTTAGTTTAGCTGTAATCCGTGGAAATGCTGCAGCTGTTTTTGGTACACTGCCTGCACGTCCGAAGGCCACGAGTGGCTATAACGATTTTGGATGCTTTTTTAATGTTTAAATTCGATCATTTTTATTAGTGTAAATCAGCGCAGGCATGTTGTTATGTATACTGGCTGTTGTCGATAAAGAAGAAAAAGCGAAAAAAAAACAGCATCTACAGACCAATGATTTCAGTTTCTCGTTTTTACACATCCAAACCTTAACACCGCCGCCCGCTTGCCCTAAGGGCGGTTACGACCTTATACTAGTATATTATAATTATATAGCTTACCTCTTTTCAAGTGTTGTGTTAACTTCTGGTTATGCGATAGCGATACAGTACGCGCGCTAACCTTAAATGGTCCTTAATCGTTAACCATCTACCATGAGCGATTACTAACTAATGAGCAGGTAGCTTCTGTTATTGACTTTATTAATCCTGAAAATGCGATTTTTGAAAAAAAAAAGCCGATGTCGCTAGCCGAACAGGCAGAACTGACTCCACGGGAGTGCACGGGACAGTCACATACAGTACTCACAACTGACAGCAGTGACAGCACACCGTCACCAAAGAGGAGAGAGTTCCATTTCCCACGTAGCTGCCCATCTGGGAGGATATGGCTCGTCTTTGTATTGCATTTGAATGATTACAGTACTTTTAATACTCTAGCGTTTTGCCATTCCTTTGAAGTTCGAACTTCGAACTTCGAAGTCAGCGCTGCTTGCCTTGCCTCCCGCACTAACCGTGCTGTTTTCGACACAAAATATCGGCGCGCGCTGTGTAGTAATTTTTCCGGCAGGCGGTGGGGTTGCAACTGCGACAGAGGGTGTTTAGCACCCGAGACCATATGGCTCTGTTGTGTAGAATTTGTAAGGGTAGTCTTTTTTGTAGAAGCAGTAGTTTAGCCATATGTGTCCTGTCAAGGACGATTTTCGGGTTGGGTGTTTCGATATAAATGAGGCCGCTTTTAAAGTTCTCAAACGAAATGATTTTGGATTGGAAGTTATCGGATGGGGGAGGTAGGTATTTGCTGGTGATTGGTGGTTTTGTGAAGTATAGTGCGCTGTGGGTATATAAAAAGAAATCGGAGTGCGGTGGAAATTTAGTTGGTTAAGGGAAGTTGTGAGAAGTTTGTTGTCTGGATTGTGTTGTAAGATCTTATTTGATAGTTTGATAGTAAAGGTTGTAAGATCTTATTTGATAGTTTGATAGTACAGGTTGTTGTAGTAAGGTGGAGAGTGATTTGGAGTGCCTGGGAAGAGGTATTTGAAGGGATTTTGGCAGATTTGTGACAAGTAAGGAATATTTGTTTATAGTGAAATTTTTTTTAATTATTGTTTATTTTTTAATGTATTTGGTTTCTTAAGTTACATAGATTAAGAGATATTAAAGAATAAACAGAGTATTGGCTGGCTTTTGACTTTATGGCAGTGTGGTTCAAAAGGAGAGTTTTAAGGAGGTTAGTTAATTTTTTCTTGCAATTTTATACAGTATATCTGTATATTCGGATGTTTGGTGTGTAGATGCTGTTGAGAGTACGTTTATGAAGTAGGAAAACTAGGTGTGCATTGGCAGACCGGAGCGCAGCAGCTTTTCGCTTGTGTGAAAGATAAATAATTTTTAACGTGCTACCAGTAGCACTTTTAGTACTTAACCTTTGTCAATAATTTAACCTACAAATATAACGAGCCAGGAACATTTTCGTAATGACCTTTGGTAACAACCTTTCGTAACGAACACAGATACATTTTTGCATTGGCGCTGAACTTAAAAGACTTTCGGTACGATTTAAGAAAGGAAATTGATTTGATTCTACGAAAGATTTATTTAAATGTTATATCATCATTTAGTTTTAGACTGTCAAAAAAAGTTGGAAATGAGTGATTTGGATAGGCGGAAGTTAAAATGAAAATTATCTTAAGGTATAGTGAGTTGATTAATAGGGTGGTAGAAATAATATTTATGTTAATAAATGATGAAAGATATTATGTAAGAAAAGGAAAATATGGAATATATGAAGGAAAATAGAAAATATATTACGGAAAATATGGAAAAGGATATTGTGGTAAAACATAGAAAGAATAAGTGGCATTACAGGAAATTTATTTGGCATTGTGGAGTTATGTTGTGCAGATATTGTAGTTGATAAAATCAAATTGAAGAAACAGGTGGGTGTAGTGTTCCGTATGGTTTATTGTATAGTATATGGTGCGTATAATGTACTGTAAAGTGGACTGGTTTTATGGTTTGAATCTGGGTATATTATAGAGTAAATATATTTATGGATGAACGATTATTTGTGTGGGAAGAAGATATTTTGAAGAAACAGGTGGGTGTCACGATCCGTATGATGTGAAGTCTGTTGTATTTAGGGATTTTTATTTTACTAAAGCTGGTAAATATTTTGAAGAAACAGGTGGGTGTAATGTTCCGTATCATTCAGTAGTTTAGGGTATTTTGATGCGTTTTGAGATGGGCGAGTGAAGTTGGAGTTATGAGAGACAGGTGGGTGCAGTATCCCGTTTAGAGGTTTACAAATGTTTTTTATTGTAGATTAAAATCGGAAAAATTTGGAGAACATGATTTTCATTCCGATTTTTTTCCCGATTGTTTGGTTGTATGTTGGAGTTGTTTTTGTATACATGCCATTTCATGCCATTTCAGGTGTATGGTTATTATTGGTAAGTGTTTTAATTTAATTTGATTGTGCAAAAATTTTTTTTGCTGGTTTTTTAAGGTATTGAAAGGAAAGTGGGGGACAAGAATTTGGGTAAGTTATACAAAGATGGAAAAAAGAGGTGTTAAGCGAAAGTGCGAAAAGAGTAAGAAACCTAAGAAACCGAAGAAACAGATAAAAGAACAAATATTTGGCAGTTCAAATCTTAATAAAATGATGGTTAATTATTATCCTTGACTGAGCCGAAGCCATCGGAAGTTACATTTGTCTACAAGCTAATAACTGTAATTACGATAGTCATGAAGCATAAGGTCATAATTTATATTATAAATTCTTTTGTTATTATAGTTGCAAATCGTTGACGACAGTGGTGTTGTGGATGTTGTGGGATATAATCAAATTCAACAGCAATTATTTGGACATTCAGCTGCTGCGCATCAAAGCGGATTGATTGGGATTCACGATTTTTCTGCTATGAATAAGCAATTTCGCGTCATACTGAAACAGGCTTATACTAATATTGAAGTTAGCAATAAAAACGTTTCATAAATATAACAAGATAATAACACAAGTTATAATTTTTAATTTTTATAAAATATTCATTTAGGGTCGGAGCAAAGAAACAATCAGCATTACGTATATGGAAGAAAAAAAGCCAGGTATAACCTTTTTTACGAGAATAAATTAATTATTAATATTCAAAATTAATAATGAATTTTTATTTTGATAGACGAAATTCCAGGAAGTGCTATGGATATTGTTGTCACTGACGACAATACAACCGTACTGCAGCCTGAATCCAGCAAACGATCTGTTGGTAAGAATTTAAATATAATCAGTAATTTAAAATTTAATTTTTCTAAATTTATTTATTTACCTTTTATTTGTTTATACAGGAACTCCGAAGAAACGAAATAAGTGAATGGAATAGCATGAACCGTTGCTTTTACTTTGAGATGGACCAATCGTTTTCATTTTTATTGTTGTTATTTGAGCGATTCATCAATTTATTACCGCCATTATACCATTTTTTCTAAGTGCATTATAGTTATCTGTGGTATTATTATCTGACAGTGGTGGTGCGGTATTATTATCTATGTGATGTAGTTATGTTGAATTACTCGTTTAATACTTGTAAAGTTTGTATCTTAGTATTTTTCTTATACTGAAATACACTATTATTTTGTTATTTTGTATTGGTTTTGTAGTAATTAACTTTTAAAGTTACCAATAAATAAAGGACAAAATAAATAAGGCAATTTCTTTGTTTCAAGTTTGAGTAGATCATAATATTTTATAAATATGCGACCTACTGAGTCCAAGTAACAACTTATTGGTAGCTGAGAACCTTTAATAATTATCATGGTACGAGTACAAAATATGCATTAGAACAAAACGGCCTTAACGAAAAGAACAGTTGTATTATGCTATCCTGATCGGGAATCATACCGATTACACAAACCGAAAGTCAGCTGATGTGTGGTAACAATTAGTGAAAATAGAATTAAAAATTAAGATGTGTAAATTTTAAAATATGCGTCTAACTGCGCCCAACCAGCATTTACTGCCAGTTCGTAGGAGGTAGCAGTTAGAGTCAGGTGTGTGTTATAAGTATGCGCCCAACTGCGCCCAACCAACACTTACTGCCAGCTCGTAGGAGGTAGCATTTAGAGTCAGGTGTGTGTTATAAGTATGCGCCCAACTGCGCCCAACCAACACTTACTGCCAGCTCGTAGGAGGTAGCAGTTAGAGTCAGGTGTGTGTTATAAGTATGCGCCCAACTGCGCCCAACCAACAATTACTGCCAGCTCGTAGGAGGTAGCAGTTAGAGTCAGGTGTGTGTTATAAGTATGCGCCCAACTGCGCCCAACCAGCACTTACTGCCAGCTCGTAGGAGGTAGCATTTAGAGTCAGGTGTGTGTTATAAGTATGCGCCCAACTGCGCCCAACCAACAGTTACTGCTAGCTCGTAGGAGGTAGCAGTTAGAGTCAGGTGTGTGTTATAAGTATGCGCCCAACTGCGCCCAACCAGCACTTACTGCCAGCTCGTAGGAGGTGGGATTTAGAGTCAGGTGTATGTTATAAATATGCTCAGTTAGTTTATGTATGTTATAAACTAACTGAGCTGCGTCTCTATCAGAGTCCTACGCACAACCATACTTCCAACTTCATTAACCATTCTTCTTCATTAACCAACATTCAATCAATTATACAAACACCAGGTGGCGCTTCTAACTCTTAAACCGCCTGCCACTTGGCCGCCTCCCCCGAGGTGGCCGCCCGTTAGGTGTTAACAAATATTCCAGATTTCCATCCTGAGGCAATTGTTTTCTCTGAATTTTTTGGTGCGAAATTTCACTGGTTATGTCGATCGTTTTGCGGGAACGCTCAATCTCTAATCTGTCACATTTGTCGGGGGAATCTTGCCCCTACCGTGAGTGAGCGATCTGTAACGACTGTAATCAGAACAACAACAAGACGGAAGTTATGGGATGCACTGAGAGGCAGCCTCCATGGGAGACTGGAATTGCACATTCTTTTACCTAATACGGCGAAGGTAAAGGTTTACGCATTTTGAACAGATTGTAGAGTTGCGAAATGCGAACTGATATGCAGATATCGATAATATTTATCCCGAACTTAAGAACCGTTTGCGTATGGGCCCACTACAGATACGTCGCAGTCATGAAGATACAGTAAGGTGCAATCGTGAGCGCAACGGATGCGACATTTAAGATTAGACATTCTGCATCGCTGTTTAAAACCTGTATCCATATTGAATATTCCATAACTATGAGTTCACATTTCGCCTGCACGTTTATTTGGGTGACCGATGATGCTGCGCAAAATGTCTTGTCGGTTAAAATATTGAATGTCAAGTGTAGTTAAATATGGGTTTATACAGATGTTATATGTATCTTAACTTGCCGGCTTCATTACAATTGCGCCAGATTTTACCGTTTTAATTTTTGATTATTCACTGCGTTACGTTCTGCTTTTACGACGCTAAGTAATTTGCCGAAAATAAGCCCTTGTTTTCGAATTACACGTTTCAAAAGCTCTATGGATTTTTGATTTCGCTCTCCGACAACGAGTAACATGGGCTTAACCTACTCGCAGTATCGGTTTTGTTTTGCGTAGTTAATTGCAGAAACATTCATGGAAGCTAATGTCGACTTAACATTTGTGATGGTTATATGGAATGCGGTGTATCTTATAAGTTTTCATCAATTATGAATACAACGTGGTGCTGGTGCGAGAGAAATAGCGAAAATGTTTGTAAATAGCGCACTTTTCGCCTGCTTATTGTTTTGTAAACCTTGGATCGTACAGCAGATGCGTTGTTACGTGCTGTTTTTTTTTGCGGTTTTGACGTTTATATTTCTATACTTCTTACGCTTGATACTTTTTTATACATTTCATTCATATACTAGGCTTGTGCAATTACATTGGGCTTATTTAATTATGACGAAGCTGGGCGTTATAATTGCAACTCAGTTACTAGTATATCTGCACATTCTACTTGGACATTACGTAATATCTACTGTACAGGCAGATTACTTATTGTACGACTGTATAAAGGCATTTGCACAAAATTGTGTTAATATAATTGCTGAGTATATAAATCCACGGTATGGAACTTTGGATGAATGCTTTTAAAACTTTTGAGCGTTCTTGTCTAGGTGCCCACAAGCAATTATTTTAGGCACGATAAGAGCGCTACTTGACATGGTAGTAAGTAGTTTCCTGAGGGTGTTTTTCGCTTGGATTCTTTATTAGTTTAAGGGTGAGTTTCTTGCAGAACGAGTGGGTTTAACGGTGTTGCGTGTGTCTTTACCGTTACAATTTTCGGGCTTGTTTTCTCACCTTTCCGTCAAATTTAACTACGATTTTTGAAAAGTCGGATATGATATTATTTAGTTTTCGTTTGCTCATGTATGTGATTAGCTGGTGGACTTTGTACTAGACATGACAACTCGGTTTCTCATCCTTGGTTTATTGATTGCTGTTTCTCATGAGCGGTGTTTGCAATGAAGGGAAAATGTCACATACGTACACTGGACGATTGCGTTATTTCGTGCTGTGCGCGCTTTTTGTGAGATTTGAGAGACTCATCGATCTGATTTCATAACGTGCACATTGGCCCCGGCTTCTTTCCGGCGGAAGTGTATCGTCTGCGTATCTAGCCGTAGTCGGCACTATGATTAGACTTAGCGGTAAGGGAAGCTGCTAGTGTTATTTGCAGACGAGTAACAATAACGATGTTATGAATTAAGTACCTTCTTTATTACAGTCATTGTGCCACTTACTCCTTGAATTACGTTACCGCAGTCGATTGACTAAGCGAAAAATTAGTGATTATATGCTGCCTCGATACCTGTTTGCTACACTGGACTTTACAGACTAGTATACTACTCTAGTTAATACTGTCTTTTGGTACAAAAATACTACAGATCCACTTCAGACTACAGTCTCCGCGATTACGTAAAGGTTAATTTGGATAATTTTCCTTGGCAGTGCTCACAATTCAATTCCTTTAGCTACAAATTCATTCTCATGTGAACTGTGTGATATTTGTCGTTGAAGTTTCCTTACTCTGGAGTCGGGGCAGACGACGGGGCTACAGACTGGAGCATACTTGAATTATGAAGCAGCATTTTAATTGTATTAGCTTAAAATTCCATTAAATGTTTTGATAGTTTTTCTCGCATAAGTCGCAAGTTTTAACATGTGTTACAAACTTATAATAGATATTTTTAAGAGATATTTTTTACAGTAACCTTATTCGCTCGTTCTTGGAACATTGAATCGCTAATTTAAATATGATGGTACTACTAATATACATTCGAATCCAATACATCCAGTGGTAACTGGACTGATATTTCTGCACCAGTCATAAAATATGCATATTGAAAAGCGGTTGGTGTCACTTGGTGCTTTGCAAACATTGGCATGGAAATTGTTTTTGTTGTCTTTCGCTAATGATTTGGTAGTCTAGCTTGTGTGTAGAACAAAAAGTCGTAAAAAGCTTGCGATGGTTCACAGCAATAAAGCGAACCCCTGGATGAAATAAATTTATGTGAGTTTACACGGTCAATTTCCGCTCCACCAGGCCATTTCAATGGTTACGCGTCGCTATATGCAAGCACAAGTGTATTGCAAGTCAATTCTTATAACTCGTGGTTCCAGATGAGACAACTAGGAAGAACAGACATCCGCGACAAACAATAATTATTGGATTTAGTTAATGTTAACTTTGTAAAATTAACATGTTTGATTCATTTCTCGGGCGCGCAGGCTTGCTTTTAAATGTACCTGTACTAGACAAATAACTAATTTTAATTGCGTATGGAGAGACTGAAAAACAGAATCGTACAGATGGAATATGAAATCTATGCTCAGCCGGCAAGTCAACAGTGAAGATAACGAGTGCATCTAAATAATTTTTCATGTACGATTTCTTCATTACATATGATGCGGCGCATTCTAGAGATGTGGACTACTTGTAGGTGTTATTGTTGGAGTTGTTCAGTGCCGCAGTATATAAAGCGCAGTCGTTGGACAAATCGTCTCCGGTGTTTTATGAAAACATAGTACTAGTATGCAAAATCAATAGTTGTCTTATGTTGGTGCTTGTACTCATTGTCCTTAACAGATGCATCCAGCTGCCGTTGGAATTTATGGTTTTAAAGATTAGTATTCGCGGATGGTTTTATTATAAGCAACCTGGTACACTTGACGTTAACGTATACTGACTACAAATAATTGCCGATTCAAGTTGAACCCAGCCTTACATGCCAGCGCTAGCTCTAGAAAGGTGTTGAAAAACAACGAAAGCAAATTCTTGTTGGACTGGTCCTTTAGCTTGTATAGTATCCACCCCTCTACCTGTTGCAAACTTTATAGGAATGCTGTGTGCATATTGACGAGCTGCCAAAATATGCGCAGTTTGTGCTTTAATCATTATTTTTTTACTGCATCACTTATCGATATATCACCGCTTGAACGCGCCCGGCACATAACGAGAACTGTGTATACATTCAGTATGTAGTCGCCGTCGACAGCGAATGTATTGTCGTTATTTTCGCCGCATCATAAAATGTTGGATTTGCTCATGTGGCCACGTTATGTACGTTTCCTGTACTGAAATAAGAATAAGCCAGATTATCCCGGCATATTACTGTTATCCGCATTACATGTACTGCCTAAACCTCCACGATTTATTTTATCGCATTCATTTTTGTAGATAATTAATGAATATATAACTGGGCCAGATGGAGCAGGATTTGTATGAACGATCGTTCTCGCCCCAGCGTCCTCGAAGTAGGATATCGTCGGAATATTCTGGCGCGTCCACAACTCACCCTGTGGAATGGCAAGACGATTGGATCCATCGGGAAGAGCAGTTTAAGGATACCATTAACGCTCTTCACAGTAAGATGACAGTATTAATGAGGGGACGACTTAATAATACGCTGACACAATAGTGATTGTAATTCGGTAATACTTTAAAAGGCGAATTCCAGTATGTAATAAAGATAGTTGTAGTAGAATTTGTGTGTACTCTGTGCTGCTTCGGTTGGCATATATTTTAGTTATCTACAATATCTACTGATAAGCTAAAGCGGATACCGAATACAAAGACTATGTAAATAATTCACTGTTTTGTCAAATTGGATACACAAAATTAGGATTTTTTTATGTTTTTCGACAAAGACGCAATCGCTGTTCCGTACCTACTACTAATTATGGTACTGGTCCTAAAACAACCAAGTACAGTATACCGTACCATAATTGTGATTTGTCTGATCGAAATACCAGCAACGGTTCAACACGGTTAAAATATACATATATCATCCACTTTTTATGTAAATTATTTATTAAATTATACGACGCCGCGGTCAATAGCAGCACTCTTTGCATAAAATTGTCTATTATTGTTCTGCGGCATAATCGTACGGAAGCGATCTGTAGTTAGTAAAGATATTGCACAACATGGTGCTTTTTGAGTGTTGTTGTGATAATTTTGCTCCAACAGCGCAATTTTTATTTTGGTTTTGATTCGGATTCGTGTGTGTACGTGTGCTGACAGTGTACTTATGTGTATATTTTTCTGACTTTTCTAGCTGAACAAGAACGCATTCAAAAGAAAACTTTTACCAACTGGATCAATTCACATGTGGAGCATGTATGTTCTCCTTTTGTCTGCCATTACATATTGTTATTGTTCCCCAAAGGGATTTATTGTGCTCCCGTGTAACACCGTTGTTAATCTGATTATCTTTACGACTAGCACCGCGATCAATGGAGAGTCAACGATTTGTTTGCCGATCTAAAGGATGGCAGAATACTGTTGGCTCTGTTGGAGGTCATTACGGGTGATTACCTGGTAGGCCGGTTCATAGACAGCCAGTTCAAGTGGTCTGTTACTAAAAAATTAACTATCGCTGATGTTTTGTGTTTGTCTTTGAAGCCATGCGAAACCTTCCGTCACTACACACGGGCACACTATCTGTCTAACGTGGAACGTGCGCTGGATTATCTGCGACATCGGAATGTATGATCCTACGCCGAGCTGTAGAGCGTTTTCTTTCATTAATATTTGTATTTTCGAAAATGCGTTTATAATTAGCGACTAATAGTAATTAATTTAGCGTCTCTTAATGATGACATTCTAGGATTACGTCTTTAATTTTTCAGGTGCATTAAATCCTTTCATTTGTTTAATTTACCCAATCAGGCTTTCGACTGTTATAGTCTCGTACAGCAAAGAATACTTACGTACCGTAATTCAAACAAGCATGATCGACATTAGCCATTGGATTGATCTATTTAGGATTCAGCCTTTTTGCAGATATTAAATTTTATATCCAGAAGACTACTAATTTGTGTTTTTTAGTAATGTTTTTATTTTTCAGATCAAACTTGTGAACATTAATTCATCGGATGTGGTAGACGGGAACGAGACAGTTATATTGGGATTAATATGGACCATAATCCTCAATTTCCAGGTACGCTTAATCGCGTGCGGCTCATTCCATCGGCTTGTCTCTTAATTTGTTGTATAAAACTACGGTTTGGGTATTTTTACTATGATTTCAACACAATTTGCTGCGTGCCCGCCATTGGAAATTTGATCCGGCTACATTAATACATACGCGGAAATCATTTTGCTTATATTTTGATTTAACTATAAAAGTGGCCACGTACACTTTAGAAATTGGCGAAATTGTATCGTCCTGGAGTTGGAATAACGTGATTAAGCCCAACACCTTGCTTGGTTATGTAGATCGATCAGGATCTGGCGCATTTGCGCGAGAACTTCCTAATCAGTCCAGTACCCAGTGGTGTGCAGAGCGGCTCCTACGAGGCCCGCTCGCGCTCCGTATCGCCGAGTCCGACGAAGAAGCCACGTCTTGCAGCCCGTGGTCGATTCCAGGCCGGCGCATCCAAGGCTATGCTAAAGTGGTGTCAGAAAGAAATAACCGAGTAAGGATACTAACGGTCATAACGAGCGACCAATCCTTGTAGATGTTTTGTGTCTGACATTCTGACTATGTTGATTAACCTGCCTTTGTTTATCCATAACAGTTGTTACGGCATTCCTATTACGAATCTCAGTAGCAGCTGGAAAGACGGGATGGCCTTTCTGGGACTGGTCAAAGTGTTGGATCCTAAGCTAATCAATCTGAACGATTACCGGCGTGCAACGCCGTCTGAGCGCATGAATGTGGCCTTTACCTTGGCTCACGAGCAGCTGGGCATACCAAAGTTTTTGGAAGTTTCAGGTAAAAACAAAATATCTACGACGTCTGGCGCGCCTGCAGCGATTAATTAATTTCCTTACGTAGTATGTATTACCTTGTGGCATTTCTGTGAATGTGATTGTTATTTATTAGAAATTGCTGTTTTTTGGAGCGCTTTGCGTAAAGAGTTTTGTTATGTAGATATCGATGTCGATCGTCCAGATGAGCGCAGCATCATGACTTACATCGCACAATTTATCAAGCGTTTTCCGGAAGCTAAACGAAATCGACAGAAATTGGTTAGGGGGTCTACTTAATACTTTGTGTGTTAACAGCCATAACATAGGCGACACGGCTCATAAAGCAGGCGATATGCACTATTTTAGATTATGGACAATTTCCCTGATGTGGAGGCTTTGGAAGCCAACGAAAAAGCCGATTATGAGCGAATACGTGATTGGTGCAATGATGTACTGCTGATGCTCAAGTGCCTCGAGCTTTCGGAAGAACGCCCGTACGAAGCCTACGATGTACGTTATGGAGCACAGCGGCTGTGATTTGCAAAAGCTGTAAAGCGTATCCGTTACGCTGTTTACTAATAAGATGTTTATTTATAGGAATATAAAAAATTCAGTGAGAATTTCCGCACAAATATTTCCTCATACACCCGTCTTAAGGAGCGGTATGAGGAAGGCCGCACGCTGCATATGACAGAACAGAACATCCTCGAACTGGACAGCCTGTGGGCCCGATTGATCTCGGAAAAGCAGATCTGGCATAATCACCTGTTCAGGTATTACCTGCGTAGCGCATTCAGAACTTTCACTCGGAAAGCATTCCATCATTTTCATTTTGTTATGGGGCTGCGGGCATTCGCTTGAGTAAGTTCCTGTCAGGTTTGCTTTGATCTTGTAGGGTCTTATTAGGACAAGAGCAGCTGCTCTGTTCACGCTTTGAAAAGTACGAGTCGGAACTGGATCAACGAGTTCTGCTGCCGCCGCAACGTGTGACTCATTATTCGAAAGTCAATCTGGAATTCCGCGTGCAAAAGCACGAGGTGAGAAAGGAGCAATGATAGTAATAAGCGGTTAGGAAAAAACGTAACAAGTAGTGTGGTGTTTGAAACAATCAGTCTGCCCACACGATATGCTGAATTTGTAATTAGTATTGCAATGTTCCGTATGCTACATCGTATGACAGGCCACTCAATCAGATATTACCGATTACGACAGGTTGTAGACGGTTTTGTTGAGCAGAAGCCAATTAGGCGGCCTGCATGCATAAATTAGAACAGCAGGGTAAATAAACGCAATACACAACAATAAGTATTGTATACAAACAAGGAAATTTCTGCTACTTAGGAAAAGCTGTGCGTAACCTTTCGTGACCTTTGTTGCACTCTTTAGGATATACTGCTGAGGTTGACGCATTTGCGCGACGAGTTGAACTCTTTTCTGGTGAAAGAGTATCCTACCGAAGTTTTTGCACTACATGATCTGCAAAGTGAACTGAATGCCATGATCACCGACCTGGAACAGCGTCTCCTGGAAGAGCGCTGCAAATTATTGCTCAAACGCCAACTGATCATTGTGGATGAATGGGAACGGCGCATAGCTCGCTGGGAGGAATTTTTGGCTAGTCCAGGCTTGAACGGAGAACGACTAGCTTATGAATTCGAGCTCCACGTTGTACAGGAAAGGATATTCGACAAATTTTTGGAGTTATCCAAACAGTTGCAGCGCTGCTTGGAGATCTTACAGAATACTCCAGAGTCCGATAAACATCAAAGGGCTGAGTTTTTATCCAGTGCTGTCAACGCCAACCGGCGCTGGAAGCGCATTGGCGAACAATTGTACGAAATTCGAGAAAAATTACGGGAATATCAGATGTTGCTGAAAAAGAAAGGCCAGAAAGTTGATTTGGACTATAATGGCAAAGATGTACCTGACATCTCTCTATCTTCCACCTGTACGTGACCTTGGTCATTCTGCCTGCACGCCGGGTAGTGCTTATGCACTCATCAGTGTTTGTTGTTACAGCTCCGGTTTCTCCTCCTGCGTACATCAAGTCAGATCGCTGGCTGCTGCATATTCAGAAGTATGTATAGTGGCTCATTAGAAACTGGATTGATTTTTTTAACGCTTTTTAGAATTGGTTTAATGTTTTTGATTTCAATGGTGTTATCTTTCTTTTTCCGCCAGTATTTTTCTGCCAGTATAGCACTTTCAATATTGTTTTTCGACTTGTAACGTTTTTTTTTGTATTTAGGGTGGCCGCTTTTACTCGATGGATTGATCGCATGGAGAGAGATTTTGAGTCAATTGATAGAGAAAACGTCAGTAGAGTGGAATATCAGCGGGGTCTTCAACGCTTCCGCGTAAGTTATGTACACCTCGTCAAAATACGTCTACCTGGTGCATACTGTACACCTTCGATGTTCATATATAATAACGTATCAGGAATGCGGTTTAACGCTGCCCCGGGGTTTTAATACATATTTTTGACTGTTTGGCCAGGCTTTGTGCAATGAGGTCGTGGAGCATAAGACAGACGGGCAAGACATTATCGACACGTTCTATAACTGTTCTGCTGAATTGCCACACAATGTTGCCTCTGAAGAGCAGCGAAAAATTAACCGGTTGATCCGCAGATACGAGTAAGTTATAAGTCTGCGGTTCAGTTGAGTGAAATGAAATCTTCTTACTCATTGATTAGTTTTATTGGCCACCCGAATAGTATTTTGTCATGATGAGTGGCTATACGTATAATCACTGTAGTGGTATTATTATTGACATCTTCTTTTATATGAATAACGCTTGCATGATTGGAGCTTTTAACCTTATAACGCAATTTGGAATTCCAGCTGTACTAATTTTAATGGTGTGCCGTAAATACTGAATGATCTCGCAGTTCACTGATTCCTTCTTTGGAAATTGTCCGCTCCGAAGTAGAGCGCAATGTCCATGCTCACCAAGTGACCAGTACGCATACGGAGACCGTACAGTTAGTACCAGACCGACCGGAAAGTGTACGCGAACATGCCGTTCGCATTCATACACCAGCTGCGCGAGGATTAAGTCCGACGGTATCCGGCGGGACGTCGGGCTACGCCACTCCGGAATTCGAAAACGCCTTGCTGCGCCGATCTGAACCAACTACTCCGTCGTCATTCAATCGATCTCCACCGTTGGCATATGGCATTTCGTAAGTGTTCGGTTTTTTTTATACCACGGTTATGTTAAACGAATAGTACATGTGTGGTAGTCATTAATTGCATAGTTTCTCATGGGCATTTATATTTTGATGACTCGGCAGGTATATGATAAAGTATAAATGGTCAGCAGATTGTATGGAAATGGAATTATCATTTGTTTTATTTATTTGCACACGATTTGCGTTTTATATTAAAATATCATAATTTGATTTTGAAATGGGATTTGCACTTTATATAGAATAGTGTATTTTTATTTAAGGTACGAACAAAGCGCTAATTTTAATAATATTATGTTGAACACTGTTACTGAAACAAACAAGTGATCCTCGCATCGTTTTGTAATTATGATTGCGTTTTTAACTGCAGAAGCCAGTCTTCAGTTAACGAGGGTAGCCCCATTGAGCCATCTTTAATACGTGATATTGACATTGACGACGAAACGCAGCGATCTGCCAGCGCGGCTTCGCCTCGAGGCACTCCAGCGCATACGCCGGGTGCGGACGAACGCACATTTGTCCGCGACGTGCCCATCATGGACAGCGCAAGCGGCAGCGCTACTCATCTTCGCCCTACTGTTAAAATCACCTCGACCCACCGGACGGTTGGAGCGTTGTCCGATGATGAAGACCTTGAGACAAAACGAATAAAGGTCGATCAAAGCCGGAAAGGATTGTTTCCCAAGGGTACCGTGGAAAAGTTTGAGCAGACGGTCACGGAAACCACCACCGAACGGTCACTGCGCAACGTTGCACCGGAAGAATCATCGAAGATCTCGACACTCCGTGCGGCTTTTGAAAAACCAACTGAGAGTCAGCAAAAGTTTACCACCAAACCGAAACCGGGATCAGTATATGACGCTTTGAGGTTAGCCTGTTTAATCGATTTTGATATAAAAGTAATATCACGAGGAATGTATCTGGCATAATTCTGTGCAACCAAAATTTTTATACTCGTACTATAAAAAGAGTGCAGAAGTTTTGACCGATAGTTACTTTTCTTAAATGTTTAACCAGTGGGGCGTTCTTAAATGTTTTGGCGCTTTTGCCTTTGTTTTAAAACACTTACAGAGTACTGTAAATGGGCAGGTGCCGTTACATAGACTCCTTACTAGAGCGAAGAAGGTTTTCCGGTAGTTTTTTTATGCTTTGCGGTATCTTCCATTGATGAATCATGAGGCAAATATTTAATTTTGCAAATAATTGAAATCTGTATTCTAATTGAATACTAGGCGATGAAATGTAGTATGGTAGTTAAGGTTTTGACTGCTTTTGTTTGTGTTTCTCCCGGTTGACCATGCTGGTCCATGCAAATCACATTTTGCAGACCGATTTTAGATTATGTGCGTAAATTTTGCTTCCAAAAGCACTGGATTTCTTTTTTTGTATTTGAAACAAAAAGTGTGTTTTTAGACGAAAAAGTAAGGACTCGGATTCCGATAACGAAGATGTCTCACCAAAGAAACGCCCTCCAGCAACATCATCGAGGCCGTCTTCCACTTTCCTCCGATCTGCCGACGATGAGCTGACCCGGCTTCGACAGCGGCCAGCCGGCATTGTGTTCGAGTCGGATGTGTCGAATGCCGATGTTGAACGAGCTATGAGCGAAACACCCGTCAGCCCGTCTAGTGTTTCGGAGAAGCCAAAATATTTGCGGAACGTTAAAACCACGACTCTTGTTACCAGTACGGAAACCAAGACCGTTAGGACTGTGCGGGCGAAGTCTCCACCGGCGAGCGAGGATGTTCCATATCTCGGCAGTGGACGGTTAGTTGGTAAAATCAAACACCCTGTTGCGTTTACCACGGAAACCCAAGTGCGTGATGAACCGGTTGCTACCGAATCCAAGAGTATCGGAAAAGTTCGACCAGCGGCAGTATTTACGACACCCACGGACACCTTTGTACGGAGATCATCTCAGGAAGACATTCCCCAGAGCAAAGTGCGATCCCATATCGAAGAAATCCATCGTCGCGCAAGTCAAGAGGATATCACCTCCCCCGGGACTTCCGAACCCGAATCCACTGGGAAAGCGAAAACTCCCTTTGGATTTTTGAAAAAGCACACAAAGACGGAATTCGAGGAAACCACCAAAACCGTCAAACGCGTCACGGTATCACCGCTGTCTTCGGCCAAGCGCGGCAACCGGGTAGAGCCGGCCACAGTTGTACGAGACGCTGACGAGCAGGGTGTTGCCTCACCTGTTCGAGAGGAAATCTTGGCGTCCTTCGTCCGAGATCCAGAGCGACCACCACCGCCCGTTGTGCGTGAGTCGACGGTTGCTGATCCGACGCAGACGTTCGTTCGGACAACGGAAAGAGTTGTTTTGCGACCGCATCGGGTCGTCGATACGGAAAGCCAGTCTGAAAGCGTTGTGCGAGTGGTGCCGTACGGTGCAACAGCTACGCTGGAAGCGGACACGCCGAAACAGGTTAACCGTTTGACCAATCTGTTCGAACGAGCAACGACAGATCCGGCGTTAATGACGACGGTTGTCGAGCAGGAGAAGGTTGAGAGAGTGCGCGTGGCTTCACCCGAACGGGAAGAGCGTGTCGTCTCTCATCACGTCACCCGTTCTCCAGGGGACATATCGGTTAGCGAGAGAGTACGCAGATATGAACTGCCGGAAGAGCCGCGTGAGCAGACTGTATCGGAGCGGACCAAGAAGTACGATGATATCTTTGCGCCGCTGGATAGTTCCCCCGGACACTTCTCTGTAATGGAGACATCTCTCAGTTCCCCAACGAGCACCGTTGTGCGTGACGCGGTGGTTACGGAATATCCACCGGAGGAAGAACGAGAAGAACTTACAACAACCATCGTTACAGAAGAAACTAAGAAGCCGAAAAAGGGTTTGTTCGGATTATTCCGCTCGAAGAAAGTCGCTCCCGAAGAAAGCATCACTGTCGCCAAAGTTAAGAAAGAACCGGTTACGTATTCCGAGGTCAACACTGAAACGCGAACTATGGTACGTGAAGACCGACAGTGGGATACTGCTGACCGAGAGGTCGAGTACGGCATACCGCGAATTCGCACGGGATCCGTTCCTCATCACGCCGGTGTGTCGGATGCCGAAATGGACGATACTCTGATAAAAAATGGACTCGTTGAACAAGCGGCGAACTGGCGGGACCAGTATCCTACCGATGTTGAAGAATTCCTGGGAACAAATCGGAAGCCGGTTGAACTGTTGGAAGAGCATGTGGTTACCCGCACAGTTGGCACCACACAATCGACGGAAGTGTCCAGCATAACGCGACCGCAGACATTCGTCCGTGATGCCGTACCGGTTCTTATCGAAACCCCGTCGGTTTACCATGAAAAACGGACAGAAGTGCACACAATGCATCCGACTGAAATTCCCGAAAGAGAACGCCTGGTGACCGCCAATGAGTTCATCGAAGAAACTGCTGACCGCGAGGTCCCAAAGCGGACCAGTGTGCGCGATTTGGTGACATCCTATGAGACGGTATCACACACGCGCCAGCCGACGGAGCCGCATCCATCGACGCCCATGGAAGTCGAAGAAGTGATCTCCAGCAGGAAGCGACCTTCGCCGGTAGAGCATACCGTTGGCGCGCCGGATTATGATATGAAAGTGCATGCTGCTAAACGCCCGGTGTTACCTTTTGCCACAGCAGAGCACATGGAAGAAAGTATATCAAAACGGAAATCAGAGAAACCTGCCCCCTCGGACACGGTAGTGCGGCGATCAGTGTCTCCGCCTCCCATTCTGGGTGAGCTTGAACATGTTGAGGAAACCATTGTTCGGCGAACTGAGCGGAAACCGCGCAAGCCAGAGCAGGATACAACATTCGAGGTATGTTAGTTATTTTTTGTTTGACATAGGTAACAATTCCAGATATATAGCTACTGGATACAGAAGATTATCTAAAGACTTCCTAATAACGCCGTGTTAACTTTTCACTGTGCAACAGGAGACTTTGACGCATCCGGTCGGAGAAGCGGAGCCCCTCGTGCGGCCACTGGATCGGCCAGGTTTCGATATCCGCCACTCATCAGGACCACGAGATATCGACATTGGGCTGGTGGATGAAAGGGAAAGTGCAATGATAAAATCAGTGACCGTTCGACCGGAGCATCTCCACGCTCAGTCAGTTGACGATGTCTCGGAAACGACACGCCGACATAAAAAACTTTCTCCAGAGCGCGTTTCGACAGTCAAAACAAAATCTGAAGTTGTGCACGTGGAGCACGTGCCGGGCACAGTTGTTGTAAGTCACAAGGTCGGGCATACAAATTTGTATTTTGAGAGCTACGTCAATCTTTGGACATTAAATCACGGTTTGCTTGTAGACTGAAGTGCCAGTGGAGGAAAAGACAAAACGGAAAGCGCGAGCAGAAGCACTTGTGGAAACAGAAGACTCCGCACGCCGCAGCCGGTCACCAGTTTTTGAACAAACTGAAGAAAAAGTGCATAAAATAAAAATGCCGAAAGCATCCGAAGAAGGAACGAACATGATATCCACTTCAAAGGTCACCGAAAGCCCAGTCACAACTGCCGTAACTCACGACAATATCCATATTTCCGAAATATCACATGTGAAATCACGCCCGGAGGAAATTTATCACCGCGGAGGACATCGGGACGATATTTTTATTGGTATGGAAGATTTTCGTCCAAGTGAGATATCGGAAACATCTCGCAAGGAGCTCCATTCAGAAACCGTTCACCCTCGCGATTACGATGTTGTCACGGGCAAACGTCATGCAACACCGGTTAAAGAGCATTTGCAGGAGCAGGTGATTAACGTCGACAACCTAGCGTCAACAGAAACTCGGCCACGCGAAGAATCCGCTAAAATATCTGCCTCTAAATCGCGTTCCCCGGTGTTCGAGCATCTCGAGGAAACTGTGAGTACTTTTACCGTCAAACAACCAGATGAGCGAGGATCGAAGAAAGTGACGGACATTGCGCGGGAGGAAGAAGAGATTTCTCGTCTGCAACAAACTCGGTTAACCGGGGATGAAGCGGTACACACCGTTGCTGTTCGAGCTGAAGGCGATGCAGTTCACCATCATGGAGGCTTCGGTGAGGTCGACCGATGGGGTCCTGGACTCGAACTCGTGCCTGAGCCAGAGGACGAAACTGATATCCGGCAACTGCATCCCGTTCAGCAGTCAGTCGATGAGCACGTCGTGGAAACCGATCAGACAGCGAAAAAACAGAAGCCACGGACTGTGAAGATTCGCGAAGAAAGCGTGCTGGTGGAACACCGGCCATCTTCCGCTCTGAGTGAAATACACGAAGCGCAAGTTAAGCCTGTTGCGCCGGTTGTTATTCGTGTGCCGAAAACTGGCGAAGCAACGATGGAGAGTCTTCAGGAAAGCATAGTGACTACAAGAACACCCCGAGAGATAGAACAGCAGCTTCCTGCACCACAACAAGAAGTGCGCTTTGAAGAAGAATCGGCCCACAGAGTTCGAGACGAAACGATTTACCATCACGGAGGGTTTGGCGATATCGATAGAAGTGGCTATGGACTGGAACTGGCGCCGGGAACACTGCATGAAGAAAGCCTGCAGGAAAGAAAGCCCGTACAGCAGCGCTCTTGGGAGGAGGAAGTCACGCATGCCGAACGAAAACGCAGTCCTCAACGGGAAATTGCGAAAATCCACGAAGAAAATGTGTTTATTGAGCACCGGCCGTCCTCTCCAGTCCCTGCAGAGGTATCCCACGTCCGGCAAATATCTGCTAAGCCAGCTCCTGTGCGAGCGCCAAAACCTATTGAACCAGCTATTGAAAGCCTCGAAGAAAGCGTCGCCGTCACGAAAATTCCTCGAGAACGGGAAGAACTACAACGGGCGATACCGAGTGCCGTCTCGTTTCACGAAGAACAGATGGGTCGAGACGTAGCGCGTGTGAGGTCAGCTGAAGCAATTCGCCACCACGGAGGATTCGCTGATATTGACCGTTGGGGAAATCTAGGCGATGGAAGGGAAATCTTCTTGGAAGGACGTGAAACTGTCGCCAAAGCCAGCGTTCCCGTTGTTACCCACGATGAGGCCCGACAGCGGCAACGAAGTCCCGTTAAGACCGTAAAGGTGAAGGAAGAGAGCGTGCTGGTTCACCGAACAGCCTCTCCAATGAGAGACACATTTGAGACGGTTCGCAGCGTTGCACCGGTGGTTGAAGCTGTTCCCGCTCGAGCACCGAAGCCCAGCGAGCTCACCCTAACCCAGCACGAAGAATTTGTTACCAAAGAAAAAGCTCCGGTAAGGGCCCCTGCCGTACCTGAAGCCGAAAGTGGGCCGAAAAAATCGCGATCCAAAACGGAAAAGATCACACATTTTGTCCCGTTGTCGGATCGTGGATTCGAATCGAAGCTGTTCAGCCCCACTTCTAAGATTCGAGAGAAAATTTACCAAGCAGAACAGGAAACTTCGAGTGTCAGCAAAAAGGTTAAAATCTTCGAAGACGAAAGTGGAATTGAATTTGGCCGTGCAGCCGAAGAGCGGATGGCGGAGCTGCAGTCGACAAGAAGTGGACCAACGATGACCTCGGGTGGACAGAGTGCCGATTCGAAGAAGCGGGAAACATCAGCATTTTCATTCTTAACCAAACAGAAATCTATCGATGAAATGGAAGTGCGTCGAGAAAAACCGCTAACAATCCTGGAGTCCATGGGAATCAAAAATGAACCGGTTATTCAAATGGAAACCGTACCTGCACAAACTTTTGTACCACAGTACGTCATTCCGCACGAAAAACGGATTTCTTCGCGTTCTCGCGAGCGAGAAACTTTGCAGGAAACCATTACCAAAACGACCACAGCGCCTCGTTCGGATGTCGCGGCGGGTCAACGTCCATCACGGGCTTCATTATTTGAGCTGTGGCATCGAACAACCCCCCGGGATATTGACATTGCTACCGTTGACCTTGATGAACAGCCGCACCGACACAGGGAGGACGAAGTCAGCACGCGAGCGGTGACCCCTGCCAGTGAAAGAATTCCAAAGTTTGTTCGGATGGACGAGGGCGTGGTTGTCCAGCAAGCCCGCTCAAGCAGCCGAACGGAAAGCGAGACTTCACTGGAGGGTATCCTACGTCGCTCTCCATCGCGCGGCTCGCCCACATTGAAAACCAAGTCCGAAACTGTCCACGTGGAAACGAGAAGGACCCCGAGCCCGAATATCAGTAAAGAAGAGCACTCGTTTTCGTACGAAACAGGCAAAGAAAGTCGTCCCAGAACGCCGCCGGTGGAAAGTCTCAGTGAAAGCATCCGCACCCACCGAGTCGAGAGAACCAAACAACTAGGATCGGAAGTCAAGAAAGTAATGTCCGGCGGAACCTCAACGGTGGTGAAAGCGGAAGGAGAACCTGCAAAGGTCACGAATGCGCCTCCGACTCGATACATCCAAGATATTGAAACCCCGTGGGTAGCAGAAGAACGACCGGACAGCATGCTGATCCGCCACAGAACAGGGGTTCGCGATGACTATATCGGCGGCTTCGGAAGTGACACTGAAGCGGAGAAACCCGTGGTTAAGCCGCGGAAGTCTCGGGAGCGATCCGTGGAACGCTTGGAGGAAAGTGTGTCGGAAGTCTCCGTTCCGTCATTGGCCAAAACCCGACATCGATCACCGGAAGTGCAGTTGGAGCATATGGACGTCGTGCGGCCTCTTGACCGGCATGCGCAGGAAATACACACTGTGACTCCAGAAGTACAGCCCACTCGGGCCGACAGAAGTGCATCGAAGAAGGTGCTGGTCGAAGAAACTGTTGTTGTTACCACGAGAACATCTGTCAAACCACCTGTTGCGCCCGTGTTGGAAGAGGACCAGCGACAGCGCAGAGAACACGTTGCCGGTGATGAATATCGCATTGAAGAGAGCCAGTCACTTCCACGACCAGATGGGCGCGATGTTTGGCACAGAGCTGGACCGCGGGATATCGATATTGCCACGGTCTCAATACCGGTAGTACATTCTCACCGAAAGGAAACTGTAGAAATGGTAAGCTAAAAACAGCAATCATGGACGGCTGCCTTTGACTTGCAATTATTTTCGGATCCATAAACCGAAACCGCTACCTTCGTACACAACTACGAGTATTTGATATTATAATTTGTATCAGTATGGAAGAGTTATTTATCAACTTTAATGATATTTAATGATCAAGTTTATTTATTAAGTTATTCTGTATATTGTCTGAATAAATTAAAGCAGTTTTACTCAGCTGCGATCACCTTAAATTTTAAAGAAAGATGCTTTAACGTTGCTACGACAAGCGACCGGTCAGCTATTTTTAGTAGGCACATCGTCTAAAGTGAAATTGCGTAGTGCTAATGATTACACGCGTACCATCAAAATAATTGTCGGATTAACGGTACAATTTTCAAAATAATAACCATGATGTTAGTATGAGTTGGTTGCATAAGCAAGTATGGTTATTTTAACCGGGTAGACGCTTTACGTATGCGCTTTTGCGAAAAGGTAACAATATGGTTTTCCATTCTGCCAGCAGAAGACGTACGTAACAACTGGTATGTTTGTTCAATAAACAAAAGTATTTTAAAGCAGGTATTCTTGCTACGTTAGAGGCTGCGCATTGCTTACGAAGCGGTAACCTATTGTTGACTGCACAATGCTGATTGTGAGGAGGTTGCTACCGCTATGGTTGAGTCGGTCGAGTGATTTTACTTGATCAGTCTGAACATTCCATCGAAAGTGTTCCGAGTTTTATTGCGTGTTCAAGATACGCATAATCATAACATCTCAAGTTTTCCTTTTTTATGCTTAGTTTTTTCTTCTGTTTCCCTGCAATATACGGTAAATTATGTATGGTGTGAATTTTATATGATTTATTGGGATTATGATTGAACCGTTTCATTGAGATGCGATTTAATTAACTTGTGATTTTTAGGTTATACGGCCAAAGGAAAGCGAAGAAGAAACAGTGAATATCCGACACGTCGCCTCTGTGCATCGGCCAGTTGAAACGCAAGAGGATCTTGCTGTTTCAAGTGCAACGAAGCACCGTCCAGCGGAAGAGCGTGTGGAAGAATTTGTTACGCGTAGCCGGGAACCGCGAGTACGACCGGAAGCAGTCGAACATGTGACCGGAATTCCCGACAGGGAGATTGTTCATGAAGACGAAACCAAAGCGAAAGCAAAGGCGAAATCTCAGTCTGATACTTATGGTATGTTTGTTACCTGTTATCGCAAATCACACCAGTTATACGGTGACAGGATATTGCATTTATTAAGTGCGTATACACGTATGTTTATTTCCGATAGTTTGTTGTGTCCGTAAGTAGAGAATTGTATCTTTGTGCTTGATTTATGACGATTTTGTATTACCAAAATTCTAGAGATTCATGGTAAGTCGTCTGCTGAGCATCCACCGATATCATCAGTAACCGAAAGAACATTCACGCACGTTGTGGACGAGCCGCCGACTGTTTCAGAGAGCAGCTCCTCCAAAGAAGACTCCACAGGCAAGAAGTCAGGTGTTTTAGGCTTTCTGCGTTCAGGTAAAGGCAAGAAAGAGGAAAATGCCGCCAAATCTAAATCGACCGCCACATCGTTTAAGCAGTCCACTGCAACAATCGGCTTGACACCGAAAAGGGAAGACACTAGTGTTTCTGTCGAAGAATTAATTTATGGATCGAAAAAGTCATATAAGGAAAGTCAGGAATCGCGCAAAGTGGACACGACAGATGTTGTGACATCCAGTGATCTTTCTGTTAATCGCGGAAGCTTGTCTCTGATTCGTCATCACCCAGGATGTGCCGACAAAGACTGGGAACCGGCAACCGGTAGATCGCCTCCAGTGTCGGTGAGTACTTCCCCAGAGGAACGATTGATCTCGACAACTGTTGCTGGTTATCCGGCTGACGAAGAGAAGCGTCCATCATCTCGGACATCTATTGGCCTGCCAAGTTTCATCGCGTTTGACCGGCCCGAAAAGACGCCCAAAACTGCGAAGACAAAGAAGGAAAAACGAATCTCCGCTAGTTCCACTTCTGGCCGTTCGACACCGTCGTCTTTCACATCCGCTACGATCTCTGATTCGGAAATGCCGGCTGTGTCCAGTCAAAGCACTAAAACTAAAACAACCAAAGTCAAGCAGATCTCCATTACCACGGAAAAGAAAACCTCGAAAGCCGGGGGCAAAGTCACTAGAGAGGAGATATTTGAGGATATTATGTTTACTCGTCCTCCCTCTCGTAGAGATAAGCTGGAATATGTCGTGAACATTTCAGCATCATCGGAACGCGAGACACGGAACTTAGCCGAAGATCCCACGATTTCACCCCGGCAGCTCGTTACGCCAGAACCAACAAGAGGCGAACTGGTTGTACCAGAATACGGTAGCAGCGACAGCGCTAGTCCAACATTCGATGAGTATTTTACCGTTCCAGTCGACAATTCTCAAAGTAATGTTTCGCCTGAAAATGAAACGGTCTCGGTTACTGTTACACGGACGCAGGTACGCGAAGTCGGATTGGAGGATCGTGATTATGCATCGGATCGTCGAACGACACTGGAATTTTTACCGGAGTTGTATCCCCAACCGAGCATTGTTGCCGTAACGGAACCGGCTTCACTGACGGTCGTCAGAGACGTCGAAACGGTTGTCACTCAGACTGTGCGTGATTTTCAACCCGATAGGAGGACGTCATTGGAATTTCCGGTTGGGTCAGTTTTACCGCGTCAGAAGGTAATCAGCAGTATCGAGGAGTTACCATCGAAAAGTCCAGAAGAACGCATCATTCACAATGTGGGCCTGAGTGACAGAAATTACGAAGCTGAACGGCGTACGTCGCTTGAGGTTCTGCCAATTGCATTTGACAAAGAAAAATCGGATTCCCATCAGATGCAGACTGTACCTGCAGAAATCGCTACGGCAACAGTTGTGCGAGCCGCTGAACCAGATTTTGCGCCCGATCGACGAACATCTCTCGAATTTAATCGTCGAGTTGTGACTGGTGTTCCCTCTGAAGAAAAAATAACGGAAGCCTCGGAAAGCGAAGCACTGCAGCGCCCGGAAAGATTAATCCACCATACCGGACTTAGCGACAGAAATTACGAGCCGGAACGACGCACGTCGTTGGAATATCTTCCTGCTATCCCACAAAGTGTTCAGAAGATTCCAGCAGTTGCCACGGTCGAAGAAAATCTGATTTCCGAAACGACATCCACGGAAGTGATCAATTTCGAAGTGGATAGAAGAACATCTCTTGAATTCAGCGGCCGAGTTGTGGCTGGCGTTCGCTCTGAAAAAACACCACCTGTGACCACCGTACATGAACCCCTGCAGCGCCCGGAAAGAGTTATTCATCACACTGGATTAAGTGACCGTAATTACGAGCCTGAACGGCGCACTTCTTTAGAGTATCTGCCGGTTGCTCCACAAGCAGTTGCCCAAACTCCAGCGGTTGCGATCATTGAAGAGAAAATCGTTACAGAAACGAGATCTGCTGAAATCATGAATTTCGAAGCGGATAGAAGGACGTCCCTCGAATTTACGGGACAGAAGCGCGTGGGTCAACCAGTTAAGGAAGTTCTGCATGAAGAGGTCATCACGCAGCGGGTCAGAAAGGTGGACAACGTTGCCCTTTCTGAGCGGCAATACGAAGACGATAGGCGAACATCGTTGGAATTTCTTCCATCGTTGCCGGTTGTTCACCAGCAAAAAGAAGAAGCAATTGTGGAAGAGCATCAGTCAACGTCTGATCTGCCAGTGCCAGCTGAAATTATCTTTACGCCGGAGCGAAGAACATCGCTTGAGTTCAATCAGCCCATCCGACCATTATCGCCGGCACAAACTCCAGTTGAAGAAAAAGAGCCAATTACCACGAAAACCGTTGTGAGGCACGACATCACTTTAAGCGACCGCAATTACGAAAGTGACCGACGTACATCGCTTGAATTTCTTCCTGAGCCAGCAGTTGCGAAAAAACCTCAAGAGGCCGTCATCATGGAGGAAGTTACTGATGTGGCACCGGTCCCTGCCGACACTTCCCGATTTGAAGGGGATCGACGAACATCGTTAGAGTTCTTCACACAACAAAAAGCTAAACCACCCATTACAGCTGAAAGTATCGAAGAAACCGTGCACGTTGAGCATAAGCATCGTATCGTTCATAATGTGAATCTTGGTGATCGGGATTTTGAGCCGGAGCGTCGTACGTCTTTGGAATTTCTTCCGGAGGTGCAGGTTACTCGAGTTCGGCCGGAACCAATCGTGGAAGAAACTGACATTCCACAAGTTGCGTCCATAGAAGAGCCTTCTTTTGCTTTTGAGAGGAGGACATCGCTCGAGTTTTCCCGTGATCGACCAGTGCGTCCACCGCGGTCAAAGCAAACAGAAGTCACAATCGACGAAGAATCAGTTGGTCACGCACAACAAACTATCCGCAGTGTACACCATGTGTCTTTAGAGGAGCGCAGTTTTCAACCGGAAAGACGAAGCACACTGGAATTTCTGCCAAGCTTGCCGCCTGCTCCTACAAAACTTGAGACTGTGTCCGTTGAGGAAGTAATTGTGGAAGTGCAGGAAACACCCAAAGTTACTAGCTTTGACCGAGATCGAAAAACATCTCTGGAATTCGATTATGTCCAACGATCAAAATCTCCTGCCAAAAATCGCATTGAAATCACGGAGGAAGAATCGACAGTCGCTAAAATATTACCTAAATCGTCGCACGAGAGCATGGAGAGTCAAACACAAAGGTCGCCGCAGATTTCTGAGGAAAGTAATGAAGATGTGGTGCCGCGAGGTCGTCCGAATTCTGTTGGTCATCGCAGCGGCATCAGTGACAATGAATTGGCAATGTTCCCACAGTATCCCGCATCGTCGCCACAGCTGCTCTCTGAAACATACCCTGCAAAGGCCATCCAGCCCTCAGGTATTGTTTGCTGGGTGTGAAGAAAACAAGCTTTGCATGACCATGCATGCACTGCTTTCACTGCCACAGCATGCGCGCACCGGTTTGCACTGCACTGGGATTTGGGGGTGTGAATGCACAGCTTCGGGAGAACACAGTTTAAAAAGCCATATAAAATTAGGCGTTTGTCGTTGTTGCTGCAAAATTCGCGTATTTAACTGTGTAACGGTTGGTTCATTCATTTTTGTATTATAGAACATGTCGCAGAAAGCACGACCACCACAAACGTGCGCCCGGCGGAAACTGTTCACGCAACGACCGGAAAACCCGCCAAAGTGGAAGAAACAGCAGCTCAGAAAATCCGTAAAGACAGACCGCTTACGGTCGAAACGGAATCTGTCTCTACAGTTACGACGTCGACGGAGAAAGCACCCAAAGAAAAGAAAAAGAGCGGCCTTTTTGGTCTGTTTAAGTCCGGCAAAAAAGATAAGAAAAAATCGGAATCGGAAGCTGTCACTCGCGTGCGAGATGTTACGGAAGAATCCACTGAACGGAGAGAATCCGTTTCTTCCTCCACGGCGTCGTCAGTGAGTAGTGCGCGTGAGATTCAGCCACCGGCTGAGACAGAATATGTGGAAGAGACAGTGTTACCTCCCCGCGAACGCCCGGAAAGTGTACGGCATCGAAGCGGGCTTTCCGACGACAGAATTGCTAACTGGACTGATCCTTTCCGTGCGGCGAAGGAAGTTCCAGTGACGGCTGTAATGCAGGAGGAACACCGTGTGGTGACGAGAGCAGATGAGACATCGTCATCTGAATCTGAGACAGACGAAACACATTCGGCGACTGAGCGGAGAAAAGTTCGCACGAAGAAGAAATCAGCGCCAGAAGCCCCAACTGTCGTTCGAAGCGCTGAGCACGTGGTTGAGTATGAAATTCCAGAAGTGACAGAAAAGCCGGTTGCGCCGGTGCGCACTCATAAAGCAGTAACCGTTGAAACGCTGGAGACTGGCCATGCGGAGGAGTATCTTGAACCACGTCTGCGCCCGGAACAAGCGTCGCATCGTGCTGGCATGTCGGACCTGGCAATGGACGATTATGCCATTGAACGGCTGAGAGTGTCGCCATCTGCTGCACCGATTGAGACTGAGCGCGAAGTCATATTTACCTCGAAACCGGGGCGCGAAACGGTAAGGATTTTGTTAGACTGGAGTTTTGATTTGTGGAAAGGAAAATACCATAATATAAAAATATTTAAATTTGGTTAACTCAAACCCGATATTAATATTCATGGATAGCCTTTTGTACTGTACAGGAAACCATAGTTCGCGAAGTATCCCCGGAGATCATCCAAGCAGAGCATGAAACAGTAACGGAATTTACTGTGCCCGAAGCAAAAGAGCGGAAAAAGTCTAAGAGTATTTTTGGACTCTTCAAGCGCAAGTCATCCAAGACTGCCGAACCAGAGGTGACAACGGAGACGCACGTTTCCGAAGTTGTGGAGTCCGAACTCTCACCAGGTGTGCAACAATATCAGACTAAAACAGAGGAGTTTATTGGTCCGCCTCAGGAGCGGCCTACATCAGTGCATCACAGAACTGGGCTAACTGACAACGACATCATTGATCAGTTCCGGCACGTAGCGCTTGTTGAAACAGCGGAAGAGAAGACTGTTACTCTTCGGGAAGCACCAACTGAAGAAGTCCGCGTGACTGAACAGCACCGAACAAAAGCCATACCAGCGGAAGAAATCGAGCAAGAAACAGTCGTAATCGATGAATCCGAACGGGAAAAGGTCAGCAAATCGAAATCGAAAGGAATATTTGGCTTGTTCAAATCGAAAAAATCCAAAGAAACGACTGCAGAGTCAGTGACAAAAGTGCGCGATGAATCGGAATTGGAGCATATAGAACGCACGCACCCAGAAGTGTTCCAACCGGTGCAACTGGAAGAGCTGACCGGTCCGCCACGAGAACGGCCCGACTCCGTAATTCACCGAGTCGGTTATCCTGACTCGGAAATGGAACGATACATACCTGCGGAAACGGTGGCAACGCCGAAGCCAGTGAGCGAAGAACATATATCGGAAACCGTTGTGCGTGATGTTAGTGAACCAGTCAGACGCAAAGACGTCGAGCAAGTCCAGTCGAGAATCGTCGGCGAAACCCTGGAAGTGGTGCATCCATCAAAATCAGTTGTGCCGGTTCTGATTGAAGCAGAATTACCACCTCGTGACCGCCCACATGCGGTCGAGCATCGCAGCAATCTTTCCGATATGGAGTACGAAAGCATCAGCCGGCAGTATCCTGGTGAAGTACGTACAGAAGTTGTCGAAACCACGCGAACCCATCCGCATGCGGAAGAATATCTCGACGAAACGCTGCTTGTGACCGAATCTGCAAGGCCGGTTGTTCCATCTCGAAAAGCCAAAGTAACGGAAGAACACGAAGTTATCGAGACATTGACTCCGCGTGACCGACCTGCCGCGGTAGTTCACCGAACTGGACTTCCGGATTGGGAGATAGTGGAAGACCACGCTAGAATGTCACCACCACCCGAACTGCAGAAGATAAGGGAAGAGAGCATTACGATCAAGAAGACGCCGGAAACAGTCATTGTGAAGCAGCCATCGGAAGAGGAGATGCGCACTTACTCGGAAACTGTTGTCACAGAATCCGAGGACGTGGAGAAAGTAAAGAAGGAAAAATCCAAATCGAAGGGAATTTTTGGCGTTTTCAAGTCGAAGAAATCCAAAGAAGCCTCCAGCGAATCGGTGACAAAAGTACGCGACGAATCGGAAGTGGAGTACACCGAGCGCGCACATTCTGAAGTGATGCAACCAGTTCGAATGGAAGAAGAAATCGTTACTGGGCCACCACGCGATCGGCCGCTGCCGGTTAATCATCGCGTCGGCTATCCAGACTGGGAAATGGAGCGACACATCCCAGCAGAAGAACTAGTACAGCAGAAAGCTAAAGATGCCGAACACATTTCGGAAAGTGTGATTGTGCGAGAAACGTCCGAGCCAGCGCTAAAGCCTGTCGTTGTTGATACCAAGCCTGTGGTAGAGCGCCGAGTAAGAACGGCCTCGCGTGAAACGCTTGCAATTATTCCGCCTCCGCCGTTTGTTGTACCGGAAATTATACACTCGACGGCGGCCGTTATTGTTCCGCCCAGTATTCCAGTTACTAAGCCGGTAGAACGTGCGCCGGTTGTCGCGTTTCCGGAAACACTGGAGATCATCTCAGCCCCTGAACTGGTAAGACCGCTGCTGGTTGAGCCGACACAAGCTATCGTGGTCGTTCCTCCACCGCGTCCTAAGCCTGTTGTTCGAGAAACATTGGAAATCATCCAAGCTCCTGATGTTGTGATGCCGGTGTTGGTGGAGTCAACACAGGCAGTTGTCGTCAAGCCGGTTGTTGTTGAAACAAAACCCATAATTTTGCCGGCTGTGAAAGTCGCATCCCGTGAATCCTTGGATATCATCTCGCCGCCGCCGTTGGTGGCGCCTCTTTACATCGAACCTACCCAAGCAGTGATCGTCCCTTTTATTCCGCCAGTGATAACCAAGCCGGTCGTCGAACGTCCGTTGAGATCGGCTGAACGCGAGACACTGGAAATCATTCCACCTCCGGATACTCTGATGCCGGTGCTGATCGAACCCACCCAGGCCGTTGCTCGCCGTGTTTTACAGCCGAAAGTTGCGATCCCACAGGAAGAGCATTTCGAAGAAACTGTGACGGTTATTCGGGATGCCCCAACTCCCGCACGCCGAGCTAAGAAGGTGGAAGTCGAATCTTCGACCTCATCGGAATCGGAAAGTGAAGATGAAAGCGTTGTCGTGCGCAGAGCTCGTCCGGCGTCAAGAGTTTTGGAAGAATCCATTCTAGAAGTCGAAGAACCGATGAGTCCACGAGAGAGGCCATCGGCTGTCGCCCATCGTTTTAACGTCCCGGATCGCGATATTATTCACCTGCTTCCACAAGAAACAGTCTCATCTCATGAACACCTGCAAGAATCGGTTGTCGTGAAGAGCAGTGAGAAAACAGTTAAACCAGCGGTTCCAGCGAGAACATCGAAGAAAGTCTCTATATCATCCGAGTCCGAAACCGAAAGAGAAGCTGTCAGAAAGGTCGTCTCAGCAACGGAAACCCATCATGTCACGGAAGTACAAGTCCCGAGAGATCGACCGGCAGCCATTGAACACCGTTATAATGTCACTGACCGAGATATCGCAGTCGCTTCGGGACTGTTACTTCCGAGAGAAACGCTTGAGGAAAATGTAACATACTCACAGCAAAAGGTCACTGCAAAGAAGCCAGTGGAAGAGCGCCGCACTGAAGAAATTGTGAGCACTCGCGTGGGCATAGAACCAGCGCGAATGATGCCGCCCCCTAGAGTGACTACCGAACACATTGTCGCAGAGGAGCCGGTTTTAACTCCTCGAATGCGTCCACCGTTTGTCGTTCATCCGTACGGCGTTCCGGACCGTGATATCGAAACTATCAGCAGACGCTTTCCGTTTCCCGAAGAAACACGCCCAGAAAGCGAAATCCTTCAGGAACGAGTTGTGACGGAAAGCGTAAAAACGGCCAAGCCTGCAGTGCCACCCAGATCAGTGGCAGAGAAAACTGTCGTCAGAGAGGATGTTGCCATTATGGAGGAAAGGCAACCCAAGGCGGCTCCAGTCCAGCCAGAGCGGGTTGAACATTTAGTCCCTCGCGAGCGCCCGCCAGTTATTTACCATCGGGGAAAATTCGCGGATTATGAGATCGAACCGATAGCTTCCAGGTATGTTCCAGTTGCAGCTGAACCGGCTGTAGAAAAACGCCAGGAAGAACGCGTCCGATCGGATACTGAACATATACACGAAACTGTCAGTGTCGTAACCACTACAAGATCGTCTTCGCCTCCACGAACAAGAGCTGTTGCGCCGGTGGAAGTGGAAGAAGTACATCTCTCCCCACGCGAACGACCGGCGGAAATCCACCATCCAGCAAGATTGTCAGATTTTGAAATAGAGCCACTGGCCGCCAAATATTCGCCGGTCTTGGTTCCCGCCGTACCGGTAACGGAAAAACGGAAGGTCGAAGAACGCGTTCCGGCATCTGAGCATCTGCGGGAGACCGTTACTGTGGTGAGCACCGCACGAGTACCATCGCCAACGCGAACAAAGATCGCGCCAGTGGAAGAAACAGAAATCGAACATTTAACTCCGCGCGAGCGCCCGCCCAAAATTCGTCACCGGGGCAAGAATTCCGATTACGATATCGAAGCGATCGCTGCCAAGTACGCTCCGATTTCAGCTGAGCCAGCAGTCAAACCACTCAAATCGTCCACCACAGAATACGAGCATGTCACGGTAACAACAAAAACAACAGCCGAGCCATCGGTGAAATTCGGTGTGTCAGAGCGGTCAAAGATGGTAAAAGATGTGTTTGCCATGGAACAGGGACCGCCGATCGTTGCTGCCCGGCTAATTCCCGCGCAAATATCACAGGAGTTTGTCACTGTTCGTGAAGTGTCACCTCCTATACGTGTCCATCGTCATGAAGAGGAGGTGGTACATCTGACACCGCGAGAACGTCCGGCAGCGGTTGAGCACAAAGCGGGATTGCGAGATGAAAACATCAACATGTTTGCCACCCGTCTCGCTGATATGACTGCAGTCGAGGGCAAGAAAGCCAAAAAAGTGGAAGTCAGTTCGTCTTCATCATCCGAATCTGAAAGCGAGCAAGAACGAGTTACGGTTCGAAAAATGCGCCCAACGGAGAAGATCGTGAGAGATGACACATCTTCGGATGAAGAATTTGGCCGTGTTCATTCGGAGCGGGTACGACACGTGCATCTGCAAGATATCCAGCGCAAACCGGCCCCGACAGAGGAATACAGTGAAATGGTGGTGAGAACGATTGAGCCTACCAGGGAAGCGGCCGAATTCCCACCGCGTGAACGTCCTGGAAAAGTGCAGCATTTTGTCGGCACGAGTGATGTCAGTCTGGAGAACGCCCTTGTCACCCGTGAACCGGTAACGGAAACCGATGAAACTCTGCTGGAAGAGACGGTGTTCCGTCGTACAGGTGCCGCACCGGTTGCGCCGAAACCGGCTGCCCGCAAAACCAAAAGCGAAGAGTTATTCGAAGAGAGCGAACGACGCTCCCGTGGTGAAGTCATCGTCCAGGAATCGGAGCTGATGAAACAGAAGAAGTTCGTGAAGGGAAGACGATCTCCGTCGCCCTCACTCTCCACCTCGGACACCGAGCGGAAGAGACCGACAAAAGTTCTGGTAAAAATGGACGATATGCCGACTGTTGTTCGCAGTGCAGAGAGCGTGGAGCATCGCGAAGAAGCTTCCAAGAAGAAATCAACGATTAAAATAGCGCAGGAAGAGGTGATCTATACTGAGCAAGAAGAGAAGCGCAAGCAGGAAGCGCTGGACCGGGAGCGGGAATTGAAAAGCCGAACGGCAACACCGGCATCGATCAGCACGACAGAAGCGGTTTCCCGATCCGTATCCGGTACACGCTCTCGTACACCTGACGGCAGCACGAAGATTAAGTCAGTTAAAGTGACGAAGATGAAGGTCGAGCCAAAGTCCAGTAAGTCGGAAACCAAAGAATACATCTACGAAGATGTTAATTATTACAAAACGGCAAAACGGAGCAAAACGCCGGATGCTATCAGCCGAGGACACACCATTGCGACAACAAGTGTTGCGTCAACATCACCAGAAGCGCAAGTAGTCCGATCGAAAACGTTACCGTATCAAGAGCGGTCTCCGGATGAAGTGCGGGAAAGCGAACATATCACGGCTACTAAAGTTCGTGAAGTGCCTCCCGAAAGGGAACGAATGGAAGAACGTGTCAGGAAAACGGAGGTCACAGCGGTGGCCGTTGGGAAAAAGCTGAAAAAGAAGCGCTCGCAAAGTTCGACCAGTAGTTCCAGCAGTCGCGAAGATGCCGATGAAATCAGCTCGGTAACAAAATCCAAACTGACCAGCCCGACACCGGAACCGCGGGACGATGTTCAGTTAGCTTTGGCGGAAATGAAGTCCAAGAAAGTCTCACCACGGGAGGAGAGCGACGAGGAGGTGACCGTCAGCCGGCGACATGTTGTCTCACCGGACCGCGTGGCATCGCCGCCACCGATTCTCCACCACGTTACCCCCGGTGATGCGGAAATCGCCGAGTATCTGCGGCATATGCGTCCGTTTGCCACGGGGCCGTATACCGAACACGAGATTCAGCCCACACGACTGGATGTGGAGCAGGAACACGAAGCCGTCCTGACGACAACGACACACGTTGTGGCGCCGGTTGCGGCTCGTAAAGAGCGGCGCTCGTCGAGGTCATCGACGTCCAGCACGGAAAGCGAAGACGAGCATGGTCACAAGGTGAGGAGGAAGCGCCGGCCCGTTCAAAAGATTGCCGAGGAGTATGTTACCACTCGAACGTATCCGGATGAGGAAGCCGTCAAGAAACAAGCAGGACACCGAGATTCCGAGATCGGAGTGGCCCTTATCGAACGCACCAAGACGGAGCAACTGCCGAGTTACATCAGTTTCGGCCGTCTGGAGCCGGATTCTCCTCGGCGAAGCGTTGAATATCGTAGTCAGGATGAATACAGAGGTGCGTGGTTTTTTAACTGATTTTTACTTATAGCGATCTTTGACTAGTAAGACGGCTTAAAAGTTTTACGGTTGATTTGTTTGCGCTAATCTTGTTTTGGCATTTTTATTGAACTTTGTTTGCATAGTTCAGCTTGCTTTATCTGACCAACCGGCTTCGTTTACTTAACACAGATCGCAGCCTGTCGCCATACCCTCGCGATAAGATACTGCATCGTGCTGGACCGAAAGATTTCCAAATTGACTATGTCGAAATGCTTGCTGAGCCATTTAAACCTCCGCGACGAGATAAAGAATCAATGCAGACTTACTACTACGGGGATACAGCTGACGATGTGGAAGAAGGTGTTTTCCGCGAAGTGAGCCATAAACGTCGCTCAGCTCCTACACATGAAATGGAAATGATGCAAACGGCCACTGTTGTGCATCCAGGAAGACCGGTAAGTTTTAGTTTAAATTATATTTGTATGGCGTTTGAAATGCAGTTTTCAAATTGTTAACAGGAAAAGATGGGTACGCTGGAGAAATCAGAACTACGAACCATCTCGCGAGAATCGTCCAAGGTTGAGAAGCCAACCACATCCCAGCAGTCGGTGACCTATGTCCGCGAGAGTCCCGCTCTGCGTCGACAGCAATGGGAGACCTCCCATGATCTCACGACAACCTCCACTCCCCCTCCATCTGGTGAATATCTTGAAGAACATGTCGAACATTACCGCGTGAAATTGTCGCATGATCTGGAAGAACTGCGCGCTAAATCTCCCAAATTGTACAAAGACCCGGATGACATCAAGGAAATGCGCACGGTCTCGGGTTTGAGTGGACGATCATCGCGGGCGGAAAGCAGCCGGACAACGTCACCAGCCCCGTTGGGATTACCGTATCCGCCGGCGTATTTGGTTGGACGGGGTATGTCGGCAGAACGGGAAATTGTCTCCCCTATCGAGCGGGAGAAAACTGATCAGGTGTCACCGTTGAAAGAAACACAAGCCACCAGCACGGTGTACACTCAGCCCATCATCAAGAAAAGAGTTATCCCAACACGAGACAGCATTGAAGACGACATGGTGGTAGCAGATGTGAGGCAGGTGAAGACGCAGCCCATCGAAGTGGAAACTGCCCGTGCGGAAGCTGTTCCCGTTCAAAGAAGAACCGATGTTCGAGAATATTCTGTATCGGAGCGGGTACGTTTGCGGCGAGGAAAATATGTGAATATCGTATACAAAGCCTTGACTGTAACCCACTTACTTTGCTAACTTGACCAAATTTACTTTACTTGGTTGGCTTTTATGAATTTTGTTGCCGCACCGTTTCAATTTTCAGTGAAATGTAGATTAACCGAAGTTGTTTTAGGAACGAAATCAAAATCGCGAGTCCACTATCAGCGATACCGCTACTTACATGGAAATCCCCGAGCGACCATCTCCTGTGACACCGTCATCAACGGCTGCCACTTTACCGGTGTCATCGATGGTGGCAACTCGAACCGAAGTGCGACGGTCGCGCTCGCACGAACTAACTCCCATTTACGCGAAAGTTCAAAAGAAGCGCAAGGGATACACAGAGACCCTGGAGGAAGATGTCTTCTACTGGAAATTATTCAAACCGGGCAAGAAATCGTACTCGGAAGAACGGATGCGCGCGCGCTCTCCCGAAAACGTCCTGACACCGGATGAAATACAGGTTCTCCAACGTAGTGTGTCTCCGTTGGTTTTAGCGGAGGGCGACAAACACCACCGGCACAAAGAGAAATCCGAGCGTGTCACTCGCTCCCAAGGAGTGAGAAGGTCGGAATCGGATGTGGATGTGAGACGGAGCACCTCGCCTGGATTGAAAGACTCTGAACGATTCACTGACGGACGAGAGCGGTATGATATTGACCTGCGCCTGACGACCACCCTGGGCGATGATCGCTCGGCCCATAGTTCATTGAGCCGCCGGACGAAAGAGCATTTGACGTTACCGGCGGTGCCCACTCCACCGCGTTCCCGCCAGATGTTATCAGAAAGCCCGGAAGGGACGCCGATGCACGTCCGGTCATTTTCCCCAGCCTCCGGGGAGTTTGTGTCGGAAAGGTTGTCGCAGCATGAAGCCGTTAGAGTGTCATCGGTCTCAGAGGAAGGCGAACGGTCATCGGTGGACGAAACATCGCGCATCCGGAAGGGTTTGCTGGCCGATGTGGAATCGGAGACGCGGCTGCGTGCAGCCCGTGACGACGCGGATATGATGTATCGGGCGGCTATGCGTGAGCCGCTTCCAGATCCACATTCCTGTCTGCTGACCTACAATCGATTGTATGGTTCTGTGGAGGAAAATCTGTTGGAATTGGAAGGATTGATTGTGGATCCTGATTGTCAGTATATTGATCAAGAATTGCTCAACATGGAGAAACAACGCTTTACGGTACGTTTTGATTGTTTGTGCAAGTATTTCTGCTGATTTTGTTTATGGTAGTGTTTTTATAACTTGGAAATTCAGGCAGTTACCTTTTGCTATATCGCTGATGTATTAAATTGGTTTGCCGATTAGACGAATCCTGTCGTGAATTTCGTTATCACGGATTATAAGCGCAGCTGAGTGCAGCGCGTAATCCATTGCGATAATGATTTACCATATTATAACTCCTATCATAATGATTTTAGGCGTTTTTGGATGGATTAGTGCGTATCAATCGAGATTTGGACCGACTGGATGATCTTTATCGTGCCATGATGACGGTAGAATCCGGAGAAATAATTACTGAAGTCGACACAAGACAACGACAGCTGAATGGATTGTATATGAGCCTGTTGCAACAACTTAAAAGCATTCTGCGCCGAATCCGTCATCTGGAATTCGTTCTCGATCTGTACAGGAAACGCCGGTTGCAATTTAAGGTTCGACTACTGGAAGAACTGACCTATTTCCGCACCAACGAAAACATGTCCGAGGTATGAATACGCTTATTTGTTGTATAGGCTGCAAATGCACTTAAGCAGTATCAGAGACTTCCGGTTGTGCGCAGAAATGTTTGTGAAACTTGATCATAAGGCATGAATTTAAACTGACGTGCACGATTAACAAAGATATACCGTATAAAATTTGTTAACCCATGTAATAAGAGTGTTTAAAGTGAGTCTGAGTGAATTATGGTTAGAGACTATAGTTAAACTTTTTTATTGTGTTAGGAGGAACAAAAAGAACGCGTCAACCAGCTTTTAGAAGAGGTGTTGATCCTGCGAGCAGCCACTTATAACATGTTCGTGCGATCGACACCGGAATTCGCCTCTCAACTGGAAATAGAACTACACGAAATTCTGACGCTTTTACGGACGGAACTGCGGGTACCGACGGACATTGAGAGTTACTATGTAATTTTCGGATTTTTCTGTGTTGGTTGTTGGGTGTCCGTGTGGGATATGTGCTCTTTGTGTTTGTCTCCCTGTCCACATACCACGCAAAATTGCTTTGCTTATGCACCCTATTTTCTTGCCCTTGCACCTCGCCATTTGTTGACCATGCGTTGTGGTATTGTGGAGTTTGCACCACTGTTATTAGGTTGTTCGGTCCATTAATTTGTGGTTTTTGTTCAGGGATCCATTATTCAACTGCTTCTCACCGGTCGCTACTCCGTGGAATTTGATGCTACTGAACAAAAGTTAATACTGTCTTCCGATGAAATGGCTTCCGCTGAAATTCCGACCAGCACATCCAGATTTAGGTACGCTGAACGTTGCTAAATACAGTACAGAAAATAAAGTTTGTTATGCGGTTTCACACCAGTGACGCTGCAATTTCTTTTTTTATTTTTAATCAAATATTTTCATTGTTACTTGCAGCAACCCAACCGTGTGGTCCGTACTGCGCCGCGCTCTGCCCATGCAAGCTTTGGCACTGATTCTTCTGGGTTTTGCATCGCTAATCCCCATGACAGATGACGAGTTTAGTTGCCTATTTAGCAACTACTTTGCTTCGTCTTTCAATCCTGCTCTGAAATTTTCCGGCCCTCCGCCCATATAATTTCCCCTTAAGCGGATGTCGCCGAATTGTACAGTCGCAAAACTGTAAATGGAGTTTAATTTTTTGCTTGTTTGGGACGATAGTGCATTACGTTGACGTGCGCCCGGGATCAGCTGGTTGGTTTTCTGAGCTGCAACAGGAATACCGGCTCGGCCATCTTGGTGCGCCGAGGTGAATGTACTCGGTGTTTTGGGAATCGGCATACCTTCCAAGTGCCATTATTTTGTTGTGTTGTTAAATTCTTTTGATTTTGAGAATCTTTAGTATCATAGATCTTGCAATGCCGGTAGAATTTTTTTGTTACGGAATCATTCTATGAAATATTAAAAGTAGTAATCGCGATCGGTAGTTGGCGCGGTACCTACACATAGTTGACACATATCAAATTCACATAGCATTTTTCCGAAGACGTTATTCGTAAAGTGCCGTAACTGCAGCATTCTAAAATTAACACAGAGAACCTTGGGCAAAAAAGATACGTACACAAAAGCAGGAACCATTTCTGTTTAACACAATAACACTAAAAACCTCGACGCAGTTTACAGTAGCTTCTGGATAAGGGAAGATTCGACAAAATTACTGAAGCGACTACACGATTTAAAAAAAACATGTTTTGTTCGGTCAACCAAGACAATTAAGTATCATCACCAGGACAGACCCGCTACTGTTAAGAGTCTAAAAATTCTTGATACATTTCTTCCGCTGTCTTCTCTTGCTCCTTCTGAACAGCTTCACGGGCTTCCTTCTCTACTTGTAGTCGTCGTTGTTTTCGGCGCTCTAGGACAATTTTCAGCTTTTCGGCCGGAGTGTACGTTGTCTTCTGCTGCTGCGCTGGAGTAGGCAGATATCCAGCCCTCATGTACAAATCTTGGTCGGCCGGTGTCAGCACTCCGTGTTTGTGCAAGGTTTGGACAGTCTGATAAATCTTAGCAAAACTTTCAGCGACCGGCACAGCCGCTGGCTGCGGTACAGCGCCAGGTTTGGGCGCAGACAAAGATTCACCCATTTTCCGTTCTAAGAAACCCATAAAAGAAAAATCATCCACACATTCGAAATAAAATGTAAACACAAAAATGAACTAACACGATATAATTCCCCAGTAAGCGATACACTGTGCTAATACAGAATTTGGCAACTTTACACTGATTCTACATACTGACTACTTGTGCGTACTGCACCTACTTTAAGAACTAGTTAACTGAATTGTCAAGCAAACATTTTTCAATTCAAGTAATAAGAAAAGCCATTTGATTTTACGAACAGCTAGCATAAAATGTAACATTTAACAAGGCACTGATTTTAACTTGTATCTTGTAAGCCTATGTATCTGTTAGAATCCGTATGTGTTAACATTCTGTAAAACAATCAGCTTGATTTTATGGGAGAAATTCTACCTGTCTCTGGTTTTGAAGGTTCGATGTCATCGTACGAAGCGGTTCGAGTCGCCTGATCCATCAACTCATTTTCTTGCCCAACTTCGTCAATTAATGTAGGAATATAATCATCCCGGTACACTACAATGAGTACAATCACATTTTCGTACAGTAAATGGAGGATGAGCCGCACAGTAAGCTTATTGTTAGACAAGAAGCACGGTAAGTTATGCACAAACTACTGTAAGTTGATCATTTACACACATACACTACTAGCGCTTAATTCAATCGGACGAAGTCATAGTAAATTTCGAACAGTCAAGTAAATTACCTCACTTTCAATTCCGCCTCAGATTAAATTGTTTTGAAGATTCAGTTGTAGGGTACTCACCAAAATGTTTTTTCCAACATGCAATGTGGTAATAAAAATGCAGAAACTGCAATCGCATTTTCTGCACACAGACCACATCCGCTCCAAACCACTCTGGAACCTTGGGACTGCGCCCAGAAAAGATATTATCCTTGACCTTTGTTGGATGAAAAACTGGTTGATCCTTCAGAAAAATGTTGCACGCTTGAAGCATAAAAACGCCACAATCTACGCCGTTTTGCTGCTGAGGAATGGACACGATCATGCGGGGATAGAGTTTAGGCGCAAAGGAATGTGCTTTCTTGAACTTTTGCTCGTACTCTTTCTCCAGCCATAGCTGGATTAGGGTGAAGGTTTCCTTATGGCGCGTTCCCGCACCGGATGAAACAAGGGAATCCATAATTACCAGGCACTGTTTCTGCTTGGAGCCGTTTTTTCGTTTCAGCCTCCATTAAAGGGTTGGGACTGCACACAATGGCCAGATACCAATGCTGGCTAAAATAAATACCGCGCAGATAGAACAATGCATGCACATTTACCTGCCAACTATGAAATAACTTATCTGGCAAAAATTTGCCATTTGTATTTGCGCTACCAAACTGGAGTTAACCAGCCCAAACTTTGACGAACTAAAAAGAATACCAAAAGCCCAACGTGCGAAGTCAGTAAGTAATCTAACACTTTTTACGCAAAAATAACAACATACCCGGTAAGTTTTCTCATTTATAAGCTGCAGTAATAAAGGTCTAATCACTAGTAAATTGAAACCTACTCTTTAAGCACGGGAATCACCAAATATCGACAGCTGAACAGATCCACTTTGCGCGTATGATCCAGTAGACGCCGGTAAACTGCTTCGGTCATGACAGTGAACGACTGATTCTCTCGACCCACGGCACCCAAATAGCTTTGGAAGAAAAAATAGCTGAAAACATGAATACGATCGGATCGCGGGGTACTCATATCGAAGAATTCTAACAGGAACTGAACCACACCATCGCCCAGCTGCTGTCCTTTGGCAAGCTGAAAGATTTCTCCGGCGGTGATCTCTCCATTGCCCAGCTTAACCGAATCAAACAAATGTACATCACGAAAAATTTCATGCGCCCCATCTGGACATTCAGCCACAAATGCACTACTTCCCATGAGATCCCCACTGCCGCTCGAGTTCGGCTCATCGTCCTCCGACAGATCAATGCAGACGGGGTCGCCGTTGCTGACAATTGGATTCGGGACAATGGCATTACTTTGCGACCCGGAAGTAATCGAGCGACGAGGATTGCCGGACACAGTCGCTTGCTCCATTCGCTCAATCAGGGCATCAATTATCGACTTCTTAAATGGATTTTGAAGGTATTTGGTATCGATGATCAGTTTGGTAACTGATTTATCAGACTGCGCAACAGTAACACTGATCTGTGGATTCGAGCGAGCATTCAAGCGAGCTCGTTGCGAGGAAAGCGGTATAACCGCCACCGGCCGAGATTCATAAGAATAAAGAGATCCAGGCAGCTCATTTTCAATCGTTCGCATCTTCTTGTTCTCCTTTGTAGAATCATTTCTGAGAGTTCGTTGTCGTGGTGCAGTCGGTACATGAACACTACGGCTTAATTTCGGGTTTCGTGCAGCGTTCGAAGTGTCTTTACGCAATGATGGATGCTGGGATGTATCAAACATACGAAGATCTATGTTTGACGGTGGTAGCAATCCATTTGACTGCCGAACATCCTTTGGCGCAGAAACCATTGTAGGCCAAATGGTCTTGGGTTTATTGGGTCTAGTGGGGACAGAAACAGGATTCAAATGCGACTTTTCGGGTTGTAAAGAGTTATCCACCGGTACAATATCATCCAATGGACCTTTCACTGACGTCCCATTAACATGAAGAGCACGAGGAAGTCCTATGTCTTTAATATTCGGAAAAAGGGCTTTGGCCAAATTATCCTTCGGAAGCTCCTCATGAGGAATCCCTAGAGAATCTAAAGTCTCTCCCAGCCAAACAGGGTTAACAGTCTCGTTCAAAATTGCACGGATAGCGGATCCACGACATTTAACACCTGGTTCCATAAGATCTTTTGCGTCAGACAATTTAATCAGCTCCTGTGCGATATCTGCAGCGCTGTTGTCATTGATGGACAAGTGAAAAGCGCCGGTGTTGTGATCATACTGGTAGTATTCAAATTTACTAGCGTCCACACACATATAACTCTTTGGACGAGCGTACTTACTGGGAAAAATTTTCAGAGCTCTCTTCGTCGGCACAAAACAGAGTATTGCTTCTTTTCCCAGAAATGCCGCTACTCCAAGCAAATCCACGAGAATACTGAATGGATTCGGGCACGACGGCGCCGACTGCTCCGACTCCAGCACGTTCACGGTCGATTCCGCAGCCTTTGACTGCGACAAAGACGCAACCGCCTTGGCCAGTTTGGCGTCAGCACCAATGGCTTCCTTCAGGCACCTTTTTCCGTCCTCCTCTGACAACTTCACAGCATGAATGCGCCCTTCCCTAACTTTTCGTCCAAACTTCGCAAATAAATCGGAAGAGTCTTTGTCAAATGTAATCAAAATGCAGCGAATCAAAGCGTCGTCACCGTTTTGAAGGAGATCAGCGATGGCGGGAGCATTGTCCAAGGTACGCTGGAAGAATTCGGCGGTCGGTGTAATGATGAACAGCGACTTCTCAACGTACGCAAAGTGCTCAACCGCGAGCGCACTGATCTGCAATCCGTCTGGGAATTCTTTGGTATCTTCGATAACGATCATCCATTCGTTGTCTTCATGATTCTCTTTCAAGTGGACTTTGATGCACACGCCTGTAAAAAAAGCATAAAAGACAAACCTACGACTGCATAAACAACTGGCAGCATACTTAAAATAAAAACAATTAACAACAAAACAAATTAAACAAAAATCTGAGAGATTAAAATCAGAAAGTCAAACTGCAAAAAGACAAGCTGTGTAACTCAGTAAGTAACACAGCCTCAGTCTACTCGTAAAAGACAAAACGGTACCTTTGAGCGCTACACTGGCCAATCGGACATGGCAATTGTACTCCGTGGCAAAGCTTCTCCATCTGCGTTCACTGGGAAACACCTCAGTCACGTCACTCTCATCCGTTGAACTGGCCGTGATGTCCGGCGTCGGAGCGACTAGAACATTGCCGTAACGGCGTTTCTTGACGCTGGTTTCACCTTCATCCTCGGCATGACGAATGGCCTTGCCTGTCAGACTGGAAATGTTCTTCGTATGGTTTTCTCCTGGGTTCCCTCGCGGAGGCATTGTCAATGTCGAAAAGCAACGCTAACAATGCTGCAACAAGAACCATGTAGGCAAACGAGAACTTAGCAAGCCAATAAACCACAGTTCTCACGAAATCATAACAATTCTTCCGTAACGCTTTACTATAATTAATTCAATTGAGAACGAAGAGAACTAATAACGAAACGAATTTATACATATGTCCAGGGTTACAGCTTATCAAAGTTATTTTCGGGAAGGAAGTAATCGCACAGACAGACTGGTTCCTGTTCCATCTAACCTTTAGAAGACAACAGGAGACGATGGTTCACTAACTCCGCAGGTCCGAAAAACGTCAACTACGAACGCCTAGTTGTCACCAACAGATCAGACTGCTCAGTGGCTCAGTCGTTGGGTATTTTGCTGAAACGAATCGACAGAAGATGCGCTAAAAAATTTACGCATGAAAAAAATTATAAAGCTCAACCGAAAATACATTAAAAACGTCGAAATTTAAAATTTTCAAGTGACTGGAACGAAACAGGAAGCAGTGTCAGCTACTCAGCTGCAAGCCTCAGCCTGCAATCGCGAAAAAAGTTCAACAAGGCACCACTGCAGCAAAACTGCCAAAAGGAGCGGTGGGCACTATCGTCAGATGCTGCTGATTGTGAAGAGGAGCGTTTCATGATTTTGGACGCTCTGAGAGAGACTTCGTGGAGGTGGTCAGGCTATAGACGTCTCGTACCGCCTTGCGGAGGATCGCCCAGTGATACGTATTTTGTATGTATTTGCCAGTGTATGCAGCCACCTTGCAGGTATATTCAGCAGTGGATGTACGAGTGCTTACCGAGTGCACACACGTACATCCGGTTCAGAGCCAGCGTATCAGCAGTATGCAAGACAAGACAAGACAACTTTATTCCCCCAGATTTCTTCTGGCAGGGGCACACCATGCGTTGTGCCGTATGATTAGGTGTAAAATTATAGCTTTTGCAGAACAAACATCGATGATGTCAAGAAAATAGTATCAAACATAACAAGTTAACAATGTAAAACGTAAAACAAAAGGCGATGTAAAACATGATGTACGTAAAACAAAAGGAAGGTGAGTTTATGGATTCAACTGCATTTTAGTTGCAGAAAGCTTTACACAGGCAGCAGTAACAATTCGCCGCAAAATACTTTGCGGCTATCTTTCAAGATCTGGTTAAAAAAATTGCTTAAACAAAAGAACAGCGTTTTATCGTGCTCCGTCGGCGTGTCCTTTTTCGTAGTAAGTTCTGCATTGTTTCCACTAGCTCGCCATCCGGTATTGAAAGGTCATGGAAAGCTAGTCGCTCTTAGTTTCCCTGTGTGGAAAGTATCCGGACATTCATTCAGTGCATGATACTCGTCTTCCACGACCTCACAGAAGTTACATATCCGCTCTCTCGTGACAAACCGTTCCATCTTCCTGTTTCCACAGCCAGATAGTGACCGGAAGTCAACATTTTACCCAGTTTCGCTTATTATCACAGGCATCGTTTTCAACAAGTCCACTTCTCCGCTTACCGGTAGACACTGAAATAAAATGCAACCTGCTGCTCCTGGCAGCATTATCCTGTACCGACTTAAATAGATTCGCCCGAATGTTTTCTCGAGTCTCGTCATTATGTCCAGCTGAATTCAGCTGTGCCAGCTGATTACGAATATCTTGGACCGTGTTTGTTAGGTTAATTTCGATTTCTTCCGGTAATTCCCTAAGCGCATTTTTTATCCAGCATCTCTTTCTGCTTTTGCCAACCAAAATGCTCTCAAAAGCCGCTCGTAGAAACGTCCTGAGTTTGCGCGACTGAGCTTTTCGAAAAACCGCATCTGCTGACGTACTTGTCTGAGACTGAGTGGTAGCAGATTCAAAAGGTACAAAATTGCATCGGTGTTCGTAGTGCTTCTGAGACTGAAAATTCGCTTGGCAAAGTTGATCTGCACTTTGTCAATTTCGCTGTTTTCCGCATAATTCCGAGCCATAGGTTAGCACGCTTCCCACGACTGCTTCGAAAATTATTTGTGCAGTCTTCCATGTGAACCCGGTTTTTATCCCTGATACTTTCTGTATTGCCATGTTGTATCCCATTTTTTACCCGCTCTGTTAAATGCTTAGCAGACTTCTTAAGATCGCATTGTTCGTTTAACACGAAACCTAGATACCGAAATTCTGGAACCTGTTCTAATTTTCGACCATCGATTTCAATGTGGCAGGAAATTTGTCTTCGAATAGCACCTTTCGCCACCATACAAAACGATTTGGCGTAGTTAATTATCAGCTCGTGTTCTTGTGCAAACTGACTTAATCGATCTACCGAAATCAACAGTTCCTCTTCGTTTTCGCTTATCAATACGATATCATCGGCAAACTTCAGGAGGTACACAGGGAGATCTCCCAGTGCAATATCTGTTACACGCCCTTCTCTTACATATTTTGTTAAAGGGTCAACGTATAGATCGAACAACATTCCTGATGACGGATCGCCCTGCCTAACACCCTTTTCTAACGGGAAAGATCTGACGATTCTTTGTTCCATTTTACGCAGTTTTTTGCCGCTCCATACATGTTTTTCAAAAATCTTAACATTTTTAACGAAATTCCTAACTCAGTCAAACGTTCCCATAACTTCTGGTGACAAACTGTGTCAAACGCACTAGAAAAATCGATAAAGCAAGAAAAATCGGCTTTTACGAAAAGCGTATTTTTCGCAGATGATGCAGTATGTATATTTGGTCAAAGTGTTCCTGCCTTCTCGAAACCCACCCTGGTCATCTTCGATGTGCGCCCACAGTTCGATTCGCTTCGCCAAGATTGATGACAGCAAACGCATGGGCAGTGGTTCGACAACTACCGGACGACAATTTTCTGGACTGTGGGCTTTTCCTGGTTTCGGTACCGGTGTAAGTGTGCCGTTCAACCATTCTTGTGGAATAATGCCAGATTCAAATACGTGATTAAACGTATTTGCTAGGATTTGCAAAACTGCTGATTTTACACATTTTTTGAAAATTTCAGTGCACAACGGAAATGAGCCGCTGCTGCTTGGCGGCTACTTTTGCGACTACTCGTTGGATTTCGTTCACAGTTATTTCAGAATCGAGGACTGGTATCGAAGGTGAAAGGTTAATATGTGGTGTTTTACTTACCGCAGAATCATAGGAAGCCTTTTGTTTAAAATACTCGTATAGGTCATTCAAGCTGATAGGAACAACGGAAGTACAACTGTCTTCATTTTTCCTGAAGCTTAACATTTTCCAAAACATTTTTGGGTTCTCGCGCTGTAAATGTTTCACTTTTTCCAATATATCCGCTCGTAAATGCTGTTGTATTGCAAAACTTTTTTCGGAACTTCTTCCTGGCCGACCAAAACCTCACGTGTTTCTTCAGTGTTATTTGCAGTCATAATTTTCCAGCACTGTATTTTGACGTTCTTAAGCTCAAGAATTTCGTTCTGTAATACCTGGAGTTCTGGTGTAAAGGGATCGAAAGGTATTTTCTGTTTCGAATGTTCGCCCGCACATATTCGACAACGCTGTTAAACAAGGATATATCGCCATAATTGTTGTGCTGGAAGTTATTACCACTGAATAAAAAGCATAATACACTTTCAATGTTCATCGTTAAAAACGGGTGCATATCACTTTCCTTCTTCTTGGTGTTTTTGATTGACCTCGCGATGTCCATGTTTAACAATATTCTGAGCGGTAAATGATCTGAAAAATCAAGATTTTCTAAGATGTCGAACTCCAAAATCTTTTCCACGCTCTGTTGATAAACTATCAAATAGTCGACGACTGAGTGACCGTTATAATGTGCAAGTAAATTTTGATGGAAATGATTTTTCAAAGTACTGCAACCCATTAAGCGGTGTCATACCGTTTACACTGCAAAATTCAACAAGTTTTCTACCTCGAGCTGTCGGTCGAGTAGCCTGTGTATCCACGTTCTGTAAATTGACGTATTCGATACTTCCTGATTCATTTTCCCGGTTTACATCCGCTTTCCAAAGCTTTGGCTTTAGATTTGCTATACGTGCATTAAAGTCACCGCATAACAGTACGTAACTTTCAGCCCTTGCGCGCTGAACTATTTCCGTAAGTTTTTCAAAACTTTCATTGTCATCAACGTTGACAACCGAATTGAGCGGCGGCAGTAAACACAGACCACGACAACGTTTTCGTTTGCAGAAACATTTATTTTACCGCTAAAATATCACCATAAGATTCTTGCTCGTAGACAGTACAGGACTTGAATTCACTTTTAACATACACTGCGATTCCTCCCCGGCAAAATTCGTTCGCACTTTGGACACCGTCTGATAGCCGGATACTTGCTTTATTTCGTGTTTGTTTTTTAGATGTGTTTCAACAAGTACAACCACATCGTGTTTTTTGATGAATTCACTGAAGTCGTTTTCGAACAAAGCGAACGTTCTTTAATCCGTTAACGTTCAGATAGACTATCGATAACCGCGTGTGCAAGTTTCTGGTTGCACGTGTACCACTGATATTACCGCTCTTCCGTTGACCAATTGAGTAGCCCGACAGATCGTTCGGTACTACGATTACGTTCCGTTGACACATTTGGTAGCCCGACAAATTTTTTCGTTAATATCGCACTGCTCCGTTAAGCTCAGCCGATCGTTAATTTGAAATTCCGATTGACGCCATCTGTATTCAGCTTTAGTATCTGTAGTACAAAACGATCCCGATTGACGCTCAAATAGTTCAGCTTGTGGAGTAACGGCACACTGTCTACAGTTATCTATAAGACTTGCACACGAGTTATTTCGTTCTCTATCTAACAGCGTGGCTCTTCTTACCGTATATTTTTTCGATTTCGTAAAATTTTGTTGTGCTATATTCTGTTTGGTTTTCAAGTGTCCGGCTATCAACCCGGATACCATTGCTCTCGATTATTTGCGAGGCCCAATAACCTGACCTACAGAGAATTCTCTTCCAGGACTGTACATGCGCACTTCTTTCAAGACTGTAACCAGCATCCCTTTTATAGAAGAACTTGCCGCCTTTTTCATACAAATAATATGTATTCGTTATTCGTTTTCGAAGCTAGTTTTTTGAAACGTACGGGATTTTAGAATTTTACTGACCTTCACTCTGGTATCGTGATAAACAGGACATCGCTTATGGTCAAACGCGTGGTGTGGGTTTTCTTCTGTTTGTTTTCCTGAACTGACGCAGTTGACACATTTCGGAGTATCCTCCCAATTGCAATTACAGTTTTCAAACCGGTGAGACTCAATACAAAACCGCATTGTGTTAAGAGTGCATGTCTCCTTTCGGTGCCCGTAACGACAGCAGTTGCCGCACTGAATTACATGGAAATGCTCTTCAACTGGACATAGTTCAAAATCAATTGTAACCTTCCCCTTTTCAACAAATAATCCGCGGCGCCACTGCTTGTTTCAATTACAAACGCGTATGTTAATGCTTTCATTTCCGCTCTCCAATTTTACGACAATTTTCAAATTTTCGAAAGTATTCCAAAGAATTTTGAATGATCAATTTTTCCAGAAATTCAGTTTGGTTACGGCCTTATCTACTTGCGAACAATTAAACGAGGCATCTTCTTCTTAGGCTCAGACACAGAGCATTTCAGACTTTCGTCATGAATTATTTCGGCCTTACTTTGTCGTAGTCCGCTCGAGTAGGAAACGTCATGATCACTGACTTCCCATGGCCCGGCTTAACATTTTTTAGTGCGAATGTCCGGCTTTCACATGGGATGTGTTCCTGTAGAGCAGATTTAAATGCTCGGACGGTTTGTGGGTCTGGCTTTGCAGGTGCGTTGGTATTTTCGGCCTCTTCTATATCTGTTGTCGGCATTAGCACGTGGTCTGTTTGCCCATTTTCCGTGTCCATAATACTATTTCCATAAAAACGGCGGTGAGAGGGCTGGCTATAGTAATTTCTTGGCCACCTTTCCAAAATTCACGTCGGTGATCGGCCACGCTTGCATAACTTCGTCTGGTAGAGGCTGGTTGCGCATTCTGTCTGCCGTATCCGGGTTCGCCGCCATTTGTAATTTGATGATTTCAGGTTCTTCGGTAAAGGCTTCTTTCCACGCCACCAGTTCGTTTACTGTTTCGAGCAATCCGTTAATTTTTTTAATCCTTCAATTTTGTCGTCGAGGGTCCCAACATCTGCTTTTGATCTAAATCGATTTGGTGAATGTGGCCTTCGTCTTCATCGATTTAGTAGGTCCGCGTCGCCGCCTGCTCGTATTTGGCGCTCATCGTCGAGTTCTTTCTTCAGTTTGCTGTTTTCCGATTCCAGAGAAGTCACCCGTGCCGACAACAACGAAGATTCCGCCACCAGTTTACGAATAACGGGGATGATGAGGTCGAATACGTTTTTGTTGCCAGATGTGGGAACGTATGTATGAGTTCCAAAGCGTTCATCCAGTTTGCCAAGCAAGTCGATCAGTGATTCCGACATGGCACCAGAATTCCGTGGGGATTTGGCTGGTAGATGTTCTCGACATTTCCCAGATCACGTATTACATATATTATACCATCGTACTATTAAAACACCAGCATTGTTTTAAAATCGGTTAAAAATAGTATGAGCTATGTTATAGTGATTTTTGGTGATTTTTTATGGCGTACCAAATACCTCACCCCCCGTAAACCTTAAAACTTAAAACTCAGAACACTAGAACGTAAAACACTAAACGTAAAACAATGTAAACACTAAAACAGTAAAACACTAAAACGTAAAAAACACGTAAAACACTAAAACCGTAAAACGTAAAACACTAAAACCGTAAAACGTAAAACACTAAAACCGTAAAACGTAAAACACGATACCGTAAAACTCAGAATCGTAAACCTCAGAACTCAGAATCATAGAACTTGAAACTGTAAAGTGTAAACCCTGAAACATGTTTTCGTGGACTTAGACAATTTTAAGCAAAAATAAACGGTAGTTCCACCAACGCCAATCCAATTCCGAAATCACCGCATAACTCCAATAATAAAGTAGAATTCCATTAATATTATTGGAATTGGCATTGTGGAATTGGAACTCTGAAAAGTGAAAAAATGTCTAAGTCCTAAAGTCCACGAAAACCACGATTTCATGTTTCAGGGTTTACAGTTTCAAGTTCTATGATTCTGAGTTCTGAGGTTTACGATTCTGAGTTTTACGGTATTGTGTTCAGTTTTACGGTCTTACGTTTAGTGTTTTACGTTTTACGTCATGTTTTTACGTTTTGTTGTTTTAGTGTTTTACATACGTTTTACGTTTTAGTGCTTTACGTTTTAGTGTTCTGAGTTTTAAGTTCTAAGGTTTACGGGGGGTGAGGTATTTGGTACGCCATAATTTTTGGTGTTGGGAAGAGTAAAAGAGGATTTTACGTCTTCCTGTTGTGTTCTCGTCCCGTATTTCCGGTAGATATAGCAGCAGGCACCTCACGTAGATCTCGGCCTGCATTGCAGCTCCCGTCAACTTTAATATTCCGTTGATCTGCGTTTTGCCTTCTTCAATTTCTCAGTTACTACTTCAAAGACTGATAGTTCATTATCTATTCTATTCAAAAAAGTATTTCGATAAATCTGACGTCGCTTCAGGATGGAGGATGTGATCCGCTAAGGCTAATGGACCAGTAAGGCGCCCGAGTTTTTCCACATTACTTACTTTCATTGTAAGAAGTGGATCAGTGATTGCTTTCAATGTAAGAAGCGCGGTTTTTTTGCATCTTAATTTTTATGCGAAAATGCTATTCACGTGGATAATTCCTGCGGGGAAACAGCTCCTGCGCACATCGTATTGTTACCGACGTTTGCATTTGCAAGTACCTGGAGGTGTACGCGCCAAGCTGACACTGCAGCAGATTAATCATATCCTGCGACTGCGGGAAGCCACATCGGCGGACACAGAATGTCCACCTCCCATTAAAACCTATGAAGCCTCACAGTTGGCTGCGAATTTTCCCATCGAGGATCGCTGCTTGGAAGCCAAATTATTACGCACTGGCGGGATGCTGTTCGCCGTGATTGATGGACACGGTGGTCCTGGTTGTGCGCAGGCTCTTAGTGAAAGACTAGCGGATTATGTCTCGGTGGCGCTGATGGATGCGGACTCTTTGCAGAGACTAGCTGGAGAAATCGACTCATCCGCCAATGCGAACTCTGAAGTATGGTCATCTTCCTGTGCTTATTCACAGTCTCAGGTTTCGATCTTTTGCCGATTTGCCCTACATTGTTATCCAAACTTCTAACTATTTATAAACCACTGACCGGAAGAATTTAGACCTAACACTTCCGTGCATAGTTTCTAATTTTTCTGTGATTCCTGCGAATACCGTCTCTTCTGGCTGGTTACCGGTATTCTTATTGCGAAACTGTTTTTTTTTTAAAAATGGGAAAAATTTTTTCAGGTTATGAAAATGCTGTTGATGCTAAATAAATAATTCGTGGTAAATAATGGTAGTACGAATGGTTTTTTTTTATTTTTATTCTGTTGTATGAAATTTATTATTTTTTGCTTTTTGATTCGAAGCATGTTTTCAGAACTTTTGGATTTTAAATCTGCTATGCATAAAGTATTTATTCGGTAAAATATTTCAGTTTCCCATCATCGTGAACAGAAAACTTCATCCTGGCGACTACATCATCCCCAGTCAGCGAAGTAATCACTACCGTTGGCTAGGGCGTTACGTTCGGGACCGGGTGCAGTCACCTCCAGCCGTCGTGGATATTCCTGCGCAGCTCAAAGATGCCTTCTTACGCCTGGACCAAGATATTTCCGCTTCTGGACTGGAGACCTTGGATGATAATGACGAAGTGGTTAAAAATGTCAGTTTGGAAAATCTTTCATGCTGTCTGAGTGGCGCTGTGGTCAGTATGGCGTATGTCAACGATTGCGATCTGTACATGGCCAGTACCGGCGATGCCATGGGCATTATAGCCAGTATTGATGAGGAGGGAATTTGGAGTTCGCAAGTCTTGACGGCTCAGCATACTCATAAAAACGCCCAAGAACTTCAGCGACTATACGAGCAACATCCGGGCGAAGAAAGCGGTGTCGTGGTTGCGGAGAGATTGTTGGGGCAGTTGTATCCGTTGAGGGCTTTTGGGGATTGTCAGTATAAATGGCCTGCGGAGCAGTTGAAAGCCATTTTGAAGCACCATATGCTGATGCACATGTTTCCCCAGAATTACCATACACCCCCATATTTAACTGCTGAACCGGAGGTGAGGGACATTGTACAAATGCTTTGAGCATTCTGTTAAGTACATTTCATTGTCATTTTGTAATTTTAATGGTTTTGATTTGTTTCTTACGTTGTTTAATGTTTGCAAAACTCTATTTAACGTTCAAGTTCGCTATAGATAAAATCACGTTTTGCATTCTGTGAACAACCAGCCGAAAAAGCGGCCTGATCCTATTAAAATAGAGATTATTAATTTGATTTACATTAGCGGAAGCTGGGGCAGGCACTACTCTAGCATGGTAGCCGTTTCGGAATTCGTTGGCGTAGATGCTCCATTGCCGCAGCTGATCTGTTTCCATGGGTATTTTTATTATTACTTAATTTTTTCCGTTTTATTTACATTTCAGTTTTGTTCCTTTAAATTCCTTTGAATTAAGAGCATATGGTTCAGACCGGCTATTGGTATGTACAGCAATTAGCGAAACGACAATATGTAGGTGTGATTTTTTAGATAACTTATCACCGCCTGCACGCAAATAACCGGTTTATTCTTCTGTCATCCGATGGGCTGTTTGACTTCCTGAACGACGAGAGCGCAACGAAGTTGGTAACAGAACACATGAGTGGACGCCGAGCACTGCAGCCTTTCAGTGTTCCCCCCAACTCTGGTGCCACTCTGGCCGAACTGAACCTTCGTCTGAAGAAGCGCATGATTGCTCAATCCAAGAAACCCGATGACGCAAACGTGGCTACCCACGTTATTCGCCATGCTTTGGGTCGGTCCGAGACGGGTTTGGATATGAACAAGCTCTCCCGCACACTGAGTGCCAGTGTAGAGGAAGCGCGTTATCAAAGAGATGATATGACCGTACAGATTGCGTTCTTCGACAAAGATTATCTGCGTTTATTTTCCCCAATGGAAACCGGGAACAGATCAAAAGAGTGAATTCGCGACAACACAACTGTGATATTTAAACACAACTATTGTAGAGATACTAACCCAACAGACACTGAGATCGAAATCTGAGATCGAACGAGACCAGACTTATGCCAGACCAGGAGATCGGAGACGTAACTGATAATGCCTACGTTTTATCTTTTTATGTATAATTTACAGTTGGTGTGATCTTTCTGTGGTGCTGTAAGCTTTCATGGTGTACTTCTCCGGGTGGCGAATGGTAGGAATTAAACCATAGGAAAATAAGTATCGTGCGAAGAGACAGGCCGCGAGCCAGAAAGGCAACAACCAGAATACATAAAATGATCCGGCTGTGGAGAGGCGGTGCAAAATTGTCGTGGAAAACCAGATGGGAGTGACCGGAAACGATAAACTGATCTCCGCACGAAAACCGCTGCCTGAACCGGCACCACTTATCCATACTGACTGCACGGGGTCAATTCCAACAGAAACTACGACAACAAACCATGTCATGAATTCGAAAAACAGCTTTTAGGGCCATTTACAGAAATAACCTAACATGAGTAACAGAGATCGAACACAAAATTTAATACCGACTGCCAGCACAATGAAACATGAGTACCGCTACTGAGTACCCTCATTAAGTTAATGACAAACGGTAATCAGGGTTTTATCACCATTAGTTTTTCCCACAGTCCTCAGCAAAACCGGGATAGAATAATCCTCGATATCATTAGAGGAAAAATCAAGCGCCGGAACCTAAGTGGACAAAAGCCGTCAAACAGCTGAGAATCAGCAGCATTTAGACAGAATAGCATTTTAACTTCGTAGTTCGTACCAGTAGAATAATCCTCGATATCATTAGAGGATTATTCTACTGGTACTTCGTACTACATTAGTTCGTACCAGTAGAGTTTTGTCAATGATTCCTTGTGTAATCGGCACACGCTGGTTTAACCGTACACTCGCGTCTGCAAAAAATGTGACTCCCGGAGAAATGGCCGAATGATGAACATTTGCTATCGTGGCCATTTCGAAGTCCGTGCGCTTCTACAAGGGGTAATTAAATTCAACTACAATTCTACAAATAACCAGAAGTTGAATATAGATTCGCGACACTCAGTTGTCCATCATTTTTGCTGTATAATAGTACTAGAAGTGCTTTCTTTATTACTATATAGTTATTTTGTTTAGTTATTTTAGCTGTCTCCAGTAAAAACTGTCTCCAGTAAAATAATTCAGCTGGCCAGATTAAGTAAGTGCAATACGCTACTTGACACATAAGAGGAGTGTAATAAAACTGTGTACGAATTCCGTACCACGTAATCACGTAGCATGTGTGACAGAAAAATGGAGAAAAAGATATTTAGTCCTAGAAGGGTAGAGCCTCCGTGCAAAGCTTTGAACATTGTAATTTACGATTAGTGTTAATTACATACCGGGTGGCTGAACAAAATGGCGGTCTCATTTGAACCGTCGCACTGGGTCCGTCAAATGTTCGATTGCCATAATCTTAATTTCATTCGAAAGAGCAAAGTCTACCGCATACAAAAATTAAACTCGGATTACATAAGGCAGAGGTTTAATTTTATCTTGAATTATTTTTAAAAATTTGGCAGGTTTTAATGATGTCCTGAAAACGGAAATCTGAAATTACCTTATTATAAAATAAAAATTGCTGTTGTTCAGCAAAGAGCCGTAATGTAACTTACGTTGCTGTTTCGGGTTGAGGGGTGGTCTCTAGTTTTTTTTATGTAAAGAACTGTTGTATTCTAGTAACCATGTTTGGCCAATACACGGAATGGCGGCGATTAGGCATGGGACAATTTTCATGAAATTCGTAAGCAGGGATTTTGGTAGTAAATTTCTGGCCAACCCTTCAGAAGTTTATCAGGTTCAACAGTGCATCTGCACGCGCAATACATTAGCTACTGTAAAAAGCTAAAACCGGCATTTTTTGGTGCAGTCCTTATTGCGGCCAAAATTTAGATTAAAATACTCTTAAAATAAATTAAAAAACCAGCATTTTTTCGGAAAGTTACAAACTGTCCTGACTGCATAACTCTTCCTGGGAAAGCACGATGTCTACAACTTTTTTTATAATCAAAGTAGACGTCGTGCTCTAGATAAAACACTGAAGATTTTTCAAAAAGTACTTACGAGAAGGCAGTGCTACGAGATTCTGGGTTTTGAAACCTGGGACGCAAAAAATTTTCACCCGATTTCAAATGGCTCCAGAGCAAGTGAGCACGACTAAACATTTTTAGGAACGCTTTGCTGATTTTTGTAGTTGAATGAATTCTCTATCGAATGAACTTAAGCAGTTCGCGGTGCGAAAACTGCCCCGCAAGAGACAAACGAAAATCCGAGACCGCCATTTTTTTCAGCCACCCGGTAGAAACCTACCATCCTGCGTCAATATTATCGTTTTCAAAATTCAACGTCCTGACAATAAGCAGCTGCACCTCTGTGGGTATTTCTTTAATTAATAATCACGAAATAATTACAGCCTTGACACTCAGAAATTCAGAATAGCAGTGCACAAATTTACATACTGAAAACTTACGTACTGAAAAAATTTAAAATACTCGTATTCACTATTAGTACTGTATTGCCAAGAAATGCTGTTTTCTTTGAGGGGTAGAAATTTGAAAGTATTCTTGTCTATTCTGCAACAATTCAAACTTAGTATTATTATTAAATGCAGATATTTTCTTACTTGTAAACCCAGTGTAAGAAATATTAGGAATGTTATTCCAAAAACTTGCTCGTTAGGCTGCAAAGGCATATCCAGGGAAATCAACAGCCGCTCAGGAATGCGATCCCCATTGTCGTCTTCCTCTTTTGTCTACGACGAGGAATTGCATTTTAAGCTATCTTCTGGGAGTGTTCTACTACACCAGCAAATGTACTTTTAAAATAGCTGCGCGGTACGTTTGTTGTTGCAAGGAATTAAGCGCGGGCAAAGTGCTCCATGTCAAAGAGTCTCCATTTCCCAGTTGCAAATTCACAAGAGCTATCTGTTGGTACTGCACACGAGGTTGCTCGTAATCTGTTGTATAAAGAGGCCAGGAATCTGAAAAATCATACGATAAAAGCTTCAAACAAACGTAGAAACGCTCGCGTGATAAAACACATGCAAATAACTCATTTTAAACTTACCTGGATTAACAGCGACCAAAACGATCGGAACACCAATGGTTATCACAAATAGGACCAGCTGAACGAAGAAAGCCAGGGATACTGGGTTGGCTTTAAAATATTGTGAATGAGGCTTCTCATAAACCGTCACAAAACCCATTATTGTACGAAGCCGACAATCGGCAAAACAAACGTCATCAAATATTGGCGTGTCCTAGAGGATAAGATGGTGTGAATGTGAAAAGTATCCCAGTAAGGTGAGGTAGTATCGGATAACAGAAAAACTGGACATTTTTCAACAAAATGAAGTTATCAAACAGCACTTGTGCAGAAATGGTTAACCGGGCGGTTGCCATGTTCACAAAAAACAGGTTCTGTCACCGCACTGACGCGCACCGGCTGTATGAGCATCAGCGGGTTGCGAAATCTGTGAGGCTCATGAGTGCAGCGCAAGCTATTAATGAACGAAGTGACTGAAGTCTTCTAGTTTTTTACTACACATTATGAAAGTTTAAGTTTTCTTTTTAATTCGCGGTTTATGGTTTTTGAAATCAGTAAATGCAGGTTTTAGAATACGAAAATTGTAGGGAACATGACCGTATTCGTTAGTGGGAACGCCACACTGTATTGACTTAGAAGATATTGAGCATGACGGATAAAGAGAATGGCGAACGGCAGACTGAAATCAAGAACTCGAGCAAGAAAGTTGGGCTGTGTATCAAACGGACGGCTGGTATTGTGAAAATCCTCGAGAAGGAATGGGAAACTTTAGGTAAGCGAAAGACTGACCGATTCTATTAGGATTTCGCGACACATTTAGTAGATTATTGAGAGAACTAGGTATGATCGGGATAGAATCCATCCACGTATGCACGCCGTATACGATAAAACAAATGCAGGGAAAGCTTTCGTTCCATCTATCCATCGATAAATGGGAGGGAAAGGTTTCCTGCATTCGTATTATCGTATGCGACGTGTAGCCGCCTTTGATATCGCGATTTCAATTATACGGAGTACGGATCCTGCTGATTACTTGGTTTGTACTTGGTTGTCGCTAGTACCCGTAACAAAAGACGGTCAGTAGTCGTTGCAGTGTTCTTTGAACTTTTTTTGGCAGTATGTATTTGGTTGGTGGAGGTTTCTTTAAATTTACCGCTGTTACAAACTGACATGTAGTGCTTTTAAATCATGCTTCAAATACAATAAATAAATTAGATTGTAATAAGCTTATAATTTTAGCTCCTGGATTGATTGCGGAACTGTTGATCCACAGAAAGCTGCTCGTTAGAATCCAACATCAATTTCGCTCGAGTAAACTGGTCCAATTCTGTCAAAGAATCCAGTCATGTAGACGCCGATTGTACAGCTTAAAAGCACTTAATCTGCGAGAAATTACCAAAGGCCGCACGTTTAACGACGGTATGGCGGCGCTTATCCAAAACTTATCCGATCTGTGTTCGCTGCTCTCGCAGCTGGTCTCTTACGCAGCAATGTGCGCCACCGTCTCCACACAGTGTCTGGCACAGGAGCACTATTTTTTCTTTGGGTCGGATGTATCCATCCTGGCTGCTACATCGCGCATATGGATAATGGCACAAGCTATGCTGAAGAAAGTTCAGACTGGTCTCGCGGATATTCGGCAGTGTTTGCGGGAGTTCTCCTGTGTCCACAAAGTGAAGAATGCCCAGTGCGTTGAAACAGCATCGCCGGAAACTGGTTCGCGTTGGGATAAATCAACAGTGAATAGTGGTGTGATAGACAAATGTTTGTCGAGGAGAAAAAGAAAAATGATGAAGAATACTGTGCCGCCACAGATGCAATCTGTTGATCGATCTCTTTCGACGACATCTCTAGGCGTTTTGAAACGGTTTGCTGTCGCGTGAAAGTTTCAGTGGAAATGTTTTTGGTTTTAGCTAATTCTGGTGTACGAGATGTTATGGAAAAGATTTGATTTGCTTTTTCGTTTTTATAACTTATTCGCGATGTTACTCTGAGCTAATTTATTTCAGCCATTTTTATTGGAATGAAATTAATGAATGACGTCTGAAGTTGATTAGCATTTCAAAGTAAATTCATACAGTCAAAAAAATGTACAAATAAAATTACTAAAACATGTCAAATCGAGAAATATCGCGCATCAGAATCAAGCATAATAGATTTCAAGAAACGCGTGCCAGAGCAACGCGCGGCAGTGTCATCAGTTGGTCGCAGTCGAGATTGCAGTTAGCATACATGATAAAACTTTGTAAAAGCAGTTTCTAAAATTCACTTATTGGAATTATTAAAAATGTTCTAACCGGGAAAATTAAAACACAGTTCACAATTCACAGTTAAAAAACATGCCGACAAAAAGAAAGCACTCAGCAATCAGCAGTGAAAATAAAAGCAAAAGAATACTTATAATACCGTGCAAAAGCGGAAAGCCACAGCAAACAACCGCGCATCAGTCAGCATGTCACTCATCCGACATCCGTGTAAACGGGTCTCTACTTTGTTTCGTTGAAAACTGAAGATAGCGAATCAGGCGGTCTGGAAGCGGTAGTTTGTCCACTTTTTGTGCTCGTCCCAGGATAACATCACGTGCAGCTGACTGCAGAGACGCCACTACAAAATCAGCGAAAAGTTTATTGGCACAATCGCTGGGGTATCAAAAGTGTGCACCACTTATTATAATATCACGAAAGTTTCTATCGCTCCAAAAAAGCACAAAAATAATAAAATGCTCTGTACCTTCATAAAGCGGCACTATGCGAACTGTCTTAGTGCATCCATACACGTCACAGACGACATACAGCGGTTTGCCCGCTAATTCAAACGGAAACGGCCCTCTACATTCGCCATTGACGAGGAAGTAAAGGAGGGCATACTCATCGTACTCCTTGGTATAAAAAATTCCCACACGACTGCCTTCACACACAGACGTCTCATCGTTATCTGGCACGGGAACTGGGCTGGGAAGGTTATCGATTAAACGTGCTTGAAATTCGTCGTTGTAACTACAAGGCAGAAAATGGGATATTCATTTAACTTTCAGCCGTCTGGAAAGCTAAGCTGTCCAGGGGCCCGACGAAACTGATCGTGACACGAATCCTATCGTTATCCAGACGGTCGACGTCAGCGCTCATGATAATAACTTCCGATTAATGTTCCCATTAAGCGGCCATAAGCCACTCGCTGACGTATTTTTCACTTAAGACTCTCGAGCGATTAATCACAAGTACTGTACCAAAAATAGTACACTAGGAAAAATTGGCAGTAAATACGGTCTGAAATATTCAAACAAGTGACATGAATGGCTCAGTAATGACACTAAACCCTGCTCTTTCCCAAATATCTCACGCATGAAAAGTGCAAGCAAGCGACAAAATTTCTTTTACTTTAAATTTTAGGAAATATTCACAGAAAAAAACCTTAGAAACGTACCCTGAATAAAACTGTCCATAAAGTATGACCCACATAACACACTAGTAAAATCGATAAAACCAGGAGCGCAAATAATGACTCAATCAATGTACAATGTGCCAGTCACCGAATAGCAGTTCTAATGCCGGCTAGCAACAAAGTAATTTTGATCAAAATTAGCAGTAAGTTTACTTAGAGTGTCCATATAATGCCTAATATCAAAAATTATATACCAAGCGCAGGCTTTTTACATTAATGGTAAGTTTCACCTGTTTTTCCTGGAGCGCACGGGTGGCTTGTCAAAGTTGAATGATTGGCGCGGTTGCAGCGCTTGTAAGTTCAAATGAGCCCCCAGTGGACCACTTTGCAGCAGCTGGTGTAGCTTGCTTTGTGGAAGTATTAAATTATCTAGCATGTCGTCCACTTCGGAGCGATCGAAAGTGTATACCCAGGAAGATCCTTCAGTAGCCAGATCCGGAAGTGCAAATAAAGGAAGTCTTTCAAGCTCCAGTGGATCTGCAATAAAAAATCGCGATGATCAGCTCTATCGATACGGTTCTGCTCTCTCAATAATAAATGATATGTAAATTTTGCAACAAATTCAAGACAATATCAACTGTCTCGAGTACGACAGATCAATCGTAGTTTTTAACAAGTAATAATATTTCGCAGCAGGTGCCAATCAAAATTCTGCGGAATGCTCATTACTAACTGTAAAGTGTAAACTCAGTAACCAAAAGCTAACATGCTATCAACTGGTCAGATCATGCAGTATTCTGTTTTTTATTCAAAATGTTCAGTTATTTGCTCAATAATACAGTTAGCGCGAAATTACTACCACCATGTTTAGTTAAATAATTACGTGCAACTCGACGGCTGAAATACATACATACATAAATCATTACGTACAACAATACATACATAAATCATAAATGCAGCTTTTAATGATCAGAAGCTGCATTTACACTTTGTATTAAGTTTACAGAAGCTGCATTTACTGAGTTACAGATGCATAGTGTTATGTTTGTATTACGTGTTCACTAACATAACCTAAATACAAAAAACTATCCGGTCAAACTAAATAAAACCGCAGAATCTTAACCGAAACTTCTTTGGTAGTCAAATAACTTTGGTAGATTTCCGCAGTAGTCAAATAATTAAGAAATGAACTATGATTAAACACACCTCCTTGAGTGATTCCGATACGTAAACTACCGCTCCAGCCCAGATCCATTTTCGTTATCTCCACTAAAAAAAGTTCATTGGCCTCCAGAGGTTCGGCACTAAAAGTCAATCCTCCGGCAAAGCTGCAACATTATACAATATCAAGAATATGATTAAGCGACACTAAAAAAATTGCCAAACAAAAACAAATTAAATTATATTTTAAAACTCTTACCGCACATCACATGCGAAAAACATTCGTCAGGAAATTTCGTACCTGGAAGTTCGTATTGCAACCGTACATTCTTCCGCCAGCTGTATATTCGAACCTTTTCGGGTGTGGAAACGATGTCGAAGAGTTAAACGCTGCATTATATGCAATGTTTTAAAGATATATAGATATATGGAATGAGGTAATGAGGTATACGTAACAAGCCAAATTAGTGGGTTGCAGCGTATTCCGAACTGCATCCGAGCAAAAGAGGTGCACAACAGCGAAAATAACGCACTAATTGTTCCCAGTAAGTAAGTAACAAGCGGCACCGAAGTCAAAAAGGATAATCGAATGCCAGGATTTGCCGCGAAATAATGCGGGAAAATGTTGACATATGGTTAATAATCATAAACATCTTATTAGGGCATTGGAGAAGAGCGATTTCCTGCTTCGTCGAGCAACCGTGCAAGCCGAGAACCGAAGCTGCTACCGATAAGCTCAGGTCTGAACACCTTCTCAAAAGACAAGAGGAAGAGTTTTCTGAAACAGAACTTCTGCACAAGCATACAGCATAAGCATAAAATATTGTGTGATGCAACTAAAGGGTACGCAAAAGCGCGAGCAACAGCTGCAAAAAAAATTAAATGCAGACGAAAAAGGAAATCAAAAATGCTGCTTTTGTTATTTTATATGTATCGGCCAAGCGCAGACTTTTCCTCGAAAACTTTATCAGAATGAACGGTGCACCGGAAGTAGGCGTGATACATCCATCTTAACCAATCATTGATATGGACCGTAAAGTGCCGCCCGCCTCATGTTAATCATATCCGCACCGTATTCAGCGATGTCGTCATCGCCAGATGCAAGGGTCTACGACCACGAGTAGGAACCCAATCTCCAAATCATTTCTAAAGCGTTTTAAAACTGTGAGAAGAACGTTTGCGGTTCTTTTTTAGGTTTACACAATTGCATTCGAATATAAAACATAGTTACATAATTTTATCTCGTTTCCTTTAAGGTGTGAGAGCGATTTCTCTGGTCATGACCGTGTGCTGTAATCCTGCCACTGAACCCTATTTTTTGTAGGAAGCTGGATGCAGCGTGGGAAACACTTTGTAACAAATAGATAAAGTGACTACGTTGGATTCTACTTCTACGAGACGTGCTGTTGTGGAGCAAAAGCGTTCCTAGTTTGTGCCTGATTCCTGATTTATTCCTGTTTTTATTGTGAGCTAAGGAGCAAACGAGTCGCAAGTGCTGCAAACATAATTGATAACCTTATGGGTTTCTTCGATTTATTGACGGTGTAGCTTTTCGAGTGGCTTAGAAAACACAAACTATTGATATCGTTGTTTCTTTAGGATTTGCTCTTTTTGCGATGGACTACCACAATAACTCTGGCTCTTACGAAGGACGCCCCCAACATAATCGTCTCCAGCCTCGTAATCGTTCCCGTCCTTCGGAGGGCGGTGAACGCGGCAAGAATACATGCCCGATCTGTTTTAGTGACTTGACGGATATCATCGCCCTGCAGCCCTGTAGTCACGTTCTGTGTTTTGAGTGCGCCGTACGCAACCGTGTCCTGTGTAACAAGAAAGAATGCCCCGTTTGTCGAGCAGCTTGTGCTGAGGTTCGTGGTAGTTATTTAACGATAAGTGTTCCCGTGACTTGTATATTTAATCAAAAATAAGTATTATAAATCAAAAACGAAATCCGAACCCGACAGTTTTTTTCAGGTTGTTTTAGCTGGCCATCGACCATCCGACGTTAACGAAAGCGATCGTTTTGAAAGCATCCTCAGTGTTGCCCGCAGGCAGGGTAAATCGGATCCGTACTATGGATTTTTATTTGAAAATATTGGTATTGAGCGCGCCTATCGGAAGATGCTGACACATGCCTGCCGTTTCTGTGATCGCCCTTTTGAAGAATTTGACCAGCTTGTGAAGCATGTTCGAGACCGGCACGACCATCACTACTGCAACGTTTGCGTGCGCCAGCTGATGGTAATGCTGGTTTTATGTAAATTCTTCTGGGCTTTCGTGTCCATCGTCAAATGTAATCGTTGTTTTTCTTTTGATATTTAAGCAATTTTCTACAAAAGCTGCATAGATAAAAATTTACCAAGTACGATGACTTGAAAATTTTCATTTAGTATATATTGAGTCTTGATATCAAGTAGCCAATACTTCCTAATTTTGAACGATGTTTCCCTCTGTGTGAATTAGTTATTTACATGGGAACACAAATTATACATGTATGATGAGCTGCTCCGCCATTTGGAAGAAGGTGACCCGACGGACAAAACTATCCCTCCTCATCCGCAGTGCCAGCTGTGTTCTTTCCGTGCTTTCGATAAGGATGAGTTGTATCGACACTCTAAACAGCGCCATCATTTATGCTGGATTTGTGAAATGGACTCAAATAAAGTGTTATTTTTTAAGTAAGGTATTATATTCATAGTGCGACAGATATCGGTGTTTTTTAAATTAAAGCATTTTCACAGGGATTTTTACGATTTATTTGAACACATGGTCGACCACCATCATGTTTGCAAAATCTGTTCCAAACCCGACGAAGCGCAGGTCAAATCATTTTCGACGAAGGAAGCACTGGAAATTCATACAGCCGCTGACCATGGCGGAGGGTTGGATCCGCGGATGTTCTTTAACTTTGAGCATCACCCGCGAGCGGAACGCGGCGCAAGAGGCGAGCGACGGCGACGTGAACAGGAACAAGAAGTGGAAAATCGTCCCGTTACCCCACCACCACCGCCGAACTTTAACATGGAACCGGCCCATTTTCCAGCGCTAGGCCTGGATGCTGTCGGCAGTGGCGGGGGAGATGTCTCAGTAGCCCCAAAGGAAGAGACAAAAAAGTCCGGGCCGTCGGTGCAGTCAGGGGAGAGCGTTCGACCGGTTCCTAAGTATGGAGCACCGAAGCTAACGGAAGGGGATTTCCCAGTTTTGAGTGGACACGGGCCAGCGCCTTCGAAAATCCCGGCAGGTCCATCTTGGGCCAGTAACGCTAAAGTTACCGCGGTGCCGAAAAGCGGTTCTTCGTCGTCAGCAAAACTACCGGTAACCACACAGGTAAACAGCAGCTTCTGCACAGCCGCGTGCAACAGTTTTATTTTCAGAAAAAGTCAGTGCCCCTTGCTCGACCCAATTTCACCGACGACAGCTTCCCGGAACTGGATACTCCTGCCCCGATCGCTACCAAAAAGTTAAATCAGGAATGGGTTTCTGTTCCTGTCAAGTCAAAAGGTCAACCCAAGGAGCCGAAAACTACCCAGGCAAAGCCAGCCGCTTCCCGTTGGGACTTACCGGAAGAGCCGACCAGCCCGCCCTCCAACCGAAAAACTATTGAATCACCGCTTTCTTACGCCCGACCTAACGGCATCAACACCGATGCAGTTTCCAAGCCGACCGTTGTGCGAAATCTTTATTATACGGATAGTAAAGGCGCTCAAAATCTTGGAGCGGACGCATTTCCAACACTGTCGGCCCCCGCCAAAAACGTTCTTCCTGGCATGTTTGGTGGCACACCGAAAAAGAAATCCGAAGCCAAAGCAAAGATTGGTAAAGTTGCCGTAGTTGAAAAAAATGTTAATCCAATCAATCCCAGCGGAAATTCAAAAAAGTCAGAAGAGGAACAAATTGCTGAAAGCTTGTTCAAGTCCGCACGGTCATTTTCTCGAGGATCATCAGAGAATGGCGTGGAAACAGAAGAAGATGCCATAGTGCCGTCACCGGTAGCTGCCATTATTCGTACGTTTTTTTGCGTGATACAGAGTAACTCCTTAAAATTTGACTACATGAAATTTTTCCCAGATCATGCTCCGTACAAAATGAAAAAAGATGATTTTCCAACCTTGGAAGGCAAAGCACCGAAACGTACGCTTGGAGCAACCTGCAGCTATTTCAGTATGGGTTATATACTTTTGTTTTACAGAAAAGGTCCATGTGCCAGACGATATCGCCATGCCTGATCGTGTTCGAAAACAAAAGGGTAAGCGGTTGAATTAAAAATTAATGCGCTCGTTTGTCAGAACTCAGAAGTTATTATGTTCTTGCTTTAAATGAAGATGGGTTCCCTTTGGGTTTTTGTGGAGGCATGGAATATGCATGTACAGCAAGTTTAACTTTTCTTTTTTTTAACTGATTAGAGCATGAATAATATTGTGCACTTTGCTTGTAAAGAACTTCTTGATGTCAATTTTTGACCCGTTGTTTTTTGCAAAGTCATAATTCCGATTTTGTCGGTGCCGTTAACTTTGACTGTGAATTTTATACACGAATTCTTTTTCTGCCAATTCATTAGCGGTATCTTGTAGACTGTTTCTTATTCTGGAGCCTGGTGTCAGTCGAGGAATGTTTTTATTTTTTAGAAGTGAAAACGCAGTGGGGAAACACGATGGTCCAGTATGAAACCGTTTACACATTTGTTCCACCATCTAATGCCAGGGAACGTACTGACGCTTTGCGTGCTAAAGTCGAGCCCGTGGAAGTTAAGGGAAAAAGTAAAACGCTGGATGATTTCCAGCATGAGCTTATAGCTGAGCAACTAAGTCCATTAGAATTTTGGATGGAATGCCAGCGGATTCTAGGAAAGAAATTTCCTCAACTAATGCCGGAAGTGCTAGCTCTGCTACCCAATTTGTCTTTGCAAGAGGAGATTTACGAAGTGGCTAAGGTGCCGATATATGGCAACCAACAAGTGGTCAAAGCGCTTGCTCTGTGCAAAGTTTGCAGACAGGTTGTTAAAACTGTCGAAAAGGATGAGCATGAGAAAGTGCACAAAGGAGCACATTAAATTGTTGGAGGTGGGCGATTTTTTTCGAAGTGCTTTCTGTTTAATTTTTTCGTGTTTATTGGACTTAATTTTCGCCCGAGGTGTGAGCAATAAAAAGGAAATTACATCGTATTTTTACACCGCAATACACAATACAGTATTTCATATCGCAGTACACATGTGGTTTTATTATCACTTTGAGGAAAGCATTAAATAGTGGTAGTGCAAATGGTATGGCATCGTTTACATAGAAAGCAAACGCATAGTACAAAAAACCATGCTTAATAGATAGGAAAAGTTTTATCGATTTCGCGATGCCAGCTATATAAACCACCTTTTATGTCTTTGATATCCATGGATAGACCATTCAGAATCTTCCGTAAAAGATGTACAGCAATCTGAGAATCATTTCCCCGCCGACATAGCGCAACTACTACAACACAAAAATAAATCATCGTGTCAACATCTCAGTTGTCAAGTTAATTCCAGAGAGTAAAACATCATCTGACGTCATAGTGAACATGGAAACATCACAAAGGCATACCACGGGAAGTTTGGGAATCCCCTTTTCTCGATAGAATCTGCTCTCGAATTTCATCAGATCTATTAAGATCCATAAGCTTTTCCATCGGAATATCTGATGAAATAACAGCGTCAGCATTACAATAAGTGATGTTAAATCCTAACAACAAATCAAATTTTGAACTAATTTGAACCCACTTAAGCAATCACGAAAGCCGCAGATCTCCAGTTCAACAGGAAGTCGTACATCTATCAACAAATGATCTTTTCCGATCTGCAGCATATCGTTATACTGGACCACACTAATTCGGTCAACATCAGTCAGTGTTTGATCAGCCGGTATTTCTGGCTGCAACGCAAAAATCCATAATTGATGCTACGAAGAATTCAGCCTTTTTTGCGACGATAAAACAGTTACAAATTCCTTGCGCACCTGACGCATCAAACAGGTATTAGGTCCGAGAAGTTCTTCGTTTAGTGATATTATGGAAGGATTTTCTCCACAAACCGGACAGCTAGGATTTCGGCTGCGCAGTTTAATGCGATAGAAAGTCCCAGTCAGGGCGTCAAAATGCAGCTGCACACCACCGAAGGAAACTAACATAAGTTCAGGCACATTACAAAAAATTAATAATTTAACACCATCTCAAACAAACCATCCATTCCACTTGCTAATTTGACGGCTTCTAGTGCTTGCAGTGCTCCCATTATGCCCGGCACTAAAAGGTGACCGATCAACAGGTGGAAACCAAAAACAAGTTGCTGCGCAGCACTCCTACTCGACTGATATAAACCATTACTACAATTAAGGCATCCATCATGGGCACTGTGTGCTACAAGCTTTTTCGTACCCGGCCCCATTACTCCATTATCGTCGCAACTTTGGGTCTGCAAACGATGTGGATCCGGAAATAAACATCTTCGGCATAAACTTCCTTTCCAGTTATAAACGCTTAACTGCAAAATGCTTATTCATAACTGATAAAATATTTTTTGTAACTGGAAAAATGTTTTTAATCCGCTTAGCAAATCAATTTTTTTAGTAAAATGATTGTAGACAGCCGAGCATGTAGGAAGTGCAACAAATCTGTAACTTATTAATAGCGGTGACAATTGTTTAGCAACATGCTACGAGTACTTAAACAATCACTAATCTCTGGGCGAAAAACGCGGCATAACTTATCTCATAACAAATTTTAAAAAGTAATTTATAACATTTCAAGATTGTGCAATTTTAATTTTCAAAGCATAAAATAATTCTGCCACATACCTGTCCATCAAACTTCAGTGCACTGGCAGAAACCAACGGTTTCCCAGCCAAAACACAGGCATCATTCAGCAGATATCGCGCGTACACATTGTCGGTGCAGTCCAAAACAACATCGTGAGTTTTCACAAATTCTTCCACATTTGTTGTGGTGAGAAGGGTACAGTGAGCCACTGGCTTGCACGCCGCTAGCGGGTTCAGACTTCAACCAGATTTGATTACGGTATTCTGACTTGCCCCATGGATGCAGGGCAATTATTTACTGTGCGCATAAAAGGGATAAAACCGACGAATTTTCTTACTTGTTGCAGCGCTCGGCTAAGACTTCTGCCTTGAATCTCCCAATGTCCTTCGTAGAATACATAATTTGACGATGGAGATTACTGCACTCGATTCGATCATGATCCACGATCGTTATTTTACCTGGAAATGTGATACAGAATCTGACAACCAATCTCGCAACATTCTCATGCAAAGACGCCACTACAACACAAACAACACGAATTTCCAATTTCGGAACGCGAACACGAATTACCTGCTCCGCTTCCAGCCAAATGGATAGCGGCAGTACACCCCAAGCCACCGGCTCCAACCACGAGGAACGAAGTGTTTTTTAACTGCACTTGTCCTGCAATCCACACAGATGCAAGAGGAAACTGCTATGAAAAATGTAGCACTGGTACGCACCTTTGAGAGCGAACTCAGGAAGGACTAACTGACGAGAATACTGCGACACTTCATCACTGGTCAGATTGCCCCTATACGTGAATAAATCCATTTTCATTTATAACGAATACCCCATTACAACCATCATAAGTCACAAAACATGAAATATCCACTGTCACGCAAAAAGAGAAAACAATAAAGTTATATGTTAACGATATGTAACGACTAACGGAGTCAAATACGCTGATGAACCGCGCGCGAGTTCTGTTTTGGTTCGGAGATTTTACAGTATGTAACTGACACCCGGTCCGGCCCGGATGCCGGCATCGTCAATTTCGCAATACGATGTACAATTTCTATTGTGCCTGTAAATAATTATTACGATGAGTAAGACTGTAATAAAGGTACACTGAACCGTTTATATAAATACTATAATTACATTAGCTTTACTACCTAATTATTATAATAGTATCATTAAGTAAAAATAAGCAAAAAAATGTAGACGCCGGTACACTAGTGTACCAGCGCTTGCACGTTTTGTTGAATCTGTGGCTATTGCCCATAAAGAATTACTTATAAAATAAAATTGTAGTTAAAGCTTAACAGTACAACTTGAAAAACCCTAATGGTAAGTTTCATTGTTTCAATATTGATATTTAATCTGAAAAGTAATAGAAAGGCAACAATAATTGTCTTGCATGGCATCATCATCATGCAAATGACATGCATGTCATTTCTAATTGTCAGTCTCTCACGAAATGTCCTTGATCAGCACTGAAAAATTGTGGAGCATTTAGCACGCAATGCTAAACCCATTTTGTTAAGTAGATAAATGTGAAAATCTTCGGTATAATTCCGTAGTACGTACATCTTTGATAACCTTTATGTTTTATTTATGAATGCGGTGACTGTTTTGTAATAACCGAAGCACATCAACGGAATGTTATAAGTGCAGTACCAAAGGACATTTTATTCCTTTTTCACTTCCTTCTGACAATATGGCAGCTTTCGTACACGCCTCACACTGGCTGAACATACACTTACTTAACCTTTTATATGCAATTTTTTTCCAAAAAAATTAAGTATCACAAGATGAACCAACCGTACTCCCCAGAAGTCAGATCAGGAGAGAACAACATCACCGATTCACCATAAGACCGTTATCATACAGTCAAAACACAATAGAACATCGAACTCTGACCTATATAAGTTACCGTAAACTAGAACTCTTTCAGCAAAACGCACTGTATTGTAAAAACATATTCCAAATCCCACTGTCTGCAAAATACTTTTTGGTAAGCGGTATCAACGGAATGCTCGAGCTGACCAGCTAGCTGGAGCCTCTTTCGGAGCAACACAGAAAACTTCGATACACTCTTCCGGGTTCTCCCTTGCACCGTAAAACTCTAACAACTCTTCCACAGCTCGTTCTTCAATCTGGATGATATGCATTGGCCGCGAGCGAGATCGCTGCAACTGGGCTTGTTGTTCCTGTTCGTCTCGTAAAATCTGTTGAAAGCTATCCACTGGACTGGAAACCGGCTCCGGTACAGCGGACGGTGAGCCCCACTGGGGTGATGCCTTAACAACTGGAACAAACTTTGCGGTCAGCTTCATATGCTTCTCCTGCACGCTGTTTACAGATCTTCGTGCAGGCGTTGAAGGTTTGGAAGTCGATGGCTGTGCTTCCACTGTGATCGCATTTTCTTCTTTCATCATAATATCACTTAGCAGTGTTCCGGATGACTGAGGCTTATTCCAAGGATTACCGGTACGCTTGGGTGGAGCACCTTCTGCTGAGGAAGGCTTCACTGGAGGAGTGACAACTGCCTGGGCTTCCTCGAAAGACAGCTTTTGACCTACAAATCGCTTTCTGTGAGGATTTTTAGCGCCATGGACAATCACTGACTGCGTTTTCTTCGCTTGCATAACACTTTCGCGTCGCTGCTCTTCGAAGATCGACGAAAGGCTACTTCGAGGGCCAGAACTGCCGCTTTGGACATTCTTATGAGCTTTGACAGCCAATGGAGAGGATGATGCTGCAGGTGGGAAGTATTCTTCTTCATCGTCCATACAGTCGACTTCTGGCACCAATTTGCTTGTAGACGGTTTGGATATTTCTGGCGGTGTGTCATGCAGTGTTAGCATGGACGAGTCATCAAATCCAAATGGTTTTGTTGAGCTTTGGGGAACGAAACTATCCACGCCGCCAGAACTGGCAATCTTAGGATCTTTCAATCTCCTTATTTTAGATTTTAAATCGACAGATGACACAACATGCCATGCTTCGCTTTCGGCATGAAGTTTTTGGTGGGAGCTGCAGGACTGGATCGGATTTTCGGTTTTCGAAGCCCGAGACACGTCGACAATATTACCAACTGTTTTATCAAGTGAATCAGAAATATTCCCTTCTTGGTTATATCTTTTTGTGTGCTTTTTAGATTTGGTTTTCGACGAATGTGGTTCCGTCAAAGAGTCGGGTTCAGTATCAACCGGATATTCCATCGGTTCGGTTAAATCAACAACGGCGGAATCGATTTCGGGAAAAGTATAAGGCGGAATGATACGCTCATCAAATACTTCATACCGTTCTTTATAGATGCTTGTTAACATCTTTAGAGATGTGACGTCCAGTGTCTCCAGTTGTCTTGATTCCAACAGATCTGCCAAAAAAGTACACATTTTTGGGATAGAATAAAATCCTAACCACGAATAATTTCACAAAATTGTGAGCACCAATACAAAAAATAATAATTACAACGACAATTACCTGGCAGCATCCACGACATTTGCTTCATACACTGCTCTTTCAAAGCCGCAGAATTGTGCATATTAGAAATCCTGTACAAATTCGCGACCTGGTCGCTATTAAAGGATGGCTTAAAATATTTCACGGCTTCTGTTCGCATTTTGTCCTCTACAAGAAAATCAGCCAAGCGTAAGAGATTCATACAGTCGTCCCAATTCCATAAAGGCGACGATATGCGTCCCGTATAAATGAATTCCAAAAAGCTCAGCCCTATCTTCTGATTGCATGGTAAAACCGGTGCGCGCTCTTTCATAGAATCCTTCCATCGATTTCCTTCCAACAAACATGAAAAATACAGCACGCGACTAACAAGCAACCACCGGTGACAGTTAAGAAGAGCACCATCTTCATCGCAGAAAATTTGCATATCCGGTTCAATATCCCATAAATTTTTGCCCCTAGCATAACAATTTTCTTGAATCTGGGGCCATTCTTTCATGTAGTAAGCGTTATCTAGATCAATTCGCAACTGGTCCAGTGAAGTGATTCCGCTCACATCCAACACCGTTGGAGTAGTCCGATCAGGATTCGGTTGGGGACTAACATTCAGTAAATGCTTTCGAAACCAACGACTGCCGGTTATAAGCGTCAAACGTTCCATCTCAAAGATGAATTCGTTGAAAATGATATGCACATCAGGCTTTACTGAATTCTCCTGACGAAAATTTCGCGATTCGCCTACCCAGAAATCATCAAACCATTGGGTAATGCAGGGCTGAAAATGGTACGGAGGCAGGGTTTGAATGACAGCAAAATTCCGGCCACCAGGCTCCGAGAAAACTTTTAATGCACGATGCAACCGTGGCACACGTTCGGGCATGCCAGTAGGTAATCAACTCTGACTTTCCGGACGATTTTTTGCGCTCAGGATGCGAGAGCTTCACTTTGTAACATTCTCCATACTGCGTGCATAACATTAGTGTGTCAGCGGAAACACTGAAAACAAAAAAATTAACAATCCAGTTAACGGAATTTATTGTGACCCATCACCTCTCAACTAAGTGTGCACTGTGCAGCAACCCTACACGTGCCCTTTATATACGTAGATATGGGGTTAAAAGAATAATTTTATTTACGTGTCAAGTAAAAAAAGAACGCATACAATAAACTGAATACAACCACATTCACAGTATTCTGAAGGGTGCCAACAAACGAGTTTTAATACGCTCAAAGGATGTATTGTATCTGTACATTGTGCCTTAAACATAAAAAAAGAACGACAAAACACAGCTATACAGCGAAAACCTGTGGGAATAACGTGTACAACCGTACCTGATGTGATAAATGGCTTCCATATCCCTGGGAAGTCCTTCCAGAGCAACCGGGAGCCATGATCCCTTTCCAGAATCCAGGTATAGTAGTGGCACATCCGAAACTAGTGCAACAATGACCAAACTGCGACGTAACGATGCTTCTTTTCCTGGTAATTCCAAATTACCCCCAAATACACAAAGTTCCGTTAACCGGCAGAACTGGTCAGGCCTTACTCCAAACAGGCGAGGCAATTTGGCTAATCGTTTAACTTCATACTCATGGAGAAGGATAATATCAAATTGTGCTCCGCAGACCAGCACGGCCGCATCGCTGCATCGTACAAACCGGGCAGGCATAAGAGATTTTATTTCCGTAATTTCACGGAACAGCACGGATATCAATTCCGCAGGTAATTCCGGCTTAACAAGGCTAGCACCCACAGTTGCAATTTTTTGAGACTTTCCGCTTCTGTCCGGCCTTGATCCTAACTGACCGCCATTGTAACCGCAAGCGTACAGCGAATCCTTCGTCCACACCATGGTATGACAGCGTTCCGCGGCTACTCCAATATACTTAACTTCCACTATAGACCCGCCCTGGCGCCTAAACTGGCCGTGGATCAAATTCGGGAGAGTAGAAATTTCGGTTGGAATCAAAACTGTAGCCGGCGTGCCGCTAATTCCCAACTGAAAATACTCATTAGATCCACATGCATATACCGCCCCTTGCGAGGTGAGGAAAACGCTATGATTCAAGCCAGCAGCAATGGCGATAAATTTCGTTCGAGGATGATTTGGAACAGAAATTCGTGTAGGATGGAGATAGGGTTGTCTCCATTGCCAACCCTAAGCGACCACCACGACCGTGTCCGCACCTAAAAAAAGGCGTCTTACGCTTATAAATAAATCAAACAATCGCACACTAAACTAGAAAATCTACAATCTATTCGGTATACTCGGTTCACTAACAAAAATGGAAAATATGTTTTAGCAAAAACTTTAGCGAAACACACACACACACACACATTGCCCCTTAAAAAAATAATTTGCCCAGTTTAAAAAAAATGCTTCCGGAAAGTTTTTGCTTACGCGAAAACAGTCCCATCTGGCGTCAGGAATAAAGTATGGAACTTCCGCAACACAATATCAATGACCGGAAGCGGTATAGCTTCCCGGATTCTGTATTCTGCTAGCTCCCGCGGAACGATCGTGTGCAGCGTGGATTTGGGATTTTTAAGAAGCTGATGTTCCTCTTGCGCAGGAATCTGCAGATGCATTTCTCCCCTGGCAATACTCCGCAAGGCTTCCAGACTAGAATTACCGCAGTTCGTGCAGGCAATACCCGACTGCACGCTCTGACAGGCCACCATGCATCGACCACTGGGAAAAGGAGCACGGATGCGGTCCGGAACGTTTCGTTCATGGTCATCCCCGAAGCCCAGTGTAAAATTCATATTACTTCCCCAGGAATAGAATGCCACCGGAAAGCAATCCTTCGGCTCTTCATACGACCGATTAATCACCTGCATCACATCGCCCATATCGAACAGTAACAACTGAGCAGCGGTATAGCCATCGTGGTCACGCAAATTCAAATCCACACCATTTGCAGCAAGGAGTGCAGCAGATTCGATCTCTAAAAATGAACGCTCAATCTTAACATAGCATGATGGACAAAAATCGTTTATGCTTTCATTTTTCGACAAAAAACTTACACTTACACTTTTGTTACACAACTTACACATTTGATAATCGATACATTTGATAAGCATACAACACCTGATTTTATTAACAGTACACTGTATACAGAGATAAAGGCTCCAATAAAAATGTTTCCCTGTCTGCAGTTCAAATTGTTTTCTTGTAGTACTGTATAATTTTATGTATTTTATTTAGCTGTAGGTATTTTGAGTACAAAACTGCAAATTAAGGACTTCGTTGCAACTTGCAGTCACCTCCGTGAAAGACAGCTCGATGCAGTGGACTCCAACCAGACTCATTATCCAATTCGTTGATTCCTGCCTTGTTTCCATCAGTACGACTGCCTTCCACAACGCCTCGCTGGCGCAGAAATAGCGATATTATATCATTTTTTCCGAGACTGGCGGCCAGATGGAGCCCGGACTGACCATAAGAATCTCTGACTCTGAAGGGTCTTCGTGTGGAGCAAATGCAAGTGAACCATCGAAGTAGATCTGAGCAATTTTTAGCGCGACTGACACAGCGCACCAGGGAGTTCTTGTGGCTCTGAGAATTACAGGAAACAGTGCAATCATGATCAGGCAGCTGGGATTTACACGGAGTTCCACCAGCAGGATTTCCATAATTGGCGTGCATGGTGGCTGAGACCAGATTTCGCTGCAAAAGCGCTGCGCCACTGTCCACGTCTGCAAACAACGAAATTAAAATATTGCTAAACAGACTGTGTGGGCCGCTGAAAAGACAAGAAGATAACTCCGACACTGCAACAAAATAAACACCACAACCACAGCAAGATCCTTTAATAAAAGAATATACTTCGCCTAATTCTCAAACCGAAAATGTGGCAGCTGTTTTGCTGTTACTTTTGCATATACCTCTCTTTACTATGAAAGGATGAAACAATTGTAAAAGGCCAACAAAATATGTATGATGAAATATTTCGAAACGCAGTCGCAGGCATCGGAAACTTGGAGATTCTGTGCTTTTGGATTGGTGCGCCTGCATCACGTGGTATGCATTGAAAGCTCCGCCCGCGAATTTTAACATTCGCGGCTGCCTGAAAAGTTAAAAACAACTTGTTTGCAGCACCGCAGCTTTTTAATTCAACACAGCTGGAGACCTGTTATCCGCTTTCTACTCCGTAGTGTTGTTGGCGTGTTCACTTTGAAGTACGGTCACATACCAACCACTGAGCCGTTTTCATAAAATTTACTTTTTGTATTCGTTTAAAATGATATTTTGACGGTTTTTGCTTCTTCAATCAAGGCGGCATGGTTATTTTTATAAGCTGGTATACCTCTTCCAGCACTCTGCAGATTTAGTGGACTTACGATTTAAAATCATGGTTTGATCCGTTTTGTACATTTGGAAAGAATATTATTGGGTTTAATATTTGGTGACCGATCCAAACGTCAGATCTTGATTGATACTGTACTGCTCATAATGTGATCATGGAGCATTGCGGGGCTTTAAAGTTTAAGAGCTCACTGTGATCAGCTTCAAGGTCTCGGATAACCAGCTACTTGTGCTGATGTTGCTGAGCTGAGAAAATGGCTGATCGTAGCGTTCAGTCTGCGGTAATAAAATCTGTGAAAACGAATTCGCTTAATCGGCGGATGACAAAACTGCAGTCGTTTTCCCAAAGGGTAAAATCCACAAATGCTTTTTGTAATTTTTACCGTTTACAGTATCAGCCTACTTTCTAACCGCGTTTAGGTCCAGTTGGATACAGTTTTGGGTCTGACAGTAACTTCAAACGCTGGCCTTGCTGTACACCCCACCACTGGGATAATTGCCTACACTGCTGGGTAAAGTATTTTTTGTCGGGGGATATTTCTAGTACAGTATAGCTTGCCGTGTAAATAAATATAACTATCACTTAAAATTGTTTCTGATTATAGTATTGTTATCCCTCGCCGGATTCCGGCTAACATAATATCATCTTATAATTTTTTTAATACACTGTTATAAATTCCAAATATACTCGTAAAGACCAGTGTCTCGTACATTTTGAAAGTAATTTGAGGTAATAGGTGCGATCAGCGATATTACCAAAATTTAACGCTATGAATTATTTAATCAGGAACTGCTTTTTGTTTCAGCTGCTCCGTGGTTCTGCTTGATCCTGTGTCTGATACGCAGCAGCATTTAATTGTTCCGAACAAGAGAACTTTGAGTGCCGTAACATTCAACAAGGACGGACGATATTTAGCTAGCGGAGAGGTATGAGCAATTACTTCTTAATTTGTTTGCGTTTTCATTGCTGCCATTACTTAGGGCCGCAAGCGTCATATTGTTTTACAAATATGATTTGCGACAATTCGTTTTGCGTAGCCTTTTTGCCTGCATTGAAGTTATTCGAAAATGCGGGAATTGAAGTATAAGCTGTATATCAATAATTATCATTAGTGACATTGATAATTTCGAAATTTTTTATTGAGTGCTCTTGGTAAACTTAATGGTTACTTACAATTTTTCAATCTTCAGTATAGTTTCGGGATTTTCTATTAATTTTAAGATAAAAAAACTCACCGTGGTGATAATTTGAATACTTCAAGTATGCACAATTACAGAATACTGGTACTGTAATTATATGTGGTTCATACACCGGTCATAAATCACTTTAATAGCAAAGGAATACTATTAAAGTGTCCTCATCGGACATTTATAACGATGATTATCTTCAGCGAGCAGAAAGAATTATACAAAACATCCTACTGAATAATTGCCGCGAGGTTGATTGCGGAAAAGCGATTTGACATTGTGTCGGACATTTGACGAGTATGTATTTAAACGAGCGATTTCATCGGCGATAATAGAGTGGATTATCGTCTGAAGGTGTACAAGTGTGATTACAAGCCCAATATTTTGATTAAAATACTGATGAGAAGATAGTGGTGCAGTTTGTTCGCTTTAGCCTAATAACAAGAAAGAACGCAAGGTTAACTCGTACAAGTACATAATGTAATTTCGGATTGACGGTAGAAGGCGTTTTTACGGTACATCGAAATGCATAAACGACCATGAACGGGTTAGAATAACAATTTATTAAGCTTAGAATCATCTAATTGTTTCTTTTATTCTGTTTGTTCTAGTGCGGACAAACCCCTTGCCTGCGCATCTGGGACACAAAAGAGTCGACTCAGATTTGTGAACTGACGGGTCACAAGAATGGCATTACTCTTGCTGTAAATATTTTTCATGCTTTATTACTCGCTTATGTCAGGAAGTACTTGTTGATTGTCTATGTTTTTAGGCATTTTCACCTGATTCACAGTTTTTAATCTCTGTCGGCACTCATCACGACAACCTTGTGATTGTTTGGGACTGGCGCAATAATCGAAAAGCGGCCACAAATAAAGTGACATGGGAGGTAAGGCGGCAACGGTTCGGACGCTCGATCATTACTGCATTTTTACGCATAATTGAAAAACGTAAACATCCACAATCAATCAATCATTTTTGGGATAAAAAGAATTTCCTATCGGTAGATAAATTTATAAATTATGCATCTTAATAATTGAGAATCTGAGATTTCATTTTGCTTTTTGTTTCCCTTGTTGTTTTTCGATGTCAGTATGGCGGTGATTTTGCATGTTTGACAGGTAAAAGGGATAGCGTTCTCGGAAGACGGCTCATTTTTTGTGACCGTTGGAAACCGTCATGTAAAATACTGGTATTTGGAATTAGAAAAGGTGAATGGGAATAATGGACATCAAAGTTATATATTATGCATGCGCACGAGTTATGTTTTAATTTATGACCGAAATTGTTCCGTTAGAACGCCCGAGCGGATATTGTGCCGCTGATCGGCCGTTCTGCCGTGTTGGGCGAATACAAAGATGAATGTTTCTTGGATGTTGTGTGCGGGAAAGGAATCTGTGCCGAATACACATACGCGGTTACACAATCGGGACATGTTTGCCAGTTTAACAGTCGAAGATCTCTGGAAAAACTGATGCCACTGAAGGTTGGCAATTAACAAACATTTCAGAATTTGAAATATGTCAAGCGGTAAAAAACGGTAATGACTAATAATATTGACCATAAGAATTATTATTAATATTGAATTTTTATTTTGAACATCATGGGTCAAAAGCTATGGGTGTAAAGCTATTCTGTTGTATCTAGTTTTGTGTGGTGAAGACAGCCGGAACACATAAAATTATCTATTAGTAATCCACATTTTGACCTGTGTTTGATATTCAAGGGTTTCTCAGCAGTGTTTTGCTTTATTTGCCAACTTTATTTGCGTGTCTATAGAATTCCGCCGGAACTTGTTTGAGCGCTGGTGAGACCGGTATTGTTGTTGGCTGTGCTGCGGGCATGGTCCGAGTTTTCGATCCTACCATGCTGACCCTAACGAAAATGCTTCCGCTACCTCACCACTTGGGTTTGGACGTTACAAAATTTACGAAAGCCGACCAACTGAGCCGGAGAAACACAGACGGAATTACCTATCCTGAATGCGTAGCGATTGCTTTTGATGAGTTACACGACCGCGTTATCGTCATATTTAATGACCACAGCCTCTATGTGTGGGATATTCATGATCCGGATCGAACGTCAAAATTGTGCTCTCATCTGTACCATAGCCGCTGTGTATGGGGTGTCGATGTGAGTGGTAATAAAATATTGAGCGATTTCAGTTTTAGAAATTTAATGGTCTTTTTTTCTTGCAGGTGTATGCACCGACCCATTTAAGAAAGTCGAAGCCATTATTGCCTTTAGGTTCTTTCCTGTCGTGCTCCAGTGATGATACAATTCGCATGTGGAATATAAATGCCACCAGACTGACCACGGATTCCACACCAACAAATGTATTTTGTACCTATACACAAAAAATTCTGTACAATGACCCGACACTTCAGTACATTTGCAACAAAGAGATCAATCCAGGTGAGAAAACGAGCAGTGAATTTCATTCTGATATTGGCTTGATTTTCTGTTTAAACTTAATTTTCGATGGAAAATATTCAGTTCCTTTTACCTTTCTAATTTCAGTAAATGCATTAAGTGAATGATATGAAGGAATGTATTATTGTGTACTACTTTATTAAATGGATTTCTTTTTATAAATAAATTTTTTTGTTATGGTTATGCGAACATTTCGTGACTACGAAATTGTTTTGAAGGTGTACAACACTCGTATAAGTTCTGTGTAAATCAGTTTGAATTTGGTAGGGGGTGTTGATCCTTTGGATGTGCACGCGGACAGCAAATACGGTATCCGTTGTGTGAGGATTGATCCGTATGGCGAACAGATTGCTTGTGGTGATCGCATGGGGCACATTCAGTAAGTTTTCTTGAAGTAGTTACAGATAACGGTTAGATAGCCGACCGCTAAGAGCGCCTTAAATGTACTATTATTGTATTGCAGCATTTATGAGCTGAATTCCATGAAGGAGACCTATAAAATTGAGGCACATGATTCCGAAGTGTTATGTCTGGAGTACAGTAAACCAGATTCAGGTGAGCGTTATCAATTGGATAAACTCATTTAAGTGCATCTAATAGTAAACATTGCTGATGCGGCAGGTTATGAGCTGCTGGCATCCGCTTCACGAGATAGACTGATCCAGGTCTTCGACGTGAAAAATGATTACGATTGTTTACAAACGTTGGATGATCATTCGTCGAGTATTACGGCACTACGTTTTGCCACACTAAACGGTGCCCGGCAATTTGGCTTGATCAGCTGTGGAGTCGATAAAGCGGTGATTTTACGTACCGTTCAGTACAGCCCGGAAGGCGGACCAAAACTGATCCTGAACGATCAAATACTGTCCAAAGGCGGGATCGTGTATGATATGGATATTGATCCTACGTCGCAGAGTATTATTACTGCAAACCAGGACCGGCAGTTACGAGTGTACAGTATTAAGAGCCGCAAATTGGAGAAAACCATTAAAGGCTCGGCTAGCGATGAAGGAGCGCTGATTAAACTGGATCTGCATGATTCGGGAAGGTTTATTGCCACCAGCTGCAGTGACAAAAATCTAGCTATTATCGACATGGTTGGTGGGGACTGTTGGGCGGCTTTTTCCGGGCATTCGGAGATCGTAACTGGATTGAAGTTTAACAAGGAAGAATCAACATTGATATCAGTTTCCGGCGACGGGTGCGTTTTTGTTCAAGACTTGCAATAAAATAAAAGCCGCGAGAGTCCGTTTTTAGCTTGAATTGCAATATATTTGTACTCGCATTCTGTTAAATTCAAGATATAAAAGCAACCATACTAAATTTATTCCGGTCAGAGCACGCAGTGCACGTATTTAAAGGACCGACAAAATTGAATTACAATTGACTTAAACACTGATATCACTGATCACTGAGACGATGGCGATATTGTAGGTGCATTTTTGTATGGAAAGTAGCGGCGGATCAAAACGTTTCCAGTCCGAAAACTCCACTATCTGAATTGGACCGATCAATGCCCTTAAGCCCAATGAACAGTGTGACGAGCTTTTCCGAGCTTAGTATAAACGGCAGTGATGCTGTGGATGAAGAACTTGAAGATATTTTCCATAATACGCCTATGGAGAACTCTTTACCAGGCTGGGCAAAGAATGCAGAGGGGAAAGTACTAAATTCGCCCAGTCAGGATTCGAGTGTGCCACGCGTCCGTGGGCGATGGGCTGATGAAATGGACCACATTTTCTTACAAGATGATCTTGTGGGCGAATCCGCCGATTCAGAAATGCACTCTTCACCAAAGCGGGTTTCTCCTTTTGGAGCCGATCGATCTTTGGTCAGTCCATTGCGGAGTGAACGCAGTTTTGCGAGTTCGTCTAGTGAATCGGTGAAAAGTATGGAAAGACTGAAAAAAGGTCAGAGCATGTTTATACCGTTTGAACAAGAGCCATTGCCACAGTCAACCAACGGTGTTCCGGGTGCGAAACGCTCCGGACGGCTGAGTGCCCCCTGGGCTGCTCATGAAGATGCCGGCCAACGGTCTGCAGTAAAAGCACAACCGTCGCAACCGTCCATCATGGGATTTTTGGGTGAGCCACGGAAGGCTGTCAGGGATGAATTGGACGATGAAGAAATTCCTCGTCGACCGATAGCTTCACCTTTGATCTTTAAGGGCCCTAATGATCTGGTTGCTGGTAAGTTATCGTGGTATTATGTTTAATCCGTGATTTATTAATACAAGATCACGTTTGTATTCGAAAAATCTTTCTTGGCGTATCCACAGGAAATTCGAATGCTCAGCCATGACGCGCAGTATTTTGTATTAGAACTACAAGATCAATGATAGTTACTTCATATTGATCATCTCTTGGTGTTGCTGTAGGTTCTCCAACTGTTCCGGAATCTGTGCGCGATGATTCGGGAAGCAACTCCACTGCCTCTATCTCAAGCCCTATGAATTCCCGGCCCCATACCCCTTCTGAAGTGGCTAATAAGTTTTTGAATCTGAATGCATCCGGTATTGACAAAATTCTCAAGAGTCGCTTACCTCATCGCCAGAGTGGTGTCGGCAAGCATCAATTAGCAGGGCCACTTACACCTGTCATCGGCGATGTGGTTGCATCACCGGCTCCTGCCTCTGTGGTAACCGTTGCTTTGAAACCGACGCCGCCTATATCTCCATCCAAGAAATTGATCCAGAATGCCAAACTTTCGGCCAACCGGCAAAAATTTAAATCGACGCAAAACTTATCAACACCACTGCAGAGCAGCAGTATTATTGAAGATGACCGTAATAGTCAAGGTACTCAGACTTCTCCTAGATTGTTGCCTATTGCTGGCGCTGCGTTGTCTTCTGCTGCTGCGCGATTACGTACTAGACCATCACAGCTTAGCATAAATGCACCGCTTCGTGGAGTCCCTTTGGGAATTGTACAACCATATCTGAGGCAACCGTCTCCGATGCTTGAAATTTCCTCTTTCTCTCGCGGTGGGTGGTGGCTTGCGGGGTGTGGGTTCTGTCTTGCGTGCACGCTTTCTCTTAAAATGCATGTGAGGCTACGGTAACTGCTGAATGTTTTACTACTATGACCACAGTTACGCGCTGCACTGCCGAATGTTTCGGAAAATACTTTTATGTTTTGCTGGAGAAAACACGTTTTTCATTTTTTACCCAACATTTAGGTACTGAACCCGCACAGGACATTCGACGGGCTACGTCAATGACCAGTCTTGCAGGAAGTGATTTCAAAGATCGCAACGGATGTAAGAATTTTTTTGTTGTGTTACGGTTCCGTTAGCAGAAATTGTAATAATTTTAATTTTTTAATTTTATGCAGTGGACGGCTATAACAGTTTGCTTGAGCGGGCCAAAGCTCGTTTGGCTCAAACAAAGCCGAAAACGGAAGATCATTCCAGTCCGCCTTTAACTGTACCGCAAAGGTCACGGTTAACATCACTTGATAATTCATTAGGTGAGCGCATTGTATATTCTTATTTGTTCTTATGGTCCGTGCAGTTTATGTCAAACGCTCTGCAAAACGTCATGTTACCTTGACAGACGGTTCGAATTCTCCTGACGGTGCGGGGCATCGGGAGAGCCGGGACCGGCGTCCTGTTGGAGGTCGTCTTTCTCTGGGCACTTTAAGAAGTCGTAGTAGCGAACGAAAAGCTCTGTCAACTCCGACCACAAATACTGCAAAAGATGAGGATACGAATTCAGTCTCCGCCATTAAACAGAGGTTGGAGCGGCGGGCACGAGAAAGCAGTACTTCGCGGACCAGTGTGACTGCTAGTGAAGACAACGTAGGAGAGTCGCCTACTGCTAAAGCCATTGCCCTTATAAAAGCTGGAATTGGTTTGACCGATAAGCCACTGGAAATTAACGGGAATGGGTTGGGTGTATCTTTCGAGCAGTGCCGACAACAGTGCAGTGATCTCGCTGATGTTACGAACAGTATTGTTGAAAGTATTACAAGTGTAAGTTGCGCTGTTTTGCTGGTTGAGTTAAAATTATGTGACTCGGTTAGGAAGTTATTCATTGGAGTTAGACGCTTTAAATTGGGAAGCGATCTAATGTTAACCGTGGTGTGATTGTTTTTAGGTATTACATGGCTCGCCTTCAGATCTAAAGACCGCTGAATTGATCAGCGCGTACTGTGATACGCTCTCAGAAACGAGAATCAAATTCGACAACGTTGCAAAATTGTTGAAGAATTGGGACGTTGTCAGGAAAGACGTTGCGGTATCGGATTATCCGGAAGAAAATTCTAGAGCGACTGTGCTGAAACTTCAGGGACGTGTCAAAAAATTTGTGGAATAAGTATCTTTTTATTGTGTACAGAAATGCTATTAAGTACCCCTTCAGTTTTGAAGATTTTCATTGTTTCTTCCATAGTGCATTCTAAGGTACGAGAGATGCCGGTTCTCGTTGCAAAACTCAGAAGCCGGTTGTTTTAGAAATTGCCATGATTTGCAATAAGTGCCAAAAGTTTTATTTGTTTTTTGTGGTATTATTGTGCCAAGATGGTTTTGGTGCCTGCCAGTCGTTGATGTGAGTTACTAGAATCTTATCGGTGTCTAAATTCCGATTTTTTTATTTGAAAAATGTATAGGAATAACCATGCCGTACAATGTACAGTGTACATGGGGGCAAATAAATGAGACGCTTCACTCGTCAACTCGAACCAAACGCAACTGACCAGTGAGAATGTGCCAGTAATTAAACCAACGATAAAAAAATATGATAATTAAAAATTACTCAAAAGATCAATCGCTATCAGAATCTGCAGAATCATTGGCCTTCGACCGGAGATTCTGAGTTCTGCCGAGAGTGGACGCAGAAGCAGGTGCCTTCGTCTTCGTAGGTGGAATGGACAAATCTCCGCTGAAATTAATTACTTTTCCATGCGCCAGACGCCATTCCAATTGTGCCGTAGCGAAATCGTCGCGCCCCCCAACATCGTCAAATCCCACAATATAATCGACCACTTTATCGTCAAGGACAAGAGCGATGGTAGGGATAACTACAATACGCAGCCGTTCGGCCAGGAAATGACAGCGTTCCACGTTGATCTTCACGAAACGTGTCTCCAAATGATCTCTAGCCAGCAGCTCCAAATGTTGATCGACAATCTGACAGCGCTGTGTGGTAGGTCGATAGAAGTGGCACACTAAATTTTTGCTTTTTTTGCATGCTTGGAAGAAGTCCTTCTCGTCGCCGAGCTCGGAAAACACTCCATGACCGTTCGATCTCCACTCCTACAAACCCACAATTAATATGATTTTCCATTGCGGTTTACTGTTACGGACAGACATGGGGTAGTTTAAAAGTCGCATTTCGTAGTTCACTTACTTACAAACATTCAAAATAAACTGGAAAATGCCGGACTCCATGCGGCAAACTAATGTAAGCGAGCTACTGTGATATAAGTGTATGTGGATTCATGAAGTACTTCGCAACTGGCGAGACCATTACCTGCTTCTTCAGAGCTTCGTTCTTCATGGCTTGCAGTCTGCGTTCGCGAAGAGCTTCAAGATCGTCTTCATTTGATGCCAATTCATCAAGCCGTTTGATCTCGCTGTCCAGTTGGGCTTCCACAATCTTGCCAGCTTGCAGTAACTGCTGCTCCAGAATTTTCTCCATAGCTATTCCTAAGAACGAAATAAAAGCTATGATCTATTAATTATTAATTTAACATTCACCAAATAAATTAGAAAATGCTGAATTTCAAAAAGCAAACTGTAAACAGTCCTGGTAAAACTGCAAAAGCGATGAATATACTCGCACCAAACAAATGAACGAATTTTTGGAGAATGCCATGACTATGCTGTATGCGTACTATGTGCACTTTGGCACAGATGACAGAAAATCTTAGCGTAGGGGCTGTTTGTGTACGCTTACGGTACGTTGTAAGTATTTTTGCCAGCTTGTCTGCTTGTTGTTGCATTGTTGCTTTTCTTGGATTTCTTGTGATCTTATCTTTATTTTTGTCCAAATTTTGTTGGGGCCTGATTTAGTTTCCCCGCAATTTTAATATCTCCAGATATTCTTAATAATAATAAGAATGCTTTTCCACGGTAAAAGTATGCTTAGGACGCGAGCTTTGTAAATTCGTTACGTTAACTGTTCAGATTGTTGCGGTTGTGGTTGGAAGATCTCTTGCCTTTGAGATATCGTTTAGCGACTTCTGCAGCAGAACGTGAAAATGCTGCAACTGCAGCGCTGCTGGAGTTTGGCCAAGACATCCGGTTTTAGAGTGCGAACTGTACTGCGAAAGACTCAGCTGGAATCTTTGGCTTATTGTCGCCTGAATTATGCCAGTCTTAGTCATGCTACTCCGCTTCGCAAAGCCGTCGATGTGGAGCATGTGGAGAATCCCGATGGAACTTGCAGCCATGCTAATCAAGCTCAGACTGCTACCAGCTGGCATGCAGCCTTAACTTGCCCTAGCTATTCCAGCAAAGAAGCCTACAGGGATTCCTCACGCTCCTTTTCCTATCAGGATGTTGCCTCGGCGGCTTATGCTAATCACCTGAAACTGGAAGAGGATTTCAAGGTAGAGAAGACCATTAAGTCCAAGAGCAAGACACTGCATGGGAAGCGCATCGCCATCTATACTCCCCACGATGTTTCCTTCGTCATAAGTTTGTGGTCTACATGGCTATCAGGTATATCTAGAAAATTTTGATAAAAGTGAAATAATTGGTTTTACGGAAATCGACTTCAGTGAATTGTATTTAGCTGAATGTGAAGTTTTGCTAATTTGTTAGCTGCTAGCCTAAAAGGTATGAACCATAACAGGTTAACAGGTAAGGTAAGAGTTTTACAGTTTTGCTGTAACTTGTTAACTTACAGAAAATAAAGCGAGAAGCGCGAGTGTGTGGCGCATGCAAAACACGTCGTACTTTGCTTTTGTGGTTTGCCCTGCAATTTCAGTGCTATGATTTTCAGTATGTTTTGAAACATTTTGCTCTTTGCACGCAAAATTTTTCGGTTTCAGGTGGAATTGCCGTTCCATTGGGTATCAAGCATCCGGAACCACAATTGGAGTATTTCTTGAAGAATTCAGACACGTCGGTGATATTTTGCTCAGAAGAAACCCGGCCCTCAGCGGAACGCATCGCCAAGGCCTGCGGCGCTGAAATCCTCCCGATTAAGCCAATTTTTCCTGTCTCCAATCCCGAGGAATTACGCCGGGCAATTACTCCGCTGACTCCGCCAGAGGATGACGCTGCCTTAATTCTGTACACCAGCGGCACCACCGGACAACCCAAGGGTGTTCTCTGGAAACACAAAGCGCTGACTGGACAAGTGGCCTCCATGACTGAATCCTGGCGGTGGTCATCGGAGGATACACTGCTCCATGTTTTGCCTTTGTATCATCTGCACGGCTTGGTCAATGGACTCATAACGCCCCTATCATGTGGCGCGGCTGTGTGGATGGAGCCCGAATTTAAACCGGAAACGGTAAGCTGATGGCAGTTTTCTCTCTTTGCTGTGGTAGACTGCCGGTTTACTCGTGTGGTATGTGTTTAGGTGTGGAGACATCTGCTCAGCACGCAACAGAATCGAGTTAATGTATTCACCGCGGTGCCGACCATTTATGTTAAGTTACTGGAGTATTATAAAGCTCATCGTAATAAACTGCCCAGTGAGAGCGAAGTGAAACGCATCTGTCTTTCCAAAATGCGCTTGATGATAAGTGGTTCTGCTCCGCTGCCGGACAGGTACGTTAAGAATCAGGTTCCGGGATTTTTCAGATAATTTGTGTTCACTCTGTGGGTTTAACTCTGCCGGGTTTGCTTTTGTTTTGATAGTGTTTTCCGGGCTTGGGAAAATTTGACTGGGCATAAACTCCTAGAGCGATATGGAATGACGGAGACTGGCATGATTTTAACCAATCCCTTAAATGGTCCACGGCTGCCGGGCACTGTAGGACAACCCTTTCCGAATGTGGTTACACGGATTGTGCCTGTGAAAGAGAAAGAAAATGCAGTACCCAAGGAGGGTGATAAACCTACAGAAAAGCCTACCTTTTTGGAAAACTTGAAGAAACACGCTGGCAAAAGTAAGGAGTCAAAAGAAGATAAGGAAGCTAAAAATGAAGACCACATAAAGCATGTCACTACGGAGAGGTTGGATGAACCGGTGGTCGGCGAACTTCAGGTACAGTCAAAGGATAAGTGTGTTAGTTTTTTTCAGACTCCAGATTTTTGAAATTGAAATATTTGCCGTAGGTTTCGGGTCCCAATATTTTCAGTGGATACTGGAACAACGAAAAAGCCACCCGCGAATCATTCAGCGATGATGGTTGGTTTCGTACGGGCGATACCGCCGAGTTGCGAAATGGTGTGTACCGTTTGCTTGGTCGTACCTCGACAGAAATTATTAAATCGGGAGGTTACAAGCTGAGCGCATTGGATATTGAGCGGCGGTTAACTGAGCATCCCAGCGTTGCGGAATGTGTTGTGTTTGGTGTACCGGATGCCGTATGGGGTGAGAAGGTGGTATCGTATATCTTGCTGAATGATAAGCCGTCCGAAGAGTTTCTGAGTAATGATGCAGAAAGAATTCATAAGGCCGTTGCCGAATGGATAACCCAAATGCTCCCCGCGTATCATGCACCCAGAGAGATCAGAATTGTCAGGAAATTACTCGAAATCAAATGGGAAAAGTTAACAAGAAGGAACTTGTAAAAGAATACCAGGCTAGCACCACTGCTGCTAAAGACCAGTCGACCACTCCAAGTGCTAAGGACGCATCTCCGAAAGCTAGTTGATTGAATGTTTGTTTCTGGCGCATTATAGTGATTAATCTTCTGACGGATGACAGTGTCGTTCCAGGATGTTTCTGGATGTTGATGGTGGTATAGAGTGTTTATTGATAGAAAAGCATAACTTAAATTTAGTACTAAACTACGTACTAAGCAAGTTTTTAAAGAGGAGCGATGCGTGCATTGTGCCAGTTGTTCATCGCATTCTGTTTTTGGTTGTTGCAGTTCCGATGCACGGTAAAGTCAAACAATTAGCTTATCTGTACAAAATTTGAAACAAGATAAAGGGTAATAGGGCAAGTATGAATTCTACACTCCTGTGTGTCATTGTAACCAATTATAACTTGTTATTACATTTTCAGTAAAAGGAAGCCGGTTACGCGTAAGCTTCCCAGTAACGCGTAAAAACTACATAGTACTAGCAGTAAGCCTAACGCAGGTAAAACTAAACGTGGGCTTAGAAGGGCTAAATTTATTTCAAAGCAGTAATCATCAGCTATTATCACCAATAATTCGAGATCGCGCACTGCGAACAGTCAAGATTTTACTAACACATCACCATTTCTGAAATGTTTCACAAGTCAAATCAAAGTTGCCAGACTATGTTGAAGCGGAAGAGCGTTTGGGTAGCTTTTGACTGGAATGGAACGACACAAACCACTTTTTCATAGGATACTTTTCATACAATGTGGACAAAATACTTTCTAAAATCACATAAAATAACCGGCGATTCAGTGCGGTATTCTGCAATAAGTCGAAGAATCTCAAGGCACCTCGTTTGGTCGTCTGACTGCCCAACGTCGCGCTCAGATGCTCGGTCATCATGGTCAGCAATACGGATTTTGCACACACCCGTGCGGCATACTTATTGCGTTCATCGCGGGGCTGCGCCGGTTCACGAGGTATTCCTCCAGGCCAGAGAGCATTCTTCATGGCCGACAAAGCCTTGGCGATCTCTTTAGTCGACGTCAGCTCGTCCACATAATCCACAATCATCCTGTTAATTTTATCCCCGTACACTGCTTTCATGGTCCCTTTTAAAATTGTTATCACTTGACTGCGCAGCCAAAACTGTGTAGTCGATTTGAGATCGAAAATCTCGTCCATTAAAGTCATCATAATTCTTAAAGGAATGTTCTCGTTGATTTCACTGTCGAAAAAAGCACCATTCTGGGCACCGGAATCAATAGAATCAAGGTTGAGAACTTTAAGGAAGCCATCGCGGATCGTGTCCGAGAGACGTGCCACATTCTGTGGCATGGCTAAGACTGCGTTTGTCATGGAGCGAACAGAAGTTATGACAGGTAAAACCATTGTGTCCAGTCGCCGTTCAACTCCGTTCCGAGTCATCTCGTACTTTTCTTGTCGCAGAAAGGTTTCCATTATCTCTGCTAAACCTTCATTATTTTTCAAAACATCTTCAAAGAGCAACGTCTGCAGATACAGATGGAGCTCTGTTTTCCTTCTCGACAACACTTCATTGGTCATGTTATTGAGCTTCTTTCCGGGGAAATTCAGGCCACTTAAATTTGGGAACAGCCTTTCAATCTGCACGTGCAGATCATGGAATTCCATATAACGCCGACAAGTTGTCCACACTTTCCCTTTCCCATCAGGATACTGCGCGGTCACTTCGATTAAGTAATTGGTGAACGATTTACGAGTCTGCGGATCCCTGGACTCCATAGTGGAGGTAATACTGGCTGATAAGCGCGGCTTTCCTTGGTGATCTTTGGTTTCAGAAGAATTATCACTTTCTTCCATAGGACGAAGCAGATTCAGTTCTAAAAGCATTTTCATATAGCGATCCGACTGCTCGAAAGCCGGAAAATAGTTTTCGCGGATAATTTTGTAGATTTTATCCTGCATTTCTTTAAACGCATACGCCGACGGAACCTCCTGAATGAGCATTTTTCGGGCACGCTTCAGCAGAATTTCATCCTCCATGCTGATTTGATACTGCGTTTGGTTGGAAAAATAATGAGAAATTATGTTCAAGCCTTGATTCCGAAGTAATTCGAGCTTATTCTGTGTTCCGGTGCTTTTGTACTCCTGAAAACGCAGACAAAAGCTACAAAATGGAACTAAAGAATGTGTAAAAATTAATTAGTAACGTAAATTGTCTACCCGGAGCGCTTACTTTGATTTTACGCTTACCTCCAGCAACTGTTCTGCAGAGGCCTGAAATCCAGCACAAGTCAAGTAAAAATGAATTAATGGCGTTCCGTTCTTGGTTTCCATATAGTTCATGAAAAAAGCTCAGAGCTATGGAATTATCCAAGACTTCTTCCAGACTGGGCCGTTTAACCGGCACCATGCGAGCGAAATCGTTATACGTTGTCGCGGCATCCAGGGAATACTGCGAGCGATTGTCGTCGGCGCCACTGGCTACTAAACGCACCCGGTGATCTAACAGCTGCTTGATGTACAGTAGACTATTCAGTTTGGCTTTTGTTTCTTCACTCGCACTGCCTCCAGTATCGTTGGCACGCTGTATCGCGATTTCCGTAATGAGCATTCCTTCCAGCACTTTCAGTTCACTCAGATTAGGCGACGCTCGCAGAACTTGCACAAAACACTCGTTGTTGATGCCGATGTTTTCAGCAGTGCAAAACAGCCATATTATCGTCTGGTTGATGTAATCCGGATCACAAAATGTTTTGAGCAACGACTGGAAAACTTGAGTGGCTAACACTTCTTTGGCCAGCTCCCGGTATGGAAGACATTCAAAGCTTCGGTGACTTCCGTGCATATATACGAGTTGGTGACTTAACTGGAGAAAATAATCTTTTTCTGTGACCAGATCTGCAGAAAAACGCAATGAGATAATGAAAAAAATCAACGAAAGTATGATTCGAAAAGCAAGCATTAATTATTAATAAGCAGCGCAAGAGTGCCGAATGCACAAGAACAAGATCATACTGGCATACAGTAAAAATAGCTTTTATTAGCGAAAGATTAATGTTTTTCATATTACGACGATGAAATCTTTGGCCATAGAATTTTCCTGTCCAAAGCTTACGGTCTACTGACGATTTCTGTGTTATTTTAAAGTTTAAACTATTAAATAAATCGATAAACCACCTGAAACACAAAAACACATTTTTTCATTTTCTACTGCTTAGAATATGCGGCTGTTTACCTATACATACGGCTTCTCTCGAATACCCGAACTCTTTCTCCTCCAGCTGGAAAAAGATCTGCTCTATCGTGTATTCAGGATCTTTGGTACGACTAGCTATTCTAAACAGTCGCACGTGTGTGGCAAATATTTGGATTAATTCTTCTGTACAAAACTGCAACCAGTTGATATCCTTGCAGAGGGCGGAGAAATCCACAATAAAATTGTGCAGTTCACTTCGTAGCAGAAACGGAAATTCCTCGTCATTCTTGAAAAACATTTTGTACCACGCCAGTAAATAATCGCGGAAGATGAAGTTGAGCAATTCTTGCAGCTGCTCATCCACAGCGCTACTGCCCGTTAACCGTCGATCCAGTTTCGGCGGCTTCTGTCGGGAGGACGAGCATTTCTGCCAGAAACGATCCGAGAAAAACTGCTCATACCGGAAAGCCCGCAGTTGGAAAGGGTTGCGCTTTAGATACGCTTTGCTGTACAAGGATGCAATATATGTAGCACCAAGCAGAAATGGAGGGATTGTACACAGGACCAACCAAAAAAATCCAAACAGACTGAATCCAGAGATTTCTAATATCAACAGCACGACGACGACAACAAGCGATCCACCTAACAGCTTCGCAGTCTCCATAACGCCATGAATTCAATTAACAACAAATTAAATCCACAACCGAAATCCACGACGAGACACATAAATAAACATTTCGTGAAAAATAATACCGTTGATATTGGGTCGTTCAGTTAAATTCAACTACTGCGCACCAGTTCAATCCAGAAATTCACTAAATATCTGACATCTCTATCATGTAGTGGTTTTTCACAGGAGGATGGGAACGGACGGAGGCGTCAAAACCTGACGCCACTTCCAGATAACGAGTCCTTGGAGGCATGAACCATATGGCATATGGCGAGCCATCTGATTAAATTTTGTAAACTTTATCGCAGTCATTAGTATCACACAGGTTTGCACAAACACCGTAGGCTTATAATGCACTCATACAAGTAGCGCATAGCTGCGGTGATAAAAATAAAATAAACAAACAATGCGCCATCACAGTTCACAAGATTCGCAGCATATGAGACACTTGTGACTTTTCAGCACGGTCGGTCTTTCAGGATCATCTGCAAAAAAATTTGTTGCAAAAAAATTTGAAATGCCACTTGTAAATTGTATCTAAGGGTCTTACCGGCTTAAAAATTTTCTTGGAAAATTTTCTGAAGTTCCTATTCTGCAGTATTTCACAGTTTAAACTTCAAAGTCAAATACTTTCGCAACAAGAGTACCGCTAAAATTCCCAATAAATAATAATCACTGCCAAATTCTGGTTTTGATAGAATACGCAACGAAGTCCGCTTACATTTCGACACGAAATCGGCATCGAAATGTCCTGGACGTTGCACTGAACGTTCGTGTATTCCGACTTAATTATAGCGAATGGCGTGAGAATTCCGTATGGGCGGGCTGATGTGCTCGATTGCAAACGGCATCGTCATATCTCTGAGCAGCTTTAGTCTATTTGTCTATAGTCTAGATCGGAATCCATTCCACCCTGACTCAAACGGTCCGCTTATTTTTAATTCTGCATTTTATTTTTGCCATGCAAGGGCAAGGCAGCATCCTAAAATTAAAAACTGTTTGACTAGTGTTTGTTTTTAAAAATTTTTCGGCGCTTTTATGATCGCACTACAAAGTAGCATTAAACTATACTTCGCTGCTGGTACCCCGTAATCTGGTATTTTGAGGATTTTAGGCATTGTTGGGACAGATCTCTAGAGTTTCTGTGGTTCTGCGATTTAACGATCGAGAGTTTGGTTTTCGCGCGGTGAAGCTTTGAGTTCGGACTAGAAGTCCGTGGAACTTTGATTTGGAAGTTGAAAATTGAGAATCATCGGAGAAGTACAATGGCTTCGGAAGGTACTTTCTGCTTTCCACATTTTGACTGATGCTGTAAGTTATAAAAGGGAATTACACAGGTGCAATGGTAGGCGGTCGGCCGTCTGAAGAAGAGGAAGACCGCATTGTCAACGAAGAGTACAAAATCTGGAAGAAGAACTGTCCGTTTTTGTACGATCTGGTCATGTCGCATGCATTGGAATGGCCGAGTTTGACAGCGCAATGGCTCCCGGATATGCAAAAGTATGAAAATACGTGCTTCGTCTGCTATTGCGCGTATTAGAATGTCATACCATTTCGTTTTGGCTTACAAGTGAGGAACCTGTTTGTAGGCACGACGACAAAGACTACATTAGCCATCGCGTCATCCTGGGCACCCACACGTAGGAATGATCATCCCTGGCAGTGGCAACTTTATACGTACTTACTATCTACCGGATGCGTTTCAGGTCTGACGAACAGAACCATCTGGTGATCGCGGCCGTGAAGCTTCCTAACGACGAGCGCTGCTTCCGTGCGGATCGTTATGATGATGAACGCAATGGTAAACACAAGTAGAAAATTGTAACACGCTTGCACTGGAAAAAATCATTTTTTAAAATTTCGCATAGAATTCGGTGGCTTTGGATCCATTGGGGGAAAGATCGATATTGAAGTGAAGATCAACCACGAAGGGGAAGTGAACCGTGCTCGTTACTGCCCGGCCAATCCGCACATTATCGCTACGAAGACGCCACGCAATGATGTTCTAATTTTCGATTATTCGGTCCACCCTACACGCCCAGGTAAGGATATTTCGACTCGAAGTGTCTTCCTGGATTACAGGTGTTTCGTTCGGCTGTGTAGCGGATAACCGTGTCGTCCCGGATTTGCGCCTGAAGGGCCACACAAAAGAAGGCTACGGTCTGTCCTGGAACCCGCAAAAAAATGGCTACATCCTCAGTTCTTCGGACGACATGGTACACATTTAGTTGTAAATGGTCATCGCACCGGTTTCAACGACGAAAAATTCAGATCAGCGTTATCTCGTAGTTTATCGTTACACATTAAAGTTTACAGATTGAGAAATTTGCCTGTTTTTAATGGAACTATATAGTTGAGTTATTCTTTGGAATGATATCATCTCCTTGTGGTTTACAGACCATTTGCCTTTGGGATATCCATGCTGCAACGAAGGATAAGCGAGAACTGTATCCCAAGGATATATTTCGATCGCATACTGCTGTTGTAGAGGTACTGATAGTTTTCCTTGAATGTTTTACCTGAGAGAACAAGATTTTAATGTTTTGATCCTTTTTCTTATTTCCGCTATACGCTAATGATTTTATGTCTCTAGGATGTGGCATGGCATGTTCTGAACGATTCAATTTTCGGATCCGTGGGAGATGACCATAAGTTGATGATTTGGGATACGCGTCATAATGATCCCATGAAGCCAAGCCAGATTGTTGATGCACACGAGGCGGAAGTTAACTGTCTATCTTTCAATCCTTACAGTGAATTTATTGTAGCTACGGGATCGGCTGATAAGGTAAGTACATCTTTTTATTCGTCGTCTAATTGTATTTAGTAAGTTCCATTTTTTAGACTGTGGGGTTGTGGGATTTGCGAAATCTCAAATTGAAATTACATTCCTTTGAGTCCCACCGCGATGAGATTTTCCAAGTTCAGTGGTCTCCACACAATGAAACCATTTTGGCTTCGAGCGGTACTGATCGGCGACTGATGATTTGGGATCTCAGGTAAGCAAACGAGTTCCACAATATGGTTGTGACGTAAGGTTAGTACGACGCATGCCGGTGTTGATTCAATGGTAGCACAGAAATTTGGTAGTCAGTGACTAGTTTCCATGTGACAGACAGTTAAATCCAGAAAACTGCAGGAGATAAAATATTTGGGTTTTTCTGTAGTAAAATCGGAGACGAACAGTCTGCCGAGGATGCCGAAGATGGCCCTCCGGAACTGCTTTTCATCCATGGTGGCCATACGGCTAAGATCTCCGATTTTACATGGAATCCTAACGAGCCATGGGTAATTTGTTCAGTGTCCGAGGACAACATCATGCAAGTGTGGCAAATGGTAAGTGGTTTGATGATCTTGACCCCGTTCGGGATTGGAAAGAACATACAAAATTAAAGGGTTGTGAAGACTGTTTCTGTATTTATTATCTGTAAAATATACTGCTGTCTTGAGACTTACAAAGGTTTACAAAATTAAGGTGATACTATAATTCAAGGGGCAATATTTCTGTTTTGTCTTAAGGCGGAGAATATTTACAATGATGAGGAGGTGCCCGGCGGCGGTGATGCGAAAGTGGCCTCGAGTACCAGCAGCTAATTTCCCAGCTCTTCCGGAGATCTTTTTCCCCCTGAACTGCTGGTTGATTTGTTCTTAGTTAGTTTTACTTGTTGTTAATTTTCAGTTTATAGCTGTATTGCATATTTCCATACTACTTTTTTTAAGCACAGTCCACGCCATTTTGTAGTAGAATCTTTTTGAATCTGGTGTTTCCGAATGGTTTTGGTACAGAAAGAAAACAGAAAATGCATTACTGATGCTGCATTGTTTGCTAGCTTTTTATGTACCTTTTTAGTTATTGCAACGTCGCAGTGAATCGCGGAGTGTAGTTCTTCATACACGGCCTGTTTACAATTAAAATTCGAAGCAATATTGAATTGGTGATTTGATTGCAACACAGGCATTTCTAAATTCAAACCATGAGCTCATGCAATTCACCAGTTCAATACTCATAGTGCAAAGTGGTTCCATCCTAGTATATACAAATATTACCTCTAAAAAGTTCAGAGGACTTCTATTCTTTGATTTGATACAACGTAATGGACGCGATGTGTCCATTTGGCATCACCTCGAAGATCATGTCTTGATATCCATAGCAGTATGTTGGTCCAAACGGGTTTGTGGCGTTAACTGAGGATATTCTATTTAGAACTATAGGACGAGATTCAGGCCCCAAAATGTAAGTATGGATTTCGTCCCACTACAAAGAAAACGGCTCATTAGCGTCAGGTCAGCGTTAATTAAATCTGATACACATGTACGTCATATAGTCGTCTGTGATTTCAATGAACTCACTTATTCGAATTTAGAATCGGGTACACATTTTGGACGAACAAGTGTTGTTCGTGCAAACGCAATATAAGCTCTTTCTCGTTCCACTTAGAACAATTTTTTCACACATCAAAGCTCAAGCACGGCGCACTGGTTCAAGCAAACCGCAATCCGATGTACCTTAGAAAAAGCCGTCACTGTCATCGGTTCCGTTTGGTCCAGTAGCGACGTTTGTGAACCCCCATCCACAGGGGTCGACTTCGTCAATGGTATTTTAAACATGCACCGATAGTAAATATTGAAGTCGTAGTGGCCTGGATAATTTGTATGGAGAACGAATTTTTTAGCACGCTGAGTAACAGCATCAAATAGGATATCCTGCAAGAGAGGTAAATGCTATTATTAATCATACAAGTAGCTTGTAACGATCCCATAAATGCAAACATACCAGTCCAAGGGTGAAATAATTGAAGAAGTAATCGGAACGGTTGGTAGATTGCCGTAGCTGCTGCTCCGGCGGGGCGTGAATCTTCATTTTATCTTCGGCTTTATAAAATATTTTTCCAGGCGCACCCAGCAGGGACAGGACATCCTGAACCGTATTACCAAAGCAGATTGTTTTTGCCTCCTTTAGCTTGCTCGGGGATGTGCTTGAATCAATACCTAAGCAATCATGAAAATCAACATCATGATCATCAAAACATATGAGCCCATGAGAAAGAATGTGAAAGTTCTACAAAGATTTCTGCAGTCAAATCTCAAAGTGATCCCTTAGATACTTGCTAGTAATATCAAAAAAAAATTCTAGGATTACGGTAAATAGCTTAGTTTAAAGTGTTAATATTGTAGCTTCGCTGTACATGTTTTTCATTGTCTAATAAGATGTAACAGTTTCAGTTACACAGAAGTAGACATTTAGTACTCGTATAGTTTGTGCACTTAACCTATCCACTTACAAAGCAACCTTTACAATACATGAACAGTGCATGCAATATCCCGCATGGCCTCGCAGTTTCAATAGTATAAGACAACGCACGTGACCTTAACGAGTACGGCACCAAGGAGCATGTACCTTCAAACATAAGATGTACTTGAACGCCAAATGTTCGGGAATCTTCGCGTAAAACATCCAAACTGTGGGAATACACTCCTCCATTGTAGCAATGGAAAGGTAGTTCAATCACTCTAACGAAAACAACCACATTTTATATATACTATTATAGCTGCAACAGTTTGTAGCTTTGTATTAATATTGCACAACTGACAATTGTCCTTTTTGACTCTTCACCCGACCAAGCGACAACAGCAATACTTGTATTGCACTGCTTACATATTTTCCAGGCTGTTATTGGACTACACATCACATATGCGCCTTTAAAAAACACTTACTTTGCTTCGGATAAACAGCTGCCACTGAACACGGACATTTTCGACACTAATACGGAATTCAGATTAGGAAATTGTGGATTGGTTCTCTCGGCCGAAGCGCTTTTGTTCACAACAGCGGGAAACGAGAAGGATAACCCACGGAAACTCAAAATAAAGGACTGCTGACTATTGTCGAATTCCGGTGGCCTGGTGGCTCCGAATGAGAGATCAATCTGGCTTCGTGTTGGAGATATTTCCGGAGAGCAAAAAACAACGCCTCTACAAGGAAAATACATCATTCTTTCTAGTGATAATTTTAAAAAATGGTTTCTTAAACGCTTTACTTACGCATATTTCAGTTTCACTTTGCCCATGTCAAACACTTCTATTATCTTCAGACGCTGTGACTGCGAATCGAAGATGAGGCGTATTCCATCGTTTGTCAATTTCAAAACCAAATCGGCACTTAAAGGATCCTGTAAAATTTGCCTATTAAATTTCAAAAGCAATATAATAATTTAGAGAGAAGAATGCACATAAAAGTCTGGAGCAAGTATAGCGTGCTAAAAAACGAATTCAGCATGTCATGCCTAACAAGGCAGACCAGCACTGTGAATAAAGTACGCAAACAGGTTTCGAAAGCGCTCCATTCTTCTTGGTAACTGACAATAAAGCTTCAATCTAACAGTAAAGTCACAGTGGCTTATAAATGCACTCACGTTTTCCACATAATTCACATCCACGACACTAACGTTTCGACACTGCTTCTGGAGGATCTGCACTGCCTGCATGAAAGGCATACCTGCGCCAATTTAAATTCGAATAAACTAAATATGTCTAAACACCACTTAGAACTTCGAAAATACGAAACCACACCAGAAAAACAACCAAAAACGTTACGGTTTTAATAATAATGACCAATTAATCGTACTGATATTTTAACTTGCCCAGTTTGAACTCGCAATTATCGCATCCCAGGGAGCGTTCAGGAACAACTTCCAAATCCAGCATGATGTACGGGTGTGAATCAGTTATCTAACTTATCTTCTATGCTTCCTACAACTAACGTGTATCTGAAAACTGAAATAAAAGAAAATTACGCGCAAATCTGCAGGTAAAAGTGTACATTTGTTATGATATGTACTTTGTAATTGTATTTGGAACATACCAACTTCACCCAAACTTGAAACCTAACATACCAGCAAAAGAAATCTGGAGAAGATGGCATCAACTCGAACACTGCATGGTTTGGAATCTCCACCGTTACCATAGATTGGTAGCTTCGAAAACTATAACGTCAGCAATTGTATGGAATCATTTAAAAATTATTATGCTTTAAAAAATCCCGATATGATGTTTACCTCATACGAGAACTTTTACAGACATTTTTTTTAAAAATCAGCTGACATCGCCATCACTACTCTAGCACAGAAGGAACATATCATGCAAAACTGCAAACGGAGTCGTCTTTCCATTGTGCGTGCTGCGATGTACGCATATGTAGTGTAAAGTCAGAGCGTGTTACCTCAGTCAGAGCCAGTGATTCATAACCAAAATGATTCATGAAATTTGCGAATAAAACGATTACTTACTAGTATGAACTCAATTTGACTGATTAACAATTCATAAGCATAAGTAGAAGGCTAGAAATACTTGCAAATTACATTGTAGACTTGAAATTAAATAATTGCTAATTTGTTTTGATGTATCGTAACTAGGGTTTGTTGTTGTTTGTTTTACCATCTCCGATACTTAATAAACATAGTTTTATTGATTACCGTAAGGCCCGGGCCGTACCTGTGTGTATGAAACCTTACTTACAAATTACAATTAGTCTTACTTAATAAACCATGGCCATTAATTTTATATTTAAGAATTTGAACTTACATCACCTACTGATAATTAGTTACTATTTCTATAGTATTTATAGTACCCTGTTAAAGAATTTTACTACTTACCATTTATGGAACGGCTTCCTAAAATCCTGACCGGGAATATTTACTGTACTCCTATGTCCTAACCTGCATGGCAAGTATTGTATCTTCCACTACATAATTTAATATTCGCTAATTTTTCTGCAACATGTTTTTCATTTGACTTTCCGCATGCTGGCACAGCGCTCAAAATGAATACCAGTAAGAGTACTTAACTTACAAGAAATGCTACAAATATAATCGTAAACAAGCCGACCACGGATGAATATTGGCTGATGACTAAAAGAATCAAGTAATTCTAAGGATGTGTTGAATTCTAGTTGCTTACAAACTGTCAAAATATTGCGAAACCTGTACGTGTATTTAACAATAATTATTTTGACACGCTGTAGTGATTTTACATAAGTTAATCGAAACATATACTCTACATAAGTTGCAGTTTGCGCTGTCGGCTGATACTGCCATTTTATCATGAATTTTTTACTTTGCATTGTGCTTTAAGTACTGTTGAGTAGGAGCACAGATATTTCTACTGTTCTGGGTCAAGTTTTGTGTTAGAACAGTATGCATTTCTTATCGCGTCCATGGTAACAAGCTTATGGCTGACCACTGGACCCAGCCAAATGATTTTGGCAAAGGTTAACCATCTTAGATCCACCGCTGCGCTGCGAGAATTCTTATGCACTTTAAAGTAGCAAAATTGGTGAAGTAGAAGCCGAGATCCTTTGCCTCAAAGGAGAGGGGCCGAAGTTCTGGCACAGATGATTAGTATTCATATAACAAACTGCACTGGGTGTTGCTGTAGTTTCTTTTGAAGATACTGTGCACAGTGTGTAGTGTGTACCACAATAAAATTAATATTAAAAGCCAAAATTAATTTTGCAAAAAAATTTTTTAAGAAGTCCTTGCTTCCAGATTCAAAGCAACTTAAGCAAGTTTCATTTCGAGATAAAAGGCATATCAATACAAATTTATACCAGTGCCTCGATCACCACGTATGGTTGCTTAACTTGTTTGTCCAGATTCCGTATTTCTTTATCTTTGCACCAGCTCATACAAACCTTTGGATATCGTTCTAAACGCTATCGAGCATGTGTTTGCTTTTCAAAATTTCATATTGGGAAAGTCAAACTTCAATTGCAGACACCTCAAACACCTGCAATCCCCGGCATGCGAAAAACATGCACTGTACAGTCTGCGCTCAAGCAATCGATACGACCGCGACCGGGCTGCAATGACTCCAATCGGTCTGTTGTAGTATTGTACGCGTAAATACAACACTTACGAGTTGTGGGCCGGACCGTGGCTATCGCATTCGTCAGAGCTGCTGGCTTGCCTCCCTTTCGGCTATAGGCCACAAAATACCGCAGTATCAAACGTCTCTCTGAACCCTCTGATGGATGGGTGCATGAACGAGCGGAGCCATTTCTACGAATGCATGATTTGTGATAAATTATGTAGGTCCATTTATTACCATATTTGTACTACAGAAATGCATATAACCTTCTCTAAGGAATAAATGGAACGTGAATCTTAAAATTAATAGAATTTTATCTGTTGGATTATTTCATTGAGTCGGCGTTCCTTCGAGCACATGTACTGGTATAATTCCATTCGTGTGAGCGGTACTTTACATTAAAAACTATTCTGCATTCGTCGATTCGTGTCTTTTAATTTGGATTCCTGGTCGTCCCAGAGCTGTCGGAAAGCGCGTCTTCCTTGAATTTTGAACATAAGGTAGATGACGCAGTCTGGAGACTTCACGATCTTATTTTAATTTGTGCTGAGGAAAAAGTTCAAGGAAATTTGCACAGCTTGGTACTGGTAGTTCACTGACCGGGGGTTGTTTGAGGGACTTCGGATTTAGGGAAGTTTATCATTAATAAGTAAGTGTGAACTACATGCTGTATCCTGTATTAGACTGATGCAGAAGATCCGATGCTTCTATGTATGCATTTCTTTTGATTCATTTTGTGATAAGTTTTCTAATTAGAGAGTATGTCATGCAAAAAAAGAGGTAGTAAATCAGTCTGGTTTACATGTTACGTACTACCTGGACCGACTCTATACTGTACATGGACATGTGCAAGCATTGCTTGCACTTGCTATAGTTTACGATTTATAAGTGATTTTGGTATTTTGTGATCTTTCATATAACATGTAGGTATGCATTAGATTTGTAGGTTTCGGATTGCTCATCGTAACATGTATTAAAAAACTTATGCGCTTTTTGATATGCTTTGTATTTATTTTCTGACTCGCATGCATCGCTGGGTTAGGTTTAATTAATTTTGCAAATTAAGCCAGGTAATAAGAGATGCTGTATCTGCACGATATGAAACCGGCATCGTGAGTTCTTCAGATTTTCTCTGTGCAGACACTGTGATCTATATTGTGGGATTCAAAGGTGCCGAGGACGGGCCAGATTTTATTCCAGTCCCTTGGTAGGCACTGGTAGACAGTGACTTTATTGGCCCTTTGTCTGTTGTTTCCCACGGCCGCGACTGTTGTTGCATGATCCTATACAATCTGTTTGAGAGCAGTATGCGCATTAGTTTAATTTAATCACAATTTTTTGTGTTTTATTTTTGTGCTTTTAAGTTTTTTAGGTTGCTCGTACAGACGCTTATGCATTTGTTATGTACATCGAAATAATGATCGAATACTCACTTGTGTACATTACTTGTTATCTGTAGGAGAAATTTTTTGGTGTTGATTTTCTTTTTACGTATACGTAATACTGGCGCTCATATCGTTCGCAAAGGTTATGAGCGGCGGAATAAGTGGTCGCGTGAAGTTGAATCTTACTTGATAGTTGATACCGATGGTGATTTGACGAGTATACCATTGCGTCGTCGAAAATAGAACCGATTAGTACTATAAAATGGGACAAGCGTCAAAAAAGCAGTGTTTTTAGGGTCAGAAGAGTTAACCGCAGATTGCGGACATGCAATTGCCTTTAATTATGGTTTATCAAATAAAAGAACCCGAGAAAACATGAGAAATTAATTCTGACTCGCTAGTAATTGGTAGTAGCACACATGGGAAAAATAGGCCAAGGGTTTGGCTCATCCTTGAGCGAAATTAAAGTGTGCACACGGTCTAAAAATCCGTTCTTATAAAATACAGGCCGACTACGATAAGAGGGAATAATTATGAACGGTATGTGGCTCTGTCGAATTGCCGGACATCGTAAATATGGAACTCGATAACTACTCGCACATATCAGTTCGCATAATCAGCTTATCGGCATTTCGGCACTGGGATAGCCAGCGTATGCTGCCTGATGCATTTCCTTGCAGTTCAACACTCCAACATCCGCTGCGGAATTCTGCAGTTGGCGCATCCTAAATATTTCCGTATGAATGGAATTGTACTTGAGTCTGGTACTGTTTGTTGTCCAGGAAGTGGTCTTCACTCTTTGGGCACTGCATTTGCTGATGTGATTTATGCGCTATGGTAAATGAAAGCATGCAATGGATAATCTTGCAACATACGGCAATATATCGGATGTGCGAATACTCATGTCGCTTGAATATGCAGTGTATACGCATTTGATCGATATTAGCCGAACTTAATTATCGATCGTATTCAAATTTGTTGGTTGAGTTTTCCTACAAAATCAGGTCATTACTTGACGTTTGGCAGCAATTTTATTAAATAAATTTTCTTTCTCTGCCCACTTAGAAGTTGATTAATGGGACATATCCAAAAAGCCGGCACGTAGAGAAATCTAGTTTCATTCATCCACTAAATATATATGTAAGTATTTTGTGATTTTCACAGTTTGTTTTCTGAGACTGTTACTATGTACAATAAGCTGTATTAGATAGTGACCTGTGTTGGTGTTTGGCGCAGTAAATCGTTTGGATTCGAACTACTACAGTATACAGTGCGCTAAATGCAGTAATGAATGCAGAATAACGTGAGACCGGAAGAAAATTGTTTGCTATGACAAAGGTTTGCCATATTAATATATTGTGAAGTGTCGCGATTCCTCAAAAGAGGTATAGTTACTGTGTGTTTTTGCTTAACCAGGAAATAACCAGCAGACGAAGAATTTAGTAAATTTGAAATTAGTTATCTTGAGTCTGATTGTGCATGAGAAGCATGAGCATTTGGGGTGTGTGTACTCGCATGGATGCGTAGGCTAGGATTACTCATATGATATCTCACCAACACTGGGTGTAACGGTGGTTCTCCTCATGCATATCTGTGGTCGTTGCCGACGATCATGATAGGTTCGTTGCTATAATTTCTGTGCAGCCATACGTACCTGTTTGAAACGTTTGAGCTGTAGTGTTGTTTGCAATACGCATGCAACTTGATGCTTGTTGGTGAGCAATGCAGTTATTCAGCAAAAGCACACCTGTGAGATGAATCGACTCATTGCTAGCGCGCCATGAAAACTAGTTAATCTTATCGTAAACGAGAGAATTTATCAATAATGTACACGTACCTTACCTTCGCTGCATTTGCTTTAGACGGCGAGGTACGGTAAACTTCGCATACTACGGCATCCGGCTAATGCATCCATCATTTGTGGCTGGGTTTTCGACTTTACTGACCGACCTGTGCATTGGTCGGGTTTAGCGTACAATTATACTCGTACACTACGCTGCAGTCGCAATTTTCACGTCAAATCCAATTTTCTCATTGTGGATATCCATCACGATTTACCTATGGGATTATAGCCGTTCTGCTGAAATCCTGATTGATGTTGTCCGTATATAAGTGTAATTATTTAATCTAACAACAAAGTACGGAGCTCGAGCTTAGGATTTCAAAATCAAATACATAACCTCAATGGTGAAAGGTTGCACTGGTGAGTGAGACAATTAATTAGTGATGCTTGAAACTGGTTATACACCGAAGGTCATTGCGGTTGCGCTTTTTCTGATTGTCGTGAGTGTGGGGATACCGGTGATAACTTAATCCAACACAAAAATCCCTTTCCGTCAGGTTATACTTACAATTGATAAATGCATTGTGCTAGTAATATTGACGTCTTTTACGTTGGTCATTAATTTATGAGTGATTTTTTGGGAGTTTCCGGTGACTTTGCATAACAATGAGTATGTTATTGCATGACTGTAAACATTATGTACAATCGACATTAATGCGTCGATGTTTGGTGCGGCCATCGCGAATGCACTTACTTGCGAGTTTACCACAGAAGCGGAACACCGAAAACTGTCATACGTAAAATTTCTGTTTACTACTAACAAGTAATAGCCCACGACTATCTTAAAAACACAACATGACCGGGAATTATTTTTCAGGTTATTCCAGTCGGGTGTAAGCCATAACACGTTAATTGCGGCTGTTTTGCCAACAATTGGCGTGCAGTATTCTTGCCGCGCTAACCAGCGGCACCCTTTCCCTTGTCAAAGATGAGGAATTTTCAGTTCAGTATATTAGCCTTTGTTTGTTTGCTCCTGAGGACGGTAACGGCATTATGTCCCCAAGTGTGTATATGTGATATCGATGAATGGGGAAGAAAGCGTACGCGCTGTGAGAATGGCGGTATTCGCATACCCGGCACGGTGGACATCCAGAATCTGGATAACGATGTGGAAGTGTTGGTCATCTCTGGTTCTCGACAGAATCCTAACTTTATCAATCTGGAGCCGGCCATGTTTTTGAACAAGCGCTTTAAGGAAATTCATCTTACTTATTCCGATTTGGAGCGTTTATCATCCTCGCCGTTTCACTACGTATCAAACACTTTGCAGGTGTTGAATTTAACGAATAATCGGCTGAGTTTTGCCGTGGAGCAGAACTTTCGCAATCTGTCCAGGCTAACGCATCTCCACTTGGATTACAACCGCATTGAGCCGGTGTTTTCAGCCATGTTCAACTTCCTGAGTTCCTTGAAGGTTCTGACCATGTCGAACAACCTAATCCGAGAAATCCCGCCCCGAATGGCCTTGCAGTTGAGCCAGCTCGAGGTAATTCGGCAATTATGTTATTAACTTCGTTATTTAACGCAGAATCTTTGAAACTTAAATTAGCAGTAGTGTAGTATTATTTCGATCAGGTATATTTTCGTGAATTACGAACCAGTTGAATAATAAAATTCATAAAATAAAGCATTTTCCAATACTTTTTAGTCCAGTATTGTGATAAGATAGCCATTTTATCTGATAACAAACTGTATAAACAGAATGGATTCATAAATTCTTGTCTTTTCATTTTCTTTCTTTCCTGGTATGCGTCAGTGTGTATTACTCTCAACGAACCCTTTCTGAGCTGATTCATAGAACCTTGACATCCCTTGGGTTTGATAATAGGACAGGTATGCCGGGGTGCATAATCGATTTTTAAGCTCTGAGAAACAGGTCGCCAACACCGGCATGTAAACGCACAATGTGATTGTTAGTCGCCATAAAAGTTTGCTGTTTGTATGGAGTATAATTATGTTTTTTCAGGCTTGTACCGCTACGAGTATGCATACATACTCACCATTGCTCTGCTCTGTGCGGCAGTACTTATTAAAGAGAGTTGACCGACCGGTAAAACGATTGTTTTCTGTGGAATTTATTCTAACTGTAACAAAATTTTATTACTTAGCAAAATTCCCACAGCGTCTAATCTTGGCGGAAACAGTCTTTGGTAAACAGTCGTTTACGAATGGGCAGAAATATTGGTTGCGTAAAAAGGATTTAGTGGGTTGTAAATCAAATTTTTTTCATGGCTTTTCTGTACTTACCTATATTAAATGTTAATATTAGCTACATATGCATATTTGAACTTGTTAACCTTCCTATTGTTAAGATATATTCTGAACAAAAAAGTATCAAACAAAGCAAAGGTTTTTTATTTTATTTTGAATATAGATATTTAGTTACGCGTTAGCTGTAGTACGTGGTAGCGCACTGCCGGTTTTTCAGGGCGATAATTTAGGAAAGTGTACTTTGGTACTTCGGTTTAGGATAATGGTCTGAATGGTAGCTACTTCAGAGATATTTGAACCACGTCGCAGTCGTTAGCGTTTTGTTGCGTTTTGTTGCATACCGAGAAGAGAGAAAAATGCATTTTTTCGTTACTGTAAATGCTAAGGAAGCAAAGTCCGATTGCGACAATTTCCTTTTGCTGATGTTTATAGGTAATATTTATGATAATAGAAAGACAGTGATATACATAATCTTCACTCCATTTTTCATAAACTTCAAAGTGGTACAGCACAGTCTTTTCGAACAGTGAAAAAGTAATTTTGACAGTTTACATAACTGAACGATTCAGTTTACACTTTCCTCGTGCATCTGCCGCCGAATACGGAATAAGCGGATCGGTTTGCTGAGCACCTGCTCGCTGTGTACAGATGTATTTACGTTTAACAGAGCATAAAAAATGTGCTATATAGTTTTTCGGGTGCAAGTAATGGTCGAACAAATAACCAAGGCAAGTGCCAGCTACAGACAGCTCTCCCGGCATTTGCATTGTACATTGTAGAAAGAATTGTATACGATGAACCGGCCTAATTTCCATAAGCGGTATTTTAATTTTAACGATCTGTATTTCAACGCACGATTAGCTGACCGCGAACTTTACCTTTAAGCGCAATGTGTATGAATGCGAGCCTGTCATTTACATGGAGCTCTCAATAACCTGCCAACATGTCCACCTACTTCACCCAGATTACATGTTGGTTAATCTGGTGTGTTTTTTAATTACACAGGTCCTTGATTTGAGCTCAAACCCACTGGGCGAACGACAACCTGGTGCCGTGAACGACAACCGGCAGCCAATTCCGGACACAATTTTTCAAGACATGCCAAATTTACGGGTAAATTTAAATAAAGGAATTAATATCAATATAGCGATGTATCTGGAATCTGGACAGTGGGCACATAAATTATGAATGGATTTAATTTAACGTCATAGAACGTGCAGCTTTTAGAAAGTTCTCCTCAAAACAGTTTGGATTATTAGGTGTTGCGCGTTGCCAATGCAAGTTTGGACGGGCTGCCCTGGCCGGCCATTCAAAAATCCGTGACAAATCTTAATGAAGTCGACCTATCCGCCAATCGGATAAAGGAAATCAAAGCCAACCAGTTGTCGTTGAATCGGAAACTGGAAGTAGCCAAACTAGCCGGCAATCCTATTACTCGCATTGAGCCCAACGCTCTGAGCGGGATGTATTTGCGGTATCTGGATTTAAGCGGCATCAACCCGAATGTCTTGGCTCCGGGGGTTTTTCAGGGCGCCAGGATCGTCTTCCTTGATATTAGCGATATGAATTTAAATAACGCATTGAACCGAGAGGTGTTTCTGCCGATTTCTCAAGACTTGAAAGGACTGAATATCAGCGGCAATCCCGATCTGGCTTTAGAAAGCCGGATGTTTGAGCTCTTCCCTAATTTGGAGGATTTGACGATGAAACGGATGAATAAGGGTCAATTGAGCAATGATTTTTTCGGCTACCAAAATGTCATACAGAATCTGGACTTGTCAGAGAATCAGCTGGTCATGCTGGATGATGGGTTCTTCAATCAACTAAGCGAGCTGACGGTACGTGTATTTTGGAGTATGCGGCTTCTGTAAAACATGCTGATTTTTGAGCATTTGTTGACTTGAGCTGATGCCGCTCTCGCGCTCTTAACGCGAAATTTGAGCCGGCGTACAAGTAAGCACCGTCGTTGGCAAACTTAGTGACCCGAAACGCGATAGCCATATCGATTAGGTCGAACGGTTTTCTTGAGAAATTTTTCAGGTTTTTATTCATATCGTATAGCGCTGCAGGTTGCGGGCTTTAAGTAGCTCTAATAGAATATCTTCCATCTGTGACCCTGTTGTCAGTGTTAACAAGCGGAAGATTTTGTAAATATGCTGGCCGATGGCGCTTTGACCGTCATACTTTGCAGCTCAGAGCGCTGCTTAATTTGCCCACTTAAGAAAATTTGAAGGTGTAAATTAAGTGTCTTAACAAAAATTATTTTAAGTTCGAAGCAATGTTATTTTGTTCGCAACATTTCCTTACAATTTTGGCTTTGCTCTGCTGATGTTTTCGAAGAAAATATTATTATTTTTTTCGAAACTTGTACGCAGCGATGCCGTATGTTTTGGTTGTTTTGTTGCCAGATACGTGCAATCTCAGATACAATTACCATAAGAATAATTTTTACTGTAAGTTTCAGAATAATAAAAGGAGCTAAATTAAACCATAGAAGAGCTTTTATATTGCAAATTCGGAATGATCGGTTTGTGATTTTCCGATTGACTTGTGTACACTCGTATGAGTAGTCTTTACCGAATGGTTTAAACTTTTTAAACCGTACATGGATTTGCAGCTCTTACTCTTGAGTTCATAACGGAATGCAATGATGAACATTTTGTATGCAGTACGTATTAATGATAATCACTTTAATAGTAACCGACATTTTCGCTCGGTGTCTGTGTAATAAGTACATGTTGCTTGCTGCCGCACTTCCGCTTTTGCCGTAATAATCTTGAGCCAGCCAAAATTTGCCAAACAACGCAAGATGTTGTTATTGACTTGTTGGGCTTATATGAAAGCGCCTAGCCAACACAACAATCATGAGATAACCAGTGTTCGTGCGTGCCGGAATGAACTGGCTTCTATAGCGGTCATTATGCTGGCTGTTATGTAACAATCCGGTCCTTGCTTGTCAGATCGTTTTTTCTATGCATAATAACATTGTAATTGTTTTATAGCGTCTGAACTTGGCATCCAATCAGCTGACCAGTATCCCCGTGAACATCAACCGACCGAAAATCCAGGAAATCGATTTATTCAATAATCGCTTAACCAGCTTCCCGGACGCCCTGGCTATGACATTCGCCAGCCCATCATCGAGATTACAGTCCCTCCGGTTAAACAGTAACCCTTGGCACTGCGACTGCTCGGTTGCCGGTCTGGGGCGGTGGCTGACCCGGCAGGATGGCAGTATGAACGGTCAGCGCATTGTCTGCCAAGGAACCGGAAATTTCACTTGTCCTGTCTGCCAGTCACCCGAGAATCTGCGGGGCGTGCCGTTGGATCGTGCTACATTCTTGGACAGCTGTACGCCGATCGCAGATACCCGTAACACGGGAACGGCCAACGTGGACGTCATTATTGCCGTCGTTGTCTGCCTGATTGTACTGATTATTGCGGTGTTGTTGTTGGTGTTGTGGTACCGTAACCGCCTGCATTCCTATCGAACGTACGAGGAGAAGCGGAAGGATGCCGATGTGTACGACCAGAACGGCGATGCTGAAGTATTCGCGGAGGATCCTGGTCCGATCAGTAAGCCAAAGAGTGGTGTACCAGCCAGTGCACCGGTCAAAGCCCCCGTGAAAGGTGCTGAATCCGATGTGTGATGATCCCCGTATTTGGTTCCTGGACAAATATGATGGGGGGCAGCTACTGCAAAAGAGTTTTTTTCTTTGTTATACCAGCAAATACCACAGTTGGGTGTGTCAAGTGATATTTGCTGTTCCGTAATGGCCAAAAATGCGAAGCGGTCTGGACCAGGAATTTTTTTCTATTTGTTGTCTTTTGATTTTTTATTATTGTAATTTGTAGGAATGCATGTGTATCGAAATGAGGCATTGCGGATTTTATTATTTGATGAAATAGTGTCATGGTCAAGCAATGATGGTTGGGGTTTTTTACGGGTATGATGTTAACGTTGCTGTTGTTTTGTATGACGGGATGATGAGGTGTTTGTATTTCCTCGTACGACCGCATTGCAGCTCAATTCTACATAGCTTTTTTCTACGTTCCTCTGTTTCCCGATTGTGTCCTATGTTTCATGTACATTTATTTCCTCGTCATTTCGATCGCACTGGCATGAAAAGTTACTGTAATAAATGAAAATATTAACGAAGTATGGAGTGGTTCATTGAGGAATCTATAAATGAAGCAGACCTTTGCCAGCAATCCGTCACAAGTTCACAACACACTGATAATATAAAACACTTATCATTAAACTGGTCGTGCGAAACAATCAATTTCGATTTCCCAAATTCTCTCCAGTTTACTGTAATATTTGCGAAGGGAGGCATAACGAAGTTATACTTTGTACTACTTTGTTACTCGGCGCAGAGCTTCCGAAAATCTGTAAATTTGCATGTCCGTTTATGTTAAGTACTGACAACAATAATTATATTAACTGCAAGTACTCGTACTAATGTTATACTCAGACCCATACCCAGCGATCACAAAAAAAGTTAATTTTGCATGAGGCCCTGTAACTTATAACTACAGTAACTGCCAACTACATAACTCGATAGATCTCCGAATTCTGCTTATTCACTCAACGTAAGTAGTGCTTGACTTTCGTGCTTTTTGGTTTTCCAGATTAAGCTTTTCTAAACAAAGGCAAAAAAACCGTGGTCGACATTCGCCAGCTAGCAACACACTGGAAGATTTTCGAAACAATCGTGAATTTTATTGCCGACAACATTAAGATACACCTAAATAGAATAATTAAAAAATGAAATAAACACAATCCTGATTTACAACACACTGGCCAACGTCAACAGAATTAGTTTAAAACATTTTTAATATTAATACACAACGAAATCACAGTTAGCGATGGAATGGAATGATTGCAGAAAAAGCGCCCACAACAGCAATCGCATGAGCATTCAGCCGTGACAATCAGCAGCATTTCTTTTTCTTCTGTTCTTCCGCCGTCCCGGCCATGTGTATAACATCGGCTCCCTTCCGATCGGCCGGTCCGGTCGACCGTGGCAGCTTCCTGGCCACTGCTGTGAAAATATCGATAACATTCTGAGCTGTCTTCGCGCTGGTCTCCATAAAGATCAGTCCGTTTTCGTTGGCGTATTTGGCTCCTTCTTCCGTTTCCACCTGTCGATGGTTGGCCAGATCGGCTTTGTTGCCAGCCAGAGCGATGACAATATTGGGCGCCGCTTGACGCTGCAGTTCGCGCACCCAGCTCTTGGCACGCTCGAACGATTCAGCGCTGGTAACATCGTACACGACGATACTGGCCTGTGCGCCGCGGTAGTACATGGGCGCCAGACTGTGATAGCGCTCCTGGCCGGCTGTGTCCCAGATCTCAAATTTAATGGTGGCGTTGTCGAGGTTCACTGACTGGGTGAGGAAGGCCGCGCCGATAGTGGACTCCTGGTGCTCGTAGTAGTGACCTTTCACGAAGCGCAGAACGAGGCTGCTTTTTCCCACTGCCGCTTCACCTAATAGTTCAGGTGGTCAGTTAGATAACTTAGAACTCTAGCTTCAAGGTTCATCATGATCATATTTGAAGCAACGTTATAACGACAGGCTACAGCAATCTGTACGGATTTTTTTACCTGCTTCAGCAGTTCTGTGTAGACAATTTATCGAAATCAAGAAGTGTATTCTCAAAAATCAGAATTAACGAACTGACTACGACTAGTTGGTTATTTTACATTGGACGACTGAAATTATATTACAAACAACACCGGATCGTGCATGTTTGTAACCGGTATTTTAGAATTAATTGTGTTTCCAATATTTCGTACAAATTACGCACAATGAGAATTTAATTTCCAGTCATCAGTAAGTATAAATCGATGCCCATCAATTTTTACAATGAAAAAGCAGTTTACAGCTACAGTGTAGGATAATTACCATCTCTGATTATAAAAATACCACTTATATATCAAGCTCTCATTAAGCTACTGTCGTACGTCAGTTTCTCTTATCAAGATGCAACGTCAGCTAACCCTAAGATTTTGGACGCAACATTAACCGGTAAATGCGGTAACCAGATTATTTTCTGCGTGAAGGTGGTTAACGCAAGACAACCACAAAAATTTCAAACCCACAAAAAAATGAAACTCTGATGATTATACTTCTTACTCAGAGCTAAACTTTAACAGAAACAACACAATAAATCAACGAAAGTTAAGTTAAATGAATGTCAACATTCCAATCCTTAAAAGCTATGGCTAATTATTAGTCAATTTCTATAGAATAAATTGTAATTATTGTAACTGCAGTAACATCCGAAACATTGTTATTGTAATTGTAGTAACATTATATATTACTGTACTGTAATTGCGGTAACATTCAACATTGTTATTGTAATTGTAGTAACATCCAAAATTGTTACAGTAACTGACAAGTGAATGCGTCAACGAGGAAATCACTAGCGTGGCGCACACTGCACACCACAAAAACGCTTCACGAGTTTCAGTAATGTGCAAAAACTATCCAAACAACATTCAAACAGCTGTTGGAAGTGGTGGTGTTAACGTTATGCTCCCTTACCGAGTAAAACCAATTTGAACTGAAAAATCTGACTGATCCCTCCGGGATCACCAGCAGATCGGGCTTGTCCGGACTTGTTACGCCTCGCGTCCGCCATGCTTGTCCACTTTCGAGACCGACTATCAAGTTAATAATAGATGTACTGCGGCTGTTGCGGAGTGGCAACCGGGCAGAAGGTATGCAGATAACAGAGATTACTGTCAAAAACACAGATCTTCCCATCAAAAAGTACCTAGCTGTAGCACATGCATGCAGTGCAAGATATTTTGCAGAACGTAGTTCCTGTTTCAGGCAGCAATAATCAGCGCTGCGTACTACACGATTGGCTACACCGTACGGGGGTGGTGTACCGATGAGCTTCCAAGTGCTGATAATCCAAAGAAGGTTGCAGAATTATTGCAGTCAATCGTAGTGCGTAAATAAGGAGAACGAATAAATTGAAATACAGTTCGGAACGCAATTACTGTGGGTCCACCAGATCGGAAATTATGAAAAGAATTTGCAGTGCGCCGCAAAGCGCCGTCTACTTATCAACAATTGATGGACTTTGGCCGGAAACAGCTGCAGTCGAATGGAATTACAGTAGAAGTACTGTACTTATAAGATTAAGCGCCGGTACCTGTAGAATTGTAAGCCACAGTACTTTAATGTATTCTATGGTAGCTTTGTTGGCAGTTTCGCAACAAATCTTGCACTTAATTTTTTCCATGCTCTTGAATTAGGAAGTGTAATACAAACTGCGAATCAGGGGACAAGCCACATAATTTAGATTTCTGCCAATTCTGCGTAGTGATAAAATGACTATCAAAATTAATTAAAATTACTGATTGTTAATAGAGAATAGTAGAATTGACCTGTAACTGTAAAACAAATCATTAACAACAAATAAGAGAAAATCAGTATTTTGCATGTGGAAATGCTTATTTGACTGACGAAGGGAACAGAATATTGTGTATAATGTAATTATGCGAGTATTCGTATTGCTTTCTCAGAGCATTCTTCCCACCTTGATCTGGTATCTGAGATTTGTTCTTGAAAGTTAGCAAGGAAGAAATCTTGACTTTTGTTCGAACTTGGTAATCTTGGTGCATTTGTTTGCAGAAATGTTACTGTTGAACTTACCGGTTAGCATCTGCACGTCGACTCATAGGTAAACATGTTCCGATTAGAAAAAGTCCAGGGAACGTCCGGAATTAACCAACTACATAAACGGAAACAATCTGTCCGTTTAGCTTACATTGTCGGAACGATCCCAACGTGAAATAGGCTTCAGTACGATGAAAAAAGTGTAACTTACATTCCTTATTGCATTGCAACATTACAAATGTGTTTTCAGTTAAGTTAACAGCAAAATCATTATTCGTACATAAAGCGTCTGCTTATTGTTAGAAACAAATGGCGCATTATACTTCGCTTTTTTAATATCGGCTTATGTCACAGTTATGTGGTAGTTTTACGAGTATTTCAATCTATCTGTATACGAGTATCGGACCAGCTCTGGGAAATGCAGAAAGCCTGCAGATTGTCCTTGCTGGTTTTTTTTCTTGTTTCGGAGCATTATAGATTTGGAGCGCGATGCATAGGCAGCACTAAAGACGAAACAAATGGCACGTGGCTTGACTCAGTGATGGACAGAAAGGAACTGCTGCAAAAGGTCATTGCGAGCAATTTTGGAGTCAGTTTGGAGAACAACTTTAACGATTTCGTGCTGCGTCAAAACGAAAGATTAGAAGTTGCAAACGGATTCGAGGAAGATGTTCAATGGACGACAACAAATTCGGTTGGTGGAATCGACCGAGCTTCCAGTTTTTCTAACGCTTTACCGAACGAAAACAGCAAGAGCATTCAAACTTACTTCTACCCTTCCTATGGTGTAAATGCGGAAAGCAGCTTCACGTCCCAGTCCTTCAAACCCAAACCGCTATCGCTGCTGATGAACTTTGGTTTGGATGGAATATCACAATGGAGCGGATCGAGTCTCGATGAGAAAAATGATCTGCAGAAAGACTGCCCCGAAGGTAAACGTACGTTCTGGTATACATCCATGTGACCTTTAGATGTTCACTTATAATAAGTGTCGGTTAGACTTATAATAACTATCGGTTAGATGTGCGCCTTTCGAGCTACGCAAAACGTACATATATGCACATGTATATTGTGATAATAAATTATTTTTGGTAAGGCCATCTCGAAAACTCCCGAGTAAAACAGTTTGTAAAAAAAACGTTAGTTAAACGTTAGTCAAACGTTAGTTAAAGGCCAAAATTCGAACATGTTCGAATTTTGGCCTTTAACTAGCGTTTAGCTAACGTTTTTTTTACAAACTGTTTTACTCGGGCCGGGACTTGTGTTCGCATGTTGCAATAGATGCAATATAAGGGACTTCTTACATACAATATTTATTTTGTGCTGATCAAGAATTACTGCATTGTTGAGTGTACATGACTGCAATTATTAAAAAAAATCGAAAACTGCTAACGGTAAGAAACAAAATTAATATCGAAAATTGTTGAAGACATGTCTATAGTCCGCTCTGATTTCAAAGCGAAATGGTCTAAAATTTAGGCTCTAAATAGGCTCCATTTATGACCCTTTTGGATGTATGTGCCGACCCACGGTATGCGTGCCCGTGGAGGGTTTAACCGGGGATCCAGCCGATGTGACCTTTCCCGATAACTGCGTTTCCATAACATCCAACTATAAGCGCACCGTTCGCATATCCCCCAACGCCACCGAAGCGAATATCACCATCTTTCTTGGCCTGACGAAGCCGTCCGTCGATTTCGATCGCCTTCGGACCGTCCCTGCAGAATTTCGTGAGCATGTGGGCATCGCTCTGCGCAAAGAGCTTCTGAATTTACTGACCGAACCCATGCGCATCGACGAATCGCAAATCGTTAACGTCACCGTTTCGGCTTTTCTTGCCGGCGGCAACTGCTCCAAATACGCACTAACCGACAACCTCCTCGACATCAGTCACCGACTGAACAGTAGAGTGACCTTTTGCGAATCCCTATCAGATTTCGTGGAACCACTGGTGCAAGTGCCGGCATATTTTACGCTATCTCGTCCGCCACAGTTTCGCAACATATCGGAATCCATCATCGAGATGTTCGTTCATTTAGCGGAAGCTATACAGAATAAGACTTTTGTCTTCGATGTGGATGGCTTTGCGGTAGAAGCTCAAGGCATCCAAGAGTGCAACGCGGCCAGCAAAGTCAACCCGGTATTTATGGATACATCGTGGTGTTCACGGGGCGCGGTACAGACATATTATAACGAAGAATTCAACATAACCGACCTGGGTAACAATACCAAGGTTTTCGTGCGGAACACGCGGAAGGAGTACGCAGCCGGGGAATTTCGCCTTCAAGTGCTGATTCGCAGCGATAATTCCGATCGCATCCATGTCAGCCAGGTAGCGCACACCTGCGACCGGCCGTTAAACTGTTCCGCATTCGAAGCGAAAGGAGCCGTTGTGCAGAAAAATCAGACGGTGCTCTTCAATAATCGCACGTACGACATCACCGAGTACTACCGGCTTCCGCATGATCCCTCGAAAATTTTAATTTGTGGCCAACAGTTAACGGTTCGTCTCAACGAAAAGAATGTCGTCCTGGGTTTTGATATGCGACCGGAGTTAAGCATTATCTCCACGACACTGACCGTTATTTCGGTTGTCGCGCTGCTATTGACACTTGTCATCTACACTTTGTTCAAAGAACTGCGCACGTTGCCGGGCCTGAATTTGATGAACGCGATGGGAGCGATGGTCGTCGGGCAGAGTGCACTGCTGCTGAATTCCGTGGCGGTGAACCAGTTCTGTCATGCCATCGGGATAATTACGCACTACGCGTTTCTGCTGGGCTTCTTCTTTGCCAATGTCATCGCCTGGGATTTTTATCGGACCTTCGGACGACCACAGTCGCTGCAAAACCCCAATGCCACGTCGCAGCAGTCCATTCGGAAGCGATTGTTGTGCAATATGGCGTACTGTTACTGCGCCTCGGCCTGCATTGTCGCCGCAGCTGTTATTCTGGATTACCACGATATCGACCAATGGCGAGTGGGCTATGCTGATCTATGCTGGATTGCCGGCGCACGCGCCAGTCTGGTTTTTTATGCCCTGCCTATCGCCATTATCGTAGTTGTCAATGGTGTGTTGATCATTACTACATTCTGCAAAATGCAGACACATGAAAGGTCACTTAACGCAATGCACGTCATATCTGGTCGCCGCGCATTATCCAGAGAACAGAAAATTAAGCGGGAAATTCTGGCGTACGTTCGCATTGGATCGGTGTTGGGTTTCATGTGGTTTTTCGGGATCGTGGCTGGACTGGTTAGAAATTTGGATCCGGATCCGGAAAACGACGGATATTTGGTAGCGTACGAAGTATTCGTATACGGTGGGTACAAGTCGAGTTATTGCTTGAAAAAAGTGTAAGTACTTTTTTAACATACAAAGTTTATTATAGTGTTCCTGTTCACCCAATCAAGTCAAGGATTATTCATCTTCATAGCGTTTGGAATAAACAAAAGAAACCGGAAGCGCATTAGAAACTTATGGAACACGTGGAAAATTAAAGGATGCAAAATGTGTCAAAGAAAACTGTGCATCTGCCGAATGTCGCCGCATATCACGAAAAGCGGTAGCAATAAATCTTTGCAAACGTCGTCCAGCGGAAATGGCTTAGATAATTCCGCTATGCAAATCTAGTAAAGCGAAATAATGTTGTCGCGGTTTTTTATATTCCTGGAATATATATGTGTTTTACCTGTAACCCTTTATCGTCAGCACCTGCATCTTTTAGTTCTTTGTTCGAACGCGAAAACCTACTAACAAACTGCTTACAAGAAATTTTACATGCAATATTTATTACAACAAGCTTGTACAGAATGTCGTTTGTCCGCTCCACTGAATTAAATGTGATGCTTTGGATTGCTGTACAGTACCCTAGTTTCATTGCTCCATCTTGGTTATAATGCACAAGAATGTGAAGAAATTAAATTGGTTTTTAGTATTTTCAGAATGTATGCTTCTACATATTCAAGAAAGGAACAGGTTTCGCGATTTTACATGCTGTACTTCGTAGCATATTCAGGGCCCGATATAATATTATCACAAAGCATAGATTGCAAATCTGCATTACAATCGCTTTATTTCGGAAGTAAAACATACGTAATTAAATATTGAGGGTAAGACTAGTTTTCAAGCTTTTGTTGAATGGCGTCAGAGCGATAATATGGTGGTTAAAGTTCGATTCTGCTGGATAAATTGAATTTTCCAATTACATATTCACAGCCAATATTGTACTAAATATGACTGCAAATTGTGCAACAGTGATCTCCAGCTGTCGTCTGCAATCCGCCAGTCACGCAATGGAAGAAATAACATATGCACCGTATACAAATGTACTGTAGCTGCCAAAGCATGATGGTTTCTCTGAAGTTTCTGTAAATTTACATTAGATTCCCATACTTGACTGAACTCCTTTCACTATGTTGCTTAATGCTAAACTGTCCCAAAACACTGGTGTATGTACATGCGGTCACCAACTTATCGTTCTCGCGTTATTGTTTATCGTCTACATACATTATGGACGCCGACATTCCATTAACGCTGGACTGTAAGACGTATACAAAGTTCATATAAACCTAACGTTCTACAAAACGTTTAGATTATTACAAATTTACAACATATTAAATTTAAGGATGATCATTTTGTAATCATTTAATATAAGTGATCACAAAATGTTCAGTATCAATAAGGGTGGACTTACGGCCGTCCATTAAAAGTCCACCGCAGATGTTGATGGCCGCTAGTCCGCTACTTGAAGCGTGTACTGTAGAAAGTTCGCATACAGTGCGAGTAGCGTGGGAACTCAGATACTCCGTATGTAGCAGAGTAACAATCCGTTATACGTGCGTAAATATTGCTCGGGAATAACAAGTGTACTTAAAAGCGCCACTAACTCAATATTCCATTCTATCAATTTTGCATTTACCCAGTCATCATGGGGAAATGATTGATTTTATGATCTCGTAAATCTTTAACTTAGAGCTGTTTTCTCCTTCGTGTCCCTGTCATGTATTAAGTAGCTTAAGAAATCGACAGGCTTTTCACGCTTGCGTAAGAACAAAATTTCATCCCTGGAATGGGCGATATCCATAATTTATGTTTTCTGCATGACACTTCAGCTTTTATAGGAAATATTATGACCCTTTCTACAGCAAAAGAGCGCAGATGCATGCGCAGAGTCACAGATGGACAACTCAAGGGTTTAAAATTGTCTTCACTTTATACTGCTTTGCATTTGTATAGTTTGTCTAACAGCCATTGGTTGATTATGCAAATTTTAACAAAAAAGGTGGAAAATCAGATGTTAATCAATGGCAAAATATCGCAAAAACAACATGTGTAAATTATGCTTGTGCCAGAATTTCGTTGTTCTCTTTTTCTGGTAATTTGTTTAGCTTATCCTATGGAGACTAATCAATAATAATTCATTTGCATTGTGTTCCCATGTACGTTTTACAAACCCGTATGTTTTGCAAGCGAACACAACTCATTTATACATAACAGTCTATACGGCTTTAATTAATACATAAGCATATTACACTTTAAAAACTTTACATTAATGTGAACATTTGCGAGATTGCGACACAGTCCAATGGAATCGGCGTGATTATACAGTATCAATTTCTGGGACCTCCCGCAAGGTCAGCAAACTCAGCGTAGTATTGTATGACATTTCCGACGGAGCACCATAACTATGGATACTGCTATGACGTCGGCTCCGTTTCTTTGTGGAGGAATAGATTGTGAACACGGCACTGTTGCAGGTGAACAGAAGCGCCACGAAACTTCCCACACTGGACAACGCCCCGACAAAGCACAGCCACAGCGTATCCACATCGCACAAAGCTGCCACAAATCCAATTAGCCACGTACAGAGGTAGATTAAAATGATTTTTAAGTACAAATGTAACAGTATCATTTCCGGTCGTTTGAACTGTTTCCGCACACCGCTCTTGTAACTGAGCAGAGTAGTGCGGTGCACTGTTTGCCAACTGCGACAGAACCAATAGGCCGATATGGCGATGAGCCAGACAAAAGGCAGCACCAGCCCGACAACAATCCCGTCCTTCCCCACCATCCAGCAGTGCGGCCGGCGTGGATCTATGTAAACAAACCCGGCGCGACCGGCCGCGGCATCGTATTTCAGCAAATACACCACGGTACACAGTAAGACGATAACGGCCGGAAGTCCCCATCCGTATAATGTATAAGCAATCAGATGATTTCTTAAACTGTGATTACCGTCCTGAATTGACGGGGCCAGACGGGTTTTGACGTCCTGGCTTATGTCGTAAATACCGATACTGATCCAGAAGAAGGCACCCAGCCAGGCAAAGTGCAGAGTAATGGCAAAGAAATGGCATAAGGCATCCGAATCGGCCTGATCCATACCGATTAGCAGAAATAGCTGGCCGAGAAATACGGCCGTAAATAAATTGATCATCACATAGCCGGCCAGATCTTTCAGATCCGAGAATAGGGTGAAGGTAATAAACGCGAAGGCAATAAACACCAGGGATAAACTACTGCCAATCACCACCAACATCTGCTGGATGCCGTTGATCATCGGCGAGTTGGGAAGGATTTCCGTGCGCGTTACGTCAATGTCCAGCAGCGCAGGGAGGATTGTCGTTTCGTTGTATGTCATTTTTGGATTGCACAAAGTGGGCAACGGCTTTAATTAGCGGCTCGGGTTTCAAAGCATGGTCACAACGGAATCTGTCGGTAGAAAATTTTGCAGTGCATTAAAACAGCAAACAGCATATATGTACATAAAGCTACATTACCCATAACAGAAACGTAAATCGAGCTTTGGATTTCGCTCCTCGGTTTGTGTACTTTTGTGCGTATTGTATACATGTTACTGCCCGCGTATAAATACTGTAAATTTGTAGCATATAATCATTACAGTCATTACTAATACGCACAACACTACGTGCCCACGTGAGCAGGCCGATGATCCTGCGGTCTAACTTAACACTTTACTTTAAAGAACACTTTAAAATTCTTATCTGTTAGCTGGTTTGTCTAAACCGAAATCGCCCTTTAACTTACAAAGCACTTTAAGCTGTGCAGGCGCAGCGAGAGGGTCTATTAGGTAAGTATATTTATTTTACCAAGTTCTGCGTATATAATGTGTAGACGATTTAATAATGATCTTAGCTAATCACGGTGCTGTTTGACAATTTGTTTAGCAATTTGTCATTGGTAAGATAACGTCATTAAGAAATTAAAAATTAATTTTAAAGCGAAGCAGTATGGCACGCAATCTGCTGCCGTTCCCTCCACTTCCCTGCAGTTTGTTTTTATCATGGAAGATAATTGAAGTGAAGGTAATTACTATGTAGCGAGAAGAAGGTGGAGACACGTGTGCCGCAAGGAAAACACGCGTTTCGAGAAAGCCGGACGCATGGGCCTGCACTTTACAGTACCACTGCACTAGACGAACCAATGGATCGCAGAAAATAAAATATAATCCGTATAACCTTTATAAGAAAATCTGTAAGAGATTTATTAATCAAAATAAGGAATATAAATACAGATAACGGAGTAAGGAATATACTGAACTGTTTTGCGCTCTGCTACAAAAGCTGCAGGAATAAGCAGAGTGCCCTTGCGAACGTTTCCGCATAAGTCACACTGTGTAAGTGTCACACTCAATATAATCGTAACCGGTACGTAACGTGTAATAAAATATATTATTCATTGAGCTTTAATATTTATGACGCCGCGTAATTTGCGCTTGCAAATGATCAACACAAAAAGCAGTCCACCGCGCGCCATGTACCAAGCTGCTTCTAAAACATGGGTACCTGGTAATAATCAAAGTTTAATAATGGCAATGTCACATTTGGTGCGAGAACTGAAGTGGCCTGTGCGCTGATATGTAGGATAACGGCATCCATCGGCCAATTTCCGGTGAATGCCGCGGCAGCAAAAATGTTGCGGCACAGGAGCTGTTACCGTTTACTTGAGCAACAATTACTGTATCTCCGATTTACTCCCATCAAATGATTCAAATCCCAACCAAACACACACCGACAATAAAAAGAACAATAAAACACACACCAACAATAAAAAGAAAAATTAGCATAATCAGAACTGTATGTATGTGTGATTGTAAAATGGATACTAGGTGAGGTGTCTAACTGTAATAATACAATGTCTCAAAATATGTAATTCTGCTGGCTAGATCCGCAACATAATCTCATACCTTGAAGGTAGTCGGATGCCGGATCACGTAAGATATATAAGACACGCGAGACCACAATAAGCCATGTCGATGAGCAGCCAGGCAGCTATATTTAGCGAGGCATGTCAACGGCGGCATCTGTAAAAAACCAAGAAAGACTGAATAACACGTTTTTATTTACCCCTTAATAACAATTATGGGTTTATTTAACAAGTATTACTACTTGGAATTAACGTAGTGGAACTTGTTGAAGAGAAAACAGTCGTCGATTTGTATCAAAAACTGCGGGTTACTTTATATTGTTTTTCGAACAATGTGGCAGAGGGAATAACGGATGACTATGACCCAGTTTTTTTAAAAAGTATTGCATGTAAAGGCAGTACTTATGCGGGAATGCGTTTGTTTACCTACGCTGTATTATGGTACATTGGCGTAAATACTCCTTTGCAAGCCGTCGTGTTATCACCACTCACAACAAATCAGTATGAATAACTGGACTGTGTGTCCGCTGTAGTAGCAAATTAAACAGGATGGCTGCACTTATGATCACTCTTTTACACCGCTAATCCAGAAAATCAAGCATCCACATACACGGTATATGTACGCAGCCGGCTCAGTTATATAGGACGACGGTGGTGCGAAATCGTGAATCTCGATGAATAAGCGCATATCCTTCAGGGACATATGAATCAATGTTGCTGGCTAAAAAATGCAACACACTTAAAGAGCAATTTCGGAAGTCCACAGTGCCGCCGGGTAAGTTTTCCCACATCCGCCCAGCCTGTTGGGCAACGACACACAACACTCACTTGCACGTATGTATGTATGCAGCTGATTGTACCGTACGCTGTATTGCACAACGCCCGCAACCCGCAAGTATGTGTATCAAACACTTTGATCTATTCATAGGCTAACTGGCGTGTTCCTTCAAGCATCCCGTGCATTCTATTGTCGTAGCCGGGTAAAGGAAACAAACATTAGTTACAATCAAGGACATGCAAAATACTTATGCTGCTGCGCGTCTTCGTAATAGCACTAAGAACTTGAGCACCGGATCACATTTCCCTGCAGTCTCCGTGCACAGAAAGAAGTTTGGCTCTCCTTAAAACATGTCACGCCACACAACTCCATGGTGCTGATTTGTGGCTACATTCTTCTCTCGCTTATATATTATCTCGAGCAGCTTTCAAGAAAATTGTTAACCAGTTTGCTATGTCACAATCATTTATGGCTTCTGTTACATTCTGCTGTGATCGCGATCGAGGCCTGCCACGACCGTCGTCGTCGACGTGATCTAATGGAGAGCGCGCGCGCAGCGTATGTGGAATAAGGAATCGCCGGGAAAAAGGAATGTAATGTTCCGGTTCCGGTTCAACTGTTCGTGACGACTTGTGATGCGCAATCAAACGCACTGGCAACAAGCGTTTGTGCGGGCGGCCATATAGTAACGTTAACGCGCAGGCGAATCCCGTATGTCGTTATCGCTGTCAACCCATACTCGTACTGCACTGCATGAGCGCCAACTTCCATCCCGCTTGAAGCAAGATGGAAACAGGGCCAACTGTTAGTTTAATTCCCAGGAGACGCTAACACCCTCGATGCACATATGAGACGCGAATATATCTGTTAATTATCATACTTTTAGCAAAAACATGCATGTCCAGGAGGAAGGCCGGGGAAATCATAACAAATGATCTGCTTTCTTTGTTGACCTTAAAAAAACCATATTTCAGGAAGGCTTTTTGCCTTGGCTGTAAAAGAGCTAGCTGCAGGCGTGCTTTGCTTTACATGTTGCACTTGCAGCCGTACATTCAGGATATGTACAGTATCAACCACGAGACTTATCATACTTTTTACAAAATTAAATCGGGTGGTGTCGAACCTGAAGTAAAGCATATTAGCATGGTCCCTCCCCTCTACCTCATGTGAAATGCACGGTAAAATGTACTTTCTATGCTGTTAGTATCTTCTTCTCGTACTAAATGCTGTATCGGCTCGTTCTGATTCAAAAACCAAGTCTATACAAAGTTACCTGTATTTATATTTATATGTAATAATTTCATACTGGCAAGGTCTGGCATAATTTCATACTGGCATAATTTCATACTGGCAATCTACGACTGCAGATGGACTACAGATTTACAGTAGCCAGATTATTTAACACGAGTCACGAGTACAGTACTATAAGGATCCAAAATTGCTGTTAATGACTGGATTCTTGAAATAATTATTTTCTTAAGCCGTTATCGGTACTTGTAAATTCTAATAGTTTTACTTTTGAAAATTACTTACAAAAATGCTTGCAAAAGTCATCACGTGCACAGTCTGCTCAGCTGCAACATCGGTCATGAACTATCGTGCAGGGATTGCCGGTAGATTGTTTTCGCATTGTCGAACTGAAGCGGACCCACACTACTGTTGCAGTTGTGTCAAACAGATTTATTGTACTTTCTTATTAATTTTACGTTTAATCTCCTTGGTAAACAGCGGAAGCGCACAGTAAGCTCTTGACATTGGCAAAAAAAGTGTATTGTGCTCTCTAGATGCAGTTAACCTGAAGGCATTCATTACAAGCACCAGTAATCACATAGATTCACTTTCCAATGAGCAATTATCTGGTATAATTTGAACGAAAGCTGGCGCGGTTCCGCTTCCTTTGCTGTCGGCATCCGCAATATTATTCTCCCGGCCTGGTCATCCCGCATGATACCCTCCAGACGCAGACAAAGAGAATGTGTACTTCCTGTGTGGCAAAATAAAAATCTCTGAAGCCAATTAAGTCTGTTCAGCCGGAAGCAATACTGTTACCTTACAACTGTTACTCGTATTGAAACATCAACCCTTTAAAACATCGTTAGCAGCATTAGCTGTTCCTTAATAGCACACTACGTGCGTACGCGTTATGGATATTTATGTAATACAGTACACGCAGCTGGTTGGAGTAGAACTAATAATCCGTAAGTAGCCGGGAACCAAGTAATCGTATGGATTTGCATTATGCGTTAGGATTAGGATTTTTCAGGTACAGTTGTATCTAACTGCACACTGGGCGAATTCCGTTTTCCTATCGTTAATAATATTCACATCATCGATATTTATGTTATTGTTTTAATTTAATATATACTGCATAGTAGCGCAAGGGCGTATCTTCTAACCTTTCTGCATAACTGCAATGAAACAGTCATTCACGAATTCACACACCTTATCGATCGAAAAATTAGCACTATCCGTTTTATCTAACACTGTAAGTTAAATTAACAGTTCTGCCACTCGACCATGACATGTTCATCGATATTAAAATTATTAATATGCTCAGAGGGTAAACTGGATGTGTTCAACACCCGTTATGTGAGCGCTTGTTCCGTCCCCTTTCGTGATAACATACAATACCGCCTATCCCTCTAGCTTACTTATGTCGTCCAGCTAAGTCATACAGCAATTGATTTTATACTCCTCTCGTTGTATTTTTTATTATAGTTATATTAATTTGATTATTCTTATAATAAGATGACGTACAACTAAAATGCACTGCGTATTGCGTAACAATAGCGCTGCAATAAATTGTAAGTACTATTATACAGGGTGTTGTCCGGGGACAGACGGGTGCAGTACCAAAATCCATGCACCCGAGTAAAACAGTTTTTAAAAAATACGTTAGCTAAACGTTAGTTAAAAGCCAAAATTCGAACAGTGTTCGAATTTTTGCCTTTAACTAACGTTTGGCTAACGTATTTTTTACAAACTGTTTTACTCGGGGCAGTGCTGCAGACCAATTTTTCCACATTGGCCAACTTCAAGTAACGACAATTAACGACCCCCAGGGGTACCATCAAGAAAGACGCTGCAAAAATATTTCCTTGTAAATTTGCCTGCAAGTTATTCTCTGTGAATCTGTGACAGTTTGCTTGATCTATAACTTCCACATAGCTTGATGGTTTGCCCGATCTTTCTTCTTCCTTCTTCCGTTTGCATATACGCTTTCTTCTTCCTTCTGCATGTACGTCCTCAAACAGTGCGCATTTTTATATGTTACACAATTTATTATGCGCTATCAACAATCAAAGCAAAGAAATTCTGTACTTATAACAATACACATCGGGGGACGATTTTGTGAATCACTATAGCATATGCGAATCCACGAAGCATATTACGTAAAGGCGTAAATTTATGTAGGTTCACCGTAAGAAACACCCGGAGTACTTTCTGTGATGAGGTGTATTTCCGCTTCCGCGTGCAACAATTGCCGGCACGCTTTTTGAAATTCCTGCTGCATTTCTACCAACTGGTCTTGAGGATAACCTCCAAGAACTTCCGCCATAAAACAAACATCGCGAGACGAGTCCTGAATCAGTCCTTCTTTCGACTGTCTCCAATTGATGTGCCGGGTCACCACCGTGGATCCCGATGCATATACGACCTCACCAAGCGGCACAGCGACGCTGGCATCCGCGTCCAAGGCCGTAAACTGATCGCCATTCTGAGAGAAGCGCAGCTGCAGATCCTGGCTGGTCGGCGCATTCAGATCGAAGCCACCAAAGGGCAGGAGATACTTGAGAGAAAAAGCGTTGTACAGGTCAACCAAAGGATTAATCGAGTGCGGTAGCGTGTCCGCTCTGGCCGCGCGCTTCGCCATGCTCTCCACTGAACTGACGTATTTCTTCGTGGATACATTCAGTGCGGTAAACGCATTCCGCCACAACTGGATGTGCGGATGGCTATGCACGTTGGGATGACCGGATACTTGTGCGTGAGCAGTCTTCCAAGCTTGTTCGAGCATTGTCTTAATGCCTTCGTGATCAATGCGTTCCAGGTCGATTTGGCGAACACAAGCAAAAAATACCGTTAATTTGGGAAGAGCCAAGAAGACTTTGTTTTCCACTGTGAAATTGTAACTCTTTCCCAGAAGCGAACTGAAAAAAATATTATGAGCGCGGGGAGCTAGTACGTAAATGTCTGCACTTAGGATTGGTTCTCGAAATGGTAGCACGCGCTAAGATTTCTTATTGCATCCAGCGATATTCTGGATTTCCTTTGCTGGTTTCAGTTATTTCCTGCGCAGTCAACCGAAAGCTTACACGAATAAGACTTGTGTCATTCTGACAAAACACATCCTGGCTGGCACAAACGAGCCCAGCTTATTTAATTACAGGAATAAAAGTTTTCCGTGTTATTTCGTATACGACTGCTTCTTAAACAGTTATTCGTCATATCGTATGGCATGGTTTGAATTTATTTAATATCAAGCTAGTAAGTCTATCCCACCACAGCAATTTACTGCATTATACCAGAAAACAGTATAAAAATCCAGAATATCGTTATCCGATGCCAAGAAATCGCCAAGCAAACAACTGCTACGAAAAAGTCAAACACTCCCGTTTACCGGTGTTCAGCTGGTTTCTCTGGCTTCTTAGCTGGAGCATCTCCAGTTGCAGTTACTCTCGGCTGGTCTTCCTGTAAACCGTGCACGTGTCAGTAGCATCAGCCACGAAAACAATAATTAAAGATAATTAGCCAATATCTGGTCATACCGTTCCCTCAATGACGTCAGTTTTTCCATCCCACGGCCGCATAGCCGGGAAAAATAAGACCTCCTGTAAATGCAACAAGTACACATACGGTATACCATACGAGCGAGCCATAAATGCAATGGAATGATTTTACCTTAATATTATGGGAATTGGTCAGAAACATTGTCAATCTATCAATACCAATGCCCAATCCGGCCGTGGGAGGAAGACCATATTCCAAGGATGTGCAAAAATTCTCATCTATCATCTGAGACTCTTCGTCACCTTGTTCCTTTGCCTATATTAACATTGCCAAAATTACCAAAATTCCCTTCAACAAAAGCCGTGGTAGGAAACACTTACTATTGCCTGTTCTTCGAAACGCTGGCGCTGCACAATAGGATCGTTTAATTCAGTGTAAGCATTGGTTAATTCCCGTGTTCCACAAAATGCTTCAAAACGTTCTGTCAGCCCGGGAATAGAGCGATGCGTCTTGGATAATGGACTCATAATGGCCGGATGGTCGCATAAAAATGAGGGATTGATTAAATCCACTTCCACAAAATCCCCAACCAACTACCAAAAACAGAAAGATGTATACAGTGTCAGTGTTATAAATTGACTTTAAAATGTACAGTAAATACAAAATCTGAAGATTTGCAGCAATTACTGTAACACATTTTTGATCGAAGCGAGACCATTTACAAAAGAAATGATGCAGCATGCTCACCTTATCCAAAAGGCGAGCAACCGTTCTAGGTGGAGGACACTCAACCTTATGCTTCACCGCTAGATCGTCGAGAATCTTCTGCGACTCGGCAGTATGTATTTCTGTGGCCGGTGGCAACTTCACCCCGAGCTTCTTTTCCAGTTCAGCCATCATGGATACGCGCCTCCACGGCGGCGTGAAATCAATATTCATCGCTTCACCTTCCGGTCCTTTTGGATGGTAAACGATCTTGTATCCACCGGTGATGTACTTAACAAGCCCTAAATATACGGCACGCATTAACGAAATGTCCTTAATAGTCGAATACTGGAACATATTGTTGCAACCGCACTTCTCACCTGATAGCATTTGCTCAACAAGTGCCATTAAATCATTGTAATCCGCGTAAGCCATGTACATTTCACACATGGTAAACTCCGGATTGTGCGTCAGATCAATGCCTTCGTTGCGAAAATTGCGTCCAATCTCGTACACACGGTCAATACCTCCCACAACCAGCATCTATCAAATAAATAACATCGTGATTCCCATAAAAAATTTACTGAATTCCTCAAAATCTAAAGGAAGCACATAAGCTTTTTTCGTACCTTGAGATATAATTCCGGCGCAACTCGCATAAACAAGTCCATGTTCAAATCATTATGGTGCGTAATAAACGGTTTAGCCGTAGCCCCACTGGATACCATGTTCATCATAGGAGTTTCAACTTCCAGAAATCCCAAGTTATTGAGGAATTCACGGACGTAATGAATGACCTTCGCCCGAGTGACGAACTTCTGTCGCACGTAGTCGTTCATAATCAGATCCAGATAGCGCATACGATACCGTGTTTCCTATGTTAAAATGGTTGGCAAAATGAGTAAGTAACCATTTGGAAAAGTAATCAGTTGTGTAGTCGGTCTATTATTCAAAACCGAATCTGACCGTACGTACCTGATTACGCAATCCAAAATGCATACTGGGAAGCATTCGCAAACATGGCGTTAAAACTTCCATCCGTTGTGGGATGATGCTCAGTTCGCCTTTTTTACTTTTGCCTATTGAAACATTCCATAATTAATTAATACACAACAGTTTCCCGTGCCAGTTAGTGTCTCGTCACCGTTAAGACAGCTACGACCACAATACGTAAGTTGATCATACCAGGATATCCGACGCATCCGATAATATCACCACGTCGTATACGGTCATTTATCCCTTCGAATTCTTTTTCGTTTCCATAATACCTGCATAATCAACAGGTTTATCAACATACTATGGCAGAGACAATTTAAACAAATCCAGTAATAAAAAGCCTACCGTGCATTGGCCAAAACTTGAATCTTTGTGCCTTCTCCACGAAGATCATAAAAAACCAATTTCGCTCCAGATTCTCTCTTAGAATGGACTCTTCCTAAGCAAAGAAATTGACTTTCGTAAATATTACGCAGCACCGCGGGAACATACGGAAATTATAAGCCATGCTTCAAGCATTTACCGTCATAAGCCGCACATACACTCATTTTATGAAAACAAAGCGTATTAAAAGCCACACCCACCCAATTAAACAGAATTTATTGTCAGCGCTTTTCTATTTTTTTCCTAAGAAAGATTATATATATTCTTGATTCCATCCTCACCGGCGACGCTGACCAAATCAGATAATTGCTCGCCATCAGCAATATTTTTGAACTTTTCCACAAACTGCACGAGTGACGTGTCCACGTGGAACTTGTGCGGATATGGATTCTCTCCCGCAGATTTCATCGCAGCAAGCGTATCGACACGAAACTTGAAATATTCCTACAATAATAATAATAATTCGTACAGCAACCACCATGGTAATTTGCCTTCGACTACGATAATTAAAGAAATAAAGGCACTCAAGGCCTTGAACTTACAACCAGCCTAAAATTTCTTATATTGTACACTGTGCAGTGTGTACAAATACGTAAGTAACTTTAATAGCTACGGGTAGCAAATTAGAATACAGGGACGGATTACAATAATGGTTCTGGTACTCGTAAATTCCGCCCCACTTAAAACTGGATGTTGCTAATATTCAAGCCTTGTTCTTTCAAAGCTTTCTCGAACGTACGTCAGGATCGGTGGGGTCCAGAGGTTTCTGCACTCCCAAGGGAGAGAGGTCCCTTTCCTTTTTCTTAGCGGCTTCCGGTGCGCCAGAACCAGCCACTTTGTCTTCCTTTTCCTTCAGCTTTTGTGCTGCTTTCTGTTGACGCTTCAGTTCACTGAAAAATTTAAATCAAACCGTAAGCATCGTAAAATAAAATGTAACAGAGAACTAAAAAGGAGCAATGACTGGCTGAGTCTGGCTCTGCAACAGTAGTGACAGACTGACAGTGATATGATCATAATTCATATCTATGAATAAATTACGCATTACGACTTGTCCGAAAACCATTAGACTTCATCGAAGACTGCAGTTGCTATCACAAACTTGTTACTATTTGTGTCTTTTTTCATTTTTGCCAAAAATCACTTACTTCTTGCTCAGCTTCACGTCTCCGTCTTCCATTCTTGCGGATAAAAACAGGTGCTTGACTTGATTAAAATATGGTACTAATACACCGGCGCGGCAGGTTCTTGCACTGGGATAGAACAATCTACCAAAGCTCGCTACCACCATAAAGTCTGCCACATGAAATAAAGAAACCAGTATTTTGCGCGATCAGGAGAGCTAGTCTGGGTAACAATATCCAGACCGGAAGTAGTATTCAAATAATGATTTACGAGGGCGTCCCGAATGTCACCTCCGATGATTGCTATCTCGTACAGTCGTATACAGTACCTAGCTGCTAGACACAACAATCGAAATTTTTAGGAGGTTTTTTTGCGGATTGCGTCAGTCATAACTGTAAAGCGCACTAGTAGTAGGGAGGCGGGGAAAAATATGCGGGTTAGTACTGACTTATACAGAGCCGCTCCCTGGAAGGGCGGCATGAAAACAGTCAATTGCGCGGCAAGACCGAATAGCCTGTACTACTGGTAAAAAGTCTCGCTGTTACAAAAAATTTTTGTTTGTGGTTGGATGTGTTCTGAATCTTCTGATGTTTTTGATGGTAAGTATGTAAGTATTATTGTTCTTTTCAACCGTTTAGCATTAACAGCCAAACCAAACTAGATTCAGCTGATGCTCTTAAGTGATAATTCTTAAACTTATAAAGGGCATTTACAATTTACTTAGAAAAAAATCAGAGGTTCGGTGTCCGAAGTAGATTAAGAGGAAGCGGTGACAACTCGCTCACATGCATTCGTAAATCCAAAATTACCCAGCATCTGGGACCGAGCAAGGGGATCAAATGACGGCTACTGGAGGGGAACTATTAAGCACAATGAAGTTCGAAAGTCCTGAAGAATCAGCTGCAAAAGTCTTGGCCAGACGCATTCGTCCGGGAACGAAAACTCAGGTGTGTCACCAACAATTTTGTGGGTCTGGTCCGACTCTGGTGACTGTGAAGTGATGACTCTAGTATAAACGGCAAGTTGGCAAGCGTGGACAAGTTATAAACAGTAACACCGTAACAGAGCATTAATTTTGGTGTTTATTAATCTGAATCTTTTATGTTTTCCGTTTACCTATCTGGGGAAAACGCTGAAAGTTCTTCATGCACTCAGATTTTAATTTTAGAGTAGCGTTTATGTGGTTTTCACTGTATTACAACAGGCATGTTATACTGATACGCGTATTACTCGTAGGATTTCTATCAATGGCCTGATCTGACTCTCGAAGACATGGACACAACGTTAGCAGTGCAGCAGGTAGGCCGAACAAACCACATATTTTAGCAGTTTAGCATGGTAAATTTAACGTGATCGTAAGAAAGTATATTTTTTTTAATTAAATCTCAAGTTTAACATGGAAACAATGCTAGCTTCAGCCGGAACATCTTCACGGGTTAAATACACCATGTTTAAAATTCTAAAAGGATGTTGTTCCAGTTTTGGCCGGGATATTTCGGAAACATTATAATGTATCTCTTTTACAGTACATACAGCAGCTGATTCGAAAGGATCCGTTGAATGTGGAAGATATTTTGCTGATGCCTGTAAATCAAGACGAAGGCGTGTGGAAATATGAGCATTTACGGTAAATAGTTTTGGCTGAAAAATTAAATTATTAGTTGGATGAAATCAGTGAACTGTGTGCGGGCGCATTGTTCGCACTTTTTCCCGTGTGATTGCCGAAGTGGATTTATTTCTAGGCAGTTCTGCATGGAGCTTAATAATTTGGCGGTTGCTCTTCAGGTACGTAATTTACCTAGCTAACTTGGTTGTTGTATTTACCTTTCCGGAGCTGAGCAAAAGTCTAACAATGTAAAAGTTAATTATTAGGTGGAATGCACGGCGGACACCTGCACTCAGATGACTGCTACCGATCAGTGGATCTTTTTGTGCGCTGCACACAAGCAACCCCGAGAATGCTCGGCCATTGACTATACCCGTCATACTCTGGATGGGGCGGCTTGTTTATTAAACAGCAATAAATATTTCCCGAGCAGGTGAGATTTCCTATATAAATTGTTCTAAAAAGATGTTATAGCATACGTAACTTTTATTTTTGATGTTCATACAGGGTGGATATCAAAGAGCAGTCGATTGCTAAACTGCCTTCCACTTGCCGCAGAGTGTACCGTATTTTTTCCCATGCCTACTTCCATCATCGGCCTATATTTGATTCCTTTGAGGTATTTCACTAATGTCGTTCTGAGTGATTTATTACATCTGTACGGTTTTTTGAACAGTTGTGTTCTTATTCCAGGAAAAGACGTTCCTGTGCCGTCGTTTTACCGTGTTTGTGTTGAAATATGGTTTGATGTCACCGGAAAATCTCATTGTTCCAATTCCTGGAGTGCACAATCCTCCCGCTGTGCAGGGAACCGAATACAATAAATCCGGCGAAAATGATGGATAGACATGGCAACTATTGCTAGTATAATCTTTGTACCCTTTCTGTTCGAACGTCGAATTTCTGCATTTGCTTGTATTTCCTGAAGCTGCAGCTTCTGCAGATCTCTGGAAGCTGGAAGGTAAAATGTGACTGTCTCATGTCGGTGTGGTGTAATATGCAAGATGCTAAATGGCGTTTACAGGTTTCCTTTGTTTTCCCGATTATCGGACTATCAGCCATAACAGCGTAAGATAAGAACCGTTGTTGTTATCGCTTGAATCTTACGAAAAATCTTAGTGTGAAGGGTGGTATTGGTGTTGTTACGATATTAACTGTAGAAGTATCTTATGAATCATTTCTGCGCTTACCAGTTAGGATTCATTTATGTAAACCATAAAGTCCGAACCATGAACCGTTGCATCACAGCTTAAAGCAATAAGAAACATTACCGTATGGCACATCAGCTATGAAACGCAAAAAAAACAGCACTGATTATTCATCAGGCGGTTCTGTATAATTTCCACTAATAAGAAAATCCCCCAGAAAACTGTAATGCGGCTCTCGTTCAGTCGTGCCGGATACGTCCATCGATATATCCATTGCAACAGATTCGTCGCCAGGCAGATCAACCACACCCTTCGACGTCGAAGGCACAGAAATATTAAGAGCGGATGTATGTGCGACGCTCGAGCTTTTCTTCGTACTCCGCTTTACAGATGAACGTCCGCTTTCGGAAAGGCTTATCGAAGGTGCTCGAGCAATACGATTCCGACGCGGCACACCAGCAGTTACCATCAGATCAGGAGGAACGGATGGCAAAAGGTGCGCAACGCCTTCTTCAGCAAGAATATCTACTGTTTCGCCAAGCATCTTCTTGGTCAATGTATCATCCTTGTTGACAGCTAGCGCTCGTTGAAATGCTTCCACGGCACTTTGGAGATGACCCAACATATAATGTGCCATCCCAATAATTTTTAGGACACCACTGTTCTTTGAATTAATATGACTTGCCAGGATGGCATACTTCAGTGCTTCCTCGCCCTTACTAAAAAGCAACACAAATTTCGTAGTTTCATGTCTGTTGGTGCTAAAATCCCGCACTAATGCGTGCCTGCTGTCACACCCTAAATCACTTCAATAAATTAGGCGCAACAAGGAACTTAGACAACAGCTCAAGCCTTCGTACTGTTATGAGTAAAAATTATCGAAATGAGCTATCAATAGTATATTGATAACTAAAACACTGCTATAGTACTTGCCGCAGTTTCATATATGCTGTGGCCAACGTCTCTAGGATGCCTTCAACACCGGAATCCATAGTTGTCTGTTCCGTGCTGTCCAGTTTAATGACATCCAGCGCATGTAAGAGATTCTCCACAGCCAACATTATTTCCTTCTTGCTATCGTTTAAAGCGCTCGCATTTGCTGTAGCAGTCTGATTTTTGGATAAGATAACACTAAAATCAAACGAGGGTATAATGGCCGTCAAGTGCAACAAGCGACTTGCTCCAACACATACTCTGCTTTTTTTATATGCAGAATTCCAATTTCGTGCAGTACTGCTGGGTCATCCGGGGCTAGCTGCTTCGCTTCTCCATAAAATCTCTCGGCCAAGACGTGATTGTTCGTTCGTACATATTCACGTGCTATGTACATGTAAGGGAAAAAGGAGCTGCGCAAAAATCGGTACATTACAATCTACTTCAAGTACTCGCAGGCAAACAAGATTACCCTTTCATCACATCAACCGCATGGAAATACGCAGCCATTGCTTGGTCATGTTCCCGCTCGCGGGAAAACGAATGTCCATACAATAACCACACATGTCCACAACTCTTGTCCATACCAATCGCTTTGGCTAGGTATCGTCGTGTTAATTCCATATGGTTGCAGACGTAATAATACGCAGCCGTTGCATACCAAGTCATCATATCTTGTGGATACATAGCCACTAATCGATGGGACAGATCGAAAAGTAGACTACTTTTATTAAAATGCACCAGAGCAGCCACATGAACTAGCAAACAATTCCGGTAGAGCGGCTTTATCCTCATTATTTCGTGAGTGATTTCCATAGCTTTGGCATAATCGCGCCTTTGCAAACTGAAAAGCATCTTGGAAATCGTGACCAAAAATTATGATAAAAACTGCACAGCAACTTCGACTATATCATACTTTCTAAGCGACGAATATTGCATCTGTATTACAAACAGTTTATTAAACTGGCTTACAAGTATTCGGCTTTTGTGAGCAGGAAATCAGGATTTCGATCAAATTTTGTCTTCTCAACGCTACGCTCTCCAGTACTTTTTCCGTTTTCCCAATTGAGTTCCGGCTGTAATCTGCCGCGATATATCACATCAACAAGAGATGTTCCTTCATCGCCAAACATTTGCTGGGTTCGTTCATGAACATCCACCAAAATCTTCCCCTTTTCTGTCACTGTCAGTGCTTGACGGGAAGCCAAATACTCCAGTGCGTCGACAGAGAAGGGATCAATTTCCAAAGCCTGCTGGTACGCAGCACATGCCATTTGGCGATTGTCTTGGCGATCGTATATCTTTCCTTTAAGAATTTCGATGGCTGCCAAAAACTAGAAACACAAAGGCAGGCAAAAATCTTATTAAAGGCAGTTTTGACTTGTTAAAATTAATCATTTTACGTTTTCAGCGTCAATGTCATCGTCCTCAACGGGCAATTTCAAACCATTCCGTTCAACAGGTCCCGTTGGTGTCATGCAGATGTCGTCAATATGCATTTCCGACCCATTTTCGCTTATATATGATTTCTGTAGAGATGAGAAGACGCGCGAACCATTTTTATTATATTCTGGCACTGTAGGTAATCGCAATATCCGCAAAGCTTCCTCGAGATCGCCGGTGACAAACTGCAAAAAAAATCAAGATTTGGAAAAACTATAAAAACAATACTAAAAGTTAATTCTGCAGTGAGTCTGATCACAGTACCAGTACTCACGTAGCATCGTCCAAGCCAATACCGAAAGTCAATTCTTCGCTAGAAAACCCAAAAAAGATTCGACAACAACTTTTGTGAGTATTGAGCCACAAATGAGGAATACCTTTTCCAGATTTCTTGTTTCTATCATATTTCGGCAAGCAGCATATTGGCCGTCCATAAACAATAACTCACAAACGCTGAGAAGATCGGATAGATTCTCTGCAAAAATCGCCTTTCTCCATAATCTGAGTTTTCGGAGGTAAAAGAAATGATATTACTATACCGTAATCGGATAAGTTAGCCAATTTATCCATCCAAAATTCTGCAGCATCGTAACGTCCCTACAAACACAGAAAATACAGTCAAGCAATGGTGGCACAGTCCATGTAAAAATTCCAGCTCAATTTTTTAAAATCAGGTATCTTGGACCTTCTCGATATGGCGTATGTTATGTTATTACTTACTGTTTTCCAATAAAGGCTAATTTTCTGCCGGATTTTAGCTATCACAGTCGCATCCGGACTATCCCAATACCCAAGCGAAACAGACTGGCGATCAGTCGGCGGTTCTGTCGCAAGTCTTTCCGTGGAAAACGATAGTTTACTCTTGGAGGAAGCGTTGGGAGATCGATGCATGTTTGAAGGAGGCATCAAAGACTCGGCCAGTTTCACAAATAAGATCAGATTATACAAAGCAGTACAAATTACGCACAGACTGTTCCGGATTAAGCACCAGAATTCCCCCACAGCCGTCAATACGCAGACGTCAAAATTTCAAACCTTCAGGAGAACCGGAACGATGCATGTCGCAGGCTCGCAGCTTTGCAAGGTTACTTTGGTCTTCCAATAAATGCGCAGTGGGTTAGCGACCACCCAACTATGAATTCCATATTATTAAAATGCAGTTTTAAAGATTCGACGGAACGACCAGGCAATCACCTTTAATAAACAAGTTCACCGCAATTTTTTGTAAGTACAGTAATTCAATTACATACTTACACTCCAGTGACTCCATATTTCACAAAAAAAATCGAATGGGCTAAATTTGGATAAAAATCAAAAACAAAGTTACAAACAGATAGGCTTTGAATCAAATACCAGTGGCAGTGCAACGAATACCAGTGCCAGTGCAATGAAAACGAATGCCAGTGCGAGGTGTCTGGTATTGGAAGAGGCATTACTGGAACAGGAAGTCGTCGGGTCTTTCGTCGTTTTCGGGGTGGCCAACATTTGGGATCGTTTTCAAAGTTTCCTTGTAATCGGTAATCCTTTTGACCATTCGATTTGATCCAGTTTTGATTTTTGTCACTGTTTTGTCAGTCAGGTAGAGTCGTTCAGTTATATTATTTTACGATGGCTGCAGCGTGGCGAGTGGCTGGACTTAATTATATTCGTTATTCCCAGATTGCTGCACGATGCGTAAGTGCTTAGGTAGTACTCATTGTCCAAGCTGTGAGCTAAACTGGCATTTCGCATTTTACCGATAGCGAAGATGGCAGCGCTTTGATTTATTTAGGTACGGCAGGCTTTAAAGTCGGAATATAAGAACGAAGCCGCAAAGCGCGCAGACGCAAGCGCCCGAGTGACTCGATGGGAGGAAGGACGCGCGGGAGCCATGCAGGCTGCCAAGAACTAAGTGACAGGCAAACATTTTTTTGCAAAATGCTGGTCCGTTGGTAGAGTGCATCTTCCATTTGAATACTATGTAATTACAGCGCGGCCGTGAAGATCAGTCTGTTGGAGTGTGCAGAGTGTGACGTCGTGTTAATTATTTCATTTTATGCGTAAATGCTGGGAATTTGTCGTAAACTGCCTACATAAATAACGACATGGGTTCTACGAAGCTGGTGCAGTAAAAAAAATCTACGAAGCTGGTCTATTATGGTAAAATTACTCTGTGTTAAAAGTCTCAACTACGTAATTTGGTGGCAGTTTTGAGCAGATATCGCGCAAACCATGCAACTATGCATTGCATTCAAGCATGCAAGATGTTGGATCGAGGATATTTAATTATATCGAGGATATTATATTTTTCTTCTTTTGTTGAAAAATTGCAGACTCCGAAAGCCTGTCAAAATTTTCTCTTAACCACATCAATATCATGCGTATATTACTCGATTCTGTAGACTGTAGAGAAGCACATATGTGGGAGCATTTTCATGTTAGTTTGCGATGCTGCGCTAACATTTCAGCAGTACAGTACTTAAACAGTTGACACAATAGACTCAGCAGTACTGTACATTGTGCAAAAAATTGTATTCTCTGCCACGGGTGCTTTTGTTCTTGAAATTTATTTACCGTACCTTTTCTTTTGCCTCTAACTATAGCATTTATATAGTTGAAGGAGAAAGTAAAGCATTTGTGTCGCAATTATTGCACAGCACTGTACAATGTGCGTCATATTAAAGAAGGATTAGCCTTCCCGGTTGTCACTTCCTCTCTTCCATAAAAACGCTTCGCCAGGTTACATACGACACGAACTCGCTTTATTAGCAGAAAATAGTCAAAATACCATTAAAAATCGAAAGACATCAATCGGAAAATGGATCGGAATCCATATCCATTTCAGAACAATCCGCGGCGCTTTTTCCCACCGGAACTTTCAAAGCTTGTAGATCGTTTCATCGTGGCCAACGATACATCATCTGCAAGTGCTACTTTTTTAGTCGGTCTGGCAGAACGGTCTTCCAGATCACCGAAATCCAACTCAACATCGGAATCTTGTTTCTCGACGATTTCTACATCACGATCGCAGCCGTTTTCGACAATTTGTACATCTGCATTTCCATTGTGAGATGTAGAAGAAGCTCCTTCCTCAATGTCATCTGTTAGAACATGCTCCTCGTATGCACTAAATGCCGCCAAAATATCCTCGTCGTCTTCATTCTGTTCCGACTCGTAGTCCCCAGCAGCTGTTGGGGAATCTTTTGTTTTTACCAATTTCTGGTAAGTCCGGTCGTCTATTTCAAACGAGATTTCCAATTTCGCTTGATCTCGCAGCAGAGTAGGCGCAAGCGGGCCAGCGACTATGTATGTCACGTAATTGTAAGCAGTTGCATGGAATGTTTGTCCCAGGTAGTTATTCAGAATCATATCCACAATAATCCGTTCGCAATCGGACTGCGTGGCTGTTTTCACATTTCCCAGCCGTATCTGTCGCTTATTCAGCCATGCATCAATGACTTGTGCAGCAGTACATTTCCCGGTTTTTGAGCGCCCAATCGCGACCTTCACCGCCTGTAACGAACAAGAAAATAATGGATCTGAGTTTAATAATAATGTATAAATTGCACTGATTTCCGGTCATAAAAACCACAGAAAATTTTTAAAAAGTTTTAAACAATTTCAGTCTTAAATAATTTACACATTAAATCAGACCTTTACGATGTCTTTAGCGTGCTCTGTCACGTCAATCGTAATGGTATGGCGATTCGCCCGCTTCTTGCAAATGTCACACATCTCATCGCACATATCCGACGTCCATTTTTCACCGAAAAACTGCGCCAGGGGCCATCTTCGGCACTTGTCGATATTGTGAGCATAGCGCACCATTTCCCGAACGTTGTCCTGTCCAACCTTCTCCGTGAAAGTCAAAGAGGTCATACGGAATGCATCTTGCATCCGGAAGAACAGTATGCAAGCTGACTTCTTTCCGTCCCGTCCAGCACGACCGCTTTCTTGGTAATAAGTCTCGATACTTTTGCTGATTGTATGATGGATAACAAAACGCACATCCGGTTTATCAATGCCCATACCGAACGCCACTGTCGCCACAACGACAGAAATCTCGTTATTTAGCCAAGCGTGATGGGTTACGGAGCGTTTCTCAGGTGTGAGCGATGCGTGATACGGTTTAGCCTTCACGCCGCGCTGTACAAGATCTTGAGCGACTTCTTCGGTGTCCTTAATGGACAGACAGTAAACAATACCTGCGGAAGAAGAGAGTCTGTCCGTTGTTTAAATTGCCGGTATGAAGGCTACACATTTCCGCTATACTGTTTTACGCTTACCTGACTGTCCATCAAAACGGTGTTTAATGAGATTAGCAATTTTATCCACAGCCAAACTGGTGGCAGAGGGCTTATACTGCACTTCGTACAAGAGATTCCCTCGGTTAAACGGCGCACGAAAAACTACGGAACCCTGGAGCCCCAAAATATTCTGAACATCTTCCAGTACACGGACAGTCGCCGTGGCAGTGAGTCCCAATATCGGCGTCTGAGGGTACTGGCGCTTCAGGATGTTAAGAGCCTTATAATCCGGCCTGAAATAAATTTTTTCTGGATTAATTATACACCATTAGCGTACGATCGCATAAAAACAGCACATCCGGAAAAAAGTCGGTTTCATCAGCTTCACCTAAAATCATGGCCCCACTGACTGCAGCAGTGCACCTCATCTATCACAATGCGAGAGAGCATTCCCGCAGCGTAAAGAGCTTCCATCCGCGCGTTGAAGGTCTTCGTTTTAGCAATCCTCTCTGGGGTAACGTAAATAATTCTCAACGTTGTTTTCGGATCCATCAGCCTCGTCAAGACTTGGCGGCTTTGTTCTGCTGGCAGCCCCGAATGGAAAGTCACGCCCTCTATTCCGTATTTTCGCAAAGCCAGGAACTGGTCCTCCATTAAACTGCAAAGGTAGACGCATATTATACATTTTAGTATTTTACATTAGCAGTTCAAGAACATTTTACCTGACAAGGGGAGAGATGACAACGGTAATTCCACGCAGCGATGCAACAGCGGGGATCTGATAGCACAGCGATTTTCCTCCGCCTATAAATAACAAGTTTTTGTAATATTCTGAACACGGCCTGGAATAGTGGAATTACTCTGCCGTATAATATTACACTGCCTGGAAAGTATAAATCGGACAAAGGAAAAATCTAACATGTAATTATTCAACTTTTGCAGACTACCGGCATTTACCGTCATTCAACTGCTAACTGCTTCCAAAATCTGAAATTTTTGTTAAAGTTATTATCAGTTCGGTATGTAGTTATGTACACACACTGTATCAACAGGCATGGTAGTAACATTTTTTCAACTTGATGTGCATTTATGAACTGAAAAACGACAAAAATTCGAAGAAAAAATACAGCTGCAGGTGCGAAACAACAAATCTTAAAAAGAGCTGTCAAATTTTCAATAATTTTCATCAAATACAGATACCCGACATTCTGGACACAGCTGCGGCTTTCTCAAAAAATTAGTCAGACAAGCAATTACCTGTCGGCATAATGAGAATGCAGTCTTTATTCGCCATAGTCACGTTAATTGTTGACAGCTGCAGTGGACGAAAACTAGCAATTCCCATTTTGGTGCGAATTTTATCCACAGCATCACTCCAGGGAAATATACCACGCTCCCAGTCATGATCTTGAGATCTCTGTTGAGATACTTTCACCTTAGCCAGCAAAGCTTGCTTGCGCTGTTCTAAAGCTTCGCGTCGCTTGCGAAATTCTTGTATCTTTAGATCCACTACAGCAATCTCTTCATCAATGGTTGCCAGTTCGGACTGCAGTGATTTCGCTGCAGCCATGGCGGACAATAAACGGCGCTCAATTAAGTACCTAAAGAGCTAAATTAGTACCTGGCACGCACAAGAGATAACATCGACCATGCAAACTGCATGCTGCAAACCTACATTACTGCAAGACCTCGCAACCTCAACGCTGAAGAAAACGGCATTTAAATCTTATCGCACTGTTACTTCCTAATGGGTGACAGTAAGTCACTAACCACCTATTCACGGTAGTTCACTCACCGAGTCCTTCACAACGATTGCCAGCTGACAGATGTCCCAACTCGCAAATACTTTGGTTTGGCAGCAGTATATTCAACAGTCCCGCGTATCGCGGACTTGCAGTTATAAGTCAGTAAGTGCGACAGAAAATGTCACCAGAAATCAGAAAGTTCATGCTACTTCTTCCTTTTGATTTCGTATCATAAGAGTGCACAATAATATTATTGTGCACTCATCATAATCTCTTGCAACTTGCAAGCACCAAATCGAAGTGTTTCAAATTTTGTGCACTTCCTGACTTCCAACTTCTACAGAAAGTTCAACTCTTCCACTTAATACAACAAAAACATAACTACAGTCGTGTTTCATTGCGACCGCCCGCAGAACTGGTTTCCTACCGACACTTCGACGAAGCTCGGCTCGCCGGTTCAACACATTTTGTAATTTTACAGATTTTGTGCCACAAACTCTGCTTCGGTAAATCATAAAACTGGATTTCCTCTTTTTGTATTTTATTAGCCTTCATTATGTCTCTTCCGGACAAGATATTAAAGAAAAAGCTGAATAAATGGGAAACCATGAAGAAAACTGAACGACAGAAACGGATGGAAAAAGAAGCCCCGGTACGGAAACGAAAAGCTAGCGAGGCAGAAGAGGAACCTGAGTCGGGAAACCATGAAGGTCCACGAGAAGACCAGTCCGGTCGTTCCAGCAGAATTGTTCCATCTTCGATCAGCAGTATGTTTGTGAAAATGTAACGTTTATCCTACAACAGTAACAATACATAGCCTTAGTATGTTTTGCACCCATTCAGTGTCTGATGGGCAAAATGGCAAGGCAGAGTCTGTCGAAGAAGTTTCCCATGATTCCGGAAAAGATGTGACGACGAACGGCTTGCCGTTCTCTGACCTTGAAGGAAAGGTGTCAGACAACATTTTGAAGGCGGTGAAAGAGATGACATTTACCCATATGACCGATATTCAAAGCAGATGTATACCACCTCTTTTGGAAGGAAGGTACAGTGCACTGCTAATCGCATACTATGTAATCCCTTTAGTCTTGCACTCACTGAATTAACGAGTTAAAAATTATGTCATCTACTCACCGTAGATTTCTTAGGCTTTCTTTGTACTTAAAAGTATGGCATTCGTTTTTTGTAATAATTTTTTTGAGTAAATTTAGTATTTGTTTTTTATGGTGAATTTTTACTTTTTTAAGAGTCTTAATAATTGTAAACGAAATGGCAGCATCGATTATTTTTTATATTGGGTGTGAACAGATGATTTAGTTTATTTTGTTTGTCTGGTAGGGATTTGATTGGTTCGGCCCGTACAGGAAGCGGTAAAACTTTGGCTTTTCTTATTCCGGCCATTGAGCTGCTGAATAAAGTAAAATTTCATCAACGCAACGGAACGGGATGTATTATTGTTTCTCCGACGCGAGAGCTGTCTATGCAGACGTTTGGAGTTCTGAAGGAACTGCTAAAATTTTCTACACTTACTTTCGGATTGATTATGGGGGGAACTAATCGGCAAGCGGAAGCCGATAAATTGGCCAAAGGAGTTAACATCCTCGTAGCGACACCTGGTCGGCTGTTGGACCATATGCAGAGCACCAATCAGTTCGTGTATAAGAATTTATTGTGCTTGGTAATTGACGAAGCGGATCGAATTCTGGATATAGGATTCGAGGAAGAAATTAAGCAGATCATTCGACTGTTACCTAGTGAGTTTTTTTATGCGATCTGAGCTTCTTGGTACCATGAATCCTTGTGCGAAAATGTGTTCATTCAAATAATTTTGTAGAAAAACGACAAACCATGCTGTTCAGTGCAACTCAGACCCAGAAAACAACCGATCTCATAAAACTGGCCGTCTCCACCGCGCCGATTTATGTCGGCATCGACGACGACAAGCAGGTTGCGACTGTGGAAGGGCTTAATCAGGTTAATACTTTTGTCGAATATTTTCGATGGATGGAAGAAAGAACAACTGCTTTAATGGTCGTGTTTTTCAGGGATACGTTGTCTGCCCCTCAGATAAACGATTCCAGTTACTGTTTACCTTTCTAAAGAAAAATAAGAAAAGCAAAGTCATGGTATTCTTCAGCTCGTGTTTGTCCGTGAAGTTCCACCATGAACTGCTTAATTATATTGGATTGAGCGTAATGTGCATACATGTAAGTACACATCTGTTTCCGATTTTTCCGACATTCAGAAAGAAATGTTGCGGTTTTTTTCAGGGTCGGCAGAAGCAAGCCAAGCGAACGACCACGTTTTTCCAGTTCTGCAACGCAGAAAGCGGCATTTTGCTTTGTACCGACGTTGCTGCGCGAGGACTAGATATTCCTCAAGTTGATTGGATTGTTCAGTATGATCCCCCGGACGATCCGAAGGTGATTTTTTTACCATCCATTTCTTTCTTTACTGTACAGCGTTACTGTTTTCTTTACTGTGCTTTTCTTTACTGTTCTGCGCTAGTTGTAACGCATAGTTCGAATACCATTCCTATTACAGGCGCTTGTGGGTTCTTATTGTTGCAGCTTATTACGTTGCTTTATTCCAGTTTTCCGAATTACGTAATTTTATTCAGGTTACCAGAAAATTGTATTAATTTGCAAGTTTATTACAGGAATACATTCATCGTGTCGGACGAACAGCGCGCGGTGAAGGAGGGCGAGGCCAAGCTTTACTCATCTTGAGACCAGAGGAGTTATTGTTTTTGCGGTACTTGAAACAGGCTCGCGTACCATTAACGGAGTTCGAGTTCTCGTGGAATAAGGTTGCCGATGTCCAGGACCAATTTGAAAAATTAATGGAGAAGAATTATTTTTTAAACATGTCGGGACGTGAAGCGTACAAATCATACGTGAGGGCATACGATTCACATCACCTCAAACAAATTTTCGATGTCAACACATTGGATCTGAAATTAGTGGCAAAATCATTTGGATTCAAAATACCGCCTATGGTAGAACTGGGTACGTCATCTGCGTATGGACAATCATTGCAGTTTACTGTGGCATGAAATTAACGCTTGTGCATTTCGGTTTTCAGGTGTAACTAGTGGTAATCGAGCAAAATCAAAAGAACTAGGCGCTGGATATCAGCGTCCACCAATTGCAAAGAAACGAAAGCTGTATAAGCAGTTCCCGACTAAAAAGGAGCAGGAATACTTATAACATTATGTTTTCATCAATTTCCTAACCTTACGAAGATGTGCGAAATTGGCGTTCTTGTGTTGTGTTATGTATCTGCCAAGCGTTTGCATGCAAGCGCGATTTTTACACAATTTTTATCGGTAACTTACCAACGATACGCATGACGTACGTTGATAAAGAAAACAAAACCCAATCTAAGGGCCATAATACCGCAATTACATAATCCAAACTGCGGATCACCCAAAATAAAATCAAATCTCCGCTTTAAATTGGCTTCATCCCTTGCTGCATTATAGATGTGTTCGAATACTTTGTGGCATAACTTTATACGTCACTGCTTTGCCAAGGTAGAGTAATTTCTTCGTATCTTCTTCTTGAAGCAGCTGGTAGTTGCCATTTCCTAATAGCGACAAAGTTTTACCGACCACGGTCTTCGCCAATTGGACAATAATTGCAGCCGCGGCACTCCATACGCTCTGACTGACAGCAAGATCTTTTTTAATAAAGAACTTCAGACGTCCATCCGCGTCACTCTCCGTCGTTGTGTCTTTAGCGGTAGGATAAACAACCAATCGGCGACCGTCCGGTAGCAAAATACAGATGACAATTCCTGTAAAAACCGTAACCCTATGAGATAAACAGAAAAATCACAACGGTAAAACCAGAACCATTATTGGATTATAAATAAATAAATCCAATAATTTAAAGGGGAAAAGCTGCGAAGTTCACCCGGGAAAAGTGGTACTTGAATGTATACTTAACTGCAAAGCACTTACCCGCCAAGTCCAAACATCCTTCTACGACAGCTTCCAAAGGAATTTTGTGAATTGTCCCAGCAACTACATTCACCACATATTCGTTCTCTATTGGTGACACAATATTCACGCTAACCCTTTGTATTTCACTGCCAGGAAGGCGAGGAACGGGGATACAACTCCGCAACCAGGATAGAAGCTTTGAATACGGGAGCTTTGTAGCGTACATTGTTTTCAGATCGTCTCCGATACCGGATATCCATCGAGGTAATTTTTCTCCATATTTACCAGACATGCCCTCCAAATCGGTGATGTCAATCAAAATTTCAGGTCCCACTTCCACCAAATCGCCAGACCGTTCTCCACTTTGTAAAGCCTGCACAGCAGAAATGCTATACAGTATAAACTATGAATATGTACAAATGCACCAGCGAATAATTTAAACAGCAATCAATCCCGAAGCTCATAACAACCATACACTAAAAACCTGGGCAAACTGCTTTTACAGACATTAAATGGCTGTTACCGAACACTTATTTTTGATTTACCTGAAGTAATTTGTCCTGAAGTATGAGGGTAGCCGTCAACAAGCGATCGCGGTCAGTCATACCAGTAAAAAGCGTTCTCATTTCATCCACGATGCTTTTGCTTACACCTGCTTCGTTCACATCGTTCTCTCTAAGCATATCATTTTCAGAGTTTTCCAATGCTTCCACGTATCGGCTAGCAAACCGGAACTGCAGATCCAACCATGCGCCAGCCGCCTCCTGTGAGACATTCCACTGTACCATATTTTGGATTTCCTTACGACCTACGTCCAAGATATCTGCGATGTTGCGATAGCCTTTTGCTTCAACGAACCGACGCTCAAGGATGGCAAGAAACGACGCAATATTGCCATCAGCAGAAGGATATTTCTGCAAACTGCCTTTTCTTGATTTTAGTCGTGCATTTCCAGCAGTGTCAAGATATGGGAACCATTCTGTAATGAGAATGAAATTCACAATAATTACAGAGATTGTACTAAAATCGAAACATGTCAAATCCCTGAACAAACTCAAAACTTTCATCGTTAATTTAATCCAAACCAAAAACAAAAATTCTACTTACAAGTCAGTGATGTACCACTGAAGTGACCGAACCCACACACATACTTGTACACTGTGTGTGATACACATGAATAACAATACATTAAATAAGCAAATACAATTATTATAGTACAAGCATAACGTGTTTATCGATACGTACACGTTGAAATTTTTTCTACGAAAGATTTTACCAACACTCCTCAAAGATATAGAAGTATTCGTATATTTACCGGGGTATTTATAGCGATAAAGAAGATAATGGCGTAAATGGAAATCCAAAAAAACTTTTACAATTTCCGGTGTAGAACTAGCTGCATTACACAGCAGTGCCATTGTGCCGATGTAGATTTTGTCGTCCGATTTAGTTTCCGATGAATGCAAATATGGATGGATATTCAAATACACGGTGGCTTCTTCGGCTATTAAAGCGCCGTTGCTAGCACCGATCTTCGCTAAACACTGGCATATCTGTCCATGATCCGAAGGATACTGTTTTAGGTTATTAAGAAGCTCTGTGTGCACCATTCTAATTAGTTTGGCGGATGAATATTTTAAAGTCGGCAAAATGGACCGAAGACCTTGACGAATGTCCAACGTTGCGTCTTGCAAAACGGTCAAAACCATTTCTAGCTGATCTTCTCGCAGCTCGACACCGCCCCCTAGTCTGGGGAACATCTGCAGGGCTTTTAGCCGCACATCATGAATTTCATCATTGAACATATCGACGAGGAATTCCGCGCCTGTTTAATTAAAAAAATAATTGTCTAAAACGATGCAAAAATGTTAAGTATAAAACGTCTCACTGGTAGAACCAAAGGTCGGATGCTTCTCTGCTAGCAAAGCCATGGAGATGACAGCCTGTTCCCGTACTTCTTGAAACTGGTCTTCCAGTGCTAAAACAAAGGCTCCCGTGGCACCGATGGACATCAGCGAAACGTCATCCTGTTGTAGACGTTCTTTAGGGGCATCGTCAGCCCATTTACGACCGCTAGACCATTCACCACTCTCGAACAAACGCTTCTGGCGCTCGTGTCCTGCAACCTTCACTCGCAAGTCCGACATCAGCTTCTTATCCACTGTCTGCAGGATGTAGTCAAGGGTCACGCCATTCATGCGACCTAAAAATTGACTCAAAATATTGAATATTCTATGACCTGTACTTCTATACGACATATCAATCACAAGTAATCTCGTACCCAAAATACTCGCAGCTTGAGCGCGAATATTAATTTCCCAATCATTGACACGATCACATATTTTGCAGAAGACATCATCAACTAAATTAATTGTTTCGGTTGTTTCGCTACTGTGCACAGCCTGCGCGTTCGCCACTTGCTGGCTAGGATAGTCGTCGCTCAGGCGAAAAATAAGGTTCATAACGGACGAACGAACCGAGGAGTCAATATCCTCCAGATCATTGCACAATCTCCGATAGCTGCAAAAATTTCACCATTACTACGACAAAACAATATTACAAACTACGACAAAACAATATTACAATAAACTTACACTGTACAACTCAAACAACACTAGCCAGCGAGTCCTCAAATTTATCAAAACGATCAGCAATTTACATAAGTAAAAAACGAAACAGAAAGCAGACCAATCAAACCTGAACGAACAGAACGGAACAGCCAGCACAAATATCTATACATTAATATCTATACACAAATATCTATACTTTAACTTATCACGAGCAGTGAAAATACTCACGTCGTTAGACTAAAGCGCATACGAAATCCACGCTCCGTCAACGCGTCCAGCATTCGGTAGGCCGCTGCGCGCACTTCATTACAGCCATCCTGAGCAAAACGGTTCCACAAACTGAGCACATACTGTCGCGATGTATCGCGGTAAGGCAGAACTTCCCCAATCACATCTAAACACGAAGCGAGCAGCACAGACCAACCACTATCACGCTGCATCATCTCGTCGTCGCCCTGAATATTCCCATCTGTTATATCGTCTTCGCCGTGCGCATCACTTGATAGCGGTGCTGTTAACGAAAAATTCCGCCATAAGAACTTGTCCACAATAGTCACAATGTGCCAGCAAAATGCGCTGTTCTGGCGATGCTTGACGCCTGCTTCCAGCAAGATCCGAGCGAGCTGCACCCGTATACGCGTGTCCCATGACGTAGAGTTGAGAACTTTAATAATAAATGGGCGCAAAACAGGGAAGCATGATGTCCCAAGAGATAACTTCAGCAATTCGCCCATACGCCGTAAAATTACGGAGTGCAGACTGTGAAAAATGTGAAACAGATCGCAGAGTTTTTCACACACGGCGACGATCTCATCCACGCTGACACTTACTCCATTCTCCGATATGGTCTGCAAGAAACGATCTGGTGAAAAAAATTTGTTCGAAGCGAGAAAACCCGACTGACATGTATCTGTGTGCTGAGATCGTCCAGGGCTGCCTGCGCTTTCTGCAAGTCGGTAATCCGTTCGATATCAGGCAGAACCAAAGATCGTGGATTCAAGCGGAGACGCTTCGGACTGCGCAGTGAGTCTTCTTCATCAATGTGTCTCCGCCCGCGACTCGATGATGCATTCTCTTCGCTCCCGGAGAGTTCCACATCCGTGTGGGTCACGGTGCTGGTATAATCTGTCAGCATGCGCTTTTTGTAGGCAGACATTGTACTGGCAGTGGCAGCGGAATGCGGTTTCCTGTAGCACGTCTGCGCGTTACCGCTGTTAGTGGATAATGCAGTACTGGTACAGTGATTGCTCGATGAAAAAGTACATATGTACTCTTGTCAAATCAGAAGACTGAGCAGTCCACCGACCATCGCCTCCACTGGTTAAACAAAACTCCAATGAAAAACTCCGTTATCAGTTATCAGCAGCAGATATAAAATTACCCAATTTAAAATTTACTGATTTACATTTACAAATTAGATAACTTTTCAACTTAAACCCAGATTTTCGAATTGTTATGATTTTGTGACTTGTAGTAAGATTGCCGCGAACTAATTTCGGTTGCCGAGCCGAGCCACTAACATTTCGGTTGCCGAGCCGAGCCACTCATGCAGTTACGCTGGTACTGCTAGGTCGTGGCCAACATATACCCCCTGTGGAGGGGTATATGTTGGCCAACTATGAAATACTTCGGCTCGGTAATAGTTGTGGGCATCCGAATAAATTCAAATTTTATTTGCAGTTTGCTAACTGAAAATTTCTCAGTTTTCTACCTGTTTTCCGTTTTCAGAAATTTTCTTGGTTCAGTTTTTGGCAGTTTAACATCTTTAATAAAACTAATAAGAAATAGATTCTTAATACCAGCAAGTTGGAGGCTGCGGTGTTTATTTATTTCTCCCTATAACGAATTGTCACTGTTGCTGTCAGTGACACAAGCAACTGCAAACATCTACCTAGATCTCGAAGCATCATAAGTGAATTGCATCATCCTGTTGACGGTGGCCTTGTTCCTGATGATAGCAGCTCAAGCACGTCGAATTTTCTTCACATCGCTCCTTTCTCACACTCCGATCAATTGCCGGCCATTACTCGCAGGTAAGTAATGCGGCCTTGTAGATGCCTTTGCCACATCGAACTCATTTTTAAGTTCCACGGCTTTCGTGGTCAGCTTATCGATGCATAGTTATTAGTTGTTGATACGTCGGGCTTTTCAGAACTGCAACTTGCAACACCGTGGACGTCGATTATTAGAATGGCTGCGAAGAAGATTGTGGATACCTTCAACGAGATCGACAACGAGATGGTTTACGTGAAAAACAAACTGGACTCTATTGGCAGTGTGATCAGCAGCGGCCAACACTCAGACGTGTCGGCCGGTGCGCTGCAGAAACTGAAGGATGAAAACAAAGAGCTGCAGCGTCAGATGTTGGAGATCATGAAACAGATCGCCGTGTACGATCTCCTAGAAGGAAAGCCACCGTTGGCTCTTAAAGTTTTTCTCCAAAAAGAGGTACAGTTTCTGCGCTGGCTTCTCACAACAGGTTGAGAAAATTTCTGGGAATATTATTTTATGCTATAGAAAACTAAATCCTCCAGCAACGAACCTCAGCCCGCTCCTCAAACCGTTGAAAAAACTGCGGAGGTACCGGAAGAGGTTTGTATTTGTGCTAATATGGCAGTACATAGACGGAAATTCATCGAAATTCGTTTTTTTCAGTCTCCTGCTGAAAAATCAAAGAGCGGTTCCGCCAAAAAATTAAAAGGAGCGGAAGACAGCGCGAAACCAGCCACTTCTCAATCTCAGACACCCTCAACCGAGGTAGTTTCCGATATTGAGTGCAGTGATAATTTTATTTTTTAAAGTGATAATTAAATGAAGTGCAATGTTTTCCGACAGACTGAGAGTAAGGGAAAAAGCAATAAAGCCGATAAAAGCAAACAGGTACGGTACAGTATATCTTTTCTTATGTGTGCACGTTACCGTGTTCCATACAATTGTACATCGTTTATCTTTTGCAGCCGGCGAAGTCAGGTGACGGTGGAGATCAAAAACCTGAAGGCACAGCGTCATCCGATGATTCCGTCACCGTGGCTCGTTTGGATATGCGTGTAGGGAAAATTGTTGAAGTTGATAAGCACCCAGATGCGGATTCACTGTACGTGGAGAAGATCGATCTGGGTGAGGGGCAGCCGCGAACCATCGTCAGTGGACTGGTCAAGCATGTTCCCATTGAAGAAATGCGCAATCGATTGGTCATTGTCCTGTGCAATCTGAAACCGGCAAAAATGCGTGGCGTTACATCTGAAGGTTTGTCATACTGCTTATGGTGTTTAGATTAAAAATTAATCAGTCTTCTGAGACTTTTGTTTGAACACAATGTGAATGCTGCTCGTGGCATGGACAGTTAAATATTTGCTTCCTGAAGTAGTTTATCAGAATAGTTCCTTTGCTTTTATCATTGATTGTTTTTTTCTTTATCATGTTCAATTGGGTTTGTTATAGTACATATCAGACCTGTGCAGTTATGGAAAATTCACCCAGAGTTAGAGTTAGGAGTTACTAGAAGCGTGGAAATTACGCTACGAGTTACGCTATTCATAAAAGTAAACCGAGTTTCGAGTTACTCAGGGAATTACGCTACCATAGACAATACATACAATTTTTGTGCGGGTTACGCTAGAGTTAAGTTTTCGGGGGGACGAGTTACGCTACAGAGTTATATTATAACTCGAAAATAACTCGCGTTAAGTTAAATAGTTAAAAATAACTGCACAGGTCTGGTACATATGTTGTAACGGTACATGTATCGACGGGTTGTGTTTCAGGAATGGTGATGTGTGCAAGCACTCCGGATAAAGTGGAACTTCTAATTCCTCCCAACGGCTCTCAGCCCGGTGATCGAGTCACCTTCGATGGATATCCCGGCACGCCTGATGACCAGCTAAACCCTAAAAAGAAAATTTGGGAGACGGTCGCTCCGGATTTGACGGTAGATGCAAATAAAACCGCTATTTACAAAGGTGTCCCATTTAGTGTTGCTGGAAAAGGGATCGTTGTTTCACCATCTCTTGTGAATTGTCCAGTGAAGTAAAGATTTGTGGTAGTCGGTAGGAACTTGATTCTGGAGTTTTGTCTTTAACATATGGATGGATTTCCTTCTTTTTCAAATAAAGCTTTAAATATGATCTTCAAAATTTTAGCCTTGTAATGCCGAATACGGTAATGCCGTTACGGTAGCATGCAAAAATCAGCTAACGGTAAATAAGTAGTTTATTTACGTTGTTTATACGATATATAAGTATAAATCATTTATTAAATTGACTACGTTTTTTATAAGCTTTGGTGCTCGGGTTGTAGAGCCTTGCTTGCTGTATCACGTTTTTTAGCAAATGCATGTAACAACGCTCTTACTACAGTACTCGTATGCATCGCAGATCTGCGGTTTGCCGGTATTTGTGCTTACTCACCATCAGATTCATACGCCGCGCAATATTTAGAGCGTGCAGAATGACTGCAGACTTGCGGAAAGCGCCATATTGCTTGACATGTCGGAGTTGAAAGGTATGTGGAGAGAATCGAGCACAACAAACAATGCCTGTAGCATAATGGAAAAGAAATTCATAAAGGAGCCGTCGTACGTTATGTCAGCTTTTCATTCTCGGAGAGATTAAGCAACGCATGACAAGCTGTCAAATCACGGGACCAGCAAAGTAAATAAATTGATTCCTAACGAACCGACGCCGTGTACGCAATGCTGGTTTTTATTGAAAACAGTGCCAAACCGTCCACACCTGACTGAGCATTATGCGGGAGAATTTTTGATAGCGGGCGGATCGTGCGCATCACTAATTCGCAACACCTTGTCATAATGTTTGTGGTTTGTCTGTTTGATTAAGTCGTATTATTGCTGTTGTTTTGTTGAAACCGCAAATTATATCTATTCATTCAGCGGTGGCACATTGGTATTTCCGGTGTGGAAGATGTCGGACAAATCATCCACAAATCTGCGTTTTATGCCGGCGGTCGATTACAACGACGCACAGGCGCTACTCATAAACGAAGCCAGTGCAAATTCCAAAGCCAGCATGAATATCATCGCGATAATTAACTGTTGTGAATGGCGAATAGGTTTCCGGATTTTTTGCGATGATATCGATACCGGCGATAAGATACTGGATCCCAGTCAAATGTGTCTGTTCAGTTTCAGTGTCGCAGCACCCGACGAGACACTGGTCTTCTGCCAGACGCTTGGCCTGAATCGCACTATGAACTTTGACGCGTGGGGCGGGACGGCGCCACGGGGACTGAATGTGTGGTCGCTGCTGCCCAGTCTGCAGGACGGACTGGCACTGTGTGGTCTACTGGTCAAGAAGGGATGGACGCCGGTTGGTTACACGGGTACGAGTATTGAAGAAGAGGACGAGGATGACAGTGATCAGGATAGCGATGAAGCTGGCAATCGCTATTTCCATAAGTCCACCGATCTGAAAAGTCCCGTGCCGGGATCCTGTACGAGTCCAGCGCAGAATGGCTTCCCGGATGCCTTTGTCCCCAACCGCTCTTTTGATCCCGGAACGCAAATTTGAAAACAGCTGTGTATGTCTTTTCCTTTGTATTTATTTGTTCTGCATTCTACTGACAGAAAAATATTTATTTAAATCTTTTTCGAATTCATTGAAACTTGCAGCTGCAGTTCAAAGCGTATGCAACCTTGTGTTGGTAGTATGCATATACTGCTCATAAACGCAAAGGTCATAATTATTATAGTATTTGCTAACCTATGTAGTGGCGTGGATCAGCGACAGTACTACCACGCAAACAGATATAGAACTGTAAAATATTAACCAGCAAAACCGTACGTAGTGCATATGAAGGAGACTTTACAGAGGAGACAAGTATGTACTCGTAATACGCGGCTATTCATATGCACTACGGCAAAGCTTAAATTCAGGTAGAACTGTAGTTAGTTGTAAAATGCTAGTGTTTACCCATTTATTAGCCGTGATGCCATTACATGTCGTCCATATATCGAATAGCTTTAATTACGAAAGAATTAATGATGAAATTTAATTCTTACTTACGTTTACGGCGGTTTACCAGTGTACCACCGATTTTCGCTGTTTATTTACTACTCGTAGTGAACAATTTCACGAAAGCTTAAGCTTGCATAATATTTGCTATTGCAGTTTTAGGCTTTATGGTTGGCTGATACAGTCCATGAGTACCGTGCATAATCTGTTCGCCATATTTGCTAGAAGCCTACAATAGAAGTACTGTACATGAAAAAAAGTTGGTCATTTGTATTTATGCGGTATGAGTTTGCAGCTGCACATTTGTAGCCTACTCTAGACAGCGCACAAGCGGGCTGCATTAAGTTCCAAAATATGCAAGTGAAATCGTGATAAGATAACAAAAACTGCGTAAACAGGAATGATTAATTTTATGCGGTGTGCTAGTAATAGTGAGAAGATCACGAATGGAGATAGAGTGATAAACCACGATCATACAACCGCAAACAAAGGGTCAAGAGCAGCTTGTTCAGTTGTTCTTCTGTTTAAACTCTTTTCACTTTGAATGCAGTGTGAGATAAGGATAAGGAAGTTGCACCTGCCGCAGAATTAGCTACTGAAACGTTGTAATCTGACCGAAACTGTGCTAACACAGTTTAACAGATATCGTTGCATAAAACTGATCTACATGTTCTTTGCAAGTATTGAAAGGAGCGTTATTTTCTATCTTTTCGTACAAAAATTGTTACTTTTTTGCTTTCAAAAAGCTGTTACCAACCAAAAGCGTTGTTGTTTCAAGTTGTTGTTGTTTTTGAGTGTAGTGAGGTACCGTCAGAAAATGCATATTCGTGCTTGAGTTTAGAGCTCGTCCGTGTTATCTGACGCGGTTTGTGGTTCATTTATGATTTCCGGAATTTCAGCATTACTACAGATCCGTATATGGGGGAAACATGAATTTGCGATAGTTGTAGATCAGTTTCGATAATTTTGGTGCAACTCTGCAAGTTCAAGTTCACTTGTGCAGTGTTCGTTATTAATGTGAAAAAAGCTGCTGGCCATTTCTGGGCGTGATCAAATATGGAGGTGCAATCCAATGATGGGAAAGTTGTCACTGAAAAGTATAACGTATTTGTTTTCGACCAGCCGGACAAGTACATTCAGATTGCTCGGGCTAAACTCAATTCATCCAATAAGGCCGAGAGTCCTGTTGCCAAAAAGGCGCCCAAACGACGTTCAGTTTTCCATTGGCTTCAGAACCAATGGAGTGTACCCAGGGATCCAATTTGCACCAAAGAAAGCATTCTCACCACAGACACGGTACGCTCGATCGTAATCATGATTAGAGTATTTTAATGTTTTACCGCAGTTTTTCGCACGTTACACACCATTCTTGAGATCGACAGAGATCTGATCATGCGAAGTTCATGTTTTTAGATCATTTATCATGAACTGGCTTTATTTTTTGTTGTTTTTTAATGATTTTCGTTTGCCGTAGCTGGAAGCACTACATTTTTTCTTGCCTCTTCGATTTCAAATTGGTCAGTCCAGTCAAGTATTCAATTCACTGGACGACGGCGTCAGCATCCAGAACTTCCTCCACAAGATGGGGCCATACTGCGCCTCGTTAATCGCCGTAAAAACTTCCCGCAACGAAGTGTTCGGAGCGTTTTGCAGTACAAGCTGGAAAGATCGCCATGAAAGTGTGAGAAGATTAAAACTGTACTAAAATTAGAGTACTATCTGAGAACTGAAAAGCGTGAGACGTGATTTTGAGCTTACATTGGCATGCATACTGTACTTGTACGCGGCATGATATTGACGATGATATTGTATGTATGTATGACCATTAAAATTAATTTTATCGTTTAATGTTGGCCTGACGCGGCCTGCATATGTATTGGTAGGATGCTAATCATATTAGGAAGCCGTATGTACAAGTAATCGTACTGAAAATAAACAATTCAAATAAACACCGATCTGCAAGAATAGCTGCCCATTGTAGTTCTAACTTCATGTCATTCGCTGTTTCATATAGAAAAAAGATCTGAAATTTTTCGGCACCGGAGAAACGTTTTTGTTTTGCTGTTCACCGAAATTCCGCATATTCCCCTGGGTCGGATGGACACGGAACGAGCTGGTCGATGCGCCGGTGGAGCTGTCCAGCTCACTATTTTTGGCTGCCAATTCCAGTACCATAGTTATCGGTGGCGGGTAAGTTTCTGTCTTTTTTATTGTTAAACCCTTAGGATCAACACCTGACCATAAACTGAAGTACGTAACACCAACGACTGTTTTTACAGCGGGGATTCCGGTATCAGATTTTTGTCGGATCTGTCGCGAGGTTACACCGGGCCATGCTCAACATTCAACAGCCCTCCATTGTGCGATTCTCGTGATTTTCTCGTGGCTGTGATCGAAGCTTATGGGCTGAATTACTAGAAGCCGTGAACGCTATTGTATTGTGCGAACGAACAATAACGCGATCTCGATGCTATGCAGGAAGCTTTAATTATTATGATAATCAGAAAAGAATCAAGATGAGACCGCCTGGGAAAAAATATACAAATAATAAATAAGCTTTTAGAAAATTTCGATTTTTACAATATGAATGCCAAAAAAACGGGTATAGAGAGTTAAGTCATCGGTTTAATAAACATTGGACGGAGCAAGTAAACCACTTATGTAGAACAATCAAAAAACAGTATATCCTATGATTCCTATCACATTTCAGCGAAGTAAAAATCAAAACGTAAAATTCTATGTCACAGTCAATTAGATGTGGCAATCCGTCGTCTGTTGTTACTAACTGTGGCACATCCATTCTCGATCACCATGCACTTGCAACCACATCCAGTAACTGCGCACTCCACATGATCCCTAAATTAGGAAAAAATATCGTTCGCAATTAATCCCCAGAAAGTTCTGAAAACAATTTTGATGCCTTAAATAATAATTATATTAATTTGAAATATCCGAATTATGTATAAAAAACATTCCTCTAAGCGTTTACAGGAAAATAAAAATATTCAGTAATGAAGGCTCCAAAGTCCCAACAACGGACTTTACTGAAGAGCTGAAGTTCCTTATTAGAAATTTCAGTTAATATATGACTGAATAAATAAATAGATGCTGCCATAAAAATACATGTTATGGCTTTATAACGCTTGCGGCGCACGTACGTACTTAAACCATTCCGCTAGGTGGGAAGCATGTCCTCCATGGCGACAACTCTGACACCAAGTGAACCATTTGTCTAATGGATTAATTTTTTGTGCTTTCTTAACACCTGCAATTTACGGTTTATAAAATAACTGTTTAATTTGCAACATGAAACTAGCAACTACAAAAAGAAGACTCACTTTCATCATCAAATTCACCCGTTACGAACCCCATGTTTGTCGGCGTCCCCATATTTATTTGGCATAAAGCGCAACGTGGAAGTGTTTTTCCACAACTGGTGCAGGTCATAACCTATCAATTTTCAAACACATGCTTCAGTACAGCAGGAATCTTAAACGCCGTGATTTCCTGTGTAGTAGTTTACTTATCTGCTTACTTTTGGTATTTCGCTAACATTAGGAGTCCTTGGAAAGTTGAGCAGCTTTTCACCTCGTGCGCTGAAAGACTGGTTTCCGGTAGTATGACTGACGGCTTTGCCACAGAATGTGCAGGTTGCTGATATCTGCCGCGGTATTCTGGGGCCACCACCTTTTATACGGCTGTTGTAAACGTCAAATGTGGCTCTTGCGTCCCAAAACATCCAACTGTCCAACACCTCCCTACGGAAAAAAAGGTCAAGCTCACGGAAGTAACATAGCACCGCCATCTAGAAACAAGCAAAACTACAAACGAATTTTTTAAAAATACGTTTGATGGAAAGGAAAATAACGAACAATTACAAAAATCCGGAACAAGTTCTAGAAAGTGGATTGCCTTCATTATTCCCATACCGGTAATTTTCAATCCATTGGTGACACCGCTGGTCTTCTTGCCATTCTCTTGTAGTGACAATGGCCATTAGCAGACTAGCTGTCTGAACATCACTTGTCCTATCAACGTAACTCTGCACGAGGTCTACTCCTTCCGAACCAAACCCTGTCAGACACAATCCTTCCAAAATTCCCCTGGACGTGAACTTCTCCGTTAAATCTTTGATGAATTCCGCCAGTTTCTGATCGGGGAAAAACATACAGGCAAAAGCTAATCGGTCTTCCAATTCCATTTTATCGTCTTCCGCAATCTTACGGAATGTTGCATCACGACTGGACGAAAGGAAAAGAAAAATATTCCGGATGTAGGGTAAACCGATATCAGCTCCCACATTCAAGCAGGAAGCATGCCAAATAGATTCCTCACTGGTGAAGCCCGCTAGAGCAACGGCTATAATACTGTACAGTTTGTCATCTTTCGATTTCTTCCCGGCTTCTTGGAGAATTTCAATGGCTTTCTCAAGGTTCATATGAAAGACACAAATGGCAGCGGCACGCTCGAACTGTTCTTGAGACAGCAAGTACTCAATGGTGGATTCCCGAGAAGTGCCCCATCCACATAGTCGAAGAATCTTATGTCTAAAACAGCCGAGTGAACAATGCACGGGAATTCATAGTTAATACTAGCACTTGTGCTTAACTAACTAATGAGATTTCAAATCACTCGAGATGAGATTTCAAATTACAGCAATCACAGCAAACCTCTAAGTTTAAAGCAGCAGAAACCTAACAAACGCTGACGGTTCGGTTTACAGATTACGGAACTAAGCCTAGCAGTTCCCATTCCCCTTTCTTTCATTTATTCTGCCCTTCCGGGCATCCAAAAATTGCATCACCCGAGGATATCTCACCCCAAGCGTGCGGGTAATTGGTAAAAGTTTTCAATTAGCAATAACTATTCCTCTGCTAGGCATCATGGGAATAGTACTGCCCGTGCACAAGGCTAAAGATAACATACACAAAGCCGCTGAGAGTGGTACCCAATAACAAATTCAAAAAGCGTCATCGCTACAAAATTTCTGCTCAAAATGCTTGAAGCACCTAAACAGTTGATACCATTCTTCTGCATAGTCTATGCAGAAAACATTATGAGAAACATTATCAAATTTCGAAAACGTAATTTTGATGCGTCCTTTTAGGAGATACACAGAAAACAAAAGCAGAAAACATGCTCCCATCAAAATGGGAATGAGTGGACACTAGGCTACCGGATAAGTAAACAGGTAAAAGCCACCTTGGAAGGCAGCTATTTCTACAAATAAAAAATAGCACGCGGTCGCCGCCTAAGGTAGTAAATACTCGACAGAAAATCGAAATTAAATTATCGGAAGCATTAACAAACTGGAAGCACTATTTACCAGACTTGGCCCATTTTCGCTTTTCCCACTTTCATCCCACCCCCACCTTCACAGTTTAATTCCCAGCCCAGCCCACCTCCGGCTACTCAAATTTTCAGCCCATCTCACCTTTTCGATCTCATCTTCATCCCCATTTTTTACAGGCTCAACGCCGCTACTTGTGCAAGTTTTCTGCACACGACAGAATTGCCGGGCAAAAAAAATTTCGGTTTTTAAAAGAATATGCTCACTTATTGAAAATCCGCGGAGCGCAAAAATTTTGTTTTTGGAGCTCGAATGGTGCATTTTACATGCTTCAAGCGTGGAAAACAGATCAAAATATCAAAAATTTTTATTTTTATTTGTTTTCTTGGTCCCATCCCATCTTTCAACAATCCCAGCCCATCTCACCTCATCTGCGCCTCTTTCCCACCTCATCCCCATTTTCACCTAAAAGATGAGATGGGCTGGGAAAAATGGGGAAAATTTTCACCTCACCCAAAAGATGGGCCAAGTCTGCTATTTACTGCAAAGTGTAGTACAGAAACAATCGCTACCGGGTCCATCAGCCCTAGTAGAAAAAACATTCAGAAATTTTGCAACGTCATGTTTATATTCGAACCTTTCGTCGTTTACGAATGTGGTAATGCCTCCTCCTCTCCCTTGTGGTTGTGGAGAAACCCAACCGACGGTTTCTGCTCGCGTTGACTCAGATTTTATAGGTTTACCAAACAAGATACTGCGAATTCCTCGAAAACTTATTCCTTCCACAAGATCGAATCTCTCTATTGCACGAATTAATTCCAACCACTTCCACATGGCTTCTGGTTCCTTATCCCCGCTCACGAGCGGGATGTTATCTAGGAAATTTTCTGTTTTCATTCCATAAGAATTGACGGCACGGAGTTTCATGCGCACAGATATGTCTTCATTCACAGCTCTCATGATAGGCTCAGGGGCATCCTGGTCCGTAAGATATTTGATATCACGACCACATGCCCACAATAAGTGGTGGTTCTTCGACCAGTTCTACAATGATAACAGACATCATAACACTACCATTTTTTAACCGTAGCAGATCGTTGTTTCGTAAATGGCTTACCAACGTCATCCGCTCCAGAATCTGCAGATCATACATCTGATTGTTGGAGCTCAGAAGCAGTGTGCGATTTTCTTGCTTTGGATGCCATGAGAAAGCAGCGATACTTTTCCCTTCGGTAACTAAAAAAATATATTCTAGTCGCACTTGATCCTTACTCGATGTATTAGAACTACCACTCATTGAGAAAACAATGTAATTAGAGCCAAAAAAAATTTTGGACGCTTACCACTGACAGTCCGTTCCAACAGAAACGGTTCATAATCTTCTTGAGTATGAGAATGCGAATACTGCACATCGAAGAGACGGAAATCAGGTGTGTCTCGTAAAGTGAAGCCCAACAGCCCATACCGGGTCGGACTCCATGCAATTTGCGCCACAGGTTTATGCACATCTTGGCACACAACAAATTTATCAAAATTACGCAGGTCCCAAATAGCAATCTGATTGTCCTGAAAAGAGGCCAGACGATATTCGCCGAACGGGTCCGAGCACGCTCCATACACTTGTTTGGCGGTATTTCCGCGTGGTTGCTTCGAAGACTCTAGATAAAGCAGAAAAAGGGGAGAAATTCAAAAACCAGAATAACCACAAAAATGGTACGAGCTTGTAGCGTGTGCATGTGTGAAGCGCGCACATCTATAGTTTAATCATCAGCCTGCTTTCAGCGCTATTATTACCGCTGCGCGAGCAGTGAATTGAAAACGATGCGGAGCAAGGCAGATCATTTTCCCCGGCACACGGAGTGCAATTTTTCTTACCTCTGATATCGTAAACCTTCAAACCCTTCCCAAGAAATCCAGTCAGCAGTGTTTTTGTTTTATTGTGAAACCAGGAGCAAGACGCCACATGTTCTCCCGCTCCGAACTCCACAACGGCTTTGGTCTCGTTATCAACGCGACTGTCGTCCCTGGATCCACTGCCTCCAAGAGACGTAACCGAGGTAAAGATATCATATACAAATAACGAATGGTCATTTTTATAGCGATCCAATCCCGCAGCGATCAAATTGGGATCAGTAGCGTTCCACGCCACGCAATTGCACGGGCGGAGATACCGCGGCGCAAATTCCTTATTCTGCAGCGTCCGAAAACTGTCCCGGCCACTGGAATCCTGTTGGAAACCGACAATCACCACTTTGCCATTGGCCGTACCAGCTGACAAGAGGCGACCAAATTCAAATGTCGGACACCAGTCCAAGCATCGCACACACACCGAAGCGTTCGAAGAGACGACGGGGCATGCATGCGTCCGGTTGGACAGCATCACACCTGAAATAAAGACATAACAAAAATTGGTACTGTCTCAAAAGCAGTAGACAATGTACATCGTGATTCGTGACTTTGCATCGCGATGTCATACTTTGAGCCGTCAAGGGTCCATCTGGATAATTTTCCACCTGATACAACGTAACAATATCCGCCGCAAGTTTAACAAAAAGATTTTCCTCATAAGGCGACCATCGAATATCCAGCGTGGTACCCATGATTCAGAAGTGATCCGAAACTACCGGGGAAAGCTAGCAGATGGCTAACGAATGCTCCTGAAATCTTAATTTTGCAAAAATTAAAAACATTGAATTTAAATCGTAAGTTAAAATTCATTCCTTAATGACAGCTGAACTTATTTCCGAAGTAGCATGTGCGAATCGCTGCCCACACTATTATTATATGTAGCAGTGCTGTCTCCCCAGAGGCGATAGACCTAACGACAAATCGGGGTGTAATGGTTTGGACAGGCTTTTACTACTTATTTCGTTATCCATCGAACAACGGTAAAAAGTGCGGGCTCCGCTACCACATTTCAAATCCTGTTTCCCGCGGGTTGAAAAAATATAATAAGTTATCATAAATGATTAGTAAGACTAATTACTTACAATTGTTAACAATGTTCTGAAACATTTTAAGGTTTGGAAGTCTTTTTAAGTTTTAATGAAATCTAAGTAAAATAACGAAAAACTGCACGAAGAAGAGTGCATGTTTCTCATACGGCTGCACCGTGGTTGACAGCATAATATTATTTGTGCGGGAGGCAGAAAGTGTAAGACCTGCTGCGTGTGGAAATTGTTTTTCCATTTACTGTATTCGTTTCCGATCAATTTGGATTATCTTGAGACAGACCGAAGGATAACCTGGACATCGAGGTATGTTGCGCCAGTTGCGTGGATTTCACTGTTTTCGCTTACGATTCTTATCGTTGAATACGTTCATTACCGAAGGATACAGTAGTATTTATGGCTGGTGAGACTAGGAGCGTGTACCTGGTAACTATCAGCCTGTTGCAACGTATGCTGACGTGACGGAATTCGATTCGAAATCTGCCTACTCAAAGGCGCTTTGTCGATCCATAATGGTGGTAACATTGTAAATTATTTTGCCCTCGATTTACCAGATCATGCCACGTTCCCTGGTGAACGTTTCCACCACCAGCTCACACGAAAACCAACCGCGGGAACCGTCTGTCTACGTAATCTCCAGTGATTCCGACGATGAAGACGGAGGTGAATACATACGCAACTTGAATCGCAAACGTCGCTCCTCTACACGCAGTGATGATGGAGACACTGTCAGTACTCCGGCGAAACGGCCACCTAAAAGAGTGCGCGGGGGATCGCGTCAACTGGCGCAGCGAAATACGCGTGGACGTCTGCTACAGGCGTCGACATCCGCCCAGTCCGCGGAGGACGAGTCATCAGCTGTTCAGCGTCCGCAGCGAGCACGGAAAGCTGTGGTGCACTATTGCGAAGAAGCTAACGGCCACGATGAGGTACCGCCGCCAGCCAAAGTGAAAAAAGACAACACTACGAAGGCTGTAACTGCAGCCAATCCTCCGTCTGCAACGGATGGAGCGCTCAGATGCATCTTATGCGAGCGCACTGGGACCGACCGCAACTTGTATTTTCGCATGGATTCCGAAAACGGGCTTAACGCACATTATCTCTGTATGTTCACGGCGAGCAATCTTCATCAGACAGAAGATCCTCGTTCCAAGGAGCCTGGTACGATGAAGCTGTTAGCTAGGAAGATCTTTATTTTAAAATTTGACTTTTAAATTACAGTGAAATAAACATCACATTTTTATTTTCTTAGGTTGTTTCAGATTAGTCTGACGTATTTTGTAAACTGCCAGAATTTAAGCTAATAAGTTAATACAGTATAAATTCCATTTTTATAGCAATGGTATCAACAATGGTGGTAATTATTGGTGCATATTCCTGATTTACCAGATGCAGTGACTGTGATGTGTCCGTGACAATTACTGGAATAATATCCGTGTTTTTAGGTGTTATATGCGGTTTTAAAACGGAAAACGTTCGCAAGGAATACATACGTTCCCGGAAACTTTTTTGTATTTACTGTAAAAAGCGTGGAGCTGCCGTGGGTTGTAGCATCGCGAGATGCAAAGCGACGTATCATTATCCTTGTGGCGTGGAGAATAATTGCTTTTTCAGTTTCACGGGATCATTCGAGTCGTTTTGTCCTCGTCATATTCCTGTCCAGCAATTTCCTCGTCCGAAAGACATGAGCACTGTTAATACGCAGTGCGTAATTTGTTTGGATGAACCCGATCTGAAGGACAAAGTGAATACGCTAATTACTACTTGCTGCTACCGGGCAATTCACCGAGATTGCTTAGCGGGTTGCGCTGTAAATTCTGGAAAGCATCATTTGAAATGCCCAGCATGTAATGAAGTCAACGATTTTCGCGATTTTTGTGACAAGGTACGGAATCACCACGATCATCGGTGTGCATTTTATTTGATCAATCGTTAGTCATTTAGACTATTAGTATATGATAGTTACTCATATTAAGAATCGAATATAGGTAAATGTAAATAACTTATTCGGACTGCTGTATTTGTGTGACTGCTTTAATACCTTATCAGTGTTTCCTACGCTGTTTTTGCAGAATAAAATAATCAGATAAAAAGTACAGTACCTTGTAAAAATGTTTTTTTTTTATATTTCGATAAAGTATGGAGACGAGCATTTTCGTTGCATTATTGAAAGTCAAAAATTTTTATTCACTTAATGGGCACGAACTTAGTGTGCACTTAGATCAGTTTTTATTGAGTTTGTTGTTTCTCAGAAAGTCGGCGTACTGAAAGTCTGACTGCGGAGTCATCAAGTAGTTCTGTACGATCTCTTGAAATCTGAAGTTCTTTATGACAGTAGAAGTAGTGTACAAATGCTGACGAATGATTTTCTTGCTGTGGTTTGAGTAGGTTGGAATTCACGTGCCGAACGCCGATGCGACATGGTTAGCTGAAGAGTATGCGCGGGAACAAGCGGAGGACGAGGCAGAAGCGGAGGAAGTGCGTTGTGCCGCTGGTGACCTATGCCGATGTCCCAATGGACTGGCATTCGATGAGGATATTCAAGGGCGCGATTGGAATATTGAGCGTTGCCATCAGGGATGTGGAAAGCTGATGCATGCTGGATGCATGACTCAGGTGGGAAAAACGGGAAAGAATCGTCATAACTACTGCAAGGATTGTTACGATTTGGAATTAAAAATTGCCGCACAACTCGGTCGATCTGCTCTGGATAAGGGTCGTCGCGAAGAGTCCAGTAGTCCGGAAATTCCGGTGACACCGACTCGTTCTCGACGTGGCAATCGCTTTTAGGTACGTATATATGGCTCTCAGCCTTGTTCAAGATATCAGGAAATAAATCAGATACAGTAACTTTCTGTGATTTGGCGTTATGGACGTTGTCTTTTTCTGGAAAAATTGCCATTTTCGGAGCTAGAAATACTGCTTAATCGTACATACCCTGGTACTGTTCTGTAAAGCTTACTAGCATTCGATTTACTGTTTACAGTAATAATTATTTGTCTTATTTCAGGTTCTACTTGTGCGCTTCTGTCCGTTCTGTGGACACTCACAATCGCCTAGGCTGATCTTTGCACTTTCTTTTCTTTAGCACTTAACGCGTTTAGCGGAGCTTTCCGCGAAACTTGATCAGTTATTGTATTATATTTTTTGCTTCAATTCCAGGATTTTTTTCTCTTTATTCTTGATACTATCCAGTGTCCACTTAGACTTAGTTATATTTTCGCTTCTGAGACAAAATTTATGTCATCCGGTAAACTAGTGTTATCTTGCGAGTTACACGGAATGTTTGTGAAACCAACTTCAGTGTACGCTTTGTTGATAAAAAAATACAGTCGACTATGTATGTGTACGTACTTCTGAAATGTAATTACGTACACGAATACACATAGTACGGAATTTTCCAAGGAAACCCCTAATTTATTTTCCGTCCTCGCCATCATTCGCATACGCCTGTACACTGTTTGCATCTCCTGACTGTAAGCCGAGCAAGTAATGGTGGCGGTATTCTGATGATGACCGAGATAGCAATCGAGACTGTCGGAAAGGAATGTTTCCTGCACTTACCAGAGCGACTGTATTTCGACATGCTGTTCGAGAGTGGTTTTGGGATATTGATGGAAACCATTATTACGTCAAATTCGACGAATCGTCGTTTTCAGCAGCTGATGCTCAAGTTATGGCGAGTAAGTATTCGAATGGTCTTATGACTCTTAACTATTAATAAGTTTGCATTGTGTAGATACAGCTTGGTTTTTCATCGTTTCCCGGTAATCAGAGAGCCGGAAATGGTGTTTCCGCCCCTGTGTAACAAACAAAAACGAATTTTTCCGTAACTTCTTCGGAATCAAGAGCTGGTAGTGACGGTACACACCCGCGGAAAGTGATTATTCCGTTCATTTGACCAGAATAATCACAACTCTACTGTTATTTTTGTTAGGTTATTATTATTATTATGAAGGCACGTGTATTAATATCCAGAAAGTGCGTGCTGCGGGAAACATGTCTGTCGAAAATATTTATCCTCCAGCTCAATAAAGAACGCGATGCTCCAGCGTCGATACATGTATTTTGGAAGTCACGCGTGTTGGACATGTAGCGGATTCTGCAACAAAACGTTCATGATTTCGCTAATAGCGGCTGACATCACAGCGATCGCACATCCCGCAGCACCGGGCCGTAATGTCATAGAACACAGACAGTGTAACATACTGACATTTTCATTGAAATTAACTGAATACGACATGGAAATTTAGTCAGCAAGGGATGTCAGGGATGTCCAAAAGGTTGCCGGTGGTGACTGCCGAACGGTGCCAACGTATGACGTATTGACTACGAACAGTATCTCAGAAAGTCAGAATACTACTACTGGTGAAGCAACTACATATCTATATACCGCATATTTGTATTTCGTATGCGGCATTTTTGTCTATCTCTTGCAAAGTGCAATAAATAGAAATATTATTGTTTTATACATTGTACAATGTACAGACGTGTACCAAAGTCATATCGAAGTGTGCCAAAAGTACAATACATACATATTGCTCTCGTGGACAACCATTAATTAATCAACCGGAAGCAACCGCATTTTGCTCATACAGTGGGGTAATTTTCTGCCAGATCCATGCGTACCCGGATAAGTACGTACGTAAAAAGCAGTCGCATCGCCGGGCGTGAGAAGACTATTAGGGAACACCGTTAATTAAATAATAGTGGAGTAGGTATTGCACACTTCACCACGCGAACACTGTACTTCCAGACAGCTGATGGAATCGGGTTCTGTACGAGTAGAGTTTATAAACATGGTCTAATTTTTAATGGCACTCTTCTTATGTAAAAATTATAATTACTGACCTTTATTCCTGTCATCTGATATCACAGTTTTTTAAAATGCTTTTTTTGTTATCTGCCATACACGCTACACCATTTAACATGTACACATGCACACAATCGAACAAATTTATCGGCATAAATCCGGGATCGCAATAAGTGAAATTGTTTAAGGATGTGGTATAATGATTCCTGCAACGCCTATCCTTGGAGTCGACGCGCGGCGGGCGTTGAGCAGGTCACAAACCGGAAATTTGATTCTCACCACGTATTCGGCAAATCTGTGAAATCTTTTGTAAACTGGCAACATGCATCACAGAGATTACACAGAACGTCCGTACGCGCCTCCCGTAATTTACTAAAGTCGTCAGTGGGCGCGAAAGGATGACCATCGACAATCGCGTTTCAATTAGACTTTACATTTGTTGCGCTACTTATCGCGCCGGATAAAAGGAGCACGTTCGAAGCTCCGGTTTTGGTCAGCGCGTCGCCTTCTGCGTATTTTGTCGTGTCAATGTAATTATGACCTTTCGCCAATTCTTAATGAAAGAGCAACATTCCTGTTGACTCTCCCGCAATCAAGTTAAGTGACGTCTCATACCGATGCAATATATCTGGGACAATCCCACTTAATTTGTTACATCAGTGATTCAGTATGCGTGATCAAGTCAACTCTGGAATTTGCCAATTTTTTATAACTGAGCGCGCTGACTGATTAATGCCGCACCGTACGCCGTATAAGTACAATACAATACAGTACATCGTAATGATCGTATAGAACTTCTGTGGACCACAAGTTACTTAGCGCTTACAGCATAAGCTACTGTAGTGAACCAACAGTTAAAATATATTCGAGCATTCTTACACCTGCATTTTTTAATATTCGACCGCTTTTCAAATTCATGGCTTAGTGCATGGCACATTGGCTAGCCAAGAGCTTAGTGGTATGATGTGACAGTTCGATTGTGTGCTAATTATGACGTAGTAATACTGAAATGAGCAGGTTTCAAAAAATATAACACAAATGAGCGTGATCACAGACGGATAGATAAGTGGATTGCGTATTATCCGTTTTAAAAGATGAGAATTCTCATACGTCACTTAAATTGCACATGCCATGGTCAGCAAAAAGGACATCCAGCACATACTGCCATCACCCGTCAACGACGATATCGGTTTAAGATGGAAATCCACGTAATTACGTATTATACTAGAACACCGACGTCAAGCGTTTGATATAGTAGCTAATAACAATTTTCTTCTTCATACAGTAATACAGTATCCACTTTTTCGCTTTAACACCGGTCAAACTCTACTCTGTGACAATACGTACGCAGCGATTTATGGGTCGGATCGGAATGTAAATCCAATTACTGGTCGGAACAATATATGTCTTTACATTAGGGGGTGCATGTCGTGGCGGGATTGGATGGTAAAAAAGCATCTGATTACCGCTGTCTGGGATAATAAGAAAGCGGAAAGGCTGCACTTACCCATCGATCGACAAAAGTGCTTTCACTGGGACCAACGTCATCGATACGCCGACGCTGGTTGCACCGGTATCGGCAAAATCCAGTTAGCTCTCCCACATAAGCGGAACAATATATGTCATGCATATAATAACACCCTGCAAAGAGACAACAGAAACTTCATTTCATCAGACTGCATGGTTCAGATAGCAAAAATAATATTATATAATTTGTATTCAACTATTTTTAATCGGGATATAATTGGACAATAGTTGCCATTATTTCGCAGTATTCCGAGGTAGAATAACGTTCGCAGTTGTGACCTTTATCAGCTGCCCCTATACACCATGAATGCTGCTAGTGCTGTGGCTTTTGCGCTGATTCTCGTCTTACTTCCCATGGTGATTCTGTCCGCCGCGGTGCGGCCGGTATCTGATGAAGGCGTGGGGAAACTGCTACCAGAGAACATCGATGTCAAAGGCGATATTGACGCATTTAACATGCTCTCTGACCTGAGTGACCCGGCATATTACCGACTGCGCAGTGTGGGCATGAAGCGTGATCCATTTGCCGAGTATGGACACTTCCGGTTCGGGAAACGGGCGCCGGCTTCCTTTGCCGACTACGGACATCTGCGATTCGGCAAGAGAAGAGGTCCCAAAACGGCCAGCTTTGCCGACTACGGTCATCTGCGTTTTGGGCGATCGGTGGATGAATCAGAAATCTACAAGCAGGATTTCGATGATATCAATGATTTTGAGTAAGACTGATGGCTGGTTGCAGTTATTTGCTATAAATGGTTTGTGATGCCAAGAATGCGGTATATAGCAGCTGTAATACGTATACCGTTGTGCTGTAACATTATCAGGTGTGAATCTGAACAACTTAATTTGTAGTTTGCGTTTTAACTGGTAACGAGAGCTCACATATGTCTTACTCTGAGTCTCTGAGTACAGGGTTTTCGCGACAGATAATTTAAGCTGTTATACGAAAATGTTGTACAAATGTGTTGTAAGAAAATGTGGTGGATTAAAGGTGTTTGTACTCGTACATATTGTTCGTTGCATTTGTTTCTCTCTTTTAATCCTGTGTGCTTACATTCATCAAAGGTGGCACAATTATTTATAAACTTAGAAGTTTATGCCGTACTAAATAGAACGTGCAAATATTGCAACTATACTGCGTGGTAGTTCAATAGTTCAATAAAAAATTACTACGTACGAGTACAGTCGATGGCTGTGAAATATATATGAATTACGAGCAGCTAGTGCGCTCACCTATTTCTGCAAGACAGTACTTACTATTACCTTTGGCTTCATACCCAAATAATCCAATGGTTATGCGCGCTTTAATGACTTCCACAAATTAAAAAGAACGCATAAATGATAGTGTTAAGAAATGATTTAAATGATAGTAATAGTGTTAACGATAGTATTCACGATCAGAAATAGTTGTGCTTCCCACGTCTGTTGTCTACATAAGATCAACCAAATATTAAACCGCTTAAAACAAATAAGTTGTTTCGCAAAAGACTGCAGTTTTCAGCATTAAAGTCGAGTTTGAGTGTCTTACTTGTCATTACAGATATGTTTGTCCTAAGTTAAATATGCTTTGCTTTACGTTTTTAATTGGTATCTATTGTTTTTTAAGGATAATATACGACCAGATAAACCTTTACTTAAAATTGTAGTAGGATGCTTACATTATACACTTACAAAAAGTTGCATGTCGTAGAGTGCCTGCAGATTTGTCGGTTCTCTTCGAATTCGGCAATACAACATCCTAAATCACATACAGTAATTGTACCTACTCTGTCTGACGAATCACTGGTATTGTGAAACTTAGCCAGTTCCTCAATTTGGTGGTTAACCGGAACAATAATAGTACAAAGTACAAACTATGTCTATTTCGTTTCCACATAATATTATTAATTATTAGTAGTTTAAAAGCGGTCTTCATATTATCGCTTACATAAACTATTCTGTATAGGACTGCAGTTCTGGATCACACTTAATTACATTGAAGGCGCGCGGACATCACCGATATCGTTGGCCTACTAGCTAAGAAAAGCAAGTCATGCCATTAAAAAATGTCAATCGGCCTTAGTATTTATTTACTAAATAAAAGTTTATTGTTTTTACCAATATCAATTTATTTAGAGAAACACTGCACAACTTTTTGACCGGCGAGGATACTTTTAGTTTAACGTCTTTGATCGTCATTAAAAACAGGTTTCTGTGAAAGAAAAGCTCTTTATGACCTTTTAAAAATTTACAGAGGCGATCTCGCGAAATTGCAAAATAATGAAAGCCCAAAAAGGTTGAAATGTTAATAATTATAATGTGGGACGGTATCTGCATTTAAAATTTGCTCACACGTGGGTTGTACGGTACGTGTAGAAACTAGAAAGTACAGAGCAGAAGCATATATCGAAGTATATGATTTATCTGTCGTGAGATATTTATTTCACGTGAAATGTTTTTTATAGGCAGGCGGTTCCCTGACTTCCCTCTGTAACGGCGTATACAGTACAGTGCGCCTTCTCGAGAAAAAAGCTGCTGCTTTGTCCGACACGAATTACCACTGCGCTTGCGCTATCGTATTTCGCCAGTATAGCGCCTAAAATTTCCTTTAATATGAAACAGTGTGATTGAAACACAGTCGACATGTCACGTTCTGGTGTATTTCCGTACGAGTTTTTTTGTCAAGGACTTCCGGTCTACTTGTGCGCCTTTGATTCAGAAGAGCACACTAAACCCAAAACGGAAGCCAGTATAACAACTTCGCACATCGGCTACACCATTCTTCAAATAGTCAATTATGCCTGAATGGCTTCGTGCTCTTAAGTATTAAGTATGGATGGTTTACATCCTACTCGCACCTGTCTGGAGAATAAGCAAATCGATGAACCATCAGTACTAAAACTGGAAGACAAGTCTAAACTGTACATCACCCACAATAGACAATCGTCGATTATTTTATTTACCCAAACAATATATTTTGCATTAAAAGAAATTCCATTTACTCGTACTAACAAATTTTATGCCGCAACTCGCAACCCACACAAGTGACAACCCCGTCATCAGTGCATCTTGAAATATGATTAACAGCCAGAAATAAAACAGCGAAACAACTGAACCAACTAACTGACAACCAACAAACTACAACTGAAAGAAAAAGCTGTGAATACCAAACAAGGTGTGACGATCATGAATTACTCGAATCAGTCAGCATGTTGTATATAGGTTAGACATTCTTTAACTTATCCTCCATGAGCTCCGTATGGAATTTCTTAAATCGCACCATCATTTCTTCCATCTGCTTAGGTGGCGGTAAAATCGTTGTTCTGTAAAAACAAAAGATATAGTTAGCCATGTCTCAAATTTGTTCATCGTTTAACATACCGGAAATGATGCGTGCCAGGCTTCTGGCCGAAACCCGAACCAGGAACAATGCAGATACCAGTGTTCTCTAGGAGTTGCAGCGCGTAATAGAAGTCAGGGTCCTGGCCAACACTCTGTAATCCAGCAAACGATGCATATGAACCTTCTTATGCAAATAAAATTGTAATCGCCCACGATATGTGCTCTTACAGCAACACTGTGACGCAGACGCTTAACGCTAATTCAACTGCTTATACAAGATATGAAGTCGTTTCTGTTCCCTTTTATCAAGTTTAAAGAGTAGCACTACTAATATTTTTTGCAAACTTAAATATGATGCACGGCATACAAAAATCAATATCCAATAACCATACGAAGTATTGCATAAATGCGTCATAATTGTTTACCTTCGATTACGCGTATAAGCTCGTCTTAAACATAAATCTGCGGTGCAAATTTACTTACTCACAGGTACGCAAAAAGCATTTACGCAACCCTAAACAAAAGTTTTACGATCAATATAGATGAAAATCATACCTTAGCTTTATCAATGAGACCTTGGGGCAAATCTAAGCGTGGGAATGCATACCTAAAATCATCGAAACGAGAGTAAATGAAGGGCTGAAAATTTTGGAATGAGCAAGCAACAGACGTACATGGCACCCTGTACGGTATTGCAGTGGATACCGGGAATAGAATTAAAGGTGTCAGTAACAAGCTTCGCCTTCTCAGCTAACGATTTCAATACAGCCTGCTTTTCAGACATGAAGGATTCGTAAGAAGGATCGCCTTGTTTGGGAGGGCTAACCACACATCCAATGCAAGCCTGCAATGCAAATCAAATTTCGCCATAAATTCAATAAGCAAACAACAATAAAATAGGCGCAAAAGGTTTTGCGAATCGACGAAACATTTATTTACGTAGTAAAGCGGTCATAATTAAATTCGCTCCTTACCTGCCCAACACTAGTCGGACACAATTTAGCAGAAAGCATTTTCTTCAACATTGCCATAACCTGGCTGTCCATGTTGACGAGTTCCATATATGCGCCCCGAATGCCACATCTAAATAAGACAATTTTATTTCTTAAGACTTAAGACGATTTTATTTCACATTTTGCTTGTCATTAATGTAAAAAAGCCGTTACGCACTCGCCCATAAATCCCTTCGAGGTTGAGTAGAAAGAGGCAAGTTCAAGTCCATCATAAGGTGCTCCCATCTGCGTCATGACCTTTTTAAATGAATGGAACTTACTTCCTGGGGCGTAGACGTTATCCTGATACACCTGTGAATGTAAACAATCAATATACATGCATCTTCTACAGTAAAATTAAAAAATTAAGAATTTAAGGTAAGCATGTATTTCTAAACATAGTCAACGCAAAACAGATTCGAACGCTAAGAAAGTAAAAATTCCAGACAGCAAAATGCAGCGGCCAGAACATAAAACAAAAGTAAAGCGCATCGTACCTCATCGGCCATAATGTACAATCCTTCTTCGTGGGCAAATTTGATGATCCCGCGGATATTCTCTTCGGTAAGCACCTGTCCGGTAGGATTGCCGGGATTGATAATTACGATTACGGAAGGATGGCAGACCTTCCTCGCTTCCCTGATGGATCTCTTCAGCTCGTTAATATCCAGAGCCCAGTTGTTATCTTCGTCAAGGTAGTAACCAATCTGTAAAACAGAACAGTTTTTACTGAAAGACATGCTGATCACATAAAAATTTTGCTCACCTGTTCCATACCATATTCAGCTATTGTTGCCGAATACAGGGGATACTGTGGAATAGGAACCATAACACCAGGTTTTTGTCCATTTTTTTCGTTATTAATCAACTTGAGCAAAGCCTAAAAATTAAAAATTGCAGACCGTTCAAATTATCCGTACAGCCATCGTTCCTATTAAGGAATATGAGTACCTTAATTCCTTCGCTGGCACCAGCCGTCAAAATTATGTTATCTGGATCAGCTGCAATGCCATCGCGTCTCTTGATAAAATCAGCAACATCTTGTCGCACCACATCCAAGCCAGTGCTGTCCGTGTAGGAACCCAAACCGCCACGGGTGGAAGATAATATACGCTTCGCATGCTCTTTCACATCGGGAGCAAAATCGGGAGAGTCAAGAAGCTTCGGGTTGATACATAAAGTCAACACCTGTGGAAGGTTTTACTCCAATACATAATGAATCAGTCAACGGAGCGAGTATCAAAGTCAAACCATAATTGGTAGAAAATTTTAGGTTAAGCGGAAAAATAGCAAAAGGAAAAGGCCAACATAACCGTAGAAAGAATAAAAACTTCAAAAACAAGCAAAAAAGGATCTTACATTGCGAATATACGTGATGGGAACTTGTCCAGTAGCGTGGCAATCTCCGATATTTGCTCGGATTATCTCTTTATATGGCTTTTTCGCACCCTGTAAATGTTAAACCCATGGAATACATTATCGTAATCAGAATTTCCGATGACAGATTAAAATTTTAAATACTTAAGTAATAAAGTGCCCAAAGCCGCAGAAGGCAGATAAATGTTAAAAATGGCAAAGCTCTAGCAGAAACTAGCGAAATTCGCTTCCCAGCATGAATGAAGAGCGCAAGGCAGCTTCTAAAAATGCACCTTCTTCAGTTCCATCTCCAGTTCTCCAGCCCGAATAACAATCGGTCCTCGAACGGCGTACTCCATCACTTTGATATGGGGATTCATGGTGTCCAGAGTAAGGGTCTTCTTGCCCATTTTGGGACTCGTTTTGACATTCCCCTTTTTGACTGTCTCCTGCTCCGCACGTCCATTATCAGCAGCCACGGTTGTCGGCATGGTGCGCTTGGTTTGTTGAGCGTGAAGCTGATAAGAGGATGAAATGGGCCGGATGGGCGCTGCAAGGCGAGTGGTGGATCGGGAAACAGTCTGCAGCATGGTGTTAACGTTACTAATTGCACACAAAGATTTCATTGCGCTCAGCACAACCAGCCAGCAGACGCCTTTTCCAAGGTGGATTGCAATTACGATACTAGAGCTGTGATTGCGCCTGCCGCTAGCAATGCGATGATAAGATAAAAGTACTGATTAATTACAGCGCTTATTACAGCTCAACAGGAAACAGCTGACTAGGGCTGAGCGCGTCTGTTGGGCTATACTGCATGCACGGAAAGGCAGTTACAAACATCAATGGGCCCCGAATGAATGAATTTACAAACTGCTCACGTGAGGCTCAACTCCACCCACAGCAGCGAAATCGATTTACCGTTAAATTTTACAGAAACGTTTGGAAAATCTTTGACTTTCCTGGTAGATTTTCATTGATAATCTTTTCATTAAGATTAAAGAATAAATATATACATACTTCCGGGACTTACAATTAAAATAACAGGCGCAGTTTTTATACTGGGTAGTGCGGCATCCGCTCCTCTGCGGGCTGATTAAGAGAGGCAGTCGAAGCAACAGTACAGTTGGCTTTTTAGCCTTTTTTAAAACTACGATACAGTAATTGTAAAATCTTAAATTCACGCCAGGTGATAAGATTTCTCATTTCGAATTCTTATCATTTGGATTCCTCTTTAGTGATTTTAACGGGATAAAATGTAACGGCAAACAGAAACTGGTGAATTTCGCTTACGTTACAAAATTTATCTTGGATCAGCCCATGATGTTTACGTTTAGAGACGCATCTGCTCTTGTACTGGACTGGTGGCGAGAGCTACTGTAGACAGTACACAGCTGTTGAGTGTTCAGCGGTAATTCTGTAATGCCACGTTACCAGCGCTTAACATAGGCTCTGCTCTGGATATTGCAAACTAACCTGATTTAGTGATTTTCCGAGACACAATCCAATTATTTCTTTACGAAGACATAACCCACTAAAGCAATTTTAGTCACTTACACTTATATACTGACGAATACAGTATATAATACTAAATATACCAGAGCCCTCAGCCAGTAGAAAAGTACGAGTATAATTCATTTCAAGAAATCATTTTTGATTTTGAAATTCCAGTCAATAAAAATTTCTTGGACATTCGAAGTTCGAACTTCACGTTTATTGCCAAAACATTTTTTAGCCTCACTTCAGCCACCCAAGGGCGGTAATTTCATTTGGGCACTTTTTTGTCACTAGCAGCTTGCCGTTCATCTGCAGTCTGTATTTTTGTCCAGATTTCGAAATTTAGAATTTTAGAGAAACTGTGTGAGTAAGTTTCATTTTTTGTGGTTACTCATCATTTTATCATGACCCATGTTGCCATGCACTGGACCTGTTGTTGGTACTGAAGACTAACGAAGAGTTTAAAAGATTTATGTTCGTTATTAAGTGGTTGATTAGACATTTCATTGCTCTTTTGAAGGATATCTTTGGGTAAATGAAAAGTTTATGTTGGCTTATCGGTTTGGCGAATGGTTCGATAGCCTCGGATGATCGTGTGGCCCTTTGGACTCCATGCAGCATTGGCGCAGGGTCGTGATTGCTGTCTGTCAGATCGGCACCGTTTATTCACTTTACTGGGTTCAGCGTGGTTAAATCTTCGCTGTTATTTTGCGTGATAGCGTTTTTGTAAAGTGCGTTTATTCAAACCACAAAAATGAAGTTCGGAAAGACAGCGCGACTACTGTCCATGTTGGGCGTAACATTCTCCTTTTTCCTGGTGGAAATCATCGTGGGATATGTTACACATTCCATGGCATTAATTGCTGATTCATTTCATATGTTGAGCGATGTCATGGCTCTACTTGTGGCGTTCCTGTCAGTGAGGATCTCAAAACGAAAGAGTAGTAAAAATACATTCGGATGGGCCCGTGCTGAAGTACTGGGCGCTTTGGTGAATTCGGTGTTTTTGCTGGCTCTGTGTTTCTCCATCTTTGTGGAAGCCATCGAACGATTTCATATGGAGGTGAAGATTGAAGACCCAAAACTGGTTCTAATTGTGGGATGTTTGGGATTGGCGGTCAACCTGATTGGCCTTCTACTGTTTCATCGTAAGTACATACAGATACTGGTTGGAAATCTAAAACCAGGAGTTAAATACTGTTAAATTCATATACTGTACCTAAATATTAACACTGTACTCGTATTTTAGTTTGTATTTGTACGATTTCTTAAACTTGCGGTGTGTGTATTTAGTTGAATTAATATCTGATTCTTTTTGAATTTTATGCGTTGTTTTTAAATTCGAAATTCTGCTGGCATCTTTTCATGTCTGATCTCGTGCATATGGTTGTTCCTGAGTGTTTAAAAATAGAGACGGTTTGGTTTATTTTATAATTTCAAATTAAAATTTTTTGTTTCCGAATTGTTAAGGTAATGAGTTAAGTAAGACAGACGGTATTACAGTACAAAAACTTTATTCTTGCAAAATGTTGCTGCTTGCGTTACCGCAATTTACCGATTATCGAATATCAGTTTTCAAAATTCCGCAAAATGGTTATATTCTTATCCCTTTTTTCCATGGCTTTTCGGTGTCGCCGTAAAATAATCAAATTCCTGCTTTATCTTTATGTGTCTTCGGATGTTTGTTCGAGTAATCTAGATAGCACTTTCACGGCTTTCGTCCTAGATTAAGAAGGTTAATAGGAAATATACTATTTGAAAGTCCGAATCGTAATTTAAAATTGTATGCGCGCCCAGTATTACGAGTTTTGACAATTTTGATGTATCGTGTATTTTTTAAGTACATAGTTATAATTAAGTACCCACATAATTTTTTTAACCTTTGGAAGCGTACGTATTCTGAATTTTCAATGCCAGCGGGTTCCTGTTTACAGCTGCAGACTGCAGAGTACGAAGGTTCCAACACAAAAGCAGGTCGCTCATAATTTATGATTTTATGTTCTTGTGTCAATACCTGCCTGAACATTACCGATAAGAGTTAGCAGCGATAACATTATTATTCATTGCAGAACACACGCATTCACATGGTGACGGTCACAGTGGAATTAACCACGGCGACAAAGGCCAGCATGACCATGAAGCGCATACGGTTAAAAAGGCTGGACGGGATCGAAAAAAGTGCGACGATATTAAGTGCGCAGAAACGGATGGGACGGTACCGGAAGCTGTCCACCTTGTCAACCAGGAAGAACACGCGCACAATGGACCTACAGGGTTAGATGCGGCACTGGAAGAACCGCTTCCAGAACCTAGAATTGGTACGCCAGTGCGCATTTATTAGTCCGTAACGATAATCCCATTATTTGATTATTGTGTTTTACAGCGAGCAGCTCACAGCTGAACATGCGAGGCGTTTTTCTCCATGTTCTGGGTGATGCCCTTGGATCTGTAGTTGTGATAATCTCAGCGCTCATTATATGGCATACGGATTTCCAGTACAAGCACTACATTGATCCAGCCATGAGCATCGTGATGGTGTGCATTATTTCCTATACAACAATTCCTCTTTTAAAAGAATCCGCAATGATTCTGATGCAAACTGTTCCCACCCACATTGAAATTGAGGACATTAAATCCCGACTGCTGAAGATCGATGGGGTCTTAGCCGTGCATGAGCTGCACATTTGGCAGCTGGCCGGTGACCGCATCATAGCGTCCGCACATATCCGCTGCCATAACCTGCAGGAATATATGCGTGTCGCCGTGAAGATCAAAAGATTCTTTCATTGTGAAGGCATACACTCCACGACGATGCAGCCGGAATTTGAGGAGCCGCCGATGGATGGTGCCGGCACAGAGGACGATATTGTGCGTTCCACCATGTCCACATGTATTTTACCCTGTCCCGCAGATAATAAAAGCTGTGCGACGAGCGTATGTTGTATCAAAAATGGACCGGTTGCTGTGATTACAAAGTCAGGGAGTGGGGATGATATGGTCATGCGAGCTAGAATGCTGGAAAATGTCCTTAATTCGGAATCAAGAAGTGGAACAGAGGAGAACCGTCGCGTAACGCCAGATCGACCTCCAAGTTTGACACTGTCCGACGGAAACTGGTCGCCCGCACCTCAATGATTTTGGTGGTGCACCACCCGGTTTTTTTAAAGAGTCCTAATGTTTCGTTGTGGTATACTTCGTCCGTATAATTATGATTGTCTTTACCGTGATGTGTATATATACTGTTCTTCTGGTACCGTTAAAGCCGAAGATTTCTTTGATTTTTTGTCGTTTCCTATTGATCGTCCTTCGTTTTTGTATTATGTGCAGCCTTGTAGGTACTGCTTTTCAGGTTTAAACTGCCTGCTTGGTATTTAATTATTTATTAAGTTAAACGGTACACTGCTATGAAATTACTCTTTTTCTAGGAAACAATGATTTATTGTTTTTAACTGACTTATGTCACAGGAATACAAGACCGACTAAAAGAATGCCGGCCGGATGCAAAATCAGCATAATTTTTAGGATTTTTCATACCATAAACCACAAGTACAGAGTAGGTCATTTACAGACCTTCCTTAAAGTTCTTTTGGCCTTCATCATGTACCAAAAGAAAAGCATGAACAGCTTAATGATAAATACTTCAACTTCAATGACTTCAGTCAGTGTTTACCACGTTTATCATCGGATTCATCTAACTTATTTGCAGACGAGATAATCGGTTTTTGTAACATCAAAACATTGTGATGCGAAGGCACGTCGTTAGCCATTCCCTGATTTTTCTTTCGGAAGTAGTTCTTGAAAAACTCATAACTGCTTATCATAATGGCACAGGACGGAGCAACTTTGGCGACTCGCGGAGCCACACCGGAAAATAAGGCTTTGATACCACGCTGCTTGTAGAGATTTACCATCAGTGCGAGAGTGGTGGTCGGTTGTTTCCGTACTGTGGGACGAACGGACAATAGTTCCCCGAGCTCAATTTGTCTATGCGTTTTGACCACGTCAAATGGAAGTGTGGTAACACCGGCTATCGTTCCAGCCGCGGCACCGGATGCGAAGGCCCAAATCACAGGAAGCTCAGAAGACTGCTTGCGCTTCAGAACCATTTTCTTAAACGTTTCATAATGGAACCAATAAATGCCTGAAAATGCAGGTATGAACACAATTCGAATATCAAGCTAAAACTGCTGACCGTTCGACAACAGATACAGTAAGACTTTACGATTAAAGAAACACTATCAAATGCATTGTGTTGCAAAATGCGTACACGAACAAAACAAAAAACCTACTGGGTTTTTTTGTTAGGAACTACAATAATAAAAGTTAACAGTTCAATTCAACCAATTATAAAATGAAAACGAACAGAATTACATGGTACACACAGTTTGACGTTATTTTGATCATCAGCCAATTGTGATCTACTATTAGGTAAAACAAAAGCGGCATTTCGGCCGTGTATTCGTAATATCGTATTGCAAAAATTCTCCAGTTGATTAACGAACCGCAAAACTGAACTGCTTGTTAAAGGTGTCAATACGTGTCAATCTTATCAGTGTCAATACGTACACGAAAATGGGACGTCTCGCAGAATAGTCGGTCCCCATCCACGCCATAGCGACAGAATGCCTTCCTTCTTAACTGTAGCCTTTACGGCTCTCCAGATATCTATTGAGTAACAATTCGCAAGCCATTTTTACCAATTCACGTAAAAATTTAATGATGAAAAGGTGCAGTAGAATTTTCGCCGTAGGAGAAAGAGAGAACACACAACGCAGAATGGAGTTAATACTCACAATAATAATCCAGTTTTTCAGACTGTAATTTGGTCCTAATCAGTTCGATGGGACTGATAACGGTAACGGCACATACTGCAATAGCGAGCATTTTTGTTAGAACAAACACTCACTGACATAATCGCCAATGTATCCAAAAATTAATACAGCCGTCGCCGCATACTTCTTGCCAAAGCCCCAGCAAAAATAGGAACCAGTCCATAATCCGTGTATCTGCTCTTTGATAACTGCTCTTTTAATTTTTCATATGTGGTAAAATATAACACCGTTGCAGGAACTGTCATGACTCTGCAAAGTGAAAATAGTGTAAATTCCAGTAAGTTGGATTTCCAAGAGCGAGACGCCCGCTATTCAGCATATTCGCATTAGTTATTTTCCTGTTCGTCTTACAAGGTTGGCGGAAGTCCAGCCCATAGCGTGAGAACGCCTTCCTGCCTAGCTACTTTCACTAGAGTATCCTGAAAATATATAAGATCAAATCAGCTCTGCAGATAATCACACAGCTGAAAGAGAATACCTAATCTACAGTAAAAGCCTAAACAAAACAGATTGATAATACCGGAAATAAAAATATGCAGGAAGAATAAACGAGGACGTCCAACAAAAGAAAACAAGAAACTTGTTGGATGAATTTGCTGTTAATAATTTGTCAATATTACACTAGCGCGTTAACAAGTACAAACCACAAAGTAATTGCACAATGCACGCCAACGACAATTTTAAAGTATCAAGTGCTCCGGTAACCAGTGCACGGTGGTCTGACCAGGAAAATTTTAATTCGCCATTTGTGATACTCTTGCGCAGGTAGACACTAATTATGACGATAAGTTAAAATATTAAAAATAAAATAAAATGATTAATGGTATAACATGATAACCCACGATTGTTCCCGTAAAACGCGGAGTCGCTATCCTTCCGTGATTTCTGGCTGAAAAGGGTTCTTCGCCGGGATAAGCGGCCACTGCACTCTGGCGGCCGCAAACATGGTTAAGTAAGCCGGTACAATAGGTCTCACAGTATAATTGCTGGGAGAGGGGAGATGTGAGCTTCACCTGACTCTGTAGACGAACTTTGACTACATCGAGTGGTGTTGCTGCAAAAATACAAATCAGCTGATTTGCACGTCCGCAATCTGGGAGCGGATCTCATAATATCTATACGTAATCGTCACGATCAACCTACTGAACAAGGAAGTTAGCATAGCCCCAGTAGACGATGCAATAATCTGCTGCGTGGAAGTGATTCCGTTGGTCGCCATGACGGGAACGTTCAAATTCGTGCGAGTTCCACACAATTATGCAAAGGTTTACATTGAGCTCGGGGGCTGCTTATGACGATCAAGTTCCACCATAACGGTGCGCCGTATAACATTTGACTTGTGCAATATCTCCCACTCTCATCAGAAAATTCAGAAATAATATCACATTCGGACGTACACGGACGCATAAAATTCGCGAAACATTTGCTAAAAAATATGGCTCATAAATTATAAAAAATGTTAAAATTAACTGATATTAACGTGATCATTGATAACTCAGTCTCACACTGGCTTCGATTTCGAATAACTATGAATGAGTACAAAATTAATGAAAATGCAAACAGCGAAAATCATTCGGTAAAAACCCATGACAACCGCCCTGTGTAGAGTACCACTTACAATTTTACTTGCTGTTAAGTTTATTGCAGCAGTCGGATACTAGTGAAGTGGCCTACTTCAATAACCTTTGGTTAAGTACCCCGCTTTGGTGTTTGTGAAATAAATCTGACTTTTGGTCAAATTTGTAAGCCTTGGTAAGCGGCGGCATTTTTAAAGCGCCAATATAGTAAAAGAACAGAATTCAGATTCTCAGAACTTTTCTTAATGACATACATCAAATCACCATGTATCAAGAAAACAACGAAATTTCATTCAGTAATCAGTACATATTATACCGCACCTTCAAAAGGTCAACCATTCGCGATTTGATGCAATTTGTCTATAGTTTCCAACAAAACATCTTGAGAAGGCTGACTTTGCATTTTCTCTTTACAGTTTTCTAAAATGTCAAGTTGCTCTGTGTTCAGATTTGATTTTATTATGTTGATCATCTGAGGGACGAATTTTCCGGGAGCATCCAGCGGAACACCGGTGAATTTCAGGAAGAGCGCGAGCACACACAACCGTAATGCAGAGCCAACATCCTTGGCGGACTTTATTCCGTGTAAAAGTTGCTGACGATGCTCTTGGCAAATTTGAGACTCTAATTTTTTGTCCGCTTTCTTCACTGGCATGCCAATTGCTTCGCTGTCCAAAAGGGCATTCAAGGCAGTCTCAAAGGTGTCGATGCTGTCACCATTCGATGCTGTATTACATTTGTCGAATAAACTTCTGTACGGCTCAGGAAGTTTGGCAATCAATTTATTTCGGCTCTGAAAAACAAGTTATTGAATTCGCAATAAACAGAACATCTTGCCTTTTGCCGAAGATCGCCCTTAGATTGTATTCAATACTTACTTCAGAAGTCGTAGCCGTCTTTTCCTGTGCAGGCATCCCAAGGTCTTCCATCACATAATAAACCAATGGATTCAAAATTTCGGATCCCAAATTCCGTAGCAAATGCTTTGATAGCTGTTTTTTGTCAGCATCTGAAGAAAAAAAGTGAACTGAAAAAACTTTACGAACTGAATTGATTTCCGATTCACCTGTTGAAAGATGTTCAATTCCCTTACAAAACAGTCGCATTAACCACATATTCATGGAAATCTGATCCTGCACCGTCTTATGGGTTTGTTTGCGATCCACCGCCGATGATGCAATAATTGTTTTGGCCTTGGCATCCAACACCTTTCGATACTGCGACGAGAGTCCTGGCTGAATTAAATCGGCAATCGCCTTAAGGAGTTCATAAGGAGCATCTTCATAGATTTTCTGCATTTCCACTACAATTGCCGGTATGGTCAAAAAGTCCGGAAGTGCAACATCTTGAGAACCTTCAACATCATCAACCTTCTTGCCTTTTCCACCTTTTGAAGCTACTTTAGCAGTGGGTTGTTTTCGCTGGTCTTTCCGGCTCTTTTTCGAAGAAACGTTTGAATCTACATCATCGTCCTCTTGATGCGCCGCTTTCGCTGGCGCGGCCATTAAAATAGCCGCCTGCGTGGTGGCTTCTTGGTCTGCCACGGTTTCTATTCTGGGTCCATACAAATCTCGGCAATCATCAATCATCTTATTAGCTACCAGAAAATTTCCTTCCAGCAGCTGAATATCTTTGAACTTCTTGGAAGACATCAGTTTCTGCAACAGAGCCGCTACATCTTCCTCATCCATGCCGGACGGAAACAATCCCACACCTTCCATCCACGTTCCGGTCGACATGAAATCTTCCAAAACACCTTCGACGCGAGCAAAGGTACTGTTTGGTATCATACAGGTATTCAGAAACATGAAATCACTCGTTGCATAACGGCTTTTGAGGAAATGGATGGGATCAGCTATGTCAAATCGTTTCAACATATCGTAAGCAACATATGCATTCGAACTGAGGAAGTCCTTCACCCATGTATTTTGTGCATTGCTGTAGACATTAGGGACGAATGATGCTTTATCTTTCCGACCCTGACCGCTCAAAGTGCCAGATACTTCTCCCAAAGAGACCAATTCCTCCACAACAACTGCAATAACATACAAATTTAGTACTCGTAGAGTCGTACACATAATATGCCGCTTCTTGGCATAGGTCAATTAAATTTGGATAACCATTTTTGCATTGGGTAACGGAGAAACGCGTAAAAAACTATGGATGATTCAGCAAAAAATGAAATAACAAATAAGGAGACGAATAAATTTGCGTGCCAAGGATAGAAACTGACCATCGAAGTGTAAAAAAGTCATGTTTAATGCAAACGCCTGTTATACAGACTGAACCTATTTCGATATAAAAAACAATAAACCAATTGAAACTTAATTACCCGACGCGCAATGGTTACCCAAATGCAATTGACCTATACCATTATAATTATTGAGATGTACTTTTCCACAGTGCACATTACTGGGAATAATAAAAATACAACTCACGCGCGGTAATTCGGTCATTCAAATTATGTTGCTTTATCAGTCCTTGAATCGGCACAGGACGGCTGGACGCATTCAGAGCGCCTCGCAAAACTGCGCGATGACGAGCAATCAACCAGTCCGTTAAAATTATTCGAGGATTGTTGGGATCCTTTTGGCCATGAATTCGCCTCCCCAAATTATCGGCAGCAACGGTCATCAGGAATTCCGCCGGCAAATCAAACACGATGGTTAGATCGGAAATGTTAATCACACCCTTTTCTTGGAGGCGTTCGTTCATGTCATCAGCTAAAGAGGCAATGTAGTCCCTGCAACAAACAATTCGGCAACATTAATAACGCAAAACCAATACAGGCACCGAAGGAATGATACGTGACGGTCACTAGTAGTAAAACCAAAATCATATATCAGGCTTAAATAAACGAAATGAATATTTTTAACAAACTCGTACTCTAGGATTTCGCGATAAATAAGGTCTAGTGGCCCATAACTGGTCACATCAATAAGCATTCGAGTAGTTCTAACTGCTACAGTATTAAAGACGCATACGCAGAAACACATACGCATTGATCAGCTGTCCGAGAATAAAATTCAGTGACGGGTCACTTCGGACGATATCCTTTACCGCTCCTTCCACATGCGATAAATCCACATTCAGAGCTTGTGCGACGTCAACAATATTTATTCTCCCCCCACTGACAACTATTTCATCGCGGATTTCACGGTTAAGATGCTGTGGAGTCAGATATTCCTTGCCATCTGTCGTAAAAACTACATCGAGCAACTTCATCTTCATCAGATTAGAGACGATCTCAATGCAATTCCTTTCCGATAACCTGCTCTCAGAAAGAAGTACGTAAGTGAAAACACAGCAATCACACTGAAACTCATAAAATTTCACAGTTTAGGAATTTTACCGTTGCGTTGTGCTTCCTTGTTGGACCCGCTGGAAATCGTTGGCTAAACGTCGGACTTCTTCCCAATCAGATGCCATTTTTCTTCAGAAGTGAAGAGGGAATGCTAACGATAATCGATAAACGGAGCCGATGAATCTCAGATGATCATAGAATATAAAATCTCTATCCAAAGAAATTTTCTTGCAGCACAAAAGCAAAAAACTGAAATATGTAGTGACTGTAGTCAACCAGCATTATTTCTATGTAAAAACATTGAAAAAATACCACTTTTTGGAAAAGTCAAAATTCAAAATACATAACTGCTTGGATGGCGGTGACCACGTGTGCACCAACGAGAAGGGTGACTGGCTGCAAGGATTTCCTTCACTACTTGCATTAACCAAACTGATTTCGCAAATCAAAATTCATTTTCCTTTCCTTTCGAGTTTTGAACTTCTCAAGTGTTTTCACGGCGAGTACCTAATACTTGCAATGCTTATATAAGACGATTACGATAATTTTTGAAGATTTTTATTTTTATGTGGTCTTCCATGGAATGGTGATAAATAATTTATCTGTTTCTCTTTAAACGTTGCGCAAAAACCGAAAATGTTGGTTCTGTATGAAACGGCGACCGGATATGCCGTCTTCAAAGTGAGTACGAGAAACTGAAGAGCTTGCCGTGCGTGCCGGTTTAGCCGACTCTGTGTCAGTGCAGTGGGACATGTTTTATGGTCTACTTGAAGGTTTTATCCGAGCTGCGAAGTAAAATAAAGCCACTTTCGCCATTACTTTCTAGGTTTTGGATGAGAAAAAGCTGAAGAAGATTGACAACCTTTATGACGAATTCCAGTCCTTTGACACAGCGAGCAGCATGTATGGGAACCCTGATCAGCTGCAAAATTCAAAAGGCCGAAATGCTTTTTTAACTGTGTGCCTGAATTTACAGAGTACAACTGCAGAAGTTTTACAAATTTGGAACCACTGAGGATGCACTGAGTGGTGAGAACAAACTGAATGTTACTTTGAAAGATTTGGTATGAGGGGGCTCGAGTGCAGAGTAGAATTTTGAGATTTAAACATTTTCAAATTTTAGATAAATACAGTAAATTTCACGATTTAACTGATCTTTTTGCTTTTCTTTGACAGCTTTTTTCTGAGTTAATTAAAAGGTTCCCACTTCTCAGCTTTTGAAGAGCGGTTTTTCTTTGCTTGTAGCTGCAACCGCTACTGTGGAGGGGAAGATTGGAAAGAAGCTGAAGAAGGTCCTCAAGAAGATCAAAGCCGAAGATGCTCACGAGCAGCTGGCTGTCGCTGACAGCGCATTGGGGAAGATCATTAAGGTACGGCACGAATATTGCAGCAATATGACTGTAATTTCGAATGTTGGCCTTTTTAATACATTTTTTTTTGAGTAGGACAAATTTGATATAACCTGTGTTGCCAATACACAAATCAGTGAACTGATGCGTTGTATAAGAACCCAAACAAATAACCTGATTGCTGAAGTCTCTGAAAGGGAAAACAACGCTATGATACTGGGTTTGGCTCATGGGTGAGAAGAAACTTCATTTTGGTCTAAAACTTTCTTGAATGCATTAAACGTCTTATTAGAATTGACGTCGTTTACAGTGCCTGGTTGTATGAATGAATAGATTGCTTATGGTTTTTGCACAGTCCTTCTCTTAGTTTCTTTGAATAGAAATATATTGCTGCTCGTGATGCATAACTCAAGTGGTAACTGATAGTTTTGAGGAATTTCTCGTCACTACCTCTGAAGCAGCAGGATTACTGTTCCAAAATATTGTTGACATCTGTCCAAAATTAAAATTTGTGTAAGCCCAATTTAACTCCGCAGGTTATCTCGACATACGCTAAGATTCAGTGGAGACAAGATTGATACTATGATTATCCAAGCCGTGTGTAAGTTGATTAGTACCTCGTCTTTTGGTTGATGCGTTTGGGCTAAACCGTGCGCTATTTCTTAGCTCTTCTGGACGACTTGGATAAAGAATTGAACAATTACATTATGAGATGTCGCGAATGGTACGGATGGCATTTTCCAGAGCTGGGTAGCATAATCCAGGATCACGCTGCCTACATTAAAACTGTGAAAAAACTTGGTAGGTCAGATCCGGGTTGTAACCGTTAATTTTGTTACGAAATTCTCAAGCGCAGTAAATATGAGCGATGCGGTTTTTCCGAACATAAGATAAAATAAAATATATTTGTGTGTTATCTGATATAATTCTTAAGTAATAATTAACTTTCTTATTTGCTCAGGAATGCGCACTGCGACAATCACAATGGATTTGTCCGATATACTACCTGCAGATTTAGAGCAGCGCGTGAAAGATGCCGGTCAGATTTCGATGGGTACTGAAATCAGCGAACAAGATATCGAGCATATTAGCAGCCTTTGCGATCAGGTAGACACACGTTTTCGGAATTGAGTATACCGCGTGGTTTTCGTATCGTTGATGACGTTTTTAATCATTGCAACAATCTGAAAAGTTGTGCGGAGTAAAATTTTCTGAGAAGAAATACACCCATAAATTTGAAAGGTTTTGATGGTAAGTTCTATATAGATAATTTGGTATGCTGCTTTAGATACTTGAGATGCACGAATACCGAGCTCAACTGTACGACTACCTCAAAAACAGGATGGCTGCGATTGCTCCCAATTTAACAGTACTCCTCGGTGAATTAGTGGGTGCACGACTGATCAGTCATGCAGGTATGTTTGAATGACGGAAATATTCAGCTCTGCATATGTTTTTGATAATATTTTCTAACGAATTACTTTTCAGGATCCTTAATGGGTCTGGCAAAGTATCCCGCTTCGACAATCCAGATATTAGGAGCAGAAAAAGCTTTGTTCCGCGCTTTAAAGAAGAAGCATGATACCCCAAAATACGGGTTGATTTACCATGCTCAATTGATCAGTCAAAGCAGTCCAAAGATAAAAGGAAAAGTATGGGGCTTAGATGGCAGTTTTGACATCTTATACCGTATTTTATCGATTAGTGATCCAGCGTTACTAATTTTTCGTTAGGTGGTATTTGTATCGATGAACATTTTCACTTTTTTTTATTTAGATGTCCCGTATGGTGGCTGCGAAAGCCTCTCTATCGATAAGAGTGGATGCCCTAGCGGAGACTGATGATGCCGATTTGGGCACGATGCAGCGGGCATATCTGGAACAGAAAGCCAAAGAACTCGAATCTGTTGATGTAAGTAAATTGATGAAATGGCAGTAGAAGAAAGGATGTACCAGTTGTATAGTATCTTGTTTGAATTGGTACTGTGTGGTTTTTCATAATTGTTATTCGTTTCAATTAATTCAATGAAAAAAATCATCTTTATTTTTCGACAGGCCAGTCGGAAAGGCGGAGTTAGTGGAAATAAGAACTTTGACAAATATCAGAATAAGAGGTGAAGTACCTATATATTACTCTGTCGCTGCATGATAGCAGAGAAAACGCTTTTGGTTAATATCATGTTTACTTGCAGTCAAGTGTGGCAGTATCAATCAGGCAATGACGTTACAATAACACCTCAACAGAAGATAAAGAAGGAGCCCGATTTCTTTGAATCTCCCGCGCCTGGGAAGCTGAAAAAAGTATTTGGGGAAGAGCAAGAAGCTGAACCCAATGGCGACGCTGAAACCCCTTCTGCGAAGAAGAAAGGAAAGAAACGAAAAGATGCCGAGGAGATCGAAGCTCAACCCGAAGTCGACAATGGTGAAGCAGTCGGTAATTTTAAATAAGTGGTTAATGGGTCATAACAAACTACGGCAGTGTTCTGAAGTTATAAGTTTTTTAGTCGAGGAACCTTCAGAAGACAGTAGCGGGAAGAAAAAGAAAAAGAAGAAAGTGAAAACTGAAGAAGAAGCGTGAGGTCCGCCTTTTGGAATTATATATTTTTGTTGTCCAGCTTGGAATTTTCCATGTATTTTTCTGAAGAAGTATGGTTGGTTTTCGTGCTTTTGGTTGTTGGTCTTGTATAATTATGTGTTTGAGCCTTTACTGGTTAATTAGTACGTTGGAAGTTGGTGCACTTCCGCACGGTGTCAGTTGTTAGGTTTTGTTTATTGCAATGCAATAAATAACAGATGTGCCGCGATATATTGCGGTTGTTTATTATTTTTAATAATCAGTTGAAACACAAGTCAGTAAATAGTAATGTTTAGAATAAGCAGTCAAGCGGCCGGTATATCAACTCTAAACAAGTGGTCAAGCGTACGGAACTGTACTGTACGCTGGAAGTACAAATATTGGTTATAACTCATGCTTGCATGCGAATGCTTAGTGTTTTAACGTATTACGTACGTAGTTGAGAAACCGGAACGATGAATGTGAATATCGATATGTAACAGCGAACCGGTTAAATCCGAATTGTAAAAATATCATTAAGAGTTAAATTGTTCGGGATGTTTTGCTCATGATCACGTTAGGTGGCAGCCTGAATTATCCGAGGTATTCGTTGGCTTCCGGGTCGGGCAGACCGTTGCTTTTTGCCATCAGGGGATTTAAGAAGCCGTGAATCTGCATAATGCGAAACAGAATGCGTCGAGAGCGTTGATGCTCGTTTTCGGGCTCGAAGCCAGTCGGGGTTCGTGTGCCGAAGATGGTCGATTGATCCTCGCTGTCAGTGCGAAGTCTGTCGGGTCCAAGTCGCAGAGTGCCGTATCGGCGAAAGGGCAAGAACGGTCCAGGTGACGGAATCCAGGACGGCCGCACCGAGCTCGGGACACCACTTCGTTTCATTCCGGCGAAGTACGTTGCTGCAGTGATATTAAACGCTCGGTTGTTTTTATTTGCACACATACAAATTTTACTTAGGGTTTGACATAGTAAATGTTGATTATGTTTTGTTACGGCTTCCTTAACTATGCATTCACAATGTACTACTGCGTGCAACAGGTTATCTTTAATTTATATGATATTTAAGGTCATCGATAACCAAGGTTATGCTCTCTTTCGTGCCGACCGGAAATCAGCATTGACCTTATGACTAACCTGTCAGTGAGCTGTTAGACCCGGATGTTGGCTCGAGGTAGAGAACGTCTTCGTTCGACCATTCTGGATCTTTATAAAAAGGAAAACTGTCCAGCGGAAAGCTTAAGGCCAACTGGACAGATACGATTAGAATGGCTAAAAGAATAAGATGGTTGATCATCGTAGTTCAGCACTTTTAAATATAAACTGTAAATTCAGAAAATTAATTATGCTTCACGCGTTGGAAAAAATCGAAAATGGTCTGTACAAAAGTACAAAGTTGCTGCAAACGAAGGTCGAGGAAGCGTGTTCGCAGTATTACCGATTATCAGCACTTCGATGCTAAAGAAAATTAAGAATGAACAATGAATTTATATACAAAATTTAGCTGCTGCCTACGTGCATAGGCGAGGCAATCTTGGGGAGAAATTCATTAAAATGTCAGACGAACCGGAAATGAATTGGGTTAATTGAATCAGTTACCGGATAGCGAACTCTGCTGCAGTCTGTACGTAGAACCTTGAGTTCTATTGTGGATACTGGGTATTTTAGGAATTTTAGGTATTTTAGGTATTTTATTTAAAGTAATTACATCTTTAATGAAAGGAACAATAGTGGCGTATCCATACCAGTTGGTGAGACAGCCATGTTAATATTGCGGTTAATATTTTTATTTTGGTGAAAATCTCAATTTTGAAAAAATATTTGTAATAATTGCAGCATTACACAGTACGCTTTAATAGGTTTGGTGAACAGCACAGAGCTCGAGAACGATAACATACTGTAAATACCGAATTACAAACATTGTTCGGTTTTGTCAATTTACTCTTTTCTACGATTAGATTTTTCGGCTGCAGGCTAGTACGGATTATCGAAAGAACAGATGTCAATTTTTCAATGCAAATTTTCAGATGTAACTGTACGTAGGCCACCCATCCACAGTAAACTAACCTGATTCATATAGCACCTATTAAATATGTTCTAGCACTTCTATTTATTAGCGTAATTAATTAATTATTAGAGGAGTATACTGAGTGAATAGTCGCACATTCAGATTAAACGGACAGGCATACAACAGGCGAACACAGTCAAGAGTATTGGAGTTATTACAGTATGTGAAAAGTTTCGTATTAATATCATTGTGTAATATTATTCAGTTTGTCGATGATTTACAAAGCAACTCACGAAGCCAGCGCTTTGCATTTTAGCACCAGTCACGAAAAACTGATTAGCAAATTTTACTGGAGCAAGGCAGTTCACCAGAACATTCCATGGTACCAACGTGCTGTATTACCAGCCACATTATCGTATTAGCAGTTCTTGCGAATATTATTGTGCTAATTTCAACTAACCGCGACAAAATTTGTTAACAGTAAATAATTTACTTATTGTTTTTACCTAGTACGTACACCTGTAAACGTTACGTTACTGTAACTCAACTTTGAACTTCAGTGTGGATCGTTCATAAAAACTTAGGAAAGCAATCTGATAATCACGTTATCCGTCACAGGAACCAGTCGCATGATGGTTTCAGATCAGATTTCCGGAACTGCGTCAGTAAAACACCGAGCGCGGGGTTGACCTTAACAGTTATGAATGCAAGTAATTTCCGAACTTGATGAAAATGAGCATAAGACGAACTTGACTGTCATGTTCAGCATTCAAGGAAATGTTTTAGACAGTTATACAGAGGTGCTTGCTGCTATCAGTGTTTTTCAGCAAGAAAACGCCGCAATTCAAATCTATCGACACCACCGAGAATATACGTGAAGAAACAATAGACACCAGAACCGATCACAAAGAAAATATCAGCATACAGCGACGTACTCAACAGCCATAGCCAAAATACAATCAAAGCCGTCCACACAATCAAAGAAACCCATAACAACGGGATGGCAAATAGTTGTCGCCCCAAAAATTTGGGAGGAAATTGTCTACTTTTGTAGAACTCCGCAAGCTCCTGTTCTTTATTCGTCCAGCAATCTGATAACCATGATTCGAGGTCGGTGGTGGATGCCGGCAGCTCTTCCGCTCCATGACGCTTTATTAAGAAGTAAATAGCACTTGGTGGGCCTCGAAGAAGCATTTGAGGTTCACTTTGGATAATCTCTTTCGGATACACGATTGTAATGTCGTAAATTTCATCCAAAACATTATCTGTCAAAACAAAATGATTCAATCAGCCCACAGAGTACACTTGGATAGTGCCGGGCATTAAAACGCTATAAAAAATACCGTAAAAATCGAATAAAAAATTTATGATTATACTGATAACATCACCGACGTCGTCCGTTTTCAGCATTTTCATCCCTTCTTACAACTCCAGATTATTTATTTCAGTAGATTTTTTCAACATGTTCCGTTTCCATCAATTTATTTTTACATAATATGTCTGCCAACTGCCAACAATTACCCATCCAAGCACAACGAAATAAGTCGTTATAATTAGGCACACAAACAAAACGATCATGCTGCCTTTTCAATTTAATTACTTTCGAAAACCATCCGATTGCATTACCAATTAAATACCAAATTAACGTGTGATTTGCTATACCGTTATATATTTCAGCATTGTACCATGCATTCTGTTTGCAGCTCTATTTTGTTCGTTTTGAATCTCGAAAAAATTTGGTTAATCATTCAGTTGTGACTCCAATGGACCTGCAACATCAGATATGCCATATTTAAAAAAAAATACAAAAATGATGCGAATGCAAAACGCATTAAATTTCCTTAGATATGCTATGCGTTTTGTCGTTAAACGCCGGCTGCGAACGCATAACCGTACAGTATTTCTATTTTATTCAGCTGGCTATTTGCGGTGTGCCAGAATAACGTAAGGCAGTATGCTGTCCACTGTTTATTTTGATTCTAAGGAATATCCGCTATAATATCAGACACTGCTTACATTTTCTCATAAGCTCGGCAAGAAAAGTAAAGCCACGGACGCGTGGGTAAATGCAGTGGAGCAATTTCGGTCGAGCATTCGTCAAGGCGAAGGCATCGCTTCGGGTTTGAGATCGCGGATTGAAATCTGTACCTTCAGGGAAAAGGAGCATCTACACAAATGGAAGCAATGCTAAATGTCACACCATAATCTCCAATTCTGTTTGACTTACGTTCACTTTGCGGTTGTCATGCGACACATATTCTATGGCCTTGTGAAACAGCTCTACGGAAACAGATAACCACTTTAAAAAAGAATGACAGGAGACGCACTGGCTGGAAGGCCGACATTACCCTGATCGCTCTCCCATTTGCGATCGATGAATAAAAAGCCGGCGCATTGCATTGACCAACCTAAAACGTCCAGAAAAATCCGATTCAATAGCGCTACTGTTGTACGCAAACGGTGCCCTTCATACCGGTTCCAGGAGCGCGTTTCAAATCCCGTTTTAGGATTATTTTGTGCCGTGGCAGTGCGTCAGGATACAAAGCTGTCCAGAGGAATAACCAATCTAGCCTGCAAAGTATCGAAGCCGTGTTTTAACGCGAACGGACCAGCGCGGTAACTGCTGCGATTAAGCATATGTTGATGCAAACCAATTACTTCTACGACCTAACTCTCTGCAGGACAGGTACTCCAGTGTGGGGACAGTAAAGAAAGTACTTACGTAATGAAATTATCATTAGAGTATTTGCAGTAAAAATTTAAAACAAGAACTAACCCACCATAAACCCGTAATCGAGAAAACTATGCGTTATCATCACAAATAGTTGCCGGTGTGTATTTAATTCCGAAATGGGTGTTTGCACTTAGCAGCGTTCAAAGCTGCAAACGCACAACTACGAGGTATTTGCACTAGAATACTTTATTGATTTAGCTAATACTGTAGAAGGAAAGGTAGTGACTGTGAATCTGACTGGCATAACAAGTGCCAGAAAATTATACCAAAATCGTAAGTCAATGCAGACACCAGCAATCAAAGTTACAAACCTAGTTCGGTGATTCATAATTATGAGAGAATTTTTCTCCGGGTCGATTTCATCCCCGAATATACGGATGTCAACACGGCAGAGAATGTGCAGCAAAGCCTACGAAATAAAGAAAATTTTTCTGCATGCATGTAACTGAATACATAATATCTGAACACATACCAACCAAAATCAATTCCAACAAATTGTAACTCTAAATTTCAAGCAGGGTTAAACTGTATAGAACATCAAGCGACGTGCGTACTTCCTCAGAATCGAGAATACGATAATGACAAAGAATTATTAATAATACTACAATACGATTACTGCGGTACTACTACCAGTGTAATTACCTGTATAATAGCTACTACTGTTTATGTGCGCTCACGTTGCGCGAAATTATAACAAACCCTGCCCACCGTATCTAACCCGGGCGGTGAACTAAGTGAGTACTTTCAACTCATCCTTATAAAAAATTCAGATTGTACACACGCATAATATTACCAATTAAATAAGATTCAAAAATATGGAACGTACTACGCAAGTCAAGACTTACCACAGGATACGATTCCCACAAAGCGATAATGTGGTCTCCCAACCATCGAAACAGGCGCCGGTTGACGTAAAGAAGAGGCAAGGTAGGGAACAGCACGAACACACTTCCAAGCGCGCTGCTGAGGAACATCAGTAAGCAGAATAAAACGCCACGGATACCTCGCAGGACCGATATTAACCGGGACATGTTTTCAGCTGTGACGCAAGGCTGGATTCCGACGATGTAAAGAGCTGCTCCCGATCAAGGAACTGAATCTGTACTCCACAACCACGCTCACATTTCGGGAAGTGATTACAGCACAGCACCCTCTGCTTCTTACAAGCGTTCAAGGTAATGGAGTCCAGTCGTGCAACTATAAAGCACGCATGCTTTTAACGAAATTACAAACTGTTACAAACGCGCTGGCAGACTGCGAAGAAAAAACAGAACTTCCACACTTCTAGCACGTACTCGAATCTTGGTAAATCTTACTAACACTTGTCGCTCCCGTGCACGAACGTCCTGCAAATAAATTGTCCCGAATCCTCAGATTAACTTTTAAAATATGTAAAATTTAACCGAGTCGGTCAAAACACATGCGGCTTCCACTGCCATTCAGCCATTAGAGTGCGGAGGAAAGTTCAAAGACAAATTCGAAAACTGACAAACAGCATGGGGTTTCGATTTTGTATGCTGTTAAGTAACTAACTGTCTCCCGTGTGCGATGGCACAGACTGTCTCACAGAAAAGCGGTCTCGTGGTTCTTGTTGCGTTGCTTCACAGCCCCTCCCAGTTTAAATTTCTTTCTCCAGATTCCCAGCCGGATTCGAAGAACTGAGTATATAAACAAGTATTCTGTTAATCTGCACTTGTAGAAATGTATTAAAATAATGGCGGTGCGTGTAGGGCCGTAACGCAAGTAAAGGCATACTTGGTGACTGTATCGATTCAGGCCTTGAAATCCCAAGGTAATAGTTCCTTGGAATTTTAAGGTCGTCACCTGTGGACCTGTAGCTGCAGTACAGTATGTATTGTAAATTTTTGTCACTGCAATACGCACAATACATTCAAAACTGGTTTTTCGATCACAGTGCCGGTAACGTTTACGTGACATAGATTTTAGCCGGTATCGTGTAATCAACAGTTTATATCACAGAAATTTTTTAATTTAGGCAAACATTTAGAGTAGATACCAGATAAATTTGATGAACCACGTAGAATTTAGTGCAAATGAATGCCAAAGAATTTTTTGAAGTTGGAATACCATAGGCCCTAGGGATAAGACATGTAGACGCTCGCTCGGGAACCCTAGGAGGCTAGGAGTGGCAGTATTCAATGACTTACAGGTACAGTGCATGGGCAACAGCTTGTACGAGGTACAACTTTGTATTTGTACATTATATAAATATTCTTTTAATTAATTCGTGGGGAACATCCACGAGACCAGTAATACCAGTTTCCGGCATAACATTATCGGTTCTAGCCAAAAAATCAAACGGCTCTATTCTTGAAGACATCAACGTTAACGCTGTTGAAAATATTAAAATACTCAAAAGAGATCAAACGAACAAAACTATCTACAGCACGCAAAATAACCATTACAAAAACCTGCAGTCAATGTATCATAGACTCTTTAGTATAAGAAAGAGCCCTAATATCACAGAAAGTAACCAAGAAAACCCCACCCTTGCTACCGCTCCCACACTGGAATGTTCCGCCATGACTAGTTCTTTCGTCCAACGCTGATGCGTATCAAAAGCATCTCCCGGAGCCGGGACACTCTGGCGACTGACGATGTACGGCTTCTCTGTGCCGTAGAGGACCAGTGTGAAAGATTTGAGCACCGTAGGCACCGCGGCGATGGACGATCCAAACTGCCCGTAGCGGATCGTCAGATCGTTGAGGTATTCAATGTGCAGTCGCCATGTCCCGCGCGGATCCTCATCCCACAACTGGACGCTGGTGAAGGCCCAGTTGGTGAAGCCGGCACGACTAGCGTCCAAGGAGCGGCGCGGAAGGAGAATACTCGTCGTGTTCATGGGCGAGGTGAGGGTGACGCGGATGTTGCCGCGCCGGGCGGCTTGAATGGTCAGCACAGCCTGGACATGCTCCAGCCGACCGATGATGTTGCCGGAATCGGCGCATCCATCGGTGTACAGCTCAGTAAGGATTTCGTTATTTATTGCCACACTAAAAAAGTGCGTTTTCTGCGTTTTCTGCGCATGAATTACATCAAAGCTTCGTAAAGTGCAAATGGTGGTATTTTTTTGAAAAATTTACTGTGCAATAGTATAACACGTAAAGTCGTACTAAAATGACCATCTAAAAATTGTTACTCCGCCACTACCTGCATCACTGCTAATTTTGAGCCACTGTATTAGTTGTGCTAACGTAATTCATAAAATGTGGAAAAAGTTTGCACCATATTATGCTTTATTACAAACTTATTATAAAATTACAATAAAACAAAAATTAACGCTTCTTGAGCTCCTTCACGATCGAGAGTTGCCGCGCGCGGATGCCGCGGAGCAGTTTTAATTGGCCAGCCGACAACGATAGTGCACTGTACACAGCTGTTGTACGACGCAGACACGCCGGGTATCCCTATACGTACTTAGTTTACTGACACCCAGGTTATGGGTATGGAAAATCGGGAGCAAAAAGGCAAAACACAAAAAAAGAGCACGCGCGTCCGCTGCGATTGAAAGTGGGTGGGTGGGTGAAAGGGTTGAAATTATTCTTGATTGTCAAAGTGCGTAGACGTGGCTACGCCCGGGAGCGTGCTGAAATATGCAACCAGGGCACCCACAGGAATCCTCCTGAATAATAATAAAGATAATAACCCGGTATATACTATATACAAAGTAAGTACGTCCAAACAATAGTCGCCAAGGTAGGACGTAAGTTCGCTCTTCGTTAATGATAGTGAAATCAATGTTATGTTAATAAATTAGTAGAAGTACACTTCTTTGTTATTTATTTTTAATTTATTAGCTGGGCGGTAAATGGCATGCGGGCTTTGATATTCGATGTAGCACAAAAGCTAATGCTTAGAACTAGGAAAATTCGTGAATGTTTAGTGTTGAAAAGCTAATGGAAAGTCTGTGATACACGTACTGAAAATCCATCTGCTCTATCAATCTGACATGAATATCTATAGTAAAATTTTATAATAAGCGATTAATCACCATGTATTTATGCATTATTAACGAAAAGTTGATCACCTGACCATGGAAGGTGCAACTGTGGACCCGCTAGAGGTGTAGTACTGTACAAACAATTAGACACGTTAACGGTTAATATGGTGTTTCTGTTTATTATGAAAATAGCATAACAAGTAGCGGTACTGTTTATATAATGGTAAGGCTGATTTCACGGCTACCGCGCACTTACTGAGGTGTTGAATCATTTTGCGTCCGACACACATGCTGAGGAGCGGAAGTCGTCCATGAAGCGGCGAGCTCAACAAGCTTGTCGGCGTCCAGTAGACCATAACCGAATTTATTGCTCACTATAACCAACAATTACAATCTCTTTAGGTGGGCAGCTATGCAAAGCACTAGAAAAATACTAGCGGAGTAGCGAATGACCTGTCAAGAAATCCTTGAACTGTTTGTTTAAGATTTGCTGTTGTGAAACGGCGTTGGTTGCGTATAATAATATGTGATCGCATTATCAGAAGTAAATGTGTTTGTTAAATTTACAAAAGAAATTTTTTGAACAAAGTATGTTAAAAGGATTGAAACTGTATGTGGGCAAGGAAGAATCGTGTCGACGACAATAAACGTAAATAAAAGAGATCTTTTCAAATGTATATGCCACATGCTTATGATACGCTGTTTAATCACGTTTTTCAATGGGTGCAGAATAAAATTCAAACAGCTCATTCCGCATTTCCGTTTGCATTTGATTAAGCTAACCAATCTAGCGTAGCCGAAAAACTGATCCTACACTAAATCAATATTAGTTGACGGCGTCGAATACTCTAGTTTCAGCCAAAAAACTATTGATCTCGTTTCATGAACGGCGATCGTGATTGTATACTTACGGAAATTTAATACAGACCAGTTAGTCCAATTCCGATGGTCAGCACGTTAAGGGAAATGATCGTCTACATGCCGTGCTTCGGTGCGTGGCCGCCTAATGATTGTCGAATTTAATTACCTTGTCTATTAGCTCCGTTAACGATCCAGTCATCCAGTAACGGCTTGGGATTGGACGAGCGCACCATTAAGTGCTGCATATCGCGCCATGTTAATTTGGGATTGGCTTCTAAGGCCAGCGCAATGATCCCCGCCGCTAGCGGCGCGGAAGCCGACGTGCCGGTATGCTGGTTGGTGCACGCACGCCGCTGGTTGCCCGGTGTGTCCAGATCGGTGGTCACGACGGCCGGCTGCCAGGAATTTCCGCTGCTGTACGTCGTGGTCAGGGTCGACGGGCACTCTTCTAAATACCATGGTTTGGAACCATCTTGTGCTGCACTGCTGACACTGATGGTATACAGGCTGTTAGCGTAACCGTCGCAACTGCAGCTGTCATCGTTTTTCCCGCCGTTTCCCGAAGCCCAGACGTAAATGGAGCCATAACCTTGCCGACCCTGTTAAAAGCGAACTTTATCGAATTAGGTCGAATATGTGATATAACACTTTACACGAACTATCGATTATGTAGTTGGCTTTTCTTGTTGGCGTGCGATGTTGTTAACCTGAGCAAGAGATCAATGTCTGTTTACACGTTTGAAACCAAAATGCAACACCGGTACCTCATGTTGACATGTTACATTAAGTAACGGAGAAAAATTTACGAAGCGAAAAAATTGTAATTTTCGATAAAACTAACTAAATTTGCAAAGTTTAATTATTAGGATGCTTTATGCTTACTGCACGACCGATTGCTTCAAAATACGGATTTTACAACTGGATTATTAATGTCCAGGTACTTTGTAGTCGCTAAAATAACAATTACCTAACGGGCAAGAAATGATACAGTACTTCGCCGCTTACGTATTTTATGCCATTCTCAAACGCTTGTCTTGCCAGCGGTCCAGGACCATCAACGGTCTGGCCATCGTCATCTAAAGAAAATAATCAACAATAATTTGCATTTTTCCGAGGTCTTGTGATGATGATGGACCCACTATCAGCAGAGATTAAAACATACCGGGTCCCCAACTAGCGCTGTAAGTGTGTACATGCTGCGGGTTCACGCTGAGGGCGGTTGCTTCGACATGATCGGTTACCTCGCCGTCAAGCATTCTGACACCTACGAATTTGCGTCGTGAATAAAAAATTCGATATTCGATGTTAAACACTCCACACAAATATGATCAATCACTAGATATTGCTCGCGTAATTTGTACCTCCAATACTGGCGTTGAATGCCACGCCAACTCCGCAAATATTGTTTCCGGCTACTGCTGCAATTTCGCCGGCACACCTTGTACCTAACGATTTGGTAAAATGTGCATTTTCATGGTATCCGAAACCAGAATCCTGATAAATTTATGGTGCTGACTGGTGAGTCCAAATAATATAAACACAAATTATGCAAAACTTGCAACGTGAAATGCACTCCATCATTATTATCTATACAGACTACAGTGTATATTGGTAAGCTCTCAACATACACACAGATACTCGAAATACACCAAATTGTACTGTATCGTTATTTACATGCGTTAAAGTGCTTAACACAAATAAATAAAACTTTACGCTCATGGCATACTCTAGGTTATACTGTATGTAGGTATCAGTGAAACTACCTTACCATGCTTGTTGTTGCCATCATCCGTCGGTGTGGGGTCGAAACTGCGCCCGTTAATGTCCAAACTGGCCAGCTGGTCCTATATAAAAAAATCGTACATTAGTGTAAACTAATGTAAGTACTTAATATCTAGGTCTGCATTAAACTTTGTAAATTTATTTCTGAATTGCAAAAAAACAGAAATTTGTAATGTTTTATTGCCTAAGTGAAACAACTTATCACTGTATATGAAAGAAAATGAATTAATGATTCTTACGTAATTCGGTCTGAGATCTGGATGACGCCATTGCAGTCCATCATCTAATATGCTGATAGAGATTCCTTTCCCAGACAGTCCGCGCTTCCATGCTTTCTCGACATTCATATCAAATCCTGCTCGCCCCCCTTTGCGCTGCAATCATTGGTAATTTAAAACGGATGCTAGAATTATAATCAAAGCAATGGTCCTGTGTAAATATTTAAAGAAGCCGAAAAACCAGCTGCTTATACATTTACATCTGTTTCACAAAAATCCCGCTCACAACCTAAAAGTTGACGATGTGGCCCAACGGATCAATATATTCTATAGTGTGCTCAATATGAATGCGTATTTTACAGATCGATTACAAATTTACAGAATGTTTTATATTTCCAAGCTTTTTTTTTTTTCCAAGCTTCTTGTACAGATACTCTGTAGGAGCTTTTTTTGAAAGTGTGATTAATGTCTCTGAAGTTATTTATGCCTGTCTGGTTAATTAACGTTGATTTTTTTATGGAAGAAACGACACTTTTTATAGGTAAACCGTAACAACATACCGTTAAATTCTGGCGTGAAAAAAACGCAGGTAGCAGCGCTTTCAGCATGAATTTTGATTTATAGCGATATGCATCGTTACAATGCGTACATACGTGAGCGTGATTAGGCAAGTTTTGTATCATGTCAAAATCATTCCACTTGTCAAAAAACATGTTCGCAAAAATGCACGGTAACTTATTATATGGGTGGATACTTTGCAAGACTTTCACGAAAACGGTCACCATTTCATTCATTATCTGAGCGTTTTCTTGGCAAGATTTTACAACACGTTGTATAACGCAGGTGCTAACGCATTCAATCAGGATAAATTTTTTTAACATGAACGCGCGTCCACGTATCCCTTGGGGGCAGCTCGCTGTACCTAGCTCGCACTGCACACGCCAATTTACAATTCTTTTCAAGATCACAATCACCGCTGCTGCGGTTTGCGTAGTGAACCGGACAATCTGAAGTCGTGGACAATGTCACTTTCTACGCGAACTGTCTTGCAACAGACGCTGTCAGAAAATAAATTATTACTTTACTGCTCCATACACACACACACTACACGTTATAGTACGCCCTATTAAAGTACCGGTAACATGGATGTGAACGATACAATAAGAATTTTATTAATGAATGTGGTGTTTGTACTTTGTACACTTTAGCGTAGTTAATTTTACAAACTAAAAAATTACTGCAATACTAATCAAGCAGATTAACGCAAAAAAACCCTAGTGCTTTGTGGAAAAATAGCAGCACACCGCATTGTCACAAGAAAAGTAAAGTTTAACACAAAAATATTATCATGTGTGTAACCGACATACTACTATTTGACTAATCCTGATCAGGCTTCGTAACTCGTTAGAGTAATACTAGTAAATAGCACCATGTTTACTCTCACGAAGATAACTGTGTGAGTCGAGTTTTCTTAATCTTAACGAAATCTGACGAGGCATACGCACTCACCAAATACCACTGTTGAGTATAAAACGGATCCTGCCACTGACCCATCTGGAGATTTTCTGATGGATGCTCCTCTGATTGTAGGTCTCGTTTGACTCGTTTTTTGACTTCTTGCCGAGCGCTCCACTGTACCTGTTAATTATGTGAAAATCCAGCTAAGCGTCACAAGGTGATATCTGCCTGATTACGATGTGTAATTTTAAAAGTACTGTTTTAAGAAAATAAAACTCTATAGGACGCCGCTTGAGCGGCAAATAGTAAACTACATACAGTACTCGTACCTATATGCACTTCAGTGACTTCGTCATTTCTTACCATTCATTCACTAATATGATTTATATTATAATAAACTTGAAACAGCAACACTTTTTAAACAAATTTTGTATGGACTATGCAGAAACACTAGAACAAAGTCCGCAGCAGACATATTTATTCCCCTGGACAGTGTTTTCTAACTTCACTAGCGATACTAGGAATACTAACGCCGAACGATGTGGGAAAAATCTATAAATAGTTGCTGTTGTGTTAATATTATATTTATATTAGTTACTCTTACTTGTGATTCTCGTTCCAGTTTTGCAAAGGCATTATCGGTAGATCTTTTGTGAATACGGTTCGGAAATTCTAGCAGGTAGTAATCCTCAAGTGACCCCACCTAATCACAATAAAAGATGAAAAGATCCGGGAAAGCGGCACATACGGGGTCGCAGAACAGAATGCCGGCTGCTGCTCGCTGACCTGTCCGACGTAGTTTAGCGCATGTGTGGCTGCCAAATTCCTCGCAGTATCCGAACCGCCTTCTACGCGCACAACAATTTGATGATTATAATTTGGCGGATATTGCGAGAACACACAATTTGTTAATGTGATAATTGCTGCCACAAGGTAATACACCTTGGCAACAACCGCAAGAAACATAGTATAACCGCCGAGCAGAATGTATACATCAAGTTTGATTTTGCAATGTAAGTACTCCAGACGGAATATAATAGCTCTTTTAACGATGATGATCTTCTACCCTCTTCCCACTCCGACCGCAATAACAATCAGTAAAAATCTGGAGTATATTAATAGGAGTTCACTCAGGTGGTCTATATGGCAATAATCGATTTTGGTCGTATCCACTAAGGCGAAACAAAATTTACGTCGATCTGGCCGCTGAGCAAGTCTTAGACTGTGGTTAGCAGCACCGCGCGCACACACTACTGAGTACCGAGAATGATTTCATGCACGTAATAGGAGGGCGGATTTAAAGGTCCAAATCTCACCAGTTGCCGAATTAAGTACTATCAAAAAAGCGATCGATATCCCGTTTTACATGGTTAAGAAACCCGGAAAATAATTTTGAGAAAGGTGTTTAGAAAAAAAGTGAGCGCGAATTCAGCTTTCCCTCCGATGGTTAGTATTCAATACGCGTGTGGCTTTTTAAAACTGCTCACAAATGGTCAGCCGCCAGTGTGAAGCGATTCGATTTTGTTGACTTTTACGGACACGACTGCGCAAGAAGGCGGTGACACTGTATAATTTTAAGGTTAGTTTAAGGTGTATACAGTATTTGTAGGGTACAACTACTTTGTAGTACTCACTGTACTCATTTCGCTATCGGAAAGTGTATGTAGGTACAGGAGTGGTACCAATCGTATTATTTTATTTATTTTACTCGTATGACTTGAACAGTTTGCTGTTCCCAAAATTAATTTTAATGTACAATGAACATAAACACTGACACTGTACACTGACATAAAGCAAGAACGACAATACGGTATGTAGTATGTGCTGGTATATAAAGTTTCATCTGTAAAGACATAAAACTTTCCGCACGCTGCTTTTTACATCTATATATCTATATAGGAACAGTAAATTCGTATAGTAATTTGTTTACGCTGTAATTTACAATATTTTTATACTCGTAATAGAGTACTGATTTTGTCCTACAGACAGAAGTATGTAATTGTACAGCTTCCGCACATCGGATGTGGGATATGAATAATTCGAACAATCTTGCGGTTTGCTGAATTGCGACAGACGCCGGTAGTGGTCATAAATTGTGAATATGAATTATGAATACTGATAATAATCACACTAAAGTTTAAGGTAAGGTGATACAGTGCGAAAAAAACTTATTATGCAGAAGCCGTGCGGCACTGAATTGAGAATGATTAACAACGCGCGATTGCGTAATAAATTAGCGCACAAGACAAACAGTTCATTTAGTACAAAATCTTACGACCTACACACACCACATGGATTGTAATTTGTACGTACTAAAAAGTAAAACGCAATCGAGTAGGCACGTGCAACGCAAGCATTCCATTGATAACTGTTACGTACTTAATGTAATTAAAAACTTGTCTTCCCTGATTTTTTCTGTCAGCAGTCCATAACCAGACTCCCATTCTGATGATATTCGCACAACTGAAATACCGCAGTTACCATTCTGGTAGTTTTTCGACATCCTGAAACTATAATTTTACGCAAATGATTTACCTAAATGTGTGTTTGCGGAGTGCGGTTTTGTGTTTTTATTACAGCATAAAAATATTAATTTTATAGGAAGAAAAAATGTACTGCCCTACGAGTTTTCCGTACTTGTTAGGTTAGTCAGTGGTTGAGGAACAATTACAAACAGTTTTTTGAAACAATTTCATGCAGTAGAACTACGGGTATGTAACACATACTTCCACTACTTCTGTCTTCTGGTATAGCTCACATCAGGAATACCGGTTTTATTATTCGGGATACGCTGTTCTGCAGTTCCGTATTTCATACAGCGCAAATTATTGTGCCTGCGTTTCTGTCAACCTGAGACCTTAGCTTGTTATCTTCTCGCCACTTTCAGAAAACTTCAAGCAGGTAGAAAGAACTAAAGATACAGGGACCAATTCAAGGTCAAGTAAAAATGTAAGCAAAAGAAACTTTTCTTCCCGAAATATCTTCTTCCGAAATCTGCTTTTGGACACGGCTATAGAATACAGGTATTTATAAAAATTCAGGCATAATTAAATACATACTAACAAGTTGTAAATTTACAAAATACTTGGAAACCTGTATATGTAGAACTGTCTTTATTTACGTAGCATCTGTTTGGTCTTGTTGCACAACGCGGCCTGCTGTTGCAACTTGCGGCAGTTGCAGTGACGTATGGATTTGTTATGATGCCAAAATCCTGCCCTTAATTTATAATCATGTTATAATGTTATCGTATGGCTTCGAGAAACGCTGGCTCATCACACTTTTGGATTCAGCACAAGACTGATTAAACTTCTTTCCTTAATTGTTTTTTTAAACTTTTTGAATTATATCATATCATATTCTACGACTTATACATAGTTGTATATGTCGAAGCATGAGAAGGTTTCGCTGACGTTTGGTGTACAATGGAAGCAGTAAAAACGCGGAAACCTAAATCCCAGAAGCTTAAGGTTGATTATCATGTATAGGACTTACGACTTATGACTTGCCGTATTATTACTGCCTCATTTCATAGTTCTGTCGTTCTGTAGGAGAACTCGACCGAAGTGGCTGTCGAAGATGAGGACGAAAGAATTCCCGTTCTCGATGCACAGTTCCTGGCAGACATTGCTGATGATTTGGGCCATTTGGCACGTGCAAGTGCACAGCCTCTTCCTGAACAGGAAGAAAATGTGATACAGATTGATTCGGAACTGGAGGATCACACAGGGGACGCAGAAAAAAGCACAGAACAGCCTGTGAATCATGTTCTCGACCCATCTGTCCAAGGTGCGGAGCACATCGCTGAGGAACAACCTTCTGCAATCAGCGCACAACGCACGATCGCGAAACCAGCGAATCCTTTTGCCAGAGCAGCGGAGCCTGCAGCTGTTGCTTCCTCTGTTTTGTCCGTCAGGCAGGATGTTGTCGAAAGACCCAGAGAATCTTCTCCAGCGGTCATGAATAGGGAATCTCTGTCTTCGCGGTTGATGTATCCTTCACTGAAGGAAACTAGCAAAGCCACCGAACTACGGCCTCTTTCACGAGCAGAGATTAAAATATACTTCACCAACGCAGAAGCAGGAGCATTGGAAGCGATTACGGACCACTTTATCGAGGTACGGCAGTGGAATGCACAACTGTTTTTTATTTGTCTACTTACATATCGTTTCGTGTACTATCACTAATTTTTACACCAAAGATTGTACAAGGAACTGTGCTCGTGCCTTTTATGTACTTAGCTGTGCATATTTTTGTGGTTCATACATAATATTTTTAAGTTTCTCTGTTTAACATTTTGCGGATATTCTCCCAAATTTAGCTGGACAAGTAGTTGCTTATTGTGATATGTACGTTTTTTAAAGTTGTGGGGTCGCGTGATTGATATCAGGCCGCTTTTTTGGCTTTCGAATAGACGATTATCTGTTGATTGTTGATTTTAGTCAAATGCGGTGGCGGCATTCGTGAAGCATCCCTTGTATATTTACCTGATGGAGTATTTAAAGGCTCTCACAGCCTATGAGAATTCCATTCAAGATCTGCACAATCTGATTAAAGCTTACGAAGGATCTCGGGATGGTGTCTGGAAAATAACCGATAACCGCGTCGCGGAGAATTCTCGATGCGCCGACAGCAACAAAGTGACTGGCGAGCATTTTTATCGACAGTGCCATCTTGACCAGAATGCCCTGAAGGATCTCGGTACGAATCTGGAAAAAATCCGGGAACTGTTGTACAGAACATCATTTAACCACAAATGCACAGCCGAGTTGGCGCGTTTCCAGGTGGAATCCTTTCTGTACAGTGCTGTGCGAAGAAATCCCGTAACATCCAGCATAGCCGATTCATCGAGTTTTGTGCCGCACGCAGGATGTATTAAAATGTCCGAAACGTCGGAGTTGCGCGTTTGCATTGGTGTTCTGTTTTCTTTTCATCGTATTCCGCTCGGAAGTGAAAAATTCCGTGAAGACATCAAGTTGTGGTTGTGCGGATGTGTGGGAATTTTGATTCGCTATTCGACATTTTATGATCAGCTTTTTGTACTCAATCAAATACTCCGTTGTCCTTCGCCAGTGATTCAGTGGTCTGCAGCATTTCTGCAAATCGCTCTTCCGAATTCGTTCACTCCAAAATCATGCAATGACCCCTTTGTAAAGCATTTTATCGTCATGCTCCGTGTTTTACTTCTACCTGTAAAGGCAAAAACTGAATTCCTGTCGCATCTGGCGCTGGATACTTTGGAGAATGACGATGCTGATGCCAGTTGGATTGTGGTGGATCCCGATGCGGACGGACAGGAGTTAATGGGGGGATCGGTCACCGAAGTGCAGGAAAATGATATATTTGTGTTACTCGCTCAGTTCCCATTTAGCAGACTGTTTTCTACTGTGTTTGGCTCAGATTTTCTTGATCTGGAACCATTCGGCATGATAGTCGAGTACGATGTTTTGGCTTTATTTGGGTTCTGTTATGAGTTTTTGGATGTGATATCCGAAGGTAAGCATGGACGCGCACAGAATTGCCAGTTTTACCGCTGATATTCAGTTTATCGTATTTTCTTTTTATACATCCGTTTTTTTACCTCTGTAAGTGAATTGAAAGATTTGTTACCTACAGTACTCGTATACTTCATGTGCAACAGGTTTATTCAGATTGTTACTTATGGTTAGAATGAATTTAATTGCAATTCAGGCTTTTCTTCATTTCTGTGACGCGATATAATTAATGGTTCTTTAGCATGTCCTTATGGTTCAGTTTGCATTGGAGGGAGTTGGATGCCTAATATTAAACTCTGATATTTCAGGTTTCAGTAATCCTACTCTGAGCAAATACTCTAGATTTAACAAGAAAGCGGCACAAATTGTTCGAGAAATCGTCGCGCATCTCAAAGAATTTTGGGAACGCTTTGCCGAAGCGACCACATTACCTTCCAGCATTACTGCCAACCTGAAGCTGCAGTTGGAAGAGATCATTGTTCGTGGTTTTGCGATCCTCACCCAAACCGGAAACAGCGGCACGATGCAGTTTCTTGTTGGATGGCCGTCGGCCTGTTTGTCGGCTGCTAATATTTGGCGAATTGTGTGTCTCGTAGAAGATCCGCTCAGCAAAGAGATTGCCTATCTTCCCGAGGTCAGCCGGTGGAAAGCCATTTTGAACGAGGCGCACCGTAGCGATAAAATGCAGGAGCGATTGCGAAACTTGGACGAAGCGAGCGCAACGTATCTCTTGACCGCCCTGTCCAATGTTATTGAAAACTGTGATAAAACGTTATTGGATCTTGTAGAAACGATCACGTTGGAGATTTTGCGCCTGTCGTTTTTGGGGCCTTTACGTACTACGTATGCGCGCACTGGGAGAGATATCGTTGTTGGCATATGCCAAAAGCATCCGGAGATCATAACCGAGGTGCTTGGTTTCGTTCGGCGTCATTTGGATCAAATTGGTTCGATGGCGGTTTTTCTGTTCCAGCAGATGCCATTAAAACAATGGGACATCGAACGGGCTGACTTGGAAACTATATGTGAATGGTTGGTAAATGTGCAGACGGTGCAAGATGTCCCGAGTTTGTTAGCACGGGAGATCCTGTCTAGTTTAAACTGGGGCTTTCTAGAAGATGGAACGTTGTTCCTACGAGCGAATTACCACCATTACGTGGCAGTGGCCATTGTGGAAGTGTTTTTGAAATTTATTTCCAGTAAACGACGTCGTGCACTGTTGTACGAAAGCCTTTTGCGGCTGTCGCATATGATGACAACGGGGAAGGCCACTCCGGAGCAACAGTTTGTTGGCTGGTGCTGGGAAGTTTTGTTGGATCTAAAATTACATCGCATACAACAGCTTCGTGAGGCCGTCAGCTTACTACGAAATAACGCCATCATGGATGATGATGTACCTAGTCTGGCAAAAAATCTTGTGCATCTCGGTCCGCTTCAGGCTGTGGAACAAAGGCAGCCCATGGCCTGCTTTGTGACATTATTGATGACCGACATCGGGCACTCGACCACGGGAATTTTAGATAAAGGACTGGATTGGCTTGCGGCGCTGGTGGAAAACTATCTGTACATTCCTAGTTTGCAAGTGCTGGAAATCATTACTCCTTTGTTCTTTGCTAATAATCAGTTCATCTATCTCCTGCAACAAGATCAGTTCCATAATATCATCAATTCCATATTACAAGCAGATGCGACATACGTTCGGATGGTAAAAAACCTGCTGGTTGTGGACTTTCCAGGAAAAATTTTGCGAACGTTTGGAAATATGCTGCTTCATCAATTGATGAATTCGGGTAAGACCGTATGAAATATGAATGCATAAGTAACTGCGGTAGATTAGGTCTGAAAACTATTTCACAATATAGCCCCACATGTTAAATACAGTCGTGCTAGTGCCGTATGTGTCGTTTTGTGTTACATTAACGACGCTGTCACGCTGTAAATTTTTTTAGGGGCCAATTTGCCATTGGCCATACGAATTTGGGCGAGAATTTTGACATCGTTGAAGAACTGGAACCGCACCCGCGAAGTGTTATTTATACTGGATCAGATTATCAAATTCGCTTTTTATTCTAACGAACTGGACATTCTTTTGGCTGTTGTTAAAGAAGCGTACGAAGAATTCCGTCAAATGCGACCAGCCCGTGGCAGCGGTGCCATGACGTCGTTGGTATCATGGATGACTTCCGGTGCTAATCCGGCTTATGTACCAGTGGAGATTCACCTGCTGATTGAAGTTCCGTGGTTGGCGTACGTCATTTTACGCGTGGAAACCGAAGCCTCTGCACCGTTATGGACGACATTGATCGAGGAGATTACCGTTGAGAAGAAGCCTTTTGAAAATGGATTAAAAAAGGCTGCACATGATTTAGGGATTGTTGTTCCGGCTGTGACGGACTTGCCAGTTCACCGTTTGGCACAGTTGGTGATAGCAATTGATGTTGAAGCGGAAGCGTTTCCTCTATTATGCCAGGAGTTTTTTCAGTTATTTTTGCGGCGGGGAAGCAATCACTGCTCTGTAGGCGATCAATTTTTGCTGTCTGCTTGGGGAACTAAGTTGCTCAAACCTATTAAACAGAAATTCAAAGAAGCTGCGGAAACGTACAGAAAAAACGCCGGATCACCGGAGCATCGTCATCCGCAGTTTTACGAGGTATTGCTTGTGTTAATATTTCGAAGTTAGTAGAGTGAGATGTTTGCTTCGTACAATACGGTGCTGGGGATCAGATTGTCTGATTTTATGTCATGTCTATGCGCCAGAACATCGCCCATCCCGGCTACCGGTGTTCTGAAAGCGGTAAATTTAAAAAAGAAAACAAGAATAATTCTTAAAATAAACAGTATTTTTTTCCTTGTTAATTATAACTGTTTTGCGCTTTACGGCATCCTGATCACACGTAATCACGTAATCCATCCGTTCATTTATCAGTTGCTTAATTTTAAAGCGGTTGCATGATCATTCACTTTCATTTATCAGTTCATTTATCACTCTCATTTATCAGTTGCTTAATATTAAAACGGTTGCAGGATCTTCAGCATGCGATGAATGCATTTTCTTTTTGGATGGACGAACCGAAACTGCATCAGTCCAGCCTCTATCTGCCATCTCTCCCTTCCGAATACGAACCTGAGTTACTTGGTAGCATTCTTTCAGCCAGATGTGCGCCCTGGATTCAGTTTGTTGATCTGCAGAGTATGTTTGCCACCATGCGTTCCCAGGCCGAACACTGGATTCCTTTCGATGTTCATGTTCCTCGGCGACGCTCTATGGGTTTAATATCGCCCACACGAATGCAAGAGTGCCCGATGAACCCTCCCAGTACATATTCTAACCAAGCTCCCTTTGAGCCGGTGGACCTGCACGTTCTTATGGATCCGTCACGCGTTGTCCCACTGTTACGACCCGATTTAACTGTGATTGAGGGATCGGCGAAATCATACAGCACCACTGTGTCCGAGCATGTGGGATTGGATATGACCTTCTTGGAAATGATAACGGAGGTGAATTCGAATGTGGACAGGGAAATCACCGTACTCGTAGCTTGCCGAAAGGGACAATGCTCGGGCCCTGCGGAAATCGCTTTGCGGTTTCGTGAGTTTGTTCGGAACGAAGCGGTGTATCGTGGTTATGTGCAGAATCGAGAGAACTGGGGAAAAGTTGTTGCTGTTGCGCAGAACATTAGTTTAAAGAAAGTGGTTACGGCCATTGTGAGATTTGAAGCGGCTGTCTCGGAATTGATTCGCCTTAATAATACTCTGGATTCCAAGGAGAATGAAAAAGTTAGGGAGGTTGGAGCGATGTTGTTTTACCATATTTTAGCGTATGTGGGTGATGAGTCAGATGAACACCCTTTAGCTAGAAAGTTTTTCCACTCATGTGTGGAAATTTTGGGCCAGTATTTTGTAGCGAACCAATCCGTACAGTGTGGGTCGTTATTGGAGACTTGTTTGAATAATCAGAAAGCGGTGCCGATGTTGTTACCGCATTTGACGCCAAATATCGTGCCCAGCCAGTTTCTTGGAATGTACCGAAAAATTCAACAAAGGCTGCAGGTAAGATCGACTATTGCTGTTTTTTGCTAACTGCAGACATCACAGAGTTCGTTCGGTTGAGTTTGCTTCTGTTAATGCTAATTTTAAGTGATATGTATGCAGCGCAAATAATTCTGCATTGGCAGTAGCGGCGTTTTCGTTTTGCGTGCTTATACGGGTACGCGTACGTACTTTTTTTACAATATTTTTGAAAATCACAAATCCGTGTTTTATAGGCGCCCCTTTTCGTATCCGCTTGTTAAGTACCAGTTTTACGTATTTCAAGTTTATTTTAGAACAAGAACAACGATGTCTTGATGCACATGCTGTCCACATTCGATGTTGCGCGTTGGCTTTCGGACCCATCCGTAGACATCAACAGTCGCTTGGAATTGTTAAGCATTCTCGCATACGGAATCAGCCAGCTGGGATTTTTACCGTCGTTCCAGGATTATCCGCTTTTCGAAATCTATGCTCAGCACGTCAGAAGTATGTTGGAATTTCGTTTTCCAGCACACTTCCTGGATGTGTTAAGAATGTTGCTGTCATTGTCCGAGAAGAGCGCTATCCCTGCAAACGGTTGGTTCTCGTGCCTTTTTGCTGTTTTTGGGATTAACTTCCAACCTGACATGGATCTCTTGGATTTGCACAATTTTTACGCACAGATCGTGGAATCGCAGAACGGTGTAAATACTGGACGAATTCCGCTGGAAATTACGCTGCTTGTGGTGGAAGAATTAAGCCAACGTTTCCATCACGCACGACTAGCGACGAAGAATTCGCAGATGTACGGCCTATACCCGGTGTGGAAAAATTACATGAACTCGGTGGTTGTGCTCAACATTATTTTTGGTGTTGCGTTGCTCAATGGATATTTAAAGCCGGAGGATACTTTTGCGAAAATTGCGGGGCTGTTTGCGCCGTGGATTAACTATGTCCGCTTGGACAAAGAAGATTGCCCACCGTGGCTGCAGGCAGATACGCCATACGCTCAAAAAATGGTGGCCGCTTTTACCATGTTATGCTCGAATGTGATCGAAAAATCTCCGGGAATGTTTGGGAGCATTTGGGCATGGTGTTACAACGGGTTTTTTACCGGGAAATCGGAGACCTTGATACTATCGACGATTTGCATTGAGATGTTGACGTTGAAATGGGAGAAATTTGTTGCAGATTATAACACCATGCAGCAGTTCCGTTCAATCTGTGAAAATGGTCTAATTCAAGAGGAAACGTTTTTGTCTAACATTTTGCCGAAGTTACCGTTGAGCTTAATCGTTACGGTACATAAGCAGCATTACCCCCAACACCTGAATTCCCTTTGTCTGGACCTTATTAGTATCATCGCACATTTTAGCATGCATTCCAGTTTTCGTCCAGGAGCAGAGATTTTGGATCATTTTGTGACCGAAATGAGCGGTTTTGATTGGCATGCACTGGATTTTGCGTCTCTGAACCACAGCCTAACCGCAGTTGCGAAGAATCCCGAAGGAATCGCGAGCCGGAGTGATGGACCATTGGAAAACACCCCGATTATTCGCTTTCTATCTTTGATTACCGAATTTGATTTCGACAACCTGAAGCCCAATCAGGACACCATGGACAAACGCGCTGTCTTCGTCCACATATTTGGCAGAGCCTCCGTTGCATGGCATGCGGCCAAAAATACGGCCACGTTGGTGGATTTTGTGCAGAATCTGTTGAAGAAAGTGGAAGATGTGTGGGCCAGTGCCGAACCCGGTATTCGGTATTATGGTTATCTGTCGTTGTGCTCGGAAGTGTTCAGTCTGTCTAACTTTGTGACAGATAAGAAAGTTGACAGTGTGCTACGGGATTCCCTTATGATTTGGATTGCGATGTCCTTGGGGAATCCCTTATTGGTGCCCATGATTACCGCTTGCTGCCGGTCTGTAGCCATTTTGGAACACATGGCAAGATTTTTGGAAATTCTTATAGTGTCCTACTTTCGTTCGGCACATCATCAAGGCTGGGATCCGATAGTCGCGGCAGTCGAACCGCCTGAATTAAGTGCCGCGGAATTCGTTAAAGAGAACCTCTCCCAGCAGAATTTTCTCACGCTGCACGCACATTTTTGTCGTGTTATGAATCAGACTGCGGACAATCCCAACCGGCGTATGGAGTTTTTCCGAGAGCTGATTGACTGGTGTAAAATCCGTCCATTACCGGAATACGAATCGAAAGTCTTTGTTCTGTGGCACCAAGTCTTGGTGGCGGTGGAGTACATCGATAATGGCACGGAGGTGACAATTTGCATGCGGACATTTGCAGAAACCGTTTCGGGATTTGCGGAACAAAAAGGGGGGTTTTTAAGTGCCATTGGAGTAGGGAAGCCGTCGGTGTTGTCGCGGCATTTTAAAATGGTTGCGCGGAGTGTGGCGGCGGTGATCAGTCCGATGACACCGGCGGGACGGAGTTCGGGTAAAGCGGCGACATTGGCCAATGAGACGCGGAACAACTATGAGGCGATGAAAGGGAGGAAAGAGTACGCACAGTATACCGAGGTGTTTGCGGTGGCGGATGGCTACATTAGCTCCCAAGGATCATTAACGTGGAAGGATATTAGGAAATTGTTGACGGAATTGTTGCAGATTTTGTATAAACAGTACAACTACTTGCCGGTTGCGGAATGAATCTATTTGTTTGTTTTAATCTTTCGTATGCTGTCCTTTAATCCTTTTAATGCACGAATTTTGTGATTTTTTTAAGCTTCCTGTATAAATTGCAAACCCCAAATCGTGATTAATAAGCCTTGGCTAAATTTGTCTTGCGGTACATGTAATGCAACTCTGTTGCTTGTGGCTTTTCGTTCCGTGGATGAAGGTGGAGAAACGTTATAGCGCGATAAATAAATAATTTACACCTGCTTATCCCGAAACTGGCACTGACCGATTGAAAAACAGGGTTCCGAAAGCGAAATCAGTACCATTGATTAACCTAGTTTCCGCTCGTAAATTGACAGCAGAGAAAAGAATTCCCTTGACAAGGCAACGAGCTATCAGTCGCCATTAAGCCGGGAAAGGTCAGGCCCAGATCTTAATGTTCTCTAGTAATAATATTGACAAGTGGGGGTGGGCGCGCGCGCCGAGTGTCAGTCGCCGCGGACGGTTTTTTACTGCTCCTGATTGTCTCGCGACCTGGTTGGTGTCTATGTGCCGGTGGAGAATTTCTCTCGTTCTCACTTTTCCAGGCCAGGATTAATTATAACGAGGACGGGGAAAAAGATCTGCAGCTGTTTAACGACGACCCGACGCGACGCCGAGGGAAATGTTCGGGAAAGTAATTCATAAACTGTAGCGGCGTTTGACGTAGGGGTCACGCGAAATATTATGTTGTTGTTTATAAACCGATTCTGACTGATTGTACGTGCGCGCGGTCGAAGAGTATACGCATAACGAGTAAGTCGAGCTTTGAATGAAAACGCCAGTTGTTGCGAAGAACGTTTTTAGGCTGCCGTGTGGGGGCGACTGTCTTTTAGCAAAACAACATAATCTGCACGGCAGATGCCGGATGCGTCTGGTTTACGATTTTCCATAGTGGAATCTCCTCATGCACTTTTTTAGCCATTGAAAAAAGCCGTGATCATCATCATCTACCATCGAATCTCAGTGTACAGCACATGGGTGCACACTGCACACCTCATTTGGTGGGATGAGCACTGAAAACTGAGTCGACTAATTTACGAGTATATTGCAAATGGAGCACAATTTATACAAGTCATTCTCGATGCAATTAAATTTTGACTGCTTTAAGTGATTGCGCTTACAAAGTTTCCAAAATTCTTTTTAATTGTCCTCGGTTTTCAATTCAGATATAAGAAACAAGACAAAATCATGACACCAAGAACGTTTCCAGCAAACGGAAGTAGATTTAAGAAGGATAGTGCATGTTGTATAAAAATGCATGCCTGCATACTACATAAAAAATGCCTGTAAAGCGCTACAGTGTTATGTGCGAAAAAAGCATGGCGGTTAAAGTCATATGTACAAGACAAAAGCTTAATATAACTTGTGCTGTCGTCTATCTCCAGACAGCAATTGATTGTAAAACAATAAAATAAGTTTTTTCGGAAGCAGCAGCCAAGACACGAAAAGGCGTGGGTAAAGGAAAAAGTCCAAATCATCACATAACCGATATGCCGGCAGAAGCGGCTAACGTGATGTGCATCACTTCTCCGAACGCGTGATCTGTTGAAAACATGGTAGCATGTGTTACCCGGCACACCGGGAAGAAAACGCCAATTACGTAACAATAACAACGCTGATGTCATGTATTCACCAAATTAGTAACGAAAACGAAGTTGAGTGCTGAAGCATTTGTCTAAACTTTTTCTTAATCATATCTGTCAAGCAAAACGTGATGACTCGTGCACCGGTCGGCGTGTCCATTTTTGTCCGCTCTTGTGTGCCTTAAAACTGGAAGTTCCCAAACCTGGACTATTTTTAAACATTTACGCCGAACACTGTGAAACGGAGCACGGAGAGAAAGAAATATTGAAAATAACTGTCGAGCGGCTGCATGTGAGAAACTTGAACTTGAAAGAGAAAAAACAGCACGATGCCGGTAGCAGTTGCTTCTGTTAAACCAGATGCGGTGCGCCGGTATTTGATAAACAAATAGTTGTGGAGAGATCTGGTAACGTAAGATTAACACTTGTGGTACTTTTCTGCTAATTATATAATGGTTAGTTGTATTTTTGACGGTATATCCGTACATGTATATTGCCACTGGAAAGCAGTTGCACTGGTCATGTGAATTAGGATGTTGCCTATTATGATACTTACTAAGCGTTCTGTTGAAGTCTACTACAAAGTCTACTCGTACACTATTTTATTACTTATTAGGAAGCGAAGGCTATTTCATCTAATAATACGAATAATTGCAAAATTTTGATATTCAGGTGTAACAGCACAGCCAGCAAAGTACTATAACAGCAAATTTTCTGTCCGCAGTAATTTTTTTGCATATCTGAATATCAGTTGCTGTAGCGTTATATGCGTGCATTATGCGCAGCATTGCGGGTTTTGTTGTTGAATTATCGGCAACTAAAATGCCACAGTAAATTTTGTGCAATAATTTGTTATCGTTTTTCTGCATTAATTACAGTATTTGTGCAACTACTCGTACAACACTGAGTAGGGATTTATTTGCGTCTTTTTTTGCATACTTAAGCAGATGACGTTTGGTCAGTGATCAAGTGTAACCAGCCAATATTTTGCAATTATTTCTTTCTGTTTGATTTATCAAACTTGCTATGTGGTGACTACGGCACAAAGTTCCGGGATTAGCATAAGTGGGTATGAATAAAAAATCAGAAGTATCAGAAGTATACAGCGAAGCGTATAATATGCATGAAATATGTTTACAATAATCACATTATTGGTAATAATGTAACATAAGAATATCTATTTACACGTGCAGCTTGGGCACCGCTGCCGTTTTGACCTCGTAATGTTTGACGTCGGAAATTGAAGGTCGGCGTTCGTTGTTGTGGGCGTTCTTATTCTTTTCCACATAGGAAAACACCGTGGCGAAACTCTCCCCGGCACCGTTCTGCGCCCGGATGGTGTACTTGCCGGCATCTTTGGGTTTGACCTCTTTAAGACGCAGCCACGCCACCCAGGCATCACCGTCTTTCTTGACGCCTTGGGACACGCGCTCACCGTTCTTGATACGCTCATCCATATGATACCACGTGGCCACCGGCTCTACTTCCGAATTGATACGGCACTCCAGATTAATAATGTGCGAACCCGTGGCGGTTGTTTCCGGCGTGATGCTCGGCGGCTCCAGTCGGGGTGAATTGGGATTGATGCTGGCTCTCCTGTAATTGTCGTGCTTATCTTATACAGTGCTTGCCTTATAAAGTCATTCTACTTCGGAAATATAATAATTAAAACCATCTCAATTTAAAATTTTATGAGTGTATGAAACTACTGTAAATAACATTTAAAACAGTTTTTTCCTTTGATTTTCTGTAACCGTGTTACGTAAATGCATGCTGTTAAAATGATTGATGTTTATCGCAATTCGAGCTGCCTGAAATTTCTTACCGTCCCATCGGGCATCCTTCAAAGATATCCACGCTACCTCGTCTGAAATTGTCAAGAAGACACTGGTTGAAAGTCACATTAACGGTAATTATCACCATCAGACGGTTTAACTGGCAAGTCGAAATTCGTTCGCAAGATCCGTTATTAGATAACCGCTCATTCTGGAAAACGTTCAAAAGATGTCACTCCTTACCTTCCAGTTGGCGGCGGTGCCTCCTGGCAGATGCTTGATCGTCTAGAAAATGGATTATTAGAGCATTACGACGATGACCCTGCCAGCAGCGCAAAGTTGACTGCACTCGAAAAAATGTCTGATTACATTGCGAATATGTCAGAATTCATATAGCGTTAAGGCTCACTGATCAGAAATTATTTCATCCATAATAGAAATTTTATTGCAAAGAAAGAATGCTAATTTCAGCATTTAGTCGGCCTAAAACGGTTCAGTAACCGGCAAACGAGCATCATCCTTGAAGTTCAACGGTCGTTTTGGCTTCTCAATATAATCCCGCTTCTTTACGTCACACGGTAATATTTACAAGATAAAGAACTGATATGCGTCGTCTAAGTTTTAAAACATACAGTTTGAAAGTTTAAAAACCGAAACAAAATAAGTACATCATTGTAAGCGTTTGGTTATAACCATTCTACTGTAGGTATTCATATATCTGCTCGGTAGTTTAATGTAAATGTTAAGCCGGTCATTACTATATATGCATACCGTCGTTCGATCAGAGGAGCCACAGTATCCAAGCTGTCCTTTCTGAAAAGAATAAAAAAAAATAAAATTTAGGCGAATAACTTGTATCGAGTATCCAGTTATGGCGCCTTTGGTACCATCTTTAGCAGATCACTACTTTTGTGTAGAGTTTTGTAATTTTAACTCGAAAAGAGGTAAAATATGCCGGAAGTTGGTCGTAATACGCATTAAATATCACAGTAAAAATCCCATTAGCCTTATAGATATAGCGTTGACCTGGTAGTATAGTACAGGATGCTAGTTGACAGTGTGTACACGAAGACATCTCTTACTGTTAAATTATCATATTATTTTAACGCATGATTACCTTGCATGATCAGGTATAACGTAATTGCCGACGCTATCCTTTCTAAAATTTAACCATACAAATAAAATCTGGATAATAATTTGAAAAGTAAGGAAACAAGGATGTGTGGTTGGTCGGACTGACCTTTTGGGCGCCGGCTTTGGTTCCACACCCGTGCTGTCCTTTCTGTGCGATAAAAGAAGTCATCTTGTTTAACAAAGCTGATTCGCATAAAATGCGTGCTGAGTGATATTTACGTTTGATATTACTTTAGGAGTAATAGTTTGTTTGTGCAAACATTTTGTGTTTTAAACTGTACTTGATTTTGAACGTGAGATTCTAACTATGCCGTTGAACACATAAACTGTATGCAGCTTCAATTATGTCGGGACTCGAGACTGCTTGACGCCAGTTGATGCACATTAGGTTCGGGTAACCAACTGGACGAGCACACGAAATTATGCACCATACAGTACAGTAGGAAATTGCCACTGGTCGTCAATAGGATACAGAACAGATATGTACAAAAAAATAATTTAGAAACAGTTTGCTTTGCAGCTGTTGTATATTATGCGACAAGAATGCTGAAATGGAAAAAACTCGTGACTGTCTAGATATTTAGTGTTTCTTTATCTATTTGTTACCTGTGAGCTTCGTACGGGTTAGGCGCCTTCTCCTGCCTATATAAGATTGAAACAGAGGAGGCCTCGTCAGATAGTAAACATAAATTTTTAATTATTTCATCAATTTATTAGCAGCTATTTTGCGTATTAAAAAAAACAGTAAACTGGATCACAAAAAATTATTTCAAAATTGTACTTCACTTACTGCAACGGCATATTGAGCGGCTGGTACAGAATCCTTGAGTGTAATATAATTCGGTTGACTAACGTGTATAACACGAGTGTAAATAAGTTGTTTGCTCCCAAAAAAACGCGGCTAAAAAGTCAAGAACTAAAGCCTGTCAAAATAGCTAAAGAAGTGCAGCAAATGTTCTTATATAGTTTTTGTGCGGTTCGTAGGTCCCTATAATAAAAATTCCCACAAGTTTACGTACAATACGTTAGATTTACTATAGTCTGTACTTGTATGTTACACACGTATTAATGCCGTACATACAACCGGAATCTGCATAATGATTAGCAAACCAAATGGAATGATCCGGTGCCGGTACGAGAATTAGCGTAACGAAGACGGGTCATTTAGAACTCAGAGTGTTGCCAAAAAACAAAACTAAAAAAAGAAGCGATACAGTACATAAGCCCTGCTCAGCTCCATCGACAACGATGATTAATTTCTTCCATGCATATTTTCGATGCAAACAACCTGCCAGTACTGCAGGCTACGGAAAGTACAGTGTCAGGGAGACGGTGAAGTTGTAAAGGTCAAGACCATCAAATACCAAACACAAAACATGCAGATCATGGGGTTTCTTCGCCCTTCATGCTTGAAAAACGGCTGTTTATTTATCGTAACGTTTTTACTGGGGATAATGAGTGAATTATTTTCAGATATATTCGGATGCCATGGAACGCCGTGCGCAGTTAAAGATTAGGTTCCTATCGCAGCAAGTTACAACTACGATTGCGTCAAAATTTAGTTGCTCATAACGCGAATAAAAATTTGATTCAGCTAAAAAAACTACGATCGGCATTCGATACAATAAGAATAATCTTTCCGGCTAAAAACTTCCAAATAAAGCCTTCTATTTAAAAATTTTTAGTCGGTAAGGTTAAACTGAACAACTTTCACCGATGAATTTATCGGCTTACCAACAGATGTAGAAAAGAGCAATTAATTTTGCACGTGCCAAAGTTACTACATAACGGCTAAATACGCGATCATGTCATTTAAATCAACTGTACAGTGCAATGTGCATTAATAATTACCAGCCGTACTGTGTTCTTTGATTCTAAATAAACTAAAACGAGTTAAATAAGTAACTACTGTACACCAATTTAAGACCACAATCTTCCTTTCTTCTCTATTTACAGTATTAGTAAAACTCTGTTTACAGTATTAGTTTTATGTGTATATATGTAAATTTTATTCACTGCGGGTGTTTGCATTGATTCCGTAAAAATAAGCGGATGCATCTTAATAATATAAGAAATGGCTGTAATACTTACTTTAAACGTACTTTACTACTTAAATAAGCAATGCCAAGTACTTTCTATTGCTTATGGACAGTTCTTGGCAGTGCAGAATGTCGGCACTGAAAAACACGTTATGCTGTGTTGGTTTTCCGGCTTCGACCTTTAATTTTGCGTCGGTGACGTAGTTAATGTTGTTTACGTCGTTTCGCTGTTAACAGTTCCATTTATGATAATGAATCCTTCCGTAATGTTTCCTAAAAAAAGCGCACAGGTCACTTCTTCGGTGAACTTCTAACGATCGCGCCATTACGATCCCCACAAAAATGCCTTATCAACGCTTATTTCTCACAGCTTAAAGCCTTCCGAAATTAGTTACATTGCGGACAGACGCTTTGCATTTGTTGCTAATCAGTGTTTACATATGTGGTGCAATAATGAACAAATTTGACAGATAAATGGCTTGTTAAGTGAGATGTCGCAGCAGTGCGGCGAGAATTGTCCACCGGAAACACATTTCGTAGACGCCGCACTAGAAACACAGGCCTTCAATGCTCTTTTTTTAGCAAAGAATTTGCAGTATTAATGCTGTTGCAATGCATCATCCATCAACGAGGCTGAGAAGATAACACGAAGCCTCTATTGTTTTTTGGCAGTCATGTTTAATTCCGTTGTTATTGAAACAAAGCGAATGCAAAAAAATGTGCATGGAAAAACTAAGAAGTAATGAAAGCCGCATGAACTAGAAAATTATTGTATAATTATAGAAAATTGTTTTACCATGGTTAGATCGAACTGTGCAGTGTGCGGCACATTTGCAATGATCAATAAAGCTGTGTCTCGATTCTCGAATCGATACCCTTTACGTATACTGTTACGGAAACTTGGGACTATTGTTTTATTGATAAAACATAAAGCAAATGATCAATTATAATAACGATACTTACGCAATAACTTGCAATGATGATAATATGATTGATAAGTCCAGTTTACTGTTAACCGCAGTTTTTATTCTCAGCTGGTCAGCTAAAGCTTGCTGGAATCTAGCTGTTTCGTATGAATAACGTCCCATTTGATTTCAAATCCATTTCCTTGCACCAACGCGACCCAACCTTTTTATAGCCAATTAGCCATCCATCCTTTCCCTATTCCATCCTTTTTATAACTAACTACTGTAACTCCCGAGAATTTGTTTCGAAGAAGCTTTGAGGAAGACTGGGTGCTGCTAGAGAAGAGCATCTAAGGGAATACTGGAATAGGTCTCATCCCCCCCTACGACCAACTTCGTTGCACTTCCAGCTGAATTGGCGGAAGCAGACAGAGCGCAGATTGTCACTCAAATTACAACAAAGCGTGCAACCTGAGTTCCTTGTCAAGGATATAGCTTTACTAACGTGTAAGTACAAGGCGTCTTTCGTATCTACTTCTATTGTTCTTTTTGCAAACCGTTTGCTTTTGCAGACCCCAAAAACCAACCACCCTGGCAAAAGAAGTACTTACAAATCACAATTGCTGTATATCATTTTACAGTTTTACAGTAAAACTTTTATTGTCGAATATGATGAAATATTTATTTGTGCATAACTGGATTTAGCTTAGGATTACTTTGTTTTCGATTAGAATCACAGATCACGGGATGCCAGATGTTGCAGTCGGACTTGTTCTCCGTGCCAGTTCATACAGAACAACTTGCCCAATTCGTATTATGGAAACTGGAAGGAACTGGCCAGTTTTATTATAGAACGGAATGCTTGAAGTTATCGTGTTGATTATTTTATGTTCTCTCAGGTAAAATTTGGAATCAAGGCGCACAGTGTTTATCGCCAGGGTTGAGTGTTAACTATGTTCCTTTGTTAATAATTTTACAATTCTTGGAGCTCTTCCCTTTGTTTTGGATTGTTTGTCGTTTGACTTTGAATTGCGGCTGTCCGTTGCAGTGGTAAGTCTGCGTTGCAGATTGGATATGCAGCGAGAGAGCTGTAATTAACATATTTTTAAGATCAACAATTATAGAAGTAATGACGTATTACCCGTAGGATCATATGCAGCGTGCTCAAAAAGTTTCCAGACGTTTTTGTTGGATTCTTCCTCCGATAGACTGCAGTGCTGATTGAGTATCGTCTGCACTTCATTTTATCCTGTCAGTGTCATCCCGTGATTCTGCGTCTGGATTCTCGTTTTCGGAGAGGTTTTATCTGAAGGAACCTTCTTCTTAGAAAATGGACGAAAATAACGCCCCTCCCAATCCTCTGCCCGAAAACCTGGCTATGTGTATTCGTCTACTGAATACGAACATTCGAGAGCTGGATATTAACAAGATTAATCTGGGGGAAAATCTGATAGAGTTCCAGCAGGCGGTGGAGTATGTAACGGAAACTGTCTGCGAAGACGACGACAGGAAGCTGAGCTTGACCAAAGCAGCCAGCACGCTGTACAATTCAGCCGTGATTTGGACGAAGATTGTCGAGGACAGTGCACGGCTCTGTTTGCGGATGGACGCCGTTCTAAGCCATACTGAAAATGAAAAAGGTGTGTAGGCCATAGATTCTTTAGGGAGTCATTAGCAAACGTCGAAACACTGTTCATACTCGTACAACAGTTCTAAAATACAACAGTTTTAAAATCCATATACAACATACAACAGTTTTAAAATCCATAGTGCGTAATTATCAATATCCAGTTTTTCGTTATACTGAAAATTGGTATGGTCTCTCTGTAGCTGAAATCAAAATTGTACTAAACGTTTACATAACTGTGTATTTTGTTTGCATAAAAAGGCTGGTAACATCAAATTCAGTTTTCTGGATTTATTTTTTTTTGTTTATTCCATTGGTCTCTTTTGGTTTCTTTTGCATGAAAACTGAGGGTCTTCAATCACACTTCATGGAAAAATTTGGACTGCCTGTGTATTAATTGATTTTTGAGATTCTGGATTTTTCTGGTCTAGATGGAGACGACGAAGATCCAGACAAAAGAAAGCGCCAGCCGCGTGCCCACGCGGCTCACCTTCATCCTCTGGCCATTCCCCTGGATGACTCTGTGGCTGCTGCGCATTCCATCCTCGCAGCCGAAACCGGCCAGCGAAAGCGCCCAGCACATAAATTTTTAGCCACAGATATTCCGCAACTACCTCAAGAGAAGTACTTAGCCGTTGCTCAACCATCGTCGTTGGGGCTAATGGAGCATGAGAAGATCCGCGCCTATCTGGACGATCGCGGCAATAAAGGCGCCGACTGGGCTGAGTTCCGCTGCAACACGATGAAGCTTAATCCCGAAGGGTGGGTCAGCTCACTGAAGTGTTCACTGAAGTGCTGAAAAGTTTAATTTTCATGACTGGTGGTCTGGAAGTTTCTGTGTTAGTGGTGTGATCAGATAAGCATTACTGTATTTTATTGTTAGCAATCTAAGCTATGTGGTCCTTGCTGACTGTAGCTGGCGCTAACACTACTTAACACGAACTTCCGTTAATAAAAATTGATATAACTTTATTACAACTGATTGTTCTGTGGCTGTAGGTATTTTCCTTTACAAGAACTTCATCCCGATGAATACCATGCCGTCGCCATTGTACTACAACCACCCGGGCGACCAAGCCTGGACAACCTTGATGCGTATATGGTTGTCGATGATGCCGTCTATCCAATGCCAGGCCCCGTGCCTGGTGACAAACCGGGAAATGCACCGAATGATGCTGAAATGGATGCAGCACCACACGATTTCGATGGTGGTTTAACTTTGCACCAAGAAGAAGTCCCAAATCCGACGGTCATGATGCCTCCTCCCAATATCCCTCCTAGTCGGGGCCGACCCGAACGACCCCACCATACCCCCTTGGTTCCGTTCCAGAAGATTTTCGCGGTGCGTGCATCACTACAAGAAAGAAATCTGGTCGATAGAAATAGCCCAAAAGAGCCGGAAAACGATGCCATACCCTTTCGACGGCGTAGCCGTCGGATTATGCGAAAAACGCAACCACCTGCCCGCTCTCCAGAAGTTGTATTCTTTGAGAATTTCTGGACGATTCCCACAACGGGTGGGGGAGATGGAATACATTGTCAGTTTGGACGAGTGCTGCGACGTTACTTTGAGCGGCTGCAGCCCGTGGAGGTCAAACGACCCAATAATAAGCGAAAGCATGGCGCGGAAAACGGGCCTGTGCAGTTTACGAGCAGAACATCGAACGTCGGAAATCCTTTTGCACCGGATGTTCCAAATTTTCAGATTCCCGAAGATGTTGAAGATGCACCGGGAGATTATGAAGACACCCATATGCCCATTGACCTGCCAAACAACACTATTCCCGATGCACCCGAGCATGACGATCTTTTTGCTACGATGCGCAAAGAAGGCCGTTTTCTCCGCGAAACAAACGAAAATCCACCGGTGCGTGATTATGAGATGGCGTCGGATATTGACTCCGAAAGTAGTCGAGTGGTGCACGTGGATTTGTGTGAGTGGGAGAACCAGTTGAACACCTTCCTAACCATCCACGAACCGACCACTCTGGGCTTCAATCTGGAGGAGTACGAAAAGGCACTGGTTGTGGATTGTCATCAGCATCGGGACGATAAGCAGATGTTGGCTGCCGTAGTGCGGAAGAGCAGTGTCGGAGAAGTATGTCGTAGTTTCCTATCGGTGCTGGATTTGGCTAACAAGAGCGTGGTGGAAGTGGGTCGCGATGAAGAGCCAAAAAGTGGGTCGGTGGGCAGCCAGGGCGTGGAGGAGGTCATGGTGCGCGTGCGGATTCAGTCCAGTGAGGTCCGAAAGTTCTGTGGGACCAAGGCCAGGAGAACCGAGCGAATTGACGAAGCCGATGAAACGGAGATTGCGATGGATGCTTACTGAACATTAACTTGACGGTAGCTCCATTTCGTGTTACCCGATTTGGGTTGCAGTTTTATTGCTCTACTGCAGTTGCGGATGTGCTTGTTTTGATGGTGCGTAGAAAACAAATTGTTCAAAAAAAAGGAAATGGCCCATCGACTACCATGGCTTGTGTAGTGTCGTTATTTTGACGGTCACGATCTTGTTAACTTGATTTCTTCAGTATGTTTTAGTGTATTACTTAATTGTAGTTGTTTCGACAGAAAAATTTACGTGTTTTGGTATAATTTAAACGGCTTATCAGAAAAAATACCCGAATTTTGTTTTCCTGTATTGATCGAATTTTGATTTTTCAGTAGAGGTTCACATTTCGAATAATGTTACATCAAAATGTGAAACAGCGACAAATCCAATTAAATCTCACGTTGAATCGCAACAGATGTGCATTATTACATTTTAGAAAGTAGAAATTGAAGAGAAAGCAAGAGTAGAACCGGCAATAAGCGTAAAACAAGTGAAATGCCAACGTATTAAATACAGATGAGCGCGTAGACAGTTTTTAGATCATGGAAATCGCCACAAACGTTGTACAAATCACGCTTTCGTGCGATTAGCGGTTTTTGTCCATCACGAATCATACGGCTACTCTGGGAACAAAATAGTCGTCTTCGTGAAATTTCCCGGTAATGACTGTCTCCACTTTCAGCTGCACAACACTCGGAAGGGTTGCCGTGCTGCTGCGGTCACGAATGGACTGTCGGCGAAACTCGAAACCTATCAAAAAATAACTCATAATGTAACCGACTAAAACGTCTGTTTTATTACTTTTATATGCAGTACAAAAGGTCACCAATAGAAATTTTCCATTGAGTCATGCAAACTGACGATTTGTTTTCCCATGACCCACCTGGCCAGCAGGAAAAGAGCGTCTGCCGCACCGCTCGGCGAAATCTCTGGCTCATAATGTTGTACAAAATAGGATTTATTGCGCAGTTCAGATAAACGAGGCTTTTAGCAAACAACAGAAACCAAATATCCAGCCAGGAACGCGATACAAATGAGTTATAGATTAGGAGCAAGCGGAATGGCAGCCAGGAAACAGCGAAGAGGATGACCACGACGATTAACATCCGGTTCACCTGCAACATGTGTTATATACGTAGTCGCAGCATTTGTATCAAATAACTGAGACAAACGATCGAAGCGCATAAAATTACAACAGCATAATGACTAAAAGGTTTTGTTAATATTTTATAGCAAAATTTTATTAACTAAAATGCGAAACTTATGCATCTGGTAAAGCTGCTGTTCCACAGTTAATCGATCAGCACGAACACGAACACTACCGGCACGTACTTCGGCATCTACTGTATGACGAAAAGTATCTTCAAGTCGAAGTGGACTAAGGCAACGCACTTTATAGCCAGATCGGTAGTAAATTTGAAATGATTTTCGAGATTGTCAGTGAAGTGTTAATCAATAGCAAATTTTTCTCGGCAAAATGCAAATACTCAAATACCACGCCTGAAACTTTAATGGATTTGCTATATTTTCTGGATCCGACACGCGGTTCAGTATTTCTTTATGCTGTATTCGATAGATCGTGTACAATAAATCAAAATAAAGAAAGGTATTTTATGTTAGATGCAACAAGATACAGCCTCCTAACAGCTTCGGGCTCATCGTTATGTTGACGTTTTGTTTTTTTACACTATCATATTATTAGCGTGCAGCTGCAGCTGATACAAGCTGTCGCATCATTTGGCTTTTTGCAGTACTTTCAATCAAAAACCTCTAACAAAAACGACAAATTAATCACGTCAGCAAAATCACTGGCGAAGTTTGCATATTAACCAATAGCAATACTAGTACTCGCCGTTTAGAATAAGTTTGTGTAATGACTATACAACGCCCTGTGACTTAACATCCCTGTAGACTGGTCAGTGGTGTGCGACAGACACTGACATGGAGATGTTTTTTTAATGTGATTACTTACCGAATTATTCTGTTTCTGTGGCCATGGATGAGCGCCGCGCGAGGAATGTCGATATATCGACACACTGCCGGCGCTGGTGGAATGCCGGTAGCGTAACGGCTGTTGTTCGGTTTCCAGCTGGATAGATACTCGCATTGAACCCCCCCGTGACGTTGCGGAATTCTGACGTTTCCGGACAGCATTACCAATGTAAACGTAGGAGACAAAGGCGGTTAAAAGCGGGACCAAGTAGAATATGGCAAAATCGGCAATGAAAAAGGCACTGTACTGCTCTTTTGACATGCGAAACTGACACTGCTGACGATCTTTGTAGTGGTTATCCGTCTTCACCTCCGTCAGGGCAAACCACGGACAGCAGTACGCGACGACAATAATCCATCCCCAGAAGATGATTTTTTTCGTCCGCTCCACGGTGCACACGCGATAAGCCAGGAGTGGGCGGCAAATGGCGATGTAGCGCTCCACCGTAAAGGTCATGATACTGTACATAAGCGAATCGTAAAAGATATAAAGGATTTCTTTGACCATGAAATGGCGTGATACAATCAACTGTTTACGCGCTTCCCAAATCGCCACGGCTTATCTTAAAGAATTCAAAACGCCCATTTTACGCAATTTGAGGATTAATATACGGCCGTACCCCGCTACTAAGCACTTGCTCCTCTTTTCTCATGCACATTTCCATAAGCTTTAAGATCATTAGAAGCTTAACAGTAAAACATAATTATTTATTTAATTTTTGTTTTAAGTAGTAACTACGACAGGACAGCGGTTATGTGGCAGTCACTGGCTCACTGATATGAGCGATATCGATATTTTGCTCCGTCATCATGATGCATGGCTTGCATACATGGTTTCTGTGTAACAATCTTTATGCAATATAACGCAAAAACGACAGCCATCTTTTATTGAATGCTGAGATACCCACACTGTAAAACGTAATACTTGTACAAGTGTATATCGGTGCTAAAGATGGAGAGTAGTTAACTAATGGATACAAGCCATTTCCGTCCTGGCCTGATGATTAAGTTCTAGAATAAAGCTCTGTCACTTCTGACACTAGATTTATATGCGATGCTGCAGTAATATCGAAAGAAAAGATTGGGCAAAGTGGAAAACAGCATTACGCTCAAAGTTACATGCATTTTCTGCATAACTACCTAAAGAATATGCATTTCAAGAATATTATGCATTACACTAGTAAATTGCGAATAATTTTATTACCTTAGACTGCCGACATTGATCCCCAAAAAATTTAGAAAGACAAACACAGCACACCCGGCTGATCCAAACAACCATCGTTTCCCTACATGGTGACTAATTATGGCTTCCGGAACGGCAGTAAGCAGCACGAGGAGATCAGCAAACGATAATGACACCTGTCAAAACACAGCTTGATAGTGCTCATGATGAAATTCAAAGCGATCTTATACAGGTGTCGGCTTACTGTTTACACTCGTGCAAAAATGAACAGTAAAATATGATCTATCTGTAGTGTATATCGAGCCTATCATGGGTTACATAACAGTTTTTGGTAATGTTGCATATTTCTGGAGCAGAAATTTACCTGTATAAGTTTACCTTTTCTAAAGGAAAATACGTACAATTATTTTAATGTTTGCGTATTCAAGCATATTTTAAGTCAAGTAAAGCGGAAACAACATTTCTTATGGCTTTCTTGCCACGTAAGTGTCTGCTGTAAGCCGGAAGAGGAAATTGGATAAAAGTATGGATTGGGCAGTGCGGTTGGTCAGGAATTGTGTTGACAGAAGCGTTAAGGCCAGACATCCATACCACCGGCAAGCCATCCACACTTATCCCGAAAATTGCTTTAAATGTTCTTAAGTACATCCGGTTGAAGTTCATTACTTACACAGATTCTGACATATCTCTGTATAGGATTTACTGCCAGAAGCATAACAAATTCAATTACAACAGCCACATCAGTATATTCAAACTGTGTTGTATGTATAGACCAATTCTGGGATGTTTGCGTACTTTAAACGCAAATCAGGGATTAAAAGTTATACTGTGGCAGTTTTTATCGCAAGTGAACATCCTGCTTAAATTAAACAGTTATTATACATACAAGCATCCACCGCATCGGCAGCACGGTTGAAAGTGTTAAAGACCGTGCAGAAATGAATTTTTCAATGTTTAGTATTAATGTGGCGTTGCTGTTGAAAGGCAAATCACATAAAATATTTTAAAGGCTCTGTCCTTTGCCTACGTATTAATAAAGGTAATCAAGTCATGTGACACATGACTGGATTGTACTTGCAGACTGGACATGTGTAAGTGTGTACCGTGCAACATAATACTTATATTTTTAAAACTATTGTAATGACGCAGTTGCTACAAATGCAAAGTAGTACGAGAAGCTAATTTCCGCGTGTCAACTGTCATCCGGTTACACGTGGACAACGGAATACATTATGTGGTGTCATCCTGTACCCCAAATTGTTATTAATTACATCGGCGTGGTTGCGTAATTGCAAACTTAGATGTTAATGTTTTATGTCTGTAAATAAATATTCTGCATCAATTCGGTTTAGCCTCTTATTTAATCTACGGAGCGTGCAAAGATCGATGAGAAAAAACGCCAAACCTAGCGTTACCTTCACTATTCTAGTTGTTTGGAATTCATTTTCCATTACGTTTAAAATCAAATTGAAGGACATTTACCGTCTGTACCATTTGTCTGCCTCTTATTGGGAAACAGTAAAACTGATAATTTAACAAAAGATTAACCATTTGTTTGCTAATCTTGGTAATAAAAATTGACGATAATGCAAACTAGTTATCGAAAATATGGCGAAAAAGCGATCAAATGGTACAACGTTTTTATGTTACCGGCCATAACTTGCACTTGAAACAAGAATTAGGTACTGGCAATTCAAACTGATAGTGAGGGTTTATGTTTTCGTAATTGTGTAAGGACGACCTGTTTTGCGCAAAGTTTTTACGTACGCGTTTTATTCAAAACTGAATAAAATAAGACATCAACGCATTTCACGAATATGTCCAGAAAACACGACGTCCAAACCGCCCACGTGAGCCTGGACTTCATTGTGGTAGCTCCTGTTTCTCATCCTCTAAAGTCTATACTGCCATTCAAGGCTTTTTCACTAAGATTTGTCATGTTATAAATAGAAACTAGACTGTAATTAAAGTTTACGAGAAGATCACTGCTTAAAGTGACAGCAGATATTATGATATCAGGTAAAGCTACTGAAATGACTAACTGAGAAAATTCCAGTTGCGACAGTTGTGTCAGGCAATTTTTTGAAATTCAAGAGTTACACATAATTAAATGTACCTTTTAAAAATTTGCAATGCATTTTACGACATTGATCTGATAAATTCGATCCCTGATGGCACTCGTACTCAGAATTGTTTGAATAGTATTGCAGGTTTAAGCAAAAGAATGAAACTAACGGTAAGTGCAATTTCGGGTTAAAATTTCTGCCAAGTGTTAAACGCACCAGATAAGTGTAAGTTGATGTACGAAGACTCCTTGATCGTCTAGCAGCGGCAATTAGGATAATATTTCCCGTTACCCCAACAATAAAGATCACCGAATGAATAATTGTTGCTACAATCCGATAGCTTATAGGGAAATCATGTATCTCTCCATTATCGTTAGAAGTTGCTTTTAATCCATCGTCGTCCGGTTGTATGTAGTCCGATAGTCGATTTTTTAGCAAAACGACACCGCATTTAGCAATTCTTCCTCATTGTCCAGCGTATCATTTGCCGGTATCGTATCGTTAAACACTTGCAATAGTTCCGTTAGGATATGCAGGTGATCAGCCATCACTGTTTTCTTTGTGAGCACATCATTGTCCGTATATGAAAAATAATAATATCACTTCACCATCTCAAAAAACAAATACTCCACGTACATTACGTGTGTACATGTGCACAGCTGCCACTGTGAGATTTGCTTTGCAAAGGATGTAATTCCCAGTTAAAGCGCGCGACCGGCTTTGTAATATACCGGCACATAATGACACAGGACGACAACCTGAGCTTGACAGGGATTCTCCATCTAATCATTAATAATCGCTCCACTGGCATTGAAAGTTATCGCACCGGAAAGGCAAGCGAAAGTCTAACACAACTCGATCGGCTTAGTAAATACCAAACAAGGGGAATAAATACGGGGTTTGTATAATGTGGACGGATGCCATGGATTTGCTTAGCCGTCACTGCAGCATTGTCAACGTATGTACAAATGTGAATAACACCGTCAGCCCGACACCCAGTTGGGCCTGGGCCTTATCCTTATCAATTCGGTAACCGAAACCGCTCATTTCTCTTCCCTGTGATCCCAGACGCCGCGGTGGTCTATAATCGGCTGATGCTGTTTTCGAACGGCAAGTACACTTGAGTCTCCGTCACCGATCTGTATCAAGGAACAAGATGTATAACGTAATTGGCTGCCCCGTGAAATCTGGATGGAACAAAATCAACAAACCACTGAATAAACCGAAAAACCGATATGTGCAGTAAACTATGATCAGTATGGTCCAGAAGGACCGATATGTGCTTTGTTTTAAAAAAACTCAAGGTCTGTGAAATCGGTAAACCTGTTAGTTTAAAGTGACTAAAAAAAACTATTTAGGTACGCACGATTGCGTAGAGCCCGAATTAAATTATTTTAAATTAAGTTTAAACTGACTTAAAAAACTCTCTATTTACGATTGCGTAGAACCTGAATTAAATTGTTTTAAAATTAAATAAATTCTTTAGGTACGGCATGTTATGGTTTCTTAGTCAAAAATGCAATTATGTACCAAAACAATACTAGTAATAAATGTTACCAACTGATGCCAGCTTCTTCCTTTTGGTACTAGAAAATATTCTCGCGTACGAAATTCTCTCAGCTGAAGGCCAACAGTGAACCTTGTAGTAAAAGCACACCAGAAATTCTTTTCATCAAAAAAAGGGTTTACCAACACAATAAAAAATTGCACTTCATTACTTTAATCAACCGATGGCCTCGAGCCCCTGATATGCGTTCGAATCGGTGTGAAATACCACCCATAGTTCCTACACCACAAACGTTTCTGTGAATTGATTAGAATTTCGAAACAATCCTTTATGGGAATACTTCATTTAAACGTCCCGACTACCAAAAAAGACCGACCAGTAAATGTTCGGTTTGGATGTTCTGTGCGAACTATCAAAACATCTAGGCGTGCAACTACAGACCTGTCTGTACAGAGCAAGAGTGCTATACAAACGTTTTTTGGACAATTGCTTACAATGTTAGCGTAATCCAGTGGTGTACTGCTATACGGAATGAAAATCGTGGTTACCGGTGGCTCTTAACAGGGCTACCTGCGAACCGGATACGGTCTAGTCAACACCTGTTCCTTACTGTCCACATCCCGCTTAGTTAGTTATAGTCGGGTTTTTGAACAACTATAACTAAAGTTACCGAGTAAGTACAGTACGCAGAGCAGATGCAATACCTATCACTGTCTGGACTAACCCGTAAGATACCGGCAGACTGCGAGTTTTCTTATGCAATTTAGTCGTAGTCAAGCTGAACAGACAGAGCTACTTTTATAAGAGGTCCGGACAGAGCGTAGAAACTTTTCGCCGATGCGATGTAAGAGCACAAGCCCCACCTCAGAACCAGGCAGAGGGAGGGCTTCTAGCCTTCCAAATGCCACGTGTTCCAGCTTACTCATTCCATTTACAACTAGACTGCAGCTACACACAGCGCTCGTGAATTTAAGACGTCCCTGTTCATGGTAATAATCAACCACAAATCAACAAATATAATACAAATATGTTAATGTTTGAAATTTAACTATCAACTGCCAGCGCTTGCCATCATTGTTATTTTGGTGGCTATTGCTTATTAAAGTGTACAAAATTTAAATTCTATGTGGATATAGGTCTATAGGCACAATAACCATGAAATTAATGTGACATAATATTATGCTATTTGTATTTGTATAAACTGATATGCTATTTGTAACTAATAGCAGATAGCAGATTCTATGGCGGCCGTTTACTAAGCCATAATTCTGTAATAAACACCACCGTTATAATAAGGGCTTTATTTACAATCATAATCATAAAGCGAGAAAACATCCGTAATCACAAAATAAAAATAATAATATCGGGAATGGATGCCCATCATGCCCTGGTAGTTTAGCAGAAAAATAGTTCCATAACCATTGACTTGTATCGGCACTGGCATTTCCAGTGTGATACCGGTATTCACGATAGCCATTGGTCAGACATGCTCGTTTTTATGACAGCTATTGGCCAAGCGAAGACCAATGTGAATTGCCTATTTCACCGGACCCGGTATTTTATGGCCACCGGGTCCCGAAGAAAATAGAATGGTTTGTTTGCACAGTCATCGCATCGGCGGATGTTTGAGCATAGGCAGATCATAGTGCGGCCGGACCTTGATAACTCTCTCTGTACTCTATCGCTCTGTCTGTTCAGCTTGACTACGATTTAGTTTTGCAACCAGAGTAGATCAAAAAGAATGGCAGAGGCAAAGCCGCAGTCGTTTCTTGTGATCTTCAATATAATTGTGCATTGCTATGCGGGCTATCATGTGTTCGTAGATTACAAAGGCAAATTGTGCAGTACTCTTTAATTTTCCCCCGCATTAGCGATACAACTGGACGCAGAGTATACATTTGTATACTGCCGCACAGGCCGTATAACACATGTACACCAATCTCATCGCAGTTTCTGCACTACTTTCTTGTTAATACTCTTTGAACTATGCAACTGTTTTCCGAAGCGGAAAATTCTTGGTAAAAAGTATCCATATGAATGCATTTTAGAGATTGAACGATTACAAAGGTGTGTTGCACGATGATCCTGTAATCAGCCAGCTCAACATAGATTTTAATTATTGTGGGTCATAACGTTGTGATATTTGTATATTACCTATAGCCAGCCAGCTCAACATAGATTTTAATTATTGTGGGTCATAACGTTGTGATATTTGTATATTACCTATAGCCAAGTGTGATCTGGATATTATAGCCAAGGTTTTTTAAAATATTTTTTATCTCAGCTTTTATTTCGTTTTTTCTTTTTTAATTAAAAAAAGCAGGAGATCCATACCTACTAACAAGCCAGTTAATAACACTATTTTACTTTATATGATTTTTAATAGCATTTTTCTTATAAATCGTCTCTAATGTCTTGCAAACGTAAAAAAAGTAATATAGTTTACTTAAGATTTTTAACTTTAACTTTTATAATACTTTACCTATTTTTAATTTAAAGTAACAAGAAATTTTTTTCCGTGAAGAAGGAAACGGGAGGGAGGATTTTATTTAAGTTAACTGCACAAACGATCTATGAATTGACAACAAAATTAGTATAGCCAAAAAAACGTTTTTAAATTCTATAAAAAATTATTTTTAAAAAAAATTTATACATTTCGCTGCTTCATCTCAAGTGATTCATAATTTCATTCACCTCATGGAGCGTAGAATTATTTTTTGACCATGCTGTGCGTTAAACATACATTGTGCTGTTCACTTCTCAAAATTTATTATTCATCGCTTTTATTATTTACCTGAGTTGCAACTCTTTGTTATTCATAAATTTGGGTGGTTTTTGTTGCATTTGGCTCCATAGCCACGGTTATTTCCACCGCGTGTTTTGCTGCTGTTACAATATTCTCTTTGCGAACTGCTTGTCTTGTATAAGAGCTTTTTGTTAGAACCGGCTAGTCAGTCATACGAGTGCTTACGTCGACTCCTAAAGCAACCGTAAAAAGTCAAAGGTCAAAGTCGTGCCGAAATCCCATGAGACGAAGAAGTAAATTGTCCCAGACTCCCGGTGTTACAAAAACAACGGTATCTCAAAAGACAATTTGAGACCAGCGTTTTCGGTGCGCGCCATGATTAACGTTTATAAAAAAGGCACGTGTGGAGCGCCCGACTAATCGTACTGGAACTGCAGCGCACTGAGCTGGTGTTGGGGGAAATCTCCGTGTTTGTTTTGTTTACTTCTGACCTGTTTCTTTGGGAAATTTTCATGTAACCGATTACCGAGTATTAATATTTCTTTCTGTTGATTTACTGCATGAAGCTGAAAATCTTCAAACCATGCCAAATTACCTGTCACCCACCTTCGTTGTGAAACTCATTCGAAGTACTTTAATTTAATCTTCTACAATTGTATTATCTATAAAACCTTTGAGCTCATCGTCAATTACTTTAATTTTTCTCTAATTCAAGCTAAACGCTATCTGCACAAATGTTAAGCAAAATTCCAAGTTCTCAATATGATGATACTACTGATATGATACTACCTCCATGGGTTACTCACTTGCTACTGATAACACCGGTACCGTTCGTCTCCATAACTGAAAATCACCCTTGAAAACAAATCTCTAGTAAATAAATGGGAATTCATTTACTGCGAAAGCGAGAAGATGGATCGCCATAAAGCTTCGGGTGTCTCGAAACGCAAATTAGAATGTTTTAGGATTTTGCTTCCCTTTTACCACCTAACCGGATGTTGCACGCACAAAGCTTTCATGCCATTGTATAGAAGTCGTCTGGCTACACAATGCATGTGTCACAAAGCAATGCAAAAAATATGTTTTTTAGTTGTTCTAGGCGAATGCTTTCGTGCATGTACACGTACGAATATATGGTACCCAAAACTGAGTGCATGACTTCCCTTAACCCTGTAAAAGTAAAACTACGTAACCAGGAATATTTGCGTATGGGACATACAAAAACCAGTATTCATTATTCTTGCCGTATGGTGCGCATGTTTGCAATCTGTCAAATTTCTGAGCGAAATTTTGTTCTAGAAATTTTTGATTAATTATCATTAGTATATAGGTAATACACACATAACGGACATGCTTCCCTAAAATATAACTAAGCATAACATGTAAGTACAGATACAAACAGATGTAGATAACCTCAGAAAACCTAAAACCTTGTGGAGTGAACCTTGTGGAGTCTTTATGGAAGCTTGTGGAACCTTGTGAACCTAAAACCTTGGAGTCTTTATTCTTAAATTAATCATTCTGGAACAATACTGTACAGTAAAGTTAGGATGTGTGTAATTATTGGTGATCCCAAGTTCAGTTTAAAGTGAAATTACTTTGGAACGTTTATTCTTTGAACTATCAAAATATTTTATAGAAAACAGTGCATGTTTACCAAAAAATTTCTCCCATAATTACATAAAAATATACAAGCAAAAAACTGAGCCTGTTGAAATATTAGCTTATTTTAGGGTGGTTAGTGTGCAGTTTGAACAATATCCAAAATCATGTACCGATGAGCATTTAATCGCTGCAAATATATATTTTGACAAAAATTGTACTCGGACTAACTGCATTAACCATCCGACGTTCATAGAGAACAAATAATAGTCCGGTTACATAGCGCTGACTTTTTAAAAGGCACTGAGAAAACTGTCAGAATCAAAGTCCATTGAGATAACGCAAACCAACCGCTACCGTGATATTGTTTAAACTTCAACAACGATAACGCTATGTAGTGACAAAATCGCAGTGCGAACGCTGTGGTCACGTACGCCGTAATACTCGTATATAAGTTATTTGACTGAAAAATTAATAGACAATTTCTACGAGACGGCTCTGGCTGTACTCTCGCCACGGCTCTAGCCATTGGTATTGCTGCTGCCGCATTTTGCCCACATTGTCTAATAACAAAGTTGTAATTTTTAAAATGATGAAACATGGTTTTCGAAAGTCAGCGCTTTGGGACTGGTGAACACGAATTTCGGTTTACTTTCCGATTATACATTTTTGCTGTCTCGTCCCTTACATCGAGATTCATAAGGAGAATTAATTTGACTGCTTGACCTTAAAATTGCAGTTGTAAAGGTAGTGTAGATGGCACAAATTAACAGTACAGACATCTCTCTCAATTGCCAATTTAACATCCCAAACACCTGCAGGATTACAGTTTCGTCTTTATATCCCTGGAAACTGCATAAATTTTCCACGTATCGTCTAAATAAATTTATACGTTGTACAACCGTTTTAAGGAGTGGAATAATTCATTTAAAAAATTTGTAAGAAAGAACACAAAAAATAAGGAAGTGAAGTGCTGAACTCGCGCCAACGAAATGTACGTGGCTAAAGGTCACTAGTTGCATCAACGGGCACATACAATAAACGCGTCTCCACTATATTTAATTTGATAAAAGATCAGAAGATTGTACTGTACCCGGAACGTCTTCTAAAAACGTCTTCTAAAATGCTCCACGAAACTTTTTTACAGTGATACTGTGTTTGTAGGATTAAATGTCGGTTTGACCGCTCTTCTGGTATCGTTAAATGGGGTGATGTACCCTTTCCAAGATCTCTGCTGTTACCAATAGCATGAAAGGGAGAGGCTTGGAACAGTTGCAGCAGTAACGACCGGAAGCTGGTCAACGATCAACTTCATATATGTACCTACGTAGTAATAGCGGCGGTAGAGAGGTATCAGCTCGTATTGTTTTTATTACGCAAACGTGCGTCGAAAATGGTATAACGGTATGGCACAAGGTTATCGCAGGAGCTCATATATACAAAGTACAATACACTGTATTAGCGCACAATTCACGAAGAATGAGTGTCGCGATCACACGGGGTATGCACTAATTAAGCGCAGGTTCTAGTTCTCAGATATGCTTGACCGTCGGATGTACATGACAAATACTAAAATTTTCCAAATTACTGTTCTGTTATTTCTTTACAACCACAGCCAATCAATTGTCTCTAGGAGCTGCGCGTTCTCAAACTGACCTTACAGTACCATGTTTTTTAACTGACCGATGCTTTCATTCTTTTGCTTATTTGTTACTGAAAAGTAGAAGATTATATGATAGCTGCGTCGCTAGTTGGAAAATTGAAAAGGGAAGAAGCACATAATTACTGCTTCTGGAACAAGTTGTACTACTTTCTGCTCTACTCGGATACTCTGATATTTACGTCAATGTTTTCTATGAAACGTTGCTATTCAAGTTAATATCGCATGTCATATGTGTGATATATGTGTAACAGTAGCTGAGGAGCTTTTTTAAAGGTAAATCCTGAACTCTGAAACAGAAACACACATCCCAAATTGAACGCCTATGTGTATACAGCTTTCCGCGTCATTTAAACGTGACGCAAAATATTTTAAAAAGTGCACGGATGACTTTTGGCCGTTCATCTCATGACCTCATCCTGTCTAGACTGAAACACCAGCAAGAAACTGGTTATCGCTGACATCTACGCTCACCTTTGCATTGAATGCTAGTAAATCACACAGTACTCTGTATATTTGCGTAAAGATATCTCTAATCCGTTCGTATTGTCGCGGTTGATCAGGTAGTGGTTTTTATTATTGTTGCAAAAACTGAGTGTGTATCTGCATCTAAACTTTCATTGTTGTAACATTGTTTGTAGGTGACTGCTGCTGTCCGACACTACTGGAGGGTACGAGTAATTTTGCTAATTATGTTGTGCTGCGCCACAGGATCCGAATTGGTGTAGTACTACGCTTACGTTAGCATAACGACTTAAACGTTGATGCTAACGCATGGCCTGATGTTACGTTTAGAGATGAAACTAATAGTTTCCAGCCCTGTTATTTCGGGAGTTCGCAGTCGGTAATGGACAACTCCTCCGTTGGAAGCTAGGCTGCTCCTTTATGCGCATGTTCTGCTACACAGCACGTATATATGCCGGCTTGTCATTGATTTCCGTCAACTCACCCGGCGTACGTTGTACACATACACGGTGTGCTGGTACATCACTTCCCACTTACGTCAGTACTCGTACACGGACGGGATGTCAGCCGGCGAGCCGCTTGTGGACAGACAGGGAGACAGAGAACGCGCAACGTTAAACGCGAAAAGGATTGAGTCGGCAAGAGATCAGTAGAATAATTGTAACTGGAATCGCGCGCGCTCGCGCTCGTCCTAATACAGCCGATCGCGGCTGGCTGGGCCATGCCGTTTGCACCGTTGATCTCCAAGTACGGGAGACCAGCCAGATGGTTCCTGTGTTGTGTTATGTGTGTGTGCACTCGGTCTTCCACACTATCATTCTGATTCTCGCCAAATATACTCCATGTTTCCAGCCCTGTACACTGCGAGCACGGTGTGTGTGTGTAGTGAGCACAAACAGGCAACTGCACGATGCCCGCGATCGACAAGCACCAACATTTATAACATTCACTGGGAAAGATATATTATATATGTACACCAACATGTATGATCAGCACAACCCGACGTCGTCGTATAAATCGACGCGGCATTACTCAGTTTGTTTCCCGAGTCAAAAAGACAAACCGACCTATTTGTCTGGAATTTGAATAATGTTGATACGTAATATGCTACTTAATATTATGCATACAACGCGCGCTGCTTACGTCGGCTAAGCGATCGTTAGCTAATTTTCTTCAATCGCTGGTAATTTTACTCACGGCTTTTTCATATATGTTTGACAGAAATATTTGTGCATCTTTGTGCAGTGTAGGAAATATTTTATGGGTGTTCACAATCAATCAAATATGTGACACGCGTTGTTATACACGGCCATTATGCTGATGAAATCCAACTGCGAACAAGTTTTCCATCTGCGGTGACAATTTGTGCGGTGTGTATGTAACCGGGATGAAGTAGAGCACATTGGGATTTGCATTGCCCCCTCGATTGCAATTTCATTACCGCTATGACAAGGATTGTATTGTGCTGGCCGTATGCGGCCGTAAATTAATGGATATGTACATAGATTGCGAGCAGCTAGCCGTCGCCGCCAACATCTTGGCAGCTCTCAGCCGGTGAATGACCACAGCGCGAGCATGCTGTTACGGTGGAATTTTGTGTTTATAATAATTATTATTTATGGGTTATGCTGCGGAGTGGCATTGGGTCAGGAGGATACATTATCCAGTATATTACAGCGTATGGAAGGTATTACCGCGGAGAAATCCGCCTGTCCACATTCCCTTTCCAAGTATAATCTAACAATTCCCGATTCCTTGCTCAATACACAATTCCACCGTGAAACCGCGGCGGTGCGACGTTTAGCGCGATTGTTAAACAGCTTTTTGTCGTACCATGTGGGAACGGGAGTTGCGTATAAGGAATCAGTAGCGAGTAAATTTCAGACGGTTGAACAAGTGGCCCGTTCAGCGGTTAATTTACTTTTGGAATCTGAAGTGAAAATCAAAAGAACGCATGTCTGCTGGATAAAGGATGCCTCGACGGCAACGGCAGGTGCAGCCGGCGGATTGGGGAATATGGATAATTTCAGCTGTCGTTATTTTCTCAGGAGTACATCGTCATTGACATCGTCCGCGTCGGCGGATCAGCCAGCGGTGCTAATAACATCAGCACCAGCTACCGGCAGCTCCCAAGTCCAGCCCGCTATTAGCACTGCACACCCGGCGACCGCACAATCAATAAGAGAGAAGGAAAAAAATTCAGCTTCACTTATCCGTGATGTGCTGCAATCTAACACTCTTCTCAGGAATGAATTTCAAGCGGGATGGACGGGTAAATTAAATTGACATCTTTATTAATAAAATGTCGTAAACAACCTCCAGCTTACTTTTGCTAAATTAAAACAGTGTTATGCAACAAAGCAAAAACAGCTTAGTAATATTGAAAGCCGTTTTGGAATTGAGGCATTGAATTTTACACTTTGACGCAAAACATGTTGAATGATCCTATATACTAAAAAAACTGGCGTGCATCATAAACGAAATATATTGCAATGAACAAAATTTTATCAAAATTTTTACTTCGAAGTATATGTACTTACTGCATAACGCGCTTGTAATCTGATTAAGGATAGCTTTCAGTCTTTCACTATATCTTATAATGTCTTCCAGTTATGTGCTATCCGAAGAAGACAGTATGAACAATTGTAATTTGTACTGCACTTTTCTTTTGTAGTTATCGTACTTGTCACTTGGTACGTTTTCTTGCCACAATAGCAGCTAAATTTACATGCGCCTAAAGAACAGTCAGTATACTCGTACTAAGGGAAATTAATAAAGAGGCGTTTACATTATTATCGTTATCGCACCACATTTATTAAGCATCATTAATTTTTTTCTATTTACAGCGCCATATTTCGACTGCAGTGGCTCTTGGCTCATTACGTACTTAGTGCTTGTAAACAATCGCAAGGATGCCACTTCGGAAAGCGGAAGCCACATCCCGTAAGTAGTGGTGTTTGTAACACAGGGCACATATACTGTTTGCCGTGCATCTGCTACGTACTACAGAACTCTACGTGTGTTGGGCACGACAACATGCGGGATGAAACCGAAAACCCACGATCCTTTAAGTTAATGGTTTTTGTTCCCCTTTGCTCTTTTCCACTGTTATAGCCCATGCAATCAATGCCGTTATGATCAGAGGAAAAATGTAATGTGCAGACGTTCCATACGCGCACAGGAGATCGTCCACACAGTCAGTCACAGTACCGCACTAATCAAATCACTGGCCTTTCATACATGTTGAAGTTTGCGTTGCGGAGGGTGCGCGCGCATGCGCAACACTCCTAGTCAAACAGCCATTAAGCACTGAAGATGTCATTTTTTACAAGCCGAAAAATTGGTTTTTGCTTTGCTTTATCACTTGAGTCCATTTGCTCATCACTCAATAGCAAGCTTCGCTAAGCATGTCCACTGTGTCGGCGAAATGCAACAGCACACTGCATCCTTAATTCGTCAGCATTATTAAGGTAGTTAAAAAGTTATGTTTAAACCGCATTCCTATGCCAGCCGACTAGAATTTCTATTCTGTGCGATACTATTGGTTTTATTATTTATTGATTGAGCTAGGAGGGATAGTAAATAAGTAATGGCAAAACGGACGAAACTGAAACTTAATTCGTCCGGGCCAAGAATTTCTCGCGGGTTTTTTTACATATTGGCCAAAGCTGTATATACGATGTTTGCGGAAATCGATTGCGATCGATCTGGATTGCCTTCTGTTGCTGCAGCTTGCTGGCAGTTTGTACATCACACAGATTGTGGCTATGCAGATTCGGGGACATGGACGTACGCTTATGTGCTGCTAAAGTTCAAGCAGAGCATTACGCTTTTATTAGCTGGCTTTAACCTTTAATGCACAATGTTTAGAATCTTGATTTGATTTTCCCATTGGTATTGTTTAATGCTATCGTCGAGCACAGATCGAGCATGACGAGCGCCGCCTTATGCTTTTGTGTCCACAAGGCTCACAGCTATTAGGAATCTATGTATGAGTCCTGTTATTGTTTGTAGATCAAATCATCAACATAAAGTAGTTTCATATTTCGATTGCTATTAAGTACTAGTCTGAAGACAGCGATATAGCTCCAAACAACTGCAATCTCTTGGAGTTTACGGCGCATGATTCTGTTTTTTGCGAATCCATTTCGTTTTATGCCTCAGAAAAATTCATGACAAACAATTAATTTTTGTACTCTTTTGCCTTTTTCCCCCACTGGTCCCGTTTTTTTGCTTATATCTTTATAGACCTGTTTTTGTTATACTTGCAAGTCAACCTTCGAGTACTACAAATAATCTGCCGGAAGGCCAATATTAATAGATTTTGGCATCACTGGAAAAAGCAGTCGACGTATCTGGCAGCGGCTTTGCATACTATAAGTCGGAAAATAATTTTAGTTAGTATATTTGTGCAACCTTAAAAGGTATACACGGCTTTTAACCTCTCGCTGCAGCATATTATTTTTAAAAGAGTTGCTATAAAAACCTTCCACTTGTGCAGTTGGTAACATCCAGGATTCTATTAAGTACCAACATGTTCCATTTGCACGTGGCAGGGTAATACTTATCAGAATGCCGCGCACGTAGGTAACAAGATAATGTAGCATATAACTTTGGTAGATGCTACATTGAACCCGTGGTGTCTTTTCCTGCCCACCGAATGCAGAATGCGTTTTGGACGGGTAATGATCTTGTTACATGATGATCCCGTTCAAGAGTTATACATTATCCATAAGATCAATGACAGCGATGAACATTAGCCGAGCCCATGCGTTAGATACAAATTGTCCTGGTATTTCGCTGTTTGACTTGACTTCGTAGCTCTTGTCATTTGTTTGACGTAAAATTTCTTGTGCTGCAACTACAAAGTATATGCTGACAACGAAGACAAGATCAGCGAATGAATGTTCTGGAACATAATAAACAATTAATACACAAGGTTATCCACGCCATACCACATCGAATACCATTAGTGTTTCTTAAATTTCCTTCGCGACTTATAAACGTTTCAGAAAATATTATTTTGTTGTGATACCGTAACGGTTTCCTTTTTCTGGCGTGAAGCGTTTTCCGTTCAGCGGACCGGAAATTGCAAGCGCGCTATGCTAATACTTATGCGCTTTGTATTCAGCATAGTTTCCTTAATTTTCATGTTTTAACTGCTCTTCGCGTGTAATTTTTTTATCACCTACTAAAGTATTGCGTCAGTAAATGCATCAGATTAGTTTTTACTGCCAACCAAAAATCCTTGAACCTGCAAAAATCATATATTGGCGGCAATCTTGCAGTACAGTAAATTATTTTCGTCACTATGGCGTCATTATAACAGCTACGAAAGAAATTCGGCTGCTACTTATTATATTTTTGTCTTCCAGATACGGAACATTTGGAATGGACATCGATCTGTTAGCATATGTTGATATTAATCAATGCTCAGACGACGAACACCATGAAAATATTTTTCGAGCCACACATCGATGTAAACTGCAAACAACTATTGTAAGCAACGTTAGCTACAAAATGGAAACACCAATAAGGAATTTTATAAACGGTACCTGTATGAAATTTCATAAACATTTCTTTGCAGTGCCACAATATTTCGGGTTACGGATTTCGCCGCGGCGGTTACCGCTGCGCATGCCAGCCCGGACACTATTCCCAGTCGGTGGTGACAGAATTTTCTGGTGCAGATATCGAAAGAACCTATGCGCAGAGTGAAGCCGAATATGCTGCCAATTTCAACTGTTTTCGTTGTGCTCCGGACTGCACGACCTGCACCGATGGCAACCCTTGCGTCGTGACCTATGATATCGTGGCACGAGGCCTTCCACTGGGTGTCCTGGCATTTTGCATTACATGCGCCCTTTTTGTGGCAGCCGCAGTTTATCGATACCGCCGGCGAAAGGTTGGGCATTAGTTACTTTGATATCATAAACAAAATTTTCTGCCAGTGATGCGGTGTATAACCTCATTTATGTTTTTAAAGGTCATCGCCTCTGCCACCTGGCCTCTCCTGGAGAACATTATTATGGGAGGCATATTAGTTTATTGCAGTGTGATAATTCGTTATTTTCCTCCGACATTTGAACGGTGTATGGCCGAGCCATGGCTTCGTGAACTGGGATTTATGCTGTTCTACTGTGCTGTGATATTAAAACTTTACAAGTAAGTATGGCCGATATCCAAGCAGACAAAGTGCAGGATTTGCTATTAAATGTTATAATTCTATATTTACTTTCATCACACGCTTTGTTGCAAACGCACTGCATGTGCTTGATTTAACAAACAAAAAAATTTTATGAATTTTTTTATACTTATTATGAGACAGTAATTTATGTTTCGTGTTGTATCGTGTATGCTTTTCTGCTCTTCGTACACTGCACTACAACCTGCCGCAAAAGGATTAGTTATAATCATGCCGTAACTGATTCGTCTACGGTGTGTATAGAATGACGTAGTACTCGTAGTTGGATAGCCAACCCATGTAACGCTGTACATCAGAATGTTAGAGTGGATAAAAACTAACAAAAGACTAGGGGAAGTTGTGATAATCGATCGGTTAGTTTTCAATTTTGATTTGCAGAGTCGTTACGGAGTTTCGCACACGAAAAGCCCATTGTGTGTATGTTCGGGACAAAGATTTGGTGAAATATCACATTGGCATCATCCTCATCACCATTGCTTTCATGTCAGCCTGGACCAGTATTAGCATGGATCTGCATCGGGAAGGCAAAGAGATCCTTTTGACGCTCGTCAGTACAAATCGACGCCGACATACCATCTGTCGGCTTCCCTGGTGGGATTACGTGGCGGAAAGCTGTATGTCTACATAGGGCGAAAATAGTATCCTAAAGCATGTTGCATGTTTTGTACGTTTTCGGCAAACTCTGATGCTGTGCTATGTGACCTAGGTGAAACTCTCATATTGCTCTGGGGAATTTACCTGAGTTATCTTGCTCGAAACTCTAAAACGTTGTACATGGAAAGGAAGCTGCTCACCGCCGCGATATGCGTCGAACTGCTGGTTTCGGGCATTTTTTATATCATAAGACATGCCGTATGGTATGACGTCCATCCAGATGTCATCTACCTTCTGTATTTTGGAAGGTCTCAGTTAACTATTACGGTTAACCTTTTCGTTATATTCGGAGGAAAGGTATAGTAGACAATAGACATATATATGCTCAAACAATCATTTAGACTAAAGTACATAATTAACGTATTTATCTGTTAACACATTTTCATGCTATCCCATATTATAAGATAACATAAAATGAGTTAACAGATGAAAACAGTGATTACAGTTGCTCTACAGCAGTCGATTTGGTATATTGAATATGTGTAAGCGTATTTTAATTGCTAACCATGTTGGTTATTAAATTACATAGGTTATAGATACTATTAAAACGATAAAAACATTGCGTATTAAATTTAAGCTGTACTTAATTATTCTTTATCTGAATGCTGTTGCAATAACTGCGATTGACCATTTGCAGTGTGCACTTTTTGCTCTAGTACGTATTTGTTAATCGTAATTATCCACGACAACTGTATGCGAGATCGTGGTTCGAACGACTTTGTTCCGTTTTCATTACTGACTTTTTTCAGATATGGTATATTTTTCGACCCCAAGACGATCCTTTCCGTAAGAACCAAGCGCAAGGCACGCAAGGACGTCCGGCAGAGATGGAGAAGTTGCATGATGGCATATTTGCCGGTGATTTGGAATTGAATCAAATTCCCCTGGCCAATATGGATCACGGAGAAATTCGCATGGAGCTACGGCGTCTTTATGCTCAAATGCAAGTACTTAAAACTAAAGCCATGCGACAAGACAATCCTCATATATCAAAAAAGAAAGGCGGTCGAAAAATGCCACATCGAAGGTGCGTATATGCGAGTGCAGGTACACACTAACGTATTCAGTGTATGAATGACCTTTACTGGAAAAGCGTAATTTTTTTTAATGGATAGCAGGCGTTCGGTGTGGCCGTATACGATGACACCTGGATTTCGTTTACAGATTTTCCATCCAAGCTTTCAGTTCCCGAACCAGGCATCCGAAATATGACGAAGAAACCACAGCCGTTAAGACACCAGAAGAATCGTCAGGCAGTGTCGATAATTATCATGCCGATGCTCCAACGACGATCTATGAAGATGAGCCCTATAATTCCCCACTTCACTCGGCGGTTGCTAATGTTGTCAATTCCGTTATCAACAAAAAAGGTATCGTTGTTGTATTTTGTTCCCTCCTCTAATTAGTAAACAACTAAAAAAAGAAATGCACACGGACCGATACGGTAAAACTACAGACTGTATTTGATTCGAAGAAATGTTATTTTTTCAAATGGAAATCTAACAATAAATGTAACTGGGGCAATTTCGAAAAATAAGGAGCCGAAGTTAACTTTATGACAGGAACACTTACATGCTATTATGTGTCATAAATGTTGTTTCCATTACAGGAACAAATCAGCACGTTGGCGTAACGAATCTGTGATGATCCACAACTGGGATGCGTGTAATTCGTATACCAAATAAATTTGATACCAAATAATATTTAGTTATTTTTACTTTGTTCAGCTACAGTTAGTCTTCGTTGTGTACCTTTTTGTATTGTTGAAACCGATCGTGAACAAATAAATCGACTGCGATAAAGCAAGATCATCAGAAGCGCAGCGCTGAATCTGCACAAGTACCACAAAACCATTAGGATTTACGCAAGACAAGGAAATCGAAATCTTTAATTACTTAGCTGCATACATCACAGATGCATAACCATTGAGCAAAACGCAGCTTTTCTACTCTAGGTCATAAAAGCAACAATTAATTCCGGCACGGTCAAAAAGTACTTCGGGTTCGGTAGGACAAACGGCGGTATAAAACAAAAATTACTCCAAATAAAAACAAACCACAACGAATAACCATACAAACTAAACCCTCATAAAAAAGCTGTACAAACAGGTCAGAATAGCATGGCTGGTACAAAAAAAAGGAAAAACGAACCAACAAATTCGGACACAGAAAGGCACAAACACAGCTACTTCCGGGTAATCAAAGTTTCCCCACAAACTGCAGAATATCGTGCAGTACCGACTGCAGATCACGGTAATGAGACGCCGCTCCGCCACCCTTGTTTGAGATTTTTTCCAGCTGCGACTGTAAACGGGTGAGATGTTCACGCAAGCGAAAACGGGAATGCGGAGGTATCATTTCCAAAAACGCCGAACAACTGCCGACCACCACGGAACACCGTTCATACACAACTCCGTATTCCACTCCACCAGAATTCTCCAAAAATTCAAGGGCCGAACGGATTTCTTCGCGAAGGTGATCCTGTGATGGGGGAAGAACAATTTCGTTTTCCTCCAACGGGGTTCGATCACTGGCGTGCGTTTTACTAGGATTTGGACGGGGCTTGACTGGAACCACTGGCTTCGGCTTGCCCACACGGGTTTCCCATAAATGTAGTCTACTACGAACAGGATTGACATTCTCCGTCTGCGAACCCTCCGATTCACTAAACTCCGGAGGCGGTGGGGGGAAAAACTCCAACACCGGTCCCTCGGGGATAGGGTTCATATTCCAATGATCCGGTTCATCCGCTCCACCCACATTGACCGCCACCGGACCTATATTCTCTTCGCTTCGCGAAACGGCAGCAAACGTTTTAGGAATAATCGGTTTTCCGTGTTTCACAGGGAGTTTCTCCAAGGTGGAGAAGCCATTTAACACTGGCGGAGGAGCAGGTGGTATCAGTTGTGGTGTGCCCATGGTTTCCACCGGACGCTGATATTTCGGAGGAGATGGCGGTAGGAATTTCATCTTATCCGTGGAAACACCAGATGAATAAATCTTTCCCACCGCTCCGTTTCGTGACGGTTTTACCTTCAAGACCGGTGGTTTATCGGCCGGTACTGCCGGTTTCGGTTTACTGACATGTAATCCGTTTTCCGGTTTGTCAAGGTCTGATTTCTCCCGCTTCAACACATGCCGACCAGCGGGTTCCGGACTGGTTTGCGTGGCCGTCGTGGTCATGGGCGGAGACGGTCGCCTCGGTGAGACGGGCTCGCCTTCACCACTATAAAGTTTCTTCTCCTCGTCTGAATCATCCGTTTCCGGCAAGGGCTCTTCCTTGGGAACTACATCGGGCTGTACCGTTTTACCGCGCTTCAGCGACTCCACGAAACCACCGCTCCTTGACGACCCCTTCGGCAATGTTCCCCACTTGTGAATGGTCTCCTTGACATGACGCTGCTCCATCGTGGCCACTTGAGTGTCAGCATCACGCATTTTCACACGCAACGGCTTCGGCGGCTTAACCGGCTGACTGCGCATAATCACGTCCGAACCACTCGTATCGCTTAAATCACTCAGATTCTCCTCTGGGAGATTCTTCAATTTGGATTTCACCAACAGCGTCTCACCTTGACCACCACTCAACATGAGTTTCCGGTCACGGAACGAACTAGTCCGGCGGGGCGGAGTCGGGGGTACGTTGCGACCGCGGGGCGACACGCGCCCCACCGTCAAACTGGATCCATCGAGATTCGGCAGACTACGTCGACCTTTTGGCGCTTTCCGTGCTGTTCCCCCGGGACGCTTAACATTGCTTTTTAACTCTTCCAACAAACTTTTCCGCACTTCCTCGTCGTTCTTCGATCCACTAATAATCTGACACATGCTCTCCAGGCGCTGATTGATCTCCGTAAAATTCGGTCGGTCGGCAGCTTTCCACTCCCAGCAATCGAGCATCAACTGGTACACCGGACCGGGACATCCGCGTGGCGCTTCCATCCGGTAACCACTTTCGATTTTATGATAGACATCCGCAATATCCACACCGGGATAAGGCGAATCTCCGTATGTCGCAATTTCCCATAATAAAATTCCAAACGACCACACATCCGACTTGTTGCTGAACTGATTATACGCCAGTCCTTCCGGTGCTGTCCACTTGATCGGAAATTTCGCCCCAGCTTTGGCCGTGTAAGTATCATCACGTATAAATCGTGCCAGACCGAAATCGGCAACTTTAATCAAATGATTCTCCCCCACCAGACAGTTTCTTGCCGCTAAATCACGATGAATAAACTGGCGTTCTTCTAGGTATGCCATCGCACTGGAAACCTGGGCGGCAATATACATCAGCGTAACACCCGACAGCTTTTTCGGATCCGTTTTACGAAGATAATCCAGCAGGTTACCGTGCTGCATAAACTCAGTGACAATGTAAAATGGAAGGTCGCGTGTACAGACACCGAGCAGTGTGATCAAATTAGGATGGCGCATCTCCTTCATGATGGTGGCTTCCGCCAGGAATTCCTTTAGCTGCATGGTATCTTCGCGGAGCGTTTTGACAGCAATTCGCGAACTGTTCTTCTTCCAAATCGCTTCATACACTTCGCCATACTGACCCGCGCCCAGTTTGTGTCGCATGGCGATCTCAGCTCGCGGTATTTCCCATTCATCGGTTTCGACACTGTAAAATATATAATTTCCATTACACAAGCCAAATCCAACCTAAACGCCAAAGCAAAACGCGTTTCCAAAATCCAGCAAAAACCAAATTCCAAAATCCAGCAAAAACCTTGAAAACTGAACCAGATTTAAAATGAAATTACAACAAAATACTCTGCCAAAATTTGTATGCCAAACTCTAATTAAAAAATATGCAAGCTACTTAGTATATTAAATCGCTATCGATTTCCCGGTTTCCGTGTCGACAGTTTATAAGTTCCGTTGACCCATCAACAGCTATATTCGGAAGACACTGAACGAACTATCGTGGCCACTGAAATAATCGATCTTCACGCATCGATGCAAACAAAAACCGCTTCTATGTGTAACAGTAGCAGCACGCAGTATCCGCAATCATTCTGTGTGCTTTCCGCTCGTCTACATTCCGAAATCTTGACAGCACAAACTCCTTCTCACGCGCACATCAGCGACCAATTTACGACCAAAACACTTATCTAAATGAGCGAATGTAATTGTGTAGCTAGTAACACATTATCAGGTACGTTACATAAAGAGAACAATATGATTTTTTAAATTTACTTATTCACCCATTACATTCGCCTCAAAGGATACTACGCACAAACAGCAGCTTTTAAACAACCTTAATTGCAGCAGCTTTTAAACAACCTTAATTGTTGACGCCTTGATTATGTTACTCGTACGTGTAATACCTCATGGAGAAGGGTGATTGCTTGGTCCTTTTGGGAGCGGGATAAAGTAGACTGCTGATAAGACCATCTGCATGTGCGCAGTGATGACGAACGAGCAACGAAAGACTTTTAAATTGACTATCCGGCGTAATGTAAAGCTTTCCGTCTGGCATTTGATTGATTCGATAGTGATAAACTCGGCCTTCGTAGCGCAGTGATATGGACCATTGACCCTCGTTGGATTCCGATTCACGGACCAGAAAACTCCCGTTGATACCACTACTCAGTAGAAACTCGGCCGTATTGCGGCTGATTTTCCCATGATACCTGCCGTATGGAACAGTTCAATAGGGACGCTTGTACATGATGACCAGTAAAACAGTAAAAGCTAAGTCTCTCACCAGGAATAACTTTCCAGATTCGAAACGGGAGAAATATAATTGGAAGGCACCCAACCAATCATGCCGCTGGAGAGCAATTCGGCTTCACACCATTCTTGGGTGCTGTTGTAAGCGATCACGCGCAACTGCTGACCTACAAAGTCAAAACAGTTGGCAGTGGCAGTTCACCATGTGCTGCAAAACTTCAAAAATAAACCAAGACGCTTAAACAGAGATAACCTTCTTGATGACGCACAAAATCATTGGCGGATGCTCAAATCTTCGAGTTACATATGTGTATTGATAAAATAACGATAAATTAAAATACATTTTAATGCAGATCCTGAAATAATGTCGCAAGGTAGCAATCCATTAAGCATAATATCACAAACGCTAATGCGCTCCGATGATTGCGAAGAAAACTCGAAAACTGAAGATCTGCCACTGTGCAGCGAAGAACGAAGATTTTAGCTCACTACAGCATTTTTAAACAATGAACTGGTTCGGTTGCACATTCTCCCATCGTGATAGCTGCTAGCACACAAGAAATAATACTTCTACTCAAGTTTTGTACAATCACCTTCTGCGATAACAGTCATTATCAATGTGCAAGCTTATATAAATTATTCTCATTTTCTCTCTGAGATCATTCCAGAAAAATGCTCTATCTGCAAATTTTTAAGACTTCCTGGAGCCACATCTGGGTATCCAAATACTTGCTCGTTATGCAAGCGACATCAAACGCAAACACGCTAAAAGCTAGTATGAAAATTTAAGTATTACGGGTTACGCCAATATAAACTAGTACCAACGTATGTATAACATATAGATATATACCATATATATAATAATACATATATAATATAAACATATATATAATAACGAATCTTCAACAAATTGCACCAATTCAAAAACGGAAAAACGTTTTAGCGAATGAAAGCACAACAGTATAACTGAAGCCAAGTTCGGGTGACAGCGCTGAATAACTTGAGCAGTTACCAATTTTACTGGGGCAAATTAAGTATTTATTATTGATTTAATATCAAATCTACGCAGTAACCCATCACATATTCCTGTTTCCAAAGGCCGTTAAGTCTAGTATCAAATTACAAGCACCATGATAAATACTGTATTACAGAAATACCGTCCTCAGACTGCAGCAGCCGGTAAGTTTGCTGGGTAAAACGACTGATAATGACAGCCTGTCAATTATTAGATTAGCAATCCACAAAACAAATAGAGTACTGACACGACGAAAGCAAACCGACTATCTTCACAATCAAAATAAAGTTGCATAAAAAATATGGATTAAAATAAAAATATGGATTAAAATCCCTACGAGTACTATCGCAATCTGGATAGTATAACGAATTCTGTTAACAACTGTAAGTAACTTTTAAGGGATTCAATAATACGCGGCCCTAAACAAACGCTTAAACAAAAGAAGAAACGCAAAAAACCTAATTTTACAGAAATAAAGCCTTACCTTTCTTAAGCGACAACTGTTTATCGGCAACTGGCTGGAAGTCATACAGTGCAACACAAACTGGCGAATATTCATCGCTAATAGAATCGCCATCCGAGAAAAGGTTTTCCCTGGAAAGCCACCGCGGTTGATCCATAATCGAGCCACTTGCTGTGGAAGTTTCAGTGTCCGAGACTGAACCAGGAACACTGCCGATATTCATATTATCAGACGCCGACGAAAACTTCCGACTACCGACGACCGAATTTGGTGTAGCTGGTAATGGGCGCGACTGCAGCAAGGCTTCTGCAAAAATGCAAACATGTATTTCACGTCTGTAGATCGGAAACCCAAGCGCTTAATCCGAAAAGTTGTCAAAAACAGCCAACACTCAACACACACATATCAGCAATATGACAGTCGTCTCTATTAATCTGTCAAAGGCGCAGATATTCATCATTAATCAATACTGTGGAAAGAAACATGTGTCCTGAAATTAAAACACGAAAGGTTTACGGGAATGGTCAAGATGGTCCCATTTCGCGCCTGTGTGAAAACCAAACTATTTGTCAACAAACCAAAACATTCTGCCACTGTACAAGTACACCTATACGCGTAGCAAGAACATTTAAGTACGTCCGAGCAATTTGCCTAATTAACAAGGTTCAACAAAACAAACCGTGCAGTAATCAAATTTCACCACTTCAGTGCTTGTATCTTTATATGAACCAACACTGACAATGGATACAACACTTCAATGCAAAAAGAATGCACATTCACTGATGCTACTCTTTCAACTGGCGCAACCGTTTTCCAGTCAAACGCAAATTCGACAAAAATTTTAAAATCAGGTCAAAAAGGCGAGCACGCATATCGATTTTCACTCGTCATACATACACACAAATGCGCATACCGTGGAAGCATCTCTCAAAGAGATTGATCGCTTGTTCCATAATATTCAGCTGATATCATCCGGTGCAAATCAAGCATGCTCCGATCCGGATACACTAACACTCATTGACAGTATCAATTTCACGTCCTTCTTAATAAAAGTCACAACCACATTAGCGGGTTTTTTGTGCCTTGATGATATTTTACGGATCAAACAAATATCGGCGTATGTTGTCGTAACCTAAATCGGCCGATTACGTCGTGTCCAATACTGAAAAAGCGTTTTCCAGCTGAAGCGACCGTTGGATGACTCAAGAGCTAATTTGAACAAGCAAGTCTTCTAAAACCGCACTTGAGACTGTAATGTCGAAAAATGTTCTCAAGATTGCACGTAACACAAAGCGCAAAAGAGCCAGATTGACAGTTTCCTACCGTTCCGGATGATCCACATCCACTCGACTCTAACTAGCCAGCTACGCATTAGTAGTCGCTTATTTGTCGTTTGAAACCACGCTAAACAGAACATGTGCCAAACACAAACGCATATTTCTCTTCATCATCAACATTCGCACATGCACATATCAGGTCGTAAGTTTCGAACTTTCGATGGTTTGTGCGTTTCTGCCGTACCGGCTCTACAAACTGCCGCTCTGCGTTAAGACGTCTCCGCATTAACCGTACGCACTATCTTCCGTTCTTGCACTTCTTGGTGTTTGATTCAAAAATCATCAAAGTGACTCGAAATCCCGTCTACGGAACCGCAGTGAGCAGTACCCGGTGATCTGTTGAATTACCCGCCATATCAATACCGGCTCAATAATAAGAAACACAAAAGGATGCAACACCTAACTAACCATAAGCCCTTAAGTAAAAATTCCAAAAATAAGGCTTAAAGCTGATAAGTACTTTCCGGTCAAAAGTTTAAATTCCGTTCGTATAGGATCCTTCACGGAAATACAAAGGAATGTCAAGCAGCTATAACGTCTTTCACATATTTACAAGTTTTATTAACGCAAGTTATACAAGCTATTCAGCTGTCGTATACAAAAACTGTTACAAACCATTCATACTATACATCTTTTCTTTTAAAAAAATTTAGTATAAAAATTATGACATAGAAGCAGTTATAACGATGCCCTGCTTAACCCAACCACGACCATGATTTCACAGCGTTACCCAGTTCGTAAGCAGTATTCTGCAAAAACTGACTTATTGTTACCGTAACTAAGCCCACCGATGGTGACAATGAGCAAAAACACAAGACTGGAAAGCAAAAGAACGGTCAAAGCGTGTCTCGCATCGAGTAACGATACTTAATGTCACATTACGAATTCACGAACAGCATCAAAAAAAGACCGCAACAATTATCGAGATATCACATCATGAACGCAGCTGACGCAGGAAGAGGTAATGGTTAAACCCATTCGTAAACTCTTGTTCTCCTGTAAACCGCATCTGTAGATTTTTGAAATCTTGCTGTAGTTTACACAGTAGCTAAATCTTAAAGGCACTGATCGATTTATACCGACACCTATCTTGTTTATTAAAATACAAATGTGACGCAATCTTTCATTACCGGTTTCGCACCCAGGGTGGTTCCGGCCACCCTGGAACTGGTTCAAACTGGTTCACTTCTGTGCGCTGCATAATACGCGAGACTGCATCTTGCATACCATACAAGTATACCGTAGCATCGGAGATCTGCTTGACCAACAAAATAAATAAGCCGTGCTAACAAATCGATCATCTTCACAACTCTGCGCAGTGGTCGCACATAGCAATACCCTTCAAACTACAGTACCATTTAAAATTTCAAATTAATCGTAAGTAAGCAATATATGAGAGTACGATGTATGTTCTCCGTGAGTGCATAATGGGAGAAACTGAGAAAGCTCGTAAATTTTAATTCGTAGATCCCGGCCCAAAGCACGTTTACTCCCTTTTCGTCTATACGAGTACTTTCATTTCCCACGATTTTTTCTGCGGTGCATGCTATTTATTAAAATTCGAGAATCGCTATAGTTAAAGAAAAAATTATCACCCAAGAAATCGTATTGATACGTACGCAAGATATTTACTGTATACAAATATAGTGGCAAGAGATGAGTTTGTCACAAATACTTTATTTAACAGTTCATAAATATTTTTACCGAAAACTTACAAGCCATTTTTGCCATCCACTATAAAGTATGCATACAGTGGTTCAATTTCGATAGGCATGGGTTGCTTACAGGCTTTCAGTTATTTCAGGCGCAGCTATCGTAACTTGTTGGAAATGCCGGCCCGCCGCCGTAACTTCATGCTAAAATAATCCTGCTTTGCAAAAGAACAAGTCGGCCATCGTTTACGAGACAACATTCAGGATCTATTATATACCAACAATCTCTAAAATAGCCTTTTCAGCCAATCTGAAAAAGAAATGGCACCGCTAATAGGGATGAATGGTTTGGCCTATTTTTAGTAGAACTGACCAAAGGCGCATCATCATCCAAACAAAAACCCAAAATGCCATGCCACAACGACGCACACACCAACCAAAGCTGTTCATTACAAACTACTTAATCTTCCTTTCTCCATAAATCCATCGCGGTCCCTGATGAGCTCTGCATATATTCTATACAAAATTTAATCGCGATAGCAAATAATTCATACAGAAATAAAATAAGAATTTTTATCAGCAGTAAAAAGTGTTACAAACCATTTCAGCAAATGGTACCACTAGTATTTCAGCTTCTGGGCACACATAGCACATTTGTACAACAGCACAGTAGGCTACAGGAAAATATTAAAACAAAGCAAAATCACTAATGATTTACTAACTGCCACATCGTCAGACCAGTACACCAACAAATAGCTAATTTTAAAACAAAATTAGTATTTGCCAACGCGAAAAAGGATAATTCAGGGTACTGAAGTTAGTGCATCACTGCATACTGGCGATACTGCTAAAGCACTAATTCGTGAGCAACTTATGAGTCGGCATCTCATGTTGCTATCATATCCACAGAAAGCCATTCATTACTATTTAACGAGTATGTAAAACATGCAAACAAGCGATTTCGCTGTTTTACGGTGTGCGCCATCAAATCAAATGGGCTTCCAAAGTCGCTGACGGCCATTATTGTGTTTTACTGAAACGATTTCCCAGCCATTCAAACAAACTTCCACATGTTAACCTTCGCAAATGTTTAACAGCTTATGTAAAAACTTTCGTCCGGTGGTAATACGAGATCAAGACCTGATCCTGCATATATTTGTTACATTTTTTAAAGAACTGTCCGCTAGCTGGTCGTGGTAGTGCAGTTTTCTCATAATATACGACCCGTTGACCGATAGCGCACTGGTTTCGCTTGATTTCTCAACCTAGCAAAGTGTCGGCTGCTGAAGTAACCTTGCTGTTGGTTTAACCGCTTTCATCTGAAAAGACAGATGTTGTCAAAACCAGTAATTAGCAGGCCCAGCTACAGTGGGAACCATCCACAACGGAACATCCAGATTAGGAGTGAAATCGTGAGAACATCCAAGAATTCAAACCGGAAAAAAGTCAAAACGACGTTGTCACACAGCATCTATGATTTTAGTCTCGAATTCTTGTTTCAATTCAGTGAATTTGCATTAACGTCCGAAACAATCTCATGGCAGAAATTTTCCAATCTGTCAAGTCGCAGCACTTTCCTGGTTTGCCCAGCAGGCCGCTGAAAGAATTTCACCACGCTCTGTTTTGCATAATTGAATTTAATTTTAGCCGTAAGAAATTCAATCTAGAAAATTTCTGAACCGGGAACAAGCCACGTACGCATACGGTGCACTGCACGAAATTAATTGCACGGCAATCGTTTTCCGCTTCCTGCAACACTTTTCGAAGATTTTATTTAGGATGACTTCATAATAATACAGTTACACTGTAACACCACTGAGCCACTATACTGAAAATAATTAGTGTGGAAAGTTGATCAGCAATTCACCAGCAACTGAATGCTTATGCCCAAACTCAACACTAGCACTCGGAAAGCACATGGATAGTGACAAGTCGGACTGTTGTCAACGAACGCTCCAGTGGAAGTAAAATCATTAAACAAATTGTGCAATTTTGAGCGACAAGGAATTCTAACAGATATCCGATAAAAAAATAAGTAAAACAATTTGCGGATACCCTAGATAATTGGTAAAACACTAAATGAGCTTAAAAAGTGTTTTTCGAATTTTGTCAAGCAAGACTGCCACATGCTAGATACTGCTGCTGCGTTTTGCATTTGTTGATTTACAATTCAGAAATTAATAAATCTCCTTTATTAAATCGACAGCTTCACCTACCATTAATATTATAACCGTATCATGAAATGCGAACATACATGTCCTACTGTTGCCAACGGATGTTCATGAAAAACACTAAAAGCTGTAATGCATCATAAATCTTTCGCACTCGACTCACCATTATGCTCCGCGAAAACGTTGCTGCTTGTTGAGAATTTTCCTTTGAGAGAAGGCGACCGACTGCCCTTGCTAAGAGGTTCCCGGAGGCTACAATTTGCTGCAGCTGTCAAAACGGTACCGAAAACGGACGCTGGCGAGCCACCCACTGAGGCTGCGCGGTTCGCCACGGCATGGCGTTCAGGGTTCTCTTCTTTAGTGGGTTGCGCCCCCATTTTGGATCCACAGACAGATTAATGAGAACCCGATCCACCATAAGACTGTCCTTAATCTTGCTGGCAGTCAGTCTGTTTAAAGCAGTCACCTCATTCCATCTGGTTGCATTGTGGTCCAAGTGTGCGAGTACAACTGATGATTCGTGAAAAATTGGCTGAACAATCCGTTGACTCGCGGATCCGTTATCCTTCTTTTTGGGCAAACAGAGATATTAATGAATTCCACATAGGGTCCATTCAGAAAAGACTTTTCATCTCCATTTGGTGCCTTTTTAATGGTGGTGTCGATATTCCCGCATTTCCATGTCATGTAAACAGCAATGACCAGGCCGTCAACGGCGAAAACATAAGATGCGAGCAGACAAGCGAGATCGTCTGACTGAGTAAGTAATATGCGAGAAATCACACAAATCTGAAATCTCTCTGTCGCTCGCGCTCTGGTCGGCGGATCTCAATGAAATTCAACAAAGGGCCAATTCGAACTCGACTCCGCCTTGTGTCCCTGTTGTTGTTTCACCGATGACTCATCGGCGGAAGAATAGATAGACAGCGGCACATTTGGCCATGCGATGAGTGTCTATTTACGGTACAGACCACAGTGTTATCGATCGGAAAACGTAAGCAAATCCCGGCTAATACTAAATTTTGAAGAAAATTATTGTACAGACTTCAAACATTATTATTAGCTAGACCTTATGGAATTCCGAATGGCCGCGAGTTTTGTTGATTTTAAACTTTGATTTCAAATTCTTTGTCTTGAAATCAACGATTACAAATCGATGATTTTCAAACACCATGATTTGAAATCAATGATTTTTACATCAATGATTGCGAATCACTGATTTCCAAGTCATGATTTTTCGACACCGTGATTTCCAACCATTGATTTAAGTTCAGTGATTTTCATTCAACGATTTTCAGTAGCGTGAACTGACATCAATGATTTTCTATCATTGATTTAGAATCAATGATTATCAATCGTTGATTTTGTACCACTGATTTTGCTTCAGCAAAGACTGCACTTTACTGATTTTCAATCACTTGATTTAAGTTCAGTGTTTAAAAATCAACGATCGACAATCAATGATTTCCAATATGTAACCGCCGCCCCGTGCACCGAAAGGAGTGACTCTGATCGCCACCGCGTGCACCGGAAACCTGTTATTCGGACTTTAAATTTTTTTCCGGTTCCAATTCCATTTCCACCGGACCAGTTGCGGTGGTTTAATGGAATTTGTGTTGTATTGCTGGAGTTTTCCCAAACTACTGGAATATAGTTTCAGTCTGGCTGGAAATAGCAATGTTGACAGTCTTTTATCTTTTCTGTTTTCTAGAAGATTTATTTGGTTTTTCGTAGTGAACCTTGAGAGAACAAAAATGGATCAATTTTATATCTTTGCGGATTCGGTCGTAAGACGAGCTCAGCGGTTTCTTTCAGCTGAGGATGGGGACCACGATCAAGATGGTGTTGACGGAGCGTTGACACAAGTTGATTATTTACTCGGGTAAGTTCTGAACAGCAACGCCGCAACGGTTTCACAATATTTTTGTTTGTACTTGAATGTTTCGTCTAGCAGATATACGCGTGATATTTGCGACAATTTACCGGAGGAGCGGAGGGCTCAGGAGCTGTTCGATACACTTATTGATTGCTCGAGTGCTTTACGACTTCGACTGCAGGAAGACGAAGATGGGACGAAATCTGTTTTTGCCTTAACTGAGTGCACTAATTCGTATGGAAGACTTTTTATTCCCGAGGATGATTTGGCTGGTTTGCGATCTGAAGGATTTACAGTGAAGGACATAGCTCGGTTTTATGGAGTTGGAGTTACGACAGTTAAGCAGCGATTGGCAGAAGCTGGTTTAAATAAAAAGGTAAGCTTGCACTGGTGCATAGTTTGACAGGCTGTTTACTGGCCGAACAAGCTATTAAAGAACTACTTGATTGTGAACTGCTGTAACTGTTTTCAGTTGCCCTCGGTTGTAATATCTTTCGTTTTAATTGTAGTTTTCAACGATTAGTGATGCTGATTTGGATTTATTGATTGCGGGAATTTTGGAATCATTTCCAAATGTCGGATACCGTTATATTTTTGGACAGCTTAAGACTGGAGGATTGTACATCCAGCGCAGGAGAATACTTTCATCGTTGCGAAGAATTGATCCGTACGGAGTTGCTAACAGATATCTCACTTTTGTTCCCCGAAGAGTATATTCTAATCCTGGTCCGAACGCTTTATGGCACATGGATGGGAATCACAAGTTGGTTCGCTGGGGATTCGTTATACATGGAATTATAGACGGATATTCCAGGACGATTATTTCTCTCATTGTTGCAACGAACAATCGAGCTAGTACAGTGCTGGAAGCGTTCCTGTCTGGTGCGGAAGAGTGGGGTGCGCCTTCTAGAGTGAGAAGCGATTGCGGAGGTGAAAATGCGTTTAAAGTAAAATTTTGATTTTTGTCATAATTTTCACCCTTTTGGTTTTTGCTACAGCGCTTTTTTGGTACAATACGATTTCACGTTTTAAGTTTGCCGGTTATATAACTGCTCTCTAAAATATATTTCAATTAGGGGAAAATTTTGGAGTTGCACGCTGGATGGAACACTATATGGGACCAAATCGCGCGAGTATTATAATGGGACCATCGGTTCACAATCAACGGATAGAACGGCTGTGGAGAGACCTTGGCCGCGTTGTTATCAAGTTATTTCGGTCTGTATTCATCCATATGGAAAATATGGGGATTTTGGATTATACAAATCCTCGGGACATGATGATTCTGCATTTAGTCTACTTGGACAGGATTCAAGATCAGCTGAATCAGTTTACTGAGTTTTTTAATAATCACAAACTCCGGACGGAGCATGAGCGTTCTCCAAGACAACTTTTTATACTCGGCTGCCATGAAAAAGGGTTAAAAGGTTTTCCGCTGCAGCAACTATTAACGGCAGGTGACGAGCTGCCTGAAACAGATGTGGATGCGCCTCAAGATTTTCCGGACTTTATAAGGAATCAAGTGGCTCATTCTAGAGATGCTGTTCCGGTAATGGACATCATCAGTAGCTTTCCTGCTGAAGCTGATTTCATAAGGGCGAATATGGATGTGCGAGCGAGTGATGGATTTTATGGAATTAATGTTTTTCAAGCAGCGAAAGAACTTTTAGAAGAACATTTCCACTGAAAGAAATCGCGTCGGTAAGTAGACTGGCAAGTAGTACATCAACTCGTGCATAATGTGACTTGCTGCATGGGCCTTTTTAAGTTTTGTTTGTAATGTTGTTGACTTTCAAGTAGCCTACTCCATACGAACATTTTAAATGTTTGGCGTTTTAGTTTTCTCTCAAACTTGTTAACTCTAGTGAGTGTACTTGTGTTGAAAACGTACACAAATAAATAATAATCATTAAAAGTTTAAAACAGTGAATTATCTCTGCTCAGCTAATTCTGTGCGTCATCAGCTATGCGGACGGTTATTCTTGAAAGAACACTTACTGTTAGTACTTTTACGATTACTAAGTGCTTTGTAAAAAATTACAACATTTGTATCGTAAAGCTTAGTTACGTAATCCTGCGCTGTAAAGTGTGGAAGGTATACCAGATTATACGTATCATATCTCAGTATCCGAAAGATAATGTTTATTTTCTTCAGGTTTCTTTTCAGCAGTGTAAACCGCAGGCGATATCATGGGTTGAGCCCTACGATTGTATGGCAGAAAAGCGCCTATCGTTGTGAGTTTCGTTCTAAATTTTGTTTCATGTTATGTCGGTGTAAATTGGATGTCCCAACACGCATTTGTATTATATTGCGCGCTCCGGTTACAGATTCTTCAGTTTCATTAACACGGAGTTTCGACAGGCAGCTCTGCCAACCGCAACCAATATTGCTATTCGGCAATCATATTTCTCGCGAGTCGCGACATTTTGCGGAACCTGTGGCCTGTGTCTCTCGGTCAGGCGAGGGACATGTGGACGGGATACTATTCCGTAAGTGCGGTGCAGTACGTTTCGGCTTCGCGTAGGAGAAAGCCGTGTAATACCGTCATCCTCATTTGAGAGTCAGATGGCCTGGGCATTGACTCATTTATTTTCTATTCACAATTAGAGAATTTAATTTGTCAACCGTCGTAATAGGCTGCAGTATCTTATGAGTTGCCATAACCTGCTCTGTAGAATAAGGCTGGATAGTTGATCTGAGACAGGTTAAAGTGGCACGGTGGCGTGCTTTATTAAAGACATTTCTTTCTTGTTCATTCTTTAGGTTTTCAAATGCACAACCAAAGCCGTTCTCCCTCGAATACAAAAGCCTGCTTGTTAGAACTAATTGTTCCGCTTTTTTTGTAGAGTGCCCGACCCACACAGTGGAAACTGGAAAGTGATGCTAAACTTAGATAAACCACACACGGTTTTCTTGTGGCCGTCAAGATTTGTTGGGATTCTTATTTTAAATTAGCCTGAAGATAAGCCTCTCGCCTTGGGAAAACATGATATCGTGTCCACCAGCAGTAAGCCCATATAGGCAGCGCATCTATGCCTGTGGTGATGTTTTGTTGTGAATATTAAGTAATGGAACGGGCTGTTGCAGTGGCGACTGTTCCTGTGGAGAAGAAAATGCGCAATATCCCGCAATTTGGGCCCGCAACATCCCGCAGCGCACGGTGTATTACGTTTGGTTTTGGAGTTAGACGGAAAGGCGGGTTAATTCTTTTGCGTTATGCTTCGTATCTGCCTTAGCACAATGTCTTTTTGCTGTCGTCCAGACATGCTGTACAGGAAATACCCGATTTGCTGGCTATGCAAGCATTTTTGGACAGCGTGAATTTTTAAAATTTGTATGGATGTTTTTCTTGCAGACGGTGGTGCGGGCTGATCCCCATATTGGGTTGCTGCATCGCGCCACGGAGAAGTTAATCAAGTGTAAAACCTACATGCAGGTTCTGACGTACATGGACCGTCTGGATTACGTGTCCATGTTGTGCAATGAGCAGTGCTTCTCCCTGGCTATTGAGAAATTATTAAATATCGATATTCCGGTATTCCCATATCGGTATTCGGTATTCCCATCCGTGCGGAATGGATTATAGGTGGGTTTTTGTTAATTTCTTTCGCTTTCCAAAAGCGAATAGAGCATTTTTTGTTACTTCTTTCTAACAGATCTTTTAACGTACATTGCTGATTACTGTAACTCCGTTCTCCGTAAGTGTTAAAATGTGCTGGGTTTTTCTGCAGTTTTATTCGGAGAACTTACTCGTATTTTAAATTACAATACGCATGCCCTGAATATCAGAGCAATGACGCCTTTTTTCTGGTTGTTTGAGGAATGCGAAAAGGTACTTACATATTATTCTGCAATAAGTCGACGTCGCTGATTTATTAACAACAGCAAGTGAGGAACTGCAGTGTACTGTAATTTATTGTAATTAATATGAATCTAATTAGTTTTCTTATGAGTACTGTAACAGGTGGAAAAAGCAAAGCAAGAATGGCACTGATAAATGTTTGCACCCTTTTAGTTGTGTGAATTTTTGAACGATTATCCGGCGCCCGGATGCACGCGAATTATGCTTGTCCCGGTGGAGTGCAGTACGATTTGCCGTTGGGATTGACGGATGACATCTACGACTGGGCTATTAAGTATAACCAACGCCTGGATGAACTGGAAGATTTCCTTACTGGTAATCGTATCTGGAAAGCCCGAACTGTCGGCACTGGAACGGTGTCGGCGGAGGACGCGCTTGCTTATGAGATGAGGTGTGTCTCGTTGATTTTGATGTTTTGCTGGCATTGCATGTTTCAGTTTCTTTAGAGCTACGAGAAGAATTGACAATGTTGGAAAGATTGGTATAGTTTTGCACCTTAATTTAACTCATACGTAGTGCATACACATTTAAGTCGTACGCACACATTCCTTGAAATCATACTGTTTCATTCCGAATTAAATACTCGCAAGAATTATGCTGACATGAAAACTTGTGAATTCGTTCTTACAGTGGTGCGATGTACGAGGATCCGGCATCAAAAGAAATTTGCGTAAAGTGCAGCCGTACGATGCATACAATCAAGTGGAGTTTGATGTTCCCATCGGTTCACACTGGGATTGCTACGATCGCTACCTGGTGCGCGTGGAGGAAATGCGCCAGTCGCTGCGGATCATCCATCAGTGCCTGAATAAAATGCCACCTGGCGAGATCAAAGTGGACGATACAAGGTGGTGCATCCCTCTCGAAAGGTAATGAAGGTATGCTTACGACCGTGTCGTACGGTGCATGGTGGTTTCTTGTAAAATGGGTAAATTGGTCAAATTAGTGCACAAATAATTTTATGAAGTAGAAAGGCATATAATTAAAACAATTATTTAGATGCGCAACGTTAGTGGTAATGTAAGTATTCGGCAGCATATTACGATAGTATGTGGATGTTCTGACAGCACGTATCGAAGCCGATAGGTTATTTCTCATGAGCTTGTTCGGTCAAAACGGTGCTAAGAGAATCCCATTTTGAGGAGGCTTTCACTTGGTCACCGAATGTGATCTCATTAGCATGTCCGTATTACCCAGTGAAAGCACATCTGCACACTGTTTGAGTGTGTAATGGTATGTGAAGTTTTTCGATTCACGATTTTAATTTCCGTGAAATTCTGTGAATACTGCAGCTTACTTAACGGTCGCTATTTTCGTCGCCTCCTCTCTTATTTTCGCTATGTTTAAGTATTCCGCACGTACGTTCACAGAACAGCGCCAGTATGGCTTTCACATTTTCATACTTTTGCATAATACTTATGCCATGATAACCGGGTTCACTGGAAAAAATCTGCTGTTTGCAGGAATCGGTGGAGGCCTTAATCCATCATTTCAAGGTTGTACACCGAAGGCGTCCAAGCCCCGCCCGGCTTCACCTACACCGCCGTGGAGGCGCCCAAAGGAGAGTTCGGGATCTACCTGGTGTCGGACGGCACCAGCCGCCCCATGCCGCTGTAAAATCAAGGCGCCCGGCTTCACGCATCTCGCGGCCATCAATCATATCGGCAAGCAGCACAGATGTTGGCCGACATTGTGGCCATCATCGGGGCACTGGATATCGTCTTCGGGGAAGTGGATCGTTAGATGTGTCGAAGCAGACTGTGTACAGGTTTAAACTAACGCAATGTCAGTCAGTGTGTCCTGTATGATTTAGTGTGTTTTTCACCTGTGTCGTTTACACAATGACAAATGCTAGAGGAGATACCATGTAGTTGATGTTGACAGTTATGGTGGCTTAATTGGTTGTAATTCCTAAAGACGTTTATTAAAAGAACGGTTGTGTTTAGTATGGTTGTTGCTGGTTGTTAAGTTCCTTCACTTCCATTTTATACCGTGTGAGGTAATATTTAGTGTCTGAGCGACAGTGCCGCATTTTTTTGTAGCAGGAATTGTGGAATGATGCGGGCGATCTCTGGCTTGGTCTGCGTTGCCGTGCTAGTGCGGTCGGGATGTTTTCTTTCCGGTCAGACTCAGAACGTTGCACATAATAAATGTTGCACATAATGAAACGGTAATGTTGTGCATAATTATGTCAGGCCTCGATAACGGATATGGACTTCTGCTACCGGCAAACACTGAATCTCTTCCGCAGTGAACTCTCCAATCCAACCGCTGAACTGTCCGACAGCATACCCGGCTACCGCACCACGCAAATGAAAGTGCGGAATGCCTTACTCGATCTGGGCGTGCCGGGACCCACGAGCCTCATCACGGACCGCGGGCACACTACGCTACGCACTACAATCGTTCTTTCCGCTCTTCCAGAATACCGGCATCACGGAGCAGGGCGATCCGATCTGGCCAGGTGGGCGATTACTCCTAGAAACCGGCATACAATAGAAACAATGAATTTTTAGCGGCACGTTAGTTTCAAAGCTGCCGCCGGTGGGCTGTTCTCTGCATTCCCACGAACAGACCGCTAAATTTTGCGAGTAGCCATTGGTTAACATTGCGTGAACTGGATTTCATTGGACACTTCCAAATGAACACGCCTGCAGAAGGAGCGATCATTACTGCGATTGCTAGTGTAGGCGGCTAAAGTTTGGGCAAAAATTTAATTGCAGTTTTTTAACTGATGAGTTAATTTGAACCTTTAATTGTCAATGCAACATTTTTCCAGTTAGCCGAAAACATGGCGGATCCTGCGATGTGGAAATACAAGTGTATGGCTTCTGCTTGCGGATGTATAATCTCTACTCCAGAAGAAGTGGATTTTTCGTACCGAGCCCAAGGAAGCACCAAATGTGAGGAAGAGACATGTAAGCATTATTTGGGGAATCATAGGTTGATCAACTATATGGACATTCTGGGCCGTCAAGTGGACATCCAACGCAGTGCACCTGCCAGCGGTTCGATTGAAGGCGTCAATACCACGCAAGCCCCTGTTACGATCAATAACAGCGCAGCCGCCAACAGCTATACGCCGCATTCGCGTGGAGCAGTTCAACATGACGGTAGATCATTTGGACAAAGCATAACTGGCGCTCCAGAAGTCCGAGGCAACACTGGAAATGGTATGCAGGTAGCGCGAATTCAGCAGCCGGGAATGCAGCTAGCCCGCATGCAGCAGCCTGGAGTACAGCATGGACTGAATCCTCAGAATGCTGGATTTAGTGGCGGACGCCAGAGTATTGGACTTCAAGGGTCACGGTCGCGTCCATCTGCACCATATGGTTATCCACCAGGCGGATCGTTCGGACAGTCTCCGTTGCAAGGCGCCCGTGGCGGGGGACGTGGAGCAAGACGCCAAAGTCTCGGAATGTTCCGTTCACCTGCTAGTTCAACGCCCGCGCAGCGAAATGTCTTGAAGTTCCCCAGGTCGCTTTCGAATATCCCATGGATGTCTATTTGTTCCGCTACCGAGACAAGAATGCTATTCCAACACAACGAGCGCGGTAAGTTTACCAGCTATGCGCATACGGCTTGCAATTTAAGAACACGTGTGCGTTAAACGGTTATCACAAGCTGTAATGTTTCTGGCATGTTTTATACAGTGAGGGCAAAACCGAATTGGAATTAATGCGATTTTGTGGATTGATTAAACGCGTCAATTTTCAAGAGCTCAGTGGACAGCACATTCGAATGAAAATCAACGAAGAGTTCGCCAATTTCTTGCAAGGCAGGGAATGGATTCTGCTTAGTCGTATTGTGGTGGATCCCAATAACCCGGATCGCGTTTACCTCTCCGGGAAGCACATCTTCCCAGCAAATTTGCCGACAGAGTCTCCATCATGGGCGTTCCAGCAGATGTAAGCGAATAACGTATCATTTATTTACAGCCATTAGATGAGAAAATTAGTTTGAATTAATTTGGCGATAAATGCAGGTATTCGGAAAATCCAAATCGCGAAACTGTAAATCGCATGTACATTGCGGCCGACAGCGGAATCATCAACATTTCACGAGAACTTGTCGAGAGATTTGCTGAGGTAAACAGAATTCGGGAATGAAGATGTATCCGGTTGATTAAGTTCATATGTTTTCCAGTCCGAAGGGAAGACTGTTGAAGAGCTGGGACTGCGTGGTTTTACCGGTGAGTATGAGTGTGTGCAACTTGGAGGTTTCGACATGAAGCTGTCAAAAAAGCTACAAGTTTTGTTATATTTTTAGATGAATTAAACGGTAACAGTGGGATGCGCAACATTTTACGATCCTTCGGCGCCAGTACGTCGCGATTAAGCGGCGCCAGTACATCGGGATTGTCAAGCCAGCGTACTTCTGATTTGGCTGCTCGTAATAACTCTATATTTGACGTTTCACCCTCCTCGTCGCCTCAACCAGTGCGCCGTGGCACTGTTGCGGCCCAGCTAAACCAAGATGTCAGTGGTATTCATCGAAGTCTCCGATCCACTGTGCCTATCATCTACGTTCCTTCAGATGAAAGTGATGCGGAAGATGTTGCACTTGAAAACAGCGGCGCCAGTGAAATCGCAAACCACCAGTTGCCTGCTAAAGTGAGTGAGCTAATTTAAAATTTAAATTTAATTACAATTAATTAATTTAAAATAATTCGAATGTTCAAAGTGAGCGAATTAAAAATAATTCAAACGCTTTTCTTCGTAGTTTTGATATTTTTTGTTTTCTTCGATTAACTCGATAAATTGTCTATGATCCAAAATTGGTGTATATTGTCGTAACTTTCTAGCGAATGCGCGTGGGAAACTTTCCTGACCAGGAAGAAAACGCTGTGGAAGCATCGGTGGAGCAGTTGCGTTAGCAATTGTGTGTAAAGGTCACCGGACGAGAACCCATGTTCAAGTCGAATTACGTGTTTGAATGGATTCCCGGGAACGATAACGTCCAGAACTGGATCGACTTCCACTATGCGCATGGTCCTAATTTGGCTGATGGGGGAAGGCCATGTATTCAAATCGAAGAGTAAGCAAACTGTTCAGAAATTCTTGCAAATGTTTTAGCAAGTGAAAAGGGCGCTGCAAGACATTTATTATGCTAGCCGCTAAAACTGCTGTCAGAAAGGCTTATACTGGTACACACCGTGTTTGTTAAAAATGCATTTGTCTCTATGGTGAATGATTTGCTGTAGTGCAACTGACTTGGACGGCCCGTATAAGGAGGTCATGACGAAGCTTGGTCAAGCATTTCTTCACTACCGCATCCCGGATTTAGGCATTACGTTGTTCGAACAATGTGCAACAGTTGTATTAATATCGTCGGATGCCATTGTCACCGAAGCGGGACATTCTGCACTTCGAGCATTCGGACACTTATTGCGAGATTCAGTTTTACATGGAGCGCCCTTCGTTACTTGGTTGAACTCTTCAGTGTTCCGCTACTTGTTGAATCTTCCCATTGAGGTCAATGATATTTTCTCGTTCAGTCCCGGTATCGGCAGTATGATCGATGGCATTATGTCTGGTGTGGGACCTGTCGTGCTGGAGAACGAGGAAGCGCTGAGGAGTGGGCTGATTTGAATCTGAAATTCCCGGTAAGATAACGAGATAACCATGTTAAAACAGCGGTATGATTGATTAGTTGTATTGCAGTGTGCTGTCCTTCTGGAACACGGACGTGAGCAACTGTGCAGACTAATTGCGGAATTTGAACTGGTCCACAAACGTGCCGGGAATTTGAAGTATGTCTACGAAGGACTGGTAGCCGGAAAAATGTACAAGGTAAAATGTGACACTTTTTTTGCGGTTTTGGAAAGTTTTCAATACTGTAGTCTTATACAGGAACTGATGGCGTTTCGCTCTGACTGGAAACGCTTTGAGCCGCAGCTGTACCGCGCTGTTATGGAGGGCAAAGATCTGCTGGAGCAGTTCAAAGCGTTCAACGAAGATACTGCGGATGACGAAGAAATCCAGACAATAGCATGGCTTGATGACATAATTTTGGAAGAGTTTAGCCAGCACGAACGCAAGCAACTGTTACGATTTATCACCGGATCGTACATGGTACCTGCAACGCCAAAGATTGAAGTTTCATTCACATTCGCACGGGACGGAAACCGACGTCCAACCGCTACGACCTGTACTAACAAGCTGACTCTTCCGAGCGGATGCATGAGCAAAGAGCAACTACTGGAAGGTTTGCGGGACTGTATTGCGTCAGTGGATAATGAAATGCAGGGGCATTTCCAGTTTAACTGAATCGTAAGCAACAACTTTTCTCCATTTGCAGTTCTTTACCAGCGTAATTCATGCAGCTTTACAAGCGGTACTGATACGGTGATGTTTTTTCACAGGTACTGGTACATGGTATGCAGTTTATTGTGGAAAACTGGAATTGCGGATTAAACGGAACTGCGGAATTGCGGATTAAGCGGCATCACTATGACGCTGGAATGAGCTATACTTGAACGAAATGAGTCGTGTTCATGTCAATATTGAGATTTTTTAGCTTTTTGTGATTTTGCTTTGTCGGCATTCTCCTACAATTATGTCGATTTGAATTAGAACGTCATTAAGATATAATAATAAGCTTCGATTTATTAATTTTAGCTTTTGAGATTTGCTTGCTTGGCAGCGACTGACTTCAGAATAATGATGTGCATTTATGGAATGCCTTTTGCTGTGCTGGTTATCAGTGTTCCAGTAACTAATTGTGAAACTGAAACGATTTTGATTAAATGCGCCGTTCGTCAGCCAAAAAAACTGATACCGACTACTCAGAGACAAGTAGAAATTCGCCAGGTAACTGTTTTGAAATTGGACACTAGACTATAGAATTTGGTGTTGAAAACAGTGCCTTAAAATTAACTGATTCGTTGAGATACACCTTTGACCTGGATGGTTTCTAAACATTTTTGCTAAAAAGACTTACTAAAATTTAATTTCTTTCTACAGCCATTGTAAAAATATTCGTTACAGGTTTACGTCTTCTGAAAATATAAATTCAATATATCTCAATAAAAAGACTTCCGTTACCAGCATTTTGTGCCTTATCTTACTACATTAAATATCTGACTAAACATTTCGTTTCCGTCGACCAGCATCTGACTGAACAAATATCATATGCCTTGTTTTACAAGCACTGGTTCGAAAAAACGATGCGAAATTCTTACTAATTGCCTTTTTGTAGGACATGCGCTGTTGACTGTACCTGCTAGCATGCGCACAAACGGCAAAGACAAAGAGAAAGAATCCCGTGTTCCCTCTCCGCCCTACAAACGCGTCAAACTGGACAGCGGTGAGATGGCCTTTCCCGCCAAGCCGAAGGTGCGGTCCGCCAATGGCCGGCTACCATTTCCCGATGCACCGGAGGATTTCTTCTACCATCTCTCACCGCATACGAAGAAAGAACGCCGCAAAGCCATCACCACCGCCGAACTGAAGAAGGCAGGTCGTGCCCAGCGGTTAATGTTCACCTTCCTGCCCAACCCCGGCCGGCTGCATCACTTCCTCTCCATCGTCCCGACACAGGCGGTGAATGACGACGTGGTGGTGATGCCTTGAAAGAGGGAAACAGAGCGAAATACCTCGTTCTCTTGGGCTTGAAGAACAGTTTGTGTCATTTGCTTTTTTACGGTTAATGTCGGATGAGCTCTGTGTTTTATTGTTATTTTGTGAATTTTTTTGTTAGGTGCGGCTTTTTTTTATTGGTTATACCATTCTCTACCTTAGTACCCGTATTAGCACAAAATTAGATTTTTGTTAGCTGCACTGACTGTACTGTGCATTGGTGAATGCATACTTTGTTGTTTTTTATTGTCTGCATGCCGTGTTTTTCTTTGATGTTAGTACATAACAAAATTTGTGACATTTGATCTTAATGGATAACGGAAAAGTACCATAAATTATTGTGTAATACCAACGACATTTTGTGGAATCTTAAGGTGCGTGGAAAACACGAAATGCGCCTTTATTTTGCAAATAAATTGAACCTTGGTGTGAATTTCTATGTCGTTCTTAATTAGATGTATAGTAAGCATGAAGTGTGCGGTCGTACTATTTGTTTTGATTTTGATGCCGGACAGTAGATTTTCGATTTATCGTCAAACACACCCAGAAAAAACCATACAAGAAGTGGAATGTGAATGCATGATAAAAAGTGCACACCATGCACAAACCACTCACAGCGATGTTGTTTTATGTTAACTGCATAGCATATGCCCTTACTTTATCGTATTACACTGATATTATTTGGTTTATTAAATATTTAAAATGTCAACTTTGGTAAAATGTCGCGCATTTCAGCACGACTGACTAGCACAAAGCTGCACACCACATACACATTATAAATTCGCCGTTTTTCCTGCGCACTGCACTGAAGGACAGTTTCGAAAGGTCAAGTGCGCGCGCACATCTTTTATATCAGCCGGCACACGTTATTTCTGCTGTTGGGCTGATCGGCTTCCGTTTCATCCAGGGAATCGGTTTCTATCACGACGACATTGTCGTGTGCACCACTGAACAGCAAACGGACCAGTGTACTGCCGCAGAATCCCAAATGTCTCTTCTACAACAATATACATCATTCACTTTTGATATTGCTAATAGCAATATTAAAGTGCTACGGTATATAGCAATTTGCTATATACCGTACATAGTCGTGTGACCTTTTAAGGGGAAATATTTTCCCTTTTTCTCCGCACACATATATATATGTCCGCCTAACTTCGCCCGCGCTGGCGCCGCGTAACTATTTGAAGGTGATCATATTGTTGACAGAGATGTTGCTTCCGCCTTTAATCTCCATGTAATCCCCTTTCCCGTATGGATTACAAACCTATGGATGCGCAACAAATAACATAACGTGATCAGAGATTTGACGAGGAAGGACATATAATAAAATTTAATAAGTCCTGTTATATAAATAAAATAAGGCTTCCGACGCAAAAAAGAAAACTGCGTGCCAAGAGAGATGTCTCGGATCCATATGTTAATGACGTAAAGTTATGTGAAAGTACAGCATCCTTACACACTTCGTTCTGTTTGTTGCGACCGAATCGAAAATATTTTCAAAATGCCGAAAAATACTCTAATGTATATGCTTTATTTTGCTTCTGACAATTAAAAGACCGTTTGTTATTAAATCAGATGATATTTTGAAATTTCCGTACAGCGCACTCAGCGCAGATACATAAACATACACTTTTTTCGTGTGATGCATTCTGCCCGGTTTATAAAATTTTAACTAATGTTGAGTAATATTGAACCTGCTGTGAAACTGATTATTGTTCACGCGTGCAGAAAATTGTACACAAACTTCCCCGCATTCCCGGCAAACAAACAGCTGGAGAGATCACATACTCAAGTATTGATTCCGAGCATGCGCGTCACTAGCAGGTAGCATTGCCGCCAATTTCGCAAAATAACCGATAATTAGCGCATAATGCAGTAGTAATGCACATGTAAATTAACACTGGTGCTGGTCAGCGTGACAGCCCAAGTGGTCGCGGGACATTTCGTCGTGGGACATATCGCCACAGGTTTTTCGTTGCAGCGGCTAATTTGTTTTGGGACAACTCGTTATGCAGCCGTTTTGTTGGATGATATTTGGTCGTCCGACATTTGGGGAGCCAAAAATTATCGACTGGTTTATGACAACGAACAGTCATATGACTATTTGCCACAAAAACGGGTTGTCCTTAGACGAAATGTCCGTACAACCAAATGTCCCGCGACGACCTGTCGCGTAGCCCTGGTCAGCAGTAAAAGGTCAACGTAGGTTGCCATATGTGGCGGCATGAGGTGTAGTTATTGGGCGGTTACAATACTTACATCTAAGCGCTTTTTTATTACGCAGGCCTTACGATTACAACGTACACATTTACAGATTTAAGGCACAATATTTCTGAGAATCGCGGCCAGAACCTCTCGATGAGAGAATTCAATGCGGCAGGGATTGCCTAATATTCGGAATGCCTGGCATCATCATCCAAAACCAAATGCGTAGTATAATGTATCGTGCTGTCTTCATAATTTGTTATAAAATCAGTGTTGTCCAAGCATTAATTCTATAACTGCACTTTTACGTACTGTACTCTGAAAGTTTTATACAAAAAATTAAACTTGACTAAACTACTTTTCTGCTTCCACAATACAGAATAATTTGTGGCTGGAATAAAGTTTAATTTTCTTACATTGTATTTAGTGAGTGGCTGTCTTTGTGCAATCACGCAAAATTTCCTATTTATGTAAATTGCTGCTCATTCTTCTTTACTCGTCTCCTGACCTTTACTGCGGATTTAAACCAGCTGCGTTAGGATCTGCATCTATCCAGTTATTAAACCATAAAGAATCGCACAAGTGCAATTAATTGATCTTATTGTCCACATTAGCATTTTCCGATAAACACCGGGTTTTATACATCTGCAGGCTGCAAAGTGACATCCTGTGGTAGAGACATAACATCAACGGTACCCACACCAGCCTGTTCCTTCTTTTCTGCCAGTTGTGTGAGTTTCTTCTCTTTTCTCTCGGCGATTTTTGAACCAAGTCCCAACTCGTTTTTGCCCGTGCCCTGTGGCTTCCAGGTTGACCGATCTTTTCAGCGATATGCGTGCGGGCCACGGAATGAGGAATTTTCAGCCCAGCATTATAATAAGCCAACATAATATCGATCTGAAACTGCTGAAAATGCTCTTTAGTGGCGTGCTGGCGGATGTCAGGGTTCTCCAGAACTTCTCCATGGACTTCCATTTTCCAAATGAAAAATCAAATAACTGCCACTGCAATAAAAAAATTCCTAGGAAACCTAAGGAACGGGAAGAACGGACAGAACCGAGTTTTTACAAGGTGGACGCATATTCGCAAGTACAGTACTGTAAAACTGGCAACACTGAATAAATCTGGCCAGTGAATATTGACAGATTATCGTGAAAACCGCTGAGTTATCATTGTCGTGAGTCGAACGTGTTGAACGCAAGACCGTTGCCTTTAGTCGCTCTTCCGGTGCACGGTGCGGCGGTTACATATTGGAAATCATTGATTGTCGATCGTTGATTTTTAAACACTGAACTTAAATCAAGTGATTGAAAATCAGTAAAGCGCAATCTTTGATGAAGCAAAATCAGTGGTACAAAATCAACGATTGATAATCATTGATTCTAAATCAATGATAGAAAATCATTGATGTCAGTTCACACTACTGAAAATCGTTGAATGAAAATCACTGAACTTAAATCAATGGTTAGAAATCACGGAGTCGAAAAATCATGACTTGGAAATCAGTGATTCGCAATCATTGATGTAAAAATCATTGATTTCAGATCATGGTGTTTGAAAATCATCGATTTGTAATCGTTGATTTTAAGACAAAGAATTTGAAATCAAAGTTTAAAATCAACAAAACTCGCGGCCATTCGGAATTCCATATGACCTAACAGCGCTAAATGTGAAAGTGCTGCCTCTGAGTCTGGACCTGCAATTATACAGTGCGTATTGTACAAGCTTTTGGTAGTGCAGGAACTGTGCGAAAAAATCTAAAATTTTTTTAGGTGTTGCAACCGCACTATAGAAAAGCGAAGTTTATAGGTTTACCATTTACGGACAGTACATTATAATTTATATTATGGTAATAATTTTACCAAAAAAATACGAGCAATGATTTTTTCTACTCGTAGGCTTGTGTATGATGTGTTACTATCGACCCTAGGTAATTATTAGTCTTTTACGTATAATTAAATCATAATCGTTACTTTGAAAGGGTGATATACTACGGGAAAGTACAAAAAATAACAGAAAATATATAAAATTGTTAGAAGATTATGGCAAATAAGTATGTATTTATATTTCATTAATTTGCGAAACGACAAAATTCAGTTACAGTTAAAGTTTTTATGGTTGTTTGTCCATTACTGACAGAAGTGCTTATACTCTTATGCTAGGTCCATACTTCAGTTGTAATTCGGAAAACAATAGAAATCTTGCAACAATCGTAGAAAAAGTATGTACGCGAGCCACTTTTGTTGTAGCAATTTTTGTTGTAATTCTCGAAAGTATGGACGCGAAAGTTGCAGAAAAAAAGTTGCACGACGAAAAATTTGTAGTAAATTGATGTTGTAGGAGGGAGGGGCTTTTCTTCCTTTCTGCAACAATCGTAGCAAACTGGCCAATGGGCAGTTTTGTCAGAATTACCATATGTGTATATGTGTGCAGCTCTACATGCATACTTATTTAAAACAATAATACTCATTAATTACTTGTTATCATTATGATTAGTTTAGTTTAGTTTATTCAATGAGCAGACAAACCCTCGAGGCAGTAACAAGTCTGGTCAGTAGCATATGAAATATGAAAACATCAGAATTAAGATCATTACAACAGATTCGCCAGTTTCAGTGAAGACAGGTATTCCTTAACAGAGCCACAACCAAAATACTCAACACCATTATTTTTTCCACCACCAGTAACTTTATCAAACAAAGTTTTCAGCCTCATTGCTAGGGTCGTCTTTCCAATCCGTGACCTCGCAGTGGTGTCGATGCGTGCCTCCCGGCGGAGGGCATACCTCGCGTTGGTCTCTTTAAACGGAATCAGCTCACACATGTACGACGGTACTGTAAAATTTTCCCGGTTTCGTATCTTATACAGCCACACAGCTTCCTTCTGGCGCCATCGATCGACTGCTGCGGTTATACCCAGCCGTTGGTACAGTTCCGGTGTTACCCGTTCCCTGTTATCGGTGATGGTCCGTAAGGCTGCGTGTTGCCGTTTCATCAGCTGCTCCTGCTCTCCCAAGGACGCTGCCGACCATGCCATAGCACAGTAATCTATGTATGGCTGGACGAAGGCGTGGTGAAGGGTAACTCGCTGGGAATCGCTGAGACCGGATTTAACACGTTTAATCTTTTGGATGCCATAGTTGATGTTGCGCTTTACTTTCTGGAACTGCTTGTCCCACTTTAGGTGTTGATCCACTTCAACGCCAAGGTATGTCGCATGCTGCTTAATGGTTAACTTTTGGCCGTTAAGGATGATCGGTGGATTGGCCTCGGCTTTATTTTTTCTTTTCGGTGCATATGAACATTCCCGCACATTTCTTCACGTTCAGTGCTAATCCGTTGTCATCAAACCATTTAGCCGCCTCCGCCAACGCCTTGTTCAACTTTTCGGCGGCCGCTGCTTTGGTTTTCCCGCGACAGTGGATTATAGTGTCATCCGCAAAGGCTTCGATCTCGCACTGAATAATCTGCAACAAATCGTTCAAGAATATTATGAACAGTATAGGGCCAAGCACGGTGCCTTGGGGAACGCCGGAAATGACTGGTAACCAGCTGGATGTCTTTCCGTTGATCTTTACACGTTGCTGACGATCGGTCAGGTACGAATGGAACCATGCCAGAACTACATCGCCAATACCACTGCGTTTCAGCTTCGATAACAGTTGTTCGTGGTTCACGGAATCAAACGCTTTTTTCAGATCAAGCATAGCGACTGCTGTGACATCACCTTCATCCATCGCCCGTTTCCAAGTTTCAGTGACTTTAACCAGTAGTGTTTCACAAGAGTGTCCTTTGCGAAAACCAGACTGCCGCTGTGACAACAGGTCATGCTCCTTCAGAAAGGCGGTTAGTTGAATCTGAACACAACGCTCGAAGATTTTAGAGATGTTGCACATTCAATGTCACCTATGAACTGATTACCATAACCAGAAACTGCATTGTACTGCACAATACTTCAAAGTTCAAACTGTTTAGTAACATCAAATATATGTTTCTTACTCTGTATTATATAACTGTACCGACAAATTTTTAGAAAACCCGATATCCTGCGACCTATAGCAACTGCATAAGTCTGGGTACATATTGGACTGGTTTTTTGGGTATGATAGCGACCATGATTGGTATGCTGTACTTCTGTACATTTTCGTGTGATATTACAAAGGAGGCTCCAAAACTAAGTTTCCCTATTTTGCCTCGCTGCCATGTGAAGTAATAAACATGTGATATATCTATATTTTTTGTTGTATAAGTAATTACGCAAACTAACTAGGGAAATAAGAATCAAAAGATTCAATGAAGAACTGGGAAAAGGAAAAGAAAAAAGTTAAGAAGATTAATAAAAACTGTCTGGGTATACGTAAAACACGTGGCATAGTGCGTAAAACCTTTGACAGTTTCTCGGCAGTTCTTCTCCATTTGATTGTAGTCAGGTAGAGTTATATTTTACTTTGGTTCGTTAATGAAGGACGTTTCTAAAAATATGGTTCATAAGAGCTAAAGGCGTTTATGTCGGGAGATACATGATAGAGAAACTCACTTTTGGAGTGTCCTTTGTAATAAATAAAAATGTTGCTTCCGCTTGTTAATAAATGTAAAAAGCGGGATTATCTCCGCCAATCGTATCTCTGCTGGGTCGGCTTAAATTTTTGTTGCGGTTGAAGTATGGCCGGGAAGTGTTGCAGAAAGTAAAAATTGAACAACATTGCTACAACATCCTGGAAAGTACGACTACGATTGTTGCAGTCGTAGTTCCCATTTTAAGACTAGATTTGTTGTACAACTTTTTCTTACAACTGAAGTATGGACCTAGCATTACCGTAACATCTTAATTTGTTAAACTTGAAGTGTGGCTTGTAACGGCAGATTTTGAAATCGAAATTTCGATTATTTTGGAATATTAATATTTTGTTTGGCTGCACGTTGTACAATGCCTGAATGCCTGTGCTCTGCAATGGAACTAAAAACGCCGCAAAATACAGCAGCGTGATTTGACGTTTGCGAACTGCGCTGAGTGCGCGTGATGGAGATCATTGGATTTGTGCCAGTAATCAGAATGGAATCTATCCTGAGTCATATGTTTTGACTTTTGTGCTGAAATGCGCTCTGGCATTTCCGCAGTACTTAGTGGCGGCATGTCACCGATCCTTTTTCCGTTTGCATGAGATAGCAAATTTTTATGATTTCTGAACAAGTGCGAAGCTTTTTGTGGAAGACGTTTTTCACATAGCGGAATCCGAGAGATCCACTGACGAACGACTTGACCATACAAAATGGGTGTTCGGACTGGTTTGCTCTTCTTGATCTTCACCCTGACAGCGCAGATCGCAAGAATCGACAGTAGCGAAAACGTTTCTGTACCCGCGCGCCATAATTTTGACGAAGTTCTGCGGGCATATCGAAAGATCGGACGATCTTTTGGTTTGTTGACGATGCAGGGAATCGCGGAGGCGCAACGGCAGGTGCATGCGACTCTGAAGTCGGATCCGCATGTCCCGCTGCCTAACATCTCCCAGCCCTGTAAGGAGAAGCTGTTTTGGATACTGGGGCAGCTGAATCCCACAGACCCACTTTCTCCTGAATGGCTTGTAAAACGTAAGTTTTCATAGGAACCGCGCGACAAATTGTAAGTACAGTACTTACTTGTGAACAATGTGAATACTGTCCTTGTACTGTAATGACTGGAGCATGCAAAACCGTAAATGTTACTGTAACTACAAATTAATTTAAAGCATTGCACTAACATCAGAGATGATATAATAGGGTTAATATAGAACGTGCCGCGAATCTTGTATATTTATATGAATTTTCTTTTGGACATTAGACAAATGAATTTCACATTTTAACAAATACCTGGTAGCTTATAATATACCTGTTTTTATTGCCCGTTATAAATTCGATGGAATTTTATTTTCAGTACTTGATGCCCAGGCTAAACCACCGAGCAGCATCTTGGAAGGCAATATTGCGTGGCTGGGAGGTTTTCACGAATGTATGAACTTAACAGTGTACAAAAACGAATCTAATCCTACCCCCGGTACACTACTGCTGGAAGGACAGTACTGTTTAGTGACCATTGGTCTGGAGGAAGACAAAAACCAGTCCATGGTTAGCCGACTGCGGTGTTTTGTCGTATGTTGCTTACTTGCTTGTGTACCGACATAAACCGTTTTGCGTGATTTATTAGGTGCCTCTACTTGGTATTCCGAAAGCACTCCGTGCAGGCTTGTGCGGTCCCATAGAATGCACTGCGAGCGACGTTGAGAAAATGGTCCTTTATGGTAAGCGTTATTCCACATCTAAAAAGAGAACGAAATCATGTAAAATAGATTTGAGCCAGTTGTTTTTTAAACAAAGCGCTGAAACGTTTTTCTTTTGCAATCAGTTTCTGCTTTTGTTACAGCTATTGCACTCCTCCAGGATTTCCTTAAGGAGAAATCTCCTCATTTATTGCCCGAAAGTCTTAGTGTTACAGAAGTTAAGTGTCCTGCAAAGACCATTCCCATGCAGAAGGATGCTGGCGCCATTGTGGTCATTGTCGTTTTGGCTGCAATTGTGACCATTGTATTGGTCGGATCGGCGTACGATGTTTTGACGAACGGAATTTTGACTGAGGTGGATTCCTTGTCTATCGGCGTGACAACTGTTACAACGTCATATACCTCCTTACTCCCGCCGGAAACGGTCAGCGCTGTGGAACAAGAAACTGAAGTAAAGGAATCACGGACACTTTTGGGTAGATTGTGCATGGCCGTCTCGGTGTTTCCACACTGCCGAAAATTCTTTGGCGCTGCGTATGGAAATAGTGACATACGGTGGGTGCACGGTGTTCGCGTCCTGAGCATGATCTGGATTATTCTTGGGCAGACGTATGCATTAGGACTTCCGTTGTATGGTACGTAATCACAAGATTTTTTACATATTATTTCATACGCTACGTATGCTATTTCATCATAAGTATAAGTATGCGACTATGCGTACAAAAATATACGGTATTCTATTAAATGCACGGTAAGGTAAAGTTTTGCACGTGTTTAATATGTTTTATTGCTTTATTTTTTAGATAATCTGGTCATTTTGCCGGAAGCATTGAAGGGCCTTTTTGGTCAAATGGTCGTTCAAGCAACTTTTGCTGTGGACACGTTTCTGTTTCTGAGGTCAGTAGAAACGTAGGATCAAATATTAACCGCTTTGTATGCCAAAAAATCTTAGTTTGAATCCGTTTATTATTTTAGTGGCTTTCTTGTGACCTATCGTTTCTTCGGCATTTTGGCCGAAAACGGAGGATTCGACTGCATGACTCTTCTTCGCTTCTACTTGTCCCGTTACCTACGCCTATTCCCGACCTACATGCTTATTGTGGGAATTTATGCTACTTTGACGAAATATATTTCCTCTGGACCATTATGGCCACAGGATGAAGTGCCACTTGGAAATTGCTCTCATTTAGCTTGGGCGAATGCATTCTACGTAAATAATTTCGTGAAGCCGGAAGAAATGGTAATTTATTCACATTTAATGTGCAAGTACTGTATCAGAAGCGATATTATCACTTCTGATCGAGCGAAAATAGTCATTAACCAGTATTTAGTAGTCATGGTCTTTATTTGCAGTGCGCACCCTGGACATGGTACATCGCTATCGATTTCCAGCTTTTTATCTTGGCTCCTTTGATTATTTTGTGTCTTTACGCGTACGTCAAATTTGTTAAATACGTAATTGAGTGGAATAGTTTTCATAACATTAGTCTGATACAAAAGCTGTGCAAAAGTTCCTTGCAATCAAAAACAGTATTTTTTGAGACTTTTTTTCCGCTCTTAATGAAGAGGAATCGGATTTTTAAATCGAGGAATTTGTATAAATTGACAGCGTCAGACCGACTTTTTGCTTAAAGTAGCCGCTTATACTCGTTTGAGAATGTGAGAAAATGTGTATTATTTAGGTTTTGGAAGCTTGGACTGGCCATTTGCCTGGTGTTTGTTTGGGCCGTAGCGATTACTTCGGGAGTAATTTCTAAGTTGCGGGAGCTGCCTCCTAGTCTAATCGGCTTTGGGACCGCTGACATAAGGTAATCGACCCCATGTCCATGAAGTTCTTAATAATAACCAATAACGTGGTTCTGTTTTGCAGTACATTCGACCAGAATTTGATTCTTCGATATTTTAACGAATACTTGATAGCGACATATTGCCGAGCATCACCGTATTTCTTCGGAATTGCTGCTGCCTATTACCTCAGAAGGCCGTCGGAAGTGGTTAGACTGAGTTTGTTAGCACGCGTGATCGGGTGGATAATTGCACTAATTGGGCTGGGTATTGTGGTATTCGGCTTGACCCCGGGATTCAATGGATATCCGTTGTCAGTGGATGCTTCGGCGGCTTTTAACAGCCTTTCGCATATTGTTTGGTCGTGCTCTTTAGCTTGGGTTGCTTATAACTGCGCTCTGGGTTTTGGTGGATTGGTGCAGCACTTTTTGGAATGGAAGTTATGGTTGCCGTTTAGTATGATTTCCTATAGTGTTTACCTATTTGGTCCTGTCATGATTTGTATTTACTATCTCAGTCGCGAGGAGCCGATTCGGTTTAGTCATTACAATGCGGTAAGTTTAGTTTGCGATATCTTCTAAAAATTCTTTTACTTGGTTCTTAAAATCGATATTGTTACCATTGCTTCGTTTTATCGTATTGTTCAAAGTGTGTAGGTACGTAATTTTGTATGTTCATATATCTACCTAATACATGTATTCATCGTCGATTTGGTGAGTTCAGATACATACGTTTTCTTCAGCTAATTGCAGAAAACAGAAAATCCTTGTTAAGCGTTAAATTTGCCGACGTTTTTCAGATCACACTCTTTTGGGGGAATCTCGTTTTTTCCGTACTGGCTGGATTAGCCGTTTATCTTTTCATCGAGGCTCCTATCCGCAGTCTTTCAAAGTTGTGCCTGGAAAGAAAGCGTGTAACAACTGCGATTGTTGCACTTCAATCGTGATTGCAACTACACGCCCGCTATTCTTATTGCGCTGATAAATCTTCTATAAATCTCTTTGTTAATAATTTAGAATCTTGCAACAACAGTATCATTAGTATGGTACTTACTTTATGTAATGTGTATCTGTATTTCTCAGTGAAGCGAAGTAGAACCGACCTTTGTTTTTGATTTTTTTATTAGAATTTTGGTAAAATTACGATGTTAGTTATGTTATTAATTGGTGAGAAAATGTTGTTTGTGCTCTGCAGCAGAATGAAGCTGGTCATGATAATGCGATTATGATTCTAACGCGTGGGATAGCACTAACATTTCTACGTGCTGTACAGAACTATTTAACAGTAATGCACATAATATGCGGACTGTACTTCTATCTGAAATGATTGTATAGATATTATCTTTCGTACAGGCGGAAGTCAAGTCAGAGGTTTTAAACGTAATTGGAATTGTCCCTTTCTCAAGCCCTTAGACTTCCTGTTACGCTGGTACAATATTCATGAGTTGTCGCATGCTTACATTTAACATTATCAAGGCTGGTATGGTTCGTGATGGATCGATAATTAACGAACATTTTCTACGTCTACGGCCATGAACTAAACCGTAAATAAATTTGATCAAATGACTTGCGAAATATCCCAAGGACTCAATTAACTACACAGTACAGGCCTACTAATGGTAATCCGTGTTTAATCCAGAAGAACGTGATAAACACAATAAAATCTGGAATGGCTTTTATTCAGTCAAGCAAAATACAAAACAAAACGCTGCCGACAGACGTCCCATTTTCCTGCATTCACTGCAAATGCAATCTCAGATTTTAAACACGCATGCCATTTAGTTTGTGTCGCCAAATTCGTAGTATATAATCGATGAGAGTGGTCATGTACAATGAGTGCTTCACTGCTACTAACAAGATCGTACGAAGTTATGTCAGTCACACAGGCGGTAAATTAATTATTTAACGAAAGGGAATATAATATTTTCACACAATAACATCACGGGTTTCGAGACACAATTTATGTTTCCTGCGTACATAACATTGTTTTTTGACAATATTTACCTCAGTTCTGAAATTGTTATGTTACCATTGCAAAATGAGCGGATTGGTAACGGTAGCTTGCATTCAGTTGGTGGGATTGACTTGGCTAACCAGTTTGCTGGGTTCATGGGGATGAGTGTGATGCGGGAGATCTTCTGGTGTCAGAACCGGCATGGGCTGACCGGATGCGTCCTGGGGAACAGGTGGTAACAGAAGGGGCAAATTGCGTTTGCTGGCGGGGTTGTTAGATAATCCGGGGGGTGGAACACCCTTTTTCATCTGCTTAGCCACATTGTAGTCGCCTGGAACATCATATCATTTTTTAATTTACAGTCAGCAATGGCGACACTTGCAGAGAGTTTCGTTTTATTTTTGCAATGCACAACGAATATTCTGGTATCGTAATAAATTTTAAAATTTGATCATTTACAGGCTTCCTTATAAATAAAATTATTACAGTAAACTAAAGTAGAAGTATTGATAACTGCAAATACAGCGAATATTGCACAAAAACTCTCTATCGTGAAAGAAACTGGCTGGATACTAAAACCCTGTCCAATATGGTTCTAATTTTCAAGATTTATTTGACAGGATCACAAGATAAGTCCTTCAGGAGCTGAGTTAACAAGTTGAATTCATACAGGACTGATTGTGTTTACCTTCGGAATTTTCTCCAGGACTTCCTTCCGGATCTTCATGGAGAACTCCTGTTTCCGATTGCTCCGTCTCGGTGCCCGCCATGATCCGCTTACAATTACCACAAGGCAGATAAATTTCAGAAGATAATCCACACACACACTTAGCTTGGCAATCCTGCAGCTGTATGACAGTATGGTTAAAGGACCAAATTCGAAATATCGATTAATAATTTATCACTTCACATTTGCGGCCACCACATGAACGATCAATGAGGAAATGCAAGAATAAATATTTCAACCATACGTCGTACTTCCTACCGTCAACTTTACAGAATCAATTGCACGCTATAGATCTGCGATCGCAGTACTGCACAACATCATAGGTACTGAGAGTCTGGGTGACAGTCAACTGTGTGTACTTTAGGGAAGGTACATACAGTACGCATGTCACGGCATGTGTTGCGGTAAATTTCAAAACTGCGGCAGCGTAATGCAAAGTTGCAGCCTGAGAAGAGAGAACTCACCTACAATTCGCAGAAGCTGAACGGCTTGCTTTCTAATTATCTAAACTCTTCAAAACAAGTACAGTAGTTTGAACTTCAAGCCATAAGAACTTACCGTTAGAAGTATTCGTTTAAAAATAAAAACAAAAATAATGGGACAACTGAAAACGAAAAATTGAGTACTGTACAGTACTTGTACAGTAGATATCAGTAGGTGTCCGTAGCCTCGGGAGGGTCTACTGCTTGTACTGAAAACTCAACGGAACATTCGCCACTGGGAGGCAACGCTAGCAAGGTCAAAGGAAGTTCTAGCAGTACGAGTTGAATTGGTTCTATTTCTTTTTTTTTTAAACAGCGATTATAAAATTTTATGAATTATAAAATTTTTTTAACGGTACATTATTTTATAGTGTCGAACATCAACGTTAGGAGTACAGAGTATCTGCACTACAGAAAAACTTTAAATGATGTGAATTAAGGCCTTTAAGCAAAGGGCACTGTGGCAGCACTAGAAATTACGAGAGAGACTACGTAATACCGATCCCCGAGAGCGCAGCTTTGCATAATTTTTTTTCATTTCAGAATCGCTTTTAATTTTGTAATGTTTTGGCCTTTGCTGCGTTATTGACTGATCAAAGCTGCAGCCTGCGTCCGAGATTTCTCTGAGTAAAGCAAATTTCTGGTTGCCGGAACAGTGTTTAGCATTTGCCATTCGATGATTTGATTTTTGGAAGCAGAAATGGTATTAACGATTAAATTAATGCACTGCTATTGCAGTATCGCTGCATTGCACAATATTTATATCTATATAGTGCTGCATTGCACTGCAATATCTATATGTGAAGCAAACCTCGCTCAAAGAAGCGAATGAACGTTCATACCTCTAGAGCGCGGCACTGGCAAAATAGTATAACTAATGCGTGCGGTTGTGTGCAGTACCATATTCCAGATTTTCTCCAGTACCATATTCCAGACTACCATTCTCCAGAATTTGCGACAGATTTCTGACACAGCAGTTTTTGTACTTACCTTTAAATCCTAACTTGAAGTATGCTTGTAGCTATAGCCATACCATCGTAATGATCGTATACAGATATTAGGTATACGTGCTCAACGCATAACTGGGATAATTTCCGGTCGCGGCCTTCCGGTCAAGCGTATCCTACAGAGGGCGCCATGCGACTAAGATGTACCATCCCCCGACGGTGGCAGGTCTAACGCTACAGCATTACGCGTAGCGTGCCGAGACTCATAAAAGAAGGGGGAGTATGGAAACTTTGGCCATCTATCTCGCTACGAGCTCCTGAAATTCATTTGTGATGCTGTAGACTGAGTAGAGTGAAATGTGTGAGCAACAAGCATACTGTACGCGTGGTTGCTTTCTCGAATTCTTATCTCCAAAATCACTTTGGTTTCATTTGCTGGATCTCTAATTACCAGTTCAATGTTTTAAGCAGCATCCTTTTGACCTTATCTGTTCAAAAGCTTCAAGCGCTTGCGATGACCCACCTTGATGTTGGAGTAGGATTAAAATCAGCATCTGTGACTGTAAGTGAAAACGCTTATGTCGGCCTAAGTCATAAGTGATAAGTTACTTATCACTTATGACTTATCATAAGTAGATTGTTTTTTTCGTTCTCGTGTTTTAATTTCCTTCCGAATACGCTTTGCCTGCTTCGATGTTAATGCTTATTAATGAAATTAATGAAGTTTAATTAGCGTAAATCATAGCGCAAGTCACAAGTGTCGTTTGATTTTGAACGTACGTCACTGACTCGTTTGTAATTTAACCTGGCATCGTGACATTTTGTTCAAAAGCGCCTAGTACTCCACTACGCCGTGAGTGATCGTCAGCAGTATTACAGTTCTGGTGATCAAAAACCTGAAATTTGCTCTGGAGGTGCCTGGAACGTAGCCAGGAAATGCGAAGAACATTGATTCAATAAAAGTCTTCGATTATAATAATTTGGTTTCTGGAATTGAGAGTTAGAAAATTCCTGCCCATGTACGGGCAATGGCATCTTAAGACCTTGCGTTCATTTTCCATTGATTATTTTGTGAGCCAATTAAAGTGCGTAATACCGAATACGGTAATTCGAGTAATTATGTCTTTTAGATAATCATTTTTATCTAGGCCGGATTATTTGATTTTTGACGAAAAGTTCTTTTATTTTTATAATTTTTTGTTTTTTTATTAAGTATTTTTTTATTGTATAAATAAATTTACCGGTTTATCAATTTGTTATGGTTAGTGTGAGAATAACCGGTGAAGCTGAGCCACCAAATCCTTACTGTTCTTACGATTTCGCGGTTGCACCTTTTCTTCGCTGGCTGTGGTTTTGACGTGTTAACCACTCGGTGGTTTTTGGAAGATAGCTTTTGCAGATAAATTAATGCGAGGTGCATCTTTTGAATCCCTAAGAATGATCTGTGGTCCATTCTGTCTGATGTTACACTGACACACCGTCACAGTGAAAAATTGAATAGTATGTTGCTATTAGATGTTTGTGTAAATCAATAAGCTATGCGAGATTCTTGCCAGTTATGATGATTTTAATCTTGAGCATAATTAAACATTTTCGTGGATTTAGCGCATTACTTTCGTGCCGTATTGGCAAAATTAATATTTTTCTGTTTATGATTTTCGTTTTTGTGCAACGGATGATGAAATCCGAGTTGAAAAAGTACTTACTGCGCCATAATTTTGTTGCTCTTGTAGATCACGACGCCACGAACAAGTTTGAGGATTTCTAAGTGAGAATTGTTTGCACGGTGACACGAGTGGAGATCCAGAATGATTGGAAAAATTCGATAGCTGTTTGCAATTGTGAATGGCCTGATTCTTGTGGAACCCGGTATGCGTTACATCTATTACTTGGCACTGTGTTTGCAAAAGGATAATCATAACTCATAAGTATGTAAATCTTTTTTGCGGTATTGCGTGCGTGATCAGCGATTGTATCCTTTCACCATCGCATGGGCAATAACTTTGGCAGCTCAACTACTGTAATTCTGTGGCTGATGCGATCAATATATTTCCTAATATCCTTTAAAATTTAAATTGGTGCCTTCTCGCAAAAAAAAAGCTTCTTTTGCAAAGTTTGCTTCGCTTGTAGTGAGGAAATCAGGAGATTTGCTTTTCTCTGGCTTGGAGATCAGTTTAATTTTTTCGTATTTATTGATTCGTTCGGTAGTGATATTATCTCTTGAGTTTACTATCCGGTTTTTTAGCGTTGTCGCCAACGAGTATAAACTTTTGTTATCCTGGTTCGACTGGTGTCTCCGAATACCGTGTCAGACACGACTCTTGATTAGCTTTTTTAAAATATTCACTGAGCAAGGCATGAGAAGTAGTCCTGCCTGCACGGAATGGATTCAACCGGCGTTTCAGGATGCTGCGGCAGTCACGCATCAAATAGTTTAAGGACTTATCGTATTGGTTGCAGCCCGTTTGGCTTGGATTAAATGGCTATACTTCCGGCCGCTTATATGATTCATTAGCCCTGTACTGCACGTAGAATTTCTACGATTACTCCGTATAACATCGTTTGTCAGCCAAACGTAACCTATTTTGTTAGACAAGAACAATGACGGATCGTCCAGGAGATTGACAGGAACTTTGATTGTGCTTGTTAAACAAACATTTTCTTCGGTCATTTTTCAGTTGAATTGTTCCGTTGAAGCGGCATAGAACATTAGGAGTTTGTTATTGATATTCTACAGCGCATCGTCATAGCACATTAGCGTGTGAGTGCCCCATAAATTTTCGATTATGGTTTTTGTGGGACGTCGTCGAGTTTTTTCTAGGACATCTTGGGTTTGACTTGCTGCATTCCCATCGAAGTGTTCGTGCTGTAGATAGGCAAACATATAATTTGGTTTCATCGCTGTATGTTTTTGCAGTTTTATGAGCTGGTTTCTGTACATTTGTTATACAATAGTCACTGTGTTTGTTTACATTGCGTGATGCTGAATACTTTGTATCTAATCAGATTTTGCTGGCCACACAGGTATAGCCGCTTACTTGAGTGTGAGAACCCTCCGTTTTGTGTAACATCTCTCGTCCTTGCACGTGATTGCAATTGACATAACGCACAATTATAACGTCCCCCTAGCCGCAATTAAATCTCCTCTATGGGTGGATGTGCGCCGTCTAAAATGCCTAATGGTGAACAGGTGGACAGGAAGAGTTTCCGACTGGGTAATAATTCCACCGCGTTGCGTAAATCCAGTCACTCCGGCACGCCTTCTCTTAATGCATCAGAATTGCGAATAAAAACGCTTGCTGATACTGACGACACCTACGTGGAGGTTGTCAAAGGTGGGCGAAAAGATAGTGCTGCTGAAAGTGCGACCGGAAGCAACAAACATGGTTCATTCGATGGCCATTTGAATGGCTTGATGAAAGATGCCGAAAGCCAGACTATGCATTCGTCGCAGAATCATGTGAATTCGGGAATTCCCGGACCGAGAGGCGTTCGACCTTCGGGACTTCCAGCGGCATTCGCGCCGCGAGCGGGAGGGATTAGAGCTCCACTGGCTATCAGTGAAACTGCCTCCGAACTTGGTAAGAATCTTTTGCTCAGACTTCCAAATTACAGTACTTAGTTTCTCGGTTGGTCAAAGTCAGACTTTAGTCATTTCGGCTGCTTATTCACAAGTTCAGTTGGCGGTTGAAGTACGAGTATTTATTATATATGTAATTTCCTTCTCGATATGGGCGTTTCCAGCACTTCATTCATTCAGATGTAGCACTGCGGCCAAGGAAGATATGGGCTGCGCGCAACTCGTGGGCTACTTCGTATGCCTTCGTTGTATGATGAATGAACGCTGTGAAACGTTTTCAGGAATGGAAAGACTGCGGTCGTTGTAGATACAATTATTTGACCCTAATTTCTCTATGCCCGCTGGTGGTTACTACTTACTGCTCTTGTTCACTTTTATCGAACTGTTAACAGATTGTAAGATGCTTTATTACCGTTTCTCAGCTCACGCTCTCGTGGCGAGTTGACTTTCCGATAAAAACTCCATAAAGTTAGTTGAATGAAGTGATGAGGCAGCTTTTGCACTTGCCCCTGTATTGGGATTTGGGACTGATGTGGGTGCTAAAATATTGCTGGTAGGGTACGAGTGTAAATTTCGGATTTTGAGTATGTACGGTACAACGCGTAACTAGCCTGGAAGTTTTTTGTTCCTTCGTACTGTACCTGCGTACTGGGCTGCATGTGGTGTAACCGATCAAAATAAGCCTACATTTACGCTAATGACTAAATCACAGAACATAAGTTCATTGCACATTGAAGTTCTGTGAGTGCGTTACGTACAGTATTTCACTCTAGCAGCAATCAGAGTTGTTTAAACTGTAGGAACGCCGACACCTATGGATGAGAATAAAGCTTTCGGCAAACCATATCCTTCTAGTGCTTCTGTAACCGGCCAATTTAAGCCTTTGTCGTTTTCCGGGCAAGCCAAAATTCAGTTGGTTTATCCACCAAAACTGCCCACACCGACATCATCCATGCCGGCTGTTTCGCCGTCAGTCAGCTCCGCACCTTCTGCTTCGCACATACCGGGGCCTATATCGCGGCCTAAGGGCCCTGTCCCACTGCCTCCTGTCAGGTCGGTGGCTGCTCCCAACAGTTTACCGGCAAGTGGAAGGAATGGGACGGATAATGTGCCGGTCACCAGCGTTCCTTACACCACTATATCCGGCACTGCTGCAAATCCAGCCTACGTTCAGCGTAACGTGCACTTGGCTGCTAAAGAACAGTTCAGCAAACAACGCAGCACAGAGAGCGTAAAGGCAACTGCAATGGGAGTTGATGGGATTTCAGTGGAATCCGGCCCCATCGATAGTGGACGAGTGCGAAGTAGAACTGAAAGTGAGTTCCTGGCCTAAATCGAAGTTGCCCGCCAGCGTAAAAACGTTACCATAAAACTGAAATTATGCTGGTTTCCCTCATAGTTTGTACGTGTTGCAAGAACTGTTGAAAATTTTTTTAATTTTTAGACGTTATTTCGAGTACTTCATCAAGTAGCAGTATTCCTATTTCGACGAGCAAACTTACCGGTCCGAAATCTGGTTTGCGACCGCCTGCTTCATCTGTCGGTAGTGCACCGCGTGGACCTTTGGCGCTGGGTACTCAGAAACAAGCACCAGGACCTGTGCCTACAAAGCCAGTTAGGAAGTCGCCGCAGTCGGCAGCTGTTAATGAATTGGATATGCATTATGTGAATTCATTACCGACAGGTCCGGACCCATCGCCGGCGCTGTTCTATCAAAACCAGGAGGTAACGAAGATGTAAATCATGCTGAAGGAAAAAATTAGACCGTTACGATATAATGTGTTTAAAATATGGAGTGGACACTGGACACAAGAGTTGTTATTATTGCAGAATTATAGCCCAGTTTGATAATATATCTGGGCGCTGAACTTTAATATCGACAGTGCTCAGTGTTTTAGTGCGGAACAGTATAGTGTATTAAGCGCATTTTTGTTTTTTCTCAGCTGTGCAGTTAATTGCCTGGTGGATATTGCGGGTTCTGATAATGGTGACATTTAGATGCGAATATGGTTTTATTTTGCAGGCGCTGCGGCATTTACACAGTGCTAATCATCCATCAGTGTCATCAGTGCCAGTAGAGAGATTTTCGGGATTAAGTTTGGATGGTGCTGGGTACAGGGATAGCTTTCTCGATGATCATGATTACTTTGCTGGTGGAGAAGCGTTTGCAGAGAGGCCTAAGCAATTTTCTGTCGATGAGTACGCCCTAAAAGATATGATAGCCACATTAGTGGATGCTAAGAGCCTGGCCGAGGAGCTGCTGGTTATCAACGAAAAATCCAGTCTTGTGAGCGATGAACTTTGGCAATTTTCGTGGGCTGCTAAGTTTCTTATCAGCCATGGTTATAGGTTCTGAGTGACAATTTGGGAAGGAAAGTCAAGGATAAAGCAAGCATCAGTGCTGTGAAAGAAGATGAGCAGCACATCAGACAATTACTGTTACGACCGAGTGAAGACACTTTTCGTGTACGTATCGAGCTTTGCAGTTTTTATTATTGATAATCATCATGTGGACATTACATTGCATAAATTGTTTTTCTGTACTGTACGATTTTCGATGGACGGAAGAGAATTCAGTTGATGTTTTCTGAATGGTATTATTTATTTTGATGAGTAAACTTGCTTTAAAGTTGGTGGTTGTCCACTCACTGGCTCGCACCCATTTAAAATATGCAATGGCTGCGAATTTTCCTTGTTTTGTATCTTGCGTTTCTTTACAGGATCCGAAAAAAGCGTTGGATTTGATATTGCAGTTGCAAGACGCTTTACGGAGTGCGACAGGATTGTAATCAGCGTTCAACACACAATTTCGAGCTGTGATTTTGATATCCTTGTCAGTCAAATTTTGTGCCAACGCCAGCGGTGTGACCTTGTACAAATTTTATGATTAACATGTTTGAAGCTGTTACTGATTTTTCTTTTAACCTTTTTGTTTCATCTTTTACCGTTTAATGACTACGTCTTAAGATTTTACAGATTGCTTTATGAAATCAGACTTTTCAGTTGTGATATGAAGTTGTATATGGAACAAGATGTCCATTTTGCTGACCAATGGTTAAAAAGTCTGCTGTACTGAATAATGGATATTTAAATCATGCTGATTACTTTCGATAGGTTTTCACATCCCGATCGGTGTCATATAGATGTGCTGATTTTTATGGAGGCACGTAGAAAGAATTATGCAGCTTATACGACGGGAACTCTTATTTATTTTCTTGTTGCATTTTGAATGGTACGGGAAGTACTGTAGACCACCACGCACATGTTTTATTTTACTGCGCGCCGCATACAAGGGAAACGGATATATATGTGTTCGCAGACTATGGTGTAATACAGTAGAGAGGTGCACTGCACATAAGAAAAACGTAAGTGGTTTTGGAGGATTTTATTAGGGTTTGTGTTGATGCACCGAAAATTGGTTTAGAGATTAACTTTGCAAAGTGCGAGTTGTATATTTATGGCGGGACTGAAGCGGAGCAGCAAGACATTTATGACCGATTTGCCGTCGTCGCACCTGGAATTCAAAGGGTGACTCCAGAGACACTGGAGCTGCTTGGTGCTCCTCTTACGGACTGGTCAATCGGCCGCTGCTTGGACGGCAAAATTGACCAAATCAAAAAACTGACAGATTCACTGAGCGTCTTGCCGGCGCAGCAGGCGCTATTCCTCCTTAGAAACAGCCTATCGCTCCCTAGGCTTATGTATACGCTAAGAGCGGCCCCTTGCAACAAATATCCGGAGAAGCTAAAAGATTTCGACCACGTGATTAGGTCGAAAGCGGAAGAGATTACGAATGTTAAGATGGATGAATGCACTTACGGGCAAGCTACTCTGCCGGTCCAGTATGGGGGCTTGGGACTGCCTAAAGCCGAAGAAATCGCAACGCCGGCCTATCTCTCCTCGCTATATTCGACCGACGAATTAGTACGCACTATTGTGCCTGAAGATTGCCCCGATGATCGGTCTGACGTTGAGTTATACTGGCAGGAACGTACAGGAAAGGGTGCACCAGCGTTAGAAGACCGGAGTAACCAACGCTTGTGGTCGGATATGCTGACTGCCGGGAAACTGGACGCCTTAATGGAGAGTGCCGACGTTATTGCATCTGCTCGTCCGTTGGCTGTCTCCACTAAGAATGCCAGTGCCTGGTTGTTTGCGCTACCGGTTGCTAGCCTTGGCACATTGCTGGACGATGCCGGTCTGCGGATCGCTGTTGCTTTGCGGATGGGTGCACCAGTATGCAAGGAGCATAAATGCCGTTGTGGGGAAATGGTTGACGCGTTTGGCTTACATGGCCTGTCGTGCATAAGAAGCCAAGGAAGGTTCAGGCGGCACGCCAGTCTGAACAGTGTAATCCAACGGAGTCTGGGTTCAGCAAAGGTGCCGACAATCTTGGAACCGCCCGGACTAAGCAGATTAGATGGGAAACGGCCGGATGGCTTATCACTCTTTCCTTGGAAAAATGGCCTTCCTCTGATTTGGGATGTGACGGTTGTTGACACGTTCGCTACGTCGTATGTAGCCAGTTCATCAGAAGCCGCGGGATCTGCAGCTGATGACGCGGAAACACGAAAAAGAAACCTTTACTCGGAACTGACTGATCGACACTTTTTCGAACCAATCGCCCTCGAAACGATGGGAAGTTGCGGCGGTAGTACCCGTCATTTCATCAACGAAGTTGGCCGACGCATTAAAGAGCAAACAGGAGAAGCGCGCGCCACCGAATTTTTGTGGCAACGTCTAAGTGTGGAAATTCAGCGCGGGAACGCTGCTTCTGTTCTGGGAACGGTTGGGTGTTCTAAACAGCTTGAAGAATTGTTCTTTTTGTTCTAAATTGGTTTACCAAGTTCAAGTGTAAATGGCTTTTAGCTTGTACAATTTGTCAATAAAGGTAACTAGATGCAGAAAAACGTAAAACATCGTTGATGAGCCAGTTCATATGTGAAAAAAATGAAGTCAGAAGTGAGTTTTCTCCCATAAAATCGGCAGTGATTATTCCCTTTCATATTCCGACGGAAAGGCGAATTAATTGAATTTCAAGGTACCGCCCATTTTCCGACAATCGTATTCCAATTACTCCTGCAGTTTTTGCACTTACATCTGCCGGCATTCGCTCAGGGACACCTCACAATCCCTGGGTAAAGAATATTGTAATACTTAATTCGTGTGCATGGTGCAGTACAGCTTAAAACTACCATCATAATATTAAATATCACTAAACAATGTTTAGTGATATTAATAATGATTTTGGATGTTTTTTAACGTTTAAATTTTAATCATTTTGCTTAGTGTCGCCCAGCGCAAATTTGTTATGTGGAAGGGCTACTGCCGATTAAACAAATGTTTAAGGGCTATTGCCGATTAAATTAACACATGTTTAGTGATATTTTGCTATCACAGAACGTCCCCAAAATTCTAGTCTTTTACTTTTAGGGTTCTTGCAGTTTTTAAAGACATATTTTTGGCATTTAAACAAATACATAATTTTGTATAAAGTAAGCACAACTGCACAAACAATAACCACTGTAAACATTTTTCCCCTGTCAAGTTACATTATGCTCAAGCAGCACGCTTTATTGAGAAAACGTCATCATTATCGAAGACACGTCTAGTAAAAAAATGCGATAAATCAATGCAGCTTTAATTCGAACCCTCCGCCATTTCGACGACCCGACTGCTTATTAGATCCAAACTGAAAACCATCTACATTGTCAGCATCCACCGTTTCCTTGAACTGTTTGCCGCCGCTAGGTGGTTTCGGTGTGTTTTCCTGAGGACCTCGTGGTCCCTGTTCACTTTTTGCAGGCCATGTGGGAAACATATCCGGCGGCACCGGCTTAGGAGAATCCGTAAAATGCTGTAAATAGCACATGAAAGCTTAGTGCCAAAAGTTACGATAAAGATATCCAGCTAACATTATCCCATTCGAACAGTATGTAGTGCAATCGCGTATGGCTTTTTTCTTACTTTTTTTGTGCCTATTCAAAGTTGGGGAGATATCATTCGTATTTACAATGCCAGATCTAACTTTTACAGAAAAATCCGTTTCCACAAAAGTTACCACATGTTTGAGCGCCGTGTCCGCACTATAACGTTTAGCGGGGTTGTATTCCAACAAATGCATGAGCAGGTCATATCCACTGTTTGTTAATACTGTCGCTGGGAATCGTTTTCTCATTGTGTTTGTCGGGTAATTTGGAAAGACAGCCTGTTTTACAACGGGCAGTTCCGGATATTCGGGCCAATTGGCTTCGCTAGGGCTTCCAAGATCTTTAAAAATTCTGTATCCAAAAGGTTTTGATTATTACATACGCCAAACTTTCAAAAACATAATAACCTACTTATTGAGTTGCTCGCTTTCCGATTTCCCGGGGAACAGCGGTTTCAAAGTGAGAAATTCAGCAAAAATGCAACCAACAGACCACATATCCACGGCCGTGCTGTATTCCTTACATCCCAGCAGCAACTCCGGGGATCGATACCATAACGTCACGACAACCGGTGTATAGGGTTTGAGTGGGGATCCATATTCGCGTGCCAATCCGAAATCCCCCACTTTCAAAATCCCTTTATGACTGAGCAGGAGATTTGAAGTCTTTAAATCGCGATGGATAATCCAGTTATCATGCAGATGATGTACCGCATTGAGCAGCTGCTTCATCAGCGTCTTTACTTCACCAATTAAAAACGGACTAGACATCCGCTGCATCAGGGATTTCAGATCATGCTCAACAAATTCCATCACCATGTAGATCTTATCCATGTTATGTCCAACCACCACTTCCCGGATGGCAACAACATTCTTATGGTGGGCTTTAAGCAGAGTGCTCACTTCTCGCAGACTCGTAATGGGAAAGCCTTCCTTTTCTTTCTCCATCTTCAAACGTTTTAGTGCAACTACTTCATTCGTGCGCTTATCACGAGCTCGGTAAACCACACCGTATGTGCCTTCTTCCACCCGATTAATACATTCGAATTCATCAACGCTCCGACATCCTAAAAACCATGATAATTATAGGAGAACGGACAGGAAACAAAAGAAAATTGTATGAGAGATACAGCGCAAAGTGGGGATGAGCTGGATATATTATAAATGGATACGGAAAAATTCACACATAAAACAGCACAGTTATGGCGAACGTTGACGAAAATTACAGTTATGTAACGCACACATTTATATGTAAAACCAGTAAAACTTATGGTTAATAACAAACCCTGTATTGCTGGAAAATATGATGGCAAGCCGGAACCATCTGGAGTTGGAGTATCGTCTTCCTCAGGTGAAATATCTTCGGGGCTGGATGGTGGTGGCGGTTCGGCCAGGCCCATTGTGTCCGGTTCTCCTTCGCTGGCAAATCGTGAACGCACTGGCCCATACACCGGAGACGGCGCATGATCTGACTCCGGCGAACCGGTTTCGCTGGACGAGATGGAATCGTCGCTGTGTTCACTGTGTGAACCACTCACCGGGCTATCCTTCGGAGGACTTGGAGCAATTTCCTCCTGTTTCGGTCGTTTTGGACTTTGTCGGACTGGCTGGACCGTCAAGCTGCCCCGACGCTGCTCGGCTTCCTTAGAGCGTTCTCGGGCTTGAGCGTCAATCTCTCGCTGACCACTATAATAAGGAATGCATTATCTACAACCAAACTAACAACAAAAATTAAACCCAACATCTGCCATGAAAACAAATTTTTATAACGGGTTACAAAAATCAAAAAAATTATCTTGAACACCTTTCCAAACTGAAACGAAAAGCTTACACTATTAGTGCATCTAAACAGTTCAAAAGACAACGGTGCGGAACCTATGGGTGGAAAACGAAGCATCGAAAAATAAAATTTTTCAATAAAATTATATAAATATTAAATAAAAAATTTCTACAACCACAGCGGAAAATCACCTGTGACTTTTTCGTTCCGCTCGGGCTTGTTCCAGCTCTCGACTCACTGTTTTTTTACCATCCTGTTCTGGTTCTCTGCGCCTGTCCTCCCCACTCCTTTCGCCGCCGGGATGTCTCCCGTGACGATGATCGTGGTCTTGCTTAGGAGGAGCGTGAGAAACCCGTTCGTGGCCTCTGGAGTCGTCATCACGCTTGCGCTCTTTGGTGCGCTCTTCTCGCGGTGGTGAATTATGACGTCGCTTCTTGGACTGTTCTTCATTCACGGCCCCCGTCGCCTCGGGGACATCCTTTTGTGGCTTTCGCGACTCAATTGGTGGCATGATCCGCGGATGCTTTTCCCTGGGCCGATCGCGTTCAGCTCGATCAACTCGATCAGGTGTACGTGGACGGTTCGACTTTTCCTTGTGCTCAGTGTCTGTTAATAAGAACGAAGTAGTGTGACTCTCTGAATTTCAACAGACAATTAAAAATAATTCCTACCACGAGCTCTTCGGGAATCAGAAGAACCGCGACGGTATTTATCGTGGTCCATATTGGACTGAGAATGCTCGCGTGATCTCGAACCAGTTATCCGTAAAGCTTCCACGCGATTCAGGTTCAAAGAAGCATCCATTTCTCGTCGAGCAACATCATCATCATCGATTTCGCCCTACAAAATTAGTAGCCAGGTATGAGAAAAAATTACCGAAACTATTAGATAGTATAATATTATTGCGATATTTGTTTTAAATTGTATTATGATGCCATTATGCCATTATGCCTTATGGCATTATCTAATCGTGCTGCCCATACCTACTTCAGGTACTACCGTACTGGATGAAGACGGAAAATATATTCAAAGTCAGTACTCAGTACCTGTTCCGGAGAATTTGAGAAAGTAATACGAGGATGTTGTTTGCGCCCCGCCATTTAAACGTCTGCGTGACTGTGCCAGATGTTTATCCGTTTATGGGAAGTCAGGATACTTGATCTGGAACACAGCACCGAGTCCACGTACTCGTGGTCGTGATAAACAGATAAAGTAACAAATCGCTAAGGTGTTGACCCCACAAGGAGATGCTATTTCAGCATCAAATCTAAGATTTTGATAATGTCTGTTTAAATCGATAAAACAGTTTAAAGTGTATATATGACGAAAAAACAAAAACCGAAGGTAAGAAAAATTTACTTAAATTAACTTTATTTTTAACAACCGAATGAAAATCAAAATAGCCCCGAAACGGCGTGCTGCGAGCGCGCAGTGCAGCGGACGACGCTCAGTCCTGCGGTTTAAGCATCCGCCCTAGAAGTTAATTACACGCGTCCCCGGGAAGCGCAACCGCACAGGGGGGAAGGTTTACCAGGCGTTTTGGAATATTTTTGAAAACTTTTGTAGACTTTGTGCTTTTGCAACTTCCATTAAATTCAAACGAATGATAAATTATAAAACGGTTACTAGTACAACCGTAGTGGTTTACGAAGAATATTGATCTTTGTTATTACTGAACGGCCGAGTCATATTTCACTTTCTAGCGAAGTACGATGGATAACGAGGAATTCTACACGAAAGCGTCAGAATACTGGTCCGCCATTCCCGCAACCGTCGACGGAATGCTGGGTGGTTTGAGCAAGTTGTCTCCAGCTGACATTTCCTTCTCTAAAGATTTCCTGTCCTCATTTATCTACAATGGAACAAGTCCCTTATCCACAAACGCAGCCCTGGATGTCGGAGCGGGCATCGGTCGCGTAACGAAACACTTGCTGAGCGGTTATTTTACCAGAGTAGACATGGTGGAACCCGATCTGCATTTCACAGAAAAAGCACCGGCTTACATTGGTGCGGATACATGGAAGAAAATCGGCCGCGTATTCACTGTAGGTCTCCAAGATTTTCGCCCGGAAGCGTCTGATTCCGGGGACAGAGCGCTGTACGATTGCATCTGGTGCCAGTGGGCACTTTCTCACTTGCGCGACGACGATCTGGTAGCCGCGCTGAAGCGATTGCGCCAGGTCTTGAATCGGACGGGACATGGGATTATTTTTGTTAAAGAGAATATGGCAAAGCAGGAGGATGAGTTTGATGAAGCCGACAGCAGTGTAACCAGAACGCGGGAGAGTTTCTTGAAGATTTTCAGCCGAGCGGGCTTGACTGTGATTAAAGAGGCCAAACAGCCGAAATTCCCCACGGAGCTTTATGAAGTCAGGTTGTTTGCGCTGTCCTAAAACGGCAAAATGATCACTGCTATCGCTGATGGGAAGATTTTCTGTGATAGAATACGCTGCAGATAAACCGCGGTGAAGTGCGATGATGTTTTCCACATTTGTGCATTTGGATTTTGGAATGTTAATTAATGGCGCTTGATCGCAATAATGGCATGGAAATATTTTTCCTATTATAAAAATATATGTCCTGTATGTATATGTCCTATATGTTCATTGAAAGTTTAAGTACTGTACTATAACATAACTTAACTTAATACCCGTAACGTTGTAATGTAATTAAATGTATGCCAACACCTTTCAAGTTTTTAATAAAAAACTCGCACAGTTGTGCGAACCACCAACAGGGAACAGAAAATACTACATACGCATTTATGTATTGTAACAACTAACAAGTAACAGCTGCACTTTCTTCTAACTTGTAAATAACGTTTTGATCAACTGGTACGGGTAGTACACCAGATGGCCTTGTTAGTTTTTTGTGTAGCATAAAATTTTCAGTTGTAGTTCGACGAAAACATTCTTGAGTGTCCCATTCCATGTAACCATAACCGGCTCGGGTTAACATCCGTCAGTGGATCCATGTTTTTTTGTCCTTAAACTTCTAAACTTTCACATAATATGTCACACTGCAGAAGCTTTCAAAACTTCTACACAAGTACCAGTGCCTACTGGCTATCTGTAATTACTGTGAATACTCTGAACAATCACAATAGTTTGATCACTTTGATGTGTAGTGACCGCAGGAATTGGTTAATTATTTTTTTGAACATACGGCACAGTGACAATAGTCTGTACAACTTAACGATGGCGTACACAACACACATCGGGTTACCTTTAATTGCAATTGCGTCTGAACTCTCAGTCAGCCGGGGATTTTCAACATACGTTTCCCGAACACAGTTAAAGTTTCGGGGAGAACAAGTTGACATTACGGTTCACTAAATCTTTAAACAAATTACTGACGCCGTTGAGAATTTCTGTTACAGAAGCAACCTATTGTACAGATACAGTACAGTACCAACCAACCTACACTGTCAGATGTCTGCCATACAGTACTGTTGACGCAGCTGCATTGAGTGCGTTCCCGCCCTTTTTACCGGTAACGATGTGGATAACGAAGATGCCGTCAGGATAATCTTTCCCTTGGTTGGTTCTTTTTACAATGGCAATTACTAAGGGATAATATAAGGCAAGCCCGAATGAGGATTCGAGAGCCGTCACTTTTCTGGTCGTATTACCAACGGTCGCACTGACTGACATTTCCAGGTTTTCCCAACGATCACGGTTACAGCAAGTGAGAGCACCCTATCGTAGTACTACAAGGTCAACATTCATACCTTGACCTTTGAATTTTTATCGGTCGTCCAGACAAATCATTTAGGGTCCTCCAGCATGCAGTTTCTGTACAATTTGGAGACGACGGTTTTCAACCGAAAAGGTGCCGCCATCGTTCTGATTGGCATCTGTATGCTGGCATCGAACGACTGCGCACAGGGTGGTTTTGCCCGATCAGCGTCAGGGAGGATGCGGCGTCTTGCAGGTAGCGTGCCTTAAAGACTGTAAAATTCAAAATATGCCCGACGATTGCCCGTATCCATTTTTTTTGCAGTGGGTGATTATATGCAAGTCACATTAAATACAGAAAACAATGCCGCAAATTTTATTGTGGTTTTGTATGTAATTCGCATTGCAGAGTATGTATCTGTAAGGGCCTAAAGGATCGCAGGTTACGATTGCCTCGTAGAAAAAACATTAATTACGCTGAATTACACAAGAGCTCGTAACGTCGCATTGCCTGGTTTCATAACGTTAGAAAAAAGCTTGAAAATGTTACACTGGATTAAATGTACTCGTCATCACCTACGACTGGGTGCAAAGTCGTTATCTTATGGCTGCATTTACTGATTTTCACAGCCGAAATGAGGTATACAATGATAAGTACCACATTACGAGCAGCTGAAGTAGTGCGCATATCATGTATAGTACGGCAACATGGTATTCGAAATTATTACTCGTACAAGCGTAATTGACAACGGCACAATCGCTAATGAGGTGTGATTTCGGCTCTATTGTGTCATTTCAGATGAGACGCTTCGCAAGGTTAAGCATATGCGTCTATGGGAAAAACACCAGTGCAGTCCACATTTCAACGTGTATACACTCTTCTACTTGTTTTTTTCAAGTACAATCAAAGAGAAGTTATTCAGCACAAAAATTACTATAAAACTAAACTAATCTTAACAATTTGAGCTATCCCAGCAAAATGTCACACTCGGTTTTATGCGTAAGTAAATTATGTCCCAAGTTATAGCTCTTGCCATATACACGTAACCAGGGCGGCGACTTCTCTGTACTTGCATGGATTTTGATTTACTCTTGTACAGAACTTGTGAAGTGCGAGCGTCGTTTACTAGTTGTTACTCGATTGTGAAAAGCGATTTTTGACAAGTTTTTATCAACGACTTACAAAGTATACTGTATATATTACAGATCAGCACTTTCTACAATTTATTACCCACTTTTCAACTTTTATACAAAAATGAATTAATGTTGACAAGTTTAAGCGGAACGTTGGAGTGTCGCAAAACAGTAACGTTGTCGATTTTGTATAAACTTCAGCTCATATTATCACGTATTGTGAAATGTTCAAACCGCGATCTAAATCTAATATCAGCGATTTCGGTGCATGATGTTTCGTTTAAATTATAAAAATTATTATAAGTAGTTATTAAGTACAACTAATAGTAGTAACTAGCACTAACTACTGGCAGTCTACTGCTACTCTGTAATATTACAAAGTATCTGACGATGAATTATTTATATCCAGTATATCCTGAAGATATCCCAGACGACGCATGCCCGCCCTATGAGATCCAAAATAAACTTTTATTTAGCGCGCGTTTTTAGATAATCTCAGTCATTATTAACATTTGCTGATGCAACCATTCCATAAGTTAAAACCATTTACTGGGGAATACTTACCGTTAGCACAATTCAAAAACAAAATATACTCGTATTCACTTTCAAATTCTGCATAGCATCACACAACTACAGAGAGCAGATATCATAACTTCAACAATAAACTCTCAAACAGATTTGCACCATGTTAGTGTCAATTATAACTTTATTTAATTAACCATTGTTATAAAAAAGATATTCAAAGAAAAATGGCGTTGAAGCAAGTTGTTAGATCGGATTCGGAATGGAGTTTTGCATATGGTTGTTCAGAAGTCCTATATGTCTCGCGATATTGTCTCATCTGAAATGACAATGGCTAGGCACGCTACGCCTCGTATACCCTCGGCACGCCTGATTGTGCCGTTGTCAATTAGGCTCTAAAAATTTCGTATTATTTATAGATAAATATTTACAATATAATTGTTATTTCGAAGATTAATTGTGATTTGTGATTATGGGTTTGCTCTTCAATTCGTGTCTGCTATACTATGAAAAGCCTTCTGTGATATTGCACCCTTTGGTTCATAACGGTTCGATGCACTGAAGGGCTGATGTAAGCTTTAATCAGCCAGACGCGGCGCAGCTGTGATTTTAAAAGCTGAATGCAAGCCCGTTTTCAAACCTGTAGACCGCTGTAAGCGCGACGCAGTGAATAAGCGCACAGTTAAAGGCTAGATTTTATCTTCTTTACACTGGATGCATTGGCGTAGAGCACTCAGTCTATCTCATACTTGTCTCTCTCACACACCCCTCACACCGCAGTGGCGTTAATGACCAATACGCCGTGACGTGCCGAAGCACCTTGAATGGCTCAAGCCCACGTTTTTCAAATATCCCGCTTACAGCGGTCTACAGGTTTGAAAACGGGCTTGTGGATAATGCATCAATACCTACAACTGTTAGTCTCGTGACCGTACTTCATTAACGGTTTTCGAAAAAATTTGCTTTGGCGCACGCTGCTTTGATTTTTTTATGTTTTTGGTCAGTAAATGGTGGCACACCAGTACGAAAGGTCACCAAGGGTTATGCCTTATGCGGCTGATAAAGAAGGGAAATGGAGCATTACTTTTATTTTTTTTAACAAAATATTCTGTAATTTAGATAAAAAAAGCTCGTAACTGATACTTTAGGTAACGACGTATGCCGCACGTCTCCCTCTTGTTCACTTCAGTGCGCAGTTCTCATCACGCTCCTAGCTCCAAGTAAATTAGAGTGATATCCTTGAGGATATCTCGAGATTGAGCGGTACACTAATTACAGGATATTTTGATATACCGCTCGAAAAAGCGATAGCTAATTAACTGGAGATGATAGGTGATGATACCCAGTAATAAGGCAGCAGTAACCGAGTTGTTTGCCGCTGTATCACGTGCCAGCAAGTTTGGCACGTTGGGATAATGATAAGTTATACTACTATATATATGGCTATTCTCGGACTGGCAGAGTAACGAAAACATCTGTGCTCGTGTGTACGCAGGATACATTCCACCTGATACCCTTCCGGATCAGATTGATTTTGATCACACCGCCACCTTTGTCAAACGACCGGCCGGCGAGGACGCTCCGGGAATGAGCTATCAGGATCTAAGGTCACTCCTGCGCCTGCAACCATTAGTGTCGGAGGCGGATGCACTTACTCCGGGAGAGGGCCGAAAGAGTACTTGGTATCTTGGATAAACTGCATGTGTATGTATTGCATCGCATGGTTATGAGTTTTGCTAATAATTATGTTTCGAGTGCACAAAATTTATTGCTGCTTTAAGCTTAACAGGGAGGTGAATGGTGAGCTACAATAATGCTTGATTGAGCGTAATTGTGTTTTCTTTATCAAATTTTCACTCTTCCTGATCTTGTGGATTTTACTGACAAGACATTTATGTGTTACCATTGAGCAGTTTGTTATTGCTGACCGTAGCCATCGAGCAAACCGCTTTGATTTGTTGTTCACCCTAGGAAATTAATTTTGTAGATATTACGTTGCTTCTCATAGAAATATCAAATTTGTAATTGTCTGCGTGTCTAGTAATTTGCTAACGTAATTCCTTCTGGCGCTTGATATTATGCAATAAATCTGCATACTGTTCAAATAATGTCAAGGTTTCTACCAGTTTGAATCAATTGACCATTACACTACATTACAGTCTCTCCAAATTGATTATCATTGTATTTGCCGTGCATGGAACCACGTAATCATGCAACGTATGATCAAGCATTTACGGTAAAACCGTAAAAGTTAATAGTAATTCTCTGTTACTTATTTTACCGGCTCCGAGTTAATGATGAAACAGTAAAGAGCACATAGACATGCCGAAACACTGAATACCTGGTACAGTCAGATATCAATGGAAATTTTAGACGAACAATTTATGTTCGGCGTCAGCAATACATACAATGTTTTTTCCTGAGCATAACATCTGTGGTTGGAAGTTGCTAATGTGTTACTCTACTTTATCCGTCGGCTGAAACAGCCGGTAGTTGGTATTTTAACAACCCTAAAGTCGAAGTTTGTTCTGGCAATTTTCGTCTGGAATTCTCTGACGTCAGCAGGCAAAAGGCCAGATGCTATTCAAAATATAACCCAACAGTAATCTAAATATACCGTCATTGGTATAAGTATGTACAGTTATCCTAGTGCGGTTCTTCCGCCGCATAGTATGCACAGAATCAAATGCAGTTTTTTCATACGTTCGCATGACGAACGGAGTTGCTGATATGTATTCAGATTTGGACGAGTATGCAATGCAAATTGTTCCAAGTTTTCCCGCGACTAACACTGCCACATCGGCGAGGAAATCAGAACGCGGTCTGCAACAGCAGTCTGCAAAGAAACCGGCAGATGTATGTTTTTTCTAAACCTTCCTGTTATACGCCACATACAGACGGTCACATTGTGCCATGTTCTGGTCCGTGTTCCTGATCGTGTTCGATGGTGACAGCTTTGCAACATGAGAAGTCAAATGTTGTACACTAGCAGCGCATGTGGCACTTAATTAAACCCATCAAAAACAGATATTACTGTATTCACGGATTAATGTAAACCGTTTTGCTTGTGCAGTGTGCACCATTACTGACAATCTCTGTATAAATTATTGAAAGATTTACTGTATCGGAAACCGCTGTGGTCGGCCGCAATATGGCGGAGAGTGACGAGTCGCTTGATGTGACTTTTACAATGGGAAAATTGACCCTTGGCGGCGCAACAGCCACTTCCGGTCTGAATTCGCCCAAATCAACGGCGCGACCCCGCATCGCGCTCACCGCCACCGACAATGTCTGCGCTGACTTTGTCTTTGAGACGCCCCGCGTGAAGGAGCCAGTCGCCACCATACCCACCAGTATCCATGTGGAACGACTAATCAAGAAGCCATCGACGCGCCGATTTCGCCGTAAAACTACCGTTTTCCGCAACAAGGACAGATTCAAGCTAGAACAGTTTAATTGGCTGAAAACGGTAGGTAAGTGCCCAATATCAAACCGCTTTTATTGTCAATATTACCAACGTATTCGACACGCACTGTGCTTGCATGTTGTGAATAGCGCGGCACTAAAGTATACCTATGTACACAATTTTCATATACTTGGGCGCCATCGTGTGTGTTTAACTTGCCGGGAAAATTATGTTTACTAAGGACTTTAATGATCGTTGGCTGTTTTTCGCGTCTGTAATAGGGTTTTTGACATCTATATATGCGGTAGACATACACCGCTACTTCTGCTTGAGTCAGTTTATTACAGTACTTGGCGCTTTGGCTTTCTTCATGTTCTTTGCGTTTGTGCCCGTGTGCCTTCTCTCAAACTTGACAACATCAAGTGATTGATGTTAGTTTTGATCACATCAAGAGAAGTGCGATAACTAACACTTAATCATTTTAAAGTTATTCCTTCGCCCCATCCATTCAGTAGCGCTCACTATCCGAATAATCAAAACTGTAACATTACTATTTTACTATGGTTATATGTACATTCGCTCTCTCTAGGATAGTTTCTTCTCATTTATTCTATCGTCTTTGCACGGGCGTAATCTCACAGCACAAGTGTAAAGCAGTGTTTTACTTTTGGAAAAGCACCCCGCCTAATGCGCAGTGCACAGCACCACAGAAAATCTGAAAACAAGCCGATGAAAAGACAAGCATTACGTTAACAACCCGAGAATTTGCCATAAACTATATTTATGCACAATATGTCTATTCGCAGCTTAACTCGGGTTAAGTAACACTAACCGTCAACATTCTGAAAACATTAAGGGTTCATGAAAATGTATTACGATCTTGCATAAACGCAACAGAAGACAAGATTTGCCCGGAACAGATGGCGAAGTATGATGACTGGGTCGGAAACATAAGACTACACTACACACGTCGACCTATTACGCACATTGTATGCGTGTTTTCTTTAAGGAAGAAACACATCGCTCTCGACGTTAAAATTCGTCCTCGTTACCAGTTTATTGCTTTAATAAATCCAGTTCGCCTGTCAGGCGTAATTAGCGAAACAGGGCAACCGGAACCTTGAAATTAAAATGAACTAGCACATAGTTGTTCGCCATTCTTGTTCGGTATCTATTGTCATTGGTTTCGCTCGAATTTTGCTCTGAAATTAAATATTTTGTTGGATTTTGGTTCATGCGTACAGCGTAATGTTCTGCAATGCATAAAAAATGTGAATAAAATATAACGGTTATTGCAAGGAAATTCAAAACAATATCATAGATACTTACTGGGTGGCAGTTCGTAAAGAAACAATTCACCGGGTAATGAACTGTATATCGCATTTGTTTGACACTTTAAAATTTCAAGAAATTGAGGTTGGGAAGTAAGCCGGCGGCAAATTAAGCAAAGCAAACTGCATAAATTCGTTGCTACGGTGGATAAAAATTATTCCATATTACCACATGAAATATATTTATTAAGCCGGTCGCGGTTGTAACAGTAAAATTGTGTCGCTTGGTTATGCAGGAACCGGGACGTTTGGTAGAGTGGTCCTTTGTGAAGATGCTACGATAAAAGATGATGAAAACTCCAAATACTATGCAATGAAAATACTGAGGATTAGCGATGTTCTACGGCTGAAACAAGTGGAGCATATAAGAGATGAAAAAGGCATCCTGGAGGTACATTATTAAGTTGATAATTGCTATGCGCACTCAAATTCATCCCTACCGCTGCATAAGGTCATCAAACAACAAATGCTGATTGCTATAATGCACACCAGTAGGTTGGAGTCCTCATTACCTGGATCCCCGCGGCCGTACTTAAAACGACAGATTGTTGCCTTTAATATTTAAAGTGTTTCCATTTATTTAATGTTATAATGATGTAGTGATTTGTAGGCATATAGCACCATATATAGAATTTTTTTTATTTTTATTATTTTGCAACAGAGCACTTTTTTATTTGTGCTTTTATTTACCTTAATTACATTGCATTGTTCATATTTTAGCAACTGGACCATCCTTTCATAGTCAAATTGTAAGTACTCGTAGTTCAATGAGTTGCACCAGAACACAGAGTGTCACCTTTATGAATTTCCTTCATTTATGACTTAGGTTATGGACACAACACGATTCTGCAAATCTGTATATGCTGCTGGAATACTCTCCTGGTAAGAACAATGTCAGAATCTACAACATAAAATTTCTTAACACACTGTGAACCTACTACTTGGCAGGTTTATATTAAGTCCAAAATGCATAGCGAATGTTTATAAAATGTCGACGCATTTAATAGGAAAATTGACTAATAACTTACTATGAATTAAATGCAGAAATCTATTCAGATGCAATTTGGACGGGGATGACTGCAGTTGCCGCTAATTTAAAATTATTTGCTGCAGTGTTATGTGAATGTGCAATTAAGAATTCCACGCAAATATCGTTATCTGTTTATTGTCTGTTCAGGAGGAGAATTGTTTGGTTACTTGCGTTCCGTTAGAAGGTTTACCAGTGGAGGAGCAATGTTCTACGCTGCAGAAATTATTCTTGCCCTCGAATACTTGCATGAACGTTTCATTATTTACCGTGATCTAAAACCTGAAAATCTGTTGCTGGATGCTGAAGGTCACATTAAAGTAACCGATTTTGGATTTGCCAAAGAAGTCTCAGACCGGTAAATAACCGTCCAAGGAATATTTTAGTATACATACAAACACTGACCATTATAGCAGCATGCAGCAGAACAAGTTAACCTTTAATTTAATGCACATGCATGGCAAATCTTGACATTCGGGTTTAATTTCCGTAATATTTAGATATGCACAAAGATTACTCAGTTATTGTAAATATTAGCTGCAAGTCAAAACAGTCGATTAATCAGAATCAACAGTCTTTTGCCTTGTAACTGTTACTTATGCACTTATTTATTACTTTGGATTGAAAGTAAAATTGCATTATTGTCCCGGATCGGTATAGCACTTGGACCCTGTGCGGCACACCGGAATACCTTGCCCCGGAAATAATTCAAAGCCGAGGATACAACAAAGCCGTTGATTATTGGGCATTCGGGATCCTTTGTTTTGAGATGCTAGTTGGTCATCCACCGTTTTATTCCGATAACCCTATCGAAGTGTACCAAAAAATTTTGGATGGAAAAATTCGCTGGCCTAAACAAATCGATTTAGTAGCAAAGTACGATAAGCAGCTAAAATCTGTAGGTTTCATATGCTCACGCAGTTACCCAGAAATTGATAATAATGAGAACCTTATTGGTCAAAGACAATTTTATAATTACATTTCATACGCTTCTTTCCAAGCACGAAGCTGGAAATATTTCATTAATCTAAATAAACAGAACATATACTGCGTGCAGGTGTATCGTGGGCAGTTCGTTGGTAAGCATACAGTAAGACAACCACTGTGGACACTGTGTTTGCAGGGATCTCATAAAAAAGCTTTTAACTGCCGATCGGACCAAGAGACTGGGGAATATGAAGGTGACGTCATTCAGTGTTGATTTCTAGTTGTTGTTTCTTCTAACGAAGCACCATTTACTTCACAGAACGGGGTGGAGGACATAAAAGGTCACCGATGGTTCCGTCCGATTAACTGGATTCAGTGCTTAGAGCGCAAACTGGAAGTGAGTAAAAGTCACACGTATTAAACCAGCACAAATACACTGACAAGCAGCAAACGGACTTCTCTTACGTTTAACATACAGCTGTAATAATTGATTATGAAACATGTGGCAATGAATTTCGACTCTTAATTACGCATGTCGGACGGGGGAAATATGCGTTCAGCTGAACTGACGGCATTTTTATTTTAGCCACCTTATGTACCGAAAGTGGGACATCCTGGTGATGCGAGAAATTTTGATGACTATCCGGAAGATTGGTCGGATAGCGACTCATCCGTCACACCCGAACAGCTCGCCATATTCCAAGATTTTTAAATGTCGGCAGGTTAAGAATGTGTGCGCTTGGTTGCATACCATTACCCGAAAAAAGTCGCCGCTGTCTCTTTCTCCATCGCGGCGCTCGTCATCCGTTTTTAATTCATGTATTTTCTTATGGTTCTCTTTATGTACCATTGGAGAGTGATCTTTTGGTGTGCCTAAAATAGGTTTTAATTTTGATGTATGCCTTCAACTTTTCTGCAGCTTGACGACTTAATAGTGCTATGATTTATGTCTGTAGAATTAGCGTGATATCAGGCGGATGGTGACTGTATCATTCGAATATGTGCCTCTAGAATTGGAATACATACACTCATAAGTGCGAGTAAAAAGTTATTATGAAATAATTATGTTAAAGCAAACTCGATTTTTGGCAGAAAAGGTTTTAGCAGGATATATAAAAATGACTTCTAAGAACGATATTATCCGTCGCGGCTTCTACATTTTACAATCCAGAATTTTGATGCACAAAACGGGCAAAGACCAAAGCCAAGCAGTTCTCCTGGTCTTTTTTAATAAAGTTTATGACATTTTTCGGTCAATACGAATTACTACTTGTTTAGGTAATTTATAACCGTTTATGCTAAAGCGCCTGTTGACGTCAACGAGATAACATAATACGGATACACTGGTTGCACGTAGGCACAATGCATTCGCACGAACACCGCACCTATTCTTACGATACTAAAAGGTCAATGGGCTACACGTTTCGTTGAATACAATATGCAGTATAGGACATTGATTGCATTGTGATTACAAATCATTAAACACGATTTATATCACCAACATCCTATTTAAACATATTATTGCATTTTTGTAGTAGTCCATTTTGCACTGCATATAACAGAGTTTATAGCTGTTTTAATAGCGTGCTGGACATAAACACGGTTATTCGCTATAAACGGTTAATCGTTGTACAGTACATTTCGTATAACGTTATATCGGTCGCGGGCATCGCTCAGAAGATATCAGTTAGAAAACCCTAGCACAATTTTTCAAACAATATTTTGGAATAGATAATTATTTCCTACAATGGAACTACGAAACAAAAGTGCATTTGCTGTGTCCATTTCAGCCTTGTTGATATTCGCAGCGAGCCGTAAGGAATGCCCCACAACTCTTGCATGTCAATTTCTTTTTGACTTGAAGATCGATCGTCTGCTGATTTGAATTGATTTGTCATCGCATAATTAATTCAGTGTAGAAAACCTTTTAAGCTCTTGGATAGATTGCTAGCTTAATCGGTTTGTATTTTTGCGGCAGGTATCAAAGGTCAGTTCATACAATGCTGTAGTGGCGCCAGCTGCGGCTCCTGTCAAGCAGCGATTTTGCAGTCCATCTGCTTAAGCGATGCCGGTAGCAACTGGATTCCCAACAATCCATCATGCAACGCAGGGGACGGTTGTTGTATCCCTCCGGGTGGCGGTGTGGGACCCGTTACCACCCAAAACCCGTTTCAGACAACGTTACCCTGGTGGCTGACGACGACACAGAATCCCTTCTTCACCACTGCGCCGCCCTGGTGGCAGACCACGCAGCCGTGGTGGCAGACGACCCCTTTCAATCCTTTCCAGACCACTCTCTTCCCTGGTCAACAGGGTATATGTTCCGGTCGCATCGTGCGCAGCAGTTCAGTCTCGGCATCCGGCGTGGGCGTGTCCGTCTTCGGCGAAGCGTCAGCCGGCGATTCCCAGATTGTCAGCCAGTTTATCCGCGGAGGAACGGACAGTATTTTCAATGTTAATATTAATGATACGAAAATTTCCCGCGTAAAGAGAATTGTTGGAGGGGAGCCGGCGGTGGACGGGCATCTCTGCTATCAGGTTGCCATCATTTTGGCCACTAACCAACAGTTGGTTGCCACCGGAGCGCTGATTGCCGACAATTATGTCTTAACCAGCTACAGCTCCATTTTACGGTAGAGTAGGCATTCAACTTCAAAAACTTAATATCTAGCAAGAGATTTCAGATTTCAGGTTTGTTTCCAGATTTATTGCAGGGCCATAATAACAAATTCAAAAGCGCTTTATTGTACAAACTAAATGCATAAACTTTGTGCAGCAAAAAATTCTACTCCAGTAAAAGATGCACGTAAAATAATAGTTTTTCCTATGTTTTGATGAATCATTTGCTATTTCTTGTTAGTGCGGATCCGACGGGAAATAATTTACGCCTTATTTTGGGTGGCAAAGCCTCTGTTATACCACAGTTCGGAGCACCCGCAAACACCGCATACCGTGTCATCCGCGTGATTCAGCATCCGAATTTCATGCAACGTTATGGTCCGGGATTCCCAATTAACGATGTCGCACTGCTGCAGATTGATACAACGTCGCAGCCGGTTCAACCTAACACGGTTTGTAAATTGTGCTTGGCTCCCGTTGTTCCAGAATTGCGACGGGTATTCGTCAGTGGATATGGATCACAGGCTGAAAGTAAGCATTTTCTTGAATTTCTTCTACAAGCACGTTACAGTACTACGTATCACTCTATGGTAAAACGTATCATCATGGAACTATTATATTGCTGCAGATGTGCAAGTACCAGATGGTATCCTCAGGAGAGTCAGCGTCCCATTAATTCCTAAACCAGTCTGCCAGAACGTCTTCAAGACAATTTTCCCCCAAAATTTTGTTTTTGACGCTAATTCCATGTGCGCTGGAGGCGAGCCTGGTCGCGATACCTGTAATGTGAGTTTTTGATCTCACATTCTGCCGATTTATAGTGCCGGGGTATTTGACGATTTTATTTGTTCTACAGAAAGATGGAGGAGCTCCATTGTGAGTACGGTGTAGATTCTGCAGTTTTCTGACTGTCACTGAGAAATTAATTGCTGATTCCAATCCAAACGCTTTACATATTAGTGACTATAAAACTGTGACCTTTAGAGTGGGAGAAGACTTCCAGAATAACAGGTTTCTTCTTGGAGTATCAAGCTGGGGTTATGGTTGCGGACGTGCAGGTGCGGTGATCTATACACGTGCATAATTGGTTACACTGAACGCAGATGCAGATAAATCATTGTAATAACTGATGACCTTTGGGGGTGCAGGCTACCCTGGTGTATACACCAACGTGACCTCCGTAGCGTCGTGGATAGGATCCGTTACCTCTTTTCTGACAATCAGCGGTCCCTCCGGAAATGGATAAATGGCGTACTGGAGTACATTAACTGGATGCACTTTCGAATCCCAATTTTCAATGTATTATTTATCCTTACCTGCTGTTGCACATAAAGTTACAAATGCGTGACCGGTCTGTAATATTCTGCTTTGGTTTCTCTCTTTGCGTTCATGCTAAACTACATTAATTTAATTAAAAAAGCTTGAAAATTTATGCCATTCAGTAAATGTTGTGTCCGGAAATAACAGTGTGTACAGATACGGGTTAGTAAAAGCGTGAGTACTTCTGTTGACAAAAGTAAGTACTGGGAAGGTCATAGTCTGGAATTTATAAAATGCCCAAAATTAAAATGCCCATAATTAAACATCGATATCTGTTAGAGCCTTGAAGGCTGATACTGGACTTATCAACCGCAGAATAATGACGATGCCAGTCAAGATCAGCGATAGAGGTAACAGCCGCTATCATTAAATTTTCGGCAAAACTTGTAAGCGCGTTGATAAAAACAGCACAAAGACCCAAGCGTAACTATTAGAATATTCTATACTGCTAACTGTACTATAAGTTGAGGATTATTGTGTGTTTTTTGTCACGTCGAAAATAGCTGTTACCGTAGGTCCGTCTCGCTTGCTTGATCCGAATGCCGGACCATTGGTTACTAATGATTAGTACTGTAAGAAAACGCACAAATCATATTGTTGCAATATTAACCGCAATATTTAAAAGCTTCGTGTGTGATACTGCAGTTATTTTCACAAAATGCAGACGCACTGTGTGATGTTGGTTTTAACCATGGCTGCGACGTTCACTGAATGGGATCACTTGGTGGACGCCCTGGATCACCGTTATGTTACGTTCGAAGCTGTGACAAAGGTTACCACACAGCTGTCGCAAGACTTCTGCACAACTTACTGGAATCATACTACAGTCCCTTGTATTTTCTTGCACAAATATGCCGGTGCCACACTGGAATATCTCGCTTCACAAATCGTCGACGCTGCTCAATTTGTCGATTCCGTTTCCAGTCAACGAAAAGATGTTCCTGCATGGCACGGAGCCGGTGGTCAGTTTAGCGATATTACAGAACGCCTTCGAACCGAATACGCCGACACTGCTATTTTGGCCGCGCAGAACGGCAGGTATCCGGAAGCAAGGGTCCTCATTGGTCAAACGCTGCATCTGCTACAGCACAACGCGGTCGATAACGAAACTTTATCCATACACCTATCAGTGGAATTTTTAAACAGTATTAAAACAGCAGCCACGGTTACGAATTTTGCACAACTACTGGGACTTCGTCTGCAGAGAGATCTGGTGATCGTCGTGGATGTTAGCGAAGAAAACGCGATACACCGTTTGGAAGCCATCAAACGTCGGCTATCCGAGTCCGACAATACCGGTTTCGATCTTTTGAACGATGCATCCAACATTGGACTAATCCGAATCATTGTAGTATCTTTTACGAAAACACAAATTCAGCCAGCATTGGCGTTTAATAGCTCCCGGTTAGCGCAAGACCATATTGGTAAACTCATCAGCGACTGTTCTGCAAAAGTTGGCATCTGTTCTGAGACAGTACTGGCCGGAGAGTTCTCCGCTATGCCACTGCGGGCTGCACGAACGGCCGCCGAACTCGCCGATACGTTGTCGACCATTTTCTTGTTTTCTTCCCAAGAAATCGACGACAGAGTGCAGCATCGGCTGCATATAGCAGTGTTGATGCACAAACAGCAAGAACTGGTTGTTATTGGCAGTCGTGACAGTAACACCGGTACCACTTATGGAAATAATCGTTATCACGACACGGCCCAAAAAACCGGTGGTTACGCGGTGTTCTTTCCCGAAACACCCGATCGCCTGTACGCTGCGACCGAACTGTTCAACCAACATACCCGAGCAAAAGTGACCTTTCCTTTCTGTAATTTCAACAACGAAAATAAATTACAGTTAGAAGTGCCTTTGCAAATATCTCATAATTACCGGACATTTGTTGAATGCCGGATTGGCGGACCAATGGCTTCGTCTTTTATAGTGCGTATTCTTGATTCCAATGGAGCCGTTGTTAACGCCAGTGTGACAGGAAACGACACGTCCACGTTATGGGTGGAATTTGTGGCACTGCCCATGGTTGCTTACAGCGTAAATGTCGAAGCTACAAAACCTGGATGGTACTTGAAGTGTTATGACACATCTGCACCTGGCGAACACTATATGGGACTTTACAGAAAAGAAACATTTCGTGATCCACCAACCTATGTCTCATTGCAAGGGCAGCCGTTGATTGGAGAAACACTAACAGTCCTTGTTCGTGGCATTGTTGCGTCCGAGTCAGATCTTCCGGTTTTGGAAATATTATCCATCACTGGTGTGGATACGCTTGCTACAGCTCCATTTGCCAGATCCAAGGAAAAATCTTTAGAATATTATGCAGATTTTGAGGTGCCAGCGTCCCCATTTTGGGTGAAAGTGTCACACCCGGAGCGATACCAGTACCATGATCGCCCACTCTTGCCAACAATTTTTAACGCCTCTCTCGATTTCTTCCGGCCAGTGGAATTCTTACCACCTGGTGGATTCGTCAAGTTGTATCACCAGTTTACTACGAACGATTCCTACTTTGTCCAGCTCTCGGTCGACGACAGTTTCGGGTATCGTGAGCCTGGTCAATGGAGCGATATCGAGCATGGCGGATTCGGCGGTGATCATCTATTCTATGGCACTTCCAATATAACCATCCCGAATGATGCGCCGCTGGGATCGGTGGACTACGTTGTCTTTATGCTGAGTTCCCTGACATACCAAGAAGAGACGTATGCTGTGCAACCGATCCTGATCGCCAATGGCTCTAAGCCATTTCCGCCTTCTTGCAGGATTTTGACAACGGACTATTACGATGAGTGTTCGCAACATTTTCCTGTCAGTTTGGACTGCCGAAATCGCCTTTGGCAAGCTACTGTAGTATTCGTGGACGAGTATGATGCTTTTGCTTACAGCGACATCATCACGCTTTATGATGTGCGATTCAACGGCACGGGATTTCAGGAGGGTACCGCTATGGCGCCGACTCTCCACATTCCCAATCGAACTGTCATGTATACCTCCAACTGCTGCGCGGTGGAACGTCGTTTACACGGGGAAGATTCTAACGGAGTCGAAGGTGCAGCATGTGTCCTTAGACATCCGCAGTACACCGGTGTCAATCCTGTACCGAGCAGTCAATCCGGGAAAAGAGCCACAAAGCTTTCTGTTTTCACAACTCTCGCTGCTTTCTTGGTGCAGTGTATTATTCTCTTTAAAGTTGAAAATGCTTAATCAAACGTCTCCTAGGCCTAATTACTTTTTAAATGTACGAGTAGAGTAGGCATGTGTTGCGTTCAGATTTCTTGTACGCGTTTACATTCAATGAAGCAAATCGTAAAATTGGTAGTACGTGTATACCGGCTAGTGGCTACCGAGTACGAGGTTAGTCTTATACTATATTTATACAAGAAACAGCCTCGGCTTCGCCTCCGCTTTTCTTGTGGTCTCCAGTCTACGGCCGGTTTATTCAAATGATTTCGATCAGCTATTTAGTTAACATCTTATTCCTTCAACGAAACAAAATGTTCCGAAAACACGCTAAAATGCAGATAGAATAAAAAGTGAATTTATGGCTTTTGTGCACTCAGACGCATTCACTTTCACTCAGAAGGGAATTTTTGTTATCTTCTCCCTCCCGACCTTGATCGAGTCTACCAGGTACTAAATTTCCACTAGTACCTGGTAGACTGGATCTCTTTTGTGTGCTCTGGATAGTAGCGGTAGTTCGGTCATTCGTTTACCTAGCAGGCTGTGTGCTCTGGATAGTAGTGGTAGTTCGGTCACTCGTTCACCTAGCGGGAGCGGTAGTTCGGTCACTCGGTTAGCTAGCGGGCTGTGTGCTCTGGATAGTAGCGGTAGTTCGGTCATTCGTTTACCTAGCAGGCTGTGTGCTCTGGATAGTAGTGGTAGTTCGGTCACTCGTTCACCTAGCGGGAGCGGTAGTTCGGTCACTCGGTTAGCTAGCGGGCTGTGTGCTCTGGATAGTAGCGGTAGTTCGGTCATTCGTTTACCTAGCAGGCTGTGTGCTCTGGACAGCAGCGGTAGTTCGGTCACTCGGTTAGCTAGCGGGCTGTGTGCTCTGGATAGTAGCGGTAGTTCGGTCACAGCTTGGCTCTGTGAAACTAAAACCGTCTGGCCGGGTTTTGAAATATGGGCATTCAGATTATGGAAATGGTTTCTGCTGATTCTATACGGGAAAGCTGGGTTCGTGAATCCCTTTTTATTTTTTGTGGTAATAAAGATCTAGAATGTACAGTACGTACCGTAATATTATTCCGTATTATACGGAATAATTTACGGACTGTAGATGCTGATTATCATTAAATTTTATCAATCACTGTCTTTAGTTTTGCTTGGACTGAAATGAAAGGTCAGCCCGTTTGAACGATTACTATGGTCAGTTTCTTTTACAGCTGCCTTCAAATGGCTTTCAACGATAGTTCTTATTCAAGTTCTGTTTTTAAGCGCTTTAAATTGCTAACGATTTAAACTGTAAACTATGCCACCACTAGCAGTATCGTTTGTGCTACTGCTAATTGGCTTTTCTAGTTTTGTAGAAGTAAAAGTTCAAACTTTTTTGATTTGTTGATCTAAAAAGGGTACCAGTTTAAATTTACTAAATTTTTGCTCCATGCAACAGGACTTTGAAATTGTTTTCAAGGTCACCTTGAGCTTTCTTCTCTACCGGCACCGGCGTCTGTGCACGGGAGCCGGAGCAGATATTACCAAAACAAAATGCATGTGACACAGTTTCCAGACATGCTGAATCGAATGGCGTTAGCAGTTTTTCGATTAATTTTTTGGTTTGTTCTGACCAGATCGTACGGGGTTTTTCGTTGTAATATAGATCTTTACCTTGATACGTAGATACATAGGTGCACTAATTTTGTACTGTACATGTGCCATTCTTGGTATTGGTCTCCGGAGCAGAATAGTTTGCATTTTTGCGCCAAATATTAATATGTCCAGAGTAAAAACAATGCTTATTAACCACATACAAAGTAAAACTGACGTTCACACTTGATGTTCAAGCAAACAATTGCAAAATTCATCAACGGCACCGGTAGGGTGACAAGAAACCGGAAGTACACACCGTAAATACGAAAGCGAAATGACCACGTCTTAGTAGGTACAAGTCACTAGAACCAGAATGTATTCAGGTACTTTAATCTCACTGCTAGAACTAAAATTGTAGGCACGACTGTACGAGTATACTGAATGTGCAATACCTGAGTAAATTTTTTTCTATAAGACTATCGAAGTACAAGTACGAAGAGCGAAGAAAGAAGTAAGTACTACAATACATAATAAATAGAGAACACAAAATGCTCATTGATTTTACAAGCTCAACCTCGGCCTCCGGCCTCGGTTGAGAATTTTTAGAACTGAAGAAAGTGATGTGGTAGTTTTATAAAGATTTAGGAAACGGAATTTAATTGGATCGGAAAAGTGGTTTGTTTTGGATTATACAAACGGTATATGTATACACGTTCCGTTATAATTACCGGAACGTTTATCGGTAAGAGGTTGGACGAAGTGTATTACGTACTGAAGTGATTTACTGCGTGATTTTCTGTTTCGCCAATGTATACTTATGTAAAAAACCGACTAAAAGGCGACCAGCAAAAAAAACGGAACGTACATACATATACTTCAATTTATTGAGGTGCCATCGCTAAAATCGTCGTCAACAAAGAAGGTTGAGCCAAATAACATATCAGCCAAAAACGTTATTAATAACATATCAGCCAAACACCTCATCGTCCATCTGACAAAAAAATTCCTTTTTTTGAATAATCGGCCAAATCACTCCACCTCCGTCTAACCGCCGAAAACCCCTGCCCCTGTGTCTGACCGGCGAAAATCCCTACCCCTCTGTTCTAACAGGCGAAAATCTCTACCCCTCTGTTCTAGCAGGCGAAAATCCCTGTACTTTTATTTGACCGTCGAAAATCCTAATACTTCTATCTAACCGGCGAAAATCCCAACCCCTCTGTTCTAACCGGCGAAAATCCTGTACTTCTGTCTGACCGGCGAAACCCATGTACTTTTATCTAACCGGCGAAAAACCCTGTACTTCTCATTAACCGGCGAAAATCCTTGTACTTTTATCTAACCGGTGAAAATCCCTGTACTTCTATCTGACCGGCGAAAATCCTTGTACTTTTATCTGACCGTCGAAAATCCCTGTACTTCTATCTAACCGGCGAAATCCCTGTACTTTTATCTAACCGGCGAAAATCCCTGTACTTCTCATTAACCGGCGAAAATCCTTGTACTTTTATCTGACCGTCGAAAATCCCTGTACTTCTATCTAACCGGCGAAAATCCCTACCCCTCTGTTCTAACAGACGAAAATCCTTGTACTTCTGTCTGACCGGCGAACATCCCTGTACTTCCATCTGACTGTCGAAAATTCCTGTACTTCTATCTAAACGGCGAAAATCCCTGTACTCCTATCTAACCTGCGAAAATCCCTGGCTTCTATCTGACCGACGAAAATCCCTGTACCTCCATCTAACCAGCGAACATCCCTGTACTTCTATCTGACCGGCGAAAATTCCTGTACTTCCATCTGACTGTCGAAAATCCCTGTACTTCCATCTGACCGGCGAAAATCCCTGTACTTCAATCTAACCGGCGAAAATCCCTGTACTTCTATCTAACCGGCGAAAATTCATTTATCTCTGTCTAACCGGCAAAAATTTCTGTACTTCTATCTGACCGGCAAAAATCCTTTTCCTCTGTTTCACCGGCAAGAATACCATCGGAAATTATATCCTCCAGTCGGGAATTCGCGCATCGCGCGGACCCATTTATTGTGCTCATCGTATTCCCTTCTTTTTATTAATACGTATTTATGTTAGTTTTTGAATGTACCTCGCCTGTTAAGGTACAGTTATCCTTTTTTTCTCTTCGCCAATGAAATGAAATGCCGCTCACATAATATTATGCTAAGTGTTAGCAGTTTTGTTCGAAAAGTTATACATTTCCGCCAATCATCTATTAGTTACCTTATGTTAAGCCAATCAGCGAAATTCGTTTTGGTCATGCTTTGTAATTCGAATTACGAGAAGATCGAAAAACCAAAATCGTAAGGACAGATAACATGAATTAAGCGTTTTTCAAGCTATCGTGGGAAAATTATTGCTGAATAGATAGGAGGAAAATAAAGAAAAACGGCGAAGTTAGCTCTGTATATGAATAATAGTAATTATAAAAACATATGTGTTCAGAACCAGGCTGCTAACCGCGTTAATTACTGTTACATTAATCAGTCCGTTTTACGTTATGCCTTGTATTTTTGTATCTCCACTTGATCTACAATATTAACAGTATTAACTAACGGGACAGTGCTCTTTGGCTCATAGGTGTTGTTGTACCGCATGCTGCTAGTCAGCGGTTTTCGTTCTAAACGATTCGCATTTCCGCCAATCCAATTTTAATTTCTAAAGGTAAACCAATCTGCGAAATTCGTTTCGAACGCGTTTCGTAAATCTGAGGACGAAAAGATCGAAAAACGAAAGTCGTTGACGCAAACTACATGATTTTAGGCATTTTTTGAGCTATCCTGTAAAAATTGGTGGCGAATGGTGTAGGAGGAGGTGTTGGATTAAAAAACGGCTCAGTTAGTTGCGAACGGTGTAGGAGGAGTGTATTTTTTAACGATAAAATTTGCATTCCCGTAAAATTAATCCAGTCGAGTGGACAAACTGAGTATGTGGTTTAACAATATGCATATGTTCGTACATCGCCATGTGTCAGCGGTTTAGGTTCGAAAATTAAGCATTTCCGCCAATCTACTGTTACTTTCTAATGATCGACCAATCAGCGAAATTCGCTTTGGAGCCGTTTCGTAAATCGGAGGACGAAAAGATCGAAAAACGAAAGTCGTTGCCGCAAACTAGATGATTTTAGGGATTTTTTGAGCTATCGTGGGAAAATTGGTGGCGAACGGTGTAGGAGGAGATGTTGGACAAAAAAACGGCTCAGTTAGCTTTGTATATACAAGGCAACCCTCGGCCTCCGGCCTCGGTTTGCAAACGTCGAATTTTAGAAATTCAGAATGAAATGTACAAAACCAAAATCTGGATTGCTTATACTCAGTGAATATAATAGCACTCAAGTCTTAGTTGCCAAAAAAAGATCCGCCGAATGGAAGATGAATTGAGAGGGATTTAAATTTATTTATGGTTTTTGAAAAATAAACAAAATTCAGATAATTGTAATAATTGTAACAGGAGTACTGATTTTTGAAAACTTTTATTGTAATACAATGAACTACTACTATGTGTACTATAAAGTTTTACCTCTTTGTCTAACCGGCGAAATTCCTTCTCTCTTTACCTGGCTGGTGAAATTTCTTCTCTTTTTTGTCTATTCGGCAAAATTTTTTTTCTTACCGGCGAAAATCCCTAATCTTCTGTTCAAGCAGCGTAATTCCCTTTCCCACTTGCCAAACGGCCAAAATCCCTCTTCCTTTGTCTGGCCGAAACTTCTTCCCCCTTTGTCTGATCGGCAAAATTTCTTCCACTCTGTTTAACTGGCGAAATTTTATAGTCTTCTGTGCAAGCGGCGAAATTTCCTTCCCCACTGGCTAACCGGCAAAGATCCCCTATTCCTTTGTCTGGCGAGCAAAAATTCTTCCCTCTTTGCCTGATCGGCAAAAATTTTTCTCTGTCTCCTACCGGCGAATATCCTTAATCTTCTGTTAAAGCGACGTAATTCCCTTCACGGTCTAACCGGCAAAAGTCCCTGTTCTTTTGTCTAGCCGGCAAAAATTCTTCTCCTTTTGTCTGATCGGCGAGAATTCCTTCCACTCTGTTTAACCGGCGAGAATTCCTAATCTTTTACCTATCCGGCAAAATTCTTCCTCTTTGTCTGATCGGCAAAAGTTTTCACTCTATGTACCGACGAAAATCCCTAATCTTCTGTTTAAGCGGCGAAATTTCCTTCCTCATTGGCTAACCGGCAAAATCCCTACTCCTTTGTCTGGTCGGCGAAAATTCCTACCCAATTTGTGACCGGCAAAAATTCCTGCTAATGCTTAGGCAACGTTGGTGGTAGTTTGGAAAGGTTTCCGAAAATTACTAATCATACTAAGCCAATAATAATAGCAATACTTAATTTGAAAGAAAAATAATATAATAATATACTGTTATGAATCAGTCTGTGCTACGCCACGCCTTTCCGTATTCCTGTATTTCCGCTATTTCGCTTTTCCCTATTTGTGTATTTCCACTATTTCCGCAATGGTCAATGGTGCTGCAAATAAGCCTTCGTCAAGAGCATAAAATTTGTATGAAGCCATGAAAAGAGTACGTCACACTATTCCAGTTCCACGATTCCAGTACCATTTCCCGGTGGAATTGGCGCTCGCGCTCGTGCAGTTATGTGGTTCGCAACGACCGCTAGTTTGAACCTATTTTTTAGCTATAATTTAAACCAATTAATGTTTCTAGGCGGAAATTCCGCAAGATTTTTTTTGCGTATTTCCGAATTTTCGTACTTTTAAGAAAATAATCTTCTGATTTAAACCAATTAATGTTTCTAGGCGGAAATTCCGCAAGAACTTTTTTGCGTATTTCCGAATTTTCGTACTTTTAAGAAAATAATCTTCTGATGCTGTCTTTTTGTAAATGCTGTTCGTTTCGAACTGGCTAATACAAAGATATTCATGTACACATGCCGGATTCGCAAGATTGTAATTGTTTCCACCCATCGTTTTTTCTGTAACAGCACTTTGCAAAAATGTGTTGGTATTACGTACTGTGTGTTGCCATAGTGATTCTTTCCGCAATAATAAAAGATTCCGCCTATTCGCTGTTAGTACTTTCTGATTCAGCCAATAGGCGAAATTTGATTCGAAAAAGTTTCGTAATTTCGGGAGTGAAAAGTGCGCCAAATAAAAACCTTAGTGGCACCCTATGCGAATTTACGCGTTTTTTAAGCTATCGTGGAGAGAGAATTGTCGAAAGGTGTGGGAGGAGATGTCGGGCAAAAAAGGCGAAAAAAACGGCGGAGTAGGAATTGTACATATAATAATAATAATAATTAATTTAGCTGCAGCCTGCAGTACAGTGCAGACTGCAAAGCTTCTGTTTTGTTTTGTCATAATTTACCCATTACATGCTTAAAATTATAAGCTCATCTCAATTGAAAATTGATCAATTTTAATTATGATCAGCATAATCAAAAATTGCCATGATTTTAATCTAATTAATCATAATGTACCAGCATGATTCCCAGCATGATTAAAATTCCCAGCATGATTAAGATTTAAGAGTTTAATTATCACTATTAGAATTTACAAGCCAATCGAGCCGTAAAGCATACGACCGGTCAGAGACGGTGATTTACCACACAAACTAGCTTGCTTTTGCATGTTGACGATCGGTATATGCCACGTATGACGTACACGAACCGTCCACTGTTATCAGTGTATGTGCACCAGAGTGAATAAAAGTGGATAATTATTAAAATTATTACTGTATTAAATATTTTGTAAGAACAAGATTTAACATTTCTTGGCTCTAGAGTCTAGACTGTAGAAATTCATCGTTCAAAGTTGTTTAAACTGCTGCAGGATAATCCGGGTGCATTCGCAACAATCCGAAGCCTGGAAGGTTCCTTTATCATTGTCCACGGCCAGCTTGGATCAGGCCAATCCGTCTGTGGTCTCTGATTTTTCATTTTTGTCTTTTTTGTTACTGAAAAATCGTGCAAGTTGCGTTGAACAGAAGTCTTTCTGTTTATTTATGGCTGCGTTCCATCTGGATTCAAATTCCCATCTTCGACCATTTTGAGTACTACTTCAGGTGTAATTGTTCCTGGAAGTCTCCCAGCTTTAGGTAAAAGAAAAACGAACAAATGCAATAAATCCGTGACTGAGTCAGGAAAGAAGTATTGGGTTTTCTGGTGTTGCTAAGAACACGCACAATTTGCGAATGTGCGTGTTCTTAGTAGCTCCCTTCGCACACGACTCAAGATGCGCGAAGTGAGCTCATACATTCTTCATACATCCAGCTACAGTAATTAATTGCTTTCTGTAATAATTAATTCGGAGTGATTTGCAGAGTTGATCTAATTGGACGTGTATCAAAAATGATGCAAGAAGTGGGAAACGACTCCAACGGGGAAGGCGCCTACGACTTCGTGGCTGATGCTAAGAAAGACGGAACCCCTTCAGCTGCTTCATCTCTTCCCTCTCTACCAACGCAGCTTCCACGGCAGCCCCTGTACGCTCCTCCCACCAGCACTACCCTTCCAGGGGCCACCACCTTAAGCCAGAAACCATCGTATGAATTCCCGCCTGGTCTCCAGGGGGGACTGCCCCCCAAAGCCCCTGTCGTTCCCTCTTTCACGCCCCCTAATCACCCACCCAGAACCGAGCCCGCGAAATCGGATTTATCCGATTTCCTCAATGCTCTCCCAGCGGGCAAACCACCGAGCATCGGACCGGTTGACAGCACAGGTCCGGATTTGAACGAGATTTTCGGAAAAGATGTCATGTCAAAACTGCCCCCACTACAGTCTCAGAAGCCCCCTTTGCCCATGAGTTTGGCAGGCAACACGCCGACGCCATCGGTAAATCTGGCGAATACTTTACATACATCATCATCGGCCAGTAGTTTACCCTATGGCGGAAATGTTGGAGTTCCGCCAACAACGATCCCTCCGAATCCGTCGGGTAATCCCGGATTTTCCGCTTTGCCGCCTCCCCCGACGGGATTCAGCGCCAGTGGCGGTGCGGTTAACCCATTTTCTAGCCAGGCTGCCGCCACTCATCTGCCGTCGTTTTCCGGCCTGCCGCCGTTACCGGCACATCTGCAGAGCGCGGCACCGAGCAGCGCGGGAGGCAACATTCCGCTACCGAATGCAGCGCCTACAGCGGCGCCTTTGGTTCCCGCGCCGGTGCAGATGATGCCGGTGGCGGCAGCGCAGTCACCACCCGGGATGCCACCGGTGCCGCCACCGTTCTCAACACCATCCTTTCCCGGGCAGGCTCCAGGATCTTACGAAAGCAGGTGAAGGGATTGCAGCAGTTTACAGCGCTCATTTAAAATGTTTCTGAGTCTTCGCAGTTTAACATTTTTCAGTTAGCTTTGAAATTGAGAAAAGCTAAAACTCCCAGAAAAAATCCCAGATAGATTTCTAGAGGGAAATTCTGTATGTAGTGTAAATTCTAGTTCTCAGTAAATGAAAGTGGATGTTTTCTGGGCATAGGTTATCGAATATATTGTTTAGCAACCCCGGTTACACACAAACCTACAGTACTTGTATCTTAATTTATTTTTAAAACTGTATTTGTAGTGGGCTAACGAGCATTCCACCTCCTTTGGCGATACCGGCTCAAAGTTCGTATGGAACGAATCCAGGATATGGCCAGGCGACCCAGGCCAGCTACGATGTCCAAAGCTATAATTCTGGAAATCAGTATAATTCCGGAACACATGGGCAAGGCACTGGTGGTTCATCATTTTCGAAGTCATGGTTAGCTCAGGCTTCCTTCGACACAATAAAGAACGTGACCGAGAAGGCTAAAGTGAGCAGACTGACATTCTGATTCTTTTGAAACCCAAAAACCCAGCATATTGGAAGTTTATACGACACTGAAGAGAATACATAGTTCAAGTATTAGCTAACTGTGTGAATGAAAAAAGTCTGGAATTACTAGCTGAAGAGCTTTGATTCTCGTGTTTTAGAGCACCGTGGCCACAATCATGACTACGCTTGATCCTCAGCTGAAAAGCTACACGGGAACTGCTCCAGGTAAGAGTTATTTTTCACTTCTCCGATAGTCTTGCCCTGCAAGATGTTTTTAACTGGGTTCGCAGGTGGTGGTGAACAGTTGACAAAGGAGATAACAATTTTCTATATTGGCAATGAGACAAACAATATGATGGATGCTCTAAAAATGGGATTTGAAGGCGTTTATCGGACTTGTTACGTTTACACACGATCTGGTACGGCGGTTGGGCATAAACAGCAAACGAGTTTCGCGGAAGCACTCAATGTTGCGACACAAACTTTAAATCTTGCCCGTTCGGCGCCACAATTGCAAACGTCGCCGCTTATTGCTGTGGAGCCTTTCGTAGTGGAATTATTTCCCGAAAAGTAAGTATAACTAAATGCTTAACGTTTATTGCTTTCAAAAAAAACCACATTGTGTGTCCACGCAGAATTAAAAAACCATAGAATATGCTCTTCTGAAGACTGCGAGAAATGAGAATTTGTATTCAACTTTTAGTTGGTATGTTGGATCGTGCGTTGCACTGAGTATTCCCGGTGGAGCACTGCTGCACGTGTTCACGCAGCTAAGTCAGTTGCCGACAGGATTAATTAGCCTACCACAAGGAATGACCGTGCTTCCGACACCGTTGGATGAAATGGTCACACGCGTCATACCCAACACAACACGGGACAGTTGGATGGAACCAGTAACGGGAGTCTCATGGGGCGCCACAGTAGCCCTCGCTGCTAGATTACTGGCAGCCAATTATCGGCGAAAATTTTAGTAGTGTATATAATCTTAATAATTACACAAAATTTGTCGTTAAAGTGTATCTCACAATGTAGAGATGAATTTAATAGTTACCATCACAATAAGCGTTGACAGCGTCGTGCTGCAAGAACGGCACTTTGTTGCGCTCTCCGACATTTTTATTGTGAAATTAAATGAAAAGTTTTATTTTTTAATAATATTCTTTTTTCGTATAATTGCTTTTTAATTTAACGGTGCAGTGTTGCTCGAGTGTTTTTTCCAGATATTCGTCCGGTAAATTTTGCTCTGGTTTTTGGAGAGATCGTTGAATACTGATAGAAGGTACAACAAAGTATGTGGAGATGCAAGTTTACTTAACATAACGGGATTGATCATTGAACTGCAGGACCAGGACGAGCAGAGAATTAAGATAATATTGCAAATGTCAGAAAAAAGTATTAGCACTTTGTACCACAACATTTTCTAACCGTCACTGTAGACAAAAATGCACAATACATCAATCTGTTAAACGAATTAAATGGATCATAAAGATACAAATGACTACTAGCCAACGTCTAAGCATAACGTAATATATGCAAGTTTCCTCTCAGAACAACTTAGAAACAGTTAATCGATCCTGGCAGCCACGCATTTCACAAACGTTTTGGCATTCCACATTTAACAAGCCAGTGCATTGCGCCAGGAAGATTCGGCCGTCCACCGTCACATCAATCCACAATTTCTCGGCCAAACAATCCAGGAAAAAAACTTGCTTTCTACACAGTTAAACGAAAAAAACACAAGCAGGCGCGGCGTCAATCTCACACTGTACTACAAACGGAAAGCTCATGGACCAAAAAACTAAAAGAAGACACATCTTTCCTTAGATAGTCCGTAAAATAATAATTGGCAAACCATTAAATAAGCATAAGCACAATCAGTTGTAATGCCTAAACATAAAAGCAGCTTGGAGACGTCCAGAGAAGAAAGAGACAATCACATTTCGGAGGCGTATGTGGTATTCGCTGATGTCGTTCCGGAGGCCGCTCGCTGAGGTACTACATCATCTTCCACACCACCATAGAGTTTGTTAAAATTTTCCTTTATTTGATTATTCGTGCCTGTATAAAGAAAAACAACTTGAAGCGAAGAGAAAAATAGAATGCGATAAAAGTGCTGTATCAAAATGAACGTATAAAAAGTAGGGCCTACAGAAGTATTGTTAAACTACCTTTTGGATCCAAATCCATGGCTTTGGAAAAATACATTAAGGCCATATGAGTGTTTCCAGTCCGTTTGCTGACCTACAGAAAAAATATTAGTTACTGCGATACCAGGAGCAATCTCCGGTCTTCCTAAACTTCTGATCGGTAAAGAACCCGAAGCAAGAAAAATACAAATAACTCACCTTTCCCATTAAGAAATACACAAGAGACTCCTTCGGCGCCATGTCTTTTAACCTCGATAAATCTTGCATGGCCTCATCCAGTTTTCCCATCGAGTATAAAAGACTAGCTTTCTGAAAACGACACAGCGGATGATTGGGATAACTGTTGACCGCTGCCGTTAATGTCCGCAGAGCTTCCGGTGTCTGCTTCAACGCATGCTGAGCAACGGCCAAATTGACTAGGATGATCGGATTGGAGGGATACACGGACAGCGCCTTTTTGAAACTGGTCAGAGCCGACGCGTACTGCTCCTGTTTGTAGGCTATCAGTCCCATTCCATACCATCCATTGTAATGGGATGGATCAGCACTCAAGGCCATACGGAAGCACTGCACTGCTTTATCCATTTCGTCCAACGCAATATATTCATGTCCCAGCAACGTCAGGGCGTATGCATAGTTTGGACTTAACTGGAGCGCACGCCGGAACATCTTGATCGCCGTTTCATGCTCGCGTTGCAGGCTGAAACGTTAAAACATTAACTGCACCGTCCAATCTGTTACTTCACCTGGGCTAAATATAACAACTACGCCATTGAAAAACACCGATGCAAAAACATTCACAAATCTTAAGTTTCTGTTTTAATGCACATTTTTAAAGCCAGACTTCCACGGTACTGTTATCTCCAATAATTTTTTGTAGCAATAACTGCCAATAAGTGCTTTAAGTACAAGTACAACAGAAGTACCTCTAAATCGTACACTACAGCAAGAATCAATTTTGTCTAATGTATCTTTCTTCTACAGCCTTAGAAAACATCGCTACTAAGTTATATACTGTACTCAGCACCAAATCTTAAAAAGACAAATTTCGGGATACGAAAAACCCCGCCGGATAAAATACGGATAGGTATGAAAGAGATGTACTGCCATCAGCCAGAAACTTTTTATGGAAAAAAAATTCAGCAACCACATGTGCGATTTACACGAACCTGAAGAGATTTCCATAGGCGATATAGGTTTCGGGAGCATACTTGTGGTGCTCAATCAGGTACTTCGCAAGAACAGCCAGATCTTTGTCTTTTTGCAGATGCCATAAGGCCACGCTGTAGTAATCAATGCCTTTGACATAATACATATCCCGTCGTCTCATCTCCGCAAACGCCCGTACACTCTTGTCGTGTTCCAACATTTCAAAATGTAGGCGACCTTTCAAGTACCAATAAAATGGAGTATCTTGCTGTTCTGATGAAAAATTGTCCAGTTTCGCAATTGCGTTTTGGATATCATAATTATGCAGAGCTTGGACTGCTTCCCCTGCACAATATGGCGCGTTAACAAGTCTATTGTTACTCCTGCCAAATTACTGAAGTATTTCTTTCAAAACGGAGAGTTCTTACCAAACCGATAGTACGAGCGCATAACAAGCCCAGTTAATCGATCCTGCTCAGACAAAACAGCTTCCGTGGATGTAGATGGCTCTACCACGGTGCGAGTCAGCACCGACAGCGAAGTCTCCTTCTTCCGCTTCGGTCGCACGACCGCTGGCTCTGGCTTAACTGGTTCAATAACGGGAGTATTCCTTGTGGTTAAAACTGCAATAAAAAAATCACAAAATAAAATATTTACATTTTAAAGGATAACATTCTCAGATAAACTCAGAAAACACTCCCAAAAGGTCGGTTTGGACGTCGGTCTTGGGTTTCGCATCATTGATCATGCAAAAATCTTACCGTTTTCAGTTTTCTCGATAACATCAACCGGCATTTCTTGCTTAATATGGATGTTTTCCTCTAGCTTCTCAATAGACCGATTCTTCTTAAGGTTCACTTCGGTCAGCTGGCGTTTGTTCAGCGAATTATTCTCTTTCACCGCACTTTTATTGGCTTGAATCCTCGAACTGCGTCTGAGAGGTGGCTGTGGAGAAACAACCGAAGACACAATAGAGACATCACTGAGTCGGCGAGTCCGCGCAGCTGCTGGGCTCTCCGTGGTGGAGTTGGATACGGAGACTCTGTAGTCCAGAAGATGACATACAATTTCGCCATCGAAAGTATTTTACAATGAAATTAAACATACCTGAACGGAGGCTTCGACTTAGTTTTCTTAGCCACAACGGAAATACGGCCATTCGGGCCATCGGTTGATAAGTTCAGGTGAGAATTCGATGACGGCGGTGAGGGAGCGTTGGGTGTACGGAGCGATGGGGATCCCAAAGACATTATAAACGACGAAGAGATGGGTGAGTGCAACGGACTACCGGATCTCTGACTCTCTTCAACAATGGCTTTCATTCTGGGTTTTACAGTGCCTGTAAATAACAGCCACCATAAAGCAACGAAACAAACGTTTGTACTATTTCGAATTCATCAGTTTTCGGGGTTATCCGAAATTTACTTTTTCCACCCCATCCATCACCTATTTGCAACTGATTATATCAATACAACCAAACCATTTGTATTCAAAAAACAACGAAATGCAAACAACTGCAGCTCCAGCATATGCAGCTTACCCGTTGGTCTATCCAGGAATTTTACGTTTCAATGTAATTGTAAAGAATATGGCTTTTGCAGTCTACTTACCAACAATATTTCTTTCGGAAGTTTTAGGAATACTTTTCTTGACAAGAGCTGGTTTCAAGGGTGTGGAAGCTATCACAGGCGGGGTACTCGATACCACTTCATCAACTGGAGCCATTTCGACATCCTCGGAAACGGGAGGACTTTCCGAATGGCCCTCATTATCCAGATCCAACGACTGACTGGACTTGGATGCGATCATACGGAAGAAAGTTTCTTTGGTGTCCACATTCTCTTTCATACGGCATAGTCCTTCGAATGTGCTCCACTGAAACGGATTTAACGACAGGGCCCGTTTCATCGCCGAAGCAGCAAGCTCGCGCCTGTGATAATATGGGAACGCATGAATGGTCTCGCTGTTATTTACAAAAATTATGCCCATGAAATACCTCTGAAATTTCTGATGAACGTTTCCCAGTAACTGCAGGGCATAACTGACAGTATCGGGTTTGTAGAAATTCTCGACATCCTCAATGGTGTAGGGTTTGGCGAAGTCCGAAGCGTTGGCAAGCACACTTTCTGCCCGGTGATAATCCTCCAGATCACAACAAATTCTTCCAAACAGGTACCGTATGTCTACAAATGTCCCAGTAAAGATTATACAGAATTCTGCTGAGACGACAAGAACACTACGCACCCGGACTAGCCTGCTCAGGGTGACACCGACTGAGTATTTCGAAGGCGCGATGTTTGTTTCCGGCCCGATATAAACATGTGGCCAATAAGAATGCGGATTCATCTGTGTTGCTCTCGGCGTAGAGCCTCTCCGCGGCAAAGATGGCATCGTCGTAGGCATAATGATTCAAGGCATTCCAGATGGCTGTTTTTACAGAGTCCACCATCACAGCGCCCCGCTGCACAGCAAAAATTAAAGCAAACAACAAAGAACTTGAGAAAAGCAGCTTTTTCCGTATAGCTTCACTATGCACATGATAAAAATCCATATTTGTACGTGAGCATGCTCATGCATGGTTTTATCGTCACAAGCAAATAAAACCAGATTTGATAATTCAGTAAAATAACTTAAACATGTAAATTAAAAGTATTTTTCAAGAAAACAAAACACAGTAGAAGTATATTTTTAGAATTTCACAAAATCATTCTGAATTCGCTGCAAAATCGTTCTGAATACGACCATCGTTGCAAAATCGTTCTGAATTGCAGCGTATTCTCTTGCTCATATTCGACGACCTGCAGTCCTGTATTTAAAAAAAACCATATATAGTATCATATACCAATCTTACTTTGTTTTAGAATTCATAATTATTTGAAAAACCGATAGTGAAACTTTCACTTAAACGTAAGAGCAAAACACTGCTGCTTGGCTATGCAGTATGCACCATAGATCATGTCCTCATCGTCCAGTCGAATGACTGACTAAAAATCAAGAATCTCGATGACTCTACAAGTCAATGACACACGAGACGTTCACTGAAAATCTCCTGTTTCTTCAAAATCCCTTACCTTAAGTTAGTCCTTACCCTAAGTTATCTAATACTCAAAAAGCAGCAGCTCAACAATTCATCTGAAAATGAGGCACGAATGAGGAGAATGTCAACAGAAAAGAACAACGACCTTCATGCCCACCTACAACTACGTCGATAACGGTAGTGTTCGTAAATCACTTCCAGAGTTTTCCCAAGCCTGTTCAATCCGCCCTTACAATCGTTATCGTCAAGTTTCATGATAAGGGTATTTTGGTTTTCTTTAAAAAAAGCAACACTTTTTGGAACCCAAATGCTTTGGAGAACAAACTACACTATCGAGCGATGAGTTGATCGCCCGATTAAACTGAGAAAAACCTTTTTCGAAATCATTTCGCAGCTGATTTCTTGAACATTCCTCGGAAAAGAGATTGACAAACTAATTAACGTTCAAAGCACATACTGAGTTACTAAAAATACGCTACAAATGTTAGAACTGAAGACCAAATTTAAATGTTATTTTTAAATATTATTATTGCCCCTCGTAAAAATGCGTTCTTTGCATCTTGCTCCAATCACAGTGCAGCTACCTACTTGCACTGAATTCGTGTACACCATCTTAAAGTTGTTGCAGAACTTACCACACAATCCTCGTCGTCCTCCGGAAGGGAAAGACGAAAACGTTTGGACCTGTGGGACGAAATGGTGGCGGAATCAGGGAGATGATTACGTCCTCCAGGAAAATCAGTGGAGGACAAGTGCGAATTCTGGGATGCCACACATGAATAAACCCTCTTACGGTTCAATGCATCAAGTCGATTTCTTTCTGATTGTAGGTAATCTGCGATACCAGATGAGGATAAAGATTCCGTAATCATTAGGTTTTAGAAAATTCCGTAGATGTGCTTAAATCGTTCGAATTGTGATTTTACGCACGAAATGAGGCGACGTAATGCAGTAACCTATCGTTCATCATTTTGAACCAGAAAATTATGGCAGCTGCTGATGGTGAGTGCTATGCAAGTGCAAAGCAAGCAACGTAACAACTACAAGATGGGTGTTCCAATGCAGGCTCAGTGGAAACACAGCTGCAGTCAGGCTGTCTGGCAGTTTGCCGCTGTCGCTGTCATACACTACTCTGATTTTCCAGTAGAATAGGTGTTGCTTGATGGAACTAGCAATGCTGGTTAAATGTGAACTTGCTGTTACGTGATAACGCTGACCACGTGTTTCCGCCAGACAAACAAGCAATCATGGCCACAGCTTTGGTCAAGAAACCTAGAAATGTTTTGAAAAGTGGATTTAAATTGATTTGAATTTGAAAGTGGATGCTGATTTGCATTGATTATTATAAATCGGCTTTAAGCCGATTTAGAATGCGTTGCCTAAGTGAAAGATGGTAAAATTTAAGAATACTGAATACTCATTAGACACTGGAATAAAATACTATATGTAAGTATATGAATTTATAGCAACATTAAGGGGCAGGTGCGCTAAGCTCCAAAACCGATTAAGAAACCGATTAACAACATGACATGAAGAAGAATGAATGCATAAAAGTTGTCATACGGAGACTGGAGATTAATATTTTACCTATAGAAGTACTGGACAGTGGACTATAATACTCCTTCCAGACTGGATCTTATGAAGAAATTAACTGGAAGTTCCAGTTAATTTCTCCATAAGATTGTGAATAATGCCTGTGTGTTTGAATTTGAAATCTAACAATTTAAAACGCTACAAACAAACAATTCAGAAAAAGCAAACACAGTGCGTAAGTACTTCCTACTTCCTAGTTGCTACCCCATTCGGAAACCATAACGCCGTAGCGGCCGTTCAACATTGAGTACTGTGGTCAAACCGTTTTTTTAAAAGAATCTGTCATAGTACTAACTTTAATTTTGGATGCACTAATTTCAAAATTTTCTAAAGTAGTAGTAGAGCTGGCCCAGAGGTAACTTGCGTAATCCTAACTAACGCAACCATTGAAAGATGCATCACGGGAAGGCCCACAAACGAAGTGAGACTTAGTTAATTTTAATTTCGAAAATCATAAAACAGCTACATAAAACCTATTTAACACCGGCTTGAAGACAGCAAAAAAACAAAACCGCTGCTAAATACAAACAAGCTCTCGGATGCGGATTCCACCATAGTGTATTTTCAAAAAGAAAGCAAGAAGTGTTTCTAAAATGCGTTGCGTTGCAGGGCTGATTTTTAACAAAAATTCCCCAATTCCCATAATCGCTGGTTTAAAAACTACAGCCTCCTGCCAAAAAATAAGCATGTTTTCCCGCTACACGTCCGTTTTGATGGGCTGGTTAACAGGTATCGCCTCGATTTCAATTCGCAAGCACAACCATTCGCCCAATAAGGTGGCCAGAACAGCTGCGAGGATTTGTACTATCCACCACGTCACAGCCGAAGGAAACTGGGAACAATAAATCCAGGATAGACATAAATGGATTAAAATACACGTGGCCACAAAATCCAAACATAATTTGGACCGTTTGACAAGAATCTGCAGCATGAAAGCCAGTGCGAGCGCATTGAGAAAATACATAAGGACCAGCCATCGTCCTGTGGTGCTCTGCAAGGTAACCGTTTCAGGGTCTAGGAGGTATCGTAGGCTTAGGGGATATCCCATCGGTCGGCTGCCGATTAGTAGAAGTGCCGTGGACGAAGCATAAAAAATACTCTGGATGGCACCGATTTGGGTTATTATGAGAAATGGATCGAAAACTTGCGGACGGAACTGACCAGATGCTGATGGAGAGTGCAAAGGTTGATACTCCGCGACGCTGGAGTCTTCGCCCATAATGCTGATTCAGTTTCACCGCTGAACGGTTTATAACATGTCAAAAAAAACAGCACAACATCGCCATCCACGGTGATCCAACCCACTTCTCAGCGACTTCTCATGAACGAGTGACGAATATGGAAATCATTTCCAAAAGCTGTTCGCAGCTCAGCATCATCCAAAGAAACTGTTACAGCTGTGTACGGAAAGGCTCCAAAAGATGCTATAACTTCCAGGTTTGAAATACTGAGCTAATTATAACTCCTACCAGGCGAAGAAAACATTTTAACTACAAATTCGCAATTCCACGTCTCTAAAACTAGTCCACAAAATTTGTGACAAAATGAAAAACGACACAAGAAACGGAACAATATCGCCGTGACACCGTGTGAGATTGAAAAAAGTTGAGTTGTGCTAAAAAATGTCCTAAATGAATCATGGGCGTCCACCGTTGCGTCCAATAGCGCATTAAGGGAGGTGTGGCAACCAAATATAAAATTCTGAAATCAAGCGAAAAATTGCGAGAAGCATTTCGTAAACTGAATCCCTTTTGCATCATCAGATGTTCCAGCTCTGAAATAACTGAATTGTTGATAAGAGCACAAATTGTATACAAACATCAACATTTTATCCAGTCTCCTTGGTCTATATATGGTTGGGTTATTTCTGAAGAAAACGTTTATTGCAGTTTGCCGTGTAAAGTGTCAAGTAACATTTAACACTTACGAATACGGAAAACCGTATTTTTGACTCGTTGGCAGTTTGTGACTTCGTACCAATCTCGCTGCCAGCGGAAGTACTGTACTTGTGAGAATTTTGGCGTTCCATATCTTCCTTGACATCGATAGCAGGAACGACAGATTTTGTGCCTTCTGCAAACGGGGCAGCTTTGATTTGACAGTTTTTAAGAGATTCTGAAGTAACAACAAATCGTTGATAATGAACCCTGACGCCGGAACTGTAGAAGTGGAATCTACCGCCAAGGACGCGAACAACGCCGCCGGTGATGCGGCTAACAAAACCGAAGAGGAACTGAAGAAGGAAGCAAAAAAGAAAGAAAAGCAGAAACAGCAGGCTGAAAAAGCCGCGAAATTCCAGGCGAAACAAGAAAAAGCTAAACAGCAACCAGTGGCACCGCCGAAGCCAAAAGAAGAAATTAAACCGAAGAAAGAAAAGACAGCGGTGGTTTACGAGAGTCAGCTTCCTCCTGGTAAAATACCTTTGCCACGATTTATTGGGTTTGCAAATTTGAGTATCCGGTTTGTACGAGTATAGTTTTTCGTTGTTGCATTAGGGAGTAAGAAAGACATTTCGGGACCGATGCCGGACTCGTACAGCCCCGCTTACGTCGAAGCCGCATGGTATGCGTGGTGGGAGAAAGAAGGATTTTTTAAACCGGAATATGTCGAGAAGCAGTATCCAGATAACAAAGGTACAATTGCCAATTTAAAGGCGAAGTGCTGTTATTTTTTTGTAACTCTTTATTTAAAAATATTTTACCTGTATTTGTAATGTGTTTTGTTTTTTTCTTCTTTTTGACTCGAATATTCTTTCCAGAAAAATTCGTCATCGTGATTCCACCACCGAATGTGACCGGCACTTTGCATTTGGGCCATGCTTTAACAAATGCCATTGAAGATACCTTGAGCAGGTAGCTTAATAGTTAATACTGTTCAGAATTTTTTATGTTGCATTAGTCAAAGGCTTGAATTGTTCAGATGGCATCGGATGTGCGGAAAAGCTACTTTGTGGGTTCCTGGTTGCGACCACGCTGGCATTGCTACGCAAGTCGTCGTAGAGAAGCGTCTATGGCGGGAACAGAAGGTATCACGTCACGAACTTGGTCGGGAGAAATTTCTCGAGGTGAGTCTGGTTAAATGTTATGGTTAAATTTTTTTAAATGATTTTTTTGAGTCGACAGTTGCTTTACGTTCTGAATAATTCATGTAATTGGTTTCTGCTGCATTTGCCCATGAATATCTGCTCTCATTAAATTATTTACACTTATTCGATCGCCTTGACTGTAGTGACTGGATTGGGGCATAACTTTGTACAACTATTCACAGGAAGTATGGAAATGGAAAAACGAGAAAGGAGATTTTATCTACAATCAGTTGCGGCGTATGGGATCTAGTGTAGACTGGGAGCGCGCGCGTTTCACCATGGAGCCTGTTATGAGTCGAGCGGTCATTGAAGCGTTCATTCGCTTACAGGAAGAAGGGTTGATTTATCGCAGTCGGCGACTCGTTAATTGGTCCTGCACGTTGAAATCGTGCATCTCGGACATCGAAGTAGAGAAACGAGAGCTTACAGGAAGAACGTTCCTTTCCGTACCAGGATATAAGGACAAGGTATATAAGTACTTACTGTCTGAGTGTTACCCACTTCACACCATTTTTGAATCTGGGTACGGTTTACCTTCGTTTGTATGCGGGAAAACGAATTTAAAAATTTTTATTTCTTAATTTTTGCTATTTGGGTGAGCTTTGTGGAAAAACAGTTCAAAGTATTGTAGCTTGAAATGCTACCCGTAGGTGAAAAACTTTGCAACGGAAAAAGAGCATGAAACCGTAATGAATAATAGCAAAAGGTTTTTGGCAGGTGGAATTTGGAGTACTGATCAGTTTCGCATATCCTTTGGAGAATTCCGACGATTTTATTGTCGTTTCCACAACACGTATTGAAACTATGTTGGGAGATACAGCGATCGCGGTGCATCCCAATGATGATCGATACAAGAAATTTGTGGTATGGTGCACCGGAACGAAGTGGATGTGAAAATTGTGAATTTTGAAATATTGGTGAGGAATTATTTGTAGGGGCACTTTGCCAAGCATCCACTGCTTGACCGAAAGATTCCAATCGTGGCGGATGAATATGTTGATATGACCTTCGGTTCGGGAGCCGTTAAGATCACTCCAGCGCATGATCACAATGATTATGCTATTGGAGAACGGCATAATTTGGATTTCGTTACAATTATGGATGACGACGGAGTTTTGAATTCCAACTGTGGGCCTTATAGTGGGATGAAACGCTTTGACGTGAGCATTTGGTAGTTTAATTGTAATGGTGGCAAGGATTAAGTTGTGTGCAATAATGGTTTAAAAAGCATTCATAACAATTTAATATTTTAGGCTCGCAAAAAAAGTATTGGAGGATTTAAAAGCGAAAAATTTATACCGCAGCACTGTCGACAATCCCATGGTTGTACCAGTTTGCAGCCGAAGCAAGGATGTTGTCGAGCCACTGATTAAATCGCAGTGGTTTGTTAACTGCAAGTAGGTTATGCGACTGCGATTTATTTGATTGATGACAGCATCACAATTCTGCTGCAGTGATATGGCCGCAGAAGCTGTTCAGGCCGTGCGTTCCAAAAATCTGCGATTGATTCCTGACATGCACGAAAAAATCTGGTTTCACTGGTTGGAGAATATTCGGGATTGGTGCATATCGCGACAGTTATGGTGGGGTCATCGCATTCCTGCGTACTTCGTTACTGTCAAGGGCCAGCCGGAAGCTGATGATAGCGACTCACGCTACTGGGTAGGAAAAACCAGTTGCAAATCCAAATAATAAACTTGCAACTGATATATAGTTTTAATTCAAACCAAACGAGTACATGGTTTAAGAAACAGCTAAATAAACAAGAGCTCAGTAAACATATCCGCTCTCTCTGCGGTGCCCAAAACAGAGGCGGCGTTGCCGCGTTGTATCTCAATAGACAATCGCTGCCGAAGAAATTCGTGAGAGCGGACTTCTCCTGAATGGGTCCGTAAACGCTTTCCCAGTTCTTTGATGATGGCAATGGCCGACGGTCCCCAAGGGCCCATTGTCTCAAAAGCGATGGGCGCGAAAATGTAACGACCGACCAAATAAGAGTATAAACTGGTCTTCCTTTCCTCTGCCTGAACGGCGGCCGATCCCGCGTTTGCCGATGTAGACTTGATGTGGGAAGCGGCAACCGTATCAACACACGTAACATCCCAAGCTAGACACATGCCCCTCTGCCATGCAAATGTTGTGCATCCATCTGGGCGTCTGCTACTTGTGTTAGAAGTGCCGCGAGGCTCCAGTTTTGCAGGGATTCCGGCTGATACGAATGCGCGGCATACGACACTGTTAAGAGCACCATGCCGTGGATGCCTGCCGGCGGAAAAAGAACACGAAAGACCGTGATGGGCGTAGCAGTCGACAGGCTTGTAACACTTCGCGCAGTTGTGCGGTTCGCAGATCTTAGCGCCGAGTCTGAGCCCGACGGAGATTTTCAGCGTGTCATCGTCGAGCAGGTTGCCGATATGGGCCGAAGGCAATGCATTAAGCCAAATACCGGCTTCCGGTCTCGACTGAGCGAGTAGACGCGCCTTGTTAACCTCATCGTCGCGGAATACTTCTAACAATGTAGCGAGAGACACGTTACACAACGGGAGGTCCCATGCTTTCTGTGACTTTCGGAAATCTGGTGAAGGCAGTTCTGTTAACCGGGCATTGGTTTTCCAAATTTCCAGCGCTGTAGAGACATCGACGGCCGGTCGATTAGGGAGCAGTAAAGACACCAGGTCGGCAACGGAGTGAATCGAAGCCAGAAAGGCAACTTGCTATAATAATTGTAAACTTGCTATAATAATTGTAAATAATAGTAGGTCTAAAATAGCACAGTAGGATCGCGATACGCGTTTCAGAGATGCTATTCTGTTGAGCTCTGGTTAAAAGTAAAGGGACAACAAACATAATTTGATATTTGAAAACAAATTGTAGGTTATTTCATTTAATTTATTATTGTTGGATGGTTGGATGTTATAGTGGTAATATTTGTGGTAGGTTACGGGGAGAACTTTAGAAGAAGCCATGGAAAAGGCCGTGAAAAGATTTAATGTTCCAAGCACCGAAATCACTTTGCGGCAGGACGAAGATGTCCTGGATACGTGGTTCAGTTCGGGATTATTTCCTTTCGCAGTCTTTGCCTGGCCCGATGAAACAAAAGATTTGGAAAAATATTACCCAACTTCGTTATTGGAGACGGGCAGTGATATTATATTTTTTTGGGTTGCTCGTATGGTTATGCTGGGACTGAAGTTGACCGGAAAATTGCCGTTTTCGTAAGTTATACAACTTCATTTTGTAAATCCACCCCGGTTTGCGCCACGATAGTTACTACGAACACAGTATCTTAGGAGCAAATATTTAGGCGGAATGTGAAACGCTTTCGTATATATTTAACTATAAATAGTTTTATTTTTCAGAGAGGTTTATCTGCATTCAATTATCCGTGATGCTCATGGTCGGAAAATGAGCAAATCCTTGGGTAATGTAATCGATCCCCTGGATGTTATACAAGGAATACCGTTAGAAGAACTGCATAAACAGCTCCTCACCAGTAATTTGGACCCGAGCGAAGTGGAAAAGGCGAAGTAAATATGAATGTTTAGTATAACAAAAGACAGAAAGTAACTTTTATTATTGTTTTAGTTCATCCTTAATTTGTTTCGTTATCCACAGAGCCGGTCAAAAACAGGACTTTCCGGAGGGCATACCAGAGTGTGGTACGGATGCGTTACGTTTTGCTTTATGCTCATTTCTTACGGAAGGTAGGTCGAATCGATCTTATGGGTATAATACTTGCACGAATGCGTGCAATAATCGATTTATGAATTTAATCAGGTCGCGACATCAATCTGGATGTGCTGCGCATCCAGGGTTACCGCTTTTTTTGCAACAAGCTATGGAACGCCTTGCGCTTTTCTATGATGCAACTGGGGGAGAATTTTCTGCCACTAAATAATTGTGCAGAGATTACAAAGGCGGCAAATGAATTGGATCTGTGGATACTCAGTCGGGCAGCTTTTGCTATTCAGGAGTGTAATGCTGGATTCAGGTGCTTGCCTTCATGTGCAGTAAATGTTTTCTTTGTGGGATTTAAAAATGTAATTTTATATCTGCGCGCTTTTTACTATCACAGTTGTAATTGTTTTATCTCAAAAACGTTATTTGGTGCGTTATTGTTAAGGAGTTACATGTAGAAGTACCCTTAAGTCTACTATTTAGTGCAGTTTCTGCTCTTCCATACATGGATTACTTACTGAAATTCGATTCATGTGTTTTAGAGAATATAACTTTCCTCGCATTACAACAGCTTGCTACAATTTTTGGCTGTACGAATTATGCGATGTGTATTTGGAATGCACGAAAGTTGTGTTTGCCGGATCGGAAGAATCGGCAAAGGACACTTGTCGGTAATTTACTGTTTTATGAGAATCTACCGTTGAGATGTGTTCTTACGATGCCACTTTGCGTGCAGACAAGTTCTATACACTGCACTGGACGTTGGTCTACGGTTGATATCGCCTTTTATGCCCTTCATATCGGAAGAATTGTATCAACGTCTGCCGCGCCGCTCACAGACTGCTCCACCCAGCATTTGTATAACGCCATATCCTCGACCTGAGGATGCGACGCATTGGGGAAATAAGGATCTTGAGAACCGCATTGATTTGATGATGCAGGTGGTTCGTGCTGCACGGTCGCTGCGAGCCGACTACAATTTAGCTAAGAGCAAGACACCGTTGTTTGTGTTGTGTCAAAGTGCGGATATTCAACAAATTCTGGAGCCAATAACGGTACAGTAAATTTAGTTTTAAAGATATAATGTGTTAGCATTCGCGAAATTGTCGCTGAAGTAGCAGTGCCGCGCACTAGCGCAAAGACTTAGCTACAGAAATGACTCATTCATCGCTCATTAGTACAATCAGTTCTTTTATTGTAGCTCTATACGAAAACTCTGACCAATTCGAGCGACGTGACTATATCGTCATCCGATGCTGCCGTCCCAAAAGGTTGTGGAATGTTGTCTGTCCGGCATGACTGTTCCGTATATTTGTCATTGGAGGGATTCATAGATGTTAAGAAAGAAATGGAGCGTCTCACTGATAAACAGGACAAATTGTTCAGTATGATAGAACGGCTGAAAAAGGCGACGAGTATTGAGGGCTATTTGGAAAAAGTTCCGCCGGAAGTGCGCCAGCAAAATGCAGAGCGTCTAGCACAGCAGGAAGCGGAAAAGCAGAAACTGGAAGAGACACTTGCCACTTTGAAAACTTTGACGTTAAGCTAAATCAAGCTTCTTTTCTCAGAAATTTTTTGTCTGTTGTTCCGTTTTTTTATTGTCTTGTTGCTTAAATAATAATTATCATTTCGACGGAGTGATGGTAAAGCGAATCAGAGGTTGAAAGTTGAAATAGTCAGTTTGATTTGTCCGTTCGCTGTTGCTGATGCAGCAGCTGAAATTTTTGTAATCAGTTTTCATGAACGTTTTAAAATGAGTATCGATATCCGCAGATCGTACTGGGGTTATTATATTAGAGTATATTCGTGTGCGGCACACTTACCCACATGGGCCAAATCGATAGTATCAATGGAAGTATTAGCAAATATTTTTATAAATAAACCGCTTCTTCCTGTTGTGAAAATGCATTCATAACACAAAACAATAATAATTCGTTTTGCATCACAAAACATGGCGTCTATATCTTCGCAGGATAAGAAAAATAAAACTGAAAACGCATTTAAATGTTGTCAGATAATCGCCTAACAATAAGCTATATGCGCGATGTATCTGCATAAACTACTCGTACTATTTCAAAAACTGCGGCATTGTTGACTGGCTTTGCGGTTGTGCGCAAGCAGCACGCATTGCTATCTGCAGATACAAAGCTTAAAATAAACAGTACAAATACAAATTATAAAGCTAACTTATTGGTTTACGAAGAAGTGAAATAGATAAATAACTAATAACAGAATTCCAGTTATACTTGTTAGATCACTCTTTGAAGGTTGTAAGCGCCTCTGGGCTCGCTGCTAAACTGCGCACAGAGAATAGCGTAATTTCGTTTGCCATACTTTATATAAGTTCCTCTTTTCTGGAAAGCTTGGTCATCTGTACATCGATTCCACCTGGTTTCGCAATACTTGGAATTGTTCTGCAATTAGATTCTATTAAAATAGACGGTAAAATGTCTGAATGTTTAAGTTTAGCAGAGCTGTGGAGCTTTTTGGCGTCCGAAACAAACGCAAAACAAACGTGCATGCAAGCATTTTTACTACTAGTTTCACCGGTAAAAAAGGTGAAACCGATCTTGAGGAGAGCATTCTAAAAATCTGATGCTTACCTGAAGTAATGTTGTTACTTTGCTTCCTCAAGAACTCCGACACCGCTTCTTTTGATACTTGAAATGCTCGCATATTATTTAAGAAATCTTTCAACGTTCGGAAGATGAAATCATCCTCAGCGTATTCTCTAGACGATCGATTGTCATCTCCACTGCTGGTCCACTGTTCTCTGTATAAAATTTTGTTAAAAACAACTGTAATTAAACCTCTAAGCTGCAGTAAATTTTCGTTTTTGTATTTTTTATCTATATATATACATCTAATAATACAAGTAATATCCATGCCATCTTTTGCCTTTGCAACAGGAACAAGTGCAGCAGCCCTTCAAAGGTCACTATGTGGTGTGCTTATTATGGTGTACGGAATTACTACGTACATTTTGCTGTTTTCTTTGTTTCGGAAGCATACAGACACATTGCTTGCATTGGCGGTAATTAAAGTTGCGGTACAGATATGATTATTGATAATACTGTATAATCGGGTATCGTAGCCCGGTTCAATCTGTCTGGCTGATTAATATTACGCCGCATGCCAGTTCCGGTTGCGATTCGAGACAAGATTACTTCGATAATTACTTAAGCATCGAATGGGAATGTACCTCTGAGCTCTTTTTGCTCTTTCCGCCTGCGTGGCGTCAAAGTAAGCCGCATTCCAGAATTTCAGTGAGTGCCATATGGCCTGCTTGCGCAAATGGTGGTAAAGGAACTCCCTGCGCACCTTACGCGATGGCCCATGGGGAACTGCAAATGAAAGGCAGCACTGACGGGAATAGATTGGACCTTTGTTACACATATATGAGTATCTTGAAATATAATTTGGAGATGATAGGGTATAAATCAAGTAGCATTTGTGTTGCAGCCAGATTGTATCTCTTACCTTCCTTATAGAACGTAAAGCAGATATTCATTAGTATCTTGGCTGCTCCATAATCCTCCTCTTGATAGCACTCAAACAAAACGATGGCACAATATTGTACCAGTCGATAAAACGTGCCTTCGTCCACTTTGCTACCGTAATTTATCCTCTGCAAATCAATATGTATATCAAGCAAACATGATCGGAAACGACAACGGGACAGGAGAAAAACAAAAATCGATATATGCGGTTGCGCAGTTTGTTGTCGGGGGCAGCGCCGTGGCGGCACAATGTTTCAGAAATGTGCATGTTAATGAAATTTTCGGCTCTGAGACTTGCCTGCGAATTGATGAAGCGAGCAAACCATAATCTTCCAGATTCCGTTCTGACGTACTCGCCGAATGTGTTTTTCTCATTCTGATCGGGTGTCTTGCTGCAAATACAGACAGCCATATAAGGTGTAAATAGATTACGTCCTTTTCCGGTGCTGTCCCGTGTGGGCAGCTTTAATGTGATTTTCAGCGACGTTAATTGGTTGATCGTTAGGAATACTGACGGCGCAATGCCCAGCAAAATTGACAAGCACCATACAGTACACCAAATTCGCTGAACAGCTGGAGTGCACAATATAAATATCATTAGAGCGAAAAACATTATGACAACAATGTTGAGCTTTAAATAGAACCGGGAAGGAAATCCCCAATTATCAGGCTTTGTATGAACGAAGGTATAAACACTGTACAGGCTTATTATGTTCCTCATTTTGTGACTAAAATAGCGCTGCTTTTCCTCATACATATGCGCAATGACCTTAAAATAAACAGATCAATAATATGGCTAGTCGCTGCGTTCGTATGCAGCGGCATTCCTGTACAGCTGAACGCTATCATGTGCGTAATTTGTATTTATTGTACCTGCCTGTCTTATTTATTTTTTTTAACAGATTGGCTACACGCATAAAGTTAGCGCTTACAACTGCAAATAAACTGTCGCCTATTGTGTAGCATGTTTACCGGCATCTTTCCATGCATTAAATCGTAAAACGAATACAACCTCCTTCTTACGTGCTTATAAAAAAGACTTAGTTGCACCAAAAATGTGAGTGCTTCCTACTGTACATTAACAAAACATTGACATACCTAGCTTGAAAGATCTGTTCCACAAACTGGCGCATAAACATAACCAGATCATCATCGGTGTGCGCTTCATCCGGACTGTCTGGACCACTGGTATCCGATCCGCGATCGGAGCGCGTCGAGGCGCGATCCACATCCTGATCCAGGGCGTCGTTGTCATCGGGCGGATCCGTCGTTCCACTGCTGTGGTCATCCGGCCGGTTATCTGCAGCGGCAGCGTACACTCGCGGACTGTGCGAAGCGGTTTGACCGCGGCTGCGGTCCGGTCCATTGTCGCCACCGCCGCCGCCGCGTTGCTCTCCGCGCGTCCCGGCTCCAAAATCCAGCTCATCGAAACTGATCCGTTTGGGCGGAAAGGACAAACTCCTTCCGCTCGACGAAGCACGCGAGGGGCTGGATGCATTGCTGGATGCACGCGATGATTTGCGTTCGGAGCTGCGAGGTGATGACGGCCGGTTGCCGAATAGGGCGTTCAACAAACCGCCACCGCTGGCTAACGACGAAGGCTTGCTTTGGCGCTGTGCAGCGGCTTCCGTAGCATTGTCCTCGTCGTTTTGACCAGCTGGCTGCTGGTGGAATTTGTTGCGCATAAGAAAAAAGGTCATGGCGAAAAAGCGGGTTATAAATTTGCAGTCCTTAAAATAAGCCGAGGCTATTAAACATAAATGCATATACTGCTCAGAATAAATTCCAGATGGGCGCTGCCGAATAAAGCTCCGCGCGACAATAAAAGGTTTTTGCTCACTGCAGCAACCAGATCGAGATGATGCTGCAATCCATTAACGCAAACTGTTAGTGCAATCTTTTATGACTGCAGCGTGTATTACGACTTGCTGGGAGGAATGGCTCGATATTATGAAGCCAACGTTGTCGTGCGTGGGATGAACAACGGCGCCGGGGAAGAGAGCACCGGAATGAGGGTGGGTTAAGGTTGCTAATGCACTTGTACTGATCACGGCACGAAGCTGTGTTGCAGCCTTTTGGTTACATGTATGCAGCGCCCGACGGGGAAGCACACTGTGGATGCACTTCCCTGCATCGCCCTGTCGCACATTTCCCACACCAGAACGCGGATCGATCAAGTACTTCAATGCGAGAGCTTTATCTTACAAAAAGATCGCATCGCAACCTCTATCGATTTTTTATAGGGATTTTGTTAAAGGGTTATAAGGATGAACTGTATGCAAGTCTGTGCTCAGGGCGAGAGTAAAAACGATTTAGAAAATATAGTGGCACGATTTAATAAGCATTACCGTTTTATAGTTGTCGACATGTACATTGTAAAAGCACATGCCAAATTGATATTAATTGCAGAAGAATTCAAATTCCTTTTCCACCAAAAACAATTTATGCATTTTACCACTGCATGCCCTTCATTGTTATATTTGTATTACCGCTGCATGCAAATAGGTGGCCGCAATGTTATACCAATTAACATATCCTCACTTGCGAAGTTGTGACATTCTTACGAGAACTATCGTCAGCGTCGTTTTTTTATATGAAAAGTAAAGGCCATCGTTGAAATGCTGTAAATTAAATACATCTTTCACATGCTGTAAATTAATCGTAAATACATACATAAATTAAATACGTACATAAATTAAATACATGCAATTTGTTATCAAATTTTTTATTAGTTAAAGTAATTACCGCGAAAAATGTGTGTTTTCGTCTGCGGCAACTACTTTAAAGTAATTATTCTGCAGTGATTATACTGCTGCGTAATTATACTGCAGTTCAATCTGTTACCCGTTTGTTTAGTGAAATTGAACTAAAAAGAAATTGGTAGCAAATTTGAACTGCCGTATACAGTAATTACCGCAAACGGTACACTTCGTTAACGAGCAGTGGTAAACTGATTTTCTTAATTCAGTTAATATTATTCACGTCTTAATGGGAAAAAGGAAAACAAAACGATTGCAGCAGCTTTTACCTATTCAAGTTCCGTCGGCAGCATGTTTCCGACACAATATAACGTTCACGATTACCTTCAGGAGGCTTGTGTAAGCATTATGTACCCGGAATGTATGCATACACAGTGATACACTATTTCACAGCACGCTATATTACGAAATTATTGCGTAGTTTTATAATTAGTGCGTTTGTGCAATACGTGTACAAAGAAAGTTGCAGCTTACTACCAGGAATAATGGTACAAATTTAGCACTTTTCTCTGTTTATGTCTAGAGTAGACATTCTACAAAGGGCACACCAAAAGTATGTAAGTTTGTACTTTGTAACTATGTACTAATATTGTTCATGTGTTAAGTATATTGAACTTTCGGTATTCGTACAGTTTTTCACACTCTCACTAAAATCGTCAGAACTGGAACGTGCTTCGATTTACATGCAAATGCAGACATGTGCCGTCGAATTTACAAAATATAATAATGTATTAAACCAAAGTATTTTTATTTATTAAAGCACCATTTATTCTACGTACTCTCTCGACCAGAAAAAAATTGAAGATGGTGCCAATAAATTTCATTATTATTCAGAAGATATATTATATCACTTATTTTGGCTACCAGATTTGTTAACTAAAAGAAAAATTTGGATTTTAACTTCCATAAAATGCTGAGGGTAAGAATGTGCTGTCCCGATGTGCTGATGCAGTGGGACGCTGGGATCGTCTGCCGAGTGCCCAGCACTCGGACGGCTGCTTAAAAACTGTGAAGTTAATAAGTAAATAAGCGTTTTGACTTTCAGCAACCAAGAAACTGGTGCAATGATGGCAACTTTAGGCACGGTTCTGACCTTTGTCTATAAGTTGAAGAAGCCGATATGGTTTCTTCGTTGACCTTTGAGGAACTCCAGTATTTCCTCGAGCAAATGGGTAGGGCGAACTTCCCACAAGGATACATATGTCGCCGTCGACGTCTAGCCGCATGGCATTATTTCTTCACTCGTTACACAACCTTTTCCTCGCAAACTAATTCTGTAGATGACATCCTTATTATCCTTATGTATATGGCATTATCCGCTAGCGGCAACATATATCGGCCAGACTTCTGACCACCCTGGCGCTGCTGCGGAAGCCGCTGAAATTCGAAAACTGGGAAAATATGAGAAGTTAAGGGATCGATACAGTGTCCAGCCTTTTGCTTTCGAACTATGGGATGCTGTGGACCAAGTACCAGTGGTTTTATTTCGGATTTGGCCAAACGTATTCGGGAGCAGACTGGAGAAAGCCGTGCGAAACAGTTTTTGTTGCAGCGTTTCAGTTTAGAAATACAACGGGGCAATGCTGCCTGTGTTCTTGGTACAGTTGAGTGCAGTCGCAGTCTTGATGAACTGTTTTTGGTTTTCTAGAAGTTTATGTATTGTCTTATTCGGCAGCCGGATCTATAATAATTACGATGTATTATCTATGTATTACTGCATGTAAACGTTGTGTTTTGCTGTTAATCTTGAATCTCTGTAATACTAATCAGCAGAAGCTTTGTTGCTCATTGAGCAACCGCATTTAAACGTTTGTTGGAGAGCACTGTCACTGCCAAAACCTAATACACACCTTCAAATCTAAAAGAAGTGGTTTAAAAGCAAACGGTGGTAATGAGTGGGAAGTCATAAGTTGAAATAGATCCAGTGCATACCATTAACCGATAACAGTAACGAGTTTTCTAGGTGCATTACAACATGATGAGAACTGGAAACTTCTACCGTGTTGAACATTACATACGTTTTGCCTGCTTGATGACCTTTGAGTTACGTCATGGTACTTAAATTTGGATTTATATGGTATAACGCGGGGCCATATGGGCGCCACGCGTATCCTCGACAGCGAACAGCGTGAACCCGGATGAGGCTTTATTGCCGAATCTAATGCGCACCGTGGCGCAGCAACACCAAAACTAATGAGGAAGGATCCTGCAGCCAGTGCAACTGTGCTGCAGGTCCGTCAAAACAGCGCAGCAATGTGCGGGGGGGAAATCCCCAGAAACAGCGAATAGCTACTCAGGAGGGCGGGGCGTCCCGCCCTTACACCCCTTTTGCAGGCATCGCTACGTCCTCGGAGCGAAATCTCCCAGGATTCGGAGGATCCGCACCCCCCGCCGGTTCGGCTCATGTTGGGTTCCGGGTCAGTTCGGTCCGGTTCGGGCGGTTAATCCGGTCGGCTCGGTTCCAGTTTGGTCGGCTCAAATCCGGTTCGGCTCAGGTTGGGTTCCGGGTCAGGTCGGCTCCGGTTCGGTCCGAGTCAACCGTCTGGGTCAACGCACTGTCGCGCCAGATCCAGGGTCCAACCCGGAAACGGGTGAATTCCGTAGTTTCTTCAGCAAGGGAAAGGTCACGTTCTGGGGAAATTTGGGCAGGGGTTTGGGGTCTATGTGGCCGGTGACCCCTGCAAAAAAACAAAGCACGCAAATCCGCGGTGAAATCCACTGCTCCGTCCGGGGGGATGTCGCCGTCCCAGGAAGTTCGGGCAGTGTTTTGGTGGGGGAATTCTTCGGCGTGGTGCTGGTGGTCGATCCGTGCCGTTGGGATCGGAGTTGGTGCTGCTGTTGGCGGTGTATCCGTTATGGTTTCCCGCTGGTCCGGGTCGCGTTCGCCGTCGGCATCGCAGGAGGCAATTCTCGCTCCACGGCATCGCAGGAGGCGTTTCTCGCTCCGCGGCATCTCCGTCCAGTTTGGGAGGCATGTCGTCGCGGGGAGGCGTCCATCTCCGTCAGTTGGGAGAGGAATCCGTCACGTTCCGCGAGAATGGGGGGGCGTTTGTAGCTCCACACCCAGGGGTTAAATTGGCTCAAATAATCAGAGGAGCCGTGCGCGCGGGCAGCGTGCACGGCCTGGCTCGTAACCAACGATCTGCTACCATATAACGCGGGGCCATATGGGCGCCACGCGTATCCTCGACAGCGAACAGCGTGAACCCGGATGAGGCTTTATTGCCGAATCTAATGCGCACCGTGGCGCAGCAACACCAAAACTAATGAGGAAGGATCCTGCAGCCAGTGCAACTGTGCTGCAGGTCCGTCAAAACAGCGCAGCAAGGTGCGGGGGGGAAATCCCCAGAAACAGCGAATAGCTACTCAGGAGGGCGGGGCGTCCCGCCCTTACAATGGCAAATTTTCCGTATTTTCCGTATAAACCTAAGATAAGCCCAACAGGAAAAGATTATCTGGATTCAACTGGATCATTGTTGGCCATATTTCCAACAAAGGCTTACCCGCATCCGCAGCTGAATTGATGAGGTAGAACTCGCATTTGTTGAAATTCAATTCAAGGCCCATCTTCTTCCCTTTTTCTTCAATATTTTTTATCGCGGCGATCACTTTCTCCATGGTACCGGCCAGAGTAACATCATCAAGAAAGCCCAGAAACAGCTCGCAATCCAGTCCATCGAAGAGCGGTAGCGATGTGAGGCTGTAGCCGAAGGGGCCACTTGGATCGCCCTGCTGCACCCCCCGGGCGGACGACAAGACTTCTTCCCCACAAACCAAATGGCTCGCGTAACGATAAGATTGCCAGAAATAGCCGTAATAACTGGGAAAATGCTGTCTTACGGCTTCCAATAACGCGTCTCGTCTCAAAAGGTTAAATGCGTTTTTAAAATCCAGCTTTACCAGTACTCGCTCTCCGTCGTGTGTAGCTTCCAGGTACGAGCGGACCCCGTGGATAATTGCTTCGGCTCCGCCTTTCGTGCCACAGCCATACTGCACAGTGCCGCATAACTCCTTCATCTTGTCAGAACAACGCTGGGTTATTATTTTAGAGACCAAACGGCGAAACGTTTCCCCAACTGCAATTGGCCGAATTCCTCCGTCTTTTTTGGCAAGGGGGATTAGCCTTGCTCCAAAGAAAAACGGTCTAATGTCCTCTGGAACGCCTCTCTGCAAAACATGATTAACAAAATCAGCCAGAACACAGCACAACTCGCTTTCTTCGGCTTGCGGGCCGCCTAGGAGGTCTTTCAGATGTTGTGGGCGTAGATCCGAAAAGCCACCGGTAGAACCCGAAGGAAGCTCATGACTGCTTGTAGCACTTCGGCAGGTGCTACTAAGGGCGGTACGTTAGACTGGTCGGGAGGAGGGGGATACAAACTATCCGCTGGTTCGCAAGGGTGTTTGTTGCGCAGCTCTTTAAGGGTTTCAGCATTTACTGGCGCTACTGAATCGTCGCCCATTACCAGCCCAATGGCGCGTCTGATGTTGTTGTCCTGCAACATCGATGTGGCAAGGGCTGACATGCGCTCGCTCGATAGCTCACCCTGCTGAGTTCGTGGAGGAGCATGTTGACGTGGAGGATGTTGATGGCGAGACAAATCCGACAAATTTTTGCGTATTATGGAGGACAGGGATTCTTTGCGGAGGGTTTTGGTGGCGGGCAAGCAGAGGGCTCTTGATCCAAACAACAGCAAATCAGCCCAGCTCGCCGATGTGTTTTCTCTGATGCATGTACGGAGGACTTCTGTCAGGGACTGAGCACACAGGCGTCGGACAGACTTCGGCACTCTTTTAGGGACGGCGTAATGCTTCCCGGCCAAAAAGGATTGAAGGGGTTGTTGGTCGGGTGGAGAGGACGTGGAACCAGGAGCTTGTGTAGGTGCTTTCTTGGCGCAGGCTTTAACATGGTTGGAGAGCCCAGCGCCTTTAGTGAAGGGCTTTCCACATATGTGGCAAGGCTCTTTTGGCTGGTCTCCTGGCATAGTTAGAAGCTACAAAAGAAGTCCGCAAGCCAGCAAACAGAGCAGAGAAAACGAGTGCCGTTTAACGATGTGAAACGACATACCCGCATTACCTGGGGTTCACAAAAGTTTCCCCCAAGTAATCTGTGCAACAGCCCAATTGTCATTCCGACGTCGATATTGTCAATCCACAAAACAGTCCGTGCTAATTGTCAATCCATAAAATCCACCAAATCATTACAACGGAACTAAGCTTCCCCATTACAACTGTATTTTAGAATTAGCGATATTGAGCAAATTTTGGGGCAACAGTTTCTGCAACACCTTTGTGGCTAAAGTCATTTTATCACGTGCTCGAAGAGGGAAAAACGAAACCGAATGTACCAAATTGGTTTAGTACCAATATAAGAACTTGAATATCAGCTGTGCGTTGCGAACGAGGCGCTGCCATTGTAGCGCATCGAGGTCAGCAAAACCGCAAAACAACCGAAATGCAGTGCCAAAGGTTCTGCTTGTTGACTGAGCCAAAGCCAATGAAGGTTGCGAGCAGAATGTTCATTCAAAACTTCGAATTCAGTTTTTTAACGCAGAAACAGACGGCTAACTTAGTGTTTCATTTTTGCAAAGTACAAAAGATTGTTTTTCAAACACATGTGCAGTGCATATCATCAGCATTCACACAAAACGCTTGCAGTTGGGGGAAATCGCATTACGCGGCGGCGTGTACGATCAGTGAATAGGTTTAGTGACAAAAATATTTCTAGAAGCGTTATTTAACTTGCAAAGGTTGTGCATATCTATATATGGGTGAAAGGTATACCAAGAAGGACTATCATGCACCGTACTGATTATTTGGAAAGGTCACCACCATGCATGAAATTTTTTCTAGCTTTAAGGCGTTGGTACTTTCGTAAGACGAACAAATGTTTATACCTGTAAATAACAGGTCGCACTAGCCTACCCGCATTTTTACATATATTTTATTTTTTGTTATTTATTGTTTTTTGTTATTTTATTGTTATTTTATTGTTGCGCCCACTCGACGACAACTGTATATACGAGTATAGACATATAAAAAATCGTTGGTCACCACCAGCACGGCTGCGGAAATTAAACATTTTCTGAAAATAGTGATTGCTTTACTCTTACTTATTTAAAATAAAAGTGCATAGACTACCTCACACGTTCGCCGAGCTTTTTTCTTAGTTGGTTTTACTGTTTCGCACATTAATATTTCTTTGCATATTAAGTTACGGTTATATAGTATTATGCTATTTAGTACCGTTAGTTTTTTTTCCGCAATTTGCCAGTTGTATTGTAATGTACCAGTTGAGTACGATACTACGAAGTGATCAGTATCAAACTAGCAGCTAGTCAAAAGGCCCTAAATCGATTGTCCAGTACGGTAACGACCGCTTGAAAACGATGAAAAGCTTTTTTCACTATGAACTGGACATCGGCGCTTATAGTATTGATTCATGATTCATTTTGTGATTATGGACCTTTTTCGTCATAGATGTTACAACTGCGGTAACTTGAACCACAGTTAGCAAGGCTTCAAAGTTATTGGATACAGCCTACAGGTACAGTACCTACGTAACCTATGACTGCTTTAGTGACCGGTTTAATGCAGCAGTGCTTCAAAAAGGAGCAACCAGAAGTGTTGCATTGTTCGACATGCGATTCGTCGATGATGAATGATGATGCGTATTTAAACATAAGTAATTGATCAGCTGGTGACGTTAGAATCTGGAAAAAACCACGCTCGAATTCGGTAAACAATCACACATCACGCCGGTCCAACAGATAGAGTGGCATATCCTGCTGTAGTAGAAGGACGTTTACGATGGCTGTAGGATTTGCGTCACAACATTTGCATGCAAATTGAAAGCTGTAAAACAAATCCCGTTGTGCTACACACACTGCGTGCTAAACGACAAATCAGCGTGTGCGACGGGCTGTTGTTGTATTTTCCGTTTGGCTCCATCCCTGCGCGTCATGCACAGAGTTTTAAGCATCCAGAATCGTAAACATTCCTTATCGTGGATCGTCGTCGCTGGTATGCAACCGTGTGCTGATTTATCTTTAACATTTTCCCCACGATTAATGCCGTCAAAGCATCCCAATCTTATGGCTTCGGATCTGCACATTGTCAATCCCCGCGATGCATCGCTGCCGCCGCCGCTGTCTGCGGTGTTCACAGAGTAAACCGCAGCACCTTGCAGATTCACTAAGGTTGTGTTTTCAGTTGTACATTTAACGCTATTTTCTGCTGCTTTGCAGCTCTTATGCCTACAAGACAGTTCAGAACAGGATGCCAGTGATTCTGACGAAAATCGTTGACCATCTGAGTCGTCATAAATCTGAAGTCTACGACGGGGAAGAAGCTAGCAACCATCTGGGAACTCATGGAACCGCGGCTCAAGAGGCTTGGAACGCGCACCGTAAAGTACTTGACTTTTTTTTTAATTGCAGCTTAATGTTTTTTTTGTTGTACAGAAACTTTGAAATTCGGGAATTTTTTGGGAATCGGTAATCAGCTTAGCTTAGTACATCAGTAAACTAAAATTTGCGATTTAGTAAAAGCTAAAAGAAGATACAATAATTTTGTTAATTTGTGCGAAAATTTGCAGTCATTGTATTTTTTTGCATCGTTGCGTTATGTGCGTGCGTATTTGTGTACAGCTATGGTAAAGTGAGTGGATACAATAGCTCAAACTGTGGTATTTTACGAGCTTCATTAAACGTGCTATTCTAAACATGGTGTTAAACGTGGCGTTTCGTTTTCTGTGGTATTTTACGAGTTTTTCGAGTTTCGTGGTGTGGTTTCTGTGCTGTTTTAATGTGGTATTTTCGAAAGTGCTTAATTACGAAGAGTGTAACTCCCACATGTTTTATGCATCGGTTTCGGGAGTGCCGACGGCGACAACCAAGTATCGAAAAGGTTTAATATTTAGAATATTGATCGCGATGGTAAAACAGATATGTACTACTGTTCAGCACCATAATCGACGCAACAGTTTTAAAAGTACGCTGCAAAATCCTGATGTTTTGCCGGCATTTCCAATGTATGTAAGTGATTTTTGCCAACGCTTGTGGGAATCGAAGTATCCTTGCTCTGCTTACATCGGTTTCATTGCTTTTTAAGATTGTGCTGATGCACTTCTTCCTGTTACGTTTTTTATTGTTTTTTCCCTTATGGGAAACACAGTTATTTTCGTTTTTGTGGATTCCTTGAGTTTGTACATCAAAGCTGCAATAGTATTCTGATTTTATCTGTGTTTATAGTCGTCCTTAAGTATCGGAGTTTATTTCTGCTTGTTGTAGTTAAGGTTAAACTAAACTATGGGCTAGGAAATAGTATACAGCGACGCAATAACAAGGATTCTTTTTGATATGGAAACTGTAGGAAGCCGAAGAGGAACTGAAGGAAATCATCGGCGCCATTGCCAAGTTGCGTAATGAACTGCAAACCAATAAGCCCATTACTCCGCTTCCGTTGGCTGCGTCAGCGGATGCATTGCCGTTGGGTGGTGATGATATTCCTGAATGGAATGACGCATTGGATTCCCCGTTAGCCCGCAATCTCCTGAACCCCACCGATAAGCCCAAATGGTTTGAATCGGCATGGTTATTTGTGGAATCCTACATGTACCGTCGCGTAATGTGGTGCATCCAACGAACGTAAGTGGGCCGCGGTTAATTGTCAAGATTCGGGGATATTTACAATTGTTATGCTGAATATCGATCAGCATGACGTTCATTTCGTTATGGCTTCGCGGTTGTAAATAGCTGGGGGTGAAGAGATTAATAGGCTGTACAGATTCCATTTGGTAACCATCACTTACCTCTTTATAAATCATCTTTATTCGGCTTTCCTGTGCATCAGGCTAATTACAGACGTTTCTGGTATCTGAACAAGTCAAGAATTTTGTTAGTTTTTCTTTAAATAAGCGCAAACATTTGTGCTCACTGAAAGAAAAACGAGCAAAATTATTGACTTGTTACAACTGAGACGTTGCATCGATTTTACACCATGTTACTTCTTTGCAGAAAACATTTGCACGATTTGGACCCATTTAAATGGCAGAAAGCAGATTCTATCAAAGATAACACGCAAAATATCCATGGAATTTTGGATTATCTTGATAGCACATTGGAAATTGTAGCAGAACTTGAAGGGAAATTTTCTGATGGAGTGAAGGAAAATTTTGAAAATTTGTTAAGGGTAAATGCGATTTTGGTAGTCACTAGAACGACGTGCTTGCAAAATTAATCAACTGTCATGGTGATTTTATGTTTTCAAAAGTTTTACCCTAGCCAACTGGCAAATTTTGAATTTACTGATTTTTGATTGTTGCAGCTGTCCTTATGGGGAAATAAAGGGGATCTGTCGCATTCGGCTGGAAAGGAACCAACCGAGACCAAAGAGCACGATCCTCATGAAGTTCAGCAGAAAATGAGCGAAGTATTAGTTGTGGACGAAAGCGCCACCGTCTGGCAATACTTAGTTCGCATCAACAACCGCCAACCACAGTCTCCTATCAGGATTGATATTATCTGTGATAATTACGGTCTGGAACTGATTACCGACTTGGTACTGGGTGAATTCTTAATTGTTTCCGGCTTAGCCTCACAGATCCGCTACCACGTCAAACGAATGCCCTGGTTTGTGTCTGACACTACCATTCCTGACTTCAACCGGACCCTCGATCTCATCAACGAGCATGATGGGAAATTTGGAGATAAATGGATGAAATATATCGAAGAAGGCAAATTTCTCGTTCTCAGTGACCCGTTCTGGTCGCTACCGTATGAATATGATTATATGTTAGAAAAGGCGCCGGATTTGTACAGAGCACTGGAGAAGTCTACTCTGATAATTCTGAAAGGGGATCTTAATTATCGCAAACTGGTGGGAGATTTAGCATGGTCACCGGTGACGACAATGCAGACAGCGGTGAGGAGATTTTTTCCCTCTTCACTATGCGTGTTGCGGGGTCTTAAAGCGGAAACGGTGGTCGGATTAAGAGATGGGCTATCCGAAGAAATGGCTAAACTGGAAACGGATTGGATGTCGTCCGGGAATTTCGCTGTAATACAGTTTTTAGAGAAATCGTCTTGAGATTTCATGGTTCACCCTTTTTCGGATTGCCTGGTAGTATTGAGCCTTATTTTGCACTCCCTTTTTCACTGTCTTGCTTGACAGTTTTGGTTTTTGGCAAAACTTGATTGTGTAAGCACTTCGCTCTTTAATTGTTGTCAGTGAGAAAACCTTGAAAAGTACCGAATTGAAAAGTTGGTGTAAGTTCAGAGTGGAAACCTAACCTAGACTGGAAATACTGAAATTGGAAATGACAGCGGTAATGCGAGATTTCAGCGTAGCTTTATTTTTAACAGGAAATTTTTAGGACAAAGTATCATGTAGAAAGATGCGCTTTGGTGCCCGAATGACGGTGAGGGATACGGATTAAATTTTCGACTTGCTCGTTGCATTGCAAAGCAAACATGCTCGATTAAGAGACGATTAACAGCTTGTCGATGCTGAGTATTTTTACCATACGTTCCAGAACACAGTGTGCTGGAGACACCACTCAGCTAACTGATATGTTTGCAGAGGGTTATTTTTAAATATTAAAACATACATGCGCTATTTGCTGCTGCTGCGAATAAGTTGTCACAAATATCAATTAAACCAACTTCTTGTTGACGGATGCCGGTTAAAATCCTCTGAGATCTCCACACCGGATGTGGCCGCGCTCATTTGGTGTGTTGCAAACTGTGACGAGAATCTGGTGCAGGTTTCATTTCGTCCCCATTTTTTTCTGTTGATATTTGTACACGATGTGGTTCACGACTGCAAAATGGACCATAGTTATTATGATATTTGTATACATGACCGCAGGTATTGTGTAAATTGGCGGATCGAGCAGACATTGTAATTCCCGGAGAACAAGTAATTATTTTTTTGCAGGACTCGCATCAGATGCGCAGCAGCGTCTGATTAAGGAACTGTTTTTATCCAGAGATTACGACGCACTCAGTCGACCGGTCGAGCATGAAAACGAAACCGTAAACGTCACTTTTGCCCTTATTCTCAACATTCTCGTTTTTGTGGTACGAAAATCTTTGAAGATGAATTTATTTTGTTGACGTGTAGTATGCATAAAATGTTCGATTCCTGGAAGTGAAAAATCCGATTTTGATAAATTACTTACGGTTACTACTGTTTTTGCGAAAGCGTAGAGAGTAGAAACATATGAAAGGCGGCCCTTATTGTATCGAAATCCTACTGTTTGCCATACGAGCGTACGATGGCAAACTAAAAAATTATTATTATAAGTAAGCTGTACCATAGTTACCTTACCCAGCTTATCCAAGCAATATCGTCAAGATTTCATTTGTCTGTTGTTTGATTTTTAATACAGAAGAAATTATTTTTTGATGATATTAGCAAAATTTCGGTACGGCGTGTCGACTACTGTGTAATAATTTAAGCATGATATCGCAGAGTGATCAAGATCAAGTTATGAAAACCAACGGATATTTGGATTTGGTAAGCCCATGCGAAGTTAATACACTAACCTTTAATTCAGAAACATTTTCTTACTAACAATTAGAGCTGGAAGGATTTGCGGCTAACGTGGAATCCTGAAGAATATGACGGAATATCGATTCTTCGCTTACCTCCGGACAAACTGTGGCAACCAGATATTGCTTTAACAAATACGTATGCATATGCATTTGCCCCTAAATAATTTAAATCTAACTAACTCTGATGCTCTATTTGAATACTCGTAACTATAGTACTCCCTTCGGAAAGAAGCACTAATTAATTAATTTTCCGTATATATCTTGGACAGCGCCCACACCTCTCATTCAGTTTGTACTAATTTATTAGAAGTACTAATTTTATGACCCCGTTGCAACTTATTGAATCAAGTTTTCCAGATATTATTTTCTGCAGCGTTGATAAGCAGTTTCTTCCGAACTACAAAAGCAATGCCTTAATCTCGTCTGACGGCTCTGTGCAATGGTGAGCGAGTTAAAACCAAAAATTTTTGAGCTGCGTTATTTAAAGGTATTGCAGCTGTTGTATTGTCGCTTAAAATATTGCAGGGTACCGCCGTTTATTTTTAAAAGTGGCTGCGACACCAATCCCTATTTTTTCCCCTTTGACGTAAGATCTAGAACTGATGTTGCAGATAAATTTTCTTTTATCAGGCAGGAATACAGTACTTAGTCAATGTACCGATGTACGAGTAGACAATGCTTGTATCGTCGAGGGATATATCTTGCAGTAAATAATTTTTGGTACACTGCTTTTAAATCTTTGTTGACCTAAATTTATCTAAAGGTCATTCCTCATGAGCTTGCTGTTGTTATAGGTTATAGTTTATACGTATAGTACTTACATGTAATCCTGTATTTATTTGGTTATCTAAATTATGTTTATTTTATTGGATACTCATACAGAATATTTTAGAATCGGAGAGCGTTATCTTAAATCTTTTGCGTGCTTTGCAGCGACAACTTTGCAACATGGTTTTTCGATCTTTGACATACAGTTCCGCCGAAGTGGATCTCATTACCGACAAATACATGACACTCAAAGATTACGAAGGTCAGCCGAGTGGAAGCTGGAACATAAGTGAGTACTCTAATCTTTGCGATTAAGTTTGCTGCCATTTGTAACAAATCTGTTGTACCGCCCTGAATTCATGATCATTTTACATTTTCTTGCGAAGCTCGCGCCCGTATAATTACAGTAACTAAGTGGTCTTTTCAAAATTTCAGTACGAGTAATTTTCTCACTGTATTTGCAGCCGAGGTACCATTGTTCAAATGGTATCGCACGCATTACCGAAAGTACGGAGCCGTTCCGTACGTTTCGGTGCAGCTGGACATGATGGTGGCCCGGAAATCACAGTTTTACGTCCTAACGTTCTTATTGCCTTGTGTGTGTATTGCCTTTTTGACGGTGTTCGTTTTTTATCTGCCAATTGCATCGGGTGAAAAGCTGTGTTTAGCTATTTCCATCCTTTTCTCCATCGTTATCTTTCTCTTGATTCTCATCGACATCTTACCGCCTTCTGATTCACTGCCGCTAATGACAAAATTCTTGGTTTTTTGCTTTGTCTGCAATCTGATTTCGGCATTTTTAACTACGATCACAGTCAACTTCAGCTTCCGCTCGGTTAAAACTCACATCATGGTGCGCTGGATTAGGATGATCTTAATGGAGAAAATCCCGCAGTTGCTGCGCATTGTGCAGCCGGAAAAGGGCAAGAAGAAGAAGCTTTTCGCCACAGTGCAAGTACCTAGTCCGGCATCTTCATCGAAGAAATCCTCACTGAAAGCGAAACCAACTAAGGATGCTGATAAGCGATTGTCAGTGCGCTTTAGCAATCCAAAACCGGACATCAAAGAACGTTATATGAATGGGAATTTTGCCGATGACCTTTGGGTGCCCACACCGCCCAAGCGTGCTCCGCCATACGGAAGTATAGCGTTCCACAATCCTGGGTTTGTCTCTTCATCAGAAAGTAATAAAGAGCTGATCTGGCGGGAGCTGCAGCATTTGGGAGAATATCTGCAGCAGTTTCCCGGTTATTCAACTGCGCTGGATAACGTGGCATATATCGCCCAGAATATGGAGGAACAAGACGAAGAAGGAGATGTAAGTCGTGGCGGCATTAGTGAAATCAGAGAAACAATTTGTAAGAAGGATTTCGTAGGTGTCGGATGACTGGAAATTTGTGGCGTTAGCAGCGGACAGGTTTCTTTTGTGGATCTTTTTAATCGGAAATCTGATGGGGACTCTCAGCATCTTGCTCAATTCACCGTATTTGTTTGAACGCATGCCTGATCCCGCGCAAAATCCAACATGAAATTTCACTTTCTCTCCAGCAATAAACTGATTATTCTGTGCTGTACTGTTGTTAAACATAAGCCGTAGAGTTTTCAAATTTCTAACGTCGAAAAAATTTTGCATGGCTCTCAGTCTCAGATCACTAACACAATACAGACCAGTTGGCAATTTACACAAAGTCCAATGCAAACTGCAAAACCATGCCACATTGATGCCTTCCCTAAAATTTAATGCCTGTACACTGTTTACATCATAATATAATTATCAGATTACAAACAAAATTAATACAAACAAACAAGACTATATAAGTGCCAGCTGAAATACTGGAAAATCATGTAAAGCGTGCCACAAACAATATACAAAAGCGAATGCGTAACTGATTTTTGAATATTTACGTATTATTAACTGCACAACGGGAAAAAGGGTTACATTAGTCTTCCACATTAGTTTTATAAGTTTGGCTAACACAGAGCTAACATGATGATTCGACTTTGGTTTCTTCGTGCTACGGTTTGTACATCATCGTCCATGGTCATATTTGTTATTTTTCACGACTTCCGGCTGTCAGCATATCAGCATCTCTCGGATACCGTCTCAAAAAATTTCGGGAATATGGGCGGCAGAATGAAAGGCAGTAAGGCGCCGGATGTGGTTGACATCGTGTCGTACAAATGCTGTAACTGCACATCTTCCACGCATGCGCAGGAAGCAGTCTGCAGCACATACCTATTCAACTTTGTTAGTGTTGTTACAACTTATATTTACACACAAAGCTGCTATAACCAAATATATAGATATTTTTATGTAATACTTATAATATTCAGCTGCTAAAAAGTAATAAGGTGCTTGTTGGCTATGAAACATAATATCGACGCGGTACCTCAATAATGAGCAAATCGCCAGTTTCGGCTGGAGGCGGCACCTCATAAGGACTGCGAGACCACTGCATTCGCTGGGCCATCTTCAACAACCCACAGAATCCATCCATATCGGTGACCTTTACAAGGCAAAACTTGTTAAAATTTGTAGCTTAAGAGGAGCTAATTTTACAAGTAACTAGAAGTAAGTATTCACTTTTACAGAACGGATGGAGTGTTCTTTGCAGAAAGCTTCCACGAGTAGAACGTGCATATGCTTCAGTGGATCCTGCTTGTGCTCGAGATGTGGTAAAAGGCACAGCACAACCCCCAGCGGATTTCTGAAAACAGAGACGGTATATCTCTCTTCGATTTGCATATTAATACTTACGGCTTATGCAAAAATATGGAATCGGGAGCGATACGATAAAATGCCGCAAAGATCCAGAAGGTTTCCTTTCCGCAGACGATTAATGAATGTGAATTATATAGATATATGCGAAGTTACACCTAACTGATACTGTACTTGTACATACTTAATATATATAATTAATATATATTCTGTGCAATACAGTAAGAAGTTTAAAACAAATACCAACTATATACCAATATATTCTATATTTGTTTAATTTTTTAAGTCTGTTATAATTACACTTAAATCCAGGGATGACTTATCCAACGGCATTAGAACATATTCTTACCCTTAGCAAGAAAAACGTATTGTATGTACTCGAACTGTCGAACAGATACGTAGTACCGTAACTATATCCAAAACTTATCCATCCGATTTCGTCGTGAGAGGTTTTAAGAATGTTAGCGCTATAGTCCTGCGGCTCCTGCCTTCTTTGCAAGTTATCATGGATTTATGCTATTTTACAATTTATGCTTACACATCCAAAAGGGCAAATGATTCGCATAGCCCGACGCGAACTCGTCCATTTTGCAAAGCCCGATTAAAGCTTGCGATTACTGCACAAGGCAGTTCATGAAGCAACCCGTTACACCGCTGATTCCGAGCGTCGCTGTTATCATCTGTATCTGGTTCCTTGCAGGTACCATTGTTCACCAATGATGTGTTAAATTTACAGGCTATTGCTTTATTATCAGTTTTTGCTAGAGCCATCCCAAATTTTTGTGCACCGCAGTTTTTTTGAAAATCGAATTACTACCGCACATCAGCACAACTGGTGACGCAGTTCGTCAAAGACGTTAAGACACGGAGCAGTCTCGCATGGCATGTAACGATGAAAGAATTTTCATAAACTGCAAGGATAAAGCAGCCGACTGTCGCGCTCTCGGCTGGTGGAGAGAATTTCTGGGAAATGCAGACGAAAACCAAACTATCGCGAGGAAGCATACGTAACTGCGGTCCAGTGTGTCTAGTCTACTGTCTTTACGATTAACAAAGTACCGTTGTACATACTTGTTAAACCGTATGCGGTGTGTATGCAATCTTCATATGCAAGCATCAAGCATTTGTGGTCGAAGATTGCAATTGTCTTGACTCTTTCTTGGATAATCGTATGACTCATGTCTGGCGGCTCTCCAGTGTCCGGTGTTTCAGGAAGTCTGTGCACTTATACACCTGACCATAAAAGAAACGGTAAACGGACTGGACTGACTGCTGTGTCTGGCAGCGAAATGTTAAGTGATTATCAGGTTATCCATTAGATACACTGGGATCTGAACTGAACAAACTTCTTTGAAACTTTTATTCCTTATTGTTTAAAAATACTTTGGTAAATAATTTGTTCTCTTAGACGTAACAAGAATTTCTATAGTTATAATTATTATTTCAACAAGCAACAGGTGCCGTACAGGCTAACCGCTACCGGTAGCGGTCCGGTGCTTTATTTAAAACTATGTCATAAGAGCGCTGTTGTCTGATGATACGTACTTACCGTAATTGATATTCAGAGACAGAGGTTGTTTTTTTAATATTTGTATAGATATTTTAAATTTTAACTGTCTAAACGTGTACGTAGAAGCGCTTACTATTTTTGTTAATTGCCTGGCTATCACCAATAAAACTGATTGATATTCTGATTCTCTGGAATTGGAAAACCTAATTTACATTTTACGCCCCTACTAGTATTTTAGCTGAAAAAGAGCAAAAACTCTGTGCTTACTGTTTTGTCCACATAATGCACAATTTGTTTGCAAAAAAAAACGACATGAGCTCTCGTTACAGTAAGCCACTGTAAATCAACGTAAATGCAACGTAAAAGGCTGTTAATTCACCGTTAAGTCCCTGAAAATCCATGTTTGGCAATGTGCACATAAAGTAAATCAACGTAAATGTAATGTAAAAGGCTGTTAATTCACCGTTAAGTCCCTGAAAATCCATGTTTGGCAATGTGCACATAACGTAAGTCAAAGTAAATGCAATGTAAAAGGCTGTTAATTCACCGTTAAGTCCCTGAAAATCCATGTTTGGCAATGTGCACATAACGTAAGTCAAAGTAAATGCAATGTAAAAGGCTGTTAATTCACCGTTAAGTCCCTGAAAATCCATGTTTGGCAATGTGCACATAACGTAAATCAACGTAAATGTAATGTAAAAGGCTGTTAACTCTCTGTTAAGTCCCTGAAAATCCATGTTCGGCACTGTGCACGTAACGTAAATCAACGTAAATGTAATGTAAAATTGCTGTTAACTCTCTGTTAAGTCCCTGAAAATCCATGTTCGGCACTGTGCACATAACGTAAACCAACGAAAATGTAATGTAAAATTGCTGTTAACTCTCTCTTAAGTCCCTGAAAATCCATATCCGACACTGTACACATAAAGTAAAATAAAAAGATTTAACGTAAATACCATGTAAATCAACGAAAATCAACAGAAACACCGTGTTTGGAAACTTTAATCAACGTAAGCAAATTAAATCAACTTTAATGTAACGTAAAGGTGATGAACCAATGTTAAATTCTGTCAACACAGCCATGTCTGTGTCCGGCAAAAAATTCATTAGAAATCACCATGATTGCACGCAGAATTGATAACAACTATTTGTTATGCCGCATCACCTTTATGGTGTCTGCGTAAACCAATATCAAGCAGCGGAAGTAATCATAAATGTGGCCTAAAAGCGTCGGTTACCATAAAGTACATTCGGCTATACAATCAACCGTTGTTGTTTGCAGAAGTAGCGATCAGAAGGTTCTGCGCAGTTTTCCGACCGCGGCGTTTGTGTTGTGCTGCTTTGTTGGAGGATCCTGGAAATAAAATAAAATAGGAAAATATTGTTGCTGCATAGTAAAATTTCCGAAATTTACGTCGTCGTAAAATCATTACAATTTAAAAGAAGTCAGTTTCCCCAAGACCTTTTTAAATGCTATGTCATAAAATTTATGCAGTAAATAAAGCTGTGCGTTATATGGATTTCCGAATCTAGAATCAGTAGTGTGCTGCCAATATCCTAACCTATGCGATGGAAGGCGTTTTGATGATATTTCAGGGATTGTGGAGTGGTAAACACAGGCTTTTCGAAACAATCGCTGCACACGTATCGCATTTTGTGTATGCCGCGTTGATGTAGTAGCAAAGCCGCTCTTGACTGGAAAACTTTGTTGCAAGAATGAGTAGTGCAGACGTGAAGGTGAAGCAAATCGCTAGTTTGGTCTGGGCGGCCTATGGAGACGGTCTTTCTTTTTTTCTGTCTTGTTTGGTTTTCAGGTTTGACAGAAACGTGGGACAAGAAACCACGGAACACATCATCATATATTAGTTCCACTGAGAAGTTGACTGACGGCAAATCACGTATTCGGCATAGCGTTTCTTGAAGAAAAACCCCGGGATGCATTTTTAAAAACTTTGTAGTTGGTAGTTTCCATGACGTGCATTTTTTCCCAACTTTTGGAGGAAAACGTATGGAGTTTATGTATCTTATATCAGCTACGGTTGTTGCTAAAAGACGGTCTCGCAGGAGCTGGCTCCACTGATGCAAGGCTGCCGTAGTTTCGTCCCTTTTCATCTTTCGGCACTTGAATAGACAAAACAAATACATTAAAACCGTTATGAGAATAAAGTACACGCTTACCCGGTTTCTTAGTGCCAAAGAAGCGTTTGTAACAGCTAACCAGTGTTCGTCAACAAAGTTGCGCGCCTGTGATGCAGAGCCTCCCAGATTGTACACGCTATGTAGAATTCCCGGACCCAGGTACACTACTGTATTTGGGTGTTGGATGAAAAAATGTGGTTGGATTTTGAACTTGGCGAACAGAGCTCGAGTGCAGGAAAAATTCTTGAAGCGATACTCGTGTCCACAAGCGGTGGAGCCTACAAAGGTTATAAAAAATTTGGGAAAATTAGCAGTGAAATGCTACATACCATCTTTGGAGGCAATATTCAGCGAATCCAAGTAGGCATAAAGGAGCACCATGTTACGGGTCTGAAAACCTGGTACAACGATCCATATTTTCCAACCCGGTCCTAATGAAGTTAAAGGATGTAAAAAATAATTCTGCTCATTGAAATTTATTATGCGTTTTAAAAATTAGTGGGAAACGGTACCAAGACGCTAGTGAATAAGGTTGGAAGCGCAGAAACAGGGGAAAGTTTTTTAGACAGTGGTTGTCTATCCAAATGCAGCGGGGAAAGGCAATATGTGTTGTGGGTAAAATCCCCGAGCAAGATAGCTTATGAAGAAGTGCTTTAAATTTCATTTTTAATACCCAGTATGTAGTTACATGTTATCCAGAATCAGATCTATATTGCCACGAATGGGATACATCAGAGCCGGCAAACCAGAAACGAATGACGAAAATCAATATTATTTCTGAAAGCCCGTAGTCGAAAACCCGGCCAGATAGAATTCATGTCTTTCTAAACCTATCCCGCTTCGAACGCCAAAGCGGAAGAGTTTGACTATCTTCACCAACTAAATTATTAAAATAATAATTATCGTCGTGGTATGTTTTATAGCCAGGCAGTGTTGCCAGGTAAATCAACTAAAATACAATTAAAATATGAAAGTATTTTCCACTAATTAAAATATCAGAATGAACTTATTAGCAGACCGTTATTATGGTAAGAACCTCTTCATATCTAACGCTGTCATCGAGGACATTCATTTCTAAAAAAGTGCCGGCCGAGCAGCTATCGCTACACCATCCTACTGCGATTGTGTGATTGTCTGTTCAATCAGTGATAGACAGGACTACCGTCACTGTTCAGTGCACAAACCCGTTAGTTCAGCGAGTGACCGAAATATCACTATATCTGGGTTAAAATAGCCAACTAAGACAGTGAGTGACCGAACTACCACTATGTAAAGCTATGTGAGCGGTTGACCGAGCTGTCATTACTATCCGATACACAAAGCCCGGTGGGTGAGCGGGTAAGCGAGCTACCACTGCTGTCCGGCGCAGAAACCCCGTTAGGTAAACTAGTGACCTAGCTACCACTACTGTCAGTGCACAGAACCCGATAGGTGAGCGGCTGACCGAGCTGTCACTAATGTTCAGTGTACAGAGCCCATTAGGGAACGAGTGACTGAACTACCACTGCCGTCCGTGCAAATAGCTGACCGAGCTTCCACTACTGACCGGTGTAGAGAGCCCGGTAGGTGAGCGGGTGACCGCGGTGTCATTAATACGGGAGAGAAAGTCCGTTATGTGAGCGGCCGACCGAGCTACACCTATTGTCCCTGCACAAAGTCCGTTAGGTGAGCGGGTGACCAGGCTGTCACTACTGACCAGTGCAGAGAGCCCGGTAGGTAAGCAGGTGACCGCGCTGTCACTACTGACCGGTGGAGAGAGCCCGGTAGGTTAGTGGGTGACCGCGATGTACTAAAACGGAAGAGAAAGTCCGTTAGGTGAGCGGGCGACCGAGCTACAACTAATGTCCATGCACAAAGCCCGGTAGGTGAGCGGCTGACCGAGCTGCCAATGCTGTCCGGCGCAGAAACCCGCGCGGTGAATGAGTGACTGAACTACCACTGCTATCCGGCGCAGAGAGCCCGTTCGGTGAACGAGCGACCGAGCTACCACTACTGTCCGGTTCACAGAGCCCGATATGTGATGCGAGTGACTGAGTTTTCACTGCTGTCCAGCGCAGAAAGTCCGTTAGGTGAGCGGGTGACCGAGCTGTCACTACTGACCGGTGCAGAGCCCGGTAGGTGGGCGGGTGACCGCGATGTCACTAATGTTCAGTGTACAAAGCCCATTAGGAGATACGAGTGACCGAGATTTAACTCCTGTCCGGCGCAGAAGCCCGTTCGGTGAACGAGTGACCGACCTGCCACTGCTGCCCAACGCAGAAACCCGTTCGGTGAACGTTTGACTGTTTGACTGAGCTATCACTACTGTCCGGTGCACAGAGCCCGTTAGGTGATACGGGTGAGTCGGGGTGACTGAGTTTTCTCTAGTGCATGGCGTACAAAACCGGGGAGGTAAGCAAGTAATCGAGGTACCACTACTGACCGGACGTACACTACCGGGCACACACCACTTTCCAGTGAAAAGAGCCAGTGAAGTGACGAGTCACCAAAATACCCGTAGTGATCCAGTGCACAGTCAGTGGTTTGAATTTCTATTTCGGCTTTCTTTTTGGGTAGGAAATATCGTACAAATTATCTGTATGTACAGCCAAAGGGAATGCTTTCAAGGTTGAGAAAACCATGAACTGATGTTCATATAAAATTCGTGTTTGCCCTATCGCATGTACCGATCATGTTTCGACGAAATATAGATGTTATTCTAATATATATTTATTCAACTTCAAATACATGTAAAATGGCCATGGTCCAAAGAAACGCGGAGGCGAAGCCGAGGCTGCTTCTTGTACTTAATAATGTTACATAGTGTGTACAAAAATTATATAACACAAACGTACCGAAATTAACAGAAATGCTGCAGAACAGTTCGTCCTCAACGTGTTCTGCAGCAGTACTGTTGGTTGGAGCAATCAATAACCAAGGCAATGATAATCCCTCCCCTTCTCCCATGAAATTACTGAAAACAGCCTCAAATGCGGTATGGCAGTAGTTGATATTTGGTACGTCCTCCAGGATGCAGCTGTCTTCAAAAACTGTGGGCGTTAACGAGTAGGCTAGAGCTTGAGGGTAGATGACGCTTTTGCCGGAAATCGATTCGACATAATTCCAAATTTCTGCGGAATCATCGGCAATTTTATTCATCCATTCGAGATCTTCAGCTCTAAAAAAACAGTCAAAACAGAGCTGCTAAATATGTGGTTATTATGAAATATGGTCAAGATGAATGCCAAATGGCTAAGGTTTACTGTAATGGAAAAGTAGTGCCAATTGAGAGCAAGCGTTTTTCACCGGAATTATTATTACCGACTCAGGTACACGACTTTAGCATCCCCACATTTACGTTATGGGGTGGTCAACGTTAACAATGACCGCTCAAAATTTAAAGATATCAATCACTTCTGGTCTTTTATCATACGGTCGACAGCAAACTTTAGTATGCGGTTATTAAGTTTTTGACATTTTCTTTCTGCATTTAGGCCGGCTTTCAGTTCAGCTGGAGAACGAATGCTTGTAACGGTAAATAGTCTATTTAAATTTCTTACGTAGCAGCAAAATAGCAGCATTGTAATTTAAATACTTAAGCTTATGCCAGACTTTTATTTTCACCATAGCGCGCTCAAATGTAAAACCTATAATAATACAATTCCCTTATAAATACATTTTAATAAACCCTATAAATGTAGTTGTAAACAATTATTTTTTGCAGTGAATTATTCTTGACTTATTTTTTATGCGCATTTTGCGCGGGGTCACCTACTTTAATTTTACGAATTGGCTATGCGCTTCGACAATCGAGGCGAAAGTAAATCGGCTGTGCGCCCCGCACACCGAGCGCAAAGTTAATTGGCTAAAGAGCCTGAAATCTTCAAAATTTACGTGAACGCATTTAATTTTTTCAAGAGATGGGTATTTTTTTAAATTTGAATTGTAGGTGGAAATTCTACCGCTTGGGCATTGACAATATACTATACGTAAGGTGTGAGGAAAGTAGTTGCCGGTGCGACGCCAAATAAATTTTGTTGTACACAACGTCGTGGCCACTTGGTTTACTCCAATCAACATGGCTTTGGTAGCTGTTTACAAGAGTTAGTTTTTTAAATTAATTCATCATGATAAGATTTGTGGCTGAATTTATAATAAAAAAAAATTGTGATTTCCGGTCGGTGTATGCTGGGCTGCGCTAGCTTACATGTGCCCAAAACCGATCACAGTCAGCCATATATAGGTCTGGCTGCTTCGATCACAACGTCGTTTTATTGTTTTGCTCCTATTACGGATGAAGAAAACAATGTGATACAATCAAAAAAATGTTTGTTACTATTTTAGCTATAACGGAAGCACTCAGATGTCGTCAATTGCTATGTATCCACTGTCAATGATGAGGCTTGGCTGCTTACCTAGCGTGCAACGGCTGAAATATATCAAGGGTGCGGCTTTGATGACAGTGCCTGTTCAGGCAACCTGTTAATCTCCTACGCCAATGCCCAAGCGGTGGATTTTCCACCAGCTGTTTTGAAAATGCACAGTTTTTTATACAAGAGCTGTAGAATTTCGACGGATACTGAAATTGTTAGATACTCACATAAAGTTATCACTGATTTAATTTCAAATTTCTGCCATGACTGCCAATTTACATACACTTCGTAGAACTTCACGTTATTTTTTGAATGTTTTGTGAGCGATGTGGCTCTGTTATGGTGTGTTTTACCAAAAAACGAAAATTCACTGGGCAAAGAGTTATCTTTGCTTTATCTAATGCATGTGTTGTTCCGGGAATGACGATAGGTCTAGCGTTTTAAAAATTGCGATTTTTACTGGTGGTTTTCCATCTAGAAAACGCTGCCGGGTTAACTTATAAATCTAACGCGAGGTCTATTTTCCACAGCTGCACGGTTCTGGTGCGAACGCAAGTTGGAAATAGAGAGTGCGAAGCAACGAACGAGAAATATAAAAAATAAGACGCAGGCAAGAAAAGAATAAGAAATAAGAATAAGAAATACGAAATACGAAAACGAAATGCGGGAAAGAAATACGAAAAAGAAATAAAGATAAGAAATACGAAAGCGAAATGCGGGAAAGAAATAAGAAAAAGAAATGAGAATAAGAAGTACGAAACCGAAATGCGGGAAAGAAATACGAAAAAGAAATAAGAATAAGAAATGAGAGTACCAAATAAGAAAACACAAGAAAACAAAAGATCTAAGAATAAGAAATAAGAATAAGAAATGAGAGTACGAAATAAGAAAACGTAAGAAAACAAAAGATATAAGAATAAGAAATAAGAATAAGAAACGAGAGTACGAAATAAGAAAACATAAGAAAACATAAGAAAACATAAGAAAACATAAGAAAACATAAGAACTAAGTATACTAAAAAGATGACAATTCCTCGATTAAGGCGCATGGACTGATAATTAAAACATCAATTTTTTGAATTCTGTTAAATGCGTATGTGTGGAAAACATTGCAATTTTTCAATCAAGCAAAATAAAATAAAAAAAGAATAAAAAAAACAAAATAGAATAAAATAAAATCAAATAAAATAGAAAAAACATTGACTGATAGGAAAATAAGTACGCACGATTACAATCAATAAAAGAATCCCGACTTACGAGACGTGTAGATTTTGGGCTGCCAGGGAAGACACGTTTTTCCTTGTCGCTGCCGTGTCACCTTCTTCAATAATGGTCCATCCGCAATTATGAGAAAGGTTAATGCGCCGGTGCGCGTCCTGAGCACCCACTGGATAAGGGACATCACCCAAAGTCGAACCCTTTTTCATGGCATTCTTTAGCCCGCTGGTTTCAAAGTATGTGTTCCACTGTGATGGGACGGCATTAAAATCGATCAAGAATGCTCCAATTTTTTCGAGCCAGATTGCACAATCTTTCTCACGAGAAAGTGTGCCGAAACACTGTTTATAAGCATTGCAAAATTCTTCTCTGGTCAAGTTCAAACGGGGGCCTTCGATAAGCTCCGCCATGGTTCGAATTAATTGCAACTTTTTTCGCACAACGACTGTTTACTAATATGGACTGTTTCTGCTAAGAGACGATAGCCACTGCTTGCGCTTTTGGCAGATGAAGAAGTGAGCCGGGAAGTGCAATGTTGGACTTCTTTGTCTGAAACAGTCTCACTGTGCTTTGCGATTTAGATCCAGTCATCGCCTATCTAGCCAGAGCTGTTACATTGAGAGCAATTATAGCGATATTAAAATGCAGAAGAGAGCTGTTTGTACGCCTTCCTATCTTTTCCATAGCATCTTACAAACGAACGACTGCGTAAGAGGCTAAAAGGCTATCAGTGCAGTTATAACAAGCCAGGCTCTGGAAACTGAATCCATACATCAGAACCATCAAAATCTTTCCGTGTGGCAGAGCGACATTGTGAAGAACTGCTGCCGCTTGTCGTAGGTGGGAATTTGCTGATCATTGTATTGTCTTATTTCCTATTTTGTCATTTGCGCGTGCTCTTTATTTTGGTTCTTACCAGGGCACCATTAAAATCTTAGTTTTTGCAGAAACAGTGCACCATCGCAATATAATTAAAAACCAATTTCATCTGCTGAAGGTAAAAAAAGCGTGGCCAAACAAAATTAATCTGAGTAGATAGTATTGCATACAGTATACTAATACAATAGGCAGACTTTGTACATTTTGCAGTTCGCTTGTTTTCTTTCTTTCTTCCCTCAAACGCGTCATATATGGAATAAAATTACTTTTTAAACGTGCTACATTAGTAAATCTGCCAAAAACCAGATTTTTTCGTACTGTTTTTTCGTACTAACGTAAACCAACTAAAATACTATACTGAAGTATTTCCCACTAATTAAAATATCAGAATGAATTTAATTAGCAGACCGTTATTACGACAAAAACGACTAAGTACATATCTAACGTCTGTCTGTTCCATCAATGATAGACCAAACTACCGCCACTGTTCAGGGCACAAAGCGCTTTTTCAGAGAGTGACCGAAATACCACTATATTCTAGTTTGAATAGCCGCTAAGCCAGTGAGCGACCGAACTACCACTAGCTATGTGAGCGGTTGACCGAGCTGTCATTACTTTCCAGTGTACAAAGCCGTTACGGAACGAGTGACCGAGCTGTCATTACTTTCCAGTGTACAAAGCCGTTACGGAACGAGTGACCGAGCTGTCATTATTGTACAGTGTACCTGAGATACCGATCCACCAGTCTACCACTGTAGTCGAGTTGACAAAGCCAAAAGGAACGAATAAAAACGATGAAAACAGAAATTCGAATCGACCGCCCGTGGACAACAAGAAACGCAGAGGCGAAGCCTAGGTGATCGAGGTACCACTACTATCCCGTGCAGAAAGCGCATAGGTAAACTGGTGCACAGAGCCCGGTAGGTGAGCGGGTGACCGAGCTACCACTGCTGTCTGGCGCAAAAAGTCCGTTAGGCGAGCAGGTGACCGAGCTAACACTGCTGTCCGACGCATAAACCCCGTTAAGTGAATTAGTGACCGAGCTACCACTAGTGTCCGTGCAGAGAGCCCGGTAGGTGAGCGGGTGACCCAGCTAACATTGCTGTCCGGCGCAGAAAGCCCGTTCGGCGAACGAGGGACTAAGCTACCACTACTGTCCGTGCATAGAACCTACGAGGTGAGCGGGTGACCGAGCTGTCACTACTGTCCAGTGGACAAAGTCTGTTAGGGAACGAGTGCGGAAGGTATCACTACTGTCCAGCGCAGAAACCCAGTTAGGTGAACTAGTGACCGAGCTATCACTACTGTCCGTCGAACAGAACCGTTAGGTAAGCAAGTAATCGAGTTACCACTAGTGACCGGACATACACTGCCGGACAGACACCACTTTCCAGTAAACAGAGCTAGAGAAGTGACGAGTCACCGAGCTAGTGATCCAGTGCACTATAACTGTTTCGAGTTTCATACTTTATAGACTGATATTTCGGGTTTCTTTTCGGGTAGGGAATTTTTATATCGTAAAAATTATCTATAAGTACAGCCAGAGGGAATGCTTTCAAGGTTGAGAAAATCATTAAATGATTATCAATTTTTTCATATAAAATTCGTGTTTGCCCTATTGCATGTACCGATCATGTTTCGTTTCGTTTCATGTTATTCTAATAAATATTCATTCAAATTCAAATAAAATGGCCCTGGACCACAAGAAACGCGGAGGCAAAGCCGATGCTGTTTCTTGTACTAGAATATTGCACTGCAAAATTTTAAACTTATACCGCTTTATGAGTACTTTGTGCAAAAAATGATATCGCCTGTAGAATGCTGTCTCTATACTAAAAAAAACTTATTGTCGTTTATCGTAAAACGTACTTGTAGAAAACGCATTAAGTTTCAAGATTTAAGTGAGGACGAATTTCTAATTGTTTTATCGTAACAGTTCAAGTTTATTGATCGGTTAAGTTAACAAACCAAAAAAGGATACAATCAAAATTTGATAATAAAAAAATACAGCAATACAGAGTTAACACCACAATAAGAACGTTAATCGGCATGGCAATATTATCAAACGCATAAAACATTAACCAGAAAACATATAAAGACATGATTATACGTTTTCACCGTACATACATTCCATTTTGCATATGCAACTACGGCGTTCCAGTCAGATCGTTGACCATTTCTTCCATCGAAAACCCGGTGCCATGACGCATTTCTTGCTGTCCAAAATGTGACGCCAAGAGTTCGTGACGGCGCAGACGATGGTTACCTTCGTCTAACGGCAAAAAACAGGGACGTTTTGCGGCCATTCGTGGTTCTCGCGGGGCAGATTCGCCAGTTTCCAACATTGGTTTGCTAACTGCACCGGCGTTAACTTGGATGCCGGACGCGGGATTTTCGTTCAACGGTGTCAATTGGGTAGAATATCCATGATTCACTTGGTGTGAGCGCTTAGTCAGCGTTCCGGCCGATGTTGCCGCCTCAGAGACATTTTCTTGCGCGACAGCTTCTTGGGAGGAACCTGGATTTCCCTCCTGGTTATTCGGCATAACGTTTGTAATAGCAGGTGGTACAAACGGCGGTGCATTCACCGCTTCGCTCATGTTGAAACTATAAGCCGTGACACCGATGACGAGGAACGGTACCAATCGCCATCGGTTCTTAATCCTCACGTTGTTGGTCATCTCCGGTATGTTCGTCGCAAATTCATAAAATTTAAATTGCTACAAAAAGCACAGTCATTAACAAAAATTCGATTTTTGTGTTACATTAATTTTTAAATACATAAATTGTAGAAACAACTTTTACCCCGATGAAAAAATCGTCCTTCGCAAGTGTTTTGAATGTCGGTGAACATTGACGATCCAGAAAATAGCTTCAGCTCTAAGTACTCGTAGCGACGTTTCAGCTTAGGAGGCTGAGGCGATAGATTGGATACCACGTAATGCCCCCCGCCACATTTGACCTTGTAATCATCCGTCATCTATTAAAATATCAACCGTGTAAAACCAAAAACTTTCAGCCAATATTGAAAACAAATCTAACTACAAAAGCATACATTAATAGGATTGCCGGCCCTAACTAAGGCTGAAAGTAAAGCAGTCTTGGGTTTATGATATTTTAATACAATGCACATAAAAAGTATAGTGTAAACGCTTACCCATCGTATGTAGTCGACTATTTCTTTCTCGCTGTAGAGTGCAAAATGGCGGTTGATGTCCATTAGGAAACACTGGACGTGGATACTCTGCCCGAGAAGCAAAATATTTTCCATTGTCCTAACCAAGTGGCGGTGAATCAGGAAGCGTGAAGTGTTCACAGATTGAACGTTTCCAAAAAAATGCGCACGTTCGAGTAGCAGCTGAATTAAATAACAGGATCGCGGTACGTTCGACAAAACCAAGAGGAAAGCAATATATGTGCTTCATTTTCCATTTCTAACTTGCACGTTAAATGGCTGATATAGAAAGACTTTAAGAACTAGATGCATGACCTTCTGAGTGCCGATCAACAGTCCCTGTGAATTTTTGCAGTCAAATGCACTATTTCGCAAATGACGGGGTCAAAATGTCGTACGTGCCGTCACATTGCAATTGCTTAAAAACGACTGTTTTTATCGTCTAAAGCACATTATCTGTTTGATAGCTGAACCGTGTGCTGACTTAGTCTAAAGCGTTCTCTTCTCACTAACGTTGAATAAGGACATTTAACTTCAACTTCAACTTCGAAGTAACTGCGATCATGCAAAACCAGGCTTTTGATTTACAGTTTAGTTAAAGAAGGTATTTCATTTTTGGTACTGCAGACCTTATTATTCTTTTCGGTAACAACGAGTTAATATTTAGAAAATTCAATGAAACTGTTATAAGTTGATCATACATAGTAAACAGAGGTTACAATTTTACAGAGTTACAGAGGTTACAAAGGAAACAGTGGTAATTTGCAATCTAGGATAGATGACAATACCGGCTTTCACGACGATGATGAATGGCACCCGGCTATTTTACGACATCGCACCTTGCAGTAAATGACTTGGTCAGGACGTTTTGAGTTCTAAAGCGCGATAGTCATAATACCATTTTTTAAACTATACCATGCATCTGGCTCTGTCAGATGAATAAATTAAATTACTTGCTGCCTGCAAGGCAAAATACGGCTTATCACAATTTTAACTTCTGCTGTGGTTAGCCTTTGGGACTCGCGCTCCAAACGGAAGCACTTTTTATCAATAAGGTGAATGTGGGCTGCTTCCGAAGGTTAGGTGTTAATAACAAGGACATTGGCTTGTTTGCTGCATGTGATCTTTTGCTAAACTAGACAATCTAGCTTCTAAATTTGTTGCACTGACCTTATCTTCGGTTGGGACCGCTCTCGTTTCTTTCCGTACAAGCAAGCACAATTAATTTGCAATTTTAAGTTTTAGTACTGAAAACTTTAGATCCTCTTTTAGAAACCAAATTATTTGTAAAAATTGATATGTGGAGCGCTCATTTTTGTGTTTAAATAGCGCAAATTCCTTGAAAGGGGTGAACTGTTTTCTTTCTTCCATTGCGAACATCACAGGAAAACATATTGCAGAAATTCGTAACTCTTCGATTATTTTTAACGTGACTTTTGGTAAGTATTTCTTAGTACTGCATGCACTAATATGCATTAGCTGATAAAATTTTGCTATGTACGGTACTACAAAATTTACAGTAAACTCAACACCCGTTTGTAAACTCCATGCACTCAGCCGAGCCCCGTGTGTATTCAAAAGGTCACCCGTGCACACAGCCGTAATGTAAAATTAAAGTGACAATGTTCAGGATATAAGCGGTCTGGCGGAGAAAAAGACACATAATCGAACTGCTTTACAAGCTTGCGCTTTGAAAACTACTGCGCATCAGTTGCGTAATTATTAGCGTTTGACATGTTTTTCAAAGTATCTCGATGCCTAACGTGATTTTGTTTAAAGCTCCTACGGTTTACAGTTATTGAAACGCCGTTGTTTATGACATTTTGTATCCCGTAAAAGGATGCATGTTATGTTTTAACTTAGAAAGTTTGCAAAACGCACTATAGAGGGGTGATCAAAACTGCTTGCGTACAAAAGGCAAAGTAATTTGTCTCGCTCAGAAAAACAATTGCGCTAAAATATAATCGTTCCGGCCGAATTTTATTAATCAAAATCAATCAGTGGGAAAGCAATATATGGCCGAAAACCAGCCATATAAACCATAATATTAGCCGATTTTAAAAGGTGTTACATTTATTCAGGGTAAATCCCGTGAATGTTCAGCACACAAAATTTCAGAAATACACTGGCGACATTGGCAAATTAAAAAAGTATGAACGAACATACGCCGGATACAATAACGTAAATAAACGATAGGGCGGGCGGTTGCCAACAGCATGTTGCTTAGATGGAATCCTGTTCAAAACGTTCCACGAACTGGGTGTTGCCTGAAATTAATTCGCATGTTAAACCGCACGCAAGTTCTTAAAAACGTTTTGCAAATTAGATAATAGTCCAGAGCAGCTGTTACACTGCATCTTGATCAGCTAGTAAAATGCTTCAAAATGAATGGTAATAAAATAAGTCATTGTTTAACACTAACAAAAGCAAAAAAAAATGCATTTCCTTTGGCTCTCACCTTTTTTACGACGACTAAGGATTGCCGCGACGCCCATGCAGACAACTGCTCCCGTCACGCTTTCAATGCTAAGGTACACTATATAAATCGTAGTGGAGCGGTTATCTTCTGGCAAAAAAGTTGGTGCGATAAAGGTCGTGGTCCCTTTTGTCGAGTTCTCTGGCACGCTTTTCTGGGGGATAACCGTGGACTGTGTTGCTGGCACACTGTTGTCTGTAGTAGAGACTTCCGCAGGGATTGAGTAAAAAGTATCCTTCACGACTCCTTGGGATCCAGATCCGCTTTCGTATGCACTGTTGGCAATCGCTCCTGAGACCGCACCAATTACTGCACTGCCGATAGCAACTCCAGCTCCAGCCTTCAAAGCTTGTCCGAGCATAGGGACGTTGGTCGCAAAATCTTTTAAACCGACATACTATCGGCTTTCTCTGCCGTCCTGCCAGGTTCTTGCCCACGTTGTTCAGTAAAGGACTTCCGGGCCCGGCTGGCTGGGGTACAGGGCGAAAGGGGTTCCGTAACTGAGGAAATTTTGGCATTCTCCAACCCATCGGCATTCCAAAACCACATGCACTGGAGATAATCCAAGAACTTAACACAGCAGCCATTACGAAGTATTTCAAATCCATTTTTTTCAACACGAAACGTACGACCACCGTGCAACAAAGGTCAAACAGAAAAAGGTCAACTGATTCGCTCTTGTCAAAAAATATCATGAAGGAACAAATAACCTAACGTTACTGTTTATGCTTACATTGTAACCAATCATTAAAAGGCCTCCCGTTAAAAGAGTTCTTAAAATGCAATAAGAAGTACCGATATCAAAAAAACAAGCCAATCCGCGCAAATTCGAGTTTGCGTCATGGTAAATTGATAGTGACTCATAAACTGGTACTACGTATTTTTATACTAGACTCCGGTTTCCGGACCAATAAACGCACCGGAAGTATTACTTGTTTATGGACCAACCATGAAACGGTATTATTTCAATATACGATTGTTACGTTATTATTCATTCTAGCATTACTTCAATTCACTAGTACCAGCTAAACCTAAAAGCCCCATTTATTACATCCATTCCTTTTCGCACCGTGTTTGTAAGAGGCATCCTTTTAGAAATAATATGGTGTATGTTATTAGACAACGTAATATTTTTTGCATACTCCAACATTAATATCTGACTAGTAGACCCCGCGCAGTTTGCGTGGAATAAATAGGCGTGATTGAATACAAAAATAAAATCAAAACTACGAATAGTAAATAGTTTATCATTACTTTTCGTCAGCAGAGCGTAAAACAACATATTTAGACCACCTTCGACTTGGAAACATAAAATTTTTACTCCCTGAAACGTGCCGTCTGATTTTGTTGAGAAAAATGTTGTATTATATCTTTTGGTGCGTTGCAGTCTGCAAAGGCAATTTTAAATTTAATGGAAAGGAAAGCATGCCGTTTATATGTGTGCCTGTGTTATAAAAAAACCCCTTGGACAAAAAATCTCTAAATCATTTTAAAACATAGCTTATTCCGACTTGTCTGTACTGAAAATACTGTACATGCCCTTTTCCCACCGAAAAATTTCCACAGGGCTCAGTGTCTCGTTTATATTGCTACTTCGCAAGCTCCGCTAGCGCCGCAGCTTGGCGTCGCCTGCGCCTTCTATTTAACTGACAAACCCTATTTCAGTTTTCTAAAAATCTCGTTGTATTTGGAAAACGACACATTTGCCCATGATTCGCACCACAACTTAGCCACACTTGATATTTTGGTCTACTGCTACCGAGAAACGGCTCCTCGATGATTGTAAACAGTCTGCCGTATCAATCACGAAGTTGTAGGACCCTGCATGCTATTTAAAAATTAAATAAAACCCTAACACAACATGTCGGTGCTTTCTGTTTTCTGAAAAAATTGGTCTGTGTCCACTGTGAACGCAAGCTAAATGCTCAGACTAAAACGTTTTTTAATTCGGCATCAGCCGGAGAATATGATCATGCCAGCGCATGGTCAATTCAGTGGGCATAAAAAAATCAGAAGTCATCAGCATGGAATCCGGTGATGGTACGGTTTGCCGCCGCTGCAAGTTGAAATCGAAATCGTGCCGCTGAACCTTTACGACAGCGATTTCTCTGATGTCGTAGTGGTAAAACGGATGCTGCAAGTAAGACAGTGAGCGGCATCTTTTCGTATATGCGCAAAAAGGGACTTGAGGAGAGTTAAATGGTCTTGCAGGTCCAGGCGACCTTACCCATTGCAATCCCGAAGCGCAGGAAGTAAGGTGCATACAGAACTAACAAAAGATATAACAGCAGGAACGGAATGTACGGCTCTCAAATGCTGTACGGCTCTCACCAGTTCGTACTGTTGCACAAAATGGCTGTCCTTTTATGGGTTAAAAAATCTCATGTACTTACATCGGCACCAGAAAAAATTATTGTACTACATATTATCAGAATCTATCGTATATCATATCAATCACAAAAATGCTTATAATAAAAAGGGTGCGAAAAGGGGAGTCCAGAATATAGGGGGGTTTTAGGGGTTGTCTGTAAGAGTACCCTTAAGTTATACGTGGAAAGAAACAGAATTTTGTCCACAAAATGTCTTGGACTTTCAAGTCGGGTTGCTAATTTGAATTTCAGGCGCTGTTGTTTGATATTTCACCTTCAACATTTTTTCACAAAAAAAATTTGCGATCTTTTTGTGTGTTATTGCATGAAGCAAATTGCACTCTTACTTGAGGTATTTAGATTGTTGAATTGTTTTGTTCTGTACGACAATTTCACATTCGCATTCGGTAATTGTGGACATCATTTATTTTAAATTGATTTACACCACATTATTACCCGACATGGTTTCAATCCCAGAACAAAAAAAGAAAACCAGTAATATGTAAGTTAATAATATATCAATGAATATCAGTGAATAAAAACATGTCAATCAGTATGAACGAACATGAGTCGAATGAAATGCAGGAAGAAAAAATCCACAGCAGACAAATTTTACGCAGATAAAATAAAAGTTAATTGCGTTTGCCAAAAGATGCCAAAACATTTTGAATTGGGCAAGTGCAAATATGACCGTAGTCAACAAACATGTTGCTACTCGCAGGTGACACGTAATTTTAAAGAATTTTCCGGCAAGAATTGCACAGCCGAGTCTGACATTTTGTACGCTCAGGCCAAAAAACCGGATGGGTCACCTGACACTTCATATGGTAAGATTGTTGACACTGCTTGCATTTGTAAACCGGTAAAGGTTTTCCGGCTTCCTCAAATCCCTTGCACTCCGGACAACATGGTGACTTTTTCGGTTTGTGTCGCTTCGGGGCCATACCGTCTGAACTAACTGCCACGTCCAATAATCCGTCAACTTCTTTCGATCCCGCTGGAATCCGTGAAAGAACCGGCTCTAGCCGCACAAAATAATTGGAATTTGATAGGGTAAGAACACCTCAGATTACACACCTGAAGATACCCTAAATGTAGCATTCATTTCGCTGGTTTCCCCGCTCTGACTGAATAACGATCGGGAGCCCACGCTTAAACCAGGTGGAGGAGCCTGCAAACAATATTCAAACATTTTTAAATTTTAGTCTCACCGAATTGTACAAAACGTTTTTACCATTTCGTCGTTGCGGTCCGGACTTTTCTCGTCGTCGAGTGTTTCCATACCCTCTTGGATTGCTGGTTCCTGTGGCTGCGTTTTTATTAAAATCGTGATTCCGGGCTATTTTTGCTTATAATACTTACTTCAGAAGGCGTTGAACCAGAATCACTAGCAATTGCTGATACATCTGGTAATATTACTTGTCTGGATTGAATATCCTGAAAAGCAATGGTTTTATTCGTACGGTTTCTTCACGTTCGGCTCAAGAATTTATGAGCCATCTCGTGTTTTTTATTGTCGACAATTACCGTTTGCGTTCCTTCATAAAGATTTTCGAGTTGGGTTGACGTGTGAGACGGAATAAACGTTGCCGGCAGTCGGGTTGCCTGAGCGGATTTAAACGGAGATTGGACAGCCTTTTTTCCCAGTCGTGCCATGCTCGCTGTAAATAAGTCACGTATTTCACAAGGTGACCAAGGTCGCCAGCAATAAACGCATTCTATTGCTATTTATTGACAACCGCTCTTTATTGCTATCATTTTTGAGTCTACATTAATACCTAGAACGTTATTAACAACAAAGCAGCTGCTGAAAGAACTATGTAATCATAAACCCGTTCAAAGTTAGCGCTAAACCCTTATGCTAGCATCTTACCTACACTTACGTTAGAACAAAACACTGTTTATTTTGTTTATTTAAAAAAATCTATCTCTTCCTAGAAATTTAATTATTTCTAGCATAATTAGGATTTGCTTTGGAAGGATTATATTCCGTAAGTAATTAGCGTTTGCCCCGTTAATTTTACCCATCACTGCTCCCGGAAGTGAACTAGTTCTTGCCGATAAAAATTCTAGCTCTTCGTCCGTAAAATGTGATTTCAGGACACAAATGGCGCGTTGAACTTTGCCAGATATTCCCACGGGATGAGAGTTAACGGTGCCTGGTAATTTTTTCAAATCCGAAAAATCAAATGCACAGCTATCCGCGTGAACATTCATCAGTGGAGTAAAGTCTTGCTCCCTAAAGGCCACATACGGCAGACTGCTGGTAACCGCGAAGCATTTCTTTAACTAAAAAAGCAAACAATTGTGTCTAAAACGAGTCTAGTCAAAGATAGTAATAAACACATTTAAAGGATATTAGTTGAGTTTATGCCGTTTTGTAATCCATACCTCATCAGGAGCTGCTCCCCGAATTTTGTGTATTACTTCACAAATCCTAGCTTGCAAGGCCCTATCCAAAATAGCCAGCGATGGCCCAATTGTGGTTTCGGCAGTGTATTCATAGTAATACTGCGCAACAGGAAGTAGTTGTTGCATTACGAAACCTTCAATTTTAGTTGCCCACACATCCCATCCGCATTTTTTCACAAACTAAAGAAACAACATTAACAGCAACAAAATCTGTATTTTTGGTCATCAGTTAGTCCTACCATTTCTGTTGCTGCCACTAACATAGCATAACCGTCGACAATACGATTATGGCTGTCCGTCAGGATCGGCATTGCCGCTTTAATTGGATATCGAAGCTCATGCATGCGCTGCATGAGCTCTTCGATATCGTGGTTGGTCAGGTTTAAGATGGCCTCAAAGAACTGCGAAGCTGTTTCTCTCCCGTGTGCAATTTGGCGGAATTCTTCGCGCGTGGCACTTTTGAATTCCACAAGCATCGGTATCACTACTGCTCGGCTCAGTGATGCGAAGCTTAAAAAAGTATTGTACATTATGAAGCGCATATATCTAGATGCTCATGGTGGAACTCACTTTTTGCGAAGCATGGAAATGGTTTTTTCATTACAGGTGAACCAAATTGTTGTCCCAGGAGTCTGATTCGAGTTATGTTTTAGCACTGGTCGCGCTTCGTAGCACTCCATGAGTGCGGTTGCGACGAGGCTTTCGTCTTCAGCGTCATGAACGATTATTGGGAAGTGGTCTTCGGTGTAACGCTCCCGGAGCCTTGTCAACGTCATATCTTTGTAAATGCAGATTTGCTGAGCGTTTGCTCCGCAAAATGATGTCGAAACGTTGGCGTTTAAGCTTTTCCCTGTGTTTCGGGGCCCACACAAAAGGAGTGCTGGAACGTGACCAACGGTTTTCACAAGAAGCCGGTAATGCAAACTGATGATGGAGGTGTGGCCTACAACATCCGATTCGAATTTCAGTTAATCTCGAAACACCACTTCTTCAGTATCAAAGACCTACCGCAGGTTAACAAGAAGTTCAAAAACACATCGGGCATGCCATCTCTTTCCAGCTTTTCTCGAACCACTTCAAGAAGATGGCACGGTTCTGTTCCGGAATAGATTTGCAACGGGATGACATTAGTCAGCTTCGAATAATGCGACACCCAAACGTATTCTGATTGATCCGCGGAAATCCGTTCCACTTTTCCAGCATTTCGTTTGTAATGCAGATTAGGCCCAAAAATATAGGTTTCCCGTCATCTTGAAGGTTACGGTGTTCTGCCGGAGGCTTATCTGGAGTCAGCTTCCGTTGGGAGCAACGCCTTAAGTAGTAATCGTAGGCAAAATTAAAGTATACCAAGAATAACTTGGTGTGCTGATTAGTTACTTCAGCTGTATACTGTCACGAAAACTGATCCACTGGATCCTAGAGTTATGACCATTTTAAACCACAACCTTTCTGCTAATTTAAGTTCATGATTCCGTAACTCCGATCGTGTAAATAATTCAATATTAAATATATGTTTTTCCTGAACCAGCAAGCAATAAAACCGCATTTAATATTTCGGATTTCGATAAAAAATGAACACTAAACCTTATACCATTTAATTATGCTGACCAAGCTTATTCTCTTACTTGTCGTATTGGGTTCGCTTCCAAACAATATATGAATTAAGCTTGTCCCCATTCAGCGATGGCGCGAGTAACGGCGGCATGCCGGGAGTGCTTTGGATGTCTGACAAAAAACGCTGAACACTTTTGAAGCCGGACGTTGTCAAGTAGCAAGACCTAAACAAATTTTCATAACTCTGAATGCCTTCAAAAAGACGAAATATTTGCACAACTCAGATTTACCGTTCACAAAACTAGAAAGATCAAGCTAACGTAGCCAACCTCTGTCGTAAAATTTTTATTTGAACATGATTGCCTTTGTTTATCGCAACTTACCTCCCATTTTGAAGGTTGCAGGTTTTATTTCACACAACCAACCACTTTCTAGAGATTCCCTTTGCACACACCTTGAGTAATTCTCAAAGTAAACCCAAGAACAAAGGAAGTCTTTGAGTCATGCTTATCCTTCTCGCCGTAATATGTGCAATGATCTTTTCATACCAGTCAGTTGTTCCTTTAAAAAAACTTAGCGCCATTTTTTAAACAAATTGAAAGGTTAAGCAGTTAACGGCATCTTCAACTGAAACTCGAGCACAGTTAACCGCTCGCCTTTTCTAGATATGTAAAATGATGTATGCATCAAAAGCTTATAAGTCATGCGATGACCGAAGATATCATATTGCCGGTTGGTTTAATAATGCATATGGAATGCTATCTTGCGTTCACAATTTTCCTGATTCGCTGTTCAGTACAAAATAAAGACGTACGTTGTGAGCTGCAGGCTTGCCTTAGTAACGCAGAAGCTACGTTTTTTCGGCTACTAGAGCGCTATGTTTGAACATTTTGCAGTATATTCTGCAACATGCTTTTGCCCAGTAATGAGATTTGTTGAACGATGAAAATCCTTCTATAAAATCCGTTGAGCGGCAGTTTTAACTGCTTTCAGAAAGCGTTGTTTGTAACACTCCTGTGTAACTTTTTTCTCAATACTCCTAATTAATTATGGCTTCTTTGCATTCACTAATACCTGCACTCAGAGATGTTCCGAAGGAGATGCCTGTTGAAGCAATCGCTTTTGTATGTAGTTCGGTTAATCATACTCAATATTATTTTGCATTGTTATTCTTTTCTTTAGATGCTGGCGAAAACTTTTAACGTAGATGAAAAATCTGCGTTGGCAGCTTTGAACGAAAAAAACTGCGATGTTACTACCATATTCTGCAACAAAGATTCTGCGCAGTTTGTGCTTTGCCCGCCCTTGTACCAATGCCTAAGCAGATGCGATCCTTTGAGTTTTAAAATAACTCAGGGAACAAAGGTCAGTGCTTCTCAGGTACCTACGTACCTACGGTTTCTACGACAAACTTATTGAACACAAGTTTAATCAAATATGTTTTGGTACCTCAACATATACAAAACTGGTATATCAGACTGAATACCTGTAATGATATTATGTTGGTTTCTGATTCCATTAGGTTATATTGTACTCGATTGACGAACACCCGTCCGCATGCACCCATTTCATATTTTACTGTACAAAATGCGGCAACAGATACTCTTATAACACTTATTACGTGAAATCTTATGGAAATCGGTTTCTTTATCCGGAAGCTCGGCTTTTCCTACAAGTTACGGGAAAAGTGTTCTGGAACAGGAAACTTGTCGATCTCTTGATTAACTCCGTGTAAGATCTCCTCGCTCTGTTATAATTATCAGGCTGTCAGGCTGCAAATTTTGGTTTTCTAGTCTGCATGGCCACGTAACTTTCGAATCCTTTGCCGAAATCTGCCGCACAACTTTTCGATTCCCGTTCGGTATGAAATTGAACTGAAACATCTGAACTGGAAAACCGTCTTTACTTAAACGGTGTTATTTCAGCGTTCAAGAAAAAAATTGTGTCCAAGGCGTTTTTTGTGAATGAAACTGAACTTGACTTGCGCGAGCGGTGTTTGACTTTTGCTTTTCCTGACACTAAACTGGACATACTGGAGGTCAAACAGTTTCTTGATGGTATCCGACAAAAAGAGTTGTATCCACACAGCTGTTCGGCTACTGGAAAACGTCGTGGATGCCCGTTCCTGGTTGTGTTCGATGGCATTTGGAAGATTGCGCACCGACACTGCGCGATGGTAATGAAGGTAATTTTTTTTTCAAAAAAAAGGAATGAGGAAATAAACTGACACGTTTAGCTCCTAAAGATGTCATTTGTAGAACTCCATCAATATTGCCCATGTCAGGTTGCCTTCCGTTTGTCCAAATGAACCTAAATGGGGGCAACTGTATTGCGACGATCATGCTGATCTAGCAAAAAGCCATAACTTGCCAATAACTCGGAACGGCAAACTTTTGGAAATGGCTGGAGATAGCATTGTGCAGCTTGCTCTGGCTTGTAATCCTGATAATAATCCACCTTTCGGAGAAATTTTCAATGAAACTGATTCACAGACGGCAATTGTGCAGAAAGAAGTGTTGAGTAATGAATTTTATAACGACTCTCCATTGCTAACCGGCCCTCACAAAGGTTGCGGTAATGCCAAGGTCGCGCTGCCATGGTGCCGAAAAAATCACGGCGAACGAAAACTGGCGTACACTACAGTCGTGGGTACTTAGTGTTCGTGCACGCTTGCGGTGCTGTTTCCAGTTTTTCGCCACTATACAAGTAAGTACAATTTTTCAAAACTTCATAGTTTGCCGACGGAGACTGCTAAGACAGTTCATAACTAACGTACATAAAGTAAACGCGATGGCATATTATTTTTCTAGGTCTGAATCTTTGAGCCAGGTGTTTGTTGCGGCCACAGAGTGGCTTTCAAAGTATGTCCTGAAACTTGAATCTGGTGACCGGGAAAAGCTGTTCCTATGCTATGATAACATGTAAGTATCGCACATCACCATTATTTTTACAATAAACCCATTTGCAATAACAATAAAGCCATTTGCAGGTGCAACTTTGCCAGGCTCAAGGCCATGTCTGAACCTTTACCGGAACCGTTTCCTTGCGATTTGTGGAAAACGTCAACAAAATCATCGATAAGCTGCATATTCAAAATCACTGTCGGGAACAGTGTCGGTCAACTTTCAATCCAGATCAGTTCCTTACTCATCATCCAACGTGCGATAAATTCAATACCATGGCGGCAGAACAGACGTTTGCTTGGTTAGGGAAATATAAGAAGCAAATGAATTCAATGTCCAAAGAAAATCAAGCTTTCTTCCTACATCGCCTCATTAAGCGCAAAAACGAGTACAACGAATCTTGCTTGAAAAATAATGTGACACCATTGTTTGCTGGTAGGCGTACTGAGCTTGCCCGTCTTGGCCTTGCCTAACTTGTTCAACCGCATTTCATTGCACGTAATTTAAATGGGGCGTTTGATCCTCCAAAGACCGCCACCGAATTTAAACTGCAATGAAAATCTTATAAAAATCATTATTTCGAAAACTTTATCGCTATTTTGTTCTCTTATGTTTTTTTAATTTTTTATGTTTTCTTATGTTTTTCATGCTTTCATATGTTTTTTTGGTTTTCTTTGTCGATAATTACTTTTCCTCAATGTTACGCCGTTGTCGTGTTTTGCTGGGGTGTTGTGAATAAACTTGGCATGTGGAAACCATCGGAATTAGGATAAGACTTACAATAAAAATATCAGCAATTCGCCAGAAGGAAACCTAATATATAAATTATATAGAACCTTATCTTTTTTGCTAACTCAACCTACATAGAGTTGACATGCTTGAGGATGCAGAACTGTCATCCTGAACTTACGTTGATTTCCGTTATGTGCACATTGCGGAACATGGATTTTCAGGGACTTAACAGAGAGTTAACAGCAATTTTACATTACATTTACGTTGAGTTACGTTATGTGCACAGTTTCGGACATGGATTTTCAGGGACTTAACGGTGGATTAACAGCCTTTTACGTTGCATTTACTTTGACTTACGTTATGTGCACAGTGCCGAACATGGATTTTCAGGGACTTAACAGAGAGTTAACAGCAATTTTACATTACATTTACGTTGATTTACGTTATGTGCACAGTTTCGGACATGGATTTTCAGGGACTTAACGGTGGATTAACAGCCTTTTACGTTGCATTTACTTTGACTTACGTTATGTGCACAGTGCCGAACATGGATTTTCAGGGACTTAACAGAGAGTTAACAGCAATTTTACATTGCATTTACTTTGACTTACGTTAGGTGCACAGTGCCGAACATGGATTTTCAGGGACTTAACAGCCTTTTACATTACATTTACGTTGATTTACGTTATGTGCACATTGCCAAACATGGATTTTCAGGGACTTAACGGTGGATTAACAGTCTTTATATTACATTTACGTTGATTTACTTTATGTGCACAGTGCCGAACATGGATTTTCAGGGACTTAACAGAGAGTTAACAGCCTTTACATTGCATTTACTTTGACTTACGTTATGTGCACAGTGCCGAACATGGATTTTCAGGACTTAACGGTGAATTAACAGCCTTTACATTACATTTACGTTGATTTACGTTACGTGCACAGTGCCGAACATGGATTTCCAGGGACTTAACGGTGGATAAACAGCCTTTTATATTACATTTACGTTGATTTACTTTATGTGCACATTGCCAAACATGGATTTTCAGGGACTTAACAGAGAGTTAACAGCAACTTTACATTACATTTACGTTGATTTACGTTATGTGCACAGTTCCGGACATGGATTTTCAGGGACTTAACGGTGGATTAACAGCATTTTACGTTGCATTTACTTTGATTTACGTTATGTGCACAGTGCCGAACATGGATTTTCAGGACTTAACAGAGTTAACAGCAATTTTACGTTACATTTACTTTGACTTACGTTATGTGCACAGTTTCGGACATGGATTTTCAGGACTTAACGGTGGATTAACAGCCTTTACGTTACATTTACTTTGACTTACGTTATGTGCACAGTGCCGAACATGGATTTTCAGGACTTAACAGAGAGTTAACAGCAATTTTACATTACATTTACGTTGATTTACGTTATGTGCACAGTTCCGGACATGGATTTTCAGGGACTTAACGGTGGATTAACAGCCTTTACGTTGCATTTACTTTGACTTACGTTATGTGCACAGTTCCGGACATGGATTTTCAGGACTAACGGTGAATTAACAGCCTTTACATTACATTTACGTTGATTTACGTTATGTGCATATTGCCGAACATGGATTTTCAGGACTTAACAGAGAGTTAACAGCAATTTTACATTGCATTTACGTTGATTACGTTATGTGCACAGTTCCGGACATGGATTTTCAGGGACTTAACGGTGGATTAACAGCCTTTTACGTTGCATTTACT